AAATTCTGCGCCAGCACCTAAATCTGTCAGCGGGATTTGTTGCCCTTCCTCGAGACCTGGAACTATAACGTCGTCTGCAGAGTCGAAGTATGGAGTGAAAATGTGCCTGGGTCTGGAAGGGTGCAAACTTGCGATGCTTTTGCTTGCTCAGCTCTCTGTCAGTCACAAAAACAAAAATGGCAAAAATGTAAGCGTGGCACTCAGACGAGGGGCAGACTATGCTTGTCGGGTCGTGTCGTCTGAGGGTTACGCTTGCATTACGGATGTTTTTGTGACTTCTGACAGAGAGCATTGACATTGTAAAGCTTCACTCGCGCAAGCACAACAACCTGTGATGGTAGGACTTGCAGCTTTACAGATCTTCTAGCCCATCCCCATCACCATGCATAAAATATGCAAAACCTGGTTGCATGACAACCTTGCTTACAGCATTTTTTGGTTTTCCTGCTGTTTTGACCCAGACAACATAAGTAGTTGTAATGGATACCGGCCACTTGTCGGTGATTTCCGCAACCGTAATTTTGTGGTCACCTGGCGTGGTGCCCGTATCGATGCTCTTGAGCAATGCCTCGACCGCCTCGTCCGCGCCATCTTTCCCAGGCGCAGGCTGCTTTCCCCCAAGCGCGTAAAACGCCGCGAGGTGGTCATTGTCCAAGTGAGAACCTGGACCAGGTTGATTTGCGTCTGTGAAGAAATCCCGGAATTCTTGATCCGTCATCTCCTGATCATTCCCACCGGACTTCGCCATTCCATCACCGCCAAAGAGGTCCTGCATCTGCTCGTGCAGTGGGAATGAGGCCCTGACTTCTTGCCAGTTCTGCAGCCGGCCCAATGCGGAATGGTCGTGTTCGTGGTAGTTCGACAACAGGTTCTCCACCTTTACGGTATGACCCAGATGATTGATAGCGTTATCGTTTCCCGGGTGGTCCGGAAAAAGTTTTTCGGTGATTTCACCCATACTGATTGTCGCGTCTGTAACGAGGCCAATGGTCCCCTGGTCGTCCGTGTTTAGGTTTGTCATCAAATGTCTGATCTTGCTCTTCGAACCCAACATTGTAGTAGCATGATCCGGGGTTTCCCCACCAAGCATGTAGTAGAGGCCTGCATGATTCTGCTGGAGCCTTTGGTCCGTTCCTCCCGCATTCTCGAAGAAGAAGTCATGTAGTTCCTGCTCGCTCCATTCTTTATCAGCTCCTCTGGCGTTGTAGAATTCCTCGAGTGGGTCGCTCCTATAAATATTTAATTCGGAGCACAAATGCTGTCAAAGATATATTGACTTGTGAGATGTGGAATCGCGGTATTGCTCCGAAGTTCCACTTTCGAGTTCATCTCGTTTTTGTTCTTGATAAAGATAAACCTGAAATCAAGTCGAATACACCCTCTGCTTTTTACGTTGTGCCGGTGACCTTGTGCAATCACCCTGCACCTGCACGAACTCAATAAATAGGAGTTCCTAAGGAAACTCTGAAACACAAACAACTGAAATGGCAAAACCAAAATGACTGACTGTCGCAAGATTCATCTACGTGGTCTAGCACCCATTTGAATGAAAAAAAAAAAACTTCCAAATCAAATACAAGGTCTGTCCCAATGCGTGCTGCCACTTGTCCGACATGGTCCTATGCATGCGAAATACTTATGTCAGGGCTGTGAAGCGGAGAAACAACTACGACAGTCATGAGTTGTTCGTAGTTAACTAGTCACTGACGAAGGATTGATGTCCTCGTTGGGAAAAGATCGGCCGAGGAAGAGGCCCAGCTAGGAAAACGCGTATAGCATTTTTCCCACACCTAGCGGCTGTGACTTTAGGTTTACTTTACCCACCTCGCGGAGCTGCATAGACCCGTCATGCCTATGTACATCAACCGGAGGAGGTACAGCTCCGGAACTTACTTGCTACGAAACAAATGGGCGAAGAGAAGTTTTTACCTTCGATGTTCACCTTCTTCGTGAATCCTATGAGGATCTGCATGAAAACGAAAAGGAGCGCTCATGACAAGCCAAGTTGCATTTTGATTTTATCCGTTTCGCTTACCCTGGTATATGATACACAATTGGTATGCAGTGTCCTTTGGCCAATCGTCAAACAACTCCTTCGGCAGATTTTCAAAGTGTTCTCCCCAAATAGAGTCGTGACCGTGCTGCAAGAAGTCGTCATTCAGAGTAATGGGAGTCGGATCAGAAGTCCCTGTAGCTGTAGCTGTAGTTTCAACATGCCAGGTTCCTTGCAGGTCTTCGAATGCTTCTTTCGCATCAGCATGACCACCAGGGAAATCCCCGTCAAACGCCGTGCGGAAGTCCTTGTTGGTCCAATGCGCCTCAAACTCGTCAAAAGTCAATGTAGGAGGATTGTTGGGGTCGTCGAAGAGATCAACTCTGTGATTCAATTTGATTCAGGAATTTTGATGAATTATGCTTAATTATATGCTTTGTTCCACAAGGGACAAACAAAAGAAACAATGTAAGAATGGCACATCCAGATTTGCAGTTTTATGCGAATACGATCTTCATGATGACCAATTTTTATGGTACAGGAATCGTCGGCCCGAGCCTGTGAGTACTACTCACCGTACTTCGTACTTAAATGCATCCGGATCTACATGGTTCCTCGACTTGGTCGATCCATTCTAGTATCATGGTATACCGAGTCGATGCCATCGTCTTTGTCGTGCGCATAGTCCTCTCTTGTTTCTTATTCTTTTCAACAAAATAAATAAAATACATACAGGAAAACTGAACTTCAATTTCAGAACTTGTGATAGATATTCAATACTTGATGTCGTCCCACCAACCCGAATTAAGAACGTCGTGGACGAAACCGAGGGCAAATACCGAGCAGCGACTATCAAATGCAAATGTGTCCGCTGAGTCTGCATCTTCCGGAAACCACTTCTAGTTGTGGCACTGCTCATGCTCATTTGTCAATGTGAATAGTGAATCATGGGCAAGCTACAAAAATGCCAATGCGTAGCCAAGCATGACAGGTTGCGGAGAGGCTACGCTATGCGTTGCCAGAAGCACATGACATGACAAGGTCGAGGTGCTAGCTGCATAGCAGTTCGAGCATGAGAGACAAATTCTGGGACTTTTCGGCGAGTAGGTGCATCATGTTGACAGATTCAGATTTTGGATTCATGCCAGCCGAGCACGACCAGAAGTCAAATTTACGCACCCAGACCCCGACACATACACATTTGAAGTTGATAGCGACTCTCTTTCTGCAGTACTAGACCAATGGCATATGCGAATCCAATCTGCCCCCGACAACCACAATTTCTCCACGGAGATAGGTGAACGCACACTACGTTGGTTCGTTGACAAAGGAAGGGCAGCGGCATTTGTCAAATCCAATGACAATTCTGCAATTGTTTTGGAATAAATATGTTCCGCTTCAAGTAAGTAATGCCTCAGACTCTAGAAATTCTCCACTCGTCAGGATACTTACTTATTAATAGTGTTTGTGATTGTCTTGTTCTGCATCGTCACATGTTGCAAGAAATGCAAACTGTGGAAAAACAAAATAATTGTTCAACATCAATTCCCTATTTACCTGCTCGTCCCCTTCTTTCTAGAATCCACATCAACTTACATACTGGTACCGTACGGGCATGATCATATTCATAGCAAATGCAGGAGATGAAGACTACAAGCATAATACTTACAACGGGCTGTCGAGGGCGGTATCACAGTTTTATTTTTCGGTCGTACGAGAATCAGGTACACCACCGCCGCCAGGACGAACCTCCTGGAAACAGCGAACCGCGCTGCCGTCGCAAAATATGCATTGCAAAAGTATCGCACTAGTATAAATTGCATTACAAATTTTCCCAAGAACAAAAATGCGATTTGTCATGCTATTTCAGGTAGAAAGTTGGATTTGTCACGCATGTCTGCAATTTATTAGTACGAGTACGATACTTTTGCACAGGATACAAAAGGCCGAGGAACAAGCGCGCTCTGGTTGTAGTTGTTGTTCGTCTCACGACAGGACTGAGGAAACACAAGCCCCACATCCTTCTTCCTCGTGCTCCACGCGGTCTTTCCGAGCCCCCGGGGCCACGCAAAAAACTTCTGCGACGTCGTGCAGGTGCCTGTCTTCATGTGCATTCTGGTACTCCTGCTCGCCGTCATCATTGTACAAGAAGTCGCACTAGTACCAGGTGCAGGTTCCTCTCTCTCCGCAGTCCCCCGTCGCAGGTACCACATGAGTAGGCTTCGCCGTTATGCCCTGTTCAGCTGGAACATCTTCAAACCGGCGTTTATTTTAAAGTGTCACCTACTTCAGCATCATGTGAACGGGAGAGGACAAAACCGGTTCGCGAGGACAAAGATGAAATTAGAAAGCGAAATAGAAATCAAATCTTTCACGTTGTTTGCGCGTTGAAGTAATGAATCAAAGTGGGACTTTATTCATACTTCGCCTCCTTGCCGCCGCGCTAGAATGGTTTTTTGAATCAAAGTCGGTCGTGCTGTTGGCGGGAAAAAATGGTGACCATCTTCTGCACGACGATTTGATCCTTTTTCTAGTCACTCTTAAGCATCATAATAGTCAAAATCAAGTCGACTTCGATATTACTACAAGTAGTCGATATTTGCGCTCGCTCTTGTAGTTGTACCACTCTACTCTGGTGTCAATTGTGCTGCGAAGACGATGACGAATACGGTAGAAAAATACAAGGGAGTGAAGCAAGTGCTTAATCTTGCAACTTAATGAAGAGGCCAAGAAGAGAGGACGCTAATACATAGATGTGTGCGATGTTGAGCTAATACTCTTGTTGAGTCGCACATTTTCCACTTTCTCTCTTCCTTCGCGATCTTTCGTTTCAATTTGCATTTCCATGTTCTTCTGCAGAAAACAAATCGACGACAACCAACGAAAGGACGACTTTGAATTTATTTATAGTACTTGGGTTTCCCCCGTCGAAGCAAACATATATACCACGGCGTGAACAACAACGCGTACTGGGGATAAGAACAGAAGCATTTTCATCATGCACGCACCCCGCAGTACTACCGGCGCCGCTTCTTCTATCTTCTGCTACTGGTGCGGCGCGCAAGGTTTTTGCGATTCGAGCTTGTGCAACAAATCAACGAGCAGCCGTCGTTCTTCGAGCTGGTTGTACGGTTACAACTGTATTAAATGTCAATGCTGGTAACGGTATACTTACTTTACTTAGTTGTCGCTAGAGGTCGTTCATGAAGAGCAACAGCACATCGAAATGATCATGCGACAGTCGTCCAATTCATGCTATATCATTATGAAGTAAGATCAAGTTTAATATTCTTTCGCTTGATTCGTACAGCAGTCGATCTCTGTCATTCGTTTTCCCGCAGAAAGTTCTCTATTTCCGCGAGGCTCATCAGTCCCCTGTCCCGACAACCTGGCATGCTGTCCTGCAGGTCTTCGAGAAACCCGGCGTAGGAGTACTCTTTGCGCAGCTCCATGGGAATCGCGAGCTCGTACGTGGCGGGAAGGGAATAGCAGTAGCGGTTGGGGTGAAAATCCACAGAAGTTTCCTCTGGAGTATTTATTTCACCTTCGCATTCGCACAACGATACGTCGTGGCTCCAGCTGCTCCTCGGCGTGGCTGGAGCAAATCGCTCGCGCGGTGAGGTAGATTTATTATTCCGTGGTGTTGGCGTTAGTGGAGTGAAAGAAAAAGAATTTGTAGGACTCGTCGTGGTCAACAACATATTCGGTACTAGCTGCTCTTCTGTAGTGTCACGACACTGCGACGAGTCCGGATTACGATTCTTCTCGCCGGCCACGAGTTTCGACACGTCTGCCTCCGTCTTGTCCTCGTTTGAGCTGTAGTTTCTACCCCGCACCACCCTCATCATCCCCACTGAAGACCGGGGCGAGACGAGTTGTCGTGGGTTTTCATTTTCTCGGTCATCGACAATCTTCCCCTCGTCCAAGCTTGCAACGAGAAGAGCCTGCTCCCGGACCCGTCTGTGCAGGGCGTTTTCACCCTTTCGGAAGTACTCGTTGAGGCAGCTGGTCAAAGCTTTCTCCAATGCGCTGCTGTCCTTCTGCTGAGCAAAGCATTTTTGGGATGTTGAACCCGGCGTGGCCTCGTGGGTCGGAGACCGTCGCGCGAACTCTTTTGATATTGCAGCTCGAGTTGTCTTCACTTTTTCGAAAACTAAACATGAGAAATCTGGGCGCCGGGGTGGTGCGTCGTTGTCGTTCGAGACCTGCTGGCTCTCTTTGTCCAAACCCGCCAGTAGCGTAGAGTCACTGGTGTCGGGGCCCGCAGCTGAAACTTTCTTTATTTCACTAGATTGCACGTCGTTTTGTTATGCAAAGGAAAAGCGAAAAGCGAGGTCGTCTGACAAGATGTTGCAATACGTTTCTTCAGTTCAGGTAACGTTTCTTGCGGCTACCTAGTGCTCGTGCTGTGCTCCTTGACTTTCCGGGAAATAAATGTGCATGCATCTTGACAAAGTGAAACGTGAGAATGCAGAAGCCAAGATGTCAAAAACCGTGGCAACATGCGTTTTCCACGCCGGCCCGAAGTCATGGTCCTTTCCGCGCACGGCTTTGTCCTGGTATTGTTCTTATCCAAAAAATACTCAAACTCAATTTTTTATTTTTTGCACACACAAAAGCTCTCTTCGCACTATATCGTGGGACCCCACTTTTCCTTCTGATACTTTTTCTTTCCGCCGCCGGAGGACAATTTTAACTTCAGCTCCAGCCCCACGGGTAAAAAATCCGTACGTGGAGCAAAGCCGAAACTGCTGCGTTAGTTCCACAATGTCTCGTAACAAAGTTTCGTCGCGAAAACTTACCAAAACGTAGAACTCGGTTGTTAAACTCGCCGTGTTTCGCAGGTAGTTCGCAAGAACTGGAATCTCCTCGGTGAGGAAGTAATCCAGGGTACCCTTGTCAAAGGTGATGTCGAAGAAAGTTCCGGAGCTACTTTCTCCACAGTCTGAGGCAGATGAACAAGTCGTGGACATAAATAAACTGTCGCTCCCGTTCGTAATGTTATTTTCCGGGGTCTGGGTCTTGGTTCTTTCGCCGTCGATTTCATACTTTTTGTCGTCCTGGTCAGTATTTGATTCTTCCGGAACGTGATCCAGTAAGTTGGTTCCAACTTCTTCTTCTACACACGATGCCTGCGTGAGCTTGTGCTTCCACCTCAAACACTCCAATACAGCCCCTTCACTTTCGGCGGCTCCGAGGTCACAGCAGCGCCACTCCACGGTAGTCCTACCGGACGCTGTAGTTTCTGAAGGATAGCAGGCAGCGTAATCTTCATGATCCGGCCGCACTAACCGATGGGAAACGCGTCCTGCGCCTGCCGCTTCGCCCTCAATATTTTTGTCAGGCATAGCCATTTCACCGACGCGACTATTTTTCCCCCCTTGTGCTTTCTTCCTCTTCTTTTCGGCGGCAACAAGTTGTTGGTCTTCCTTGAAGAATCTTTTCGCCCGTGCGAGTGCGCCCTCGTCGATGTCCGCACCGAGTATGTGGCAGTGAAACAAAGACAAAGACAATTCATTTTCTTTGTAATTTTCGTCAACCACGAGAACATCGCTTGTTCTAGGTCTCGTTGGGCTTCCGTTTCCTCCTGCGTCGTCATCATTTCCTTTCCCTTCACCACTATTTAGATTTCCACAACCAACCTCAACAACCGCCTCGCCGAGTTCCGCGATGCGGCTGTCCCCGCAGCCCGGGACGAAAATAGAAAGCACGTCGGCGGGACGTCCTCGTCGGCCAGGCTTGTTCTGCTTCCTCCCTGGTTCGGGTTCGTCTTCGGCTTGTTGGCATGGCTTGATGTAGCTTGTTCCGATTTGTGTTTGTTCATCATTCCGATCCTCGTGCTTGTTCCAGTTAGCAACACGACCAGAGGAAGACCCCAAGAACACTTGCCGGTCCTGCTCGTTCTCCGATGAGGATGACGTGTCGTCGGAGCAGTCCCCGGGGCCGCTAGTAGTCGAGGGCGTCAAGAATGGTCGTTGTGCAGCAGCAGGTTGCAGTGGCACGACCTCGTCTTGGGCAGATGATCCACACCCGCACGAGGAAGACCAACATTCTCTTTGTTTGGAAGTACTACTTCGGCTGTGTTCTACTTCTGGATGCAGCCCCCGCCACGACTTGGAGTTGTTGTGGTCGTCGTGGTCTTCGTCATCTTCGTGTTTTGGTTTATTTCTATTTCTTCTCTCGTCGGAGGTCGCATGAAAATTATCCAGCATCTGAATTTGGCGAAACAACTGGCGCAGAATCGGTACGAACTGAGCGTTGTCCGCTATCCACTCGAAATTGCTGGTATTTTGCGAAGACGTCCTCTCGGCCTGGTGCTCCAGGTCGTCGGCGGTGGAGGGTGGTGGAGGTGCTTCTGCTGCTGCTACAACTGACGGGACAACATGTAGCTGTTCGGATGGCGGGCACCTGCTCGTCATTGTGTTCATGTCTTTGAGCAGGGAACTCGTCGCGGGTTCCTGCACTTCTGCGACCGGAGCCATGTTTTTCTAGTTCTTGCCATAAAGATAAAAGCAGTCGTCTTCAAATAATTACACGACCGGTGGTCCACCATGAAACTAAAAAGTTGTGTTCAGATCGGGCGGAGCAGCGTGAAGCCACATCCTAAATAATGGGGTATTCATCGGCATGGCAGGGCGTGGAGTCGCTCTCGGCTTCAGTTAAAACTCTGCAACAACTTCGTACAAATACTAGCAACAGCTTGATTATGGTTTTAATACTACGAGATCGCGTGGTCAACATCCTGATTTTCAGCCATGAACGATTTCTTCAATCATGATCCGAAAAGAAACAAGTGAACAATGCAAATCCAATGCTGATGCTCACAACAACAATAATATAGCTCGGATATTACACCAAGCCGCCGGGAACCAAAGCGTCGAGGTCGAAGGAGCAGGTGCAGGATTCAAATTACTAATATTCCGATCGGGTCGCCTGTTGCTCTTGCTGCTGCTAGAACAAGAGCAAGATCATTTTTCCGCCCCTGAGCAGGATCATGTCGCGACGATGATGATTGAAATTCTCCTGATCTTCTGTTGCTGGATCGCTTTGCCGTCATATTCATCGTTTCAGCTTGTCTAATAGCTTGTCGCGCATGGTGGAATCGACTGCATATTTTTACTCGCAAATGATCGCGGATTAATACGCCGGACTTTCTACCCATTCTTATTGCCTGTACCAAGCAGGTCACACCCTTCTGCTTGGGCAGCTACAAAAAGCGACAAACACGAGCAGCTTGATTTCTGCGGATGCTTCTTTTTTCGGAATCAGGACCAGCAGCACCATTTTCCACGGAAGCGCTGGACTCGTTGCCGTCGCGAAACTTTAGTCACATCATGATGCAAATCAACATGCGTCGACTCGAGCAAGTGCGCTCCTTACATCAAATAACATCATCGAAGGTGCGAGAAAGTTCTCCTTCAGTTTTCAGCGCTGTAAGGAGTGCTCTGCATCTTTTTCTCGCTACTCCTTACACCAGCGATATCGCGGTCCCCGTGTAGCTGATCGCAAGTCGCAGCTTCTGTGGCGTTATGGAGCGAAGAAGCGGGAGAAACAGATAACCAACCATAAACCATGTTGTCCTCAGCTGGCGCAGGCTGCCGTAAAAATTCTGCTCACGACACCACAGGCCGCAAGAATGCGCGCATTGCAAGAATTTCTATATTGGCTTTGGCTTGGCACACACTTCAAAAACTACCCGCTTGTTTTCAGCCCACGGCCAAGCCCAACACCTGCGTGCTCACATTTGAAGATCCCGAAAAATCGAGCCTCCAAGCTGCAAGACGAGACACACAACAGCCAGTGCAAAGGCAAACGTGGTTTTGGATTTTTTTCTGTGCAAAAATTTGTTTCCCTCTGCGTAACAATCACCTCTGCCATGGAGGATATTCGCGTCCTCTTGCGGTCCGAAAATCTGGCAGCCGTAGCACTCGACGTCTTGATGTTGTTTCCATCATGGTCTTGCTCCAACATAACCCCCAGCACTTCTCCGTCCAGCAGGTCGCCTTCACGAACTACATCTTCTTCTTCGCCGTTCTGCTGGTCGTAGTAGGGCACATCCAGCCGGTGAAAGCACACGTGCGCCGCGGGAAGTTTCTCCTTCTTTTTCCTCCCGCACAGGACCGCCAGGGCCGGCTTCGGCGACAGCGACCGGAACCCGCCGGCCGGAACGCGCCGTCGCCCCAGCCAAAATTCGATGGTCTGCAGCCGTTCGTGCTCCGTGAAATGATTCGGGAATGGTGCTGAAAACTGCGCAGAGAAACAACATGTCGCATAAAGTCGAAACTTTTCACAAATTTTGTCATGACGCCAACGAAAATTTTTGCCATCAAACACAGTGGGTGAACGTCGGTAAATAAAGCTCTGTAGGCTCTTACAGTTGCATTCCAGTTGGTTTTGTTTTCGAGATATTAGAGCACTTGTCGTAGCGCAGACACCGAACTGCGGAAGTTGTAGAACAGATTTTCACGATGATCCCTTCGCTACTAGTGCGGCATTTGAAATAACTGCGCACTTTTCGCCACGATATGAGGAAAACCAAGTACAGTGCGTCTTTCACTTCTTCTGCTTCCATATGCGTTGCAAATCGCGTCTTCGTGCACGGATAAGTAGGCATGACAGCGAGCTGCAGCATGTAAATTTTGCGTCTTTGTGAAGATAACTTCAGTGTGATTGGCTAGCCACTTACTCTGAGTCTGGCGTGGAAGTATAGTTGCTTATCATGTTGTAGCGACAGGATCATCATCAATCTGCACTGTTGGCGCAACAAAAACCCAGTGTGAGCAAAACGAAAACTTTTTGATGTCTGTACAAGCACACTTTTTCTGACCATGCAATCAAAGATTTCGAGCACGAGGACGTATAGATGAACTTTTGCCGTGCATATTGCTTTTGTTTCAGCAGCTCCGCGTGCGAGAGGAGTGCGCCGTTCGTGCTGATTCCGTGCGCAGAAACTTGCACAATCTGGAAAAGTTGGACTGGAATTCGCTCGATGAAATAACGCGTTTGGATTTTCGTGGATTTTTCGCGCGCGTAAATACGATGGCAGAGCGTGTGTCTGGGGCGAGCGTTTGGGCTCTGTGGGCCTTGCATGGCTTGCGCTATTTCTAGAATTGTTCGGCTTGGGGTGGCATTTAAAGACCCTCCCGATGGCAAACGCGCCGCTTCATGAAGGCCGAAGAGGGGCGCGAAGCGTTCGGGGGGCGTTTGGCCTGGTTATGGTGCGCAAACACTCGCCTCCTGCTTGGCCGGTCCCGATCGTTTCGGCGCGGCACCAAACTCGCCGGGGGCCCGAAGCAAACACGCGAGGGCGGCGCGGAAGCAATAGGCCCCGCTGTCCTCAGCTGCAAAGCTGCGGCCAACGGGAACGAAACCCAACCCACAAAGATCAAGGAACGCAACCTATTCCACGACGCGGCCCCGCGGCCCTGTGATGGCCGGCGGGCCTTTCAATACCTTGATGGGGGGTCGAGCACCTGTGGAGGGGCATTCAACTACCCCCCCCCCCCGACCCCACCCCTGTGCGGCTCCACCTGCACAGGGATTTCATGCGGATTTTCCAGGATTTTTCCGCAAATATTTGGATTTTGGGAAAAAATAAAAAAATGTTTTCTCTGACTCGACCATAGCACGCGGGAAAGAAGTTATCCTTTTATTTTTTGAGGCAGCCAAAAAAAATCCACGGAAATCCGGAAGGAGGAAGGGTGGTGGGTCAGCCCCCTCCGATCGTCTGCTCTTTTGAAAATCCACGGCGCCCGAAGATAGGGGGTCAACCATCGGGGCGCGCAACATGATAATGCTCTGCAAACAAGCCGGTGAGCTTGTCTCATCGGGGTCGTACGATCTTCAATCAGATAGAATAATAGTGGCAAGGATGACCTGCGCCTGTTCCGGGGCTTTTTCGTCGGTGGTTCGGGGCGCCGTGATAGGTCTTTGGCCATTTTTGTTGGTTACGACTTAACAAAGCGCACGCACACCCCAACCCGAATGAGGACGCCGGGGTTGGGGTAGCGGCTTAGAATTAAAGCTGCTGCGCGCGGCCTTGGCGCATTGTAGACTTCGGCTGAGCCCACTGCGCCTGAGCCTGATGCCCCGCAGGCCCCGGAGGTCGGGGCCCCAGTAGCGCAGGTTGTGTCGCTAGATCAGCTGCCACGCCTTTGCTACAGCTGCAGCAATACTACTCCCGGTGGGCAAGCGCCTCTAAAGCGCTCGGGGCTACATGTTGCTGCTCCTCTTTGTGCGACAAAAATCCAAAAAAATCCAAACGGAATCCTTCATCGATGAATTCCGGCCGAAGAAAAGTTCCTGCACGTGCTCCCTGCTGCAGCAAGTATGCAATGCAAATTACGTATGTTGATTTTCGTTTTCCCGTTTTTGGCTCTTTGTCTTTGGGATTATTTCCGATGTCGACTACTTTGTACAATCGTCATAACAACTTGACTCACCTTCAAGGAACTACGGGACCAAAAATGCGACATCACATGGTGCATTCCTTTTCCTCCGCATCAATCACATGTAATAATTCAGCCCAAGAGGAGCAGGAGCAGTAAACACACAGATACAAGTTTGCAGGAGATAGCAGGGCTTTCCGTGAAGCAGGTTATGCAGCCGCTCCGGGGTGAAGTGCAGGCCGCATTGCAAGAAATTTGGCCCGCCGAGCACGTCCAGGAACCCCCGACGCAGGGCGGTCAGTATGCTCTGCAAAATTATCGACGCACTCGTACTAATTGCCATACAGCATGACAAATCTGGTAAGTTATATATTGCAATGTAAAATCAGAATTGAAGTTTAGGTAAATCACTGTAGCCGGAGCGAACTGCGAGAATTAGTATGCTTGTCCTGTCGATATTGATAGCTGAATCAGCATTACAAATTGCATTTTCCTTCTGCAAAAATTTGTCATGCAGATGCACTTTGTACTAGTACGATACATTTGAAATGCATAGTCAGCCCATTCTGGCAACTGTCTAGCAGGTGCCACCGGCAGAGACGGAGCACATACTCCTCGCGGTTCTCGAAGGTGACCGGCGGAAAGTTCGAGGCCGCTGCTGATGTGGTGAGCATCTTCATCCTCTCGGCCGAGCCATGATTACAACCTTGTTCCCAAGTTGTGCACTTGTTGCGGTAAGACGCCACCGCTGTCTGCGCCTCGCTCCAGGGCGCTGAGAAATCACCGAAAGCGCGGGGCTTGCTGCTTGCGCTGCATGAAGATCCTGCTGCGCTTTCTCTTGGTTTTTTCGCAACATGTTTATTGGGGAGCAAGGACGTGTGACTTGCAGTGGCTGCTTCTTCGTCGCGAGGCGACAAGGACGAGGAAAGAAGAGTCGCGTCTGTCGAGTGTTGTTCCTTCGCTGTAGTTTCACCTCCCATATTGGTCAGCGAATTTTGGCCGTCTAGTCCGAACAGGAAGCGTTGGCCGAAGCAGGCGGACTCAACCGAGAAATCCAAGCACAGGGTGTCTTCCAAATTTCCGTCTGCTGCCTATCCAAGAAAAAAAGATTTTTGTAGGTGTAACAAACTGTAACTTTCTTGGTCTTGGAGGAACAACAGCATCGCAAATCTGTCTGGCATGAGAGCAAAAACCTGTCATGCGCAGATGGTACGCGAAAACCCGCTTGAATGGACCTTGCAACGCATGCCGAGCATGACAGCCGCAATCAGTTTGCATGTTGCGTATCACAGAGTAAGAGCTACACTAACAATGTTTCTTTTTTCGATACCACCTCGTCCCAGTCCAGTATCTTCCGCAAACTCTGTGCAAACTCGTATCCTGAGTAAAAGCGTCCCCATCCCATGCCATAGTCAAGCTTGGAAATCTGCTAGACAAATCAGCCAGCCTAGGTTGTTGCGCATGACAATATTGGCCTTGTACTAGTGTAATCCTGTTTAGCTCGATTATCAGCATAACAGATCTAGCCTATGATGCTGATTGGAGCATAACAAATTCCAAAACAGCACGACTAGAAAATGCTTCGCATGGGGCTCCGCATGAGAAACATTTATTTGAGCATGCAGACTTGCATGACAACTATGGAGTGGAAACGTTTTTACTCAGGATAACTCGAAGTCGATGCTTTGCACGTCGGCAATGGCCTCGTCGCAAAGCGAGGAGGTCGGGCTCTTCGTCCGCTCTCTCTCAGCACCGTGGACGCTAAGCAACCCCGCCTTGGGGGGCTCAAGCTCATGATCTTCTTCTAGTACATCTGCTCTACCGTCGTGAAGAACAGTAACAGAATTACCGCGGCCATCAGTTTTCGTCATCAGCAGCACAAACTTGTAGAAGAACAGCGGCAGCTCGAAGTCCAGTTGCGCGAACTGGTAGACGGCATAGGCCAGAAACCGGCTATGGGAGTGTCAGGATCGAAATCGACAAAATCGAAATGATCTGTAATGCATAAAATGCTACGCAAGAAGCGAGTCTATTGCAGTGGATGCAAGGAAGACGGATTGTAGTCCTGGTAAGGGTTAAGTGTTGGGCTGCTGCCTAGCATGACAGATGAAGACGGCTGTTTTGCTCTAAACCGCGTAACAGATTCGCTTCCAGGACGGGGAGAATTTGTCCTGCGCCGACTACAAACTGTGGCTCTAACTGGCATCGATTTTGCGCATCACAAGTTTTTCGATTTTGACAATTTCGATCCTGACAGTTCCATACCGGCCCACGAACTCATAGATCGCCCGCATGCTCGCGTCACTGTTCCCCGCTAGTCGGTGCACGTGGTCGGGAATCACCCAAAATTTTTGCGACAAGGATGGTGTCGAGGATCCTTGCCCCCTGTCTGCTTCTACATTTTTCACCTCGTCTAATTGGTTTGACGATTATCCCAAGGAAAGGAAAAGTGTCTCAGTCTCGAAATACTTGAGCAGCAGACCCAGCAAGAACACAAATGCGGTCGTCGGCATGAGGCACCATATCCGTCAACGTGCGTCACACGCACGAAGCAGGGATGAAACTAGAGAAAGCTGCAGCTGCACTCACAACTGTTACAGCGTGTGCATTTCTCTTTGCGCTTGCCTGTCGAGCATGACAAAAAACTGAAACTGTATCAAGGAATCTTGGCAATACAAGTTGAAACTGGCAGACACAGGTTTTGTCTTTCGATAACGCCGTCTGAATGTTCAATCCCTGGCGGAAGAGCCCGGACTCGGGTTGGAACAGTTCGGTCGCGAGAAATTGCACCCAGCCCTTAGTCAACGCGCCCCAGTCGACGCCGGAGTCGCCAACGTAGCCCACGGTGAACCCCCGCAGCCAGAATTCCCCGGTCTTCATGCCCGCAAAACGGAAGCTCGAGAGAAACACGCCGATCTGCATGCCCGTCTTGTTCTTCGTGGTGATGTCGCTTCTACGGGGGTCGCTCGCAAGAGCTGTAAGGACATTATTATCTGCGAGTAAGAGTTCTTTGCTGGTGGCTTCTTGTACTTGTTCGGCTGTAGTTCTACTCAACATCGTCCTACCGGCCGCCAGCTCTTGCTGGTGGTCCGGCCGACAAATCACGAGTCGCGGGACCCCGTCCGGCGGCCGCGCGCGGTGGTGGTGCGCGGGCCATCCGTACGCTTTCCGGAGCCGGTTCAGCTGCGCCACCGCCTCGCCTTGGAAAAACTGCTCCAGAACTACCGTGGCGTCTGCTGCTGAATGTGGTGGTGTTCTTGTCGTACTAGTCGTCGTGTCTAAAAGTACCGAAGATGCACCTCTTGGAGCAGTCCACGCAATTGCATTTGCATCTGGCGCCACGACATCCGGATTTATTATTTCACCAGTGTCGCAGTCCTCGCTGCTTCCGCGACCACGCCTGTGTTGAAGATGCTCAGTATTGTACTCCTCGAGCGTGTTGTGGCCTTTCGCAAACACCTTGCGCACGTAAGCGAGAAACGTCTCGGTGGCGGGTGGACAGACGAAACAGAAGTGATTCTCATCGAAAGATTGAGCCCCGTAAGGATCTTCACGATCGCAACTACGTTGTAGTGCAACAGCTGCCCCAACGTCCGCTACAGCTTCAACTAACGTTTCTCGCACAACTTTCGTCTTTCCCGTACGGAGGCAGCGAAGCTGGAGTAAGCGTGGGAGAAATTGTGGTACTAGTTGATCAACACTCACTGCTTTGTCTGTCCCTGTCCCGCGTCTACTTGACGCTGGAAGTCGTCGCGGTACATCGCGGCCCGTCCGATTTTGTTTTTGATTTGCTTTGTAGTTTCCGCAACTAGTACTCGTACTTGCTCCCAGCCAGGACTGCTCTGTTCCCGTAGTTTGACGTTCTGCTAGTACACGACCCGCATCAGCAGGAGCGTTGTTGCAAGAATCAAGCACGTCGTGCAAGGGGCTGCAGGGCCGGCTTGAGGGACCCCGGGGGTCCGTGCCAGACAGAAAACTGTCCTTCGTGTTGCGTCGGGAGGAAGAGGATGCTCCAGACAGCGAAAAATCTAGCTGGTTGTCGTCGCTCTGAGGTGCTGGCGGGTGTTGAACTTGGTCTTGTAGTAACTGGCCCTCTTCAACATGCTCAACAACAGGATCATCTACTTCCGCATCCGCTAGTACAACTTCTTGTGGAGCCAACAAATGACTTTCCTCCACGGGGAGGACCCGGCTAGTACTTCTACAGGTTGATCTTCGTCCTCGACGAACTGGTTGTAGTACCTGCTGGGTACCTTTCTCCTGCTCTCCTTCCCCCTGTCGTGATGAAGAACGTATTGCAGTTGTAGATGGTGCTCCTTTAGTTGTATTCTGGCCGTTTTCAGCCCGAGCAGAATTTTCCTCAGGTTGCACGTTCTCCTGCCCAACTTCTGTTGTTGATGTTGTTGAAGATAAAAATTCTGGCTCTGTTCTCTCAGCCATGTTTTCATCATCGTCACCTCTGTAGGAGTAGGAAAGCAGAACTTCCTCATGGTGGTCGACGGATTGAGGTTGACGTTCTTGAGCCGGGTGGAAATTGCTGGTCCTGGTGTTCCTTGTCTGCATAGCAGAAAAGGAGGAGGAGGACGAGCTGCCACTCGCTTCTGGTTCTGGCTCTGTGTCTGCTCCAAAATGATTTCCCTCCGCTCGCTGTGGCAAGGCAGGCACGTGGTCACCCTCCGTCAAAATCTGACAGACCTCCCACAATGCTGATTGTGTCTGCGATGACGACGTTATTGATGGCGTATTGCTATTAGCGCCTGCCGCTTGGTGCTGATCACGACCGTTACTTGGATGCGGGACGGTAGAAGACAAGGAGCTCTCACGCAACAAAAGTGCGGATTTGTGGTGGTCATGGTTTGTTGGGCTCATCTTCTGGCTCATTTTTGCTTTTCTACTTCTAGTTTCTTCATCCGGCCTCTTACACAACAAACGAAAACGCACAATCGACCCAGGGCGCAACTCATCCCTGGGAAAGACGAGAGTAGTACGCAGCGGAGAAGTTCTCGTCCCAGCAGGTGCAGGAAGATGTGAAAAAGTTGCCATGTAATCTGGGCGGGCTCTCGCACGTCCGCCGACATCTTCAGCCCGCTCCATTGTGCTGGAGCCTGCGCCCGGGTGATGATTTTCAATTGAGGAACTGGAGGAACTAGAACTTGATGATGACGAACTGCTACTGGTACTTCCGCCGCTAGTTGTGCCGAGCCCACCACGCGTAGGCGTGCGCCTACTACTTGCTCTGCTAGTCGTACAAGTAGCTTCTTGCTGTTGCTGCAACTGCTGCAGCTCTTCCGGACTGCCCACAGTATCTGTTGCGCTAGAAGCACCACCACCAACAGTGGTAGCAGATGCAGATGCAGACCCACTACTACTGCTACTACTTCCCCGGACCTTCAAGAACTGCTGAAAAAGCGGATTTCCCCGGCGCACGCGGCACTTCTTCGCGTCGCGTTGCGCATGCAGTTGCAACACTTTCGACACAAACATGTGCAGGTCGAAATGACAGTTGGACGTATTCGTTGCACTAGTACAACCTTTCTTGGTGGTACTGTTTATAATCTCGGCACTAGAACTAGTTTCTTGTTGCTCGAAGAATTCCACAAATTCCCCGTACACCACCGCGGTCTTCGCGTTCGTTTCGTTGTACAATCTTTGCAGGGGCAGAAAACTACTGCGACCACTTCCTGCGTCGTTGATGCTTGTCGCGTTCGACATCACAAAGTCTTCTGGATCCGCGCACCGATCCCACTCGCCCTCGGGCACCCGGCTCACCGTCGGCGCGTCGTTGCTGTACAGCCACGCGTAGTAGTTTTCCTCGAAATTCAGCTTCCACGCCCCGCTCCAGAAAATCACCGCCCCAGTAGCAGCGTTGCGGTACACCGGCCGCTCGCGGTACCGCAGCTCGTAGTACCGCAGGTTCTTGTTGCCACTCGAAGAACTACTCGCCGCCGTGCTGTACTTGAAGGTTACTGGCAAGTCGTACTGGTCCGGGCCCGGCCATTTCGCGAGCTCCTCGCTGCTGGCCACAACCGGGCGATACCACCCGTTGCACAACGAATGCCGGTAATCCCCGTAGCACCCGTCCACGAGAACCGCACTGCGCAGCCAGTCCTGCAGGTTCGGGAAAGTAGATGGCAGCTGCGGTCGTGTTCTTGGCGGCGAAGAGTTTGATTTGCCGTGCTGTTGTTTTTCTTGCCGGAAAATTCTCGATGTTGTTTCAGCACCAGCAAGGTCGACGTTTTGATTCTGGCGAACAGCTGATGCTGCTGTTTCTTCGTCGTCCAATATAATCCCGATCTTGCTTGATCCAGGAGATTCTGGTGGATCCTCTCGACGTCCCGCAGCCGCGGTCTCCGCCAAAAAGGAGTTTGATGTTGTCGTCCTGGCGCTAAAGAACAAGTCCGAAGCTTTCACGACAACTTTCTCCCCACACCACCGGTGGTCAAAAGGCTGGGGGCGGCTCCGGCTCACGGTCGTCCGTCGCAGAGCAGTCGTGTTGTTTGGGGTTTTGGAGGAAGAGGTAGAGGAGGAAGAGGGTTGCATCAGGACACTTGATGTTGTTTTCGCAGCAGTCGTGGTTGTGCTGCTCGTGCTCTTGCAAGAACTCTTGTTGCTACTTCTATACCAGTTCGCACTTGATGATGTTGTTGCCGTACCGCTACTACTGCTTGCGCTACTGGTACTGCCTGGCCTAGTACAACTGCTTGCGTTATTTCCATTCCTCCGGCCCGGCGAGGCAGCCGCGAACAAAACTGGTGCCTTTTTCACTGCGCCCTGCGGAGAACCTTCCAACACCGGGGGACATGAGTCGTTGCGCGGGAGGAGTTTGCTGCTTTTTATTTTGTTGTTGACACTATTCCGCAAGTAGGACCTGGAATTATCCGGGGGGGCTTGTGCGTGAGGCTGCTCTTCGTCGTGCTGTGACACTACGGGTATTGTGGTCCTGCCAATCGCTCGCTTGTGACCTGGTCTATTAGGTGAATCACCCGCGCCGCTCCCCGGCGGGACGAAACAACCGGACGATGTCTTTTTTGATGAACAAGACGAGGGGGCCAAATTCATTCTTTGACCGCAGCTGTCGCTGAACGCATTGGCGTTTTTCCTGGCTGATTTCAGCAGCATGCTCTTGAGATACCCGGCCTGTGCCTTGTCGACTATCAACTCGTACGAACGGACGACATGCTGAAGACGCGGTTGAGCAGGATGCGTAGAGTGGCTTTTGTGGTCACGACCGAAAGATGAACCTGGTTCATCTTGCCGATGAAACCCATGACCGTGTAATTCTACTTCGCCACCACAGGACGAACTGGCGCTATGAAAATCCTCCTCGGCCGGTACTTTCACTATGCCCGCTTTACGCACGATTGCAACGACAGACAGCACTGTAGTAGTAGTTCCTCTGTTGTAGTTGTTCACTCTGCAAGTACCGTTTGAGACATGATCCTCGCCTGGTTTTACTGGCAGAAGATGCGCCCTTTCATCAAAATCTTGTTCTTGTTCTGGAATAGTAGTACGTCGCACGATGATCCGTTGCCCCGGGAAGAGCGGCCCGTGGACAAAAACTTCGTCCCAAGTGAGCGGAAACGTCCAGCCGGCCGCGGCGAGAAAGCGCTCCACTTCGAGGACTTTCGCCTCGAAGTTGTCATCGTCACGACTTCCAGAAAAATGCAGGGGGTGTCGCGCGAGAAAAGTTGCCGCAATCGCTTCGCTTAAAGTTCGTTTTTCTACAAGTTGCATCGGCGCTTGGTCCTCCACTTCCTCGCGGTGGTAGTTGTTCTCGGGCACCTTCAAGAAAGATGGAGCTTGCTTTTCCGACGAGCTGCTGCTGCTACAGCTCTTGGTTTGATGTTCCTTCGCATTCGTAAAAAACATCCGCAGCCACTCCTCTGGCTGGTCAAAAAACTTCTCTAGTGCGGTTTTTTGAAAGACAAGGGCACTGCGCGTCCCGCGTGACTTTTGTATGTCAGCATGCGAAAGCATATTCTCGCGTAGTAGTTCCCTCTGGTCCGAAGACGAGGAACCAGAGGACGCGGAGGTGGAGCTGCTGCATTTTGTACTACTGCTAGACGATGAAGAGGAGGAAGAGGAGGATAAAGTGGCCGAGGAACTCGCTGAACTACAACCCGACTTTGTTAGTACTGTTGTAATCCCGGTGTTTGATGAAGAACTGCTGGCTCCTGCATCTGCAAATCCCGGGTTTGCTATTTCTGGTCCCCGCTGCGAAGGAGGTGAACAAGCTACTACAGATGTTCTTCTTGCTACAACAGGAGTTACTACTTCCTTCACCACGAAGCCCGTGCCCACGTGTCGCTTTGCCAGCCAGCAGGTAACGCCCTCCGTGTTCAGAACGCGGATGTTGTCGTCCAGGTCTTCTTCCACGATCACAGCTCTATCGTACTTGTGCAGCGGCCCGGCGTCCTGCAGGACCAAAATCTCCCGGGGCGGGGGTCTGCGGCCTTGGTGCGGATTATCGACGTGGAAATGCTGTAAAACGTGGCTGTCGCGTGGTCCATCACCTCTCGTCGCATGTAGTTCACAAGAACCGTCACCTACCACCTCCAGTTCTTCCAAATATCCGCGCCACTGCTGCTGCGACGGAAAGGCGACGATGACCCGGTTGCCCTGCAATTTCGTTACGACCCCCACCTCATCGTAGGAAACGGAGCCCAGCCCGCGCAACGGGCGGTGCAGCGCGGTGATCTGCTGGCCGGTGACGGTGTTGGAAACCCTATAGCGGAAGAAGCTTTCGCGCAGACGCACAAATTCCTGCACCCTGATGCGTTTCGTTTCGTGCTCGAAGCAGTCCAGGTCAATCTCCAACTCTGTTTTGTTCACGCTCATCGGCACATTGTGCACGAACCGCCGGTCCTTGCTGTGGTTGCAGAACTCCACTGCAACTTGGTGCGGTTGTATCGAAGAAAAAAACACCATCACAATCACACTTAGGGGGTTTTGCATCAGAGATTTTTCTTGCATGACAATTTTTTTTGGTATTGCAAAAACATAAGGGAAATCCCGGAGAAATTTTGACTGTGATGCATTTTTGCGCACGACAAAAAATTTTGTACTATTGCAAAAACGTGCAATAGTGACTGTGATGGTGTTTTTTTCTTGAATAGGTTGCTGCTTGGGCAGGATGCGGCCGACGATGACGCCGGTGGGTTCCTCGATGAAACCGCGTACGAAGCCGGCGCCCTCGCGAACGTGCCGGACGCGCATGTGAAGCTGCAGAGGCGCCGGTGGTCCTCGGGCTGCTGGGTTACGAGCAGCAGTTGTACTAGGAGGTGGGAGATCATTTTTTGCTCCTTCTGCGACCATAGAAGCAGGTGATCGCGACCGGGCAGTATCTAGTCCTCCGCTGCCGTTGACAAAAAGAAGCTCATTCTTGGGTGTTGAAGCGGGACAAGCAAGTTGTTGACCATCAGCAGTTCCAGTTCCAACATGTTCACGATCCGCATAATTCAAAAGCCGCTGGTGGGCAGATGCCCCCAAAGAAGAACTAGCTGTTCCGTGGTCTTGTTCATCTTCAACTACGCGCAATTCCTTGAACAGTTTGTAGGCGTCGCCGGAGTGGGTTAAGCGCAAAGGGCAAAATGCACCAGTAGCAGAAAAGTCAGCAGTGGTTGATGTACAGCTGCCGTACAGTCCCGCCCCGGCACCAGGGAGTTCATTCACTACAACTTCTTGTGCTGCAACTTGCTGCTGCTCCAAGTACATCTCTTCCACGTCTTGCCAAAACAGACCCTTGTGGTACGCTATCAAATGTAAAAACGTCTGGGTCTGGAAGATTCTGAGACTTGTCATGCATGTTTTGCATTGGCCATGATGTCTGTGATGCATGCCCTAGCATCACAGATCTTTTGAGGGTTTCGCGATGCCTATTCCGCATTACAAATGCCCTTTCCGCGTAGCAAAAATTGCGTTCCCTTTGCTGCTCATGCAATGCAGATTTTTTTAGAATCCAAAATCAGCATGACAAGTTGGATTCTTCCAGACCCAGACATTTTTACAGTTCATATACGCGTGCTCCTCCGTGTCCATGCCGTATTCCAGGTGCAAAACGATTTTTGCCGGGCAGTCTCCCTCAAAAACGTGTTTCGAAGCCAACACTTTCGACTTGGTGGTGTCTGATGTGCTGTTATTTTTCTTATCGTTCATTTTCATCCGGGAAGTTGCTGTTTTTGAAGATGAAGATGCCGAAGTAGAGGAAGACGGCTGGAATAAACTGTGCTCCTGATTCTGTGGAGCTTGATCTACCACACCATCATATACATCGTCTAAATTGCTGGGAGGCCCTGCTCGCCCCCTCGGATGAACAAGGACAGCTCTCGAAGATGTTCTCTTATCCGAGCTTGAGCCACTACTTCCGTTTCGATTTCTCTTCCTCGAAACCGCACTGGGAAAAGGACCCGTGCCATCTGTTTCGGCGGGTAGGAGATCGGGAAGTTGTACATGGTGGTTCACCCCGCTGCTCGAAAAGGACGTGGGCAACACACCTCCCGATGAATTCGACGTGGACGACGTCCCTGTCAACTTTTTCCAAAGTTTCGCGAGGCAGCACTGCTTCGCGCGGGGCGACGGAGGGGAAATTGGAAAAGCGCCAGCATGCGAATGATCAGGCAATCTACTTCGCTGGCTTCGGTTTGATGGTCGTGCAGCTTCGTCGTCCGCGTCGGCTCGATGCACTCTTGAATGAGCACGTCCTCGTCCGGAACCGCTTTCTTGGACCTCTGTCTCGTCCAACTTTACGCAGCATCCCTTCGACGAGCAGCAAAAAACTCGTGTAGAGGAAGAGGAGGCTCCTGTCCGAGGATCAGTTTCCTCTTTATTCGCGCGGGGGAACCAGCAAGATGAACCACAACATCGGTAACAAGCAGACCATGATCTTGAAGTTGTTGCTCTTGCATCGTTTGTTCCACCATCTTCTCCCTTCGCTCCGGATGTCCCACAGCAAGAAGAACTACACCAGCAAGAAGTGCTTGCAGTTACCCGGCGCTTGTTCTTACCACAGCAAAAAAGCGTCGAAGACAAGCAATTCGGACTACACGAAAATGAACGCAATTTGTTTTCCAGTGCGTAGGTCTTCCGGAACCCGACCCGCGTCCCAAACACCGGCGAAAGCACGATTCTGGTCCAGCCGCAGACCTTCCGGCTGTCGGCGTTGAGGATGGAGCGAAAATTGCATTTGGACTTCGAGTAATACAGAATCACGCCGAGTTCCGCGGGCTCGCGGTCGTAAACCAGTTGGAACCTCTCGTTAAACTTGATTTTCCGAGTACGAGGTTTTATCTGCTTTTGCGTTCGAAGATGTTCTTGATCACGCTTGCTCCTTCTGTCGCACGAGGACGACCCCGGCAGCTGGTGCACCTCTTTCTGCCAATTATTCCTGTCAGTGGAGGACAGAAGATCTTCACGAGGAATGGTGTACAACTGACGTTCATTCTGATTCTTGACCGGTCTTCTCCTACCTCTGCGAGAAGCCCGTTCATATTGCGTACAGTCGTGGTTTATTTCGGGAAGATGGTGCAGCGCCCCTGGTCGTGTTCTTGCATGAGAATCTCGTTCCTGCACTTGTTGTTCATACCGATGTCCAACATCTTGTGCAGGCCCGACTCCAGCTGTACTAGTTGCAGCTCCGCGTCCTACCCGTTGCTTTTCGGTTTGAAAGACCCGGTTGGCAAGAACCAGCTCGCACCAGACGTCCGTGCCAAGGAGGTTCTTCGTGAAAATGTGCTCCGGAAAATACACGCTGCGGACCTCGACGCGAAGCAGCCGCCCGTTCTCGCCCGGTGGGGACACTTGGAGCATGCGAGAAGGAACCTGCGATCAAAAACGGAAGATCAAGGAATCTAGCAAGAGGACATGAAGAAAACAAGCGAAAGCCAAAAAGTCAAAAAGTTGTGATACATGCTTGATAGAAGAGGCGCGTAAACGAAAGTAAGCAGTGTAATTCGGCGGAAGCACAAATAAAATCACAAACGACACAACGACAACACAAATATTTGTACACATACAGAGCAATTATGCGGTACTTTTTTACACACGAAAACAACTACGGTTGTGTTTCAGAGAATCGACAATTTCCACGATTCTAGCAAGTGTTGTGTTGACAACCAAAACGAATACGAAATGATTTGTTTCATTAAACCAGAAATAATTTCTTTGTTTCATTCAGTGATTTGTTTGTTGACAACCAAAACGAAGACGTATCATTCTCAGAAATGATTTGTTTCATTAAGGTCGCGGTCACCGTCGCGCTATGATATATGATAATTTTCGCGAAAACAAAATGCACGAACAGTCTTCGGACGCTTTCAGTTGAACACGCTCTTCAGGGCTCTTGCTCTTCGAGGCTGCAGGTGGGTCCGGGTCAGCGCCTTTTTCATGACTTTTTGGAGGCAGGAAAAATCGATCCAGTGCCTGTTTGGTGATCATCAGTTCTAGAAAAGCCAAGCTTGCGCTTGCTGTCGGGAGCAGTGAAGTAGCTACCGAGAGTTGCACGCCTTTCTTGGAATTTTGATTTCGATTGGATTCTCGCGAGCTGATTTCTTAATCCGAGTACGTCTGCGGACGACGGTAGAAAAACCTTTTGCTGTCTAGCTGCGATAGGCCCGAAAGCAGAAAAAAATCACGCACACAGCATCCTCAGCAGCTCCAAACTGTGGCCCAGCGTGAGTGCTTCCGGGAAGTGATCACGAAACACCAAGTCCTGTTCCAAGTCCGTGTCTGCGTATTCCAGAAAGACCTTCAGACTCTCCCCAGCATCGTACTTCGTTTCCGGGTCCGACAGCGGTCCGCACAACAAATCCCTTAATACTCCCTGGTACCGATCGCGCAAAACTTGCTTCAACGTTTGCCGGGAGGTTGAGGACGATCCGCCGGCGCTTCCGCTCACGTCAGGAGCGTCACTTCTGCCAACATCTCCATCGTCTAAGAAACTACCGGAACTCATTCTCATCGGAGCACGTGGGGTCGCATTGGCCGCGTTCGGTGTGGCTTTCGGACTACCCATAGGAGACCTGGATGGCAGTAGGGAAGGAGCGAAAACGCGCGAACTGCTTGTCCGACTGGGCACGCCACGGGACGTCGCGCCAGAGCCGCTGGAAAGCGTCTTCTCGAGCCTGTCACCGGAAGCAGAAACACTCCCTCTGCGACCACCGCGAAACGGCGCATCAAGAATTGCAACGACTACCTCCGGCACCGGCTGACGGTAGCGGTCGTGGACTTTCGGCAAGAACTTCAAAGACGCCCCTTCTCCGGTGCCGATCGTCTCGAGCGCTAAATACAACGCACCTAGATGGCGCAGCTGCACGTCGGAAAGAATCAGCATATGCTCCGCGTCTGCCCAAGTGGAAGACTGATCGAACTGCCCTGGCAGCGACTCCCGCAAATATTCCCGCAGCGAGGTATCCGCCTCCGCCTTCGCGCCAGCCCCAAAGACGACCAAGGATTGAATCACCCGCTCCACCAACACGGTCAACTGCCGATGGCGTTCGCGGCAATTGCTGATGTCGTCCTCCAACCCTTTTTGCACCGTGAAGGGTAAGACGCCGGACTGTGGGACGACACGTTGGAGAACGCCGAGACTGCCACGGGCGCGAAGCTCGCCGCGGTAGAGAAATTGCCGGACCATGACTTGGATGCGAGAGATGTTTTTACGAAAAATGACACGGCGCTTGATGGCAGACTGAAACTCGAGCAGCAGCCTGTGGATGCCTATGCTTGAGCTTGCGGCTGTGCCGCTACTCTCACCTGATGCAGTTCTTTCTTTCGCGTCAGCTTCAGCACACTCCTCCTCCTCTCCGAAGAACTCGTGCAATAGCGGTAGAAAATCGTTCACCCGATCGTAGTGAATCAACCGGCGCCGCACGTCGTCACACGGCGTCTCCAGATGCAGTTCCAGCACCGAGCGTGTGTCTATGATGCTGCTATCGCTGCTGTCGTTAGCCCCAAGACCACGTGTACCAACACCATTATCCCCCGCAACCAGCTCTTCGAGCAACTCGTTGTTGGTTCGACCGAAAAAGTCCAATAACCTCAGAACGCACAATCCGCTCGGGTCGACGGCGCGCTCTTGTGGTGGCTGCGAAGGGAGACCGAACACGATCGGGCTGTCCGGCCGTAATTTTTCCCCGTCGATGCTGACGACCTGATTTCCATCACTATCCGTGGCGAGGAACGGGTTTCGCTGACACTCGTGCAGGGTCTGTAGCCAGGGAAGCCCTTCGTTGAAAGCACGGAGAAACCGGGCTAACTTCAGCTTCCGGCCCGGAGTGATAGCGGCCGCGCGCATCGGCGTCCGATAGGCTTCCTCGCGAGAAATCAAATGTGATGTCGCCGCCGATGCAGGCTTCTCATTTTTCCGGGAAGACGATGAAGACGCAGCTTTGCTTCTACTACCCACAAAAATGGCCCCCGTGGCTTCCCCGAGAGGTGACTCGCCGTCTTCCTCCGACGAAACGCTATCCGTAGATCTCTTCGGTCCAGGAAGCGCCGCACGAGCTCTCGTTTTTTCACCGGAGTCATTCCTTCCGTCGTAATCAGAAAACAACACCTGTGTCCAATCTAAAATGTCCGCTGCGAATTTACAAAGATGCAGCCTCGACTCCAACCGCAAGAAGCGCATCAGAAAATCACACTTCTCAGTGAGGAAATTGGGCGACGCCGCTGGAATTATCTGCGCCAAAAACCTCTCCAGCGAAATCGGCTCACGAAGTGTGAGAAGCAGCGGCAAAGTGGTGCTAAAATCGTTCGAAGTCGAACTCGAAGCTGCGGAGCGTGACGGCGGATTAAAGCTCTGCGAAGCTACTTCTTTTTCTCCCCCCGAGACCAGCCTCCCAACTATCCCATCCCCAAACGCCTGTCGTATTGCCGTCTCAAATATCACTGCGCCCTCCCCTGTTTCTTCCCCACCAAAAGCAATCCTCCGCGCTCTCTCAGCCTCCTCCGCCCAACATACCCGCATCTCCAACGCCACCCTCGCAACACTCTCCTCGAACCGCAGCATCGACTGCATGTCAGGAAAGCTCCCTCGCGACTGTGCAATCACCGGGTCCAATTTCAACAGCAGAACGTGCAAAAAAAGAGAAAAGTCTTGGTCCGATAACGCAGAGTGCAGTTTCGCGCTCAACTCCGTTCTGCACGCTTCCCAACTATGAGCAATGTGATTTAAAAGTTGTTTCTCCCCAACCTTCTTTTGCCCTTGCCCTTGCCCGCCACCACCTCTCACCAACATCCGCACATACTGCTCGTTTCCAAACACCTCAGAATGCAGCAACAAACATACGTGCAACAGCAGCCGATGCAGATTTATCGCCGCCGCATCCACTGCCCGCGAGCCGGACCTCGCGCGGAAGGTGAAAAACCGCTGCTGTACGACCTCGGAAGCGGGACTCACACGAGGATCGTGTACATCTAGGACGTACCCAGGCGTCTCTAGCATCGAGGTCATCTCGTTCGGTCTCCCCAAGCGCGTCTGCTGCCCAGTAACCGCGTGGTCTAGCCCCCCGATAGTTTCTCCGCACTGGGAACACTTCGACTTCTGCATCGGCATGCCGCAATTCCCGACCGTGTACAAATGCCCATTCGGGCAGCGGTACCAAGTGACCTGCTCTTGCATACCGCGAATCACCATCGCCATTTCGCTTCCCGGAAAGCCGGGGAGGAAGGAAGTTTTGCAGGTTTCCGGCTGGGTCAACAGTGTGTAGTAAAACGAATCCGGGTGTCGTACGATCACTTTCAAAAAATGGAAGGCGAAAGAGGCGAGCGAAATTTTTGCGGGGAACGTGGAAGGGAGATTCGGAAGAATGCTGGAACTTGAGTTTGAAGTTGCATTTATTGTTGAAGTTGTAGTTGGCTCCAGCAAAAACGCACTGCGGTGCACCTTGAAGTGCGGATTGCACACTCGATACAGCCAGAGGTAGAGCAGCTCTTTTGCAGGTCGCTGTTCTTGGGACGTATTTTCATTTGCATCGCGCCCGCTATTCGACACGAACGCCACATTCGACGCTTCCACTTTTTCGTAGGCGAAATTTCGTTCCCGCTCACCAATCTTCCCTGCGGTGGTACTACATCGCTCGATGATGCGGAGCGCTTGTTTTACTACTTTATCTTCGAAGAGGCGGTGTCGTAAACGGTCATGCTCTTGTTCCTTGGCAGCGGGAAACAGACAGCCGGAGACTCTCGCGGAGAACACAAAGCTAGCGGAGACTTCGTCGAAGTTTATGGTTAGAAGCTGTCGGTCTTCCTCCTTCTGATCCTCTTCCGTGACTTTATTTCCTTTATTGCAGAACCTCGTTTGCAGCTCTGAGTCGTTTCTCGCGGACAACCCCATTATCTCCCTGTACTTCTGCTGCTCGGATGTGTACCCTGCGACACTCCCGCCAATGTTCTTCGTAGTCCCAAAACTGTCGTTCTTTCGCTGCGCGTGCGCCCCCACTTCAGGCAAGACTACCTCTCCTGTAGGCCGCTCGTGAAGCATCAACGCCCCAAAATCTTTGTAGACCTCCTGCGTGAAGAGTTTCGATGCGTTCTCGAGGGAGTGAAGGTCGATATTATCGTAGCCGAAACTCGCAATCATTCCAGACGGCATGCACGAAAACACCTCGCACATACCCTCAAACCCACCGAAGCGGTACAAGGCTTGGAGGAAAAAAAAGCGGACGTGTTCGGAGCTGCGGATGAGAGGGAAGACGAAGTTCGGTATCCGGATGTTTTCGTAAACAGTGGCAGCGAAAGTCTCGTGCGCAGTCGCTCCCGGAATGGTCCTGGCCGTTCTCTTTCCTTCCGCCGCATTTGACTCCGCGATCATTATGTTGTTCAGCGCTTTGTCAATTACGTCGTCCGCACCGCCGACCGCAGAATCCTCATTATTCTTTCCCCCGATACAATTCGCCAGTCCATTTTTAACCGCCTGAAGCAAGTACTTCGCCAGCTGCGGCACGTATTTGCGCACCCAGAGTGCTGTTCGTATCGACGTTGCTGACGATGATCCAGACCCACCTCCCCACAGCCGCGTGTTCATCAAACCAGCTTGCTCAGCAACGTCATCTCGGTGCGCAGTAAGCACGTGCTCCTTCAAGTCGTCGATCGCGTCCGGCAAAGAATTCCCATCTCTGTCTTGCAAAACATTCACCCATAACTCCCGATGCCTCGCTTTGTCAACAGCGGAACTTTCGTACTGCCCCATCCCGTGCGGGCCCAGACGCCAAGCTAAAAACCGCTGTGTGCGTTTTGGCAGCGGTGCAAGGTCTCGGTTGCCCGCCCACGAGGAGAGGAGAGTTCCGAATAAAGCGTCGGCTTCTTGTTTTCCGCTCATTTTTGCTGGCAGCTGTGCTTCTCCACTGCTGCTGAATGAGGTGAAAAACTCCGGTCCCGCATCGAGGAGCAGCGGACTCAGCAACCACCGGAGATGGTGCGTTTCACCTTGTTCTCCCCGCGTAGCTAACGCAACCATCGTGAGAAAGGACTCGGCCATTCGATCCTCCTCCTTCGCGGTTTTGTTGTTCGATCCACCGCTTCCAAAAATGTACCCTCGCATGTGTTTGGAAAACAATTCACAAGCCGTCGAAATCCATTGCGCACCTTGTTCACAGTTGTTTTCAAGATCTGTGAGTACCAAGAAAAAGCGCGCAGCCGTCGCAATCCATAGGCCATTCTTGTCGTCGAAGTCGCGCAAGTCCTGGCCGAAATTGACCAGCTTGTGCATCATGCCGTAGGTGGCCTTGTCTCTAGCACTTGCCGCCGATGATGTCGCCAGCATTTCGTCAATCCGCTCCTTTACAATCGCCGTCAGCGCATCGACTACTTTTTCGTAATCGAACCCTGCCGATGTCGTCTCGTCGAAGCTGAAGTAGGACAGCAACGCCAGCTTCTTCTGGATGGCAAACCGCTCGCTTGCGTACCTCCGGTGCACGTCCAAAGGCGACCGAGGTTCAGAAGATGAACTCGTCATCAAAGATTCCAGTGTGGTGCCGTCTTTGAACCCGTTCTTGATAGCTTCTTTGACGAGCCTAAATTGCGTCTCGTACGAGATGTTCGGGTACTGTGCCATTTTCTGGTGGACAAAGTCCTCCAAGTACGCATCAACGGTTGATGCCGAGCACAGCCATTGCGCAAGAGAGGCTCCACTCTTCCCGAAGTAGTTCGAAAGCCATACTTCATCTGCCTGCTCACCGTCGCCAGTCTCGTTTATACCTACAACGTCTCCTTCGTCATTTGATTCAGATTCGCCGCCCTGCGAGTCGGGGGTAGAGGCTGCCTGATCAACCCACTCGAACTCCGCGAGAAGATTGGCGTCGTCGGAGTTCTTCACACCGCTTGCCGGTAGAAGCGCATCTCCGACGTCGTACCCGCCTCCCGTGTTCTTAGCACTTCTACCACGCTGCACAAGCTCCATGGCATGCTCCAGAACCGGCATTAGCTTGTGCGAAAACGGCACGCGGCACATGAAGGGCTGCAAACTCCCCGTGTTCACAACCTCCCGCACATCCGCCGCAAAACACGCTTCGAAACGAAACCGCGCGGCGAGAGAATCCAAATCCGAGAACCGTTTGCACAGCGCGATGAAGAACTCTGGTCTAACACCAGCATTTGGATTTCCACTTTCGACGAGCCGCAGCGCAAAGTTCACGTCCAAAAACTGGCCCCAGTGGCTCAGGATCTGGAGCAGGTAACTCTCAATCACCACTTCCAATGACACTTTGAGACTTCCAGTCGATAATGCCCCCAACGCCCACGCAACGTGGGGAAGGAGAGCTTTCTGGGTCGTTGTGTTTGCTTCATGCTGTATCCTCAACACCCGAAGCGTCAACTCGGTGAAAAATTCCTCCAAAAAGCCCCACCAGGAGAAAGTGCTTGATCTTCCGATTCCCTGACTGTGACCTAGCCGTTCATCGTATTCGTACAAGTTCAGCACGCTGCTCATGCTGCCCGTCGGATGTCGGATCAGCATCTGTTGGCTCTTTGCGCGCAGTATCCGTTTGAACAACTCTGGCCGCTTGCCGAAAATCTCCCACAGCGATTCCTCCACTGCAACCCGCAGAGGTATTTCGCCGAGTACGAAATTCGCATTTGGCCGGATGTCGTCGACGAAGAGGTGGGTGCGCCAAGTGTCGTTGAAAATCACGTGATTCGTGCAGCTGTCCTCTCCTGGCTGCGCATGGATGACAAACACCACTCGCTTGTTTTCCGCGCAGCGTCCTTGGCCCAGTCGCCCTTCTGATTTTTCGACGTGGTTCTTCTGCGCATCCCCCCACGAGTGCACGACCAACCTTTTCGCGTGCTCGATCACAACCCTTTCCGAAGATCGACCGTCACACTGCACGAACAAAAGATCTGTCTTGTCGTTCTCCGAACTCCAAAATCGCTCGCAAACCGCCACGAGCTGAACCTGTGACGCGGTTTCCGAGAGTCGGACGCACTGAAAGCGGAGAAAGATTTGGGTTTGTGGTGTGTCTCCAGCGGAGCTCCTGAGGACATGTTCCAAAGGCATCATGGGCGTGTGCGTGAAGACGGTTGAAAACCTCTCTCCTCCACCGCCTACTTCGGAGGTGGACGAAGAGAACAGCGAGGAGAAGTCGTTGCATTGTGAGAAAGCATCTTCGTTGTCGGGCAAAAGCTTTTGCAGGACGCGCGACCGCGACACCGCGAGCGGAAGTGCGAGTCGAAGCAGCTTCTTTTGCCACAGCGAATCGAACATCGGATTCGGGTGTGGCGAAGGCAAAGGCGAAACAGGTGGCTCTAGAACAGGATAGAGTCGAGGACGATCACATTCCTCTTCCTGCTGCTCTCCACCACCTCCATCAACTTCAACATGTTCGCTCGCTACTAGCACCAGCAGGCTCGCAATTCCTTCGTCATCAATACCGACGAAGGGTGCCGACGCCGTTGACCCCATCGTCATTCCCGCTCCAACTTCCGCAACAAACGCCCTCGCGCGCTCAAGCATCGCTGCATCCACCACATCTCGATAACCCAGTGATTGCTTCTCGAAACGATTTAAGAGCGGGAGATCCAGATTTTCGTACGCGTGAACCCGCTCGACGACTGTGACGATTCGGAAGCCATCCGCATGCACCGGACAGAGTTGCGACCGCGGGCCGATCGCAATACGGAGCATCTTGCTGATGGATGTTGCGGAAGCCTGAGTAGATAAACCGTGTTTCTTTTCATCATTTTTTCCTCCAACCGCAACGGCGCCAGCGACCTTGTTCCGTCTGACCACGAATCTTTGGTTCAATACATCGTAAAGCGACTCGTACACGGTATCCAAATTCCAAAGCACAACCGTCTTTCCCGTCGCCATCGCCTCTTTCACCCGGTTCACGTGCTGGATGAGGGACAATTCGTTTTTGTCTTCGGTGAACGGTGAGCCCATCAGAACTTCGGTCTGGTTTTTTTCTAAGAGCTTCTTCTCGAACAGAATCTCGAGCGCAGAGCCCTGCACGTCGGTGAGGAGCATGAGATGACGCGCGTCAGCGTCGCGCAGGTTAGATTCGATTAGCTGCAGTGTAGAGAAGGTTTCTCTTTGCGGGTCGGAAACGGAAGTTGCGCGTAATTTCGAGTCAAACGCCTCATACACAGATTGGAGCAACCCAGGACGCCCGTTGAAGTTCCGCTGAAGAGAAAACGAAACAATCGCCCAGCTCAAAAAATTGAAGCTATCCCGCTTTGCTGGAATCGAGAAAACGTCCGGATGGTGCTTGCGAATCCGCTTGATCTCGTTTTGTAAAAGCTGCTCGGATACCGGATCGGCACTCGAGTAAAAGTTCCCCTTCCCACCTCCGTCGCCGAAAGCTTTTTTTACCGCCGTTTCGTCGTACTTTGTGTTGCCCAAATGTGGGCTTGTTAAAGCAATGTTCGTCCCTGCCCCCACAGATCCTTTTAACTGCAGAAACAACCGCCGAATCAGCTTCAGCATCTGGTAGTAATCGCGCATGCCGACGAAATTCCGCCCTTCCTGCTCGGCGTAGATCTTGCTGTAGGCCTGCGAAATCGCTACTAACCAGGTGGATAATTCCGCGCTGCTTGACAGTGTGTTCGCGTTTGACGCCTCAAAACCAGCCGCATTCGACGCTGCCTCCGCCACAATGCAACTCCCGGTTAACTCTACATCGTCCGCTTTCGGATCCGTCCGGTTCAACAGTATCGCGCGGTTCATTTTCGCCGCGTCCAGCGCCCAATTCGACAGGCCCACTATCGCGATCGGTGGCGAAACCAAAATCGCGTGCAGCACCTTCAACGGCAGATCTGGCGAGTGCTCCGCTAAGCCAATTTCATCCAGTAACAAGCACGTCATGGCCCTTTTCGATTTTCTGCTGTAGTTCACCGCGATTTTGAATTGTTGCAAAATGCCCGCAGCCGTCGAGAAGGGAGAGCACTGGTAGGGGAAGACGTAGATGGACGGAAATCTTCGCCAGTAAGCGGCAGAAGATTGCTCCCCGCGAAGGTTGGAAGTTAAGATCTGCAGAGTCAACGTTTTCGAGCTACCCGGCTTGCCGACGATGAAGATCGGGATCTTGTTGCAGATCGCGATGAAACTCACGTAGAGATTTTCAATCAAAGCTTCGTTCAACGCAATGCCGGACTCCAGCTCAAATTTCGAGGCTAATGACTTCGCAGTTTTCGCGATGACTTTCCCCATCATGTTCGGCGGAAAAAGCCACTTGTAACCCTTCTCGAAGTCGTTCCCCTCGCCGTCCTTATCCTTCGCTCTCGTGAGAGCAAGACCGAGCGTCAATCGCAGTTTCGTCAGCAACTCCGACCGTTTCCCGGAAGGCAGGCGGAAGTAGTAGACATGCGCAATGGCGAGGATCTCGTAGGTGCCGCCCCTGTTTGTTGCCTGTGTGCCGCTAGTCGGCCTCGCCCCCTTTTTTGCGGAAGCTGCAGCTCCTCCTGTAGCGCCCCCTGTCGCAGCGCCACCAACGCCCCCAACAGACCCTCCATACTTCCCAAACCACTTACAAAGTTTCAAGCATCGCGCCACGTCCCTCAGCGACACCACACTCACGTCCCCCTCCACTTCCCGCACGAATTTCTGCGCAACTTCCAACCAGCCGATCAGAACCTGATACGTCCCCTCACTCTGTCCCGGATACTCGCTCCGCACCATGGAAGTGATGAACTGTAGCTCACTGTGTTCCGACAAAGCGCCGAAATCGAATACAAACTGCTTCAAGCAGGTCGGGATCGGGTGGACTCGATAAACCAAATCCCGGGGAATCGGATCTACTTCGCCGGGTCGAGCATTGCCACTCCCTTTATTTCCTTTTCCGCTTCCCAACTCCATCCCAGCCGATCTCTGTAGCATCGCAGCATTCTCAGGGTATTTTCGATACGGATTGCAGGCAGCCAGAATCTGAATGCGGGGATCTATCGGCTGACCGTTCATCGACCGGTGCATGATTATTTCCGCGATCAGGCCCATGTGCGCACAAGTGTTCATCTCATCAAAGAACAGATAGACGGACTTGAACTCCGTTTCGGTCGAAGATGTTGATGCAGGAGCGTCGGGATGGTTGGACCCTGTGCTCGGTCGTTCCTCGACAATCTCACTTTGCGCAGCACCAAGTTGTACTCGTAACCCCTTCATCTCCCCTCCCGCCAGCAGCGCTTCCGCCCGCCGCACAGCCTTTACAATGTCACTTTCCGTAGTCCCGCCGTGCACGTCTTCGACGATCAAACCAACGCCCAACCACGCGCACAGATACCGCAGCATGTGCGTTTTCCCGCAGCCGCACTCACCGAGCAAAATCACGGGGATTTGGTTTCGCACTCGGAGGTAGATTGCTAAAAGCTTCAACACAACGTCGCCCGTAAGCACGAAATTCCGCAGGCGTAATGGAAGCTTTGTAGACTCAACAGAGATATTCGTAAGCGCTGCCAATATGCGGGTGAGAAGGCCCGTTTTGTTCGATGTCAGCTTCTGCAGGTCGTTTCCAACCGGAATGTCGGCTCTGTCAAGAACCTCGACGAGGGTCGGATGCATCCGTTTGCGCAGCTCCATCGAGTTGCTCGCGAGGAAAAAAACTTCTTGTTCTGTTGTCAGCAGCATTTCGTGGTTGGAGGACGACCATGGTAGAAGATCGCCTGTGGAAAAAAGCTCTTCCATCATCCGCTCCTCCTCATTAGCTCGTCCTTGGCCTTGCCGCTGCTGGTGGAGATTATACACAACACCTTGCGCAGACCCTCCTTCCGCGCACAACCGCACCGCAAAATTGGTCCTCGAGGCGGTTCTTCCCTGCCTCACTTCTTCTGCTGTTTTCCAGCCACTCGCTACTTCCAAATTCGCTTTCGTCGACAAATAGTCGACCCGGTTTGTAATGCTGCTAATGTCTCCCCCGCCCAAAAGCCAGTAGTACTGCAGCTGTTGCTGTTGTCCTGCCCCTCCTCCTCCTTGTTCAGGCGAGATACCTCTATCAGGCACGAGTGCCGGCGGAAAGTCACGCGAAGAGTAGACGTAACTCGGGTCCATCAAAGCTCCCATGCGGTATACTGGTTTTAGTTCGTGATCGAACTGGCACCTTTCGTAAATCCATGTAGTCGCATCAACCGAAAACCGTAGCCAGGCTTTATCTGCTGCTGCGATATTAGCTGCGTCTGCATTTGCTTCTCGATCTCCAGCACCTTGCGGTTGCGCCGTCAGAGTCGGCTTTTTTCGTCTTGCAAACGCCACCTCTGCAGCCGTTCGACACAAGAAGCCGATAACCTGCCCGCGGAGCTGCCTGTTCTCGGTATCTGTTTCGAGTAATCTGTGCCTAACTCGAAGTTTGGAGAAGGTTTGTGTTCCAGAGTGTGGGTTTTCGTGACTTGCAAGCCGGCAAAGACCGTCATAGAGCAGATGCACGAACGACCACAGGCTCCACAAACTGCCGTTAACATTCCAGGCACCACAATCCGCTACTTGAGCTGCGCGGAGCAATAGGCCGAGACACTCTTCGCTGGTAAGTTGCAACGCCGTCGAAAACTCCGCATGTGCACTTGCAGTTGGTTCCACTTCCTCGATTCGCTTCAAATTCAATTTCAAAACCGCGGGCGTTACAAACGTATGTGGATGTGCGTCCTCCTGGTCCTCCGCAGACGTCTTATCAGCAGCCCGAAGTACCGGCATCAGCTTCTCGGAAAACTGGATAACTTCCCTCTTCCAGTCAGCCGGATAACCACCCAACATATCCTCGCGTATTTTCAAGCAAAAGCACACAATCTTCAACCGCAAAATGCAGTCGCGCCGCTCGTCGTTGCTCAAGCCCGGTTGCAAACCTGTTTTGGCGGCGCCCGCACTTCCACCAGACGTTCGAAAAGACACAGGCGCGTGGTCGCCATCTGATCTTAAAGATGCTGGCACAGTGGAGGTCAAAGAGGTACTAGCAGCGGAAAGGGTCTCCGGAACAACCGACGTCCAGTCGCAGTTAAACACATCTCCGGGGACGACGTCGCACCGGCCAATGGAATTTCTTAGAAAGGCGGACTTTTTCAACCACGCCTCGTTCGGTAGCTCGACGTAAATATCGAAAACGGTATTTTTCGGCCGCTCCCACAGCAAGTCGCGGACGCAGAGACGCTGCAAGACGATTAGGTGAAACAGCAAGTCTTCGACGGCAGGCGAAACGAAAGAATCCAGCACGTCGACGTGCAAGAAGACTGCCTCTGCACCATTATCTGCCGAGGACGACGAAGTTGAAGTTTCTTTGGGAGATGAAGACGAAGAGGCCGAAATTGATTTTGATGCTGCCAAGTACTTGATGACACCCTCGCGCGTCGCGACGTCGCTGTTAGCGTACAGTGGGAGATACAAGTAGCGCTTTCCGTTGGCTTTCCGGCGCGCAAAGGCGCTCTTCCCACCACCGCTGCCGGCCGAGCAAATTACCGCAGACATGGAAGTAGAGGCAGCCGAAGTAGTACCGCTCTCTGCAACAGTACTACCGGTAGTTGCTTCCTCGTCTTCGCAATACCCTAGCGTCTTCTTTACGTTCTCGAACAGCCGGGCTTCTGCACGAAGTTCTAACCGTAAATGCGCATGCATCTTCGCAGCGATGTGGTCTCCTGTACTGGAAACCAGTAGTAGCGGCAATGGCTTCGTACCATGAACCGATTCGTGTTCATCCGTCAGCTTCTGGACATCCTGCTGCAGTTGAAAGTACCACTCACCCTTCAACTTGTCGACCCCGCAGAAGCAAAACGGACAGCTCGCTGTTTTGTTCTTTTTGGTTGAGGAAAACGCCCACCGATACAAAAAAATCTGGATCTCCTCCCATGTCGTGACCGTGTCGACGTAAACTACCACATTGGTCCACTCTGGTAGGAAGCCGGTTTTTGCGAATGCCAAAATGCACTGTTCAAGCGGGTCGCCGACAACGAGCGACAAACCGGGTGGGTAGGTCGAGGTGTAGCCGAACGCTGCAGTTTTCTGCCGTTGGACGTCGTTTGAAAATACCAGCGGCCGGAAAATATTAGCCTGCGGCGGTTTATTCGTTTTCGTCCAAGCCTCAGCAAGTTGGGTCAGAAGACCAACTGCTGTCGTGTTCAAGCCACTCACGGAACGCGCTAAAGGTGCTATAATGTTCATCCCCTCTCCATCATCACCACTTCTTCCGCTATCAACCAGCGATCTTCGCAGCTGATGCATCGTGTAGTCGTTCAAAACCGGGTACTTCCGTCTTAACTCATCCACAGCCAATACCCAATTGTCGGCTTCCCGCCGTAGCCGGGTTACTTCTTCCTGAATCATGGCAACGTCGCTGTTTTCGAACGCGTACCGGAACTCGATGATCCCCGCGTCAACGTCATCCCCAACCTCCCGTCCGTAACTCACATGCCCGATGGTTCCTAGCCGGGAAACTGTCTGACTCAGCTCTTTGACCCAACGAAATTGGCCCACGAACTTTGCAATCAACGCCGATACATCTTCATCCACATTCCGGGCAAGAACTAAGCTCGTTTGGAAGTCGAGAATCTCCTGCAGGCCTTGAGAGGCAATTGCTGGGGAAGCTTGTTGTTGTGAAAAATCGTTCGCCTCCTCTGCATTTTTGCCGTTGCTCTGATCGGATGCGCGAAGAGTTGTCGTCGTGCTACCGGCTTTTCTTTTTTTCGGTACGTACTCCAAGGAAATTTCGCCGAACTTATCCACCACCCACGCTGCTCTCCAATTGTACAGATTCAAAAGTCGTGCCGGCGCCGCCCCCGAAGTCTCGGCATCGGATCCCAGCAACTCACTCAGGGGTAAGTACACTGCGGACATGGAGGCTAGCAGAGTACAGAAGTAACTTCCACCAGTTTCACCAGATCCAGAGACAGGCGAAGTAGAGGTACCCGCAGCACGATGACCGCCCAACACCCCCAGACCCGAGAAGTAGTGCAGCGCTTCGTCGAGAGACTTCAGATTATCCGGGAAAGAACCACTGTACAGGTACCGTGCCAGAGAACGTCGCAGCGTGGAGAGTTCGGACAGTATCTGTTCGTTGACGCGCCCGTTTTTCCCATAGCCATCATGTAGCCAGAGCTCTGGCGGGCACTCCATCTCGGACTTCCCCATGGCCATCTGGGTCGCCGCCACAAAGTCTTCATCAGATTCGAAAGCCGCGGCGAGCCAACGTAGAACTGGTAAATTCTTCTTGATGGCTTGGAGTGCTTCGATTTCGACGGACAGTATGCGGACGTCGACGACGGAGAGCTTGTTGGAATTGCTTTCTGCAGTAGCTGTAGTTGTTCCCGGTTCGTCGTTCGTCCTGTTTATTCCGTCCTCCTTCAATATTTTTCCGACCTCATCTTCCGACTGAGACTCGACTTGCTGCAAGATTTCGTTGATGCATCCCGAATCAAGTTCCTCCCATTTCGGCTCCAGCTTCGTAGTCACTGCCTCACGAAGCAAAGAAAGCGCGGTCTCTACGCGTGCGTTCCACTTTTCCAACTCTTGTTTAGCGATGAAGAACGAGATCTCGGAAAAAAATTCCTCAATATCCGCCAGATTGCTGTGGACGATTTTCAACAGCGTGAATTTCTCCATGGTGGCGAAGACGTGACGTTTCAAGGCATTCGACGGAACGGGAAGCGGGAGGACTAAACCTCCGACTGTTATTTCATCTAACTGTTTTGGTTCGAACTTCACCCGTCGACAAAAACTGGCAAATTCGTCCTCAAGCGCAGTGCCGAGCCGAAGGGGGGAAACGGAGAAGCCTTCTCGGAAAAAGGGGAGAAGCTGCTCGAGGACAGGAAAGCTGACGCGGTTTTCGTCGAACTCGAGCTGGAGAGCTTCGAGCGTTTGCGCAGCACGCTCGATGTCTTGCTGCACGAGAAGTTCATCTTCTGTTGATGCGTCGGGGCCGGCGGTTCCTCCTGTTCCTCGCGAAACCGTTGTCCCCTCCTTAGCACCTTCCGAAACGACCACCACTCGCGTCATAGTCCTCGGCTCAGGCCCTGCTTCGGTAGTACTAGCATCTTCTGCAACGGCAAGCACTGCTTCGGCTACAACCACTCGGAGTTTTAGATTTGTATCCTTAATCAGCTCTGCGAGGATTCGGAAGTGTTTTTGCTTTTCCAGCCACGGAGCATAAGCTAGAAACTTCTTCGGAAAAGACCGCACTACAGCAGCACCATTATTCGACGTCACCCCCTTCCTCTTCTCCTTCCCTTTCCCAAACAATTCACGCAACTCCCCAAGCGTCAGTTTCTCCCAGCTGTCTTGTACCCATGCAACCTTGTCTTTCAAAAAAGTTCTATGTTCCGCGAAAAAACTCGTTTGCACCGTCTCCACAACCTGTAGCTGCACCCTCAATTGGCACTGCTCCGCCATGCACTCCCTCGCTTTTTCGTGCAGCTCCGGTGTTCGCAACAATTTGCATACCTGTTTTGAGAAAACCCCGTGCCACACCGCGGATTTGATTTCGTGAACGGTTGCGTGCTCCCCAGCTCCCGCCTGCAACCTTGCCAACCCCAACTTCGCATCCTCATGCGCGTTTTTGCAGAAGTGCGAGATTTGCTGCCAAAGATCCTCGTTCAGTGCAAGCTCGCTAGTGAGAGTTTGCTTGCGCTGTTTTGTTTCGGCTGCGAAGAACTCGAGGAGAGCATGGAGCCAAGACACGGTGCTCCAACGAGCGGCCCAATCTTCGTCAAGAGTAAGCTGCTTGTTGCTGTAAACATTGATTTGCGCCAGCACGCCCGTGTACAGTATTCGCGCGTCGCGAGAGGACAATGGTGGTTTCGCTTTCGCCTTGTTCTGTGCAGGAGCTAAATCGCCTTCCGCCTTCGTGTCGGAGAACACCAGTTCGTGCAAGAGGTTGATTTTTTCCTTTCCCCCGATTTCCTGTCTTACGACGGCGTGGAAAACGAAAGTTAGATGTTGCGCGAAATCCAAGGCGGAGACGCCGCGCCGTTCCAGCTCTGCGTAGTACCCCTTGTTCCCGACGATGTGCAGTAGCCGCTTTAGCTCGGACAGGCTAGAAGGCATCTTGAAGAATTGCGTTAAAGCCACGCGAAAGAATGTTTGTGCGCCGTTCTCTTGTTCCCGAAGACGAAACACGCCGCTCCGCGCCCACACGTCGATGATGTTCAAAATCGGCTGCGCTGCGAAAGCTCCCGATTGCTGATCCAAGTTCGACAGCCAAAGCCCGAGAGCAGACCCCATTTTCTGCAGGAAGCGTTCGAAACGACCCACACCTTCCGCCATTTTCCCTTCGACTTCGTGTTCGTTCCTCTTTGCTTCCCACTCCAGAAACTCCACCAGCTGCCCCGTCGGGGGGGCCCTGCTATTCTTGAAAACAGTCTCCCAGTACTCGACGTCAAAACAAGCAGTAGTGCTGTTCACATCAACTTCAACGTTGTGGTCACCAGCCGGGAAGCTGCTCCCGATGCAACGCGAAACCACGATCCAGGGGCCGAAGTTTTCCACCTTGCGCCGCTGCACACGATCCAACAAGTGACGCTTAGCATCAAGGCCTCGCCGCGCGGAAGACACTGACAAGGCCTGCAGCAGCGCTACCAAATCTTCGTCCCGCGGCGCCAGGTGTATTAGAATCCCCAAATCGACGTCGTCCCCAAGAACACTCATCAAGGACTTTTGCCAGCTCTCTTCCTTCCCACCCGCCACAAGTGCTTTTAGTGCCCGTCGCGATTCCAGAATTGCGTCTGACATTCTCTGTGCGGACAGCACCGTGCTGCTACGCACAATCTCCGTGATTTTCGCCGTGGTGTCTTCAATCGGGTTTCGCAGATTTGCGTACGCGCGAGCGGCGATTCGTCGTGTCTTCGGCAACAAAACTGCACGAATCCGTTCCGCTTCGAGCACGAAGAGTTGTCTTTCGTCTTCTACAAGTGCCGAAGCCACGATTGCGTCGGATACAGCAACGGGATCGATTCCGAGCTGAGACCTTGCGCCGCTCTTATTGCCGCCACCCGTGGTGCTCTTACTCCGCGATGGCGAAGGGTCGTTGCGTGTACTAGCTTCCGTTGTTGCTACGGCTGCTTTCAACAATCGTCTCGTTTCTCGCTTCCACGTGTTCGTCATCTCCGTTCCTAATATCGGCGGAGAAAGACAGACCCTGTTTGGGCTATCGAACATGGCCAGTGTCCCGTCGCGCCACCCGCTTCGGTTGTTTTGCCCCGCGAAGATCACTTCCTCCGTATTCGGCACAATCGCACTTCTACCTATATCCCACTCAGCGCGCGCGACAACGTGTGTATGCGCAGAAGAAAGCACCAGAAACACCTTACGCGCAGACTTGTCTGGAACCAGTGCGATCGCCGTTGGACGGATGTTGGTGAGTATCCGGGGCCTGCCGAGCACTTTTGTGTCCTTCTCCGCATTTTGTCCAGTGCGGTCTTTGTCCAGCACCAGCATGACCTTGTCCGTTTCGAAGAAGTACTTCTGGATTCTGAAGTCCGTCGTCAAAAGCAACACCCCCTGCGACAGATTTTCGTCATAGCATTCCCTGCATCTCAGTCTCGCTGCTGCCACTTCCGCTTTGTCTTCCACTCGAGAGTTGTCTTCCGCAGCGCGATCAGCATCTTTCTCCCGCTGCCACCAATCCCAGCAGATGCCATGCGGCGGAAACGACGCCAAGCCCACGACAGAATCTTGCTTAGTAGCTACGAACTTATTTCCAGGATACAACATCCGCACCGGCGCGTTCGGCTGCAGACCCCCTTCAATAGTGTGCAACCCGTCTGCGCAGCCGACTAAATACTTCGTCTTCGGTCGCCCACCACCTACAACCGGGTGCAAAACCTTCAGAAGGCACCAGGGTTGGTTGAAGCGGCGGTTCCCAAGTGTTGCAGCGCCAGGCGAGCCCGACGTTACGGAGAAAATCGGCCTCCTCCCGCCTCGCCCCGGCCAGTCTACGCATTCAGCCGCAGAAACCGTCCGCGCGGTGAGAATCTTGTTTTGCGTGCTTCCCCAGTTTAAATTCGGTGGGTAGCGCAGAGCCACCTCCTTCGCTGGTTCGGCTTCGATCAAACGTAAAGCATTATTCCCTGTGTCGGCAACTAGAAACATGTTCTTTACGTCATCAACCCGGAGAATGTCGCGAGGGCTGCGAAATTTCGCAGCAATGGCGTTTTCTTGATCCTGCTGCTCAAGGTTAAACATGTTCCCAACTGCAGCATCCGGCGGCTGCAGCGGGCCATCAAAGAACCCTTGTCCGTGATTACCCGCAATCGTGCGCACCGTCGTAAGACCGCCCGATGCACCCCCGATAGACAGGACGCGGATCACCGAGCGGTCGGCCTCCGTGAAAATGTACTTAGTACCACCAACCAATAATTCCACTGCAGCGCGAAGCTGCATCTCGATGTTGCGGCTTTGTGTTTTCTGCCATGAAGACGAGGAAAGAGTGTTGCCCGCCGTCGTTGCTATTTCTGTAGTCGGCCCGAGTACTGCGTCGTTTTTTCGCACAAAGATGTCCATTTTCTGCGCCGCCGTTTTTCTGTCCCCAAATACCTGCATCCCTCCGGAGGGATTGCACGTGGCAACAAACTTCGATCGTCGTACGTCGTAACCGATGCCGTCCCTCACCTGGTACGGAAGAGGTGCGCTACTGTCCCCCGGATCAAAAAAACCCATCCAAGTGGTCGCACTCCATCTATTCTCCCCCGCTTCTGCAGCTTCATCTCCGGGGGCTTCTGCAGCTTCCTCGTTGTCAGACGAGAGCAAACCATCTTCTTCTACGCGTCCCAAACGCCCTTGCGCCGCCGTAGACATTGAAAACTCCCCGTAGCGCGCAACCAGCGCTTGCACGCGTGCCCGCAAGGCGTCGCCACGACGTGTTAACTGTCCTAAGGACCAAAACAATTCCGTTTCCTCCAGATGTAACACCGCGTTGCGGAAGTTGTCCAGTGCGGAGAGTGCCTCCAGTCGAAGCTCTGACAGTGCCCTGCTCGGAAGAATATCCAAACTTGACGAAAACGTTGATGTACTAGATGCCGAAGCCGATGCAGAGGTTGTACTACCTAAAGCGAGTAGTAATTGCGCCAACACATGCTTCTTCTCTTGCTCGACAGAAAACCTCGCGAACTCGAACCGCTGCGCGAGCTGCACCGCATTCTGGCTCGCCGCCTGCAGGTTCTGTTCGCGCGAAATCAAGCTCGCGGTGCGGGGTAGGCGCGATGCGTCGCCAACAGTATGCTGTAACCCATACCCACGCTTACTGCTCTCGATCTCCTGGAGCTTGTGCAAGTGGACTAGCCTCTCGTCAGGAGTCAACATAGTACTCGTCGCGGTTAGGGCTAACTGCTGGTGGTTTTGCTGGTTCGCCTGGCCTTGCTGGTTCATCCGTGGGTTCTGGTTCACCTCCTTCAAGTATTTTTTGAAGTCTGGTAGGGGCCGCTTCTCGTTCTCGCGATCGAAAACGGTGTCGCGCAGCGACCCAAGGAAGTCCGTTATTGTGGGGGCATTGGAATCGGAGCCGTCCCTTTGCGTCTTCATTTCCAACGCGCCAAACTTGACTAGAACGCGGCACACGGAGAGCACTAACTCGTAGTCCGGCACGACTCGATGGCTCAGTTCGTCGCGAATCAGCTGCTGCATCGCATCTGATATCTTACCGCGCAGCGATGTAGTGAGGTAGTTCGACGTCGGATACCGATTCGTCGCGCCGCCGTCTTGTTCCTCCGCATTAGTTCTTGCAGAATGCTCAATCAGAAACTGCTTGTGCCCGGCCACCCACGACTCTCTTTCTTGCGTCGCCGCGTCGAAAACAAGAAGATTCTGCGCCGCCGGAAATAGCCGTCCGTAGTGCTCCATCATTTGGGTGGTCAACGCGTGCGCAAGAAACGGAGTTTCATTTATTATTTTCCTTGAGTCAACTACATTCTCGCTGCCCAGAGCTAGACCCTTCAAGAAAGAAGAAATCCCTTGCGAACATTCCGCCACAGATAAGCCCTGAATCGCATGAGGACCATGGTCCTGGGTCGTCAGCAGCGTCAGCAGATGATAATGACACCGCAAAAACCCACCCAGTCTTGTATCGCTCTCCGGCGACGCTGACGTCGTGCACCTCCACAGCCACCGCAACACAGTTTGGTATATCTCCGCTACAGCCGGTCGTAGTTGCGTAACTCCGAATCCGTCCATGATCTCCATTCGCACGAGTAAAAAAAAAGTATTTTCTGCTTGATGCATATGCTCTTCGTCAATTTCGAAATCCAACCTCTCCTCCCCCTCCCGTCCATTTTGCGACGTAAAAAGGCAAGCGCGCAGGCTTCCCCCGACCACCGACTCAGGCTGCAATTGCAGGCGCCACAACGCGTCCTCTTTTTCGTCCTTCGAAAACCGCATGTCGTGGAGGTCGTCGAGTCGGTTCATGTGCAGTTCGCTTCCGGGCACCCCCGCAAATGCCTTGCGCAGCTGGAACGCCTGGTTTCCGCTGGAGGAATTCGAATTAGATTTCCCATTTGCATTTGCCGCGGCTAAGCTGTCGAGGACCAGAATGTTCACTCTTGATGGTGCAGCGGTTGCTCGAGCCTGAGTATTGTTCCAATGGTCCTTTGCGTACACGAGTTCCGACCTGCTCGACCCGGTAGAGAGCAGAAGATACGTCCCCGACAAGGGATCCGCTTCTCCGGACTCTGGTGCGTTCATCTTGAATCGGGGTAGCTGTCTACTTCGCTTGGGTAGTGGTATTTGTGATGGATCAGTCCGATGTTGCGAAAGCTTTGCCCGCGTTGCCCAAATTGTCAAAAGATATGCGCTCTTGAGCTTGACGAACACCGATAAAAAGTGCGCTGTAAAGCAGATGGGATGTAGAAAAAGATGAAGATGAAGTATATTTCGAGAATTACAACGATAAGCATAGCAAAGTAAACTAACGGAAAACAAGTAAAATCATTTTGAACTTTCATACAAAGGGCGTGCATGAGAACAGAGCACAGGAATATTTGGCAGGCATAACGGAAAACAAGTAAAAACTAATAGCTGAAACCTAAAGTGAGCACAGCTAAGTCGCTGATTATTTCATTTTTTGAATCGGAATTGGAAGAGCATGGGGATCCGAAAGAGAGAGAAGAGAAGAAGTGCGGAGTAAGAAGAGCGAGCAAGCGTTGTTCGTTTGTATCCTTTCTGGTGGTCCGCTGGTAGTGTGAATGTCTTCGCTGGCGCCTTAAGCACCGGCCTAAACATGCGCACCGTTTGCCGACGGTGCACAGATCGAATACGAACAAACAGACTCTAGAAGTCTACAGGTATCGCGTCCAGATACCTACCGGGGGAAGGCTTTTATTCTTTGTAAACAGCACCTGTTTGCAAAAGAAAGTCAATGTCACCATCTGTGAAGTTTCCTGTAAATGTGATGAACAACAAATTTGGAAACTTTCATAGAGGTTACGATCCTCAAACGTATTGGGGTGTTACCAATTGTGAATTCCAGTATTGCGCGTATATTGGGTTCACAAACAAGCCCGACATCGTGCAATCAAAAATCCATCATCGATGTTCTTTCTTCTGTATCGTTCCTCATTGTGTTTGCATTCATATCCGCATGCTACGCTAGAAGCTATTTATTAAGTACGATGCTACGACAATGTTTGTACGATAGTCCGAATGAAAATGCTCTGAGCGAATACCGATAGTAGTATTGATTTTTGCATTCAAACAGAAATTGGGTGTACGTCAATACCGATGACATCGAAGATGTTCTTCTTCTTTCTTTTGAAAGAAAAAGACAAAGAGAACGCTTTCTCTTTTTCTTTCAAATCAGCACGAGGCTACCGAGATACTTAGTGCGAGAGCATCCGAATTACTTCGCGCTTGTTGTAGTGAACGATAAGCAACCGATGTAGTACGATGCCGAGAGTGTTTCATTCATGATCTGCGGCTCCAGCCCTGAATAGTGCTCGTGATGGGAATGGGCAAGCAACATCGCTGATAGCAGCAGCTATCAATACTCTCACATTTTCTCTCATGATATTTCGTGCAACTTCTGCTAGAGCTAGTATATTTCGCCAAACGCAAACAACGTCTCTGCGCGACAAAGTGCGTAAAATCGGACTCACGGCTTGCCATCTTCCTGATTCCGATCGTGAAATTGACCGTGCAAGAACTCGTCAACAAAACGCTCCAATGCGCCAGAAAATGCACGAAGGACCTTCGCGGTTTACGATTCTTCACGATAGATTGCACAGGATTACACTCACGGGTGTAGGACAAGACGAAGATTGCTCCAAGAATACGAGGAACATTCAGCAATCCCTGTGACCTGCAAAAAATCTAACAATGCAGTTCGTGTAACCTTGATGTCGCTATGCGAAACTCGGAATCGGTCGCGGTCGCCAGATGATGAAAAATTTAAGTTTTACTAGTGCTGTACCTGTACAATAAACGGCAAAATATGAGATGAAAGATGTATGCCGTGCTTTATCACTTTCGATTCTGCTCCTAGAGCGAAGTAGATGAATTCGATGTTGATAATGATACGAGTCACGGTTTTCTCTTATCGCGTCCCCAGCACGACCGTCGCACACGTGGCTCGAAAATAAAGGATCGCAATGCTACCTGACGCGGGAAGATATGTTGAAGTAGCTCAAGACACAGCCACTTGTAGAAGTGTTAGTTGCACGTATAATAGCTGGCTGCAGTCGAGTTATTTATTCTTACCGGAAGATGATTTGATTGATCATTTATCGCGTCCATCTCAGCATTTCTTTGCGGCCTCGTCGTGTTCTTCTTGAATACCGACAGATGAAGCTCTTCTTGCATGTTCCACCACCGCAGTTTCCATCTGAAAAAGCTTGTCAAAACGCTCCACAGAGCGGACAGGCGTTGATACTCCTGCTACATTGTTCCCAGAAGTAGTACTGAAACTGCATACTTGTTCTCCCTTGTAGTTTAGAGATTGTTCCGCGAGCAACGTAGATGTTAGAACTCCACCTCGCGAAGAAGAAGTAGTAGAACTACTATTACAACTACCTCTGCAGCTTATCCCGGCGTCGCCAGGCTGCTGCACGTCATCGCAGATGAACCCAGAAAAAGAAACATCCTCGACAACCAACAACAGCCGGCCCTTGCGCACGTGCGTCTCCTCGGAAGATCCCAAAATGGGGAAACCCGCATTCTTATCAAAAGGAAAAATCCCCCCTCCCCATGCTGAAAACGTATCCGTCTGAAAATTTGTGATGCGCATTTGTGACCTCAAATCCTGTCTGTCTTGCAAGAAGGCAAGTTCAGAGCGCGCCCCACATTTTGCAGGCGGTTTGTGATGCTGTTGGGCTTAGAGAGTACACGTTTGTCATGCTACTAGGCGCCTACGTCAAAACCTCTCGACTGAGGCTTGGCATATGCCTGCAGTCCTCTACTGCAAGACAAATCTGATTTGTGTACGGAAATCCAGCATCAGAAACTTCGTTTCGAAATTGGGAGGAGGAATTTTTCCTTTTGATAATTTTTGCATCCCTGTATCGCCTGTTCGACTGCGTCTTTTGGATCTCTATAACTCACGTGGTCGCTCCAGGAAATTTCCGCAATTTTTCCAAACCGCAAACTATCGGCAGTTCGGTGCACGCGGAAGTTTTTCTGTTGTAAGAAGGGTTCGCCGTCGTTGTCCTTACCGGTGGCGGATTTTTGGAGCGTTTCGGCGAGTTGTAGGCAAGCTTCTGATACCTCCTCGTCCTGACGGCCCTCAGCATGGTCCTTGCCGCATTTCACCACGGCACGCAATCTCAGCTTCATCACCCTCGGCGAGGACCTCGTCCTCAAGCAGTAGTGGAAATTCACCGCCGCGCGAACCGTTTTCGCGACAAGAATCGGCCCGGCCACATTGTCAGGCAGCGCGTACAGGCAAACGCCGTTTGGGATAGTAAGTGTTTCTCGATCAGTTGCGACATCGACGACAGCAGCATTTTCTTTTTCTGCAGCAACTACTACGCCAACATGATCTATGTCTTCCTGATCTTTGCTTTCTGGCTTGTGCACCTCATTGTCGTCCAGCTTTTTCTTTCGCCTCTCCATCAAAAGCGCGGCCACACAGTTCTGCACGGTGCGTATTCCGCCGTGTACCGCCATGCCGAAGGGTTTCTGGACGGCAAGAAAACTTTCGTTCTCCCACAAAAGCTCGACTTCGGACCCACTCTTGTACGGTTGAAAATGCGGGTAATCGGGAAAAAACCAAAATCGAGTTGTTATTTGCAGTGGCGCTTGTGCTTCACGGTACCTCTGAGCAGGATGAACGCAAATCCGGTCTTGGTCGTCCTGATTTGCATCTACATCTACGAGTTCCACCGAAGGGCTGTGTGTGTTTCTGTCGAAAAGCGGGTGATCCGCGGACAAGGGTTGGAACTGGAGCAAGCGGTTATCTGTTTCAACATCCGTGCTCCACATGCTCGTCTTCTTATTTGTACGGTTCTCTACTACCATCTCGCGCCACACACGGAGCCTCTTGCACGTTTTCCGGCAGGCGCTGACAGTCGGGAAATGCTCTGGCCACGTCTGCATCAGGAAGTCGGTGACTTTCAAAGTTTCAGCTGTAGGTGTAGATAACGTGCCGGCAACATCATCTCCTCTTTCATGCCACTGCCCGCAGGAGTACCAGTCGCTCGCGGTCCAGGCACTGTTTGCCGAGAGTTCTGCACGGAGAATTGTGGGACGTGAAATTTCCTTGGGTTGTGGAACACGTGTCGTGTCGTGCTCTTGTTTCTCCTGTGTCGCGAGCAGAGCGGTGGCATTGCGTCCGTTAACATCGTCCTCCCTAGTAGCGCCTTTGTTCTGCTGCTCGTCCGAGTTGTCAACAAATTCCGCGTCCGTCCGCTGCAAAACGAGCACAGCGGCCGGCCACCCGCCAATACCCACTTGCTTCACGGCGTCGGTTTGGAAGAAGCGAGACAGCGGTGGTCGTTTTTTAACAGTATAACCAGCTTCGACAGAAGATGAAAAGTGGTCTCCTGTCGCCGAGGCGTAAGGCCCACCGCCTGCCAGCAAGTTCCGGATCTGTCGGGCGTGTACTTTTGTGCAAAGGAGACAGCACCGACCGGAATCTCTTTTCAAAACTTTCGCCGTTTCGTAAAGAAAGTCCGCTAGAAATTCGGTTATTGAAGTCGCGCCAATGATGCCGTGGTTGTTGCCGAAAGGCAGGTCGACCACGACGAAGTCGAACGGGTTCAAAAATTTTCCGTCTTTATTATCTCCATCACCGACCAGGAGCGTGGATACGTTTCGCGCGTCGCCAGTGTAGCAAGTAAGAGATGAACTTCTTGTCGTGTCACTGCAGTTGTATTTTTCAATATCCTCTCGTCGTTCCAGCACTCCTTTGCTGCAAATCTCTGCTAGTCTTGTCTGCTCCGGATCCGCGTCTACCGTCACTGCTTCGACATTCGGAAATTGCAACACCGCCTCGCAGGCGATCGTGCCCTGGCCTCCCATCGAATCCAGAATGCGAAAGTTTCCGGCTTTCGGACACTTGGCAGCTTTTAGAAGAAGATAGGCCGTGGACGGACGGAGGGTGGAGGTGTTGGTGAAGGTTTTGTTCTGCTTGCTTGCAGCTGCTTGTTTTCTATTTCGATTTGTTTTCACCGTCATCGGGTGCTGGGTCGTGGTGGAATTGCAATTCTGCTTATTGCTTTTTCTGTTCACCTCCTTCGCTATTTGTTTTAGTCGCCGGTAGTTGACAAAAGGCGTTGACTTGGTTGCCGAGAGCACAGAAGCGCTTATTTCCTTCTCTACAACTTCCGGCGAGCTCGGAGGGGTTTGGGTCGCTGGCGTGCGAAATGGTAATGAACCGTGTGCATCTACTTCACACGATTTTCCGACGTCCTTTTTTCCTGGCGTAGTAATTTCTTCTTCTAGAACTGCTGCAGTAGTCGGTAAAGGAAACTCGCCTGGAGCAGCTTCGATCATACCTAGAGGACTTCTCGATTCCCCGGCATCATGACCTTCTTGCTCCGGCTTGTCTACTGCGTTACTTGTCCCTTGAAAATGTTGCTCTTCTTTTTCTCCTCCTTGACCGTGCTGCAAAAAATGGTAGCACCGCCATTCGCTGGGTAGTTTCTCGAAGTGCCGCTTGTGGGAATGCTTTTTCGTGTTCAGGACTAGGTCAACCAAAGGGCTCCTGCTGTCGTGTTTAATATTACACGTCGAATCATGATCTCCGTGAACCATGGCGACAATCTCCACGTCGCAGTCGACTGACAAATCGACCTTCCAGGAGGGAAACATGCGGGTGATGTTACCTGCAATGACAGCCTTGAGCCTGTCCGTCGTTGCTGGAAGATGAACTGGTGACGCAGGAACTGCTCCTGCATTTCTCGTCGTAGCAGCAGCTGAAGTAGAGCCTGACGAGGAACTCGACTTTGTCGTCCGTCCAAGTTTGAGCACGGAAACGCGAAACGACAGCTGCTGCCCGTTTTGTTCGTTACCAAATATAGCCGCCCGCCGGGGCGGAGGTAGTGAGGTCGTGGGCGTTTTCTTGCCGGCCGTCGCCTTGGCCGCGGCTTTGCTTTTTCTGGGCCCGCCATACCGTCGCGAGTAACGTTAGGCCGCACGGTATGGCGGCCGCTTGATAAACGTTGCAAATTTTGGCAAATTTCCGATATTTCTTTCCGCAAGCCAGCCCCCATGCTATGGGGCCGATCCGGGTGCCACGGGGGGCGCCCAAAAAGCGAAGGGAAATCGGGCCCATAGCATGCGGATTGGCTTTGCGCGTCTGGCGCGCTTTTGCTTTTTTGCGTTTTTATTTTTCTAGCCGGCGCTTTTTGCAAAGCTTCCCAGGCTCTGAAACCGGCGAAAATGCGGCCGCTTTCGTGGCCGCCCAAAATGCTCCGAAATCGCGGCCGTGCCATGCTGTTTCGCTGTTCTGATTTTGGGCGCGTTTTTTTCGCGCCCCTTTTTGGGCGCCCCAAACCGCCAGAAACCAAGGCGGTGGGCGCCTCAGAAGGGCGCCCCTTTTGCTGGCTTCGCTGCGTCGTTTTACCCAGCGTCGATCGATAGAATCCGCTGGCGATTCGGTGCCGACACAGCCAAAGCCGCTTGAAAATTGAAAATTTTTTTTGTGCAAAAAGCCCTCCGGCCGCTTGAAAACTGCCGGTCGTTTTTCACGGTAGGTGGCAAAAAAACTCCCCGGCTAGAACCGTTCGGTGACCTCACTACATACCACTTTGTTCGTTTTCTGCTGTGGCCACGAGATCTTCGACTTGCTCGTGTGACATCAACGAACGCTCGACACCCTTGGTCCGCAGCGCACGCGCCTCCGCCACGGCTCGCACCCAAGTGCTTCTTCGCTGTTCAAACATTGAATTTTGGGTGGTCCTCTCTGTGGTCGCAGAAAGGAGCGCCTGACAACTTCCAGACCACAAGTGCACATAGGGAACGCCGCCAAGTGCCCACGGGTGGTGGAGGAGCGAAATCAACTTTTTCTTCTCCGACAACAACTTGTTCTTGGTCTCTACTCCAGACGTCGCTCTGACGTCTACGACAACTGCTTCCTCGTTTATCACTTTCCTTCGTAAGAAAACAGGCACGGCTTGGAGGTCTACCCCGTTTATTTGTCGTCCGGCGACGGTCTTCTCGCTTGCAGTGTTGTTCTGCATGGTGCACTGCTGGTTGACAGCATCACAAACGCTGTCGTACCCCACCACCGAGAACGCACCACTATCGCATTCTCCGACCGCATGGCAAATCTCCTCCTCGAACCCGGGTGCCGCCAGGTAGACGTACGTCAAAGGGGCCAACATCGCGTCAGACTCAGTGGCGTTGTCGCCGAAGGAAGAGCATGATGGGTGTGCTGGAGTGCGGCCGTGGTGGTCCGTCATGTTTTTATAAAGGAATACAGGAGCAGGATAGGAGCTGGGATAGTGATAGATATCTTAAAGACACATTGCTCCTCACAAGGACGAATTGCTTCTATAGACAACAGGAACAGGAGCGAGAGGTCTAATTCAAATGACAACCAAGCACAAGAACTCCAACAAACCTGCAAGATAGAATAGTAAACCAGAAAAAGACGATCGAAGGTTGCAACAGATGAGCTTTTTTTTCATCATGATTGATCCACTTTTTAAATGATCCAAGAGCATGATAAATGACCTTCTTTATTCCCCTCCGTCTATGATGCGTGTTTTCGTGTTTCCAAGTAATCCGACCTGATCATGATCCCACTCGGACTCTGCTGTCCTCGGATCCGATAGTTTCTTTCGAACCAGGACGATCAGGATGATCGAGTACATATCTAGGTCGTGGCTCTGGCTAGCTGACTAAATTATATGGATCCCATTCCAGATACAGATTTTCTTCGTCCTCTTGTTCGGGAGGACATGATCCTTGATTCCATGGTTACTCGCAAGGTGCGAGGAGCAGATTCCAGGAAAAGGACCTTGAAACACAGATGATGCAGCCACGACAAAGGAGGGCGACGGACGAGCCAGTTGTGTTGCACTTGATAATATCCAGCTTCATTTACTTGCAGGACGGCATTCAGTATGTAATTCAATCATTCAAGCCACGGCCGTCACTGTGATCATGCGGCTTCCGTCTCGACTGGACTGGTCTTACGACCACCATGAGAATCTCGCTACAAACTCGATTTCTGTACCCAAAAAACCAATTTGTAGCGGCCAGGTCGTGTCCTCACTTGACCTTGCTAAGAAAAGCAGACTGCCTTCCTTGATTACCCGCATTATACACGCGCACGGATCTTGTTCACGGATCATTGCAGCACTATGAATACGAAAACACCAGCATACAGATGAAATCCGGGAAAACCACAAATCTACGGCAGTCTCTCCGCACTGTAGTCGCACCTGACGTGCTGATCGTTCATTCGTCTCCGCCCGAACGAAATGTGTCCCGTATCGGCAGTCACGTTGAAGTCCTGCTTCGCGTAGTGCCCGTTTCCCGGCATTTTGAAGCGACGCGCGTACAAATCGATGATGTATCTCCAGGTGAGCTCGTGGTTGAAGAACTCCTTATCAATGTAAAAGTGTCTGGGTCTGGAAGAATGCAACCTGTCATGCTCATCTGAAGCATGCAAAAATCTGTGTTGCATGATTACCAAAAGTCGTCCAGTTTTGCTATTGACCAAGTCGGGAGGGAGTTTCTCATGCAGGATAGGCATGAGAGAGATCGCGCAGACTCTGGCATGCTAGGTCCTGCATTCCAGACCTCATGGGTCATGGAAAAGATGCAGGACAAGTCGCGCACTCTTCCAGACCCAGACATTTTTGCAATTGATACTCCTCGTCGGTCAACAAATTCCACCGGGACGCCAAGTACTCCGCCCCGGTTTCGCTTTCCTCCCGGGCAAACGTATCCACATCTTCACCCGGGTCTCGCTTACTCGGTCCCACGGCGCAGAGCCGTTGGTCCACGTAGCCGAGGCGGCCGGCTTTGAGGCGGTCCGAGGGGTAGCTATCTTCGTTGGAGAACGTCGCGGGCCGCATGTACTGGTAAATTTCGTCGTTGCGTGATGTCGGAGGTGGCGGGGTTCCTCCAGATTTTTGACTTGAAATAGATGTTGCACTTGAAGTGGATGAAGATGTGGCGCTGCTCCCTCTGGTTCTGCTGACGTCCTCCCGCTTTGATATTATCTTCTGTTCTTGACCAAGTTTCCCACAGGTCGTGTAGGGCACCCGGAAAGAGTGTCGCTTCGCGGTTGCAATCACCCGATTGAAAATGGTGTCTTCGTCGAAGAGAGGGAGCGGCTTGTCGACCGTCTTCCTCTCTGTCCCTACCGGTCCCACGAGCTCCCTCCGAACATTCTCCCACACCGCCTCGTAGTACGGCGACAAACTGAGCGCAAACACCGTGGCCAGCTCGTTGAACTTGTGCGCCCGGCGAAGCACGTTCAGGAGGAGAATGTTGGTCCGGAAGCAACACCGGTGCGCGAACCGCGTGTGGATATGCATTGCAAATATCGATCTGGGTCTGAAAGCATGATGTAAACTTCTGCAGCTGCGTGTTTCACACCACACAAAAATCTGTCATTCATGCACCGCAATAAAAGTTGCTCATTTATTCTTGTCACCAAAAAAATCCGGCATTTGTCATGCACACTAGGCATTGCGAAACCTGCTCAAGACCTGTGATGCTAGGAGTTGCATGCCAGACCTTCTGTGTCATGCACAAGCAGCATCACACTCTACTTCCAGACCCAGACATATTTCCATGTGATAGTGGAGGATCTTCAGCGATTCCCGATGCCCCTGTCGGCTGATCCAGTCGTCCTTAATCATGGCCTCGTGCCGTCGGCGAAACAGCGCACTCGGGTCCTTGCCGTTCGCACCAAAGAACGGCTTGACCCTTGGTAGACTTGCTGCTGTTTCGCTCAGCTGCTTTTTCTTCCTTTTCTCCCGCCTCCCCTTCTCGTTGTCCACGTCAATCGCCACCCAGGGCTGCGGAGTATGCACCTTCGCAAAAGTATGATCACACTAGTCCTTCTAGAGTACTAATTGCATTTACAAATTGTCATTCTCATTGTCTCAGCAGAAAAAGTTAAAGTTGAACTTTTAGCGCTGATATTTTTAGCTTTTAGGGCAGATAGCTGTCCTCACGCATATGCCTGCAATTTTAGAATTACTAGCACGGCGGGTATGATACTAAGTACTTTTGCACCGCATACGGATTTGCATTCGGGGATTTTCCGACCCCCGTCGCCCACGGCTCGAAAATGTCCGCCATCCGTATGGGAGTGTCAGGACCGAAATTGACAAAATCGAAAAATTTGTAATGCATAAAAGGTAGGGCACATATGGCCTGTATTGGGGAGCAGCCAAATGAGACCGATTGCAAGCCTGTTTAGGGAAGGCGATGCGCTGCCGGAGTAGCACGACAGGAGCAGTCTTCTTTGCCGAAACAGCATGACGGGCGATTTTGTTGCTCCCGAAATTTGTCGTGCACCACTTGGAAACTAAGGCTCCAACTGGTATCCATTTTTATGCATCACAAATTATTTCGATTTTGTTGATTTCGATCCTGACGCTTCCATAATCCGCTTTGGTATCTTATCATCGGACATGATGGGGAGAAACCCCGTTCCCCAGAGCAGTTCCGGCTTCTTGCTGTAGTCCCCGCTGGACGACTTCGAGTCCTCCTGCGAAGTAGAAGACGAGGTGCCGGGCGGCAAGTTGTAGAGATAATTCGTCTTGCTCCCATCCTCAAAGCTGTACAAGATCCGCATGTCCTGCACGATGTGGTCGATGCCGAACTGCGCGGCCTGCAGGTTCAAATCGAACAACGCCGGGCGCTCGAACAGAAAGGCGTTGCCGAGCTCGAAATACGCCCGGGTGAGGCGGTTTAGGGGCAAATATTCCCACAAGTTACCGTTGTAATCCTTGTTCCACACGCCCATCTGGTACCGGATCATGTTCCTTTTGTCCTTCGCTAGCGCGGACAGTTGGTAGTCCCGCGCGAACGCCTGCCCGAATATCAAATGTAAAAGTGTCTGGGTCTGGAAGAGTGCACGTTTGTCATGCTTGTCTGGCATGACGCTCAAATCTGTCATGCACGTTACCCAAGAGCGCCACTTTTCTGTCATGCAGAACACAGTTTGTCGTGCAGAATATGCAACACCTAGAAGCTCAGAAACTTGTCATGCTGAGCGAGCACTTGTGGCCTCCTCATGATACGCCACCCAGCATCACAAGTTTCCAGACCCAGACATTTTTGCAATTCATACCGAAGTGTTTGTCGCTAGTCCAAACGAGTGCGGCGTGGATGGAATTCGCCTGTTGCTTGATCATATCAAAGAAAAAAAGTTCGTCACGATCACTCATGCGCATTTTTGCAATACAAAACTGTCTGTCATGCGTAAAAATGCATCACAGCCAGTGTTCTTTACAGATTTCCCTAGTGTTTCTGTTAGTGGACTTGAGAACACTCGCACACACTTACACACGTTTGCTCCACTGAGCTCGCTATCAACAGCAATTCAGTGAATTCTCTCAATTGCAAGTAAGCAAGCAAGTGACGCAAGTCTCTTGCTGCGTTACATCCTGTAGGTTCAGTTCATCAAGTTTCAGGATGTGACGAAATTGCGTATGACCACAACTCACCAGAATATGACTGAATTGCGTACGGCGCAAACAGTCACTCTGATCATTCTGCTTGTGTGTGGTGTGTGACTGTTTTGCGTATGGCGTAAACAGTCACCTTGATCGCTCTGCTTGTGCCTGTTTTGCGTATGACGCAAATAGGCACCTTGATCACTTTCCTCTTGAATTTCATGGGATTCCTTCTAGATCATTTACATCCTTCCGACACTTTGTGACCGTTTTGCGTATGGTCCAAGGAGTGCCGTGATTGACTCTACTTCTACTCTAGTGGTTGTAGTGTGACTGTTTTGCGTATGGCGCAAGCAATCACTATGCCCACTGTAGTCAATTTGGGGGATGTGACTGAATTGCGTACGGCCGTAGTGCCGTCGCGATACCAGTCAGATCTAGTCAATTTCTCATCATCTTCTGTGTCATTTCATCACGGAACAGGCTTCATTTGGGGCGATCGTGTTACGTGTGTGCGGGATCGATTTCCATGACCAACAGTTTCTGGAATACAAGGAAAGTTTGTGATGCTGAGAAAATTTGTAATGCAAAACCTGCAAGTTAGTGACTGTGACAAACTTTTTTCTCTCCATACATCACACCCAGCTGGTACTGCCTGCTGGCGAAGGGATATGCAAAGGAGCAAAAAAGTCGTGCTACAGTTGACGTCACATTTTTGTTGTGAAAATGCTACAGTTGATGTCAAACATTTTTGTGTAGTTGCACCCGGCAAGACAAACAGTAAACTTTTGTCACGTGCTGTGCATGTGGACAATGCTAGCAGCACACCTCGTTCCACGCATTTTTGCCCCACTTACGATTTATGCGTTTTTGCATAGTCATTTTCTCTTTCCTGTTTGTGTTGCACTTGCTGAAGTTACTGTTTGTTACAACAATAAAATGTGTGTACTCTAACACAATTTTCCCTACTCGGGATAACGGAAGTTCTTGCTTCGCGAGGAATATCACGTCCGCGTCCGGGTGGAGCAGGTCCGTGCAGAGGAAAGTAGTAGTTTTTCCTCCTCTACTACCGTTGTCATCCTGCTCTCCGGAAGGAAAAATAGCTTCTCTCACCTTCCCAAACCGCTTCGCATTCCCCCACGTGTCCTTCCTTTCCACTTGTCTTGCATCCTTAGGCACAATTCCGCCCGCGCCGCCGTGCATGATATCCCAAAGCGGGGACTCCGCGAACGGCATCCCTTGCCCCGCCTCGTGGTTTTGGTACAACTTCTTCTGAATCCTCGGAGCTGCACCAGCGTCGGAAGCTGATTTTGTAGTTGTTGGTACTAAAAACTCGAATTCTAAAAACGTCCCCTGCGGCTGCTGCTCCGCGATTTCTACGCGCTTCCGGTCTCGGAGCTTCATTGTGTTTTGCGCGTTGACGGCGTAATATCCCGCGGCGTCCTGCAGATTTGCGCGCACGTCTTTCTCCACCATCCTGTACTGCAGTTTTGCGGCGAGATATGCGAAGAAAAAAGTGTTACACTTACACATTGTGTTGCGAAACAAGGTAGACAGGCAACCTTTGTCATGCAGGACATGCTTGCCAGCCTCATTTCACTCGTGTTTTCCCTTTATAGTCTGCGCATCACAGGCTTTCTAAGCCATGTCTAGAAAGTTTGTGATGCAGAAACTCCAACATCAAATGTGTAACTGTAACACTTTTTTCGTGGGATACGGGAAAAAGACTATCTGGGTCGTGTATTGTTGGGAGGTTGTCGCTGGTCCAAAGCGTCATGGCCCGCTCTGACCCGTCTTGCTTCAAAGCCGGCCAGGCGGTTAGTACTGGCGCAGGTTCAGGTCGTTCTTGTGAAGAAGTAGAAGAAGTAGAAGACGCAGCGCCGCTACTTCTTGTTGTACTGGAAGTTGTACTGCTACTTTTACTAGTACTAGCTACGATTGTGGTCATCGCTCGGTCGTTCAGATCGCCGCGCAGTTCCGTGACATCTCGGTGCATCATCCAGCGACGGAAGGACTTCCGCAATTTCCAGTTCGGAATTTCAGACTTATGGATCCCATAGTTATCGACGTTCGTCGTGAAGTTTCTCCGCATTGGCGGGTACAGTTGCGTCATGTTGTTGAACCGGTTCAATTCTACGAATAGGTGCAGGTCGAGCGCTGGCCTGGGCGAAACGTTCTTCAACTCGTTGTAGGTTACGCGATCGGTTAGCACCACCGCTTTCGCACCGGGGTGGTGCACGGCGAGGGTGTACAGGGAAATGAACAGGTCGCGGATGTTTCGGTGGAGCTCGAAGTCCTTCATGTGCTCCTCCTTCCGGTCTTGCCTGAACTGTGTATCCACATTCACAGAGAGGAAGCCAAAACAATCCGGGACCGGTGGGGCAGGGGGTTGTGAAGCTGAGGTGGCTGCGGCAAGAACAAAAAATTCGTGTTGAAATAGAAACGATAGACTTGTTGCCAGCATTAAAAATACTGATACTCCGTTGAGAAAATGCGAAACGACCGCCTTTGCGTTCGCAAAGCGGAGAGGTTGCACCATCATTTTGTAATAGAGACGGGACGAGCTTTCAGGTCGTTGCACATAAAAAACCGCAACAATGTTTAATGGTAATGGTATCGTAGAGTTTAGCAGACTACATCTAACTCAGAGGGAAATGAACGAGCCAGGATGACTCGCCGTCGAGATGAAAAAAAACAAAATAGTCTTGCCTCAACGAACCCTTCAGTACCGACAAGCATAGGAAACGGTAACGAAAAAGCAAAAATGTCCGACTCCGACCCGGAATAAAAAGTACCATCTGAATCAACCCAAAATCCGCTCTCAAAATAAAAATATCACTCGCCCCAAGAGAAAAAATGAAAGCATGAACCTCAAGAAAAAGAACCAGTACAAAAAAGAAACAAGATCACAATCCTGAGAGTCATCTCTCGAGTAAGTAGCGATCTTCTTCGGGATGTCCACATCGTTGACGTTGTGTTGATCAACAAAAAGCACTCACTACGTACCGAGATCCGAAAGAGACTGAAATAAAACATTCGAGATGAACACCGCTCGTGACATTTTCCGGACTCCCGCATGTCACCACGTTTGTTCGGGTTTTTTTTCCAATCAAGATCGTTGTGTGCAGTACATCAAACGAGGTCATCGGTGATTTTTATCTGCGCGCAAACTTACAGTCTTTTCAACACACCGAGCGGTACTAGAAGTGCCACTACTAGTATCAAAAACCTTCTGAGTAATATGCAGTGACCAACACGAACACCATCACCTGCAAAAAAATATAAAAACCAATCGCAAGACCAATCCAACAATTGGAATACCAATACTAACCCACTCAGTCCCCAAAATACGCGGCCGACGGGCTCTGCGGTGGCAAGTGGTTGTGTGCCGGCGTATTCAACCCGCTTTGAACGAGATTTATCTGCTGGTGACTCCACGACCCGTACTTCTGACCATTACCTCCAGCCGTCTCTTTACTGTTCGAGCCCCTACTGTTGTTGTTCCCCCCTCGTCCGTTGTTTCGGCTGTTGCCCCCGCCACCACTCCTCGGGTGGTTATTGCTGTTGTGCTGACCGGCTTGGTGACCACCGCCGCTGTGATTCAGCTGATTAGTTGTCGACCAGGACACCAGATCAGCGAAGGCAGAGCTGGAATTCGAATTATGTTGACCAGAACCTCCGGCTCCACCCATAGTGTTCACCGGCGTCAGCCCGGCGGCAGAACTTGTAGTTCCTCCAGCGGCCGCAGGACGAGGACCAACGTAGTTGTAGTTGTGCTGATTGCTGTTGTTCACCCGAATGCCGACGCCTCCACCGGGGGAGCCGTGTGGGTTACTATTATTTCTCACAAACTGGTGCTGTTGTAATGCCATCGGACGGAGGTTGGTTGTACTATTATCAAAGGAGCAAGTGAATCACTTTCAAAAGAATCATAGGGCCGAAAAAAAAAAGAATTCGGAGCGCCCCCAACTGCCGTAGCGCCTGCAGCTTTTTCCCCCGCGCCAGACACAGCTGGTCGGTAGATTGCAGTGGGCGAATGCTTGAGAAGGCTGCGACCGAAAGCCCCAGGCGTCGCATTTTGGTAAGGAGAAGACTGCGAGACGTAGTGCGCAGAAGATGCCATAGAAGATACCCCAAGACCAGCCCCAAAGCATCATACCGTGGTGCATAATGCTACCCCGCATGGTGCTACTGGCGCACTATACTTACTCTTGCCCTACTCTACTGTTACCAAGTGGCGGAAGTGGAACAGTGGAGGTGTAATCACTTGAGATGCTCAGCCTGTTTCAGACAAAAAAAAAGCCAAACCCACTTGATATCTGCTTGGGTGATTTGACGCGAAAAAGACGTGTTTCGGGCATCAATTTGATGCCAAAAGTCGCGACTTTTTGCAGGGGTGATTCAAGCAGATACTAAGCGGGAGGAGTCAAATGAATCATAGGGCTAATTGATAGCTACAAAACGCAAGGTGATTACACCTCTTTTTTTGCTTCGAAAAAGATGGATTTTTGGCAAAAATTGAACTTTTTTCAGAAAATGCGACACCCTCGGGACGCTACGCCCGACGGTATGGAGGTGTAATCACTTCAGTTTTGTGGCGTCGCTTTTCCTATCTTTAGCAATGGGCTTTTGCTTGGTATTTTGGGTTGCGAATGCTTCCCCCGAGTTGTTTGCAAGCTATTCAGGCACGATGGCCCCCGCGTCCACTCATGGCCATTGCGTTCGGCCCCCGTAGCCACCAACCAAATAGTGCAAACCTTATCGAGAAAGGCGCGACTTTCCTGAGAAGCGTCGCTGTGTCTCAGGTTACTTGGTTGTATATGTTGGGCGCTACCTTATGCGTGCGAGCCTGGCCATGCACTGCGGTACTTGGAAGCATTTTTTTTCCCGTATGGTGATTCATTTGTAATGTGATTCATTTGCCCCTGTGATAACTATTTGCCATCGGACGAAGGTTGGTTGTACTATTTTGCGGAGGTACTATCTGCGAGGCTACGAGGCTGTCGAAGTAGTTGTACTGACCACCTCCACCATTGTTGACCATGCCCTGCTGGTGCGGACCTGCTGCTCCGGGTCCGGGTCCGGCGGGCCCCGTATACATAAACGGATTCAGATTGTTCGCGTTCAGCAAAATCTGCTGCTGTTGCTGGTGCTGGAAACTCTGATCGAAGGCGGCGTACATGGCGACAGTGGGAAGATTTGCGTGGTTCGAATCCACGCTGCTCTTACTCCTGTTGTTGTTTGTACGGGACATCGAAATGTTTATTTGCTGGCTCATGTGCATGTTGTTGTGCTTGCCTCCTTGTCCTTGTGCTTGACCACCTCCCTTGTTATTCATGTGGTTCATCGGCAAGGACGAGTTGTTGTTCATCATCTTCCCGTTGCTTTTCTTGTTCCCCTTGTTCGGCCCGTTGTTTGCTCCAGCACCCTTCTGTTGTTGATCTGGACCTCCAGAATGGTGAAGATCATGGTGGTTTTTACTGCCCTTCCCATGTGAGGAGGACGAACTCGATTTTCCCGTGCCCACCAAAACACCATGTTGGTTTATCTTGTTTCCCTGGGACTGAAAAACTGCGGGATTAATAGTGCTGTTGTTGGCCGCACCAGCACTTCTGTTGGCAGGTTGGAACTCGTTCCGGTTTACATTGTTCTTGTTGTCATCAACAACTCCAACAGAATTATTGTTCTGTCCCGCGGCTCCAGAAAGCGGCCCCTCGCCGTCGTCACGGATGAGTTTGCAGAGCTTCGGGAGCACGTTCCGCTCATTCACGGCCGGGTTGGGGATACTCAGAAACGGAAACACGTCTTGCTCCTCCAGGGAGCTTCGGAAGTCGAGATACCTGATAGAAGTTGTCACGACTTCAAGATCAAGTTTACGTTAACGTTTAGTCAATCTTTCTCTATCAAAACAATCAAAATCAGTGTCATAATTGATGCCCTTGTAGTCGCCTCCAAACTTCTGCTTCTGAGGACACATGATGATGCATGAATGCAGTATGCACCATAATTACAGGTGCGCTTACACTTATTTACGATTATTTTTTTCATCTGTACCAATACCAAAAGATCTCGCTCGTGGGTCGTCCCGTCGGGTTCAGATCGGCATCGAGCTCCTCCTCGGCGACGATTTTGCAGAGAAAATTAACCTTCGATTCCACGTACCCCTTCAGGTACTTTTTCCGCACCAGCATGGAATTCCAGTTTTTCACGTCCCCGGTGGAGGCTTCGATGACCGGAAGGCTATGCAAGAAAAAAACTGTGAAAGTGTAAGTTTCTTGGAGGAATAGCAGCACAAGTTTGCTCTGCATGACACAGAAAACCTGTATTTGTGTAGCTAGTACTTGAAAACACGTACGAAAATAGCCACTGATGCATGTCCAGCATGACAAGCGTATACAGTTTTGCACTTTCTGCAACACAAAGTTACACTTACACAGTTTTTTTCTTGCATAAAGGTTCTCCTGCATGCAGTGCATGAAGTACTCCTCTTCGGCAATGGTCTGTTGGTGTAGTTTGAATTTTATCATATCATTTCATGGCAATTAGGCTATTCAGGCATCAAGAAAGCAGGCATCAAGAAAGCAGTAGCGATTCTTTTAGAACGAGGTGTAATGTGCGACTACACAAGTTTTCTGCAAGAATTGTTGTATTTCTACATGAAACAAATGGCTGCAGAATAAAATCATTATCATACCAGATCCCTTGGCACGTCTGGGCCGGTGGAAAAAAATTCCGATGGCTGCAAGGGCTCGCTAGCTGCTGGGTAGGCCAATTCGCGACACAGCTGCAGATACGTCCGATACCAGGATTCGTAGACCCGCGAGAGTTTGTGCTTCAACAGGCTATTTGACCGTCTGCTGCTGCTATTGGACGGCGCGGGAGACGGGGCAACAGCACCACCAGCAATGCCTCCGCCGCCCGGAGTAGATAATTGCTGCGGTTGTGCTACCAACATTGGAGGTGCCACTATCGGGTTGTTCGCACCACCACCGGTCGCCTTCGCGGCGCCCGCTTGTTCGGGGCTCGACGTGGCTGAGAAGGCAGGAAGAGAGCTCTGCTCAATAATCCTCCTGCAGGTGGGACAGAAAGTCGGTAGCATGGACCGCGTCAACTGCTTCCACTTTCTGCGGCACAGCGGGTTCCCGCAAACGCGAAACACGTGCTCGAACTCGCCGGACCGCGAGGAGCGGAAGATCAACGCCTCCTCGGCGCGAAGGGACACCTGCAGGTCCTTGTACCTGGCGAGTTTATTGTGTTGCGGCACTACTAGTTCACCTTTGCTCTCAGCTGCACTCCTGGTCGAGGATGAATTGGCGGAGACAATCTCCCGAAGCAGCTGCAGCGTCATCTGCACTGGTTCCTCTTTTTCTTTACTTCCGGTGCCGGTCCTTGATGAAGCTCCTGCGACGGAGACATTTGTGGTTTCAGTGGCACCAGTTTCTTGTCCGTCCACTCTACCACTACCGCCATCGTCGGTGGTCAACAGCATGTTCATCGGATTTGCCGCGTGGTCCGCTATCCCCGAGCCGGGCACGGCGGGCAGCACCGGGTCGGAATGCCCGATCGGCAATATCGAACAAAAAAGTGTTAATGTTACGGTTTTGCATTTTTTGCATTAAAAATTTTTTGTGGGTTCACTGCCCGTATTATGTGAATGCGTAAAGAGACCCGCTCACTCTTTTAACTATTGCGGGACTCTGAAGTAGCTAACTTTGTTTGAGTTAGCTAGTGCACAAGGTCTGACGGCGCGGAACTTCGCCTACCGGGGCCGCCCCATGACGCACCTTCCGCGCCACGTGGGCTCCTGGACCCGGTCGCAGCGCCTCCACACCAGCTCGGTGTCGGCGGAGCCTGCTTTTCAGCTGTTTGGGGGCGCTTCGTGGGCGGCAGCTACTGCAAGCCACCTGGTTGAGAGATGATCTCGAGTTGCCACCATCCTCGCCGCCGCCATCGACCCTGAGGATGGACCTGCTTTTGGCAGGCAGAGTCGACCATACCGTGCTGTCTAAAAAGTGTTAACGGTTTTTTCGGGTCATAGGGAATTCCGCCGAAAAAATCCATGATTTGCCATCAATGTGAGGCCAGATTTCGCAGTCACCCAGAAAAACCGTTAACACTTTTTAGACAGCATGCTATGATCGACTTACCCTGTCCAAAACCCTGCAGGCCAAGAAGTACGGGCTCTGGGGAGGATAAATCGACCATAGCGCGCTGTCTAAAAAGTGTTAACGGTCATTTTTTGGCATTTTCATACAAAAAAGCATGCTTTTGGCAGGCTGGGGCGATCATACTGCCCATTCTAAAAAGTGTTAACGGTTTTTTTGGGTGACTGCAAAATTTGGGCACTTTGTTGCCCGAATTTTCCCAATTTCCCTCATCCTCGAAGTCACAGCTTTTCTGCTTCATGGAGAGAACTTGGCGAGATGGCTCAAAAGCTGCAGCGCGATGACTAGAAACGCAGCGAGCCTATACAGTTCTATGGTGGCGATATGGTGGAGGGTTGCGCGGACCTTTCGGGGGGTTGTCGCATAGACTGATATGCCGACACATGACGCACGCCTTTTATGACAGACTTCATGGCGAAAGGTCGCCAACATCACTGCCATATCATGCCAAAACAGTCAGAGCCGCGGCGCCCGTGCTCTTCCTCCGGAGGTTGCGCTAGACTCGGGCGCGGAATGGAATACTTTGTGTACTAGCTAGCTCAAACTGATGACGCTACGACAGAGTTCCGCGGTAGCTAGTATCATGAAAAGTGCTGACTTTTACATGAAAAAAAAGCCACTGAGCGGAAAAAAATTTTTTGTTCCAAAAATCGCCGAAGCCGTAACGTTAACACTTTTTTGCTCGATATTTTTTAGCACGGCAGGCAGCACCGGGTCGGAATGCCCGATCGGCAGCCGGAGTATCAAAAGGAAAAATCCCCCCTCCCCATATCGAAACGAAATTTCTGATGCTTGATTTGCGTACACAAATCAGGCCCGTCTTGCTGGGGAGGACTGCAGGCATATACCAAGCCTGGGTCGAGGGGTTTTGACGTAGGGGACTAGCATGACAGACGTCGGCCCTGTAAGCCCAACAGCATCACAAACCGCCGGCATAATGCGGCGGACTCTCTGGCTTTGCCTTCTTGCAAGACAGACAGGATTTGTGACCTCAAATCTGCATCACAAATTTTCAGACGAATGAGTTTTCAATATGGGGAGGGGGGATTTTTCCTCTCAATACGGAGTTCTTCATCCTCATTCAGCGTATGCATTAAGTCCAGAGGGTTTTTATTCCCTGCCATCGTGCTCGCGGAGCGGCTGTTCAAATACCCGGCGGGCGCAGACATTACACCCGCAGGACTTGGTAACGACAAGGAGCTCGACGTCATCGTGTTTGGCGCGTTGGTGCCGTTATTTGTTCCGCCGCCATAGTGGGACGGGGTTGTGCCATTCGGGGAAGACACGTTTGTCCCCGCGCTGTTGTGCCTCTCCGCGTAGATCAGCTCGCCGTGCTGGTTCCGCAACAGAGAACTGGTCGGTGTGTTAGACCGCGAATCTCCACCATGGTAAAAATTCGTCGGCGTGCCCTGGACCGACTTCGCCAGACGGCTCGGGACATCAATCGGGAAGCTGTTGGTCCGCTGCGCCGACGCCATCATGGCCGAGGGGCTGGATTCCGATTTTCCCTGGTGTATGGATTGCAAAAATGTCTGGGTCTGGAAACTTGTGATGCTAAAAGTGAATGGTAGACGGACTGCAATACGCAGCTATGCATGACAAATTTTTTGGCTCCCATGTCTTACGTATTCCGCATGGCAAACTGCGTTCTTGCATGACAGGTAAGAGGGCGTTTTCGTGCCTATGCAACACAGATTCTCAAGTCATGCCAGACAAGCATGACAAACTTGCATACTTCCAGACCCAGACATTTTTACATTTGATATGGTGGATCAGCTGACCACTCGTCGTTCTCGATCTACCGGCGGACGTAGCGGATTGGTATGGAGTTCTCAAATGTTACATTCTCAACTGTTACATGAATTTGTAATGCAAGAACGGCAAAAGTGAAAGGGGGAAGATTGCTCCTTTTGCATTACAAATTCCGCACAGATTTACATGCTTTTTAGCCCTCCGGGGATTTGTCATGCGTAGCCGCTTGATTATCTGCATCTGGCGGCTTCTGCTTCAGGTAGTTTTGCATGACAAATCCATGTAACAGTTGAGAATGTAACGTTTGAGAATGCCATAATTGGTTCGGCGTTCTTCTGCCGGAATTATGGGTCGTCGCGGCCGCGGCGGAGGTGGTCGTGTGTCTAGCGAGCATAGAAGTACTTGAAGCCGCGGCCGAGGGGGTGCCTTGGATCAGCTGGATGTTGGCGGCGGTCAGGTTTATCGGGGTGGGTTGGGGGTTATTACTACCAAACTGCTGCTGTTCTTGTAGCCGCCTGCGATTTTCGTCAAGGTTTGACGCGGTCTTCTGCCCGATCACGTGGACCCGATCCGCCTCCTCCACGTCGATCGTCAAACGCTGGGCCGCGGCGGCCATGTTCGGCGTTGTTTTCCCCGATCCGCCGCCCGTCAGGGGCGTTTTGTTCGCGCCGGTGGAAGTCGACTTCGGCGTGGAAACGCGGCTGTTCGTTGACAGCTCGGGAGGATTTTTCGTCGCGTTGGCAGCACCGCTAATGTTCAACGCGTTTACCAGGTCGGTTTTCACTGTTGGTCCGCCGCCGACCTGATTTTCGTTTTGGATGGTGGATCATGGGAGAAACGAAAGAGAAAAAGAGAGGGACAATCACGAAATGAAGCGTATAACTGGTAGTGAATTCGGCACTTTTTTGACCCGAGACACGGTGATGCTTTGTGTCCTCCACCAGACACAACGAGAACGACCACGCAGGTGCGTACCATGGAAAAGCTACGTAGTGCATCAAGTGTTGTATCATAACCAGGATAGACTAGCTGCACACAACAAGCAAATTTTGTCCTTACGTCAAACTCCTCCACAAGGCCCTTCAGTGCCTCGAGCAACTCGTCCCGCTCGGCGGAGTTGCTCGAGTTCCGGAGGCGGTCCCGGATGATGTCCATACTGGAAACTCGGCTGCGTTGCCCAAGTTGCCCCGGCTCGGTAAAGACTCAAGAATAGCGGTACAACAAGAACTAGTTGCAGGATTGTAGTACTGCTCCTGCACCAGGACAGAGCGCTCTGTCAGCCGCCGTGCTTCGAAGCCTTTCTGCAGTGGTCGTCCCCTGTCGCGGCGCCGGGGATTGATCACATGATCATGCGGGTAGCCCTTACTGCGGTGAGGTAGCAACTGCAGCTTTCTCTGCCATTTTTCGAACGTGAATTGAATTAATAGCAGGAGGGGGGTATAGAGAAAGAGAATTATCCGAAGTAGTAAATGTTTGTTTAAGAACGTCGTGTAGTACTGTGAGGAAAAACGAATAAACGTCAACTCATCATGTTTCAAACTCAAAGAGAAGGTAGAAGAACAAACGAACGAAAGCGTGAGGGCGGTTTATTTTCAGATTACGTGCGAAGCTGCGCAGCCTGACAGATAGAATTCGAAGAACAAAACTGAAGATGGCCTTGTTGTATGTAGTTGTACCCGCAAAAGTAGCGACGCCTTCTACTAGCAGGATTTTTGCAATTTGATGAAAAGAATTTTGACATGACAGAGGTAGCAAAAAAAGACCGTGCTTGGCAACAGATTCGCTTTGGCGCGGCAGTGTGCAACAGAAGCGGCAAAAAGCAACTCCAACCGTATCTCTTCATCTCTCTCGCTCTCGAAAAAGGCAGGCGCATGCTGCGTTTTTCTAAACCGATCATGTGCATCTGCTGCACAACTCTCAGGTTCAGTCCGACACCTGCAGTTTAATCTATCATGTTGAGAAAAAAGACTTCTCGGACATAATGAAAAAACCGACTTACGTGTCACCAAGCTACTCGAAAGAAATTTTCTGATCGGTACAGCCAGTAAAAACCAGCACTTCTTCAGCACACCACTTTTCATAAGGTGAAAACCAGCTCTCCTTTCTGAGCTCTGTGTCAGTGCTTCATCCTGCTTTTCTACACAATCATAGTCTATTGCCGATCAGTGGTTCCATACTTTCTGTATTGCTGATCCAACAACTAAGCTTGTCGCGGTCCACCAGCAGACTGCCGCACTTTTTCTATATCTGTTTGGACCTGGTACACCAGTTACAAAGGAATTTATTCGAATAAATTGATACGCTTTTATTCGAGTTCTTCTCAACGCAACAGACCAGGAATAGCTTTCGACAGCTGCAAATGGCGCCGGTCGTCCTACAATCGTCTCGTCTTGCGCTTACAGCACTTCAAGCCGCCACTTCTTGTGATCCGCATCGGCTTCATCGATTTCCCCGGGAAGTGAAGTGTAGGCGGGCCGGCGTCGTTTTGTATCGGTCACGTGTGCAAAAGAAAGAAACTTCTGGAATAAAGCAAATGCATCGACAAAAGGACTAAAAAGTACGACCTGTGACAGCTGCATGTGCGTTTTTCTTCTGTCATACTGCAACTGAAGCAAAGCAGCTCCTCGCAAAAACGAAATCATGCCAAAGATCATGTTGTATTGTACTGAAGTAGAGATCTTCTGGAAGTTATACTTATACAGAATCATCTGCATTTTTCCAGGTTATGGCCGCGAGAGGATCGCGTGTAGTTTACCGTAGATACATCAACCAAAGCCTCCAAGCCAAAGGCTTCCTCGCGCGTGGGGCTTTCCCCGCTCGTCTGGGCCGGTATGACCAATCGCATTGCACCCCCTGCATCCATCCCCACCGGCAACTGCCAGTTGCAAAAAATCCCTGCATCCTTGTGCTTTTCTACGTCTGGCGTCGCAACGGCAGCAATAACGCGCCGCTTTTCATTCGGTGTTTTTTCGCGCAGGCCGCACATGACCAACCGATTCAGTTTGTTTTCCGGGTCGTAGGTGACGAGTTGATACAGGTCCTGCCATATGCATTGCAAAACCATTATAGTTGTACTAGTTGCTATTTTTCCATCAGAAATTTTCTCGGAAAGACAACTGGAATTTGTCAATCTAATTCTGATTAAGGTTAAGCTTGCTTGATGCCATTCAATAGAAGGTACTGCAACTGACAGTACGAGTACGATGAATTTTGCAATGGATAGGCCATTCCTCCTCTCCCACCGGCACCACCGTCCACTTTGCCAAGGCACAAGGCGTCGCGTCAGTATCGTGCGCATACGTCATCACTTCGCGCCCGCGATTGTCTCCGTCCATGCTTTATCAGGAGAAAATCGCTAGAGAGAATTTTTATCAAGTCATACGCACTTGTTTCTATCTTGAGATGCAAAGAGCACGGCGCGAAAAATACGGAGAAAGCTGTCACGGGTAGCCGCCCGCAAAAGCATGTAGCGTGTTTAGTTCACGATATTTCCGATCATGCAATTCATTGCATTTTCCACATGAAAACAACAAGTGGGACGATGATATCATGCTGCTTTTTGCGTGTAGTTCTTTACACAATCATACGCTGAAATTGTTCCAGTCTGGCTTGCCACGCGCGTACAGGAACTCATCAGCGCTGTTCCGTATCAAGACTGTGCTCCATTTATTCCAGGAAGTGGTCCCGGCACTCGGCGACTCGCCCTCGCTCACGACGGCGGACACTATCAGTGAGAAACTTTTTACCGTCGACTTCGAATCTTTATGCGCACTGAAATACAAATGCTTCTGAGCTGAATATTAGGAGACTCTTCATTATTCATTGACTTACCATGCCTGATTGAGTGGTTGTATTCTGAAAGGAAATCACAGCCATAGATAGGGGCAGTTCGCGTCTGGTGATGGAGGTAAACAGGTTCGCACAGAGTAGCATTCGAAACCACGTTAAATTGCATCTCCAGCTCGAAGTGGTCTGACGGGAAATGGCCCGGAGCAGTATCCTTTGCAAAAGTTTGGGATCTCAGCATCTGTAAGCACACAACGAGGACACGCACGACAGACGTATTGCAGTTTGACACTCCTGGCAGTGACATTCTCATTTCTTCGTATGTCAACAAGCATGTCAAAACTTATGTCGTGTCGTGGTTGCCGCGTGCTTTTGCTTTATCATTTGCCTCTACTTTTACATTCCCTAGCCGCGCTTGTTCCGCAACTCTTCTGTGCCCACTCGGTGCCGTGTGTCAGGTAGCGGCCGCAGGTTTGGACCTGAGGTGAAAGTTACAAAGGTAGCAAAGTTGAGAACAAAAATGCTCTGTACAGTGACACTTTGCGCAGGTAGTTTTGGTGCAAATCCAAGTGTATTTAATGAAACCACAATTGTTCGAAAAAAAACTATAGATACGACAGATCTGCTCTTGAGTCTTCAAGCTGTACCTTTGTGCAAGATGAAATCAATTCGGCGAAACGCCGCTTCGTTGTGTTGCGTCGTTCCGTTCGGAAGAGCGGCCGGATAGGTGTCTCGTCCCGCAGGACCGTCGAAGTTCGCGAACGCGTCGCGAAAGCCCCAGTGCTGTGCGCGCCGGTACCATTCTTCCGTTGGCGGCCCGTTCATATCTCCGGTCAGAACGAGGTTGAAGTGCTCCGGATTAATGCTTGTTCCCGACGTGGTGGCTTTTTTATTCGCGGCGTCCAGAAGTCCTGCCATCGCCAGCTCCAATTCTGCACCCCGGTTCGTTTCTCCACCATCGGCCACACTCTTAGAGTCCATATGAACATTCCCACACACAAACAAAACCCCGTCTTCCGTGCGGAACATTTGCACGAGCATGGGCCGATAATTGCAATCCTTGTAATTCGGTGTCGGTTTTTCACAAGCCTCGCCGCGTGTGCGTTGCCGGTACACTCCCTCCCCAGCCCACGCGATTTGCCCCCACGGCCGTGGGGAGCTGGAGGCTTCACCACTCTCGTCCCACTCGGGCAAAATCGCCAGGGACTGCACATCGTTGTCCCATCGTATCGCCGCGCCGGTCGTACTCTGCACGCGCATCAGGGAATTCTGCGGCCGGCGCGCCTGCCCCAGAATCTCCGCCAGGTGCCAGAAATACATCTGCTGGGTGTCCGGGCCGCTGCCCGTCGTGTCGCCGCTGTCCTCTCGGGCTTCGACCACCTTGGCCTTGCTCTCCTGCAAGTGCAACACCTGCAGGTCTAGCCCGTTCTGCTCTGCTTCCGGGTCCGCGAGCGAGCTGCGAAACAGCGCAGACGGCATGCCGGCCCGGCGGAGGCCCCAATCGTCATTGCTTCCACCGACGTTGTATGATACTACGCGAAAACGAGTGGGGTTGGAATCTTCATCCTCGTCCGGGGGCAGTTATCCTACCAGAAAAGGCACCAGACGCACACCCATCACGCAAGTACTAGTACCGTGGTCATGATGCGTCATTTTTCCCCAAGGAGACAGATTCGTTGGAGCGAGAAAGGTAGGAGCTGTACTTTCGAATTCGACGGATACGGAACAACCGCGGTACACGAGTGTACTACAGGGAACAAATTTACTTCTCCAGAAAGAATTGAACCTGCTCTACCGTCATGACGGTAAAACTTACTACGGGTCCTCGTGCGCTTTTCTTCTGCTTCGTACCGGGTGAGGTCCCGGCCGACTCTCGCGGAAATCCACACCGAAAACCATTGTCGCGGGGAACGAGAGTTGTTCTGCTCGTGACCAGAGATCGTCAAACTCTGTTTTATTTCCGGCACCGTCGTGGTTCACCGGAACTAACCCTACTGGAACTTCCACCGCCTCCACCAAAAACTGTTGCCAATCAAATTTCAAACCAGTTGTTAGTCCGGAAGTAGACCTGCTGTACGCGTTGTTCCGGCCAATCTCGATCTCGGCTTCGCCGAGACCCGGGAGCAACCAACCGGAACCTTGCGGGGAAAAACACGGCTTCGCAGTCGTGGTGGAGTCGTGCTGCTTCTATGCAATACAAATTTATTACCGTACTCTACAACAACACAGCTTCACGTCTCTACTACTACAAAATCAAAATGCACCAAAAATTTTCCCACCACGGAGTTGACCCGACCTTTACCGCATGTGCTAACTTGTCCTGTTGAAGAAGGTTCTTGGGCGGGAATGCTGCAGAATTTGTCATGCATGGAGAGCCTGTGTACGTCTGCGTCCGAGTCCGTCGTCGCCTACGGAAACAAATTTACTACAGAAGATAGCTGCGTCCCTCGTGGGTAATGTCGACAGCTCTTGATCGGAAAGGCGTCCTCGTCGCCGTCCACAGGTTCATCCAAGGTAAATATGTCTGTGTCTGGAAGATAGCGAGATTAGCAATGATAGTCTGGCATATCGACTCTTAACTCTCACTCTGTAGTATTGCGTGCCCACGAACAAGAGCAAAAAGAAAAAAGCAGCTTCTCATGGGGAATACACAACAAAGAGCCACGATAAAATCGGCATGCATGAAGTTGTAGCATTACATTGTGATTACCTACTCACTTACATGCATCATTCACAATTTATTTCGCAATTTATTTCGCGACCCAGACATATTTGAATCGCATAAGGCTTCACGCGAAACAAAACCGCGTTGCCGTCGCTAATGTCTTGCCTCTGCAGCCGTAAAAATTTGTCACCCGCGCCATGATCACCACGCATAGGTAACGACTTCTCGTCTTCCGCGGTTCCGTCTTCCAACTTGATCAGGGACCCAAACTTGCTGTACTCCATGCGGTTCATGCTTTTCTCCGTGTTGCGATCGAGGCGGTCCGGCTTGGAGTAGCGGATGTTGTTGCCCGCATCCTGCTCGATCTGCAACAGCGCCGGCAGGAGCCTACTGGCGTACCACAGGTGATCGCTGTTCTGAGTTTGCTGCAAGAGGTTCTCTGCCACGTACTTGGCGCTTTGCCCCACCGCAAATGCCCGATCCGCGTCGCAGGTGTCGCAGGGAAGCATGTGACTCAGGTACTTGAACATCGTACTCGCGAACTCGGCGGTGCGGTTGTTTTTTGTGAACAGCCCGTAGGACTCGTCGGCGTCGAAATTCAGATTAAAATCTTGCCAGGGTTTGAACTCGCCTTCTCTCGCTGGTGAAGCTTGCCAGTAGCAGTAGTGAAGCCTCTTTTCCGCGATAAAGCTGCTCACGTACAAAAACCAGGGGTGAAACTGGTCGGAATTGTCGACGCCCCCGTAGTCCTTGTCGAGTCCGAAACCAAACTCCCCGATCCAGACCGGGCTCGTCTCTGCCACGAACCCCCTGTAGTACTCCATTTCCCGACGGTAGTCGTTGTAGGTAACGAGTGGCTTTCCATCGGCGTTGTTCCGGTCCCAGGTCAACCCGTGGTGGCCGACGTACCAGCTCGAATGGAAGGCATACACGTGCACGGAGTAGACGGTCTGCTTCGGAAATCTGCGATGCAGCCCGTAATCAAACACATTCCGCGGAAGCACGCCGGCGTAGTCCACACCTTCCACAAGCAGCAGCAGGTTTGCAGCGACAACTTTTGGGTTCCCAACGGTACTTAATGCCGAGACGCTGAACTTGTTCTCCATCTGCTCCGTGATGGTCTACATTCGGACCGCACACGCCTCCGCGACGGGGGCGAAATCCGGGTCTTCACTATTCCATACCGGCTCCTCAAAGTTACCGACGTGGTCATCGCCACCGCCCTCAGCATCGTCCGGAGGCGGCTTCTGACTCCAGTAGAGTGCGTCGATGTTCTCGTAGCCAAGGCGGTATTCGTTCCGCAGGTCGTAGCCGATCACGAAGGCGTTGTTTTTGTACCGGTCCGCGAGAAAGGAAATTTGCATGAGGAAAGAGGACGTCGGGTAGCGGTCCGAAAACCACATTTGATTTCCGTCCTTGGAATTGCAAGTGCAACACCACCCCGCGTCAGACATGTGCTCGTTCAGAACCACCATCATTCGTTTTTCCGTGATCTTCCTCACCATCTCATCCAGCAGGCACAGGGGCAGCGGCGCTTTTCATACATGAATTTGTCATGCAAAAACACTATCATCATTCACACGATCAAGCTGCTTCGCATGACAAATTTGCGAAGGGCTAGACACCACCTAAATCGGTCCGGAACTTGTAATGCTACAGGTGCAACCTCCCCCCTTTCACTTTTCCCATTCTTGCATGACAAGTTGAGAATGTAACATTTGAGAACGCCATATCGGCGTCTTCTCCAAAGAGGACATATTCGAGGAGATTCTCGGCCAGGAGTTCGACGACGAGTCCGCGGCTTTACCGCTAGAAGTGCTCGAAGCGAAGGAGGACGTTGCGAAAACGCTGCTGCACGGCGCGCTCAGCATGGAAACCTCGAGCAGCGACGAGGAAGGAGGAACAACTGTTGGTGCTGCTGCGACTACTGGAGCTGCTGCTGGAACAAGCGTCGAAAACAAGGAGAACAACACATCAGCAGACGATATAATTAACTCGGGATCCTCCAAGAGGAATACCAAATCTGCCAACAAACGAAAGAACGCCTCACAGATCGAGCTGCAGACAATGTCGGAAATGACCGGGCGACACCGTGATTCCACGGTCAGCAGTGCTAGCGGCAGCGGCATTGCGATGAAGAGTCAAGCGTCGCAAGGGGAACTACTGGAAGAGCGTGAGCAACTGCTGGAACTCACGAAGATGGTCCACGAGCCGGCCTCGAAGCTCCGCGGGGGCCAACACTTCTACAACGTGGACCCCATGAGCATGCGCGTCTTCAATAAGGCGCTGGCCGAGAGTCCGTTGACGCCCTTCGAGATTGCGGTCTTGTGTGCGCACCTGCGGGAGAATTACCCCGGGCCGGAATTGTTCCACGAACTGGCCGTGAGTAAGACTCGGATGGAAGGTTCAGTCGGCCGGGAAGAACTGCTTTCGGACTACGACGCAGCGGGTTCCTCTCGCGCGTCCTGGACCAGCATGCTAAAAAACCGCCTACTATCCCAAGCAAAAACGTCTCCACCCCATAGTCAAGATGGGAATCTAGCAACACAAACCTCCAAGTTTTGGGAGCTGTGCATGACAAGTTTCCCTCTGCAGTGCAGTGCTGATTGGCAAGATAGGCTGCATGAGAAAGCCATTCTCACATCCTGTTTACAGCATTACAAATTCCAAAACACGACTGGAAATTCCCCTCATGGAGCTGCGCATTACAAATGTTCCTGTCATTGCGCATTTGCATGACAACTCTGGTGTGGGGACGTTTTTACTCAGGATACCTGCCCTGGCGGTTTCAGACCGGGCACATGCGTATCAAAAGTAAAAATGTCTGGGTCTGGAAGAATCTAAACTCGTGATGCTGTCTCGGGATTCGAAAAAGATTTGTATTGCGTGACCAGTAAGAGGAGTTCGCGGAGATGGCATTTGTCATGCGGAATAGGCATGAGGAAGCGCTCTAAAAATCTGTTGTGCTACGGCATGCATCACAGACATCATGCGTCATGGAAAATATGCATGACAAATCTAGAAATCTTCCAGACCCAGACATTTTTACACTTGATAATGCGGCAGGTCGGGGAGGGCTGGATCGGCGGCAAGGCGCTGCGCTGGCTGCTGGCGACGGGCGCGCAGGTCGAGGTGCGCGTGAAGAAGAACAGCCACTCTGCCTTGCCGGAACAGGAGGACTTTTTGCTGCAGGCCGGCAAACCCTGCGACGACATGATCATCGTGCTCACCGGGGTCGTGCGCATCGCGCACCACCACGTGTTTTCGCACGGCTCGGCGTTGCCTTTGTCGCAGTTCCAGCAGGACCTGGGCTCGAACGCGGTGCTGAACATCGAGGCGCTGGTCCCGCAGGGGGACAACGGCGCGGAGAAGAAACAGAGGATCACTCCGGCGTATTCCGCGTGGATTTCTTCGCACGAAGTCTGCCTCGTGAAGATCTCCCGGGCGAACTACGAGGAGGCGAAGGCGCTTGAGAAGGCCAAGTGCCTGCCCGACCTGGACACCGCGCACTCCCATAGCCTCGCGGTCACGGAAAAGGCCCGGAAGTTGCGGACCATGATGATGCTCGCACGGAAGCAGGTCGAGATGGAGCACGCGCGGGTGAAAGCGGTAGAACAACATCACCAGGGGGATCCGCATCAAGGTGGTGCAGCTGTGCTAGTTGGAAGCAGTGCAATCAACGTGAATAGAAGCCCTAGCACTTCTGGACGGGGCTCCACCTTTGTGCATCTGTCCCCAGTCGTGCAGTTTGGAGGTGCACCAGCTGTTCCACCTGGCGCAGGTCCGTCGGTCACCTCCATCCAATCGGGTTCGGGGGGTAATGTGATTTTTGGAACGAATAAACCGCGAAAAAGCATGTTTCACAACGAGGACCAGCCAGCGTTTATTCAGTACCCCAAAAAGATATCAAATGTAAAAATGTCTGGGTCTGGAAACTTGTGATGCTGGGTGGCGTCTCATTATGAGGCTACAAATGCTGGCTCAGCATGACAAATTTCTGAGCTTGTAGGTGTTGCCTCACCATCTCATCCAGCAGGCACAGGGGCAGCGGCGCTTTTCCGAAAATTTCCTCGTATTTGGCGATGGACTTCAATCGATTTTCGCTCGCGGGCAACTCGTTCCAGCCGATCAGCTTTTGTTTGTTCTCCGTCGACATGCTATTCACGTAGTCAAACATCCAAAGCTCGTATTTGTTGTTCGTTTCCGCGTCCGCCTGTGCGAGTTCTGCGGTACCCGGCGGCTTGCACTTCTCGAACAGCGCGTCATTTCCGCCGATGGTTGTCGGTAAAGCATCCCGCAAATCTTGTTCCGACCGGCAGATTTTCAGGTTTTCTGCGGAGTGGAAGATCTGGTCCCGCGAGTACCCCAGCCGCACGTGGTTCAAGCCCCAGGCGCGAAACTGGTCGAGGACATGGTCCATGGAGTAGTACCGGAGAAACGCTTCCGTCCCCAATTTCCCGTGCGTATTCCAATTACTCCCCTTGAGGTAAATGATCTTGTCGTTGGCGTCTTTAATCAGCGGCCCGTCGACGTGAAGTGGGGGGCAGTGCTTCGCGGGATCGCAGTCTACTGGCGTCGTCAAACCACCGGGCGAGGTGGAACTTGAGGTCGTCGATGTGGTTGCCGGACTACTCGTTGTCACCGGCTTCGCAGTTGTGTTTGGCTGCGGCGGAAGTGGATGTGGCTGCTCCGTACTACTATACGGCTGCGGCGGCGGCGTCGTACTCGTACCTGGTTCGGGAGGAGGAGGCACAGCACCAGAATCATCATCTTGATCCCCATCATCTCCGCCTACTAACATACAAAAAATGAAAAGGAAAAGCACACAACCTACACCACCATTTCGCCATACCCTTAGCGACACACACGAGTCATACACACAGCAGCACCTGTTTATTCTAATTTACCACCTGGTCCTTGTATGTGTAAGTACTAGTGCCTTTCTGTGGGATATCTGCCGGTACGGGAACCTCCTTCTCCTCCTCGTCATAGCAGCATGGTTCTTCCCCTTGCCGTTCTTTCTGTCTCGATTCATTTTCCTTTTCCGCGACGGCAAGAAAGGCCTGGGAGGGTGATGAGGGATGAACCTCTCCCCCTCCGGATGGTCGAGGATCGAGCATGATATCATGTGTACTAGCAGCACTAGGCGGGCTGGTCTCTTTAATGCCCTCTTCGTCGCCTGCTTCAGCAGCACCGGCTGGTCCTCGTGCGTCGTGATCATCATTTTCAGTATCGATACTTCCGCTGTTTTCTTCACTTTTTTTTCTTCTCTTCGTGCGCTTATTCTCACCACGTAGTCGCCGATCGCCGTCGCCAGCGGCGGGTAAATCGCCGTTGACCACAGCAGTTACAGCCTTTGAAAGTTGAAGTAGTTCTTGCAGGCAAAGTGCCAAGTAGCAGCACGGAAGAGAAATCTTCAAGCAAGAACTAGATCTTGCAGCGGGCAATTTTCTTCTGCAGAAAATCATATTTTCTGCAGTCCCAAGTCGAGCAGCAGGCGCAGGACGAATGCGAGTCGGTGTCGTGGGCTTCGTTTTTACATCGTAGCGGACAACGAGCTGCTACACATTTTTAGTAAAGCATGACACATTTTGCACTTGCAATTTAGAGTTATTCTTATCTCCTCGTTTTATGTGTGCTCAACGCATACACGTCTTACTTTGTTCACTCAAGATGATCCTAGTCTTGCCTCGCGAGTTTGAATCTCGATGAAAATTCCACGAAGTAGACAGGAATCATAAGACCAAACACTCGATATTCGATGCTTTATTTTTCCATTTGCCTTTTACCCATACCCCGCTCCGAGAAGTACTAAACATCAGCGATTAGCGATAGGCCCACGCCCAGCCAGATTGATAAGTACCCCCAAGCCAGACCCCTCGAAGTGAACGTGAACCCTTTCTTCCTTGGGGAGGTGTATTAACCGCGCAGCATTTCAAGAGGATCGGGCCAAAGAGGCAGTGACCCTGCAACAATCGATTGCGTCTGCACGACTGTTGCTTTGCTTTTTTTTTTCTGATAATTGATCTTCTGAAACGTTTGCGCTGCCGGTTTTTCTCGAGCAAGCTCTTTGATTTTAGTTTCTGGTAGTACAACCGTTCGCCCGATCGCGGCAAGAAATCTCCGCAAGAACCGGCATGTTCACAAAATATACTTTTTTTATGAAACTTTTCCGGTATGGAAAGTTCTGGTCTCAAAGTTCGAAAATCAGAAACAGAAGGTCAACAAAGAGCTGCGCTGCTTGTTGTGGTTGCAGCAACTATTAATCTGCAATGCACAGCACTAGCAGCTCTAAGAACTTTTGAATCTATTGTCAATAATTTTTTTCCTCTTACGTCGTTATTTCTTTGCGTCAAGTTCAAGCTTTTGATCATCAAAAAACAAGTTCAACTGACTTTATTCAGTGGAAACAAAAACAAACGGAAACGCTTTATCATGTTCATGTATACATGATATAAAGCTCTGTCAACCAAGGCAGTCTTCTACTCCTCATCCTCATCGCCCCCGGTGTTATCTTCCGCGTCCGCCTCGTCCGCTGCTGGGCCGGGGTCCTCTTCTTGCATTTCCACGTCGTTGTCGTCCGCCGCGGGCTCGTCCTTGGTTTCTGGACCTGCTGCTCCCGCTGCGTTCTCATTTCCGAGGTCCGGCACGTCGTTATCCAAGCTCAGCCCCACCGACTCCAAAACGGCCTTTTTTTGGGGGCCACATATTTGGGCACTTTTTTTGGATTGCATTTTGGCGCTTCGTTGCGGGCGCCAAAAGAAAGGGCATGGCTCGGCGCTTCAGGCCCCTTTGGGGCGCCACTTTCATCTTTTCAGCCTGCCAAGTAAGGCGCCGCGGCATCATGCATGAGGGAGAGCGCTCACACGCATAGGCGGCTGCGACGCGGGCGAACCTAAGGAGACAAGACGGCTACTGCGCTGCCCCTGAATGACAACCCAGCCGCGCGGCCGACCTGCTGATGCGTCGGCCACGAGACTTATGGGGCCCCTTCCATTTTCTTGAAAATGTCGAAAGTGGAAAAAGATACACAGCCTCGCGGACATCCGCAGGCATGAGGGTGCGCGCCAGAGTAGGCCCACGACGGCCCCGCTTGAAAAAGTAGCCCACTCGGGAGACAGAGCAATAGCAGGCGAGTCTTGTTGCACTTTGGGCCGACAGTGCGGCTACTCCTGACAAAAAGGCCGACCGACTGACGGCGCCGTGGTTGGCGCGCTCCCAAAAGGCGCCGCGGCTAGCTTACAAAAGCGCTCACAACGTCCTTCCCACTCCGGGCTCGAAAACCGGCCTCGGGGTGGGGGGGGTGAATGAAAAAAAGACGCGTGGGCAGCCCCTTTTAGTGAATATGCGTGGGGGTGTGGCAAATATGTGGGGCCCTACCACCCCAAATATTCGGAATCAGGGCGGCATACTGAATATTTGGGGAGGGGGAGGCCCGCATATTCACTAAAAGGAGAGCACCGGCGGCGCCAGCAGCCGATGAGCGACACGAAGCCAGCCTGTGGACGGACCTCACGAAGCCCGGCTGCTTTCCAAAGCGCCAGTGCCGCAGGCATGCTACGCACGGCGAGCTGCGTGGCGGATCAAAAACCACTAGCAGGGCGGGGACTGTAGACGCACGGGCAACACAGGTGGCCTAGCGGCTGCCCTCCTTTTTGCCCCCGGCCAAGCCGACACACGCACGGAGCCCTTCTGGTTTTCGTGCGGGCGTCCCAAGCCGTAGCCGCCACGCCGGAATTGCCCCAAGGGCTAGAGCCGCCCGAAGGGCACTCGGCTGCGGTTGAAGGTCACCTCGGGGAAGTTGCCGAAAGTTCCGCAGCGCCACGTTGGGCGCTCAATGCCTTGCGCGTGCATGGAGAGCAAACACAAATCGAAAAGGTCGACACCGCAGGAGGCCGCTGCCGGCGCCAATATTCGTAGCGAGTCTGCTTAACAAACTCACTTACTTACTACATTAGTGGCGCCCGGCATCGCCCGAAACATCCAGCGCCAGAAGTGCTGTGGGTGCATTTCCCATTCAGACACATGCCCTCACCAACGAAAAGCGGCAACATGTTGTGCGCGTTTTTACCTTGCGCAAATTCGCGAAACCTAAAATCCCCCCGAATATGTGGGCACTAAATAAAAGCCGTTCTCACTGCCACGGTGCTAGTTTGTCCCCCCATAGTCGTTATCCAAGCCCAGCCCCACCGACTCCAGAACCGTGACTCGCTGCCGCAGCGCCTGCGTATCCGCCAGTACCCCCTGCAAGAACCGATTTGTCATCCCATCGGCCAGCAAGTCCTGCTCCCGTTTCAAGAATTGCACGGCTTCCTGCTTCGCCACCATTTTCTCGAGGCTTTGCTTCGTGTCGAGGGACAAACTCTCCACAACTGCCGCGACGTTTGCCGGGATCTTGTTGACCTTGGTGAAGAGTTTTTCGGCTTTGTCGGTGGGGATAATGCTCGCTTTGACTTCCTCGAAGGTCTGCTCGGTGGCTTGGCGATCGTTGTCCTGTGCCTGCTTCAGCTCCTCCTCGTAATCCTTCATTTTGTCGATCTCCTTTTCCACCTCGAGCAAATCGTCGTCGATCTTCTGCTTTACTTGCTCAAATTCGACCAGCCAGTCCTTGAACGCGCCTTGGGTTTGGTACACGTCGGACAGGGAGGCGATCTGGGATTTTTATTTTTTCAACTTTATTCGCGTTTTTTCTTTTTTCCCGTACATAGTCGCAAGTAGTTACCTCCGTCGTGGGACCCGGTTTTATTTTCCATAAAACTCCACCCTAACTCAGAAGCGATGCCGTGCTGATACTAGTGTCATCAAACTACTACTTAACCTGCATGTTAAAAATCACAAAGGATAATTTTGAAAGAGCAAAACATTTCGTACCGCCGCCTCCAGGCTTGCGGTTCGCTCCACCTGCTCTGCAAGCATCTTCTCGTCGAAGTTCTTGCTCAGATTGTCATCCGTGGTCTTGATTCTCCGGCTCAAATCCGAATTGACGCGGAGGGTTTCGTATGCACTGCAAAAATGTCTGGGTCTGGAAGGTTGGAACTTGTAATGCTGGCTCTACATGTACATTCCTGGGAAATCTGTATTGCATAAACAACAGGAGTCGCAGCCTCTTTTGTCATGCAAAAACGCAGTTTGTCACGCGGATTGCCTATGAGAAAGCGTTTTGGGAAGTTGTCATACTGGGCTGCATTCGCGAGTGTTTTCATCATGGACATTTTAGCAACACAAGTTTCCAGAGCCAGACATTTTTGCAGTTGATATTTCGTTCTGTAGTTTCTGGTTCTCCAGACCCTGCTCTTCGCGGAAATCGTCAAGCTCGCGGGTGAGAGAACCTGTTTTTCTTTTTTCTCATGCGGTGCCCCCTCGCAAAAATACGAGAAATATTTTCTCACGCAGGATGATCATGTGCTCCTTGTTAAGGAGTAAAAAAGCTCCAACACTATCTGTTCATCTCCCTAAGCCCTCGCACGACATCTTCACAAGCCGCGGGCGCGGCCGAACTCGAACAACATACTCTGCATAAAAATACAGATGCAGAAGTCACGTCAAAGATCAAAAAAATACGTCTGTTCTCCTCCAGCGTCCGTCTCGTGTTCCCGTGCTCTCTCACATCGGATTCTTCCAAAATGGCTCTTGTTTCCCCGACCATCTTTATCCGTTCCATCTTCTCCTGGTCCAGCCCCCGCTGCATCCGCTCCTTCGTGTTCTGGTTGTCCTTCTTCATCAGCTCGAAGTCGCGAGACTGCTCCAGAAAGTGCATGTTCAGGAAATTTGTCATCGACTTCTCGTAGGTATACTTCACCGCAAAATTTTTGGCCTCCACCTGTTTCTTCCACTGTGTCAAATCAGCTTGGTCTTTTAACCGAATTTCCTCCTGCCGGATCTTTTCCTGATCAAAGTCCCACCGGAAGTCGCGGATCTGGTCCTGCAGATAGTCACACTTCTTGGTCAACAACTGCTCGTTTTCCTTGATGAAGACCTGGAATCTTTTATCCGTCGTGTCGCAGTACTGCTGCATCCGCTGGTTCAGCTCTTCGTGCCTCCGTTGGTTCAGCGACTCATGCGCCTCGAACCGTTTCTGCATGGCGTGTATCCGCTCGCCCTCCTGCTGGATCCGCTCGGCCCGTTCGTTCTCGATAGCGGTTTGGAGCTTTTCGGACAAGGACTCCGTCAGGGTGGTGAGTTCGCGTTTGAACTTCTCCTCCCAATAATTCCGGGCATTGGTCAGGTTCGCTTGCACGGAGTTCTCGTGGTCTTTTATCTTGTTCTGCATTTCCTCGGACAGCTTCTCCAGGTACTTCACCTCGGTGTCCAGCTTTTTCCACACGTCAGAAATGTCGCGCGCGATCTGCATGGACTGTTCGTTCAATCTCGACTCGGTTCTGATCTCGAACTTCTTCACCTGGCCGTCGAGGTCCTGCCGGGTCTTTTGCAGCGTCTCCACCGTTTGCTTTTCAAACCTGATAAAGAATTTTTTTTCCGTGATGTTGTGTGAAAGGATGAAAAACTGTTGATGTCCTTATTGGTGACGCAGATGATGTTAATTCTGGCAAAAGTGGTTCTGCTCTTGTCACATATGAACGAAAGTGGATTTCCCTGCCGTGTTTTTTCTTGTAAGAAGTGCGCAGTATAGCAGATTATTTTTTTCTTTATTTCCATTGTTTTGTACGAACAACCCTGTCGTGGTGCAAGAGTAGTAAGTAAGTACTATACCTCAAAACGTGTTTCTTTTGTCCCTCGAGCGCGTCGTAGCACTTCCGATCGACGCCCACGATCCGGTCAATCAAATTGGACTCCACCGAGTCCATCTTCGTGTGCGTTTGCATCCTGAACTCAATGTTGTTCGTTTCCATCGCCTTGATCTCCCCGACCACGTACTCCTTCTCCTCCTCTAACTTCTGCGACAAGACAGACCGGTGCGAAAACTCTGCCTGTTGCAGCAATCTGGTCACCGTCGCGGTCAGTTCCTGGACGGAGTGCTGCATTTTCGCCTCCATATTTTGCAGATCCGTCGTGTTCGTCCTGCGGTTTTCCTTGTTCAGCTTGTCCACCGCATCGGTGTGCAGTCTCGTCTGTTCCACCTGGGCCTCAAACTTTTCGAAATTCTCCATGGCTAGATGCCGAATGGAATCACAGCCCTTCGAAACTTCGTCCTGATAGAATGTTGATTTTTTGCATATTATTCACTTTTTAGAAACAGATTTCAGTGCCGTTCTTCTGCTTGGAGGTGTTTCTGAATGCCGACCCAAAATTCTATTTATCAGGCACCATACGTCGAGGATCATTCCTTGCGCAACACAAACTGACAAAACTTTTTTTCCTTTTACACAACAACCAACTTCGTTAAAAAATGTCTCTAGTAGTACCTGTATCTTTTTGGAGCAGAAGGACTCGAGTCCCTCTTGCGTTTTCGCCAACCCGGCAATTTTTGTTTTCACGTGCCCGACAATGGTGGACAGCCCGGTGAACTCCCGATTCCAGCGCTTCTGCTCCTCCTCATTCTGCACGTCTTTCGTCTCTTGCTTCTGGTCCTGTTGCAACACCACAAGTTCCGCCTTCGCCAGCCTCTGGTCGAAGGCGTCGTTCACCGACTTTTGGTCCTTGAAATGAGAATTCGTCAGGTATCAAAATGAAAAATGTCCCCGCCCCAGAATATGAAATATGTGTTGCAAAAGTTCCCAATGGAAGCTTTTGCCACCTTGCTTGTATCAGCACCACAAGTTTGCGACTGAGAATAGCAAAAGTTTGTCTTGCAAACAGGCCCAGTGCAAGGCTGGCTTTTCATGTAGAAACTACTTCGCGCGCCTACAATCTGCATGACAGACAGTCTTCATCCAAGCGCGCAAGACAAAAAGTTTTCAATTGGAATTTTTGCAACACAAATATTTGAATCTGCTGGGGCGGCGGCTACTTTTTTCAATTTGATATCAGGTCCGACTGGTTCACCAGCTTCCGGTCAATCTCCGCGAGCAAGACGCCGGATTTGTTCTCGATGATTTGCTGCAGATTCGACACCGCCTCCTTCCACTCCTTCCCCATGTCGATGTAGCACTGCCACAAATCCTTCGAGTTCCGCGTTTGGTGTTCGGTATGCATTGCAAAAGTATCGTACCCCTAATATGTAATTGCAATTATGCATGACAAATCTTGTTCTTAGGGGAAAACAGCATGACAAGTTTCAGCTTCCATGCTGAGCAAATTTGTAATGCAATTCATACTAGAGTACGATACTTTATTTGCAATGCATATTCGGTTGCCAACGACAAATTCTGCAACAGTTTGTCCTCCAAACTCGCGTTCACCTGCACGATCTCCTTATCCTTCTGCCGTTGCTGCGTGGTCAAAACGTCCAACTTATGAATTGCAAATATAATGTCTGGGAGGTCTGCAAACCTGTGATGCAGGTCAGGGAATAATGTATGAGCACACTGTGACGCGCTGCCAAGCACGACAGCTTTTTGCGTGGTTCTGAGTAGCGTATTCCGCATCAGAAACTGCGTGTTTGCAGGACCACGCAATACAGAGCGCAGGGTCAACATGCCAGAATAGCATGCCAAATCTCGCAATCTTCCAGACTCAGACCTCACATTTGCATTTGATACAACTCCAGTTTCAGCTGCGCAAACGCGTGGTTCACCGACCCCTCGGAGAGCTTCAGGATCCGCGCGTCGTGCTCCTCCTGCAGTTTCACCTTCTGGTCCTTCAAGTACTCGTGCTCCTGTTTCTGCATAAAATGCTGCAGGTCCGCGTGTAGCGCTTTCACGTTCGTGGTCATCTCCTCCTGGAGCAGCTGTCTCGCTTCCTGCTCCAAGGCGAGTTGTTTTTTCACATGCTCCAGCGCGACGTTGTAGTTCAGCATGTTCCCAGCGGTCGCCGCTCGGACCAGCTTCGCGGACAGTAATTGCCCGTTGTTATTCATCCTGGTCGTCGTTGTACTGCGGGCGGAGTACGGTGGGGATTGCGACAGACCACGACCACCTTGGTTATTACTTCCAAACGGCTGCTTGGAGGGGGAACTGGGAGATGTCCCGACAAAAACGCCGTTCTGGAGGGTTGGCTGCTGGTCGAGAACGGCCTGGTGCACGACCCCGCCGGGGAGTAAGTCCGCCGGGAAGAAATCCCCGCCCGGGTTGGTGACGGACTTTGTGCCAAGATCCCCGTTCATCATCTTCTCCATCATCATGGACAGCTGCCCCAGCTGGGCATCCATCGCGGAAACTTTCAGCTCCATGTTGTTTACCAGCTTCTTCTCGGATTCGCCCTGAGAAATGGTTTGTCATGCTCAGGAGCTACTTCTAGTAGGTACTACGCATGGTGATGGGCCACTGAAGTTCATTCTTGTCATGCGCAGCGGCATCACTAAAGAAACATTTTGTTCTTGTAATACATAGTGCATTTATTGTACTATACCTTCTGCAAAATGTATTCCAGGCCGCTGTTTTTGAGATTTAGCATCTGACTTTGGTTCACCTCCTGCTCTGACCGCAGGTGTTCCTTGAACCTCCGGTCCCAGATCTCGAATTTTTCCCATTTCGATTTCTATCATTTGTAAAAACGTCCCCACCCCATAGCTATCATGCAAATCTGCATGCTGAAAATGTTTCTCATGCGGAGCCCCACGAGAAGCATTGTCTAGTCGTGTTTTGGAATTTGTCATGCTCTAATCAGCATTACGCACTAGATCTATCATGCTGCTGAACTACCTCAAACAGTACTTCACTACGAGTTCAAATTTGTCATGGAAAACAGCCAAAACTTGTGGATTTGTCTAGCCGATTCCCCATCTTGACTCTGGGGTGGGCACGTTTTTACTCAGAATAATTCCAGTCTCTTGTTCACCTCCTCCTCCACCGACTGGAACCGTTTCTCCAAGTGGGATTGCAGGTCCAATAACTGCTATCCAGGAAAAAAACTGTGTAAGTGTAACTTTGTAGGAAGCGCAGCATCACAAATTCGCTTTGCATTACAGGGAAAACCTGTCATGCGCAGCTAGCAAGTGGAAACACGTATGATAGTAGCATATCACGCACTTCCAGCATGACAACTCTAACTGTTTTGCATTTTCTGCATCACAGATTTACACTTACACAGTTCTTTTCTTGCATAACTGCTCCTCCAAGTCCAAAACGCGGGACTGCAGCGACAGCTCCACCACCGGTGCGGCAACGGATATGAAGTGTAAAAATGTCTGGGTCTGGAAGAATGCAACTTGTGATGCTGTATTTAGATTCCAAAAAAATCTGTATTGCATGAGTAGCAAATAACGGAATGCAATTTTTGCTACGCTAAGAAGGCATTTGTCATGCGGAATAGGCATCAAGAAGCCATCAAAAAATCTGTATTGCTAGGGTATGCATCACAGACATCATGGCTCATGCAAAACGTGCATGACAAGTGTCAGAAGCTTCCAGAGCCAGACTACATTTTTACATTTGATAACGGAATTAGGCTGCTGATCGGACCCCCCGGATGCGTCCGGGAGAATCCGCTTCGCGTTCCGCCCACGAAAAAAGTCCACCATGAGGAGCGCGACAAGTACAAGTAGCTCGGTGTAGTAGTTCTTCTCGTTGCCCCGTCGCGCCGCCGTTGCAAACTGCAACTCGCAAACGGAGCAGGGGTCCAAGTTCAGGACGAGAAACAGAAACACGGGATGTCAATATTTGAAGAAAGAGAAACACCACATCGTTATATTTGTTTTTTCTTCAACATCTATTTCATATTAGTACATGTCTCATCGTGTTGGATTCCTTGCTTGTGTTAGATGTCAAACCGCAGTCGCTCGATCCTAGCACCACTTCAAAGGCGACGCTGCACCTTTAACAAACTCGAATCGAATAAGAACGACACAATAACGACGCTGGAAACGAAAATATACGAAAGCACGATGAATAATACGGCTCTTGCCATATCTCTCAAAAACCCACGCAGACGCAGCCGGAGCCCCTCGTAGCTCCACCTCTCCATCTGCTCTCGACGAACCGAACGGAATCATCTTCGAGAATGGAGATGAAAGGTTAATAGTTACAGCGTGTACTATCTGTAATGGGAAGTACCCACTGAGGGCAATGGAGCAAACAGCAAGACAGGTCGGTGTATCATGACCTTCCCGCGAGCATCAATCTTTATCAGTTTCTGAAGATCACGCTGAAAAATTGTGCCATTGGAAGGTCTAGGATTTGCAACACTATAGCAGCGATAAGAAAGCATCCGTCGAGTGACGATGATCACACACAGGCATGTTCTACTTGATGCGTTGAATATCAAAGTCAGGCCGATGTGGTCCACGGTCGTGCTATGTCCGAGCTCCTGACATACAGCAAGTGGCACAGGAAGGTGTTTGTTCCACCTGTAGTTCACACGATGTCCCCGACAACGACCCCAAGAAGTTAGATGAACACCTACAGTGCTGCTTCTCCCGCTTGCTGTTGTGCGTAGAAGTAGTAGACTACTGCTATTCCACCTGCCGCGCCAAGGATGACCATCTGCGGTGAGACAAAGGAGCCCGGATATCCCATGTAAAAACGTCCCCACACCAGAGTCAAGCTGGGGATCTCGCAACACAAATCGAGAAGTTTTGGGGGTCCAGCATGACAAGTTCGTCTCTGTATTGTAGTGCAGTTTAGCAAGCACAGCCGCAACACAAATCCATCTACTCATCCTGTCGACAGCATTACAAAGCGCAAAACGCGATTGGAAATGCCTCTCATGTGGAGTAGCTGCAAATCTGCATGACAACTCTGGGGTGGGTACATTTTTGCTCAGGATACCGGAGTGCTCGTTGTTTTTCCGCTGCTGGAATCTTCTTCCGACTCTTCTCGACTACTTGCAGTGTCGTTTCCTGTGGCATTATTTCCAGGTGCGGGAGTCGTGGTCACTGTCTTGCTGGTACTTGTGGTCGAACTGGTAGTCGTTGTAGTCGTGCTCGTGCTTGCCGTATTGAAGAAAAAAGTGTGCTGTCGTGTAGTGTGGAGAACTTTTACTTTGTAATGCAGAACTACAAAAAGGAGATTTCGTGTTAGACGTCTGTTTCTATGCCTGTAATCGTTCTGAATACGCGTTGTACGGTCTGTTCAGGAAGCGCGCCTAGTTGTACTTAAGGCACGCAGGTGAAGAAAACTGCGATAGTTTTCACAGATACTATCAGCGCAGCGCAAGTTTTTGCTCCCACGCTAGACGAAGACAGGTCATTTTTCTGTCATTTGTGATGCTGATGTTCTCTCTGTCAACAAAAGCTAGACGAAACACACTTTTTCTGTCGGATATGTCGTTGAGGTGGTCGACGTTGTGGTCGTACTGTAACACCTGTATGTCTTGAACTCGGCTATGAAGAAAAAACAAATTGTTACAGTAACGCGCTGTGATGTAAAACTAGCAAGACAAGCCACCGCTGTCATGCTGGAAATGCCTGCAAGCCTGCGTGTTTTCCCTTGCGTGCTTTCCCTTATGTTCTCTGCAATGCAAGTTCTCGCTGGGCTGTGCAAGTTTGTCTTTATCGTGTTGCTGAAGTTATAATAACTGTGTAACTGTATTGTAACATCATCACTTTTTTTGTTGGATACTGGCGTGTTTGTACATGGTGCACCTGCTTCCGCCGTTCGCGCAAGGACACCGATTGAATAAAGAACATGCCACACCACCAAAATGAAATTGGTCATTGGAATCTGTCCAGTCCGGGACTGCATAGGTGGCGTAGAAGTTGCAGCCCCGGATCGTGTCGCAATGTGTTCTGCACTCCTCTTCGGATATCGACTGGAAACAAATAGGTCTCTCTGGATCTGGGTCAGCAAAAAAAAAGGGCTGTGAATGATCAGCCTACACCTACTGCGGTTATACTATATCACACAGCAACCGATCCGCGAAGGTGTTAAGCGGCTCGGTGTTGCAGCTTCCGCGAAAAAGGCACACCGTGTTTTTGTATGACGGCCAAGAGGTCGACCAGGTCCACGACCTTTTCGCGCACACGCGTTAGTTACAAGGCTGAAACCAATTATGCGACAACGAGACAAGCAACCCAATTCTTGCATCCAGACACAGACATACAAATTGGGCAATGCGTATCCGATTGAAAAAGCCCACTCCCGACGTCCGCGCCGGGGGCAGATGCAGCAAAGGTGTAATCTGCCGCTACGTTTTTCGTGCTGGAGCTCTGAGACGCATCGTACATTGGTGAACTGAGGAGGCATTCCTTCCCCACGGAGTTGCCCTCACTTTCCTTGCGTTGAAAATCTTCAAGGTCGACATGCCACACAAGTATCATGAGTGAAAACGTACCCGGCGCAGAGATTTATTACCTGCCAACAACATTACTACCGACCAAGCTCGTCCTCGCCATGGATGGAAGGCACTTACTTATTTCTACTTAGTCGTGTTTGCAAAGTCATCGATGTCATGCCCCAAAATACAGGACGAGAGAGCGGGTTTGCGATGCAGCTGGTCTAAGCCTCGCCAGGGACGACTTCTACACTGCATTGCTAAATTTGTCATGCGCAACTCCCAAACCTGGTGAATCTGTGTATGCAGAAATTCTGTCCGGACTCTCACTATACCTGTTGGGCGGGTACGTTCATAAGTACACAGGATAACAAGATAACAATCTTTATTGCTGCTGTCAGCAAGGGCATCCCACGGAAAAAAATGTTGTTAACTTTAGGATATTGGATGTCTTGCGTGACGATGACATTGCTGATCTACGGGTAGGACGTCCCTGTGGCGCGACGGCCGTGGACAATGACAAGTTTGTGTCGCAGATGACCCAAAAAATCTGCTTCGCGCACTCTACGTATTGTCATGGTCATCGGGAAGAGCACGGACACCTCAAAAAAAAAACATTTTGATTTTGCTGCATTTTGATGCATCAGGAAGGCAGCTGTGTGTAGTTCTTGCAGATGCTGCATACTTACAGTTCCACGGTGAAACGATGACAGGTGTACTTATCCATGGTCCAACATTTACTTTTCGTGCGATAACAGGTGTATTGCTCCGCATTGGTGTCCGCCATCCGCTCGCTGGCATCGCAGAACCCACTTGCAGACATTGACGTTGACAGTGTCTCTTTACTCTCTGTGTTACGATGTAGATGTTGCTGTTGACGTCCTCGCTGAGCGTAGTTCTCCAGGAACGTCGTTTCGTTACCGCGGGAAAAGATGTTGTCTTTCTCGTCGAAGAATTTCATCCTGCCAGGAGTACTTGCACTTCTTTCAGTCGTTCGTGGAAGATGTAGATGTAGTGGTAGATCATGGGCATCCTGCCCAGCCGCGTCCTCCATTTCTTGTTCCTGTCCAGTATGTTCCTTCTCGCCCGGCCGTTGTTCTCCCACCGCTTCGTCATCCACGTCAAAACTCTCGGAGGATTTGGATTTTCTCACGAGATGCACATCATGCAGTGGTTCTTCTACCTCCGCGTTTCGCGTCTCATCTTCTAGAAAAGCATGACTAGCATCGTCCCCACGAAGATGTGTACGTGGAGGTGTTCTTGGTCGTCTCTGGCCAGATGAAGCAGATGAAGCAAATCCCTGCTTTGTGATGTTGCGATCTGCTCCTGCATCAGCGGCGGGCCGTAGGTGGAATAGAGCACTCCCATCACTCCCATCCTCCCCCTCCACCTCTTCGTTGTACTGAATTTCACGGCGGACCAGGTTGCTTTTAGTTTTATTCACGGCTTGTGTTGGTGCTGGCAACTTCGAAGTAGATCTCAAAGCTTCTATTAGTGCCGATGAACGACCCGTCGCCTTCCGTTTAGTCTTGTTCTCCCCGTACTTAAAATCTTCACCACCTGCACTGGTGCCGTGTGTTGTTGTTCTTTGCCGCTGGTGTTCCTGTTCTTCGTACAATCCACTTTTGCGCAATTTTACATCGGCCCGAGGTGGTGAACCCAGAATCTGGTGCTGTGAAGATACTACAGAGGAAATACCCGACGTCTTCATCACGTTTTGCTGCTCGTCTGGTACTCGTTCTACTTGAGGACCGATATTGTCATGGTCCTCCCGCGAAGGTTGTATCAGTTCTGGTTGGGAAGTAGTAGATAGCGACTGCGCAAGGAGTGCATTGAACAGTGGCAGGAAAACAATCTTCACGGAGAGGAGACCGCACGACGGCATGATTTTTGCGAAATAGCAAAAGAATACTAACGATTCCTCTGGCGAAATTACGTGAGCGCAACGAAGACAAGCCGCTGTTGATTCTGCGTCTGATCTTCGTATACAATGCCCAATGGTAAAAGTCCTCTTATCAAAACAACGAACGCGGCGAGGACCAGGACCGTCGCGTTCTTGTCATTTTCACTACATGTATCTCTCACCCGCGTCCTCAGCTGAAATAACGGCCGCCAAGGACATCTATCTTGGTCACTCTGCAAAGTATCTTCCTCTCTCCTCTCACGGCGTCCGAGAAAAAAACAACTGAATCTGTCTCGCGTTAAAACAAAGAAAAGTGACATTCAAAATGTGTACATCACTTCAAAAAAACCTTGTTGCTTCTCCTCGTCAATACGGCTGCCCCCGTAGCCCCGAGCAACCCCGCGACGCGGACAGATACAGGGATAAATCCCGCACCTCGGGTAGGTGCTTCCCGTCCCCATACAAATTCTTCAACCTCGCCTCCAAAGTGGCCATCACCAGCGGAACCGCGGCCTCCACGTTTTTCAAGTGAAAAGTGGTCAAAATGTACGCCACCTCTGCGTCGGAGATGACGGAGTTTCGGTGATATAAAGAAGAAGTAGATCTGGTGCTCGGCTTATCTGCGCCATGTTGTCCTGGCACTCTTCCATTCCTTGCAATTGCAGAAGTTGTACTGTGGTGGTCTTGCTCCCTGTTATTCAGGAAGTGCTTCCTCAGTTCTGTGAGCTTTTCCCGGTAGAGTACGGAGGAGGTTCTGGCAAGAGGAACGTCAGCTTTATTCGACCTTGTTGTACTACTAGTAGTGCCCTCTGCTTGTTCCGCTCCATCAGCTGTGTTCTCCCTGCTTGCCGTGGTCGCAGCCGGTGAAGCTGCAGACGTCGCGTCGCTGCTCGCCGTGTATTGCCGGGCACCAGTTGTCGCCGCTTCCGCTTCGTCATGTTCAATACTAAAGTTGTTGTCGTGGCTAAATTCCATCGGTAAAACTGGCGGTGGCTTGGTCAGCAACATCGTACTGGCTGTGCCCTTGTTCTTCTTGCCTGTGTGATGAACAAGATTTATTCGCGACGCTTGTTCATCCGCCGAGAGCTCGCGGTCACTGTGGTAACCGGTGGAAGAGGCGCTGGAAAGATAATGAAGATGTTGAGCCCCCGGTAGATGTTGATGTGATGTCGACGGGAGTTGTTGTAGTTCTTCCTTGTCAATCACTGCAGTCGTCGGTGTTTCTACTTCTTGCCGCAATTGCCCGGACACGAAGCGAAGGTGTTTGCTTGGTTTCTTCTTCTGTGGATGTGAGCCAGAAGATTGCTTCTTCACCCAAGAATCACTACCCCCCTGGTCATCGTGTGGAAAAATCTCCAGCTTTGGCGACTGCGGTTTCGCAGTGAAAACCGGACTGCTCGCGAGACGAAAGGCAGGCGTGTCGTGGTAAAAGTTGTTTTCAACTTTATTTTTATCATGGTTTATTCCGTTGTTGTTGTTGATGTCCTCTCTGTCAATCTCCATTGTCATTTCCGGCAGCGGCGTGTTCAAAATGTCTACTAGCATGGCTGCAAACGTCTCTTCGTCAAACAAGTTCTGCACCGCAAACCGCCGTGACATTGCAAGCAAAACCTTGATTTCGCTGTGTCTCAGCAGCTGGTTCTCGTCGGAAACCAAGGACAGTCCAACCGTGCAGAGCAGGAGCAGCTCCTCCCGCGGTAGCCTCAAATTCTTCAGCATCAGTGGCAAAGCCCCGGCGGCAAGCACGCGCTCGTTTTCGTAGTGCTGCTGATTGTTGTTCAAAGCGGCCTCTAGCTGCTGCCCTGCTGCACCACCAGCTTCGGTCGTGGTTGCAACCAGGGCGTGATCAACGTTTTGCGCTTTGTGGTTTGAGGTGGCATTATTTTGAAGATGAGAACTACCGCCGTGCTTCTGAAGATGATTCGAATATTGATCAACATGCGCACCACTGACACTACGTTGATGAACACCACCACCAACACCTCCTGCTGCGCCATGACTGCTGGCTTTCGCACACCGCAACACTTTTCCGTATCTTTTTTCCACGGCCGCTTTGATTTTCGTGAACTCCTGGTATTGATCTAGTTCCTCCTTCTCGTAGTACTGCTCCGATTCTCGTCCCATAGTGCCTGTGTTGTTCTGTAAATTTTGCAGCGCTTGCAGTGCATCTTTGTTCGTCAAGTGACAAGACTCTTCGTCCAACGTGAGCCACTTGCGCGGAATCGAAAAATTCCGCCACGCCCGCTCCAACCGTTTTTGCTCCCCAGCCGGAACTTCGCTCACGTAGCTGTTCGCGAGGTGTTTTCGCGTTTCGTTCTGGAAGGCCGCGAGGGACAAGCACAACGCGTACACGTGCGCGGCGGTCTGGATGTGGGGAAAGACTTTCCGCTATGCAGTGCAAATATGTCTGGGTCATCTGGAAGAGTGCAAGAACTTGTAATGCTGCCTTTAGATTCCACAAAAACTCTGTATTGCATGAACAGCAAAAGAGGTCCACTTTTTGCTATGCGACAGGGGCATTTCTCGTGCAGTAAGGGCATCAGAAAGCCGTCCTAAAATCTGTGATGCTAGGGCATGCATCACACAGGTCAAGGGTCATGCAAAATGTGCATGACAAACGTTGCACTGTCTCAGACCCAGACATATTTGCAGTGCATATCCGCTCCTCTTCGTCGATCTCGTTCACGTACTGCTGAAAAGCCACCTCGTCCGGCGTGTCGCCGGAAGCGAAGATCAGCGCGAGACTCACCAAAATCCGGGGCACGACGTAGATCACAGCCAGAGTGACGATGACCAAGCCGGTGAGGTGAAGCAGCAGCGGGGAATACACGAAGAGGAACTGCAACCAGACCTCGCGGTGATCCTGTTTCAGCTGGAGCAGCAGCCCAGATGGTTCGTCGTATTCGAAGAAAAAAACTTTCCCGAACTCCTGCAGGTTCTGTACTTGCCTCACGATTTCCTTTACTTGGTTCATGAGCAACAAGGTGATTGCGACCAGTAACCCAACGTAGGCCCGCCAGATCCACTTTTGCGCCCGCACGGATTGGAAATGCGTCAACCCGTGCGGCGCATCGGCTTGCTGTTCCAAGACCTGCCGCCGCTGCTGCTGGAGCAAAGCGATCTGCTGCTCTAGCTGCTTCTGCTCCGATCTAGTGGTTGCTTCGTCCTCTAGTACTTGGTCGCCATCAATCGTTCGCCTAGCGCTGGAACGGTTTGTGTTCCGGCGCTGCAAGTTATTCGTGGTAGAGGACTCTCGGGTCTGCCGCTGGCTAGTATTCGCTGTTGTACTTGCCAGCAATGGACGTCTTTGGTCGTCTTGGTCCTCGTCGACCCCCGCGACCTCACCTTCCGGCTTCCTCCCCGGCTGCGGCAGGGCGAGTCGTGGGCGAACCGACCCGGCTGTCGTCCCGCTTTCCTGGTTGTTGTTCCTGTCTTTGTTTTTATCCACAACTTTCTTATCCACGACTGCGACGCCTTTGAAAGCAGAGCGGTTTTTCTTCTTCTCCAAAACGACAGAAAACTGGGTTTCCAACGTCTTGTTTTGTTTCGAACAGAACGAAATGTGTTTATGGTGATGTTGATCCTTAACGTAGTTGCCATCCAGTGGTCCTCGCGCCCCGCCTTTACTGTGGTCCTTCTTAATACCAGAAGCAGAAGATAGTACCGTTGGCTCCAGAGACCGGGACCGGGCTAGCACCGGTGCGCTCTTTGGACTGCTTTGCAGCCGCGTATGTCCACCTAGTAGAAGGTCCTCGTTGACAGTGGAAGTCGAGGAGATCTGCACCGGATGAACAGCGGACGTTGGCTGCTGTGGTCCTACTTGGTGAAAGAGGTTGTAATCCCCCGGACCCTGCTGCTGATAAAAATTGTTTCGCTCCTGCCCTTCATACTCGTCCTGAGGACTATACGACGGGTCAACCGGCGGCTCTTTCGCGGCTCGAAAAGACACTTGTTTGTTCACCGCTACCTGTGCTTTCCTCCTCGTATCCGTCCTCGCCACTAATTCTTCGGTATCCGATTCATCCTGTGGAGACTCGCCGGGCGATTGCTCCCCTGGCGAGGGGGAGGAACTACCGGGGGACCGATCGGAAGAGGGTGATAAAGCCGGAATAAAGTTCTTGTTTCTTTCAACAGAGAAGTTAAAAGTATCAACGTCTTCGTTTGTTCCTTCCATGCCCGTCAGGATTAACTCGTTCAAAAATACTTTTCCTTTGTTGCTTTCACCGGAAATGTTGAATTGGTCCAGCCTTCCTTCCTGGTCTACTTCAGGCACCTCCTCGTCCCTCTCCTCGTCTTCCTCAGACGAAGAAGATACCACGGAGCCGCTGCTGATGCTTTCGTCGCTACTCAGCTCCTCCGCGTCGTCCTCCCCCTCCTTCACGTAGTAGGGAAGCATCGCATCCGGGACACAGGGTAAGAACCCCAGATACTGGTCCAGCAGCGCGAAGTACAACACTTTCTGATCCCTGCACGCGAACATCCTGTGCAAAAGTATCGTATTCGTTTTCGTACTAATTGCATTTATGCATTACAAATCTTTCTGTTAAAGCAGATCCGCATTACAAATTTGATTTGTAATGCTAATCCAATTTGTAATGCAATTTATACTACTACGATACTTTTGCAATTCATAGCGAACATCCTGTACCGAATTCCGTGGATATACTTCAGCAGGACGAAGAACAGCAGCGAGATTACTCCGCAGAGGAGGACCGATAGAACCGCGACGATCACCGGCCGGCTATCCACGCCCGACCGGACGACAAACGGCTGGGTGAACGGACTGCACCACTGCTGGCACTTCAGCCGTTCTTGGGAATTTTGCAGGAGTTGGCAGTTAACCAGGTACTCCGTCGAGCAAACACGATTGTCGTTGACCACAGGGGGTGTCGCTGCTGGTCGTGGCTCGTCCTGCGCGTCGTGATACTGCTCGAGGAAAGAATTCGCGGCTTTGTTTCCCAGTGAAGTGGGAGGGTAGTAGGTGGGGTTGTCAAAATAACTATCGGCTGCTGTTACAGTAAATGCATTTTGCCTTGTACTATCTTGGTCGTCTGAAGCAGAAACAGGCTCTGCAAAAGCCTTACTCACCGGCACCGTTTGGCTCCTGCCGTCCGAGATGAAGAGTCCTCGTGGGCTTTTTCTCACATCTCCAAGGTTTGTGGTGGACGCAACTCGTTTCTTGGCATGATCTTCTCGTCGTAGCACAAAGGCCGTGAACGCGGGGAGCTCGTGATTTTTCCCCGCTTTCTTTCTCCCGCCGATCATCGGGAGGAGCCACGTGGCGGCTTTCACAGCCCGCTCTTTCATCATTGTCGCCCACGTTCTGAGGACAGAAGAGGGCGGAATGCTGTGGTTGTAGTCCTTTCTGCTAGCTGTACCTGCTGCGCTTCTCTTTATTTTCCCCGCATCTTCGTCGTAGTAGGAGAAAAAACTTTTGCCTGAACTTGATGACCGAGGTGCAGCTGCAGATGGAATCTCCTCTGTCATTCCTGCAAGAACCTGCAAAAATCCATTCCCCTGGTCGTCGTCCCCACGTCCACCTGTCTTCGCCGGCACCACCCGGTTGCTCCGAACAAACAGCGACACGTTTTCCCCGAAGCCCGCGTACGCTTCGACCCCCTTCCGCGACAGATTCTCCGCGAATTCCGCCTCGTACGCAGCGGACAAGAGGACGAAGAGCACGACGTACAGCCACAACGGGAAGTGGAGCAGCCGCTCAATCCCGATGGGGAGGCAGTTCCGCAAATACCGCCAGAATTCAAACCGGTGCAGCGCGATCGGGGATGTTACCGGGTGCGCGTTCCCGATAATGGGCTGCAGGATCGAAAGTTTGAAAAGAAAGGCTTCGATCACTGTTTCTTCCGAGATAGAAGGTTTCGCTTCATTTTTCTGTGCTGTAGTTCGTCCTGGTGCCCTTGTTGTACTTTCTTTGGAAGCAACTACACGCTCCACCTCTGCTTGACCTTTACCTTCCTGTTCTGCATGTGCATTCGAGTGGTCCTCCGCAGAGGCGGTTGTGGTGGTCACCATCGAAGCTAAAATGTGCCGACTGGTGCCAGGTTCATCTTCGCCATGATCCGGAGGCCGCTGCCAATGGGCATCATCGTCCCCATCCTCCGTCGTTCTCGTTGCTGCAAGGGCATAATTCGTGGTCAAAAACGCGTTCGTGGACATGGGCGGCGCTTCCAGTTCCTGATGCTCCTCTGCGTCTAACCCATACGCCGCAATGGACTTCCGCATCCGTTTCAAAGTCGCCAGAACCCGTTTCCCGGCCGCACTGCTGCACGCCGTTTGATGCTGCGGCACTTGGTTTTTCTGTGCGCTAGTAGGGGAGAACGGAGTCTTCACATGACTCTGGTGCTGATTGCGCAGGTACTTTCTCGCCCTGTGTTCGCTGGCAAATTCCACATGCTCCTGATGGTGGCTCATCTTCGAAGTTGTTGTAGCGACCTTCTTTAGAATGCCGGATTTCAAATTCTCCTTCTGCTCCCTATTTCCTGTCGCCGCCACAGAACTAGTGTGCTTGGATGAAATTGAAGTTTCCAGCCCGGTGGCTTCCCCGCTGCTTGTCTTGTTTTCCAGTTGCGTTTGCGAGGTGGAGGAGGCTGTCTTGGCGGAAATGGTTGGATTCCCGGGTCGTACTATTACCGGGTCGTTCTCGCTCACCCCTTCCAATAACCGACGCGCCTGCTCGTTGTTTTCATCTTTCCTGCCTTGGTCTTCATCTTCATCCACGCGCATGATCCTATTTTTCTCAGTCGCCAAGATCGTCGGAGGTTGTCCTGCAGAAATAGATGTCTCGTCCCCTGCAGCACGTCCGTCGGCAGTTCTTGTTGATGTTCCACCATATCTACTACTTTCCACATTCGAAAAATCTACTTCCATTTCCTCTCGCAAAAGAAACTCCTGCAGTTCCTCCGATTCTTCCAGCAACTGCTCGTAATTGTCCGGCCTCCTGAGGACGCAATGCTCCACCTTTTTCATCGTTTCCAGATCAAAATTTATCCGGTACCAAATCCACATCAACACCATGAGTAACGTCAACACCGTGTAGAAAATGGCCGAGTCCATGAACTCAAACACGTGGATGAAAGAGTGGCGATCTTCACCAGAGTGTTCTCCTTCCTCAGCACTCGTTGTGTAGTCCTCGTACCCACTCGCCCCGTGGTTTTCCGCTCGGATATGAAAGTTTCAAAATCGAAATTGACAAAATCGAAATGATTTGCGATGCATAAAATGGGCACCAGATGGCGCCTCAGTTTCCAAGTGGCACATGACAAATTTCGGGAGCACCCAAATCCAGTCTGTCATGCTGTTTGGGCAAAGAAGACTGCTCCTGTAATGCTACTCTGGCAGCGCATTGTATACCCTTAAACAGGCTTGCAATCGGTCTCATTTGCCTGCTCCCCAACACAGGCCTTACGTTACCTGCTTTACATTTTATGCATTACAAATTTTTCGATTTTGTCGATTTCGATCCTGACACATCCATATCGAACATGTCTCCCGTACAGCAAACGGTCGATCTTCGACACCGGGACGATTGTCTATCAAATGCAAATATGTCTGGGTCTGGGAGGATGGAACATGTCATGCTGTCTTCGGATTCCAAAAAAATCTGTATTGCGTAAGGAGCAAGAGGAGTCCAGTTTCTGCTACGCGGAGGGGGTATTCCTCATGCGGTATAGGCATCAGGAAGCCCTCGCAAAATCTCTGACGCCAGGTCATGCATTACAGGCATCATCGCTCATGCAAAATGTGCATGACAAGTGTTCCAATCTTTCTTCCAGACCCAGACATATTTGCATTTGATATTGTCCCTAACGCCACCATGATTTTCGAAACCAAAGCGACCAGCACCAACTCCAAAATCAACCGGTTCCAAATGATCGTCATGCGCCATTTCGTCATGATGCGTTCGATGAAGTCGATAAAATGCTCTAGCAGGATCAGCAGCAGGATCACCAGGCTCAAGTCCAACAACAGGATGATCAACGCATTCAACTCGTGGTGGACCGTGGCGTACCGCTGAAACAAAATCGCCTCGTGGTACACCGGCCCGTGCAGAATCAGCAGCGCGTCCTTCATGTTTTCGCAGAAAAGCGCCTCGACGTCCAAACCACGCCAGTAGTTCGACGCGGCAGAAGGACCTCTGTTGGGGAAAATGAGTTCGTTGTTCTGCTTGTCAATGCTGTGCATTGTTAAATACAATTGCTGCAGGGCCCGCTGCTCCGGCGGAACGACGTTCAGAGCCGTCACGATCGGCAGAGACCCCGCGCGACCCGTGTCGGGGAACCGGTCGCTGTCGATTGCTTGCTTTATTCTGGCCGAAACCTATCAACTGTAAAAATGTCTGGGTCTGGAAGATTGCGAGATTTGTCATGCAGATTTTCCATGACCCATGAGGTCTGGAATGCAGGACCTAGCATGACAGAGTCTGTGAGGTCTCTACCATGCCTATCCCGATGAGAAACTCCCTCCCGACTTGGTCAAAAGTGGACGACTTTTGGTAATCATGCAACACAGATTTTTACATGCTTCAGATTTAGCATGACAAGTTTGAAATCTTCCAGACCCAGACATTTTTACATTTGATAAAACCCGGGCGCCGACGATTTGTCTCAGATCCTGCAGACACTCCCGGTTCAACACCGGGCTGGGTTCATCTTGCGGAGTAGACGCGGGAACAACTGTCGTGGCGGGTTCTTGCGACGGAGGAGCCTTTCGCTTTTCCACTTGAACGAAGGTTGCATCCGAACTGGGCGCCGGCCGGTAGTGCAATCCTTTCCTGCGAATATGAAGCTTGTCAAGGTCATTCGCCGCGGAGGTGGCGGTTTTCCTTGTGCTAGTGCCAGATGTTGACCCAATTTTAATATTCCGCGACAACATATTTCCTCCCTCGCCCGCAGCGAAAAAGGTCTGCATTTCTATGCTACTGTTCTCCGCGTCTTCTGCTTCATCTTGGTCGAAGTCAAAAACAGATTTTGTCTGGCCGTCGTCCCGCAGCTCACCTGCATCACTACCGTCACCAGTGTGCATCGAGTCTGCGCTAGCTTCGATCTCGAAATGCTGGTGTGGTTCATCTTGCGTATCTTGTACAGTAATTTTTTGGACACCTCGTCCCTCGTCTACTGTCCTTTCCCTGCTAGATGAGGTTGTAGTAGTGCCTGCGCTACCTCTGCCAACATCTTGCAGAAACGACGATGGCGCAGTAGTACGACCATGGTGCTCGGCCGCGATTTCGTTGTAGTAGTCCTTCGTTTATCCGGTGCAAAAGTATCGCTTTCGTATACATGCAGGTCTTGCATTACAAATATTTTTCTTAAGGTAAATCAGCATGACAAATTTTATTTTTAATGCTGAGAAAATTTGTAATGCATTTATACGAGTACGATACTTTTGCAGTTCATATCGTTTCCACTTTCTCCAGGTCAAACCAGTCCCGCTGCGCCACACACTTCCCGTCCGCGCAGCCGCAGGCGGGGAAACTGGAGGAGGTCACGTTTCCGGTGACTGGGTCGACGAACTTCTCGGGGAATAACACAATGGAAAACAGACTGGCGGAAAAACTGTGGCACGACGTCCGGTCCGGGAGGTACTCTAATGCGTACATGTCGATCATCAGATTCGCGATGTTGTTCCCCACGATCCTCCTCAACCGGTTCACTTCGTTCCTGGATGCCCACTTGCAGAGTTTCATCGTCGGATGATCTTGGTTTTGTTCACACGCTCCTTCCGTTTTCTGTTCCACGCAAAATTCTGCCGACTCACGCTTCAGCGGAAAGCAGGTATGCTGATCAGCTGGAGTAGGCGGAGGCACTGGCAGAGCTAGAGCAGCTTGTGCTTTACTACTTCCTTGTTCACCCCCTACCGCTTTTGGTGCAGAGCCGGAATTCAGATACGTGAGCACTTTCAACGTCAGTAGGTTTTTCGTGTGCTGATCCAAATACTCCGATACGACCGAGAAATCCCGTAGACTCGAGGTGCTGTGCGGTAGATACCCGGCGTCCCCCTTCTGCGCAAAGATGTTCTTGAGAGTCGTACTATTTTCAAGAAGTTCGTCCCGTTTGCTCTGCCCGAGCAACGAGAACCAGTTCCCGGGAAAAACCGTCTGCTCCCGCCAGAGCGACGCGAGAGGGACCTTGTCCTGCGAAAACGGGAGAAGTGGTGCTGATGGAGCAGAAGTAGAACCGATACGACCACTTGTTGTTCCGTTTGTTTTCCCCCCTTCTAACTGCACATCAGGAGTGACGTCTTTGTCCCACCCAAACTGCAATTTCTCCCCGTGCATGGCTACCGTCACGATTGCAGATAATTTCGCCGTCAGCGCCAATTCCTCGAAAAGCGAGCCGGTGGAGTCCTCACCCTCGTCGACATTCGGAGTCAAACTGGTTCCGGGGAGCATTGTTTTGTACCCGTGTTGTTCCCAGAGATTTCTCTGTTCCTCTAAGACTTCCTTCAACACCTCGCTTTCCTGCTGTTCAAAGAAACCCTTCTGGTGCTCGTAGATCACGTAGGAAAGCGGCTCCTCCCCCTGCGGAAGGGCGAACACCCAATACGCGACGTAGATCCCGACGCCGAGGATCGTGGCGATCCCGAGCCCGAAAATGACCCAGCAGATCACCTGCTGGGCCCTCAGAGGCGTGTGCCGCACCTGACAGCACATGGCTACACTTAAAGTTGTGGTGGTCTTCGATGCACCAGCCCTGTCTAGGGAAAACAAGAATAGTGTGCTATCAGAAGAAATTTAGTAAAGATACTTACGTTTGCGACTGGAAGGCTAAGGTAATAAATTGAGAATAGGCTGCTACCGCTGGTAGCGCATCAAGCAAGGTGTATTCAAAAAATCACATCTCTTTCTTTTATTTCTTTGGCGGAAAATAGTCTTGCGGAGAGCGAGAGAGAGAGGGTAAGTTGGTAAAATAATGAGGTCCTAGGAAGGAAGAAGCAATGAAAGTGGGAAGTGAACTTGCAGTCGCGGCGACATCACAACCAAGAAGGACATGCTGCACGACTACGACCTGTCAAGCCAGGCAGTCGGCAAAACCGAGTAGGCGGCTTTGTTTCTATTTTTGTGACCGAGAAAAAACCAAGATGAGGATCTGAAAAACCGAAGCGACAAGAAAATGAAAAGTGCGGCACCGAGGATGGAGATGGACCGGAAATAACGGCAAGAGAAATTAATAAGTACTTAATTCTGGCGGTAGCACCGAGATGATGCGCACTGGACTACACAGTGGCCTGGCAAGCGCAAGTAGCACCGGAAATCCTTACTAGTATCTGTCAACATGATGATCCTCAAGTACAAGCTGTACAAGCGGCGCGCACCGATATGAATTCCAGTTCATCACAGCATCGAGTTTTTAACCGATGACAGTAAAAAAAAATGCTTTTCATAAAGAACTACTGGGCGGTACAGAAGTGGTAAGTATTTTCCATGCGATTCGAAATCGGCAGTTTCGTCTCGATGTTGATCTGCAAACGGTCCAGGCTGAGGCTCCTGAGAGTCAGTTTCACTGTCCATCCTCATGCACCAGTTCTCGTCGCGTTTGTCAAGATGTATATGTACTAGATTTCATGACGTGTGCAGCTACACGCTGACTTTCAACTAGTTTTCCTGATCAACCAGTCCGTCTTCACATCTTAAACCCCGTCTCGACCGCCCCGGGCGGGTTCGCTTTAGGCACGCAGAAGTCCCACGAATAGTGCTTCTGCCAACTCCCCACGGAGCTCGGACTCTGCCGCACCACACACACCGGCCACTGGTAGTCGGAGCTGCCATTCTGACCGGCTTCTTGACTTGCAATTACCGGCACCGGCTGGCAAATCGCTGGCGCGTCCGTGCCGAACTGCCGGAGCTGCTCGTCTTTCTGTAGCCGGTCTTTGTCGAATCGGGATAGCAGCAATTGCACACTGTATTGGTCCCGTTTCGGGACTCGCCTCAAGTCCAGCAGTTTCGATCCGGGTTGTTTTAAGTACTTGTTGGGGTGATTCAGGTACTTGTTTTGCACGAGATCCCTGTACGCCTGCTTGAGTTCCGATTCATCCAAGCAGGTGCCAGGGCGGTGAACTGAGGGAACGCTGTCCCGGGCGGAAGAGTCGGAGCCGAGAGATCCCGTGGTAGCGGTCGCGGCCAGCTGCTGCCTCCGTATCGTCGGAACGCAGTAGTCCCAGTATCGATCCGTGCTAACGCTCCCGTTCTCGAAGTAGAGTTTGTGATCGGAGAAACTGGGATCAACGGAAAACTTCCTCTTCATACTCTCGTCCGCTTCCACCGCACACCAATCGAAGGCCGTGCCCTGGTGCTGCGGCCCGCAGGGGGTGAGGCACTGCTTCCCGAGCACCGACATTTCGATGGGGTGGTCCGCGCCCGATTTCCCGCCTCCGCCCTCCGACACCGTCATCTGCGCGGTCAGGTTTGCCGGATCTCGCAGCTTGATCTCCCCCGACTCCCGGATCGCGTCAAACGCAAGGCGGTGGATGAGTTTCGTCAGTTGTCTATCCTGTGTAAAATAAACGTCTCGTCCACCCCATTCTTGTAATGCGAGAATCTGCATCCCGAAAATATTTCTCATACGGAGCCCGTCCATGAGAAGCATTTACTGGTCGCGTTTCGGAATTTGGCATGCTCCAATCAGCATGATTATCTAGGAAGGTCTGTGATGCTACTGAACTACCTAAACAGTACGAAATTACGAGGCCGAAATCGTCATGCGCAATAGCCAAAGCTTGTTGATTTGTCTAGCTGACTTCCCATCTTAACTATGGGGTGGAGACGTTTTTACATAGGATAGTGCCGCGCTTTGGTGATTTCCTCCCCGAGCAGAACCTGCAGTTTCCCGCTGTTGTAGATGATTTTCTCAAACTGCTGACGTATTGCAAGGAAAAATCCCCCAGTTCCCATACCGAAAACGAAACCTGTCATGCTGTATTTGAATACACGAGTCGACTTGTATTGCTAGAAGGCCAAGAGCCGCAGTCGTGGCCTCGTTTGCAGGCACTTCGTCATGCTGTTTCCCACTTCCAGCTGCCTCCTGTCATGCTGAAGATGCAAGGCTTTCCCACGCCAACCAGCACTACAGTCCGCATCTTTTGCCTTCGAGCATGACAAAGCTCATTCGTGGCCACAAATCTGCATCACAGATTTCCGTTTTGATATGGGGAGGGGGGATTTTTCTTCTTGATATGACGCGCTCTTCCCTTCCCGATCATGGCATCCTCTTCCGCTTTCGTTTCCTTGTCCAAATCAAAGTCCTCCGGTGTATTGTTTCCCTTTTCCTTTTCGGATTCAGCCTTGTCGGAAAAGTCGGCCTGTTTTTTCAGAATGTTTTTCCGGACCTTGTTGTATTCGGCGTAAAGGTTTTCGATCGCGGATTTTATCGGTTGGAAATGAGGCTCCAACTTCTTCTCGAAGATGTCCCGGCCCTGGGAAAAAATTTTGTATGGATTGCAAATATGTCTGGGTCTGGAAGAAGACAAACTTGTGATGCGCATTTCAGAATACAGAAAAATCTCTCATGCATAGGTAGCAAAAGCTGCTCACTTTCTGTCACCAAAATGGGGGATTTGTCATGCGGATTCGGCATTGCGGAAGCTTCTCGAAACCTGTGATGCTAGCGCTTCCATGCCAGACCTTCTGCGTCATGCAAAAACAGCATGACTCTTCCAGACCCAGACATTTTTGCATTTGATATTTTGCGGATTTCTTCCATTTTCGCGTCGAAATCGACGAGATTTGTCTCCTGTTTGCTCGTATCAATTGCACATATGTCTGGGTCTGGAAGAGAGCAAGTCTGTCATGCGTGTCTGGCATGACTCGAGAATCTGTGTTGCATAGGCACGAAAAGGACCTCTTACCTGTCATGCACAAACGCAGTTTGCCATGCGGAATACGTAACACATGGACATGGCAGCCAAAAAATTTGTCATGCATAGCTGCGTATTGCAATGCGTCTATCATTCACTTTTAGCACCATTGCAGGTTTCCAGACCCAGACACATTTGCAATGCATAGCTCGCCCGGGCGAACAGCTCCGAGTTCGCGAGGATCTTCTGCCCCGCTTGAAGTTGGGACGCAAGGTCCAGGAGCTTCTCGGATTTGGCCATTTTTTTGTCGTTGAAGAGAGGTAGGCGAAGTAGATTTGCGTTACTCTAAACATTACTCAAAAGGGCTTACTGCCTTTTATTCTCCACTTCATCTTGCTCTTGGATCCATCGTTGTCACGTTGCAGTTACTGTTACGGTTCTTTTTTCTTTTTGTGCTGCGACATCTTGGATAGGACCGATTCATGATCCCGCTTGCTACCTGCTCGCCATGATAGGGATATTAGGGCAAAACGATTTTTTTGCACGGTCCAAACGCGATAATAACGATTCCGAAAAAGATGCGATAGAAGTAGTGACGACTTTGAAGCAAGCGAACGATATCCATCGAATTCGAAGTAGTCGAAAAGCACAAAAGAGGCGAAAATAAATGCCAGGGTTTGCACAGTCCGCGAGAGTTCTTCAGCTGCCGACTGGCACTTAGATTTTCGTCATTATTATCTTTTTATTTAAGTACAAGAAACATGGTGACATTAACGTGTGCGTAAGAAACTCGGATCTCATCTTTGTTCAAAACACGCTTAAAAACTTTTTTAGTTTTCTACCCTAGAGGTATGTTGTTACACACGTTCATGTATAACCATATCTTCGTCTGGTGGAGCCACCACTCCTGCGCGGTAGGCATCATCTCTCGACGAAATATTAGAAAGATCGGTATCAAGACGTGACTGCTTGACCTCCTCTCCGAACTTGTTGTAGAACAGGCTGTACAGGTAGCCGTGTGTGTTTTTGAGACCTTGGACTCCCTTACGAAACGCCCCCTCATCCACAATGAGGCACCGGCTCTTCCGGGCCATGCAGTGACTGTTCAACTCCTCCGGAAAACCGGGACCGACCCAAGTCGAAGTCCCCAAGCTCGTGCTGCCGATCATCCAAATGCACGACCCAGAGACAGTTGAAGTCCCGTCCGATGGTCCAGTGCTGGTTTTTTGACCGCCCCCGAGACAGTTGAACGTCACCGTTCTCTTTCCATTTCCGTCGCTTTGGGGACCTGGCGGTTCAAGTGAAACCTTCACCGTTTGTCCGCTAGTCCGCAGCTGCTCCTGCGCCCGCTCCTCGAGCGTCGGAGGCGACCCAAGGAGAGTACCGGCCGAAGAAACGTCATCAAGACTTGTCGTGCCGGTCGTCGTCGTGCCCTCTGACGTGGTATCACTACCATGCTGCGTACCCTGTTGTCCGCGAGACAAACGACGTGGCCACCACCGCCGCCGCCCTGGTTATTTTTTTGTTCCGCAGACAAGATAGATCGCAGCTGTAGCTCTACAACAACAGGACGAATTATCTATTAATGAAAAATTTATTTGAAGGTAGTTGGGTAGATCAAAATAAAAGATAAATACGATGAAATGGCAGCGCGTACACACATACATTTATGCTTGTCATGCAGCTACAACTAGTACTAACTAAATCTAAATCGAGTGGGTGAAATAAAAACTATTCCGGGAACCTTGATTCGTCTTTCCCATCCTGCTGCGCATCCTGCTGCGAACTGGAGCTGGACCACGGCCACCTTGACACGTACGACACGCCGTGAACTGCACCCCCTTCAGGATCCGCCTCTGCATCCGGAGCAACCGATGCCGAGTCCGCACCCGCTTCGTCCGATCCACTCCCCTCCGCGTTCAGCACCAGTGTTTGGGAACCAGATTTCCGCCGATTCCCAATCGTGTCTCCGTAAGCGAACGCGCTTTTCGCCAGTCCGAGGTATTTTACCGCTCCCGCGGCCAGGGCGACGATCACGACCCCCCGAGGAACTACAGAAATGCGTCGATTATATGTCACCAGCAGCTGGCCGCAACTCGTACCACGACCTCGCGGCCTCCTCGCGAAGATGAACCTCGTGCGGCTGTTTCCTGCCACCTTCATCGCGGTGGTGGTGGTATCTTTGGCTTTGCTGCGCGTCGTCATGATTTGAATCGCGAGTCAATGAGTGCGTCGCAGTCGGGGTCTCTTCCTGTTCACCCACGATAATTTTCTGTGAGGTGATTCGAAATGCGACTAGCCCCAGTGTTGCACCTTCAAAAAAAGAATCCCCTGGCAAGTGTCGAAAATTTTGATTTGCGGGTTTTTTTGTTCGACGCGACTAATGACTTCATATTCCACCGACGAAGAGCAATACTTACACAATTCCCTTCGTTCAACTTCTTCTTCAAATCCACGACACCCGAACCGACATTTCCAAGCGAAGGTGATTGGTTCTCCCGCCCAACCAAATTATCGCTATTGACGACGACGACCCATAGAATCTGGTGAAAGTGAGAATGATAGAGAGCAGGCAGAATATGTGTTCAGCGAAATAACGGGCACAGTGAACTTTGACCACAGGGTAGTCTGCTTACGGAAACTGTAGCAAGCAGAGCCCGTGCCCGAATAAAGCATATACGAAGACAATAACGATGCGAAAAAATCTCGACGATGAATTTTTCCGATTATGCTGCGTGGATCCGAAAGTTGGTCAACGATTGAAGCTGTGGTCGAACAAGAAGAATTCGTGAGGAAGTAAACGATTGGTGCCGATGAACAGAGCATCTAGTCTACTTACACGAGAGGCGAAAACATTGAACACCAGACATTGCAACGCCCGGCGGGATTCTCCAAGTCCCGACTAAGCTTGCTACCATCGTCCATTGCATATATTTATTCTAATTCTTGTTCCAAGTACAAGGTATATGGTAAAGAGGCGTGTGCGTCGGAAGCTCGGATTTTGGTCTCAACCTTGAGTGTACAGCTCCATGGTAGAAAAAACGGGTTCAAAAGTGCATAATTTTGTGATTGTTCTTGCGATTCTTGCGTGTCAGAATGTTAAACTCAAAAGTGTAGTTGAAGGCATCGTCGTGAAATGGTCTTGCGATATGCCATTCAAACCGCCTCAAGTTCCCGTTCATTGTGACTACATTTGAAAAATCGAAATCCGGATCGATGTCATCTTGCATCATGATCTTTGCAGCAGTTTTCTTCTAAAATCATACAGGGTAGCTTGGTTGTAGTTTCTGTTGATGAAATAAGCGATGAAAGTGGATTAGTGTTTGTTATAAACTTCTTCTTCTAGTCAGGAGGGTAGAAGCTGCGACCACGCACGGTCGCTTCCTGTTGTGTTTCTTTGTGGTCAACACGAAAAAAAACTACAATTATGAACGACCGCACAGGAGTTTTTCTAACTATCACTTCTTCGGGTACCGCACCGTTTCCGCGCTGAGCGCCTCCTTTTTGATTTGCCTCACGCTGCGTAACAGGTCCACATCGGAGATATCAAATGTAAAAGTGTCTGGGTCTGGAAGAATGCATGTTTGCCATGCTTGTCTGGCATGACTCTTTAATCTGTCATGCACGTTAGCGTTGCCCGAAAGCCCTATATTTCTGTGATGCAGAAATGCAGTTTGTCATGCAGAACAGGCATAGGCAACACCTAGAAGCTCAGAAACTTGTCATGCTGAGCCAGCATTTGTGGCCTCATCCTGAGACGCCACCCAGCATTACAAGTTTCCAGACCCAGACATTTTTACACTTGATAGGAGACGGACCTTGACATTTCGCTCGCCGGCCGGTTTTTCACCCGTTTTCCGATATGCAAGCGTCAGGATTGAAATCGTCAAAGTTGAAAAAGTTTGTGATGCATGAAATGCAACCCACAAAGTGCCTGTCTTGCAGAGTAGGCAAGGGAGGCAGATAGTAAGCCTGTTGAGGAGTAAAAATAGAGCTGCTAAAGTAGCATGACAAAAGGCGTCCTCCTTACCCAAACAGCATGACAAACTGGGTTTAGGCACCGCCAAAATTTGTCATGCGCCGCTTGGAAACTGAGTTCCGCCTGGCATCCATTTTATGCATGACAAATCATTTCAACTTTGTCGATTTCAATCCTGACACTTCCATATCCGAATCGCCAGTCGTAGCCTTCGTAGAGCTGGGCGGACGGGTTTTTGCAGCACATGGCGAATTCTCAAATGTAAAAATGTCTGGGTCTGGAAACTTGTGATGCTGGGTGGCGTCTCATGATGAGGCCACAATTGCTGGCTCAGCATGACAAGTTTCTGAGCTTCTAGGTGGTGCCTATTCTGCATGACAAACTGCGTTTCTGCATCACAGAAAAATGGAGCTCTTGGGTAACGTGCATGACAGATTTAAGAGTCATGCCAGACAAGCATGACAAACATGCATTCTTCCAGACCCAGACATTTTTGCATTTGATACGAATTGCGACGAGTTATTGTTCATGGGGTTCATCTGCCCGATGCTGTTTTTCATATACAAATTCACCGTTCATTTTTCTTTTCTTATATTATACTTACTTCATCAACACCGAAACCTGAAAAGTGGTAGAAAACAGAAAATGCTTGATGCAGCCTGTGCACTATGACAAGTTCGAAGACCAAAATCGATGACGTACTATATGGACAAAAATACTATACCGGAAATATCCGCAACTCGGGGCGAAGAATAGACTCCCGTCCGTGATCTCAAACAGCTGTCTTGAACTCGTTGACTCGCCTGCCTCCGATGCGGGTGCGTCCCGGAAGGATCTTGGTGTATCGTACCCGTTCTGTAGCGTGCCAGCACAGTTGTGGACGTTACCTGCGAGAGGTCGTTAGAAAATCTTCTAACGATTTGAAAGAATGAATTCGAGATAGATGAGTTACACAAAGAGTTGCATTTGATTCATCTTCATCGCTCCTGCACTTTGGGATGCATGTTGAAATTGGCAGTATATAAGATTCGGTCCACCTAATACAAGTCAAAGGTTTCAAATACTTTTTGGCTTTGCCGGCACGACGTAGTGCGCGTTATAATCTGCACTTGCTGTCTCCTCGATCATCGCTCGCTGCAAGGGTTCCCTGCACTTGGCGCCGCGGCCCTCCCGCGCGAGCTTGGCGTTCCATCTTGCTCGGCATTCGGTGTCGGTCACGTCCTGCCAGAAGCGGGCGGAATACCACATAGTGACAAGAAATCTTAATCTGATTTTATACGTGTTCTCAAACCAAAAAAAAAACGATGATGTTCACAAAACTGTATAAGTCGTTTATTTTTTCACACCTTATTTTACACTTGGCACACACACGAGGACAGAGAAAGAAATTTAATTACTGTCGTCATGCAATCGCAAGCAGTAGATACTTACAACTGTGTATTATTTTCACACGAAGAAAAAAGCAGCTTAATTAGGTGGAATATGAAGGGGTAGCCCGGGACAAATAAGGAACTGCAAGTCATGATGGAATTCTATACTTACTCGATTCCTACGTCCTTGAGATGTGGTTCTTGTGCGCAGTACTCCAACGAAAACCAAACTTCGTTTGATATGTACGATTTGTTCTTTCGGCGATTGATATTGAGCGTACGTACAGCACGATTTTGGGTGTTCTTGGTTGTGCTTTCGCCCCGCCCAGATGAAATAACCGCACTCAAAGAACAAGGTCCGATTTGAGGTCTTGCACTGCTGCAGAATTCACGATTTATTTGTATTCTGCCTCGTGGACAACTTGGACGAATGATAAAAAATGAAACCCATAAACGAAATAAAAACCGATGAGGTATTAGCTTCAGTCCCGACGTCAGCATTAGAGAGATGTTTGTAGTGCAACGAAGTGCAAAAACGAAAAGTGGCCAATTCGCTGCAGAAACAGCAGTCGAACATCGATGACAATCATCTCGTCTCCTCTGGCACGACCGGACTACTTCAGCAGGCTTCTGTCTTGTTGCCCTGTGCTGGATTCTTAAAGCTAGCAGTGCAAAAACTTCTGGAAAGTAGAGATTTGATGAGACTTCCTGCAATCTAAAATAAAAAGGGAATACAAAGTTTCTCGGGACAGTGATTTTTTTACATGTCGTGAACTCTGGAGGAGGAGGGGGAAGAAAGATTCTGCTGCAGCTGGCACGTTATCCCTGCTCCTAGTTCTAGAGATTCATTGTAAAAACAAACCCGAGACTGTAGCTGTACATGTAGTTTTAGTTCCCGTCAAAGCGAGCGTAGCTCCGCCAGTACTACTACTAGTACATGATCTATGAAAGTGCCCGCATACAGCATTTCTACTCTTCTCGGGGTGGTGGACTGCAATATTAATTGGACTTAATGGCGTCCTTGCTGTACTACTGGGATAATTAATATTTGCAGGGTAGGCATTTCTGAAAAAAGGAAAGTGCGCTTCTTGAAGAAAAAAAACGGTGTGCAGATCTTCGAATTAGGGTTTTTCTACGTGTTAGAAGAGGCAAGAGCATGCACATGAGTATGAAAAGTTTCTCGATGCCTATTGCAGCATGAAGTTCGTCTTCCGATTCACTTGGAGCACGAGAATTTTTTCCACATACAACAGCATACAGGCTAACAAAGTTCAGCATAATTTTTTGTACATGGTACATTTTTACAAACTAAATCGAAATCATACATAGATACAAACATCCGGTTGGAGAAGAAGCTTACGATTTCAATTTGACTATTTCGAAATGAAAGTACGATGAGGGTTTATCTAAATTTCCTCGAAGATATTTTTGTGTGCTCCTGACAACGATTCTTCTGAAGACCTGTGTTAAAGACCTCACTCCGTCTTCTTATCCAACACGCACTGAGCGGTAAACTTCAGCGTCGCAGCCGTGTCGAAAACGTAGCCCCCTCTCCGAAGTTCTGCGAAGCTGGCCACCATGCCGTCATCAACGCTCGCATCTGCCATGAGTGTGAGTCGATTTTTGCAGATTATGTTTATTTTTCCCAGACCCAGTGGAAGATTTTTATTTTTTCAGCTCAAACTACAAGTCGCATATTTTTGATTGATATACATGACTTAGTGCGTCACTTGGACGATAAAGTAGGTATTCATTGCTGTTCACGAACATCGTTTACAAATTAAGTACAACTAGATGTATAAAAATACCTTCCTCCGACTTGTTCTTGTTTTTTTGGTCGACCACCCGCACCAGCTGCGACAGCGGGGCGAACACGATGTCGTACGGCAACACAAACTGCAGCGAGACAATCCCGCTGTTCCGGAGGTTTGCCCACTTCGTGCCCAGGGAGAAATCCACGATCGGCACCCGCTGCCGCTTCTTGGCCCAGTGCTCGAAGGTCGTTTCGTTGCGCGAGGCGAGGTGGAGGTGGAAGCCGAAGAAGAAAATGAGGAGGACCGACAAGAAGGCCAAGACGGTCTGCGTGGTGATCGCGAAAAACGGCGCGTAGCCCTCGGTCAGGTACGGGATCACGACCAGTTCGTTCAGCAGTAAACACGCAATCGCCAGTATGCAAGCAAAAAACTGTGTGAGTGCACTAAGTTTGTGATGCAGAAAACGCAAAAGAGTTGTTTTACACTTGTCATGCCAGTAAACAACCACGAAGTCCTCTTTTCATGCGTGTTTCTGTTTTCACGTGCTAGCTGTGCATTGCAGGCCACTTTCTCTCTCATGCAGAAAAAATTTGTCGTGCTGTCAGCCCAAAAAAGCTAGTACACTCACACAGTTTTTTTCCTGGATACCCAGCGTGTTCATCAGACAGTCCGCGGCCCGGACGTACCAGGGAATCGCGGGTCGTGCCAGCCGGAAGACGGTGAGGCCAAAAACGAGGGAGCAAAAAATCGGAATCGTGGCCGCGAAAATTACCTTCAGCGCAACCGCAATGTTGCCCCCGTAGTACCGCAGGAAAAAGTGTTTGATCCAGCGGGAGGACACCGCGTCAAACATGACGCACGACATGCTGGCGAGAAGCAGGGACGAAATAGCGAGCAGTCGGACAAAAGGCACGTAGTTGTAGTATCCAATGGTCTGGAGCAGAAACGGGCACCAGTGGTCCAGCTTCAAAACGCACCGACCGGTCATCTGTTTTATTCGGTTTGCACAATTTGATTTTATTAATTCCGTGGGCCGGATTTCCTTCCCAGGGGAACAGCTTTTGTTCATCGCATGGCGGGAACGCAAAACGACATCATGTGGAGAAACGAAAAAGAATTTGTACATCAAAAACCCAAGGAGGTAAAATTGTAAAAATTTATGGTTATTCACTTAAGTAGTACCCTGCAGTGCTGGGCCCGGTCTGGCTTGAAGCCCTGGCAGTGGATGCAGCCCCGGAGGCGGTTGTCCGTGGTTCGCTGGAGCATCCAGTCGCTCAACTGGTCAACGTCGTACTGGAAACCCCACTTATAAGAGTGCACAACCCCCCCCCCCCTCGTCCCCCTCATTTGACACAGGTGTAATTTTTAAAAGCACTAGAAACACCAGCGCATGACGATGACAGGCTCTTACTTCTTCTAGGCCGGGTGTATAAAGTGCTACTGTTCCTCAGGCTACTTGTTCCGAAATTTGGAATGCTGCAGACTGTGCCAAACATAGGGCAGCAGCTCCAGCTGTTGCTGTTTTTCGTATTTGCCTGACAAATAAGAAGAAAAAGGGCGGCGAGCTGTGCACTGTCATAACACGTGTACGGGATATAGTTTTTCTTCTCCAGCCCGCCGAAGATTAGGGAAAAGAGCTGCGCGAGAAACAGGGTGAGAAGCCCCTTGTACAGGTACCAAGTGCGCTCGTACCGGGGGTCATAGGAAATAACTAAATTGCTGAAGAAGTAGTGCAGCAACGCGATGGTGACACTCAGGGACACGATCGGCACGCGATGGCAAACTGAGTTTTTGAAAAGATTTTTCTCTATCAATTTCGATCAACTTATGTTCTTCAGGTACAACAGGTTCTTCATTTTTCCGAGTGTAATTGTAAAACGCGAAGAACCTCTTATGTATTTCATTCAACAAGAAAATCAAAACTATGCGGACTCGGACTCCTCCCTGTTCTTGAGAGGATATATACAGATCAGTATTTACAATTACAGTCACACCTCCCTTGCAGTTTCCATCAAATCACGTTGACAAGAAATTCTTTACCTTCATCCCCCCAGGTCTTTGGTCTCGCTCCGGCGGACTGTGTGGAATACTGGCTGCTCAGCTGGTCCGCTGCGGTCGTGCTGCCGTTCCCCGTTTCTTCGGCCGAGGAGGCCGACGAGGCGGAGGAAGAGGCGGAGGTTGGCACCTCCGTCGTCCGCCCGGAAATCGTCCCATTCTTTTTTGTCGAAAACAAACCTCCGCGATTCACGTCGCTGTTCTCTTCACTACTCGCATCATCTTCCTCCGAAGAGGAATCCACTTCCGAGTCCGTCTCCACGTGCTGCGCGGACCCGAGGTCCTCCTCCTCGGATCGATCTTCTTCGGAACTAAGGTCGTCGTTGTCCCCGTGATATTCATGCTCCGCGATCGGCGACCGCTTCTCCAGCGGCGTGTCCGGCTTCATCTTCATCAAGGGCTGCTGCTGGTGTGCGGCCTGTGTGGGGACAGGTGCTGAGGAAGAATGAAGATCTTCCGCCTGTGCAAGCACAGATGTTCCCTCTGTAGTGCCTTCTTCCCATTGCTCACTCGGGGGGGCGGCAGAAGAACCTGCGCCGGTTTTCTTCTTACCCTTACCTTTACCTCCGCGATTGTTCCGACCCATGATCTGATGGTCAAGGTACGACGAAGCTTGAAAGAAGTAAAATTGTTGTTTCTTTGTGATAGACTTTTAGACGGTGATTGTTCTTGTTGTGTTATAGAGCGGGAAGGTGCAGGAGCCAGGTAGTATTTCTTCACCAACTAAATTTAACTGCTGGATAGAAGCAAAAATTAAAATCTTTTGAACTTAATTCTTTTATTAAACACGAAGAGTGTCCCGGCTTCGATGAAACCTTTGCTTCTACTGAAGCACCTCCATGGCGACCCGCCCTCAAGAACCGATATAATTAACGAGTTCAGTTTGATGCACGACGGACGAGCTTTTTTCGAACGATTTTCTTGAAACTTATGTGGACGACTTTTCGTATTCCGACCTCCCGCGAGACCAAAATAAGAATTCTTGCACGAATACGAAAGCACGAAAAAACCGACAGTATTTTTTCAGTTTTGAAGCTGCTTTACGTTGCTTGTTGTCTCTGTATGACTAGGACCGAAACATCAAATAGAAGGAGCGACAATGCGAGGACGGGAAGGAATTTTATTTCTATTTGTATTTTGCAACAGCACGTCTATGTTTCTGCTTCCGCAAGTCTTGCTTTCACACATAAGCGAAAAGTTGTACGAACCGATGAAGAGGCGAATGATGAGAAGCAGAAGAACAAAGACTACTGCTGTAGTTCCTCCGACACTCTGTTTCTACGATGACGGTAAAGCAGTGCAGTCAGCAGCTTGAAGAAGGTCCTCTGTTGTTTTTATTTAAGACAGGACTTTTGATGATTCTTTCATTTTACACGAGGTTTTTTCAATTATTTTCTCGGAAGCAGTTCCTGACTTATCGATACTAACTCATTTCAATCGGATTCATCTTCATCACGTTCATCGACCGGCTCGCGATCATCCTTATCGCGGGGAAACAATTGGTGTGGACGAGGACGTATCCACTGCAAACGTGTCTGGGTCTCCTGGAAGAGTGCCCCTGTTTGTCTGGGTCTGGATGTATGCCCCCGCATCATCACAGATCATTTTCTGAATGGTTCTTGATGCCTAGTATCCCACAACATGAGAAGTGCGCTCTCCGCGTAGCAAAAAGTAGTGGGCTCCACTGACTGCAGCTCAGGCAGTACAGCTCATTTTTTCAGAATCAAAAAGCAGTGTCACAACAAGTTGCATTGTTCCAGAGGACCCAAACACCACCAGTATTTGCAATGCATAGGACGAATCGCTGTTGTGCGCTGAAATTCCACCGCTTTCCGCGGATGAGCGTGGGCCTGGCCCAAAGGTCGCCTATGGAGCTCTCCAAGAACGTTACATCGTTCAAAGCTGTGGCTGTGCCCACGTGAACAATTATTTCTGATGCAATAGTTAAATAAATGAGGAGCTTGTTGGGCCGGAAGGCGAAGGCCGAAGGGCCTCTCGCCTTACAAATTCGACATGTGATTTCCATGTTGTCTAGCCGCGCTTCGAGAATTTCTTGTACAACAACCTCCAGCTTGATCGTGTGGAGGCTGCAAGCAGGTAATTTTGCTGCATGACCAACAATTGCAATTATCATGTAAGAACACACAATAGAAGTGTAGTAACGTTTGAGAGCAGTCCCATACCGCCTGTGTCGCCAGTTTTTTCTTCATGGACTGCATTTTCATCCTGTTCTGCGGGGAAAGTTCCAGCTGCGTTGGTGCAGCAGCTGCGCCGCTATTTTCTGGGACGTCGTGGTCGCGCAAGGTTGTACTATTAGTATCCAGCGGGGGAAGCAGTACCGCTCCTGTACTACCAGCCTCGTTCTCCGTCATCCCTGTGCGCACCCGAGACGTGAGCTCGGCCAAGTGCGAGACCGAAACTGGGTTATTCGCCCGACGCTCCTCCGGAAGTTGTCCAGGTTGTAATACTAGTAGGGGAGCACCAGGCGAATCGTCCGTCGCCCGCGGGTCTCCTGCCATTCGCGGCGAGGTGGTTGTGGACGATGATCCCTGTAGTCGTTGCACAACTTGTGCTCCTGGTCCAAGCAACGCCAGCAAGGAATCTTGTTCCTCGTCTGCCCCCTCGTTGATATTTTTACCCACGACGTCGTTGCTGGTCCTGGTCATGATGACACCGAGCGCTTCCTCCACTGCATTATTCTTCGAAGTAGTAGAGGACCCTGCAGACGCCGCGCCAGCGCTTGTTGCCCTCATCTTGTGGTCCTGGAGGATGCCCTGCAGAAAACTCAGGTTGGGTGACGCGTCCGTAGGAGTAGGACCACGACCGGCCACGACCCTGTCCAGAGTGCTTCTGGGAACCGCCCGCCGCAGTGGTCCTCCTGTCGAGGACGACATCGAGAGAGTGCTTCTCCTCGTCCCACCGCGCGCCGTCCGCTCGCACTCTATCTCCTCCTCCGTTGGTGCCCAGGGACTTCTGACAACTACATTGTTGGATACATTCATCTGACGCGATTTATTGTAACTAGAAGTCCCCATACTGGTCGACGAGGAGCTGCTTGTTCCGAGTCCTCGTGGTCGTAGCTGCCCGGTTTTAGCATCGAGCAGTAGCTCCGGATCATTTGACGTTCCTCCGCGGTAGTTGTCCACTTTATTGCCTTTATCCCCCGATAGCAACCGACCGCCCACCCCCCGCGCCCGCAGCTGCTGCCCCTCGGTCGTGTGGTCTGCTGGAGCTACATTGGAAGAAGCAGCCGAACCCCCGCTACGGGTCATAATTCCAGTTGCACCACTATCTCCAGCCGCCACCGTGCCCGGATCTTGTTGTTGCGCCCGGTCGACTACGCATTGCAAATATGATGTCTGGGTCCAGAATAAACTTGTGACGCAAGGTGGAAGGGAATACTTAGTGAGCACACTGTAATGCGCTGCCAAGCATGACAAGTTTTTCCATGGTTCTGAGTTGCGCACTCCGCATGAAAAATTCCGTTTTTGCATGTTGACAGGCAGGAGGAGCTCTTTGCGGTGACGCAACACAGAGTTCAGACTCAAAGTCATGCCAGACCAGCATGACACATCTCGCATCAACTTCCCAGACCCAGACATATTTGCATTTGATATCGACAACCAAGGGTTGCCGATTCAGATCGAGTCTACTGTTTGCCACTTGTTCTAGCGTCTCCTGCTCCAATAACTGACAGAATTTCAGTTTCGTTTCTTCATGAGAAGATCATGATGATGTTGGGCCACTTATACTAAAATTGGATTCATTTTCTTCTTCACAGTACTATTGAAGATGGATAATTCTCTCCAAGACGAAGACGCTTCCGTTCTGCGACGATGCACGACGAGATTTTTATGACTAAAAAATATGAAAATTTCAATTTACTCAGGGGCCCAATTCCAACATCTTAAATATTTTTACCAGCATCACTACATATTCATTACAATTATACCTGCTGCATAAGATCCTTGGGCTGCAGCAGAATTGACACGAGGTATCCAAGGAGGGAAGCGGCCAAAATTGCTGCGCTAAGGACGTACTGCGTATTCATGCCCGCGGGTAACATGTCTATCGCGACAGCGGCGGAGGCAAGCGGACATCGGGAGAACGCGGCAAGCATCGCGGCCATGCCTATCGTATGCATTGCAAATATGTCTGGGTCAAGGAGAACACAAACTTCTAATGCGGATTTCAGACGACACACAAATCTGTCAGTCACGGACAGAAACAAAGGGTTGCCCGCGTCTCGTCACCGAAAGCGGAAATTTGTCATGCTTAACTAACAGACTGCGCTACCGAGCCCGGGGGTAGGGTCCTCCGAGGGGTGCACTGAGCACTGTCCGGAACACCGGAAAATGCCCCGCGGCTGGCACAGGACCAGCAACACAACTAGCTCTCGTTGATCTCATTTTGTACAGAAATTTGTCATGCGGATTAGGCATTGAGAAACCTTCTGATCAAAAGCTGCGACGCTGGAGCTTGCATGCCAAGCCTTCTCGGTCAGGAAAAAAACGGCATACCAAACTCTTGTATTCATCCAGACCCGGATCGATATTTGCATTTGATATATCGGTGCGAAAAACCGCTCCAGGCCGAGCGACGGGCGCACCAGAGGATTGTTGTTCGACGGCGCGACCAGCGGGATGTAACCGCCAAGCCCGATGCGCTCTAGCACGCTGCCGTATATTATGCCGCCCGACGTCCCGATCACGATCAACTCCCCAAGCGCGCCGCCCACACCGTTGGCGGCCGTCGACAGCGCCAGCAACACGCCCTTACCCATCATGAACACTTATGCCGATTGCAAATTTAATATCGCTCTGGGTCTGGAAAGTTGCGGTCGTGCGATCGTGCAACTCCAACCGCTCAGTGATGAATAATAAGCACACTGGAATGGTGCGCCGCCAAGCATGACAGGTTCTTTTGTGGCTCGGTATTACGTATTCCGCCTCAGAGCCTGCATTTTTGCAAAACAGACAAGTAGAAGAACTCGTATTTAATAGTGGCTACGCAATACAGAGCTCGTTTCTATGCCTGAACCTCACTAGTCGATGACAAATCTCGCAATATTCCTGACCCAGATCGATATTTCTTGTATTTGATAACACAAAAGCAGACAGGACCGCGGCGCCTTCCCTCGTCACCTCACACTGCAGCATCCGCAGATGCGTAGTCGCGAGTCGGTTGCCTTCAAGCGGAAAGCCTCCTGTGCAACCCAACCGCTCCCAGCCGCTGTGGTCACGGGACGAACTGCGTCCCGCACCAGGCACGACCGAGAGGCCGGCGGAGTGGTGCGCAGCCGAGTGGTGCGGGCCTAAGGTCCGCGTGTCGGTCAGCATCCAGATCGCCGGCGTCAGCAGCGCGGTCACGGAACTAACCACGATCGCGCGTCGCACTGCGCTCATGTCCGCAAACAGGTGTACCGAAATCACCGTGCCCTGGATCAGGAACACGGCTCCCAGGGCGGCAGAAAGGGCGAGCGGCAAAACCAGTAACAGCCACGGCCCCACCTCGGGCCGCAAGTCCGGCATCATGTGCGCGCCGACACCGTCGCGACGGCCTCCTGAGCAAAAACGTCTCGTTCCCACGTCGAGGATCCCAGATTTTTCTACGCAAATCTTTTTTTTCTGATTATGCCCCTCGTTTCTTCGTTATGAATTCATCACTTTGCTATTAAGCTAGAAGACCGGTGTGCGATGCTTAGCATGTAAACTTGTCAGCTTGTCATGCAACTTTGCGCGGTCGCGCGGCTTTTGCTTTTCTTCAGATGAGGCATTCATTTTCTAGCGGAGTTTGCGCTAAAGCAGAATGATACATGCGCTAAACCAGAATGATACAGTGGATTTGTGCCGCATCTATAATACGTAAGTAGGCACGACACACGACAGCTACACACCGAAAAAACTTGTCATGCGTGAGTCCCAAAATAAGTTCTGGACCACTTGCCTTGCAAAATTCCCATTTTGGCTCTGAGGTCTTTCTGTTCTGGAAAACATCAACTCAAACCCGCACATCAGAGGAACTAACTTCAATCTTTGACAAAAGGAAGAGAGAAGGACACATCCTCGTGGTCCTGGGGTGGGCGACGCCACGTTTTTGCACAAGATATGCGAAAAGCCATGTGAAGCACCGTCGGGTCGTTCGCAAATTGCTGCCCAGCTGCTTCATTAGTACTACCCAACTGCAGCACCTTTCCTGAGGATCCAGCTGCGAAGGCGTTCGCGCCGAGGGCGGTGCCTCCCCGCAGGCTCGGCGTCGGGTGCCCCGGGATATGAAAGTGCACAACTCCCCCTCCCCCTCATTTGTAATGCAAAATCCCAAATGCAGCTGCGGCCTTGTAGCACTGTTTGCTTGACAAATCCTGGAAGCCCAAACAGCACTACACTCCAGTGCAAATTTGTCATGCAAAACCGGCATTCTTGCTGATGCTTGTATTGTCGTTCATGCCATACAAATGAGGGGGAGGGGGAGTTGTGCACTGTCACACGGGAAACGTGACGGTGAGAAGACACCTGCGAACTTGGTCTGGAAAATCTGGAGCAACCCGGGGAGTCTGTTGAGAAAGAGCGCGCATATCCTCTAGAAAAACACAGCCATAGCTACAGTAGATAAGTTAAAAGTGGTAAAATCAAAATAGGAACCCTAAACTAAACCCTTTTAAACCCTGGAACCCTTCTGCGGCGGCTGGGTCGATGGAGGGAAGAAGTCACGACGGTTTGCAGGTGGAGGATCCGGATACGCGTAACATGTGATGGTCCTAAATGTGGGTGGTCTACCACCAAACCTAATCCTAAACCCCGAACCCGATCCCCGAAAGAAAAACTGCTTGGTGCCAGTAGGGCCCGAGGAAAAAGGAAGAGCACAACAGAGAAAGCGAACTATGAAGCCGTTTGTAAAAAAGCGCTATCAAAAGCCTTTTGCTCTGATCCTTCCAGGCGTGCACTCCCTTCTGGTTCTAAAGGTTCAGCAGTGCTGAGAGTACTCCGACCCTAAACCTAAAAGATAAGTTAAATAAAAGTGGTAAAAAAGATATAATAGTGTAAATTCGCGTGGGGGCTGATTTTGTGGCAGAACAAGAACCTTGTAGTCTGTCATGCCGGTCAGCAACGAAAATAACCTGAAACGCAAAACACAAACCATATAAGTATCTATAATGCTGAACAGGTGTCAGAGAGGTTGTTGTACCAGGCAGATGTGATGCTGAACAGACAAAACCGCTCTCTTCTCAGATAAAAAACCGCATCACGACGTGCTCTAGTGACAAGACCGCACTACAGAGTAGACAGGAACGATGTAGTAATAGTACGTTTTTATTTACTTGAATATGGATGTATTTTTCTGTAGCATAGAAAAGAACCAGCGGGCGCTGGTCACGCTCACGATCGCGTATCGAGCTATGAAAAAGTATTCGTAGATTCGATCGTGCGGTGCAAATCGGTGCAGTCTGGCATGAAAGCTGCGCTTTTGTAGTAGTAGTTTTCTACCTGAACATCATGCATGATATCAAGTTCGATTTTTTTCCCCATATTTTTGGGGACAAAATTGCAATAGAATTGCTATGCGATTTCCACTGCGTCTAGTACGATACTTTTGCATATCATGCATATCGCGCTACAAGCGACAAGCGGAACCAGTATGTTCGATACCCCGAGAAAGAACCGGTACTCTTCGATAGCGAACAGCAACCCACCAAATGGAGAATTGAAGGCACAGGCGAAACCGGCAACGGACCCAAGCAGGACGACAAGCCCGGTAGGGCCCGCTTTGTCGGGAAAGTATCCTGAGTAAAAACGTACCCACGCCAGAGTTAGGATGAGGATTTTGCAACACAAACCTAGGAGTTTTGTGAGTCACGCATGACAAGTTGCGCTCTGCAGTGTAGTGCAGGTTAGCAAAGGGAGCCGCGTCACAAATCCAGCTGCTCATCCTGTTCACAGCATCACAAATACAAATTCCAAAACACGATTGGAAATGGCTCTCATGGGGATGCGCATTACAAGTCTTCCTGTCTTTGCAAATCTGCATTACAACTCTGGTGTGGGGAGGTTTTTACTCAGGATAGAAAGATACGCGTCCCCGCGGTTTTCTGTGCGAGTTCGTACACCTTCGACGCCACCGCGCCGCCAATGTGCAAAAAAGGGTATCAAGAGGAAAAATCTCTCCTCCCCTTAATCTCGAAAACAAGATTTGTGCTGCTGTATTTTTTTTTCTAAACTCTTCGCGCTTGGCTATTCCGTTGGTTTTCTTTCTGTGCTGTCTTTGCGTACACAATAAATCTTCGACTTGTATTCCGAGAAGGCAAAGAGGCGCAGCTGTGGCCTCCTTTTCAGGCAATTTGTCATGCTGCTTCCCACTTCCAGCCGCCTCCTGTCATGCTGAAGATGCACGGCTTTCCCACACAGCATAGCACTACAGTCCGCATCTTTTTCCTTCTAGCATGACAAAGCTGATTTGTGGCCACAAATCTGCATCACAGATTTCCGTTTTGATATGGGGAGGGGAATTTTTCTTCTTGATAAAGGGGTCCGGATCTCCAATGCGTGGCCCGACCCCACGTAGAGCAACGTGAGAACAAATCTTGCCGCGCCCACGCGAGCGGGCACCCGTTCGCCAAACGCCACACAGGTCCGGGTCTGGAACATACCTGCTCCACCGGCCGCCGGCACCAGGCGGGACACAACCAGAGCCACCACCACGCCGCCCAGAACGAGTACCCCCGAATTATGCATTTTTGCAAAGTATATCGACCTCGGTCTGGCCCGTTGTGCTTGTGAAGATGATGAACTTTCCTTCTACACGGTATCAGCCATAATTCCGACTCGACTGGGCAGCCAGGGAGGGGACGAATAGCGTTTCTGCATGACAAACAGGAAACTCTATTCCATATATGCAGATAGAGCATTTCTAAGTCTGGCAACCTTTGAGAGGATCCAGATCGTCGATTTTATTAATTTGCAAGGCATACGAATGGAGCGAATGCCATTTCACGGACCCCACGCCGACGTCGCTGAAAAACCACTCCGGACACGGACGATAAGTCGTGACCAATATGTCCGCGATCGCGTACTATCCGAGTGCACAACTCCCCCTCCCCATCATTTTCATTTGTATAGCTATAGCATGGACAGTAAAAATACAAACACCAACACACATGCGGAGCCTACGCATGACATCAAATTTGCGCACCTAATGAATGTAGTAAGTACTGTTTGGACTACTACTTCCGGAATTTGTGAACATGCAAACAGCGCCACAGGGCCGCGACCGGATAGGATACTGATTTGGGATTTTGCATGACAAATGAGGGGAAGAGGGACCGCGAGTTGTGCACTTTCATACGTACAGCAGCCCGATCAGAACGCCAATCAGTGTCGCCGCTCCCGCCCAACAAATCATCGAGCTCATGCGTTCACTCATTTGCACCGTGTTATCATCGGCCAGCGCTTGCACGAAGGCGGCCGTTCCTTTATCAGTGCTGCTAGCAGAAGTCCTATGATCCGCTGTGGTCCTCTCGCTGGTCGTGGTGACGACCCGCTGGTGGTCCGGCGACGCCATCTATCACGAAAAAAAAGTGTTACAGTTACACATTGTGTTGCAGGCCCAGCATGACAGACAACGTCTGTCATGCCAGAAATGCTTTCGAGCCTCATTTCATACGTGTTTCTCTTTCTGTTTTAGTTTTCCCTTATGATAATTTGCATTACAAGTTTTTTCCCTCATGCGGAGAAAATTTGCGTTGCTGCATCGACAGCAAACGTGTAAGAACTGTAACACTTTTTTCTCGTGATACCATCCTCGCCGATGTCAGATGGTGTTGATCAAGGACACTTAGTACAACTTTATTTGATGGTCTTGCTACTTCAACCGAAACACGAGGTGTAGAATCGATGCTGTTCCTCTCAGTGAAGATGTAGTCGAAGATGCTGTTCCTTTTGGCACTGGCAGCGTGCTCCTGCTCCGACTTCTGCTCCTGCCTGCTACTCCACCTCTTCTACCAGCCCGAAGAGGAACTTACCACAACGCGCCCAGTTTTTGACGGCGCCGTGGCTAGTGGTCAACTTCATCTTGCATCAGGGGCCGCGCGGCTGTTTCCGTCCAGCGCGGGCGCTACAACTACCGGGATGAGGTTCTTTTTTCGGACTTGGGTCTACTCGCCCAGATTCCAATTAGAGCCAACAGGTGTGGTTTTCGTTTATCTGGATCGCATCAGATACCAGATATCAACGACGTAGTTCGTGACCTCATTCTAGCACTCGACCAACCGGAACGTGGTCATCTTCAAGGAAAAATATTTATATTACAACTGATCACGATGATGATGTCCTTGCAATATGCAATCGTCCTCAACAAACTGTAAACTGTACCAGCATGCTTCGTAGATATACTATTTGCATTTACATTTTTTTACTATATTAAAAATCCAGGGCAGAAAATAACTCCTTTCGCTCTGTCGAAGTTCTGAAGACACTCCCACACCTCATCTCTCATACTTTGTATTCCACCCCCCGAGCCGACGACAAATCTCGAGGGAGCGACCTGGGCTGCACGGCCTTGTTTTTTCTTTTGATTCAACGACGATGATTATTTTATTCAACGATGAAAATTTTTCACACAACGAGCGAGGTAACTAGAAACGATCTGTCTGCACCATACTAGGCTCCTGGACGGCCTTCTACAAACGTATCTTCACCTTCTGGCGCGAACATTTTGCGCTGAACTACTTAACCCGGGTGAAAACGACGAGCCGTTTCCTGAAGACGAACAGTTTTTGTTGCCCGATGGACGAAACAACTTCATGGGAGCCACGAAACCACCACTCAAGAGCTAGAGCAGGTGCTCGTGCTGTTTTTAGAGTAGTTACAGTTTGGACTAGAAGTCGATGCGAGAGCTTCATGCGGAAGTGCTAGACTGTTGATGTTGCGAGTCATTCGTTTACTACTCGTCGGTGGTAAGTTAGTAGCAGAAGCTGTTCTGTTTTCAGAAGGTGCTCTACTTCTCTACTTAGTTGTGCATAGCAAAGTCTGCGAACTCGAAGATTCCGCAGAAGGTGGCGCTAAAGCTAGAGCTAGACAACTGAAAACGAAAAGAAAATAAAAGTATCAGAGTCAGTGCCAGCTACCTGTACTTTACTTTCCAACTAAGTACCGACCACATTGAGAAGATTCTTCCACTTGCGCTACAAGGTGACGACGAAGCATAGAATGTACGAAACAACAGCTAGCAAGGATGATTTTTAAAAAAAGGAAACAACTGCAACGACGAGGGATCTGATAGAATCCGGTGCTGCTGGTCAAATAAATTTCTAACAGGAGCTGGTGTGGGTAGAATCATACATGATCGATTACAGACTTGCAATGGGGGAAAAAGAATCAAAACAAAACTTCTAAATTTTGTACCCTCTCAGAGTGGGAGAAAAAAAAAAATACTGGCTACGTACGGGAGGAAATGAAAATCTGTTCTTCCTGCAATAGAAATGATGAAATGCTGAGGGAAAAAATGGGCTGAAGGCAGTGTGCTAAAGTGAAAACAACGTGTTCATGCTATGTGCAAAGGAAAGAAATGAGTCATACACTGTCATAAAGGAAAACGATTGTGATTGAGTTTCTCTCCCGACAGAGTTCGGAAGCCGCATGGTAGAAACTACACCGTTAAAAAGTAGTGTAGAATTTCCCAAAAAGAAAGAAACACCTATCTGCTGATCACCTAGAAGTACAACAATGTTACCCGTGTACTAGTTTTCATCACTCACAGCAGAACGGAATCGGGCACGGAGCTGAGTGCCACCGGTTCCATGGGGACAAAAGCCCGCTTTTCTTCGTTGGAAAGTCCGATGGTGCTGAGCCCGACCAAATCGACGTCGGCAGTGACGAAAGAGTTTGGCGGCTGGGGCATGTAGGACCCCATGTTCAGCTGCAGAGACGCCCCCATCTCGGGGCACTGCGTCGACAGCGCGCCCGTGTACTCCAGTTGCGTCGTGGTGTCCAGGGGCTGTTGCAGTTGCAGGGTGGAACCCATCTCCGGCACCTGGGTCTGCAGCCCCGTGTACTCCAGCTTCGAGGGCTGGTCCGACACCGGTTGTATGCCAGCGCCTGATGTGAATACAGAAGATGAAAAATTAAGGCTTAGCGGTTGACCATCCCGATAATAACGATAATTTCTTGTCGATTTATTTTGGACAGCAAAAACGAAGCTGTGGCTGTGAATGTAATGCAAAAACAATATAAGTAGCGCAAGCCTCTTCGTCGGTACTGTGGTAGCTACCACGATGCTGCAGCCAGAAACTGCACTCATAACTGCTTTCTTGAATCTTCTACAGGCCAAAATTGTCTGCACTGGATTGCTCCATTGAGAGCCAGGCATCGCACACCAGACGTATCTTTGATGCAACAAAAACAAAGCGCGAGAACAGCAACAGAATAGCTCACTGCTTGGTGTAGTTCTATCATGTTAGTTGGCAAAATAAATCTCCGAGGAGACGGCGACAAACAAATTCGTCATAAATTTAGTACTCTATACCTGACAAGATCTTGGACTTCGCCTGCCACACCTTGGCCGCAACGTTTGTTGTTAGCACCCGAGGCATAATCTTCCCCGTGTGCGGATATCTGACGTATTGACTCACCACCGGTCGAATCGCTGCTCTTCGTAGTCTCGCACCCGCGGCGCCTGATAAAGACCAAGTCGTCGATTTGCATAATGAAAGCATCGATTTATTCTGAAATTGTCGTGCCGCAGAGCCTTATGCATCAAGTCAGCAGTGTAGAAGTTCTTCTAGCGCTTCGATATCAGTAAGACGTTATCTGAGTTCCGTGTTTGAACATCAACTGCAACCGCAACATGAACGCATACATATTTGTCAGCATCATGAAACCTATAATGTGTAATCAATACCATCCGCAAGCAGGTCTCTGTCCAGGGCACTGGTGGTGCTCATCGCGTCGCCACCCGTTGGCGACGACGCGGCGCTGGGCACGGTCATGGGCGCCAGCTGCGGCTGCTATCCTATGTAAAAACGTCCCCACCCCATAGTTGTAATACAGATCTGCAAACTGAAAACGTTTCTCATGCGGAACCCCATGAGAAGCGTTTTCCCGTCGTATGCTGGAATTTGCAATGCTCCAATCAGCATGACAGGCTAGGTCTGTGATGCTGCTGAGCAAGCTAAAAAGGATTACACTACGAGGCCAAAGAACCTGTCATGCGCAACAACCAAGGCTGGCTGATTTGTCTAGCAGGTTTCCCATCTTGACTATGGGGTGGGGACATTTTTGCTCAGCATAGCTGCCCGAGCAGCTTCATGGACTGAATGCCCGGGACGTGGATGTTCACTTTCGTGATGTCCGCCGCGGAGGTGTATCGTAAGGAAAAATCCCCCCTCCCACATCGAAAAGAAAATTTGTGATGCTGATTTGTGCCACAAGCTAGCTTTGTCTTGCGTACAAGGCAAGCGGCACCCATGTGGCGCATTGTACAGCGACTCTGTCATGCGTTTTCGCCTATGTCAGACTTGTTTCTCATGCTCAGCTGCTAGCCGGATGAGCACCCAAATGGGCTTAGCATATGCCGACAAGCTCCTGCTGCAATACAAAGCTCATTTGCGTACACAAATCCAGCAACACAAAGACAAATTGTCTTTTGAATATGGGGTGGGGGCTTTTTTCACTGTGATAAGGTGTGCACTTTGACCTGGGAAATCTGCGGGAGGTAAAGACCGTCCACGGACAACAGCTCCCGCGGACCGCAAATATCAAATGCAAAAATGTCTGGGTCTGGAAACTTGTGATGCAAATCTACGAATTGTGGGCGCGCTACAATATGCAGCCCAGCATGACAAGTTTTTGCGCTGCTGTGTCTTTCGTTTTTCGCATGACAAATTGCGTTTTTGCATGACAGGCAAGACGCCCTTTTCCTGCTCATGCATCACAGATTTAAGAATCATGCCAGACAAGCATGACAAACTTGCATTCTTCCAGACCCAGACATTTTTACATTTGATAGCAAATGTCCACCAGCAAAACTTTCTTCCCCGCCTGGTCCGACCCTGCGGCTTGCGGCGCCATCCTGGCTGGCTGGTCTACAGCGTCGCTAGAGCCCCGGGGAATGGCCTGGATGAAGGCGCGGGCCATCGAAGGTTTATCAGATAGACTTACGATAGTAGACTCGAGATCGAGAAGAGCTATAGGTTTTTGTCACGACCCTGAAGGACGACGACGAGAACTGGTCTCCAAATGGCTCTAATAATACGACGCGTAGATTTAAATAGACGAGAAAGAAGAAAAGGAACGGCAGAAAAATCAAAATCTACAACTTACAGCTTTTTGAAGAATTCACAGAAAATTACTGTGGGGTTTTTGGGCGACGGGAAATGGAGTTGTCACTGGCTGCAACTGCAAGTAGAACCAATTGGTTCGCGACAGATTTAGACTGCTTAGTTTGGTTGTCCTCCTCAACATTATCTTTCTACAGCAGTGGACGAACGTAACTACGACATCAAGACGACGACTGACGTGCACCAGTTTGTATCGCACGGCAAAAGTTTCCGGAGTACAAAGAAAAGACGAATAACGACCGAAGGGACGATAGTCTGTCACCTACTTCAAACGATATAAGTACTACCGAGGTATATTTTTGTTCTACACTGTAAGTAGTTGCACGGGGTTGAAAAATGATTTTTCTCGCGCAAATATGGAAGAGGGCGGTGATTTCGTTGCTTCATTCGGACGACAAATACGAGCACGACGCAGAGGACGATTTGCAATTGCAATTTTTGCGCTCACGACTACTTACATCAAAAGACCTCCTACACGAAAAAAAACAGACCGATACCACAAAGACACGTCTCCCTACTTGGGTTCATTTTTCTTGTCGGTTCTGGGCATCGGACCACAAAGCAGGTTTGGACCACAAAGCATGTTTTGGTATTAGTTTTTGCATTTGGACCACAAAGCATAACAAGCTTCACTGAGAGGACGAATCGCACTGCGCGAACACTCTCAGCAGAGTGGCACAAGACTTGCCAGAACATCGCACTGTTGCAGATCTTCTACCTATATATTCTACTGGTGGTGGTGTCTGGCAACTTCGATGACAAAATAAATACGGATTGATATAAATAATCTTCCGCAGGAGTACAACTAGGGCAGCAGCCACAGCGTGCTTCGTCAGCTTCATCATAGACTACACTTCTCTAATCATCTCACTAAACATACATAGTACCTGAGAAATACGCATACACCTTACACCATGAGCCGACTGCCAACGATAAAAGCGAGCACTACCGGGCGCAAGACTTGGTTCAGAATGATCTGCGTTTTTTCCCCGAATAAACAATTTCCCTGCAGCGAGATCCCGCTTGCAACGACGATGACCGCGGCATCTACGGGAAAGAATGCAAGCAAAAGAAAGGCGAATAATTCGAGCAACGAGACAAGAATGTAGCTCCTCATTGGTGGGCGGGTTTTCGCTACCGAAATAGAAGTAGCTCTGCGTTCTTTATTCGTTGTCCCTGTTCGTGGGAGCAGGACCGCTTCACTTGATGCTGTTGACAACACCTCGTGCAACTCCTCCTCGCGGTCAAAAACGTCGGAATAGTAGTTCGACAAAGTAGAAGACGCAGCAGCTGCTCGTCCCATAGTTGAAGCAAGATTCATCTCCCGGATTTGGTTTTCGAGGATCGGCAGCCCCGTGAGTAGCTTCTCCTTATGCATTGCAAGTATGTCTGGGTCTGGAAAATTGCGAGATTTGTATTTTTGTCGAGCTTCCTCGTATCTATTATACTCCTGAACTCTGTGATGCATGTTGTGGAATAGCTCTTCCCTGTGTCGTGCAAAAACGCGATCTCTTATGCGAGTTACGCACAACATAAAAACTGCTCAGAAATTTCTGATGCGTCGCTGCGTATTGGAATCAGTTTGTGATGTTGCATGTGTTGGCATGAAAGGTAGTTTCCAGAGGACCCAGACTGCATATTTGCAATGCATATTCCTTTCTCGCGAACGATTTTTCCAGCGCTTCCCTCATCGCATTCTTTTTCCCGTCCTCCACTTTCTTCACACCCACCCCACTGGAAATCAACTTGGTGGAGACCATCTGATGTGGGTTTGATGCTGTTTGTGTTCCACCTCCATCTTGTTCATCATCCCCCACACAGGAAGGCCCGCCGTCGTATCCAGGAAAAAACACCCATCCCCATCCATTTTTTGCATCACAAATAGTGGATTTTATGCATGTTTTGCGTGACAAATTGGATGGGGATGGGTGTTTTTTTCCTGGATACGTCGTCCCACAAATCAACTAAAATTTTCATCACTCTCGGGGCCTTCCCTTGCACAAACACCGAGGCCTCGGAGGGTCGATTTTTCGTCCCCTCGTAGGCGATGGTCAAGTCAATAAAGTTCACCAACTTCGTTGCCAGCACGGCGGTGTTTTTCGCAGTAGTCGCCTTGTGCACCCCGTCCTGAATCGCCAAAATGCCAGCGGACCGCGGATACAGAACGCGCAGCCAGAGAGATGGGCGAAGCGCAGCAGGAGCTCCCGCTGGTCGTCCGCCTGGGGTCGTGGCGTCGTCTAGTAGTTCTTGCGCTGCTGGTCGTGTCTTTTGCTGAAACGCGATCGATCTTTCAAGGTTTGTGACACTGCAGTCCGTGCCTTCCGGAAAGATCAGGACGGTCGTGCCGCTATTTGTACCTGTTGGACTTGTTGTTTTTGACGTAGAAGAAGTAGTCGATAACTCCCTCTGCAAATTGCCCTCGATCGTTTGCAAGTCCCCCTCTCGGTCGTTTCTCTTCAGTGTGATAAACCGCATGGCCCGGCACGCCCAGCCCATAATTGGAATGTGATCGAGCGACTTGTGGATGATTTTCAACTTGGAAAGCGCCAATGGGTTTTGCTTTTCGATAGAGTTCTCCATCATCCCGTAATCGAGTTCCCCCATTTTATTTCCGGGTCCACCTCTAGAAGATGAAAATAAAGACAGGAACACCCAGAGAAACATCCAGTCCAGCCTCGTTTGGTGGTTGCAGAGGAGAATCGAGTTTTTCGCCTTTGCTTTCTCCAGCAACTGCCGCAGATCGGTACGTTTCCTCGTGTAGACCCGTAGCTCCAGGCCCATCACGTCGTGCAATAGGCACGCAATGAAGCCCAGAATCGTGGTCTTGCAGAAGTCGGCTATTACTCTCTTCCTGTGTTGGGAAACGGAAGTGGAAGAGGACGTCGAGAGGAACAGGTTCAGGGGGCCGAGAATGAAAAAACATGTTAAAATCTATCAAATGCAAAAATGTCTGGGTCTGGGAGATTCTGAGACTTGTCATGCATATTTTGCATGACCCAGGATGTCTGTAATGCGCGACCTAGCATTACAGATTTTTAGAGGGCTTCCTGATGCCTACTCCGCATGACAAACGCCCTCCCCGCGTAGCACAAACTAGACTCCTCTTGCTGGTCATGCAATACAAATTTTTTCAGAGTCCAAAGTTAGCATCACAAGTTCCAACCTTCCAGACCCAGACATTTTTACACTTGATAAAATCAGCGGTTGAACAATTCCGAGGATTAAAAGCACGCGAAGGGGGAGGGAGAGTATGGGAGTGTCAGAATCGAAATCGACAAAGTCGAAAAGTTTGTGATGCATAAAATGTAGGGCACGTATGGCCTGTGTTGGGGAGCAGGCAAAAGAGAGCGACTGCGAGGCTGTTTAGGGGAAGGAGATGCGCTGCCAGAGTAGCATGACAGGAGCGGTCTTCTTTGCCCGAACAGCATTACAAACTGGATTTTGGTGCTCCCGAAAATTGTCATGCGCCACTTGGCAACTGAGGGTCCAAGTGGTATCGATTTCATGCATCACAAATTATTTCGATTTTGTTGATTTCGATCCTGACGCTTCCATAGAGAGCACGTTTTCTTTATTGTCGTCCTTGGATCTTCGTCGTGCTGGTGATGCGAAGGCACTCGCATCGTCCCCTCCTGCTGCTCTCTGCTGCTGCTGTTCCGCCAGACGCTGGGCGAGCGCCTTGTACCCCTTAGCTTCCTGCTTCATCTTTCTTGAACTTAGAGTTTAGGAGTTTCTTTGCGTTGGTTTTTTATACCAGATCCAGAACAAAAATCAAAGGGGGATAAGAGAGAGGGAAAGGGTTGCACGTAAAGATAAATTGACCAGACGGACTGATACTCAACAACTGAAATTGCGTCCTTGGACTGAAGAAAGGTTGAGAAGTAGACTTCTTTTTGGTCCTTAGTTCTGCTGCCATGAGTACAAGCTGCCTTTCTTGCACCAGAATTCTGCATTTGGTCGTTTTTCTTCTTCCGAGCAAATACACGATGGCAAGGTCCTCTGCAGGTGTGTATAGAGTGGTCGACTCCAAGTCGGATGCACCTTTTTCAACATTCTGAAAATCTACCGGATCCGAGTTCATTCTTCTACGACCGAAACCGATGAGGATCAACATCAATAAGACCGGAAAATATTAAAGTCGTCAACGACACACATCCGAATCAGAAAAATTGATGCACCACCGACGGAAGCGTCGCTGAAAGCGCCACCACATCATCACTGTGCCTAGTTGTACGAGATCATTTTTTGAAAACGCGGAGTCCTCTCGCAAGTACTATGGTGGATCTCGTTCCATGGAACTTCGGCCGCCACGGCCTAGTTGTAGTTGTATGTAAAAATTCAAGAATTTTTCATTTGCTTTGTGGTTTTCAGACTGTATTCGTTTCTAGAAAAAGTTGTACTTGAGTTCTCTGAGTTTCGTCAGAATAAAGAAAAGCTCTGAAAGATGCTGGGCAGACAATAATGCCGCAACATCCTCGGACGAAATGTCGATACGTGATGTGCGTCGTGAAAATAGGCCGACGCATCATGCGATCAAAGATCCGAAACTTGTTTTTCCTGTTGCAGACACATAGCAGTGGTCGTGCTGGAAGCTAAATTCTTTGAAACACGAAAGGTAAAAAGAAAAACCCCACAACTCTGGATGATGAAACAATCATTTATTTCATGTTCAGTAGAAGAACTAACATATTTTCAATGTCACCGATCATTTACATTTGTCACAGCGGATCCTTCCCGATCTCGTCCAGCGCCAGTTTTTGCGACGTCCCCGCCCTCCCCCGATCCTCCAAGTGCCCCCCGAGCATCGCCCACCGCAGCCCGGACAGCACGGCTTGCCCGCAGAGGGCGGGAGACACTGCCACGGCCTCCGCGTACAGGTATTTCTGCAGGTACTGCAGGAGCTTTTTCGCCGGCTGGCCGAAGGTTTTGTGGTTGTCGTTCTGCACTATTTCCATCCGCCTACCGACTTCAAACGGCGATTGCACCGCACCGACCACTGTCGTGATATTATTGTTAAGCATGGAATGGTTATATCATTATCAATGCAATTACTTGCCGATACTTCTAGGGCACTTGATGCATTAGCAGTTGACTAAAACACTTTAGCACGTCGTCGTGGTCACGAAATGCACAGCACAGTGTTGCCAAGACTGCTTCAATTGTCCGATGGCACAGAAAAACCAAAAGCAAAAATCAAACAGTACTTTAGTAAAAATAAATCTACCTGGCCCCCCGACGTCCTGGCTGGTTGTCTGCAACACTGTGAAGAAGTCTTTCGACAACAACTGCCTTAACCCGCCCGAGGGTCCGAACCGCAACGCTACGTAGTTAAAAACCTCCGCGAGCGTCCAGCTCCGCAAATGTATCCCAGGGCACAACTTGTTCCCCCTCCTGGTTCGTCCCTCTTGTGTGCGAGGCATGAATAGGAGCGCAGAGTAGAGAACGGCAGACCTCTCTCTCTTCTACATGAGCGATGTATGACGTGTACTACAAGGCTGGACCTGCAGATTTAGAGCGGGAATTTCTATTTTTGTTGCCATTTTGCATTATACAAAGGAACGGCAGGGACGAGGCGTCGAGTTGTGCACCACTTTCATAGCCCGCGCGTCTGTTGCGTACGGTAACAGCCCAGAAGTGCTAGTGGCCTCCAAGATGAATTTCAAGGCGGGTTTGGTGAGCACCAGAAGGTTTTTGATCCGCTGCGCTTCTGCAACGCCGAGGTGGGTCTGAAGGTATGTGTTCAACGCAAGTTCGTCTTGGGCAGAAAGATTTTGATTTGGTTTTTCTTGCCCAGCGGAGAAAGATGAAGAAGCAGGTGGTGCTTTTTTACTAGAAGGAACTGCACCAGTAGACGTGGCACTAGTACTAGAAGTGCGAGGACCATTTCCAACTATTTTGATGTCCTCGGGGTTGTAGTAGTACAGGTGCAACGTTTTGACATTCCGACTCAACAACTCCAGTTCCGCAAAGAAAAGCTCATGTTTCTCCACGAAAAACTGGTTCTTCTCGAACCCCGCCAAGTAGCTCTGTGCCGCGGCGTCCGCGTTGTAAAGGTTTCCGGCTTTGTCCGCGGATGCGATGATTTTTGCGACGTTGTGCAACGCAATGTCCTGCAGTAAGGCTGTGGATTTCCCACAAACCTCCGGTCCGGCGATGTTGACCAAGAACTTGTTGCCCGGCGAAGATGTTGACCAAGAATCTTCTCCACCGCTCCTTGGATCTTCAACAGCAGATGCCAAGACAGAAAAGTTGGTATTTATTTCCGGCGCTTTTGATAATTCGTCACCCGCATTTCTAGATAGGGGGTGTTCATCATGATCGTCTCTATTCCTCATCGTTCTTTGTTCCGCAAACGTGACAAACTTGTCTGTGGCTACGTGGTGCAGATTCAACGGTCGATGTTCTCCTACCCGCACAACCGCGTGTTGGACATCGCCTTCCGGTGCAGCCCGCCTGGGAAGCGGTAATGAATTTTTTTCTTTACTTGTTGTGCTACCGTCCTTCTTGTCTTGTATGGTCAATGTTGTCCTCCCGGTTGTTGCATCTGATCTTTTCTTTTGTTCAAACACGATTTCCAGTTGCTCCAACGAGTTCTCGAACAAAACCGAGGACACCCACCGCTCGAGATCTTCGCTGTCCTGTCGGTACTCCTGAAACTCGGGCGCAGATTTAAACAGCGCCGAGCGCAGCCGGGCGGGCGAGGAGGAGGCGTCCAGGTCTTCGATGTGGAGACTTTGTAGAATCTTGGAAAGCACCACCTCGACGAACCGCCCCGCGAAAATCAGGTCGGTAAACGCGGAGTGGAGCTTGGTCTCCGCGAGGTCGTGTTGTGATATCAAATACAAAAATGTCTGGGTCTGGAAACTTGTGATGCTGAATGGTGTATCATGATGAAGCCACAAGTGCTGGCTCAGCATGGCAAGTTTCTGAGCTTCTAGGTGTTGCCTATTCTGCATGACAAACTGCGTTCCTGCATGACAGAAAAATGGAGCGCTTGTGTAACGTGCATGACAGATTCAAGAATCATGCCAGACAAGCATGACAAACATGCATTCTTCCAGACCCAGACATTGTTGCACTTGATATGTGAAAAATCGTCACGATCTACTTCTCTGTGCTGTAGTTGTGCTCCTGTCCCCCGCTGCTGCGAAGCCGCATTTATTTTCAAAGTGCTCCTTCTCGGCTGATAAAAGTGATTATCGACCAACGCTCGAGAGAGCGCAACATCCTCGTTGATCTGCAGCATTTGCATTTGCTCCTGCTCTCGGCCGCTCTCTATGTTGATAGTATCCGTGGTTGCGTCCTCGTCCCGTAAAGCTCCACGACCTCGAGGCGGAACAAGTAGATCATTTTGATAGTGAACAACATCATCTACCAAGTCCGGCAACGCGTTTTGCCTCAAGTAGCGGTCCCAGTGCTGGTCCAGAGCTTTCATCTGCGCGACGGTCGCCGCACTGTCCTCCAGTGTGTCGTCCGACCCGGACTTCATCCAACTGAACAGCTGCATCCAGTGCCGCAACTGCTTCGCGGCTTCCTCGGCTGCACCACTCCCGGGTTGTTCACCTTGAGCAACAAAGGAGTTTTGCATTTCCCCCACGAACCCGTTGTCGTTGTCTACGACACTGCTAGTACTCCCTCCGCTTGATGCTGATGAAGATGGTTGTTGTGCAAGCCGTGCCGTGGTGACCCAGGGAAACAGGACGCTTTCGTATAACGTTCTGAACCCGTTCCTCCCAAACACCTCGGAAAATTCCGCCAGATCGGACCAGGCCGACTGCAGCTTCGCAAACTGCTCTGCATTCACCTTGGTGCGGTCATCCTGCTGTATCGCGGCTGCCGCGAGGTACGAAGACTGCGGCTCGTCGTGGCTGATGTTCTTTCGCTGTGAAGATGATGTGCTCGTCGTGTCAGGTCGATGTTGCGAAGAGGTTGAGCCTGCTCCCCTCGTCCCACCAGCGTCATCTTCTTCCGCCGCTTTTGCACGAGGAGCCCCCTTGATGCTCCACGGATTTGGGTTCATGGTTCGCGCGAACGCAGTGGCCGCGACAGAAGGGTAGTTGTTCAAGCGCGTGTTCGCTTCCCCAGCTCCGGCTCCGAAGGGGAAGTTTAGATTTCCTCCTGTACCCAACATGGAAGAGGATAACGCGTGGACCAACTGCTGCCCACCGGGCGACTGGACGAAGCAGGCGCCCCCGATGGCCGCCGTCAGACCGGTCAGCCCTACGGCCGCCCGCTTCAGCAGCGACGGCCTCTTGAGACACTTCTCGATCGGAGAAGTGGGTGGATTAGGAGCATCGTCGTGATTATCTCGTTCGAACTGGTTATGGATATGGTTGTAATGGTCATAATGTCGGGTGGAAGTGGGAGAAGATGTTGATCTGTTGACCACATTATGATCTTCGTCCTCTAACCCACTCGGACAGTGCTGGTACCAACAGGTACTCCTAAACGCGTCCAGAGTTGTACAACTGCCCCAAGTGGAATTATCTTCTCGTCCCGCACCAAGGTTGGTGTAGAAGTCGCCGCACAACCTCCCCCGGAGCTCCGGCGACGAACCCGTTCCCGGATCGTTGTCGTTTTCGCTCCAAACCGTGCCGCTATCAAATGCAAAAACGTCTGGGTCTGGAAGGTTGGAACTTGTGATGCTACCTTGGGACTCTAAAAAAATCTGCATTGCATGACCACCAGCAAGAGGAGTCTAGTTTGTGCTACGCGGAGAGGGCATTTGTCATGCGGAGTAGGCATCAGGAAGCCCTCTAAAAATCTGTGACGCTAAGACGCGCATTACAGACATCCTGGCCCTGGCCCTGGGTCATGCAAAATATGCATGACAAACCCGGCAACATTCCAGACCAAGACATTTTTGCATTTGATAGCCGCAGCTCTCCGTCGACTGCGTCAACCGGTTGCTACTTCCGTAGTTACTGGCCCCCGCAAGGGTGCTGGACTCGATCGGGGAGCTTTCTACCGCGCGACCTCCCCGCAACATGGAAGAGGGTCCTCGTGCAAGAGTTGTGCCACGAGATGGACCTCCGAGCCGCGGCAGTCCAAAACAGGGGTCCGATGTAATCATCCCCAGTGCTCCGTCGTCCCCACCAAGGCTGTCTTGCGAGGCCGTCAGGACGATTCCTCCGTCTGAGAGATACTGTCTTGGCGAAATGTAGCCGTCGTGGCTATTTGATGGGTCATGGTAGAAGTTGTCGATAAGAGCATCCGTCCGCACACTCGACATTGTGTTGAAAGTGCTGCCGTTTTCTCCTGGTATGATGACATCGGGTAACCGCAGCCCGCTACGAGGCTGTGATTGATGTTGTAGGTCGCGCTGCTGCCCTCCTGCTCCAGAAATGGTTCCTGTGCCACCTCCTCCCGAGCTCCGACTATCCCCCCGACCTTCCTCGCCCACACTCAGTTGCATCTTCGATTCGCGGCTGTTTTCGGAGAACGCGTTGCTTCGGCTGGAAAGGATGTCCTCGTTATCAAATGTAAAAATGTCTGGGTCTGGAAGAATGCATGTTTGTCATGCTTGTCTGGCATGACTCTTAAATCTGTCCTACACGTTGCCCAAGAGCTCCATTTTTCTGTGATGCAAGAACGCAGTTTGTCATGCAGAATAGGCAACACCTAGAAGCTCAGAAACTTGTCATGCTGAGCCAGCATTTGTGGCCTCATCATGAGACGCCACCCAGCATCACAAGTTTCCAGACCCAGACATTTTTACATTTGATACTCGTCCGGGTTTTCCAATAGTTGCAAGTGCGGCAGCTGCGTCGACCCAAACATCAGACCACCCCCCTCTGTCGAGAGATTCAAGGAATTCAGACTCGCGATCGGCCGCTCTCGAGAGCCAGTACTTCTAGTACTGCTCATCATCATCGATTCGCGGTCGCGGGAGGAAAATCGGCTGGACAAGGAGGAAAACAACTCTCCTCCGCCTTGGTGTGCACCACCATGGGTCGGCGAGAGCAAGCTGTTCGTGCTGTCCAGCTGTGTGAACCTCGACAAGCTCTCATCCGGCAATTGCGTGGACACGCCAGACTCGGTGAGCAAGTGCCCGCTGCCGTGTGTAGTCGAGGAGGTTTTCCGGAGGTGGTGCTTCAGGGAAGTAGACTTGTCCGGCGACTGTCGCAGCAGAGACCCGAGGCTCACACCTTCGCTTGGCACCTGCAGGTGGTGCTGCTGAAAGCTGTGCTTTGTTTTTTTCTGCGAAGACGACGAAGTTCCTCGGCTGCTCCGTCGGTGTTGCATTGCTTGGGCCGAGGCCGAACTCGAAGAACTTTCGCCGAAAAACGACCGTTCCCCCGGGGGGAGGGCTGCATGAAGATCTTGGTGCGGTGGTCCCACATTTAGTGATGTAGTCCCCAACTGCTCAAAGTCACTCCAGCTGCCGAACCCGGAGCTGCTTCTCCGCGACAGCTGCAGCGGGTGCGCGCGGGCGGGCGCCGGCGGCGGTCTGGAACTGGACGTCGCCTCGTGAAGATCTTCTCGCGGTTGCAGCAGTCGAAATGGGTGTTGGCTGCCAGCACTGGGGCTTGATCTACTCTGCGACAATTCCGATGGGGAAAAGTCCTGGTCCGGGCCATGGGAGGAGAGCTGAATGGCGAAAGCGGCGCCCAGATTGGAAAACATAAACGAACCACCAAAGATGACCAACAAAAATGCTGAACAAATTGCCCCTCCCGGAACAGGTGATGATGAAATCATAGACAGCTGCCTGCAGGTGATAGTACTAGTTGTGCCCGTCGCAGCACGACACAACTGTTTCACAAACTTGTTCCTGCGCCAAGACCTCCAAAGAAGTGGCAAGAACAGAAAAACGACCTCCGACATCTTCACTTTTCCATGGAAACTACTTTCATTCGCTCCCATAACCACGGACAGGAGTATGGGCCCCTGTTTCCTCAGTGACAAGGACAACTCAAATCATCAGCGAAAAAAAAGTAGAAAAGCAAAAGCCGCATTTTTGAACAGAAATGAAAGTTAAGATCCTTCAGAAATATTTTTTTCCACTTCCTTCAGAAATATTTTTTGACGTTAAACCGGTGCCGGTCAGGACCTTGAATAAAAAAAAAGTTGAACAGGACCAATACCAAATGAGTGGCTTCGTTGCACTTGCTTTGAAAAACGAATTACTTGAAAAAACGTATGGCGACCTTGACTCATGACCAATTTTTCAGATGGTCACGAGCAAAGTTGCTTTCTTCAAGCATTTACCCCGAAGTATCGAGATTTTCCTGCTTTTTCAAATTCAGAAAAAGAACACACTTTGGCTCGGGTGCAATTTTTCGCCCGTGCTTTATGCGTTACTTGCTTACACCGAAACATTTTCTCGAAAGTCGATTTTCGCAACAGAGTGGGGGCCTGTTTGCATGTAGCGCACCAGCGTTGCTTCAATCAAAAGCGTGGAAGCAGCGAGCATTTTGAAATTGCGAAACGGCATTCGCATTTCAGCACCCTCCCGAGGCTCGATAGCGACCAACTGCAGGTGATCTCGAAGAACGCTATCGGTGATCAGCCGGGCCCGGTTCCGAAGAAACTGCGCTTCGCAGCTCATTTGGCAGAGCCCAGAGTAAAACCTCGGCACTGTGTATATCACACGGAAAATTTATCCACCCATTCACCCATGAAGAAAGATAATTGACTGTGCATATGCTGTTTTTCTCACTCATGAGCAAGTAGGTCCTTTCGGCTGTAGTCCAGCATGGGAAACTTCTTCAGTGCCTACCCTCTCTAGTAGCCGCTAAGAAACCAGCACTACAGGTGGCTGCGTTTTGCACGATAAAAAAATTGCGTTGCCTCTCTTCCGGTCTCTGCAACTGACAGGAGTTTAGCAACGAAAACGAGTTAGTTTGTATCTATATGTTTATTTCTTTTTCTGCTATGACAAGACAGATGTACAACAGCACAAGGAAATTTATCTCGGGTGGGGGTACAGACACTTTTCGCTGGGATAGTGTAGTAGGCCCATTTGTCCTCGGGAGCGGAGGGCTCCACCTCGCTGCGCCAGACGTCCCGCGGATCTCGTTTGATTCGCGGCAGCTGGACCAAAACGTCGACAAGACGTCGATTGGTACTGAGGTCGAAGTCGGTCACCCGCTTACCATCACGCTCTTCGAAAAGGCCGACGCGCTCGGTATACGGCGCCAGGTACGGATCTACAAAGCTGAAATCGGGATCGTCGCTGTACTTGTAACGCACGAAGGGGTCATAGTCGCGTAGGTCTTGATGCGCATCGAGCGGCGTCAAATCGTCATGCACCGTATCAAACTGCATGGGGTTGAGACTGAAGAATCCCATGGCCTCGTAGTCACTGAGCGTCCTATCAAACGCGTTTTGGTACCCGGGAAGATTGAACCAGTCTCGGACGCGATCCCACCACGTGCGCCTGCTTTTTGCCACAGCGAGCATTCTCCCCATGTAGAAGCTTTGGACTTCCGGATTCTTTTTCATCCTCCAGCGATACCAGTCCATGGATGTCCAAGGCACGTAATAGCGCTCGCCGCTATACCGGGTGCGGTTAGCTCGAAAGGCAACAAACTCAAAGAATTTCTCAAGAGCAGAGTCGTTGCTGACTCGCTCCGATTGTTGTTCCGCTACTGTTTTAACATTGTGTGGTAGAAGCTGTTGTTCGCCATCATGTGTAGTTGCTCCACCCGGCCGTGTAGTAGTCGCCGTCGTGCTGCGCTCTGATGCCGCGCCGCCGGTTAGGTTGAGACCCACCTCCCCGTCCTGCTCGTGGGGCGCGGCCAGAAGTACTGGCGATGTTGGTACGACAGATGCTGTAGGGTCGGGCATTATAGTTGTACTTCTAGCGCTTGGGCTAGCGCTGCCGTCCTCGTGGTCCTCAGGAGTGGTCGTGCTCGTAATGTTCAGCAATACACACTGACACGCGAGTAGATCATCGGTACCTAGAAACACCTGCACGTCGTTGTCCTCTGCACCATTCAAGTAAAGCAGGGGCTGGGTTATGTCAAAGTTCCCAAACCTGTCGTAGAACATCCGTCCCAACCTCTGCCGCCACGACGGCGAGGCTGCAGCCGCAGGCACGTCGGCCGACGCAGAACCTCCGGAGGTGGACTCGTCGTAAAACATCCGTCTCAACCTCTGCCACCACGACGGCGAGGCTGCAGCCGCAGCGGACTCTGCGGCCGAAGACGTGACAAAGGAGGAAGAAGCTAATGACTTCCCCGTGGCCGGGCCTCCAGCAGTGCTGGAGCTGGTCCCGCTGCCGCGGCGCATAGCAAGCGGGTCCTCGTCGTTTTCCTTCCCGGCAGAATGCATGATCGGGGGTTCATCTTCTTGTTGAGGAATTTTCTGCGCAAGAACTTCTTCGTCCTGGTGTCGTACTTCCTCCTCAAAAAAGGTGGACATCACCGGCGAATAAACGAGGTTAGTATCATCAGCGGGTGCACTGTCCGGCGTCGGCATCGCCACTCCCTCCGGCTTCACTTCCACGGCCCTGGGGGCAGACGAGTCCGACCCAGCAAAAGACGACGGCCTACTAGAAGCCATGCCATCAAGGTCGTGTAGGTTCTGGTCGGAAGCTGAAGGAGCTGCTCCTCCGCGCCCCACTACGTCCGCTATAATTTCACCAAACGTGCCGCCTTGTGGTCCTACATCTGGTTCCTCCTGTGCCCCCACCTCCTCGTCCGTTTCATCTACTTCTCCTTCCCCCGGAGCTATAAAATGACGATTCGCCCCATCTTCACGCCGAGCCGATGATGAAATTTTTTCTCTTTCTTTGTCTTCTGACCGAACTGCACCAGATGTGCGGCCACTGGCGACGGTATCAAGGTGGCCCTTCGACCCTTCAGAGCTGCCTGGACCTGTCCGATGCGGGTCGGTGAGGCGGGCCACCGCTCCTGAAAACAGGCTCAACAGCTGTGCCGAACAAACCCACAAGGATAGAAACATCTTGAGTACCGTCGGAGCCTCCGACAGGAAACTTTGAACAAAACGCGTGTTTGTTGTTCTCGTGGGGCACAGAAATAGACCGCTGTCGAAGATCTACGAGCACCGGGATACTTAGAAGCAACCGCTCGGATATAAGTCTGGGATCTGCAAACGAAGAAGGGACAGCGCACGAGCTGACGAAGAAGACATTACACCACACGCCGTCTACAGATCTTTGCCTTTTCGAGTTTCGTCATTTTTCATATCCGCTCATCACTATTCTCTCCCATCAGAAGAACACGCGCGCTCAAGTACAGGGCGTGGCGCCTGCTAAGAAGGGCCTGGGTCGTTGAGCGGGAAGCGCTTCTGAGAAGATCTGACTTCACCTATGTTGCGATTTCCAACAGCATAGAACTTAGCTATGCAATTGCAAAGTGTAGCTGCTCCTGTAGCTGCGCGTCGCATTTTTACATTTGGTAGTCCTCGTGTGGTACATCTGCCGTTCTTTCAATATCGTGCTTCAAGTGGCGGGCCACGCTCCGTCGTCAAGTTCGGTACTTATTCAAAAGGCAACTCGTGGCCATCAAATTCAAAGGTGTGTAAAGTAAGTAAGTAGTTTCGTTCTTCGGTGATGATAACACTTTTGAAAGCCGCTTTAGAGGCTGTACTTATCCTTATAACGTGGTGTTTCCGCCTAGAATTTTCAAACAACAAATCCAGCAAAAAAACCACATGCATGGTGAAGCTCCTGATGCTTTGGGAGGTTCTTGTTTGATAAAGTACTTATTCCAGAAAAAAACCACATGCTAGTATCACTCAACACGACCAGAAAGCTTCGACCAGCAAGAACGACCCATCGTAGGATAACTATGCGGAAAAATGATCCATCGTATCACATTCCACCTTCTTCCGCCTGCTCCCGAAACATCTGCGACAGAATATCCACCTCCTCTTGCAGCCTCGGGGAAGCGGCCTTCAACAACTCTTCATTATCAAAGTTGTGACAACTACTACCGACATTTTGCAGGAGTCTACTCGAGGATCGCACCAATTCCCGCGCATCAGACAGCGCGAACAAAGTCAGGAGCTCCCTTTCCCAGCGAGTGTGCATCGGAAACAAATGGTATCCTGAGCAAAAACGTACCCACACCAGAGTTGTAATGCAGATTTGCAAAGACAGGAAGAGTTGTAATGCGCATCCCCATGAGAGCCATTTCCAATCGTGTTTTGCAATTTGTGATGCTGTGAACAGGATGAGCAGATGAATCTGTGATGCGGCTGCACTTGCTAACCTGCACTACACTGCATAGCGCAACTTGTCATGCGTGACTCACAAAACTCCTAGCTTTGTGTTGCAAAATCCTCATCCTGACTCTGGTGTGGGTACGTTTTTACTCAGGATAAATGGTGCTTCTTCTTCTTCTTCTTGTTGCTGGTTCGAGTTTGTTGTACTACTGCAGCTGCTAAAGCGGTTTGTTCGGTTTGATGTTGTTTCAACACCGCGGCTGTGCTCCTCATTCTCGATTCATCTCCTTGCGGTGCGCAGGTTGTGAAGGTCGTCGTTGTGTTCATCTTACGCAAGTCTTTCAACTCCGCGAGAGGGTTTAGGGTGTTCATCGCGTGTGGATCTACTGCTTCATGATGTTCTTGTTGATCTTGGGACGATACTTCTGTAATTTTTGCGTCGTCGAAACCACTGACACGACCACCCGAGGAGCTCTGGTTTCGGATCAGCACCTTGCGGAAGTGCGAGCTGTACCGTTTGATAAGCTGCTGCAACAGCTGTTCGCGGTGCAAAGCAGGTGATGTTGCTGAGTCTGAACTACTACAAGTTGTACCAGTACTTCCAGCAGTACTGCTGCTGCTTTCGACATCATCGGCACAGTTTTCTTTCGACATGACGAAAAATCCTCGGCTGTGTTTGGTAACCGGGTCCACCGCCTTCATGGCGTTCCACAGTTGCTCCACCGATACCCAGTACGGCGGATACTTGAACCGCGCAACGTCCAACACCAGCACCATATCGCTTTCCGGGTGAAAAGCCGCCACCGGCGAGTAGTGCCCGTCCCCCGTTTGCCCGAGTTGCTGCCGGCTGAAACTCACCACCAGCCGCTTCTGCTCCTGATTGTTGTTCAGCATAGTATTGTTCATCACTGGCGCCGTCGGCTGGGGCGGCGCGATATGGTGGTGCGGATCATGGTCTACTTGCGAAGAGGGCTGGGCGGGGTGATCATGGTGATCATGGAACTGTTTTTGATGTTCTGGCCGCGTGGTGGATGAAGAACTTCTACTGCTCGATGAAGCTGAAGCACTATGTTGAGACGCGGACGCCGAGCTACTAGTCCTATCCGCATTTGTATAATTGTTGTTTTCATCGTCGTGGTAAAACAGCTCCTGTAAAACTTCCCGAAAGTCCTCCAGCATGGTTGTTTCATCATCCGCGTATTGCACTTTCGTTGTTAACCCGTTGCACTCGGACAAGAACGCAAATTCCTCCATCGTGACGCCCTGGGAGGCCACGCGCTTCCGGAACGCATCACAGGCGGCCGAACAGGGCGAATTGTCGGGTGAGGTTGTTTCTCCCCCAACTCCAGAACTTCCGCAGAGGGAAGCACTAGAATTATAACTGCCGACGGTGCACGAGCTATTGCTGCTTTTTGCTCTCGAGAATGATGACGGCCTCGATGAAGATGATGTTGACCAGCTAGTGCTGGATGTAGTGCTGGGACTAGGACGACCACCACACGCACTACTTTTAAAAATCGTATCCGATGAAGTTGTACTAGATGAACCAGGACTATCCTTCCGTTTTTCTCGCAGCGCGGGCAACTCTGGTCGCAACCCGCGCAGGCAGCTCATCAGCATCTCCTCGGTGTGCCAGCGCCAGGGCGCCTGCCACACCCGCTGCGGGTCCACCGCGAGGGAGTTGAGCACCATCACGATGCTCGAGGGGCCGCAGAGCGGCGGTCGGGACTGGGTCAGGAACTGCTCGGAGAGCGCGGCATACTGCCCGCCGCTGTTCTCGTGGAGGAGACACTCCGCCAGCTTCCGCTGGCCCTCGCGCGAGTGGAACAGGATCAGCGAATCCGGCAGCGGCCGCTTGTAGAAAGACTCGACGTCGGAAGTTCTTGCAGAGGGAGCTGTACTAGAAGGTGGTGGAACAGTTGTCGTGGTTATTTCTTGGGCAGAAGGTTCTTCTTCTTGTTGTATTTCTACACGGGCTGCAGGGGCGGGCGTAGGGAGTGACGTGGGGGTCGTGGGCCCTGTCGGAAGAACTACGGGGGTGGGAGGAGGAGGAGGTTGAGCCGGATGTAGAAGATGAGTCTCTGGTCGTCGTGCTCGGCCACCACTGGCTGTCGTCGTATGTTGACCTCCTCCGTTTATTTGCGCTGGAACAACACCAACAGAGCCAGTAACAACACTTCCTGCATCTTCCAGGGGAGGCGTTGCTGATGAAACATCAATCCCATCGGTTCTTGTTGAATCGACGTGATCCACCTCCGGCACTGTCGTGGTGCTAATTGATGACGATGAAGGTACTTGTACTCTTGCCTCCTCACTGGATGTAGCAGTTTCATCGTGCCCGACATCATGATCAGCAGGTCTTCTATTCCTCCCAAGCGCCAGCGGAAGTGCTACTTCCCGGTGTCTCCGAACCTCCTGCTTGGCCTCCTTTGTCCTGCTTGGCACCGTATTAGTGGTGTTCCCACCACCACCACCACCACCTTTTTCGCCACTGTTCCCCACAAAACTTTCCTTCCGGTGGGAAGCCTCACCTGCAGTCGCAGGCTCCGCCGCCGGTGTTGAAGAAGAAGATGTTGCTGATCCTGCACCTTCAGACGCCGCGGTTGCGAGAATCCTCGCTGTCATCTTCTCCCGGTAGCAGGGCGAAGTCTCGCTGAGCAAGTTTTCCTTGACGAAATAGGACGCGGATGAATTCGAGTTACTCCTGTTCACCACATAATTTGAACTTCTCGTGCTCTTCATGAACTCCTCTTGCAACTCGGAGATGAAACTGACACTTCTCGACGATGTTGAAAACGGACACTGTATAGTTGTTTGCTGGAACATGCCCGGTATGGTCAACCTGCGCCACCAGGGGTCGTCGCTGCTCTTGTCTACTGCTTCATGATCATCCACAGTACTAGAGACGAGAAATGAGTCCGCGCCAGCACCAGTTCCCCCTGAAGATCTGTTTCTTTGTGCCAGTGGACAGCCGTTGGGCAGTTGCGGACAGGACGAGGTCATATTTTTGACTCCGGCGACTTCTGAATTCGTCCCTTTTTTACTGCTCCTGCTGCTGGCACTGGCGTTAGAACCACCTCCAAACAAACTGTTCTCCCTTAAAGCCGCCACGGCCAGGGGGATGACGGACGACCGGTGAGATTTTTGAGAAGAACTAGAAGAAGACTTGCAGCTTTTCTCGGGCGAAGATAGGGACAAAGCCCCCGCTGGTTGTTGATGCTGGTGTTGACCACTTCGTGCCCGGATCGAAGTGGCAGCATGGTTTACCGCAGTAACCCGGTCCTCGCGCGGGGACGCTGAACCCCGATACGCGTCGATGTACACTGGGGAGGTTGATGACTTCACGGCCTGGTGCTCATTCCTCCGGTGCGACGAAGAGGCAAACGTGTTGTGCGTCGTGGTGTAGGGTCTCAAAAACCTGCAGCAATCTTCGATCTCGGCCGTGGTGTGCATTTCTCGGTGGATATTGCTCGTGTTGAACGGGCAGCTCGCACAGCTCGCCGCCGTGCGCCGCGTCACACCGTCCAGCGTGCATGTGCGCGCCGCGTGGGTGCAACGAAGCATTTGTTAATGTTGCTTTTTTTATACTTGGTACAGTTCTGCTTTACTTGTTCTCAGGTTTTACGAAAGAGTACAAGCTCTTCGACATAGTAGTCTGATTTTCACACACTGCTTTCTTCGAAAAAAAAGCAAGTTGTGCTATCGTCCTACTATTGATTTATTTGGCTGCGAAAGTTATTTTCCAAGGTCGCAACAAACTGCTTCTTTGCGTGCTGCCTATAATTTCTACTTCATTTACGCTCATGATCACTCATCTCGGATTGAGAGGAAGTGCTTCGTCGTTGGTCCAGCCATCGATGGATGGCTGTGTGTGCTGACCTAATTATCTTCAACTAATGAGATAATACGTGATAACTTCTACACACTGCAGGTGTCTTCGTGACCACACGTCGCCTCCCTGAAGAAGAAATTATGCGAGGAAAATAAGTATCTTCAAAAGAAAATTATTAAAGTGGCCGATTTTTCGTCTTTCATCCGCTTTTTCAGGATCTCACTTATCCGCCCAGAAATCTTGTGATTCAAACATTTGCTTTTGCATTTTTTCGCATTTTTTTCATAAATTCTTGTTGTTGTGCTTTGCGGAATTTGAAGATCCAATGGACGAATGAATTCAGTAAAAGGAGAGCAAATAAGATATTCGAGCACGGGATTTTCATCTCGACAAGCAACCAAAGGACCCTTGCATGCAGCATGGGGTGCGTGGTAGAGAAGGATTCGAAAGATCTTTCATCTGATGATCTTGATCACTATGAACAACAGAAGTTGTTGTTTTGTACTCTCTCTGCACTCACCGAATGGGCACGGCGTTCTTGTTTCCTCGAGGAGCGTCGTACGTCCCATGAAGATCCTGCTCGCGCCCTCAAGGAATCATAAGGCTAGCCTATCACCACTCTACTTCGGGCAGTTTTTTTCTCACGGAAGAATTCTCGGGGGTGGTCCAGGCATTAGCAAATCTGCATTGGTCGATAGAGGGAGAACTTCTACTACGGATTTAATCTAGTACATACTGAACTCTGTAGTTTTTACATCATTTTACCACAACGGTTACTTATCAGCCATATGCCTATCTTCAAGATGGAATAGAATCGCGACATATCACATACCTATTGAGGGAAAAACTGCCTCAGCCCCGAACCTGTACAAAAGTCGTCGACAACACATAAGCAATTACTCCCAGTGACCACGTGAAGATGCGTCAGAAGCAAGAGAAGACATACACACAACATACAGACGCCAAATTTCTTGCAGCATGTCGCGCACGCGCTGCGTGCCAAAAAACCGCATCAAGGAACCTCCGCAATACACGTTGAGACTGAGACATCTTTTTCTCACGATAACCCAGGGAGTTCCAGTACTTGAACCATTCCGCCACCGAGTCCACGGACAACCGTCTGACCACACGAAATGCAAATATCGAAGTTTCGATAGCTTAAGTAAGCTGCACCTGATTTAGATTTACAAATATGCATGGCTGTGTGTTTAGAGTGAAACTTTGACTTTAATAGGTGGTGCCCACAGTTTGAAAACATCAAATTCAAAACTGGCTCTACAACTTTTGGCATCAATTACAGACACATGATTGCCGGTTTTGTTCATTATCAGTAAAAGGCATTTTGGATTTGTCTCTTGTTTTGCTTTCGGTGAAAACGAAACTGCATGGAAGGAAAAATATTTTTGTTGTGCACTTCTACTATCCCAAGGGAGACGATCCGCGCTATCACGAAACAAAAAGCTATTGCCCTTGAAACAACGTGATGTTAAAAACAATGCAGATCAACATCCAGCTCGAGATGGTAGGTTATGGTCTCCCAGATATTATCGTGTTCCTATCATCTACTTTTGTGATATCTTCGTCCTCCTAAAGGATATGGATATCCGTCGGCCTCGGCCAGAGCAGAATTTCTCCCTTCGCGCTCTTGCTTTCAAAACAATTCGGACACAACGAACAAAGCAGCTGTGGCAGGCAGACAAGACAACCTCCACTTTCTTTCTTGTGCTAGTTGTACACACGACCAATACATGACATCGAGCAGGAGAAAGCTCATCCTTTGACAAAAATGCACATTTTTACTGTAAGTTATCCTGAGTAAAAACGTACCCACACCAGAGTTGTAATGCAGATTTGCAAAGACAGGAAGACTTGTAATGCGCATCACCATGAGAGCCATGTCCAATCGTGTTTTGGAATTTGTGATGCTGTGAACAGGATGAGCCGATGAATCTGTGACGCGGCTGCACTTGCTAACCTGCACTACACTGCAGAGTGCAACTTGTCATGCGTGACTCACAAAACTCCTAGGTTTGTGTTGCAAAATCCCCATCCTGACTCTGGTGTGGGTACGTTTTTACTCAGGATACATCATGACAGGTCTCGTTTGAAACCAATGGAGGAGTGTCAGTAAGTGATATGGATTGCAAATATGTCTGGGTCTGGAAGAGTCGGGGCTCGTCATGCACATTTTGCATGACCCGTGAGGTCTGTGATGCTGGTGCTAGCAACACAGATTTTTCGAGAGCCTTTTGATGCTAGTTACGCATGAGAAACGCCCTCTCCGCGTGCCAAGAGCCGAGTCTTCTTGCTGCTCATGCAACACAGATATTGATATTTATATTTTTAGAATCCGCAGACAGCATTACAAGTTCCACTCTTCCAGGAGACCCAGACATATTTGCAATCCATAAGTGACATTCTGAAACGATTCCGAACCAACACTCCAAAATGGCACGTCTCAAAAACTCTCCCGTATATTTCAGCGGGGAAGCCTCTTTTAATATTATCGCTTTTTCTGTTATACTATGCGTCGAATCGGTCATCGTCATACTCCTGACGTACTTTCTTATCTCAGCTTTCCTTGTTTCTAAATAGGTGGTGCACGAAATTTCGTAGAGACAAAGGCGCAAGAGTCAGCGAGTCGATCAATCACAATAAGTAAACCGCGCTGAAGTTGCTGCTGATTGTGTGAATACTTTAGACACCAGCCTTTTCCGTTGTGTGTTCGTGTTGATTACTTCGGCGTTGAAAATTCAGTACGATGTCCTTCCTGAATCAAGTAAAGCAAGAGGAAAGTTTTTTCAGCCTCAGCCTCGGCCGGTCTATTGAAATTGATGTTCCAGGCTTGTAGTTTTTCTTCTTGATTTTTACCATCTTACATGTACTTCTTCCTTCCTCAAATGCGAGCGCGATGAGGAAAAATTGTCGACTATCAAATTTTTAGAAGAACCGGCTGTCTTGCTTTCTTCGATGAGTCTTCTAGATTATTCTTATTGTAGGGACGACGAAAGACTATGAATGTGGTCTCTTCTTGTTGTACTGCAATACGCAGTTACAGCGAGCCTGACCTACACACACGTGCGTCTCTTCGCGTAACGCATTTGCGCTTCGCGCAGGCGGGTTCTGCAAGTAAGGGTAAGCAACATGTTTGAATGCGTCTTGGCTTTCTCATTTGAAAGTGATGGCTTCTAAAAATATGCTGCGTTTCGGCAGAGAACAGAAGTTGTTCTCTATCTGTGTCCTCATTCTGCATATTTCTTCTACGGAGCCCACTTGCGGTGTCTCTGTCTGCCAATGCGGCTCTTGCCGTAATAAACAACAGACTAGACTACACCAATAAAATCATAGTCTGTGTATAGTTAGAACCAGCCGCTAGCCGCGGTCATAATGAATTCCCACACCGCTCGCCTATGCAGCTCCGCTCCGGTGGTCGGGTCCAGCCCGCGCTACTGCTATCTCGTGGTCGTAGTCACACTTTTTCTTGCCTAATGATGACACACGAAACGACAAGAAAAAGCATGAATGAAACTTCAAAAACAGCACACGAACACACACACCCTCGTGCGGTCTCAGGAAGAACGGTGGATGTAGGATCCTTAGTGTAGGGAAAAAAGTGACAGATTGCTTGTAATAGCAAAAAAAAGTGCAGCCGGCTTCTATCAAGTTGTAATTAAATCATGCATTGATGCATTTTCAACGATTTTCATCAGCTCCTAGCGGTAAGAGACAAGCAAACCTAGAATCTTCGAAAAACTTCTGGACTCTTTTTTCGTTGCCCTCGTGGATTATTTCTGCAGAAATTCAATGGCAAATCAGCATGCTGTCAATGTAGAGACTTTTCTCGTTCTAATGCGGAGGTACTACTTGCTGTAAAAACTAGTTTACTCGAGATTGATGAAGATACCAAGCGAACTTTTTTTACTTTACGCAAAAACAGGTGCAGTTGTATCCATGTCGTTCCCCCTCTTTTCGAGAGATCTGACTGATGTCGTCCACGACCTGGTTGCGATGAATATTAAATACATGCATCTAAAAAATTCTTCTGCGGATCTTCATGGTGTAATAATAATACCCTATTTTTGTTCTTTAGTTTCAATATCCTATCTGGGAATGTGTCTTGGAGGACCGAGTTGCGCCCTTGAAGATTTTACGTGCAATCGAAAGAAATGAAACAACTGAAATTCAAAAATACTGGCATGAAATAATCTTATTACATGTGCAAAACTTAAGAAACTTAGTGAAAAATAGACGGGCTCAACTTCATCGGTCAATACCTTGTTGTGCACCAAATATCAGCAATTCCGATTTTTTTAAAACCAATATCGTCAATTTTTCCACAGCATTTTCTATACCGCATCCATTAGTATAAAGAACTAACGCGAGCAGCAAATTTTGGAATGAAATTGAACAGCAGCTGGTAGTGTAGCAATGACGGGGCTCAATGAGTGGAAGACTCTACTTGCAAAAAAGATGAGGATCCGCGAGACGATGGCTCTTCGCTGCCCCGGCTCTTTTTGATACAAACTTTTTTTGCAAGACGGGCTTCGTCACTTTTTATGTGTAGCTAAAGGACTCTTACACCTGACACTTCAGGAGCCGATAAAAATATTCGAAAATATTTTATCTAGTAAGCTTCTTACGGAGTTTGAAAAGAGTTGTCATATATCATTTTATCACCAACTACCTTTACTCACGTATTTCCGTTTATTTGATGTTGAACCATTCTAACCTAGAATAGCATATCCAGTGGTAGTGGTCACCAGATAAAAAGGAATTTGGGGTTTTTAAGTACGAGGTTTTTTGGCTGCGTTCAAGAAGATCACGCGTGGCCAAAAAAAAATTGTCCACTAAGACCCTCCTTGCTTCATCATCTTTGCGCTAACATAAAGAGTTCTTTTGCATGTGGTCGTATCATCCTACATACTTGTTTCCTATACCTCTGCCCGATCGCCAAGTTGCCGCTCAGGTTGCACGCTCGTTCCACAATGGACGCCGTACAACCAGACGAGCACCCCCCGACCGGCTTATTGTAATTTTTATTTTCACGAGTTACGTGGTAGGTAGCATATCAAAAGTGTCTTCCTCTTCTCCTTGGAAAACGAAAAATTAAAATAAATTTTGTGCTCGAATCTCTATACTATCTCATAGCTTTTATTCAATTTCTTGAGTACAACTGCTTGATGCATTCTCACACGCCAGCATTTGCCACAAAGCATTAACAGCGCCGACGCTATTTGTTGAAGCTATTACGAATCAATATCAAATCAGGGTTGTTTTGCAAGACTTCTATCTTCTAGTGTCAAAAGTTATAATTGTGTATTTTCTGCAGATTGTATTTTGGGTAAATGGATAAGAGAGAGGGACCTCTAAGTTTACATTACTTGAAACGGGTACAAAAAAATCAAGATTGGCCGACTGATTGCAGTAGCCGACGTGGAAGGGGTACGCCAGCAATTGAAAAACTTAAACATTAATTATTCAGTTGGACGAGATAACCTGCATGACGACGGAGGAGGAAGTGCTGCCACGTATCAAGTGCAAATATGTCTGGGTTGTAAAGCCGTACGATTTTCCATCCAATGCTGAGTGGTCCTTTTGTAGGACATAAAGGCATCACAAGTTTATAAATTTTCGGGTTTTATTGCGAATTCCAAACATATTTCGCAGTTGCATGACAGTTCCAGCATGAATATAACCAGGCATCGCAGACGCTATGGCGCTTCAAATCTTGCACGACAAATCCACATTTAGAACGCATATTTGCAATGCATACACGAAGTAAACGACGACTTCGTCACGCGAGCAGCTCCGTCGGCTGATAGTATGCGATCAGCCGAAGGAGGAAAGGGAAACGTCGCCACGTTGGGAAATCGAAACGGGGCTTCTACAGCGGGACATCGGAAAATCAGCATAGTCGGGCCGGCCGGCCTTGTTTTTCAATATTTTTCGGCCACTTTTTTGACGTGCCGTTCGACAGCTGCAGTCGAGCAGCGAAAGAAGTTAAAAATCCTTGTCCCAATTTCCGTCCTCCTTTGCCGCCGCGATCTGTGGCGGCAAATCCGACTCGGCGGCACGAAAATTGCCCAGATCCGTGTCGTCTCTCACTTTGGGCACGTGCGGCGGGCGCATCTCAAACCGGTACAGCGCCTCCCAGTCAAACCGCGAATACCTACGGATTTCGTTCGATCTTTTTCACTTTTATTTCTTCAGCTTGTCATCATGCCCTTGCTCAAACCAATTGCTTATATGCCTTTTGGTTTTGCTTGTTCAGAAAATCCGCATAGTATGTGTTTGTGTGTGTGAAGAGCATGCGGATCATGCGTGCTGTGGTGCCCTAGATTAGAAACTATGAATTCATTGCCTTACGAGGAATTGGCCTTACGAGGAAGCAAGGCGGACGTACCACTTGTGCAGGCGCAGATTTCGCAAGCCCTTCATCGGAAGCGGGTTATCGAGTGGAAGCAAGTTCTGAGTGCTCAGCACAACTGCTAGGATAAATACTTACTTTCAATTGTCCATCATGCCACTCCTCACTACGTTTCTTCATGGCATCTTTCGCGACCATGATACTATCATTTGCGCAGACGTTTCGATTTACGCATGCCCACTTGCACGGCGACGACGACTACCCTATACAAGAACATACCGAAGTAGATAGAAAATGGCACTACATCCATCCCCAGCAGGACAACTACAAGCAGAGACTGTACTCAACCCGTCTACTTGCTCTCAGTTTCCATAGCTGTCGTGCGGGTGCTCCTGCAGCAGCTGCCGCACCAGGTCTACGGCGTCGGGGTCGCGGTCCTTGTAGGCCTGAAAGTTGATCTCGTGGTGTCCCTTGCAAATTTTCTGGTAGGTTTCCATCTGGTCGTTTGCCTCGAACGGCGCGTGGCCGGACAGCAGTTCGTGCACCAGGATGCCCAGCGTCCACCAGTCCACCGCCTTGGTCATGCCCATCTGCCGAACCACTTCGGGGGCGAAGTAGTCCGGCGTGCCGCAGGTCGTGTAGGTCTTGCCGTACACAATCTTGGCGAGGCCCATGTCGGTCAGCTTGCAAAAGCCGCGGGACTCCAGAAGAAGATTTTCCGGCTTCAGGTCGCGATACAACACCTGGTGAGAGAACGGGGAAATTTTCGCACGTCTTCCCATTTGATGTCATCTTCGATTGTAGCGCAGCTTCAACGTCGATCCAGAAAACTCAACGAGGTCATAATCTCGCTTCTTTCCTTGTGCAGCAAACACGCCACTGTGCTTGACAGCTGTCAGCACTTGCACTATGTATACTCGTCATACATGTAAAAACTATGAATGAAATAACGATAAAAAAACTGATATAGTATACATTCCGCTCGTGCAAATGCTCCAGGGCAAAGACGACCGAGGCGGAGTAAAATCGAGCCTTCGAGACCGATCCGTGGAATCGGTACTTGTGGTAGACTGCGAAGAGCTCGCCACCCAACGCTGGCTTATGGGGGTGTCAGGATCGAAATCGACAAAATCGAAAAATTTGTAATGCGTAAAATGCTGCGCACGTAACGCCTGTGTTGGGAAGCAGGCAAGTGTTACCGATTGCAGGCCTGTTTAGGGGAGGGCGATGCGCTTCCAGAGTAGCACGACAGGAGCAGCCTTCTTTGTCCAAACAGCATGACAGACTGGATTTTAGTGCTCCCGAAATTTGTCTTGCGCCACTTGGAAACTGAGGCCCCAGCTGGTATCGATTTTGTGCATCACAAATTTTTCGATTTTGGCAATTTCGATTCTGACGCTTCCATATGGCTCCAAGAGGAAGTACAGGTATTCTGCCGTGCGGAACGTGGCGTGCAACCGGATCACGAACTGGCTGTCGCAAAGCTGGTGATGTCATAGATTGCTTTTTTTTTCAACAAGAAGATTGCGAGAATAAGCATTGGAATCTATTTCATCCCTGCCAAGAACAAGGAGTGCCGATGTCTTGTTACTATTTGCATTCCACATCGTCCTACCGCTCGTTTTGGTATAATAAATATTGCAACAGACAATTTTGTAAGTACCGAGAGAATTTCCTTTTCCCTCAAAACCCCCTTCTGCATTTTCATCTTGACCACGTAGCCCTTGCTTAACGCCTTCAGCGCGTAAGTCTTCCCGCTGTGCGCATGCTGCTCCAGTGTGACCGCGCCGAACCCCCCGCAGCCCAATAACCCGATTCGGTTCAAGTCGTCCAACTGGATGTTGCTTTTCAAGTCATTCTTCTTGACGCAACCAACGTTTTGACGAGAGACAAACCCGATGTCGCCGACCAGGTCTAGAACCGGTGCGAGGATCTTTTTGAACTGCGCCTTTTGGAGCACTAAAACTCGTGTATCGTCCTCCTCCGCGATCACGGTGATCGTGCGCGCTTCGTCGCTATGCATTGCAAAAGTTGTATTCCGTACTACTAGTAAAGTACACTTCATCTTCAAGTTCAATTGCATCACAAATTTTTCCAAGTTGTAGAGAAAAGGTGCAATTTGTAATGCTGATGTATGCCCTAATACTTGACGGAATTGTCACGCGAGACGGCATTTAGTTGTACGAGTACAATATCACTTTTGCACTGCATAGTCCCGGAGCAGCGCCCGCTCGCCAAACCAGTAGGGGTTTTTGCGGTCGAACGTAACGATCTGATAATCCGGCGCGTCCCCCGTGGCGCCCGTTTGTCCAGGTGTGGTCGTTTGGACAGCAGTACTAGAGGAGGAAGTACGTCCTGCAGCGTTCTGCGCTGATGAAGCCGAAGCTCCTGCAGATCCAGAGGCACGGCTGGTGGAGCTGCTGCTCCGCTGGCCGCTAGCAGCTTTATTGGTCTCCACAGCCCCATCTTCTCCTGCTGCTTGAGCCCCCGGGGATGTTGAGCTACTGGATGGATTCAAATTTGTTGCAGAAGTTGTTGATGTTGACGTTGAGCTACTAGTTGTACTAGAAGCACTGATTTGTTGCGGCATCGTCAAGTGCGGCCGCGCACCGTAGGTACGAATGCTGCCCTTCTTCAAGATGTAGAACAAATTTGCCGCCTCGCCCTCTTTGGTGATGTATTGCAAGGCAACGTCCCCCCTCCCCATACTGAAAAGGTATATTTTTGGAAATTTGTGATGCTGATTTGTGGCAACAAATCATGTCTGTCTTGCAAGAAGGCAACTCCGCAGGCTCCGCCGCATTGTGCAGGCGGTTTGTCATGCTGTTCGGCCTACAGCGCGGATGTTTTTCATGCTAAGTGCCTAAGCCAAAACCTCGCTACTCACACTTAGTATGGGCCTTCAGTGCTCTCCAGCAAGACACCTCGGATTTGTGTACGCAAATCCAGCATCACAAATTTCCTTTTCGATATGGGGTGGGGGGGTTTTTCCTTTTGATATGATGTACTCGTTCTTTTGAAACCGGACCTCCGTCACATTCTCCGCTAACCGCTGCCGTTCCTCAGAAATCAAGCCGTAAAAGGTGTCTATCTCGGAAACGATCTCCAGGTTCTCTTGCACCTGGAGGGAAATTACTTCGTACTTATCATGATTTATTGCACATAGAAATAGGCCAATTTCCTATTTCTTGTGCATGACCAAATAAAATGCGGGTAAAAATGCGTGCGGGCACTAAAGAAAATCTCGCACTCCACCTACCTTTCATCATGAAACATTTTTTACACGATAATTACCTTCCGATTTTCTCTTCCCACCAGCTCAGCCTTGAAGGCGGACCTACTCAGCACCCACAGGATTCCCCCGTTTTTGGAAACTATGGGTGTGTCAGAGTTGAAATCGACAAAGTTGAAATAACTTGTAATGCATAAAATCGATACCAGTCGGAAACCCAATTTCCAAGCGGCGCATGACAAATTTGACTAAAGCCGAAATCCAGTTTGTCATGCTGTTTGGGTGAGACAGACGCCTTTTGTCATGCTACTTTAGCAGCTCTATTTCTACCCCGGAACAGGCTTACAATCTGCCTCCTGTGCCTACTCTGCAAGACAGGCATTTTCTTTGGTGCATTTTATGCATGACAAACTAGTTTCAACTTTAACGATTTCAAACCTGACGCTTCCATAGAAACGCATTTTACGGTAGCCGCCCGTGGCTGGTGGTAGAGTAACCCCAGCTCCCCGAAGCTGGCGTATCAAATGCAAAAATGTCTGGGTCTGGAAGATTGGAACTTGTGATGCTGTCTTTGGATTCCAAAAAAGTCTGTATTGCATGACCTTATTTACCCCTCAACCACTATACCCCCTTTACGACCACTACCTCAGGTAGGACCTCGGGGGGATGGGGTCAAGCTCTAACGGGGGTCGGACCCGAGTGAAACCGTTAGAGTGGCTGCATGTCCTGGTCGAAACCGGAATTCCAAAAGCACGGCATCGTTTCCAGCGGTAAACCAGGCAAAACACGACGAACAGACAAAGACGAGGGACTTGGGCAGAGCAAAGGGATAGCTGGGGTCTCCTGCAGCTGAAAAATAACGTCGCGATGCGACTGGACTGGGGTCTCCAGCAGTCCACCAAAAAGCCCTATTGCAATGGCCGGGATAGGGACCCCACCTAGGACTACGCACGACAGGCCACGAAGAGACGATGCCGAGGAGACACAGCGACGCTCCGCTCCGCTCGACGCGACAAAGCCGCAACCGCACCGCTCGTCGAGGATCGCTCCACCCCCGCGCCACACCCCCACGAACGACGCCAGGACGACAGAAAGACGACCGCGAGCCATAAACAACTCCCCTACGAGTAATCACCCCTCACTCGTCTATCCAGCTGGTAAGCACCGTTCAGTACTCTGTGAGACCCGGGGCTGGCGACCCGAATTCCCGCACCGTAATCAACCCGCCATCGCCACCACCACCTCCGCGCAGTTTGGATCCGCAAAGCCCAGCCGCATAGAAAACGTCGCACCTCGCAGGAGTAGAGAGCCGCACAAACGCGCTGCCAGCGCAGCTACCACACAAAACCTGAGGTCAATCATATGGAAAGGGGTTGCCATAAGGCTACGTAAGGGTCAGAGGACAATCCGCTGCCACAACACAGACCAAAGGATTAGGAGGGGCGACAAACTCAAACGAAGAAAAAAAGGAAATATGGGTCTGGTACTATGATCTTTTCATAAGTATTCGAGTGTGTGAGAGTGTGAGACAAACGAAAAACAATAAATAAAAAGTCCCTGATCTCCAGCGCAGCAGGGCGATCCGCTAGTGGGCGCGGCATCCTCGTGACGCGGAGATGTGCGGCAGAACTCCTTTACTATCGACAGCTCGGAGAAGGCGTCCACAAGTAGCGTCGAGTCCTCCCGATCGCCCGCTCCGCCGCAGGGCGTCGACAAGCGCCCCTAGGAACAAAGACCTACACGGAACTCCCAGACCGCCAAAAAAAAACCGACGCACTCACACCGTCTTCCACCCGGCAAGAAGAAACCCGCGAAGAGCTTCTACGTGGGGATCAAGGACCCCACAATCGAACGCCATTGGGGACGGCTGGTGAGGGCAGATGAAGGGAGTAACGAGTAAGACCGGGCGTTATGCCCGCTGGGACCATCGAAGCTTCATTGCGCACGTGCGCGCTTCGGATGGAGGGCAAGTGTGTACTCATTTTTTTTGCTTTGATTTTTCTTTTAGAGAAACAATCTACAATCTACGTGTGAGTCAAAAGGTTCATCAGCCGCACCTGATGCCTGTTACAGAGTGCCTCTACGGATCTTGGATCTCACGGGGGTTGATCTCCACGATGAGTCCGGACGAATTGATCTCACGGGGGTGCGGCCCCGTCTCTAAAGTGGGAAAATGGGCCACAAGACAAGAAGTCTTGAGCCAAAAGTCTGTATTGCATGACCAGCAAAAGGAGTCCAGTTTGTGCTACGCGGAGAGGCCATTTCTCATGCGGAATACGCACCAGAAAGCCCTCTCAAAATCTGTGATGCTAGGCCATGCATTGCAGGCATCATAGCCCATGCGAAATATGCATGACAAACCTGGAAATCTTCCAGACCCAGACATTTTTACAGTTGATATGGCGCCCGCCTTCGCAATGTCCCCGACCTTCCGCTCACCCTTGAAGTAGCAAAACTCCCCGGCCTCGATGATGTAGAAGCGGTCGGCGAACACCTCTCCCTCCGTGATCACCGTCGCGTCCGCAGAGACCGCTCGCCGGAACGCGGCGTTCGCCAGCCGCGACAGCTGCTCTTCGGACGGGTTTACCAACTCGGACAGGTTCCCGTTGTTCCGGATGGCGGTGGTGATGAACTGCAACTCCTGTTCACTCTTCGACGGCACCAGCCTCTCGCCCTCGCAAAGTTCCAACGCCTCGTCTTCGTGCAGGCTCGACGTCGGCGAGAGATTGTTTGTGTCTGACCGCTTCGAGCTGTACATCGCGACGAGCGCCTTCCGCCGGACAAACTGCAGCTTATCGTGCAATTTGTACCGGTAAAACGCGTCGCGGTTCAGCACCAGCACGGTCAAGGGCGTCGGCTGGTGGGGCGAGGCTTTCACCGTGGCGGACCGGGCGCAATTCTTCAACACCGCCTGTTCGCCAAAGTAGTCGGAGGCCCGCAGGCTGGCGATGAAGTCCTCCCGCGGCGGTCCGTCAATGGCTTCCACCTCGCAAGCCAGAATCCGGCCGCGCTGCCCGGTCCCGACAATGCGGATGGTATAGGGGTATTCGCGCTGGGGGTCGAATTTGTCCACCATCGCGTTACTCCCAACCGGGATTCTTCTGCCCCCGAAGTGCACGTCGCGGGTGTTGCGCACCTTGTCGCCCACCTTGAGATAGTTCTGTTCGTGCGCGTAGACGTGCGCCACGCCGTCGACGACCACGAAGAACTCTTCGCCTCGATCCCCCTGCACGAACACTTCCTCCCCGGGGAGAAAGGTTTGCTGCCGAAAGGCGGAAAGCAGCTCCGCGGACCCCTCCGGCCCGAGCTGGTTGAGCAGGTTGGAAAACATCTTGTCCATGCACAGCACGTCGTGCGCCCGCTCCTTGTCCTCCGCCGTCAGTTCCTTGGGCGCGCGGCGCTGCATCTGCTCCAGTTGGGCCGCGAAGGGGTGAAACTCCCGCTTCCACAGTTGAAAGCCCTGAAACAGGAACTCGACGAAGGAAACGGAATATCAAATGTAAAAATCTCTGGGTCTGGAAGAATGCAAGTTTGTCATGCTTGTCTGGCATGACTCTTAAATCTGTCATGCACATTAACAAAGAGCCCCACTTTTCTGTCATGCAGAAACGTAGTTTGTCATGCAGAATAGGCAACACCTAGAAGCTCAGAAACTTGTCATGCTGAGCCAGCAATTGTGGCCTCCTGATGATATGCCACACAGCATCACAAGTTTCCAGACCCAGACCTTTTTACATTTGATACGGAAACGTCCTGTTCGCGAGGGTTGGTAGAGGTGAACTCGTTCAGTTTCCGGAGCCACCCCGCCACCCGGCCGTCACCCTTCGCAACTGCTGCCGCCACGGTCAGTTGCTGCGCCAGCTCCGCGGTTTGCGGGTTAGGCCAACTACCAACCGCGGTAGAGGCGCTGGAGGTAGCGGAAAAGCTGCCGAGGCTCTGCACCGAGCTCGTAGGAGCGAGCAATGCGGAACTGCTGCTCAAGTTTGTGCATGATGACGCCGCCGAGGTGGCGATGCTCATATGACGACTAGAAGTACTACTGCTGTCTCTGGGTTGGGCTTGTTCTCCCGCATTTCCCTGCGCCATCATGCCGTTTTCCGGGGGCTTTTCCCATATCTCCGCGACTAGCTTGCGCGTGTGTACGGCGCGAATTTGGATCGGCGCGAAGTCCTTGGCGTTCGGTCCGGTCTTCAGAAACATGAACAGCTGCAGAATGCTGCCGTCTTCCACTATGTAGTCCTTGATCGACAAGTAGCTCAGCCAGTCCTCGAGCCGTTCCTCGAGCCGCGTGAAGTACTTCTTGCACTGAGTTAGCGGGTCCTGTGTGAAGAGAGTTACAACAATAAAAGCATTTTATATATAAGTACTTAAACGAGGCTTGATGTTGTTGATCATCCAAACACCTCCACACTTGCACGACGCAAAGCGCTTCGTAGTTATGTTGGTCCACGGTCTTCAAGCAAAACTCACTCTTTACTCAAGGAGGAAGTAAGTATTTTGCGCAATACAGCAAACGCATTTCGTTGTCCTTCGCCACAAATCAACGAAATTCATTATACCGTGTCTGTCGCAAGCTCTCGTTCCATTTCCAGCAGATGCGTGCTAGCCGCGTACAACAAGGCGATGGCCTCCTGCGCGGGCGTCGGCTCTGCCTCTCCAGTGAACTCTTGCATCTTCATACCTGTTCTTGATGCATAAATTATTTTTATATATATGGCTTTTCTTCATCAGCATTTGCCAATACGCATACGGATCTATGCTTTATCTCTCGCACAAAAGTATCAGCATGGTGCTTTAGCAGGACGATGACCAGCTGCAAGAAATCAACGTCAAATATTATGATCTACAAACGCTGGATAAGTAAAAGTAGGTAAGTAAGTAGTACAAATGTTCTGGTGCAATGCCAGGTTCTCGTCGTCCGACACCGTGCAGCCGTTCATCGTTCCCTGCATATGCATTGCAAATATCGATCTGGGTCTGGAAGATCGTGCGGTTTGTCATGCTGGTTTTCCATGCCTCGTGAGGTGTGGAATGCAGGACCTAGCACATTAACAGATTGTTCTGCGGGGTGGTCTTCGTCATACCTATCCTGCATGAGAACCAACCTCCCTCGGAACATGGTCAAAAGTGGAAAACTTCTGGTAATCATGCAACACAGGTTCTTCTTTTCGCGTAATTATCCAGGCTTAGCATGATCGAAGTTCGGAACCTTCGCCTTCCGGACCCAGATCGATATATGCAATACATACTGCAGCGCCCCTAACAACGCGGTTTGTGCCGTGATGTTGACCGTAAGTAGCTTCTGTAGCCAGGTCCGGGGGTGTGCTTCCACCGCCGCGGGTGCGGAGGAGCCGACGTCGGACACTTGCAACGGTGGCGCGCGGAGCCAGGCGAGAAAGTTGTGCTTCTGGAGCATGTAGAGTGACTGAATTAATCGGTTGTATTCCAGAATCGCCATGCGCTGCGCCGGCGTGCAACCCTGTGACCGGAGAGGCGCGGCCCACGCGATGACGCAACTGTTCAGTTGCTGGATCAGGTCGTGCATCTGCTCGCGTATGAGAGTTGTGCAAAACTATCTCATTTGTATTTGGCATGAACAGCAACAGAAAGAACATACAGAAATGTAGCTTCTGCACGCCAAATTTCCAGAAATGGTTTCGAGTTGTACTTTAGCTTTTCACGCAACTTAAGCGTACGACGCAACGGCTCGGCCCAGGAATGGGATTGCAATTTTGCATGACAAATGAGATGAAGCAGGAATTGGGCACTCTCATATCAAGCAAAAAATCTCGGTTCACCGCCGACAAGTCTTCCCGCATGCGGTCGAACCCCTGGCGGAACTGCTGCGCGTAGAGGAGTTTATGCATTGCAAAAGAATCCTGTGCATATTACCGCACTGGTTGTAATTGTAATTGTATAAATTGCGTTTACAAATTTTTTCACGACCAAAAATATACAATTTAAATTTTTTTTTCATGCTAGAAACGGGTACGAAGTGAAGATGAAACGTCGCAAATAAGAATCTTTACATAGCAGGTACGATACTTTTGCAGATGGGATACAGCTGCAAACTCAGCGACTCCAGCAGCGCGGTGCTCGTGTCCGGGGGGTGCGGTAGTTTGTTTTTGAACAGCACCGGGTCTCCGGGGCCGCCCGGTTCTTCGTAGTAAAACGGCTGCAGCATGATGTCATCCTCGTACTGCGATACGTGGTCTGGGTCCGCCTGGTGCGGGTCATCGCGTTTCAGTACCGGTCCGTGCTTCCGCAACACCGTAAAAATGTGGTGCTTTTTATCCTGAGTAAAAACGCACCCACACCAGAGTCAGGATGGAGATTTTGCAACACAAACCTAGGAGTTTTGTGAGTCACGCATGACAAGTTGCACTCTGCAGTGTAGTGCAGGTTAGCAAGTGCAGCCGCGTCACAGATTCATCTGCTCATCCTGTTCACAGCATCACAAATTCCAAAACACGATTGGAAATGGCTCTCATGCGGATGCGCATTACAAGTCTTCCTGTCTTTGCAAATCTGCATTACAACTCTGGTGTGGGTACGTTTTTACTCAGGATACTTTTGCTGCTGCACGTGCACGAGGTGCTTCTGATGCGGGAGTTCCACGACCAGATGTTTTCCAGCAGATAAAGCTATCGCAAGAAAAAAGTGCTGCGCATTGTGTTGCAAGACCGGCAACACAGACAACCCTTCTCATGCAGGAAATGCTTGGGAGCCTCGTTTTCTTCCTGTTTTCCCTTATGATGTTCGCATTACAAGTTTTCTCTGCCACACAGGGAAAATTTGTGATGCAGAAACTCCAGCAAATGTGTAACTGTACCACTTTTTTCTCGTGATAAAAGCTTGTGGTGCTCTAGTGACGGAAAGACCAGGCGGGTGATCTTCGATAATTTCGTTCCTCTTTGATGACTATGCAAGAAAAAAACTGTGTATAGTGCAAGTCTGTACACAAATGCAAGAAAGCACGCAACACGCTTCTACAACTTGTCATGCTAGCCAGCCATGATGAAATTCTATCTTCTAATATGTGTGTGTATATTCACGTACTAGCTGTGCATCACAGCGGCCTTTCTCTGTCATGCATAACAGCTTTGTCATGCTGTTATTCGTCCAAGACACCTTACAGTAAAACACAGAAGTTTTCTTGTTGCATATTGACGCATGATTAAGTCGCCCCGGGGAGGACGACGCGTAGTGCAAAACTCCTGCGGACGCAGGTGAACAGCTTTTACTCGCACCCACTGGAGTTGTAGATCCCCCGCCTGCAGCGGAGAAAGACGCACCGCCACCAGCCGCATCACCAGGTGAGGCTCCTTGTGCTACGCTGCTCTGGTGCGGCATAGTCGATGTCACCTTCAAGTTCACTCCCGGCTGTGGTACTATGAGTACGTCCGGATTACAATTCGCCGGCTGGTGCTGGTACTGCTGATGATGAGCAGTAGACGCGGCCACATGCTGCTGCACACAAACTGAAATCCCAGTTGAAGTACTAGTATTGCTATTGTTATTGTTATACCGGTGGTGTGTACGTGTAGAAGCCCCCGCACTACTAGATGAAGTTGTTGTACTAGTTGTAGTTCCTTGGTCGTTGTAAACCAGCATACCATTGCTTACCATGGACGAGGAGGAGGCTCCTCCGGCTGCATATTGTGAGGAAAAATCCCCCCTCCCCATACCAAAGCGGGACACTTCTGAAAATTTGCGATGCTGATTTGTGATGTCTGTATTGCAAGAAGGCAAAGCAACAAACCCCGCTGCGTTCTGCAGGCAATTCGTAATGCTGTACGGCCTACAGAGGACGCGCCTGCTTTGCTAGGTCCCTACACCAAGGCGCCCCTACTCAGGTTCCGTATCTGCCTGCAGTCCTCTATTGCAAGACAAAGCCGATTTGTGTGCACAAATTCCGCATCACAGATTTCCATTTCGATATGGGGAGAGGGGATCTTTCCTTTTGATACTGCAGTTGTGATGTTTCCCCGGCTGTTCCGCAGCAAAGCCGGCGGATTCAAACCTACGCGCTATCCTTTGCAAAAGCATCCCCACCCCAGAGTTGTCATGCAGATCTGCAAGCACAAGAACATTTATAATGCGCATCCCCATGAGAGGCAATTCCCATCGTGTTTCGGAACTTGTAATGCTGTGAAGAGGATAAGGAGATGGATTTCTTATGCGGCTCCCTTGCTAGACTTCATTACACTACAGCCTGCAACTTGTCATGCGTGGCTCCCAAGACTTTAAGGTTTGTGTTGCAAAATCCCCATCTTGACTCTGGGGTGGGGACTTCTTTACAAATGATACGTGCATGTTCATGTTTTGCAGGTTGCGGTAGTTGGTTCCGTTGGAAACTCGTGTTGTACTTGACGAAGCTACAGTGCTGGGAGTTGTTGATGATCCACCCCCACCTCCTGTAGTTACGCTATGGTTTCCCTTTCCACCACCAGAAGTTGTACTAGATGTGGAAAAGGTCGAGGATATCCTATTTAAAAACGTCCCCACCCCATAGTTGTAATGCAAATCTGCATGCTGAAAATGTTTCTCATGCGGAGCCCCATGAGAAGCATTTTCTAGTCGTGTTTTGCAATTTGTCATGCTCCAATCAGCATGGTATGCTAGATCTGTGATGCTGCTGAGCTAGCTCAAACAGCACTACACTACGAATCCAAATTTGTCATGCAAAACAGCCAGAACTTGTGGATTTGTCTTGCCGATTCCCCATCTTGACTATGGTGTGGGGACGTTTTTACTCAGGATAGACGACCCCGCAAATCCCGCTCCGTTTGCCGTGCCGCTGCGCGCAAAAGAGGCGTTGCCGCTGCTGCACCCGGTTCCCCCACCACCACCGATTCCCCCTCCGGCGTACGAGGGCGGAATGGCAACGCCGGAAACGCCCTCGCGAAAGTTTGCAACGGAGGTACTGCTACCCATTTCTACTTCTTCGCTGATAGAATGATTTTGTGGGTACTTATTTTTCATCGGATACGGATTCATTTTTGTCAACTACACGCTGGAAAATTATCAGAGCAAATCTCAGTTGGTTCATCGTAAGTATGACTATGAATGATGGTGATGCTTTTTTTTCTTTATAAAAGCGTTAGAACATGATACGAAAAACAACACGATTTTCGCTTAGAAGTTGTACGTACCCACTACTAGTTAGGTAAGACGCGGCGCCGGTAGACATGTAGTAAGTTGACGCTTCCAAACGCGTCGGCCCGTCTATGCATGGCAAAAATATCTGAGTCTGTACTAAAGCTTTGTAAAGTGCTGAACTTGCAAACTCCGCATGAAGTCTGATAAGAGTGCTCCATTTAAAACTGTACGGATAAAAGATAAGTGGTGGCCCCCTTTACCCGGCGACAACGTGAGTATTATTTCTCCTGCTGGTGGTTGATACGCACTGCAACTAACGCTGCTCAAACGTTTCTCGTACTCGGCCGCGTACACTGCAGTTGACCATTTTTGTGCTATTCAGTTTCAGATGCATTGTAGCATGACACCTCATTCGATTAGTTGTAGTTCCAGACCCAGATGTTTACTTAGTTCCAATGCATAGCGTCTGACATGTTACAATCCGCGGCTCTTCGTCCGGAAAGGTATGAAAGTTTGAAAATCCCTCGCTTGCAGCAAGTTTTTAGAGAATTTCTAGCGTGGACCACACCCAGCACGACAGGATCATCTGCATCTTGGTCCTCATATATGTATTTTCTTTTTCAGCATGCATATCCTATAATCCGTCGTCCACGATTGAACAAAACGAGAAATGCATCCCACAAGTCCAGGGTGGATCGACATAAACCACATGGTCGTGTCACATGCCACCATGCTTCGCATTCAAATAAAACTTCATCCTGATCCCCCTGCCCCGCTGGTGGATCATAGCCCACCGTCTTGCGTTCTACATCTGCAGGAGAATTCAGCTAAAGTACAGGATTATTTTCAAAGATTTCATAGCTGCGGCATTCTAGTAAACCACCATTGACTCCTGGTGCAGCATCGTCCCTTCGAGCAGGCCGTCTGGTTCGCATTCGCTGCAAGGTCGTGGAAGCATCATTTACTTCGCGGTGCCGGCGCAGGACAACTTCTACACGAACAAATCCTTTCTTCGCAGCTTCACAAGATGGTGAACTGCACCTCTCAAGGATATTAAACGCCGCAGCTCTGCGAGGACCGTGTATCCGCTTCGCTCGTCGCCGCAAAACAGAAAATAGTAATTCTAATTTTTTCAAATACTTTCGCGCCGTAGTAGCCATCCACCGTACTACGGCCAGGAGAGCTGCCCTTTATTTTCAAGGCTACGCAGATATAGTAAAAAATTTCAGCAGCGAGAGTCGATGGCCTAGTTAGTACTAAGGCTTTCTCAACGCGGCGAATCGTGCACTACAGGTCCACTGCGGTTATTCATCCGTACGTCTGCTGTACATTTTTACGCCGCCTCACTACTTGCTCAAAATCAAAACTACAACTACGTTTATTGGCACACAATACAACTTAGTATGATGCACCGCAAATAAACGGACTCATTTATCGCCATCGATACTTCTACCGCACTGCGGATTCGCCATCGACACTTCTGCTGGCAAAGTGGGAAAAAGTATAGCAATTTGGAACTTCGCCGGAGGACAGAAAAAGCTTACGTATCAAATATACTATTTGATGTACGCAAAAATCAGGAACAGCTTCTTGGTGGTAAAGGACGCACGAAAAACGTTGTCAATCAAGTAGCCGATGATAGTATAGAGTTGTGATCGCTATTAACTTGGAATTTGTCTTAAACACGGACCCAATTCTTCCGCCAAAACAAGTAGTAAGTAAGTACTCCACGACTTGCACGCGCGAACAAGTGCCGTTTGTTTTTGGACGCCGCTGTTGTCTTGCATATGTAAGATGTCCAATAATCAAGACGATGAAGCCAGAGCGCTTGCCTTCCGTGTTGAAAATTTTATTTGCCACCAAACCAAACTACTCGTACTACATCCGACAATTATGCCATCAAAGAGCCTGAATTAACGAACTTTGAAGACTATCGGTCTAGTAAAGGTTCAGTCTGATAGAGGCGGTGCTGTTACAAATTTGCAAGACCACAAGCACTGAGTTTTATTGTTTCAACTCTTGGCCAATTCACCTTTCAGGTATTTCTTTCATCCTGTCCCCATGAGCGAAAGCCACACGGGAGGTTTTGTTTTGAGAGAAAACGAGACTTACTAGGAACAAATTCGCTTGGAGATTGCTCCGTGGAAACTTCCCGGGATTACTATCTTCTCACTATCTGATTGACAAATAATGATAACCAATCCAGCTATTCTCTATACCGAAACCAATCCACGCATCTGGTTTTGTCTCTTATTTTCGATTTAATAACTATTAATTTGTTCATCTCACAGATGAGAAATCGATGGATATATGTCGATCACACTGATCGGAAGATGTCGCCCAGTGGTCGGTCCCCTCGCGTGCACCTCTCCAGTGTCCTTACTTTGGTCAACTCGCCGACGTGCTCTATTCCGTGATATCAGTGCGTGGACATGTGATCGATGGCCTGACTTGAACTTCCTCGCAACTAAACGTGGTAGAAGTAGCGTTAATTGAGAATTACTTTACACATTTTACTTCGTCCTGGTCATCATCCCTGCTCGATACTGGACAACTACAACTCCTGAGAAGTGGGTTTTTTGGCTTTATCGAATTAAATTCATCTTCATTGCTCAACTGTTAGTACGCATTAATATTTCCTGCCGGTTCGATGTCGAGAACAGTGTGGGGTGGTTCATGTTCTCGAGAGAGTAGTGCCCCCGGAAACTGCAATCGGAATTCTGACAACCAGGGAAGAAGATTGTTCTTGCTGCTAGTAAGTAAGTAGAGTACCTGCTATCACAATCCGAGAAAAAATCTATTCAGCACTCCTGTTCGACTCAACACGAAACCAGAAAGAGCAAAACACGACCGGATGAAAAACCATGGTTACATCTTTTGCAGCAGCACGAGGCGTTGCTTGGCAGAAGGCAGGCACTAGAAAAAGAAATGCAGCGTTGTACCATTAGTAGCGTACACTGCGAGAGGGCAACGACCGTGTGCCAATGCTTAGAGCTTGCCTATCTGTTGCAAGAAATTGCTCGAAGAACAACATCAGAAAGCCTGCTGCACGTGCTCAGCTCTCTGCAAGAATAAACGTAGTGCCGCAGGTTCATCACACCTCGCACTGCATTCCTGTTCGAAGAGTGATTTATTCCAGTGATATTTATCTTCGTATCCCTTTCCTTTGGCATTTTGCTGCAACTCCTGGCAGTTCTTGGTACGAGAGCCGCCGGTCTATGCTGTTTCATTCTGTACAACCACGGGCAGACTCCTGGAGCATGATAAGCAACACCGAGCCCGGTCCTGTACCAAACTGACTCTCGTCGCACCGCCTGCAACGATTAGATTGCTCACGACCCACTCGGACTCGATAGAGCGAGTGCACAACAACATCTGCCAAATGCTTCCTGCCTGCGTTTTGATGTCGTTGTCCGGTCGTACAGGTTTAGCGCGAATAGTAAGTACCTTCTGCGAGAGTTGGCGGCTTCGTTTTGTTTTTCTGGAATTGGAACTAGGATTATTAGTCCTTGAAAATTTCCATATTTGTGCGCATATTTGCAAAATGTAGAGGACTCGCAGCAGCAGCTTTTGGCAGCTGTCCGGCGGTCTGCCAGCCTTCCATCTCGTGCTTCCTTTTGCCGCTCCACTGAAAGTGCGGGAAAGGGCATCAGAAGGTGTCGTTGTAAGCCATTTTCTGCATTTTGCAATGATGGAAATTCCCAGCTCGGTTTTCCGCACTGGCCAAATGAAAGTGCCGAAGACCGAGGCCTTCCGGGAAGCCAAAGGGAGAGGGGAGTGGGGCTGCAGGCGAGGCCAGGAGCAGCGCTCTGGCTTTTGTGTGGAGCCGCCTGCCGTGCGGCGTCCCTGTGTTGCGCACCTTCTACACCCGAACGAAGCCTGGGCGCGAGGCTACGCCCAGGCTTCGTCTGGATATGTCTCCGCGCGCGTAGGAGTTGGCGAGGCGACCAGCCATCCGCCAAGTCCTCGGGTTTGGAAGTCAGACGGTGTGGGGAGTTGAAAGTATTGACGCTCGCCATTTTGCAATGATGGAAATTCCCCGCTCGGGTTTGGGTGAGAGGCAAGCTACAATTTGCAATGATGGAAATTCCCCGCTCGGGTTTGGGTGAAACACAAATTGGAATTTTGCAATGATGGAAATTTCCCGCTCGCGTTTCACCTTCGCCAAGCTCACCCAATGCGAAAACGCATACCCCAAAGCAATACCCCAACGCGATACCCCAAACCAATACCCCGTACGAATACCCCCATCAATACCCCCCGGGATTTTTGGACTCAGCTCGGTGCACAACGATGACGAATACCCCCAACGAATACCTCCATCAAGGGGTATTTGTTTGGGGTATTGGTCTTGATGCGACATCTTTATGCGAACCCAAGATGCCTGACAATATTTCCCGATCGCACCGGAACCGTGGGCGAATGCTTTGCGACCTGGCTGAAGTACGGCCAAGAGTTTCTGGAGCAGCGGGGCATGCTCAGCGAAATGCTGCTACTAGGCATGTTGCGCGGTGGGCTAGGGCTCGGTGGAGGTGCTTTCCTCGGATTTGCTGCGCTTTTTGGGTGCGTGCGCGCTGGCCGGGAGGCCACCTGGAGGCTTTTCACGAATGGCCCCCGGCTTTGGCGAATGCTGGCGGCCTGCTTTTCCGCATCCCTAAACTGCAAGAAGGCGCGCCGCGCCGGTCGCTAAAAAGAGTTGCCGACCGCCACTATTGAGAGGCTGGAGCCAGTTGCGGCGCGCTACAGCCGCTGCGTTTGGCCCAGTTGCAGAATTGCAAACAATCAGCGCGCTTGGATTCGCGCGGCTCTGGTGCAGCCGCGTATCCGTTCGGCTGACCCTTCGCCAAAGGGGTAGCGCTAGGATGTATTCGCTATTAACTAACTGCGCCAGCGGTGCCAGAGAATGAGCCTCCGGCTTCCGCTCTCCTCCCCAGCAACTCGCTGACGCGAAAACGTCGGGCGCGGGAGTGAAAAATAAACATGGCAGGCCCGGTAGCGGGTTGCCTTTCGCTACATTTTGCAAATATGGAGGTAGATATGGATATTTCCAAGGATTAAGATTACACTGTTCGTTCTGAGTGTCTGACTTAAAACTTAACCGTGTCTGTTTGTCTGTTTGAACTATAATCGTGATCCTATCAGGTGCTACCTGCATATCTGTCTGATGGCTGCTTGCTTTGTGATGTCTTTATTCACACGAAGTGACAAATAATTCTGTTCTTCATCTTCTTCTTCCTTGTTCTGCTGTGATATTAACAATAATAAGAGTTTTTGGTTTTTGCTTTGACTGTAATCTTCAGAGTTTTGGTTTTCGACTATTGGGAGACGGTGAAGCAAGTTTATTGCTGTAGAAGAAAATAATCTTCGCTGCTTCGTAGTAGTATACAGGTTCATATTTGAAGATACTGCTGCCATAGCCATGGTCATGGATCCAAGTTCGACCTGGAAATAAATTCCTCTCGATTTCTCATTTCTGCAATTTCGGCTTTTGTCATCGGAGGATTAAATAAATCCTTGACAGCACCGATTTATGGCAGCGGTACCGCGGTCATGACGAAATCCCTATCAAATGCAAGAATGTCTGGGTCTGGAAGATTGTCATGCATATTTTGCATGACCCATCATGCCTGTAGTGCATGACTTAGCATCACAGATTTTTGGAAGGTTTTCTGATGCCTATTTCGCATGACAAATGCCTTCTCCGCGCAGCACAATCTGGGCTCCTCTTGCTGGTCATGCAGTACAGATTTTTTTAAAATCCAAAGACAGCATGACAAGTTTGGATCCTTCCAGACCCAGACATATTTGCAATTGATAATCCCGGATCGCCTGCAAAATATCCGTCGGCTGCTGCTGCCCCCGGATGCTGGTCGCGATCCCCGGGAAGTGGGACAGCACCTGCTTGCAACGGTCGTAGTGGTAGTGGTACCTGTTGTCAGCGAATGTGATTTCTTCTTTATGTATCGTCCTAAGTATGTTAATTCTAATTCGAAACACACAACATGGAGAACAAGAATTAGAACTCAGTTTTTTCTTACAATTCTCGCACACAACAACTAGACACGCCGCACGACACCAAACTCCACACTTCTTCCAAACATGTAGTACAAGTACCGGGTGGAGACTTGATCGGGGCTATCCGCCGCCGCTTGCACCAACCTTTGCCTGACCGCCAACTGTGGTGCGTTTCCATAGTAGTACTCCCCGGTGGCGGGGTCCACCCTGCGGATGGACAGCCTCTGCAGGCACACCGACTCGGGCACGGTGAGGTGCACCACCCGGGAGGGCCACAGGTGGGCCTTCTTCAGGTAGGAGGCTTGGTGCTCGGTCTGTGGGAAGCCGTCCAGGACCCAGCCGCGCCTCAAACCTGAGTGATCGATAAAAAATAAGAACATTTTCGTAAAAAAATACTATTTGACCGCCAGGGCGACCTCGGATAAAGAAGCAGGTTTCACTCACTAGTGTCCGTCTATTGTGACCAAAAGCAAAACTGCGATCTTTATAAAGCATATACTGAAGAAGAACTACAAAGCAGGAACAATTTCTATACAATCCGCCTGTCTGATATGGAGAGAAAAAAGTTTGTCACAGTCATTAACTTGCAGATTTTGCATTACAAATTTTTTTAGCATCACAACTCTCCGAAAACTTTGTATTGCAAAAATGCGCATGAGTGATCGTGACGAACTTTTTTTGTTTGATATCTGAGCCTGTCCCCCACTTTCTCGCAGAGTTCCTCATCCGTTACGCTTTCCGCTGGCTTTGAATATCGTGAGGAAAAGTCCCCCGACCCCATATCAAAACGGAAACCTGTGATGCGGGATTTGTGTACGCAAATCCGCTTTGTCTTGCACTAGAGGACTGCAGCCAGATACGAAGCCTGGAAAGGGGTGGCTTGAGGTAGGCGGTTGGCAAGGCAGACGTGTGTCCTGTTGGCGTATCAGCATTACAAACCGCCTGCGAAATGCGGCGGACTCTCGGGCTTTGTTCTATTGCAAGACAGACGCGATCTGTGGCCACAAATCAGCATCACAAATTTTCTAAAGCATGCCTTTTTGATATGGGGAGGGAGGATTTTTCCTTTTGATATTGAAACCATAGTGTTTACGTCGACATGCACGACGCCAAAATCCTCCGCGATCCTGGCTGCCTGTGTTGATCGCCCGCTACCCAAGGGTCCGAGCACTATCAAATGTAAAAGTGTCTGGGTCTGGAAACTTGTGATGCTGGGTGGCGTCTCATGATGAGGCCACAAGTGCTGGCTCAGCATGACAAGTTTCTGAGCTTCAAGGTGTTGCCTATTCTGCATGACAGACTGCGTTTCTGCATCACAGAAAAATGGAGCTCTTGGGTAACGTGCATGACAGATTTAAGAGTCATGCCAAACAAGCATGACAAACATGAATTCTTCCAGACCCAGACATTTTTACATTTGATAAGCACGCACATCTGACAATTTTTGCTTTCATGCGCCTACGGGAAACAACTCATCAAGATGAACCCATGCAATGGATGCCAATGCACGACGACGCTTTATAATCGCGCTGCAAATTCATTCCAATGTTCTGTTCTTGTTGCAGTTGCGACAGTACTGCCTACGACTTGCATCAACAAAACCGAGTAAGTACTCTCAACGGCCCTCTTGGGTCTGCCACTGCCCTGGCAACGGCATGCTGCACCTGGTCCACTACGGAAGTGCTTCCCGTTACTGACACCTCTACCGCCGCGTTCTTGAAGATTTCTGCCACGGAGTGTATGTGTCTCAAGTAGATTTGCAACTGCGACTCTACGGCGTCTGCTTTTTCCTCCGCGGTCGCGCCCGGGGCAGATTTCTGGGGGAATCCGAATTCGGAACATTAGTAGATGATTATTTGTCGTGTTGCAATGAATATTGCGACTACGCATAGCGACGTGTGTCCTTGAAACTTTTGCTCATGACAAAAACAAACTATTGAAAAACTTTTCGTGTTGTCAGTAATCAATACCAGTAAGTGGTTTTTTATTGTTTTACTGTCACCGGTGACGATGCAGACGCTGTCGGGTATTTTTCTCATGTTCTGCAATGCTCGCGCTTGGACCTGATTTTTTTCAGTTGAAGAAACATCACAAAGATTGTTCTTCTTCTTTGTAGCAGATCAAGACACGACGACAACAGCATGAAAGCATTGCGATCTTGCCATTCATAAATCCTGCGACGTTGGATTTGATTTGACCAGGTGAGTTCCTGCATCAGGAAAAAAACAAATCACCACGACCACCCAGATAGGAAAGTAGTAGAACTAGAAGTACCTTTGTCTTTGGGAACCCATACAATAAGCAGCCCTTGCTGTCACTTGGTGCGCTCTCCAAAGCGGACTTGACGCATGCTATTGCGTCGGCGTCCGCGGTGCTCTTCGAATCATCGACGGCAGCGTCGACATTGACACACGTGAGACCGAACGATGACGCTACCTGCTCGGCGTGCCTGATAGCGATATCAAGGTGGAGAGTTAACGGTGCTCAGTCATTACATTTTTGTTCATGCGCAAAAAAAGATTCACCGCGTGCACGTGTTGCAAAAAGCAGTCTGTACTTGTCTCCGCTCAGGCCTGGTGGTGCCAGCATGCAGAGGAGTATCTGACTCGGTGCCTCCAACCTCTGCACTAGGAACGCGAGTGGGTCGGCGGGCTGCTCCTTGATCAGGTCCTTCATGAGGTCGCGGAGGAGGAAGTAGGCCTCATGGCCCTCCAGGTACCTGGCGGCCTCCTCGACAAACTCTTTCGACATTTTTATTTGTAAAACTTGCCTTTTATCAATTTCCCCAAGTCTTTAAACAAAAAATTTTCAACATCCCCGTCCTATCTAGGGGACAGCGAAAGGTTTTCTTTGCTACACGATTGGCAGATTCTTTTATTTTTGAACAAGATACTGTAGTACTACTGCACGAGCATGGGAACAAGAAGACCAACGTCGGGAGGTCCATCGATAATGCAAGAACTCTTCCCGAAAACAATAATTTTTCACGTAGTTGTACTTCTGCCACAAAGTAGACCCTCCTCATACGAACCGATTCCCCTCAACACCTCGAAAATACCAGTGTCACTCAGCGGAAGGTCTGTTCACCACGTTCTACGAGAATAGAAAAATCTTCAACGACCCGGAAAGCGTCTATTTTCACCTTCCCCTCAGAATGATTTCTTGGCACGCTTCAAAAGTCCAACTCGACGAGGACGACGTAAAAATATTTCATTTCAACTAATCGAAAAAGGACTTTCTTCTAAACTATCTTCCACAAGAAAACGAGGACCACGAGTTGTTTCTATCTCTTGGAATAGTACCCAAATACTTCCAGATGAGCCTTCTCACCACGACAACAAATGACTCAACTGCAGTCGCAACCAGCAAAAATAATGCCCACCACTCTCTTCGAGGCAATGTGGAGGCAGAATTGACATTCGCCATATAGATGAAAATCATCAATTATTGATTGTCATTTGATTTCTCCCCATTGTACTCTTACTTGAGAGCGGTTTCTTATCTGGCCAGCAGAAGCTGCTTTCCAGCCTCGCAAATGTATTTCTTTTCATGGAGTTGTCGCTATGAAGAGTTAAAGAACCAGGTCGTTTTAGAGGTGTCGCATAACAACAACATCAGAAAATAGTAGATCGCTAGGTCGTCGCATAAATTAGATAAGTACTTGCTGACTTTTGCTCCGTGTAAGAAAATTGTAGCATAGGATCACAATCTCGATTGAAAAAATTCTTCACATTAAATCGGCGCAACAACAGCGACCTGCCGTGTGCTGGGTCGTTCGTGTCAAAATAACAATACGTATGATTATGAGCAAGTTCATTAGCTTTAGTGTGTAGAATTGGTGTCGCATACCACTGTGAAGAAAATCATTCTTCCTTCACCTGCTGCAACATTCTGACCTTATTGGTCGAACTGTTATCATCAACATCTTCCACTACGTCGCTCTCCGGAATTGTCACCGACGGTCGCGAGGCAGTCGCACCAGAAGTTGTGGCTGCTCCCGCTGTGTCCTCGCTAGCTGTGGTGGCCGCAGATCCGTCCTCAACTACTGGCGCGGCTGGCGGTATATGGATTGCAAATATGTCTGGGTCTGGAAGGATCCCAACTTGTGATGCTGCCTTTGGATTCTACACAGAATTCGTATTTCATGAACAGCAAGGGAGGTCAAGTTTTTGCTACACAGAGAGGGCATTTCTCATGCAGTACGGGCATCAGAAAGCCGTCAAGAAAAACTCTGTGATGCTAGGGCATGCATCACAGACGCCATGGGTTATGCAAAGTGTCCATGACAAACATCTGCATTCATCCAGACCCAGACATATTTGCATTCCATACGGTACGACACGACATGGCAATTCGCTTTCCCCGAACGCGATTTTCCAGACATCGTCGTACTCTTTCGCGTAAAAGATTTCAATGTTCTCCTTCAAATACGCCGGCAACGCATCCACATCCCTGCGGTTGCCCTCCGGGAAAATCAGTTTCTCACAGGCGGACCGTCTTTATCCAGAGTAAAAACGTCCCCACCCCATAGTCAAGAGGTAAAAATTACCAAGATGAGTTATTTGAATTGAATGAATAAGAAAATTTGCAAACAGAGGGCGCAGCGTGGCGCCGACAACAATGATCAGCAGATATGTTGGACGGGATCAATTCGCCGAGAAGTAGTCAGCGAGCGGACGCGTCTCCGACATACATTTGCTTGTGCGCCGGATCTCCAGCTGAGTTTTTTACTGGGCGCGAGCGCCGAGTAGGGGAGGTCGCTTCTTTCGCTTTCACACAAGAATGCGGCTCGGCGAGAAAAGCCGCAAGCCAATGGCCCAAACAGAATTAATTCGGGCCTGAATTAAATCCGCCACCACAGGCCTCACCCCGGGGCCCACGGGGGGGGAAAAATAAAAAAATCTCACTGGGCGGGAAAAAAATTCGTTTTTCCCGCCCGGAAAAAAACGAATTAAACGAATTAATCGAAAAAAAACGCGCCCAAAAAATTTGACAGGGAAATCACACATGAAATCCTGACCCAGCCCGCGGGGCCGGACCCGGAAATTAATTATTTTTAATTCCCCCTCCTGGGAGATTTTTTTTTCGATTTAATTCGAATTGATTCCGCCCCTGCTGGGCCAAAATTAAATCCGACTCAAGGGCCAGGTTTGAATCAGGCCAAATTTTACTCGGTGCGTGGGGCCCTGTTTTTCCGGGGATGGTTTTCGTCTGGAGAAAACGCGAGTCTCCGTCGCGTCAGCATGCAGCTCCAGCAGCCATCACATCATCTGCGAGGGAGCTTGTGCAGGCCGGGCAAAACACCAACAGAAGCAAAGGACCACAACCCCAAACAATGATGTCAACCGCTGAGCATATCAAGTCGCGCCTCCAGGTTCTGCAGCTGCAAAAAAAAAATAATTCATTTAAATGGATTAACTCATCTTGGTATTTGGACCACATAACCATAGTCAAGATGGGGAACCTGCTACACAAATCGGCCAGCTTTGGCTGTTGCGCATGACAAGTCTCGCTTCCTAGTGTAATCGTGTTGAGCTAGTTCAGCAGCATCACAGATCTAGAATGGCATGCTGATTGGAGCATCACAAATCGCAAAACACCACTCTAAAATGCTGCTCATGGGGCTCCGCATGAGAAATATTTTAAGCACGCAGATCTGCATGACAACTATGGAGTGGGGACGTTTTTCCTTAGAATAGTCTTGCGGCGATGGTTTTCTCCTTGATGCCCCCAACGGGGAGAACCATCCCGGTCAAGGACACTTCTCCCGTCATGGCGATGTTGGGCAGGATGGATTTGTTCAAGGCAAGCGAAATGATCGCGGTGGTCATGGTGATCCCGGCGGAGGGGCTATCCTGAGTAAAAACGTCCCCACCCCAGAGTTGTGATGCAGATCTGCAAGCACAAGAGCGTTTGTAATGCGCGCTCCCATGAGGGGCATTCTCAATCGTGTTTTGGAACTTGTAATGCTGTAAACAGCATAAGGCGATCGATTTGTTATGCGGCTTCCCTTGCTAAACTGCACTACACTACAGCCTGCAATTTGTCATGCGTGGTTCCCAAAACTTCAAGGTTTGTGTTGCAAAATCCCCATCTTGACTCTGGGGTGGGGACGTTTTTACATAGGATAGGGACCGTCTTTCGGCGTCGCACCCTCGGGCACGTGGAGGTAAATGTCGTGCTTCCTGGCAAACTCGATTACCGCGGGGTGGAACTTTTTCGCAACCACCATCGAGATTTTACTGGACTCCTGCATCACGTCGCCTAGACGCCCCGTCACCTGTCGTGTTTTTTGGAGGAAGGCATATATAGAGGAGCAAGAATTTATTAACGCAAGAAGAAGTTGTACTCAGCAAACTATTGCTTCACGACGCACGAGATAAGATACAGCACAACTCGCCGTTGATCATTTTATCTCGATCAGAAAAACATCAAGCGTTTTATATGCAAATCCCTTACATAATAAACTACGTTCAAGCTCCCTCGCCCGCTATCCGCGGTCTCGATCGCTTTTGTTTCGATATACAGCGTCGACCCGCCCAGCGCCGTCCAAGCGAGACCCATCACCACTCCGGCGGGCGGTGTCTCGTAGAGCTTGTCACTGGTGTACAGCGGCTTGCCGAGGTAGTCCGATAAGTTCTCCGCCGTGATCGTTGGAAGGGGCTTGACTGGTGCATCAGCGGCATTTACTGTTTCTGTGGGTGCTGATGTTGAAGGAACCTGTTCACCTGCTTCTGTCGTCAAGCTTGTTGACGACGTTTTTTCGTCGGTAGTTGTACTGTCAGTGCCGGTTTTTGCTGTCGTAGTAGCTTCTGGCTCTGTAGTTGACGCAGGAAAAGATGCTGAAGAGGAAGAGGTTTCTGGGCTGATCGTTGTCGTGGACTCAGTTGTAGTTCCAGCGATTGCAGGACCATTCTCCGCATGATCCGAAGCTTGTTCGTTTGAAATTGAAGCCTGTGAAGTAGATGTTGTTGTACTACTGCTCTCTCCAGGTGTTATTGTCAAGTCCCCCGTTGCTTCCTCGATTGAAATCTCTGTCTTGCTTGTTTCGGAAGATGTTGTTGAAGCTGGACCACTATCTGTGGTACTAGTTGTACTCACAGATGAATCTACTTCCGCATTCCCGTCTGCGGCGGCGATTTTCGCTTCTTCCTCTTTCTTTCGCGTCTCCTCCGCCAAAAGTTTCGCTTTTTCCTCTTCCGCCCTTTTCGCCTCTGCTACCTCAAGCTTGTCCGCGATTTCCGCGCGTTGAAAGGCCCGCTTGCGGCACAACTTCTCGATTTGCTTCTGCAGGTTTCGCACCCCCGCTTCCCGGCAGTACCACCGAATCACGCTGTCCACCGCGTCGTTGCTGATAAAACTTATCTCGTCCTTCCCCTTCAGCCCGGACTGCTCCATCACCTTGGGAATCAAATAATTCTTCGCAATCTCCGTCTTCTCCGGGAGGTCGTATCCCGACAGCCGCACCACCTCCATGCGGTCCAGAAGCGGTTCTGGTATCGTGTCCAAGACGTTTGCCGTGCAGAGGAACAGAACCTGCGAAAAATCCACGGGTACGTCGAGGAAATGGTCCACGAAGGTGCCGTTCTGGCTGGGATCCAAAACCTCCAACAACGCACTCGACGGGTCGCCGTGCATGCCCCCGCGCCCGAGTTTGTCGATCTCGTCGATCAGGATCAAGGGGTTGTTCACTTTGGTCTGTTTCAGGCACTGGATCAGCTTCCCCGGCATGGCGCCAATGTAGGTGCGGCGGTGGCCTTTGATCTCCGCCACATCGTGCAGACCGCCTGTAGTTTCAGTATTTTTTTGAAGTTGGAGTACACAAAATATAGAAATCGTCGCATACTTAGACACCCACAGCAATAACTGCATGCTCATCATGTACATACGTACGCAGGCACCTGCAAATGCAAAACACATCATCAGCACATCATGGGACATAAGACTGAACATGAAAATGCAAACCCACTGTTTTATGCCGAATAAAAAAAATAACTCTACTTCTATACCGACCGAGAACCGGAAAAACTCCCGATTCAGCGACTCGGCGATGCTTTTCCCAATGGAGGTCTTTCCCGTCCCTGGCGGGCCGACCAGGCAAATGATCTTTCCCTGCACCGATCCTTTTAATTTTCCAACGCCGATGAATTCCAATATTCTGTCCTTCACATCCTGCAGCCCGTAGTGGTCCCGGTCCAGGACCGTTCGCGCTTTGGACAAACTGAAATTCTCCTTCGACTGCAGGTCAAAGGGCAAAACCGTCAACCAGTCCAAATAGTTCCGCGCGACCTGGAACTCGGAGGAGTTCTTGTCCAGGAAAGACAATTTGTCCAGTTCCGCGTCGATCACTTCCTTTATCTCCTCCGGGATTTTCCGGTCTTTTATCCGTATCCCACGGAAAAACTGTTTCACTGGGATGATCTTGCAAGATCTGCATCACAAGTTTGTTACACATGACACAGAAAATTTGCCATGCGCACTTCCCAAGGGAAAACACGCTGAAAAATCCAATGTCTTGCAGGTGTAGCAAGACAAATCGTTCTGCGCTCCATTCTCTGCATCACAAGTTCACAGTGAAACAGTTTTTTCTTGCGATAATCCGGTCCTTGAACTTGATAGCCAGCGCGTCCTTGTCGTCTTTCTCCATCCCCAGTTCCTTCTTGATCACCTTCAGCTGTTCGCGCAAATAGAAGTCCTTCTGTATTACAGTGAAAAATGCCCCCACCCTCGGAATTTGCAGAAGTTTTCCATGCAAAGTGTCAAAATAAAAGCTTTTTGTCTTGCATAAAAGGACTGCGAGCGTTTCTGATGCAGAATCAGGGTGCGCAAGGTGCCTTGTGAATAACAGATCCGGCTGCTGTTGGGCTACTTCGCAACACAAATTTGACCTATTCAGCATGGAAAATTTGTGATGCTGAGATATGCAAGACGGGGAATGTTTCTGTTGCGAAGGTTTGCAATACAAATGCTGCCAAGCTGGGGGTGGGGGCATTTTTCACTGTAATATTCTGCTGTTTCTGCACCGTCTCCTCGACCTGGGACCGAATTTTCACCTGCGCCTCGATCACCTGCAGTTCCTTCTGCAAAAGCTGATACGCGAGCTGCAGCCGCTTCACGCCGTTCGGCTCGTGGTATGAAGTTGCACAATTGATTCCCCCTCGTTCTCAGTTTTTCATGCACAACAGCAACTGTACTACACTTTGCCTTTTAGCTTTTGCCACTACTATGCATGACAGGTTTACAGAGAAGCCGAAGCTCAGCACTAGACTCTGTCGCGATCATTTCTTGTCATGCAAAAGCTGCACCTATCATGTCAGCACGACTCGTGTTGCTGCTCATGCCGCGTCTTGAATGCGGGGGGTCGAGGGGGAGGAGCTCTGTGCACTCTCGTATCTGGAACACCTGCATGGTCTCCTCTTTCGTGCCCGATGTCATGGCGGAGGCGAAGTCCGCCAGTCGGCCGGGGTTCTGGTGGTCCGACTTGAAGGTGGGAGACTGCATCGCGAACTCGAGGAACTCGCGGAACTGGGGGTTTAGCCGGAAGATGTCTATTGCAAGGAAAAATCCCCCCTCCCCATATTGCAAACGTATCCGTCTGAAAATTTGCGACGCGCGTTTGTGACCTCAAATCCTGTCTGTCTTGCAAGAAGGCAAGACCAGAGAGCGCCCCACATTTTGCAGGCGGTTTGTGATGCTGTTGGGCTTAGAGCATACACGGTTGTCATGCTAGTCGCCTACGTCAAAACCTCTCGACTGAGGCTTGACATATGCCTACAGTCCTCCACTGCAAGACAAATCTGATTTGTGTACGGAAATCCAGCATCAGAAACTTCGTTGCGATATAATGGGGAGGGGGGATTTTTCCTTTTGATAATGTCCTGGATCAGTTTGATCGTTTCTTGCACCAAAGCCCTCGATATGGATTGCAAAAATGTCTGGGTCTGGAAGATTGCAACTTGTCATGGTAAATCTGAAGCATGCAAAAATCTATGTTGCATGAGTGCCAAAAGCTGTCCACTTTTGACCAAGTTGGAAGGGCGTTTCTTTCTCATGCAGGACAGGCATGGCAGAGACTTCGCAGAGTCTGTCATGCTCAGTCCCGCATTCCAGACCTCATGGGTCATGGAAAATCAGCATGACAAGTCTACACTTTTCCAGACCCAGACATTTTTGCACTTGATACTCGACATCTGCTCGTTTTCCTGTTCGGCGGCGGAATTCTTAGCAGTGTCGCCGTCTTTAGTACTCAAGGAGCCCGAAGAAGAAGATGATGCAGCTCCCGGGGTTCCATGCTCCGCGTTCTTGCTCCAATGCACTACGTTAGTGTGCAGCGGCGGGCCGAAGTTTTCAATTTGTTTCAGCGTTATTCTCCGATGTCCGGTCACTTGGATCTGATGCAATTCGCAGGCGTGATAAAAATCAAGATTAAGATTGCAGTTTTATATACATTTCGAAGAAATCGCTCTTGTGAAGGACCACTTCACGACAAAGGAGGTTCTTAAAGTGGACCGATGATGATGATGATGTTACCCAGTAAAGGGTTTGGGGTGTAGAAGAATTAAACTATTCTTCAGCTTCGTCCTGTTAAACTAGTCTTCAGCTTCGATGAAATGTTACAATCTGACCTTCTCGTGAAAAAAATATCAAGTGCGTACCTGCAGTCCTCCCGTCGCCTGCAGTGGCATTACCTGCTGGATGCTAGCCAGTGTGCCGACTTCATAGAGCTGATTTGTGTTCGTCACAATCTCCTCGTCAAACGCCGAACTCCCCCTCGTCGTGGTGCTGCCCTCCTGGTCTGCGCTTTCGGCATGATCTGATGCCGTGCTGCTGCTGCTGCCTCCTGCCGCTGCTGTCGTCCCACCAGATCCTGCAATCTCTGCCGGGTCTTTCCGTAAGAACAGCCCCAGATATGGGGTCTGGCTCTGAATCAATCGGTTAATCTCCTCTACGACTTTTGGATTCCTGACCCAGATCGGCATGCGCTGCCCGGGAAAAAGCGGCTTGCGACTGATTGGCAGGGACAGGATGGACTGAAACCGCGGGGGCTCGCCGACTTTCGACAAGCTTTTTGTCGTGGTGTTGGGCGCGCCGGCGCTGTTTCGCGCGCTGCTATTGTTTCCCGCCCCGGAGAGAACCGAGGGTCTGCGCCAGTAGGGCTCATCGGAAAAGAAGCGGAGTTGCACCTGCTGCAGCCCGCATCTGCCGAGCGGGAAGGCAAAACTCGATGGACGCGAGGTTGTTGTATACTGCGCGACCAGAGTTGACCCCGCACAAGAACCGCGGGCGAGCATGTTGGTGGTCGTGTCAGCTCTGCAGCTGCGCTGTTCCTCTTGCAGGAGTTTGCTCTCCCTCTATTGTCAGACCACACGAGACTGCCGCGCCTGCTGAGGACAATATACTTCCATCCCGGCTCTGAGGCCTAGAAGCCTCGCATGGCATCCTTGGGTTTACTTGTAGCTGCTGGAGTAACGGTAAGCATGAATCAAAATTATCGATAGTCTTTACAAAGTGCTACGGATCTACGTAAGACATCAAAATCGAGGGGATAATCAGTTATTCAGTTGTGCATGTGCTTATTTCCGCTCAGAAACAAAAACAAAACCGTGATCAAAGGAAAAATGTTGTGAAAAACAGTTTGGAAAAAGCTTCTTTGGACCTGCTGCTGTTCTTTCGGAATTTTTAAAAGCAAGGAGGATCTACTTCGCAAAAACACTACTAAGAAGCGGCACGAACCGAGGACCGATTTGTAGAAACTTGAGATAATCAGTTAATTTTTTGGTTCGGGAACTTCTTCTATCTTGCGTAGACCGGTGATCGAACTTCTCGCGTCTCTGGCTACTTGTACTTACCTTCTGTTTCTTGAAAAAATAACAACAAGATGAACACTGATATCGCTTTCGATTCTCTAAGCGAGAAAAGTTCCAAGTTGCATCTTCTCGCAACTACGTTTCGTGTTTATTCGGTGCTGCTGAGAAAAGGAGCGAATAAACTATCGAGTTTTAAACGTCCTCGTGCAGCGATCATACTGCGCTCTCTTGGTTCACGCGTTCAGTTGGCGACTGACAGGCCGTTAGTTGCGCTGGAATGGACATACTGTTTCAATTCCGAGAATAAATGTTCTGTCACAACAATTTCAGGTCCCCTGTGAGTTCGTCTAGCACGTCCTTTTCTTCCGGCCCGATCGCGAGAACGGTTTTGGTATTGGGCGCTATTTGTGTCCTACCCGCGTCAGTTACTGTGTAGTAGTTGAGGCCTCTTCTCCTCGCCTCCTTCTCTAGCTTCATCATTTGCTCCTCGTCCTGGCATTGCAACGCAATCTTCGCTTGGCCCCATCTCCGCCAGACACGTATTCTATCCTTATCTGCCTGTGCCTTTTCATACGCACCCAGCACTGCGTGCCCGCACTGGGCAGCGATCTTGCCCTTCTGCATGCCGAGGTCTTTGCGCACGATCATGACCATTTTCAGCTCCTTGGTACCACTTATGGTGGCGACGGCCTGGTGGTGTTTTTGAGGTGTATCAATGAGAACGACGTGCATTAAGTACTTTATTTGCACTGCAAAAATAATATAGAAAATTGCTTCACCGACGGCACAATACAGAGCAGTTACGAATGAGGCAAAACAAAGCTGTCATGATGAAAGTAGATCATCTACTTTATCAGGTACTTATGTATTGATACCTGTTTTGTATTTTTTCCCGCAGTCGCGATTATCGTCCTGAGCAGCATGGGTACCAGCTGCGTGCAGAGCAGCGCTATGCACACTCCAAGCAGGAAATTAGTGTCCGTGAATGCTGCGAGTACCATGGCGTTTCGTCTATGTGTGTAGTGTTGTTTCTGGAAGTTGTAAAAACAAAAAGGAGCATGGGGAAGGCAAAGAAATTAATTTACGTAAATTTTGACAGTAAAAAACTTCAGTAAATAAAGCCACAAAAACTTATTTTTACGAGCGGTTTTTTCAAAACGCTCGAACCCACAGGCAGCGGCTCCACCTGTGAATATTTTAGTAAGCACTCAAGGAAGGGTGATCGCTCACGAATAAAAGCAATCGCAAAATAAACCAGACCTTACAAAGGCGTCACTCAAATTAGAATCTTGCTGCACCAAACCGTGAGCTGCAATTGTTCCCCGTGTTTCACACATTTCGTTAGGCAGAAGATCACATGACGAGCCTCAGATCTGCGAATACGAGCGAGCACTGGTGAATGTGATCCGTTCGGCTGCTCTTCAGTGGTTATGGGAGCACGCGCAGTCATTTATTTTCGAAATAGAGCCGCGGAACAACGAACTGCGTTCGTGCAAGAGAACACCTTTTTCTTTTTGAAGATGAAAGTAAGAAAGTGATAGATATACTGTCTTTCATCTGATCCTGACCTTGTCTTTCACTTTTTTCCACACCACCAGGGTGGATTTCCAGATGAAAAGGTCACAACACAAACATTGGCGTATATATAACTAACTGTTTTTTGAAGTTCGAAACCATGAGCGGTGACCCACCGGTATGTATTGTACATTTGCAGAACTACAAAACTCTTCTTCAACGAGCAGCAGCAGGGCAACTTCTCACCGGGAGCTACGGTGGCAGAACTCCATCGCACAGCGACGGCGTCATGGTAAGTAACCACACGGACCTGCAGAAGCAGGACCAGGACCCAGACCGAAGATGCTTGCATATTAATATCAATTTGCAACCTATTTCGTCTGCGCCGCCGAGTCGAGCTTGGGACTGACGATGTCTTGCGTGACAAGGTAGGGTGGCTCCCCGCCAATCTCCATCTTGTAGGTCGAACCTGGGAATTTTTTTGAAAAAAACGTGGGCACAAGTCGCTCTCCGGGGCAAAACACGTGCAAACGAGTGAGAGAAATAGGACAGACTGCCTTCACTATGCAAACGCATGAAGAGAGGGAGAGCTGCTACCTCACACCTCAGCAATAAATACCTAACATCAACATGGAACAGTTTGTTCTGTACAATACCGTAAAACGGCGTTTCTTCGCTGCTCATTTGTCTGGTTCCCATCCACTTTTGCATGTTAATCGAGTCTGGCATTCCATTCCAATATTTGTACTTGTCTCGCGGCGGGCAGTGCGAAGCTGTTTTGGATTTTTCGCAACACAAATCAATGAAATTGTCTTTGTCAATTTCGTGCATATAATTCATAAGAACAGACTGTCTTACATGCCGCACAGTAAACGACTACGACTACAACATCAACGACCTCAGCAACAATTTATAAAAGTCATTAACCTAGTAAAAGTACCTTTTATTTCCGCCTGTCTCTGCACGACCTTTCCAATCCTCTCCATGGTCACATCCCAGCTGTGGTCGTTGACGTCCTGCTGCGTGATGGGCAGGTGCCGCACCGGTTCGAGCCTCTTGAACGCGCCCGCTTTTCTGACCCGCAGGTCGTGGTTGTTCTGTTTGTGCTGGAGCAGCGCCGCCTTTTTGTGGCTGTTGATGGTCTCCTCCCGTAAGAGGACCGAGCCCTCCTTCCCGGTGCGGTTCAGTATGTCACCACCCCCCATGCTGGTCCGAGCCACCTTCTAGTATCTGAAATCGAATCAAAATGCTTCGTCGTTTATGTATGTCAGATGAAGAAAAGTTCCGTTCGTCTTAACAAAACCGATATGAAGACAAAAAAGCGTTCGAATGGTACAACAGTTTCTCGTAAAACAAAACTACTCTACTGCGCTGAAACGAAAGTGGCAACGTCAAGGAGGGCCTGTAGGAAACAAGTCGTGAGTTGAGTTCATTATGGAAAGAAAGACGAAAAGCCGCCACTTCTCGTTGAAATAGCGACGCAGTATTCATTGTTCCCCTCCGATGCAGCTACACAGTTCCTCAGGACGATAGTGCGAAAAAGCTCCTCGCTATGGTCTCTCGAAATAGGCTAGGTCCATGTGCTTTAGAATTTGCTGGACAGGGACAATTAGATGCACGACGAGGTGGATGGACGAACGAAGTCAAGACGCCAACAACCCTTCTGTAGCTAAACGAAAATAACGACCCGCAGTTGCACACGCATTTTCTTTTTTTTTCCGGTGCTGGGAATGCGCATCAGAATCAGCAAGCGCGCGATGCGACGATTAAAGTTTTATTTTGATCTTCATCTTGGTGTACAATGCATTAGATTTTCTGCGCGCGGCAATGGCTGTATTCACGAGTTCAACGTTTCAATTGTTCTTCCACTACCCAAGCAGCGATGCTGAATTCGTGGCGTGACAATATACCAGATTTTTTCCCGACGCCGATCCGAATCCATACGATCACTGCCAAGAGGCTACACGCACGTCTGAAAAGTTGTATCAAAAGTTAGTTTTTGTCTGCAACAACACTAAATAAAGCATTGTGTTTATTTACTGAGTTTCTGTTTAGTTGTTTGAGTTGGTATGGTACTTTCCTGTCTAAAGTTTTACCAGAATCAGCTTGCAAAGTGTTTACTTTCTGTGGTTGTTCTTCTTCCTACCTTGTGTCTGATTTAATTGATAAGATTGTAAAAGACGGCGTTGTGCTGAACAAGATGAACGCAGCCTGCCTCCTGCTGCACCTGTTGTTCGTTGAGCGGCCGTCGTCCTGCTCTTCACACTTCGAACTTAAAGTTCGTGATTTTCATTTCCGTCTTCGCTCCTCTTAAGCCGCCAATGTGCCTCTTCCACCGCATGGTCGCGCTGCCCTTCTCCGTGCCCGTGCTCGTTGACTGGTCCTTCGGCAAGTAGGTCTGCGTTTCGTTCTCGCGGCGGAAGGTAGACCCGATCGTCTGCGTGCCGTGGGTGTGCTTGCGACGAATATCTGGATTGTGATGTTGGGAAAATTTTTTGTTTATTCGCATCACAAATCGGGTTTCTAGTGCATTAGACGGGCATATGAGTAGAAACTCGACAAGTGGGTCGATCTCGAACTCGATGCTTATACTGAATTGCTGCATCACAAATTCTTGCTGTACCTGCCATCCTCAAGGCGTCCTTCCTCAATTTCCACTCGTTCCACTCATACGTCGGGTCGATGTTCGCTTATGGGAGGGAAGAACCATTTCACTGTCAATTTGTCATGCACAAAACGTAGCAGCAAGGTGTTCGTCTTCCTTGCCGAAGAGGCGCGAGTAGACGCTGGGTGTCTGTAAGTGTATGCGTGATTTCTCGTAGCACATAAGGAATTGAAATTCAATTATAGCGCATTATATATCCATCGTAGATTTATTTCCTGATATCATTACCATGCGACAGCACAAAAAAGTTGGCATGCCAATCAAGCACGAAATTTGCACTGGACCACAGTTTGTGTTGATTCTCCCCTCTGATACCGACTCCAGGAAGTGCACGGGCGTCTGCGTTGAACCGTCGTCCACCTTTTGCGCGCCGAAGTGCTCCAACACCGCATGCAAGGATGACTGCGGGAAGTCCTCGTGCAATCGGAGTAGCTGGATCAGCTGCGGCATCTTGTAGCAGTGCTCCCGCACGGCGAGAAAGGCGTTACTCGGGCTTTTCACAAACTCCTTCATCATTTCAAAGGACTCAAACACGCAAAACCGCCCCTTATACTGGATCACCCCGAGCCCCGGATCCCCGGAGGAGAGCACCCCGTCCGAGCTGCACAAGCGCTGCACGCAGTAGCCCTGGAAATCCAGCGGCAGCTGCAGAAAATTGGGCGTGGTGTCCGGGGAGAGAAACATCGGGTGGTCGGAAACCACGAGGGGAAACTGCTGGTGCGTGTCCGTTCCGCTCGTACTGGAGGAACTTTGCGTGGTCGTATATCCAACAAGAAAAAGGTGTTACGGTCGCACACATTTTTTGCAAGTAATCCCGCAACACCGATTTTTTGGTCGGCATCACAAGAAAAATCTGTCGTGCACCAAGTTAGAGTGAGAGGGTATGGAAAAAAAAAAACATGTACGTATGAAACTAAGCTGCTGAGTATGTCCGGCAAGACAGAACTTTTCTGCCTGGTATTAGCATGTTCTGCAAGAAGACAGCGTGCAACTACTGTGACCACCTTCTTCTTGCGATATCGTGTTTTTCGTCTCTAATATCGCGGGCACCGGACCGTGGACCTCGGTGATCAGCGTTGTAATTTGCTCCGTGATTTCGTCCATGGTTGGCTTTGGCTCGGTATTGAGAGGAAAAATCCCCCCTCCCCATATCAAAGGGAGATTTCTGATGCGCGATTTGTGTACACAAATCAACCTGTATTGCTGGAAAGTAAAGGGACACACCCACGGCCTAGTCTTCAGGCTCTTTGTCATGCTGTTCTGCACAATGCAGCTGCTGCCCGTCATGCTGGCGAGGCAAGGCTTGGCCGTGCCAGACAGAACTACAGTCCGCATCCCTTCCCTACCAGCATCACAACTGGATTTGTGAACAGCAATCAGCATCACAAATTTCCATTTTTTTATGGGGAGGGGAGATTTTTCGCTTTGATACTCGGCGGGTTTGCTCGACTCCGCTTTCAACGTTTCGAGAAACTCTTTTGGGAGGGTCGGGCAGTACCTGCGAGGGTGACGTCAAGTAGTTTCTGAGCTCGCGTGTTTATTTACTTGAGGTTCAAATTCGATAACTTGGTCGCATGAGAAACTAAGCAATACATCAAGATGCGAATCAAAAAATACTGTGACTTCTGGAGCAGCTCCCTCAAGTCGAGCTTGGCCGTTGCCAGATGCAGGTCCAGTCTTGCTATTCCCAGCAATTTTCCCAGACTGTCGAAAAGCGGATACACTTCGCCCTTTGCTAGGGAACCTTTCAAGTTTCGAAAGATTTTATTTAAGTACTTCTTGGCTTCTCATCATATTAAATATGCATGTGCATCTTCACAGATTCAGATACTGGCGCTCAATCACCTTTATAAATGGCGCTCAATCACCTTTTTCTAGAAAGAAGTAGAAGGTCTATTTTCCCCTCCCAAATGATCAAAACTGTAGATACCTCTCTGCATCTCGATTTTTTCCACGAGCGCTTGCACCAGCCCGTCGTACTGCGCCCGGTGTTCCCCTAGCCTCGTTTGCAGCATTGTGAAATCGTCGCACAGCGTTTGCCAGTAGACTAACCTCTGCCGCCAGTGCGCGAGTTCCTCTTTTTTCGCGTTGTGCTTGAGGCTAATCACCTTCCACTGCCGACACATTTCGGTTGACTCCTCGATTTGCTCTTGGATGTGGGAAATCACCTCCTCTAATTTCGACACCGTCCAGCACTGCTCTAGCAGAAGGCAGGGCGCACTGTCGGCAGCTGTTGAGAAATTTCATTTATAGATTTTTCCAAGGCAGGAAATCTACGCATCTTCGGCGTCACGGAGCATGCTAGAAGCTTGTGGTGGTTCTTGACAAAGACTGAAAATGAATCTGAAGACACACCTGCACTCCCCGTGGCTTGTATGGCTGCGAGTTTGAGGTTGAGAATTCTTATGCCGTGGCAGATTCGCAGCAACTCCTCGGTTTGTTGCCGCTTCTCCGGGGCGGTGAGCGCGAGAAACCGCTGCATGGTGACCTTCGGCATGACGGATTCCAGGATCTGCGTCATCTCCTTGTCGAGATACTTGTCGTTGTGCTCCTTTATCGGCTTGGAGGACACCGAACTCGGCATGGATGGGACCTTACACCTCTTCACCAGCATCTCCACGATTTTGTTCCACACCAAGTTGCCCTGCTCGTAATTCAGGTGCACGGAACTCGAGGCGCCCTCCTGAATGATGAAGTTTATCGTCCTCGACTCGTATTCCGCCTGCTCCTGCGCTATCGCAGACACCTTCTGCTCGCCTTCCAGAGCTGCGGTCTCAAACCTGATGTACCGTTTTTAAATTGTCATGCGAAACATGCTGCAGAGCACAGGACGGAGGAGTTGCTGCTTCTCATGCACGGTAAAGAAAAACGAAACACGCTGCAAATGACGCAATCTGAAAGTAATTTGTCAATAGTGCCGAAGCTGTAGAAGTCGATGATGTCAAGAAACGAATAAATACGCTGCTTGTAGTGCCAATGTTTCCATGCCCGGCTGCTGTTTGGTGTTAAAAAGCTTCTTCATGTATCCCAAGAAAAAAGTATTCTAGCAGTTACACACATTTTTTGCCGACTCAGCAACAGTTCAGATATGGTCTTCTACAGGACAGGAAAAATTCAAATTTGCAGCAAGAGGACTGTATGTAATACAGTCACTGTATGCAAGAAAAAAAACACGCATGAACATAAAACGAGGTTCCCGGGCTACTACATCATGACCGAGTTTGTCTGTCTTGCTGATCCTGCAAAAAAATGTGTACTTAAAAACTGCCAAACCGTTGTAGTTTCTTTGCATATCACACTCTCCTCCACCACAACCCTCGCCTCTGGCTCCTGCAAGCCGCCTGCTTCGGCGTAGAACGCCGAGGTCGCATTGTTGAAGATCGTTCTGGCCACCAACGCGGCGAGCGACTCGGACACCGACAGACCGAGCTGCCGGCAGGCCAGCACCAGCTCCTTGGTAATCGCGTTGAGCGAGATCATCGTGCGATGTACGAAGTTGTGGTGGTTGTCCTCTCGGGTTTTTTTTGTAGAAGCTGTGGTCTTGTTCTCCGATCAGCCTTAAGAACAGTTTCTCGTGGAGGTCACCAAAGAGGTAGGAGAAGACGCGTCGAAAGTGGACCACGAGTCTTCTTGTTGTGCAACGCGAACTAGAAACTCGTTTGGGTTTTATTTCTCAGCGAAGTAGGAAGAAGATGCGGGAGTTGTTACAAAGACGCCATCTTCTGGCTCAGGCTGTCTACCAACTGTAGTGACATCAAGATCCTCGGCGGCCCCTCGGTCTCCCCTCCACTGCTAGCGGTGACCTAGCAGCTACCCCGGAGGTGGGACCACACGCACGATCAGAGAAGGGCTATTTGTGAAAAAACTGAGAGACACTAAACACAGTTCTACGTTTGGGTCAAGGACAAAAACGAGTTCATGTGCACGTTGGTGCTGAGGACTGCAATGAGTTCCGATCGACAATGACTATCACTATGCCCACCTTGGGGTTGTACGCGTATATTCAACAACAACAACCGATCGCGGTGCTGGCGACATTTCATGGAACTAGAGATTCCTCATGCTCTCCGGCTCTCACGACCCAAACCCAAGACAACTACATAATGAATCGTGATCGTCTCGTTCATGAATAGCCCACGGCGTCGAGGAATTTCTGTCGCAGCCATGTTAGAACTGAACATGCTAGATGAGCATCCGTGCTAAATTACGACCCAGAGGAGGCGGACAAAGAAATCAACACGACCCTCACGATGGTTCCATCTCTGTTCATCAATATAATCTCTCGGTCACGACACTGCGTGACGGTAAGACCACGCTAAGATCCACCACCTTAAGTGACCTTGCCAGTAAGCCCTCGATCATTCCCGAAACGACGTAATAAATGGCACTGTCCGACCAGACGAAAAGATGGACGATTCTATTAGGTACAACTCCCGCAATCTTGTATTTACTACAGAAGTACTGAAGTCGACGAAGGTGCGGAGATCAATGAGAATCGAACCACTTGGTAGTACCAACCTCACAAAACTTTTTTTTCAATCGCGAGTGTGCACGAAGACGAAGCCTAGCTAGAGGTGGAGCTAGTAGCTACGCATGACATAACCACACAGGACCCCAAAACATCGTGGAACAGTTTCAGTGAAGCGGGCCCTTTGCTGCGGCCTGACCCTGAGATTGCGTATCACTTTATAATCAATCCTTGGTCGCCTTCTTCGCTGTTGCGAAAACGCAATTACTTTTGCTTAGGTTTTTGGTCACGCTCTTTCGTGATAAATCGGGTACTTTATAGAAGTTTCTTGATGACATTGCATATCTCTACCGAGACTGCTGGTGAGTATTGACGCCAGGATTCTACTGTCGATGCTTGAGCACCAGAAGGTTGATGTTACAAAAAAATTTGAATGCCTATGCCATGATCCCTACCTCTTTTACTACCTTCATCAATATAGAAGAGTCGGTGGAGGTTGGTAAAAACTTTTGACATTAGTTTTGAAAAATTCTACTTTTCGCTCTACGCCTGTTCTTGTGGCTCTTTTCCGTTGCGCGTGAAAAGTTCTTGAGTCTGTAGCGCGTCGACTAAAAAGCAGTCAAGGTGAACAAAGTGACTTCTGTCGATCATTTTCAGCTGCACAGACACTCCTCCACCAGGGCTGGCTCATCTTCTCGACGCAAGTAGAAGATGCACGAGTTGTAGTTGTACTTTCAGTCTCCCGATCTACTTAGTCAAACAGTCGCGGATGCACGTTTGCCAGAGTACGAAAGAACTCGTGCCGTAGCGCTGCGTCCGGCGTGATGCGTTTCTCCTTGTCAAGTTTCAGCATCTTCCACGTCAAATCATTGTACTCAATCTGCAACTTCGCCTTCAGATTGACCCGCACCCGCTCCAAAGAAATTCCCTCGGGCGGATATGGAGAGGGAAAAATAGGTGACCATCACCGGTTGCTGTGGGGGGACGCGGTGCGACGAATCTCTCTTTCTGGGCGAGTAGAACTTGTTCGGCTTTACCACTTGCTTGCTCGTGATTTTCATAAAAAATAGCGGCAGCTGCATAGATTTTTTCTGAATGCATCACCATCATGACCAAGCACAAGGACAACGACCCTCAGCACGACCACGGCAAAGGGTAAATAATCAGCAATCGCGACAGTTCCTTTTTTCCGCACGTAACCTGGTCGCCGCTTGCGCCGGTGGTTTTTCCGGTGGCGGCCTGGTGCTCTTCTTTTTCTGCTGCAGTTCCTGGTTGTTGTCGCTGCCGTTCGGCGGAAAAGTCGTGGTGCCGCCGCCGGACAGAGCCGCGGGCGTTCGTTCCCCGAGCGCCGCCGTCGTCGTGGGGTCTGCAACTAGTTCCGCTTCTGCCACTGTTTTTATTTCGGGCACGCTTTTACCAGCAGGGGCAGCAGCGGCTCCGGATGTGGTCGCACCTGTAGCAATTCCTGTATTTTTCGCTAGTACGCGGAGACCCGACAACGCGCCTGGCGCGTCCTCCATCTCAACGTCAGCTGCCTGCTCTTCTGCGCCCCCACGAGAACCCACGTTGCCGCCCTTGCTTTTCTCCTCTTCACTGCTGCGCGCCTTCTTGTTCCCCTGATGTCCCTCCCCGTCTTCGCTCTTTACCTCGTCGTCGTCGTCCGCACTGCTCGACCCAGATGACGAAGAACTGGAAGAACTTGAGGAAGACTCGCCACCGGCATCCGGGCTGTCCTCGGTTTCGTTTTTCTTGCCGTCATTCGTTTTTTCGCCGCCATTTTCCTCCCCGGCCGGCGCATTTTCCTCGTTTTCCGCTTCGAGGACGGGGTCCTGTTCTTTCTGTTGCTCCAGTAGAGCGTCGACCTCAGGTAGTAGTTCTTGCCCACTGCCGTCGTCGTTTCCTTTGGTTTCATCTCGTCGTCCCTCGGTGCCCGGGTTCCGGACTTCCTGCACCCCCTCCGAGCCATCTTCCGCGTCCGCGTCCGCCGTTTTGATCAGCCGAGAGTGCTCGCACAGGAGCAACTCCGCCTCCTTGCTGCTGTAGAAAGACTCACTGGCCGGCAGGTGCTCCGCGTTGGGGGCGCGCGAAAAATCGGAGTCAGCGTCGAGCTCATGCCTGCACCCGATCGACCACGGTTGAAATTGCCACTTTTCCAGTACCTCCTGTAGGCGGTTATCACCTTGCGCCCTGCGCGTCACACTACCCCGGTAGAACACCCGCTCCCGTAGCATATCACACAGATAAAAGCTGGCCGGTGCTGGGCATATTTGTAAACGCAAGGAAACCCACAGAGAAATTTATCTCTACTGCAAATTGTAAACAGCATGCTACGGGCTCGCCCATGGCAGACTTTGCTGTGCGTTTGTTCTTTATTTTTGCACTTTACAAATGCCGCCTGCTAGCTTTTTTCGGTGGCATACAGCACGTCGGATGCTTTTACTTCGGCCTCGGTTCCCTTCTCGACGTACATCCGCCGCGCCAAGCTTAGCGGGACAGCCAATTTCCGTTCGTACTTTCTGCCGTTGTTGGGGTGGGGGGTTTTGCTTTCTATTCTCGTGAAAAAGATGACTGCTCTCGAGGACTACAACTAACTTTCAAAACACAGCTAGCTCTCTATTCCGAAGACTACAAGCGGGCCAAAAAATCTTCCTGTCTGCTGCACGCTCGCGTGGCACAAATAATTGTGGGTGGTTTCATGCAACTTCACCACACAACAAGTGCCCAAACTTATGTGCTGCGCCACCAGTTTCCCAAGCAGCAGAGAGAGGAAAAGGGAAAAAATGCATAAGAAACGAAACAAAAAGCAGCAGCATGACCCCAGCAGTTCTTGGAGCTCGCGGACCGCGTCTTTTCCACGGGGTAAAATCAATGTCAAAGAGGTTGTCCTGCCGCTGGAAATTCCTCGCCATTTTCAAACCTACTTTTTTATCTGGGTAGGAAACCGTGTCGGGCGGGCCGTCGGTATGCATTGCAAAAAATGTGTCTACTGGGTCTGAAAGAGTGCAACGTTTGTCATGAACATTTTGCATGACCCGTGCTGTCTGTGGTGCGTCCCCTAGCATCATAAATTTCTGAAAAACTCTTGGTCGTGTCTTGGTCTTGATGCCTGTTCCACATGAGTAGAAGTGCCTTCTCCGCGTACTGAAAAAAGTGGACTGACTCCCCTCGGTCTCGCTTCATATGCAATACAACAGGCTCCTGTTGTATCTGAGAATCCAAAAAATGCAGCATCACAAGGTGCACTCTTCCTGATCGCCGAACCTCAAATTTGCAAAAATGCATAGTCGGCTTGGTGCGCCAAGTCTGGCGGGTCGAGGTCGTTGAACGTGTGCTGCGCGTACAGCTTGAGCAGGTGGTGCGTGTCCCTCTGGTCCGTTGCCGAAAGGGAAAAAAGTCTCCGGACCAAGCAATCCGGCACTTTGCCACTCTTGTTCTTCAACTTCCGCGCGCCCGTCGCCGGGTCGGTCTCGTAAAACGTCCGATAGTAGGCGGCCTCCGCGCGCGTCACGAGGTACCGCGGACAGGGGCCGACGACCTGCAGCACCATGTCGATGTGCACCCGCGCCGCCCGGTTTTCCCCCAACTTCTCCCGCCGCGGGTCCAGCGTCCGCGTGTAGCTCGGGAAGAGCTTGTGGCCACCCACGAAGGTCTCAAAGGACAGCACGGCGAAGGACCACATGTCGACGGCCGGGGTTGGCTATCAAATGTAAAAATGTCTGGGTCTAGAAACTTGTCATGCTGGTTGGCGTATCATGAGGCGGCCACAAATGCTGGCTCAGCATGACAAGTTTCTGAGCTCCTGGGTGTTGCCTATTCTGCATGACAAACTGCGCTTCTGCATCACAGAAACGCGGAGCTCTTGGGTAACGTGCATGACAGATTTAAGAGTTATGCCAGACAAGCATGACAAACGTGAATTCTTCCAGACCCAGACATTTTTACATTTCATATTAGCGGCCAGTCCCCCATCCAGATCTCCGGCGCCCGGTACCAGGGAGGCGAGATGTGCTGCGATTATCACAATGAAAAGTGCCCCCCACCCCTGAAATTGCAAGTATTTGTGGTGCGCAGTTTCCAAATGAAAACTTTTTGTCATGCATGAAAGGAGTATGAATCTTTGTGATGCAGAGTCTAGGCGTGGATCGCATCGCTTGCATGACTGCCGCCGCTCTTGCTGGGGTCTTTTGCAATGCAAATTTTTGCTATTCACGATTGGAAACCTGTGATGCTGATAGATGCAAGAAGGCGAATGTTTCATTTGGAAAGGTTTGCAATACAAATGCTCCCAAGTTCGGGGGTGGGGGGATTTTTCCTCTCAATAGCGATCGCGCGTTCTCCAGTGGCGCTTTCTTGATCTCGCCCAGGTCGGCCAACTTCGCGGTGCAGGCGAGGATGTAGCCTTCCACGTCTTTGGGTCTCAGCCCGTGCATACCGGTGAAGAAACGCTCCCTGCGCAGTTGGTCCTCCTTCGCGCGCAGGGCGGCTTCCATCTTTTCGTTGCCGCTCAAGACGCGCTGGTTGTCGTGCACGACCGGGTCGTAGGAGGCCGGAAAAAGAATTCTCTGCCGGTTCATCTCGTCCTGGTGGTCGGCGAGCGTCCGCACCATTTTCACTCGTTCCGGGTCCAGGTGGATCATCACGTTGTCGGGCTTCAAGTCCGTGTGCATGTACCCAATGTGCCTCAACCACCGCAGGCCCTGCAGCACGTGGTAGCAAAGACGGCCGGCGAGGTGGACGGGGAGCCCGATGCGCTTGTTTTCCGGCCGGACGCCCTCCCCCTGCGGTCTTGGCTCGTACTGGTTGATCAGGGTGCTCAGATTCTTTTCGTACGGCTCGTAGTGCCCGGTGCCCATGTTCACTTTGCCCGCCAGCGCCTTCTGGCCCGTGTTCCGCCAGAGCTCCTCCTTCACCAGGTCGTTATATCTCTCCCGCAAAAACTGCATATTTCCGTGCCCGAGCTCGAACACCTGGAAGATGTGGCCCTCATGTTCGAAGCATTCCGCGCCGCCATGCACTGCAAAACGAACCCCATCGCGCTACCAGGAATTCGAATGCTTTCTTACGCGGCAGATTTCCACTGCGTTTGTATCTCAAACAGCTGCAAAAACGAAATTTGTAGAACATGTGCATGATGGAAACTGGAACTTACACTTACTACGAAGAAACTAACAGGCGTTCGGTTTGTGTTGCATGAGTCGTCCTCGTTCTTTGTTGCAATTGGTCCAGGTAGTGCGATGATCATAGGTACTTTTACAGGAGGTAACCGTGGAACATCATCAGGAGCCGGGCCGTGTCTTTCTTCTGGTGTTTTTGCAGAAAATCCAACTTCTGCGAAGTGTCCCAGTAGTTCCATCTCTGGTCTTCGGAGAGCTCCGTGGCGGCCTGCGGTTCTCCGCTGGCAGGGGCAGCTGCGTCCAAAATCTTTTCCAGCTTGCCCTGCAGCCTGTCTACCATGCGGCCCTTCCAGTTGTCGTAGTGCACGGAGTACATCCTGCTCGCGGTATGTAGCTCCTCCAGGTACCGCTGCTCCTTTTTCACTTGGATTGTCCCGGAGGAAAAGAAGGCCAGCACGTGCTCAGCACATCGGACTGAACTCTGTAATGGGGTCAAGACGAAAGAAGTGCAATGGAAGCACATGCAAAATTCAGAAACTATCCGCACAGGATTTTCCTGTCTGCTTTTACATCTCAAATACCATGCAGGGAACATACATAGGTAGACGGAGCGGATTAGGCCTACGGCACACATGGTGGCTTTTTTTCGCATGATACTGTTCGCGATGAACGAGCCGCTTTTGCTACCCCAGCCAGACTATGGATTGGAGATACACTACCACTAGCAAATTGCAAGCACAGGCCACATTTTCGGCATTAGTTCCAACACACATGAAGGGAAAAAAGAAAGCCCATACATAGTCAAAACCAGACCAAATTCAAAATCTAGAAGGGCATTACAAAAAAAGCGTGGCGCAGGCACCTCGCCTCTTCCTTTATTTCCCCCACTGCCAGAGCCAAACCCCTCCGCGGCCTTTCGGGGCCCCTCCGCGGCTAGCAGAACCTTGCTAGTTTAGTGCTCTCCGCATCCGATACGGATTCCGGGTCGTTCATTTGCCGCGATGACTTTAGCGCGACCTGGGTCCAGTTGCTCGGTTTCTCCGAATCCTGCGGGGCCGCTTCGACGGAGCGCCAGGCCTTGTAGACTATGCCATACATCCCCTTGCCCAAAGTCGCGCAGCGGTAGCGGCTTCCTCCGGCCTTCATTAACATGGGGTCACTGATAAAGCGGTAGGTGATGTTCTCCTGTACGTCGACATTGTCCCAGACCACCGGCGCAGGTGTCGTCGCGTTTTCTGGAGAAGGTTCTTCCTGCTCCTCTTGCTCGCCAGTACTCCTAGTCGCGTTCACGGGGGGCACCGAGCTCGAGGGATGCAAGGTTGCCGGGGTAGCCGCGCCCGAAAAGTTGGCCTCCTTGTAGGAGTAGGAAACCTTGACGGGGAGGACCTGATCGGGCTGCGCGTGGAAATACGCCGAGTGGTCGCTCTTCTCCTTGGGATGTTCCCGCTTCGCTTCCTCCCTGGCCGCCGTCAGCGCGTTGTTCGCCTTTTCGATCAACGGAACCCGATCGCGCCGCCACACCAGCTCCATCTGCCTGCGCCTTTGTTCTTCCTTCTGGCGCGCCTGTGGGTCGTCGTCACTGTCGGAGTCTGAGGAGCTGTCGCTGTCACTGGAAGACGAGGCCGGGGCGCCATCCTTCCCAGCGACCTTCCCCGCCACCTTCGCCTTCCCCTATCACATGGAAAAGTGCCCCCAGTGCCCCAGAGCGGAGACATGTTTGCTATTCAAAAACCCAAACCGGAAACACCCGCCATACCGAATGTTGCAGCATCACTAATTCGCAACGCGGCGTAGAGAAAATCTTAGCCGCACACTCGCACAACAAAATGGGGACTGCCCTGCTGGAGCGGCGCGGCTCGCGTCCGTTCTGAAACGAAACGCGCCGGCCTTCCTTTATGCAACAAAGAAAAAGCTCCAGCCCAGTTGGTGGAGCTTTGCCTGGTAAACACTTCGGCTGCGGCTCTGGGGCCGGGGCGCTTTTCATCGTGATATCCCGGGCGCCTTCTTTTTCATCGCCTGCTTCGGCTTCGGTTCTTTTTTCACGGGCGCGGCCTTTTTTTCTTTTTTCGCCTTCCCCTTCACAGGCTTTTTTTCTCCAGCTGGAGCCGCCGGCGGGCCACCGCCCGACCCCCCTTCTGCAGCCTTCTGCTTCTTCTGCGGCGGCTCCCCAGGTGCGGCTGCGGCCTGGTCCGCCTGGTTCTTCTTCCTTTTTTGGAATTTTGGCTTGTAGTCCACGACCTGCGCCCGCTTTCGCTTGGTGATGTACTTCTGCGCCACCAACTGCCGGACCGTGTCCAGGTCCGTCCCCTTCGGCCACTGCCAGGTTACTTTTCCATCTTTTCGCTTCGGAACGACGCCAGCCTGCTCGTCCTTGCGGCACCAGTCGCGAAGCCCGTCCGTGAACTTCCTGGTCTCTGCTTCGTTCGTGGGGGCCGGGGGCCCGAGGTGTGCCGCGAATTCGAGCGCAACCGCCTCCAGCGTGCACACCGCCGCGGCCTCGTTTTGCGCTCTCTTGACGGGGTCGCTATACCGGAGCGCCTCGGCGATCTCTTCCGCGCTCGGCATGTTCGGGGGTGGGCCGAGTGCGCGCGCCGCTGCGTCTTCTGCCACGGGGGAGGGAGGGGCTTCGGGCTCTTTGTCGCTTTTCTCTACTGGTCCTGGCTCTTTTTGTTTTTTTTGGTCCGCGTGGTGTTCGGAAACAGCTCCCGCGTCCTGCTTCTCTCCGTCTTGTATTTTTTGTTCCACTTTTTGTTCCTGCTGTCGTTGTTCGTCTTCTGGCGGATTTTCGCCTGCTTCCCCCGGCGATCGGGGAGCCGGACTGCTGTCCTCGCCCATTTCGATGTAAAAAACTTTTTCAAAATTCCAAAGGCCAATGGTTTTGTCGGTGTATTTTTCTCATAATCTCAACTAGTAAAACTTACGCGCTCCTACTTTTGTCAACAGATTAGTGCTTCCGTCTGTTTCCACACAGGAGAATTCGGCGTACACCGGGGTAAAAAAATAAAGACTCAAGATGAAGAAGAACCAACAGCAAGGATGGAAGTCCTGTGAGGAGTTGGTGCAGCAAAAATACGGGCCAGGGAGTAGGTAGCTTTTTTTCTTTGGGGGAAGCAAGTGAGGGGAGAGCAAGTCAACTCGGAGTAGAGAGTGCACTTCATTCGGACATCATGATCACCCTCCATAGTACTAGTACTCGAGTGAAACTACTACTACAATGAAAGTCATTGCAATCCATGATCACAGCTAGATATTAAGTACAGTGGCGCTAAAGATCATACCAACCAAAGAAATGGCGACTAGCGAAGGCCTAACTAGCGAAGGCACCTACATAAGATCTCAGACGCACGCACGGGGCTCCTTTCTTAATTCTTTTCGCATGTGGTCTCTGCTTTGTGACTGCACTTCGTTTCTGCGATTGGAACGAATTCTATTATCTGATCAGACAGCACAGCCCACGTCACAAAGGTACTCTACCGTATTCACACTTTCACTTTTTAGCTAGATCACGTATTTTCAAACCCTTCCGACGCTATCGCCGCCCAGCTACTTCGGCGGGCGAAAAAAAATTTTCCCCGCATGATGATAGCCCGGCCGGCACTCAAACAAAACACGAGCGCGCCGGCCGGCCCGGCCCCAGCAATTTGCAGCCCGGGTGGAGGCCAAGGCCGGGGGGGCTTTTACTAGAGTCGACGCGCTTCGCTGCTGAGGACAAGAACAAAGAGCAGTAGCAGTGGCAAGCTTTGCGACTCCATTCTGTCCGCGTGAACTATTTCCGAACTTTTGCTGTGTGTTCCTCGTAAAAAAAATGGACCTGCCTCGCAAAATAATGCGAGGCGCGGCTTGGTTTTATTTTTGGGGCCAACACCGCCAGGGGTTGGGTTGCGCAAAGTTTGCGCAATGTCTGAAACATTTGCGCCACACCTTCGATCCCTTGCCCTTGCGCATGTGTGGCGCTTTTCGTCTAGCTTCGGTCTGTGGCACCTTTAGTCTAGGCCGCGTTGTCTTGCGGTGGTCGCACTTGGTAAATTTCGTGGGGGTTTTGTACCTATATTTCTATTTCTTGTACTAGTTAGCAGCCCCGCGGCACGCCAAAAAAATCCATGATAATATTTCGCTTTTGTCATGTACGCCCAATTACACCTTTGTTCTAAAGACATATGACGACACAAAACAAAAAAAAACGGAAAGAGACAGACTCTAGCCAGCAGACGTTTCAATGAATAGGGTCGAACAAAGTCCAGAAGAGATTTGGCCTTTGTTTCGAAAAACCAGAAGGACGGCACTTGCGCTTTTCAGTGTCTCTCAATTCCTTTGCCTCATTTTGCCGCCTGTCGCTTTATTCTTTCCAATTCCAGCATGATTGTGGTCTACTTTGACCTTCTCGAAATGTTTCGGATTCGCTTTCATCATTGACCGCATTTCACTCACACCCTCGAGGGGCAGCAGCTCTAAGAATCTTCAATAGTTAGGGAACCACCATTGTGGACCAGCGGATTCGTTCCTTTCGTGGTTTATTTCAAGTACTTATTTCTCGTCTTTTCGACCTCTCCATTGCAGTTCCGCCAGAGAAATCTCAAACAACAATCTTTTCCGCAGCACCATATCCTCAAAACCTTGCTACGGCAAGACGTCCGGGTGGTGCGCCGCTAAAAATGCCGTTAGAGAATATTGCTCCTGCTGCGGTTGAGGTTGAGGCTGTCCTCCTCCTCCTGCTGCTCGTTGTACTCCCTCAGTGGAGTTCCTGGCTCCTGAAGCGGTTCCCGTGCAGCTCACCGTCCTCCGTGGTGTGGAGTCAGTAGAACCAGAACTAGCACAACTGCTCCTGGAAGCATCCAAAACTACAGGCGCCGCAAAGCCACCACCACCACCATCACCCGCCGGAGCATCGGCGGTTTCACGACTTCGCGCAGCAGCTACAGCCGGTCCTCCTGGCAGGGCAGTGGTCCTCGTAGTAGAAACTACATCTACAACTTCGCAGCTGTTTGATGTAGTTCCGGCTTCAGGAGTGGAACTTTTGATCGCTGTGGAATTCGAAAAATTGCCCTGCTGTGCAGTTGGAGCAGAGAAATGGTCAACGTCATGCGGCTGTGGACTAGAACAGTTTCTTCCGCCAGTGATAAGACCTTCTCCGTGGTGTTCTCGCATCATCGCCTCGCGGACCCCGTGCAACATTTCGCGGTCAACAATTGAGGCGGTCGTGCCTTGGCGATGGATCCTTGTTCCAGAGGGAGTTGACAATGTTTTTCTACTTGTTGTAACAATTGAGGACGACTCCCGCTCGGGCCGCAATTGATGTTCCTGTGGCACATCATGGTCGTGTACTAGTAGTTCTTGCCGCGCGGCTGATGTCTTCTCGGCGAGGACCCCGTCGACAAAAAGTAGGGGTTCTTTCAGTCTTTTCTTCTCGTCCTCCGGCAGATCAACGTGCTCGGAGCAATTTGCTTTATTTTCCAAAAGCAACGGCTCGGTACAGGAACTGGCGAGATGTTCCTCCTCCTCGTCCCCCTCCTGCTGGCCGTCCCCAGCTGTGGTACAACTTCTGGTGGTCTCGCGGGTTGGACCTGCAGATGATGATGAACAGGAATCTATACAACTTCCCGCCCTGCTGGCCTTATCATCTTCTGGGGAGCAGTCGTTGGACTTGTTTCTACTTTTATCGCCAGGCGTCCGTTCATCTTCGCGGCAGCTCATTTTGATGTGTGCCGCTATTTCTATGGATTGCAAAAATGTCTGGGTCTGGAAGAATGCAACTTGTGATGCTGCATTTGGATTCCAAAAAAATCTGTATTGCATGAGTAGCAAAGGGAATGCAATTTTTGCTACGCTGAGAAGGCATTTTCCATGCGGAATAGGCATCAAGAAGCCCTCAAAAAATCTGTATTGCTCCGGTATGCATCACGGACATCATTGCTCATGCAAAACGTGCATGACAAGTGTCAGAATCTTCCAGACCCAGACATTTTTACATTTGATAATTTCGGACGCCTTCTTAGTTCGCTTGTTTTCCACCGTTGGTCCCCCATCCGAAAACTCCTGCATTTCGACCCGCTGCACGTCGGCCACCCAGGACTCGAGCAGGTGCGGGCATGATCCTACGGAAAAGTTAAGGTACACCCATGATCCATGCCAGAAAGAGAAACTAAATGAATTTGCGCTGCTAATAAAATCCTTTCACCTTGTGATGCGGAGACTCCCACAGGAAGGTCATTTTCTGTGAAGGAGAATGCAGTTTGCACTGCTAGTTAGCGACTAGCGAGGTGAGAGCCGAAGAAGTCTGTCCTGCCCGCGATCTGTATCTTCTTTGATTTTGATTTTATTGTGGCACTAAAATCAATAAACACAGATTCATTCTTCTTCTGGTAGCTGCTATGGGTGTACTTAGTTTCTGTGGCATAGGCAGTACTCCAGAAAGAAATATTTCGTGTCCTCCGTGTGCGCCAGGTCGTGCCCCAGGTACTCCCGGAGCTGGTTCACACTATGCATTTTTGCAAAAATAACATCGCAAACACCGTAGGTATAGGAATAGTAGAAATTGCATGAGAAATTTTCTTTAGAAGAAAAAATGATAGTGAAATCTGCCATGCCTATTCCGGGAAAATATCAACATATCACTCATGCAAGACTGCACATGTTTCGTAACTTATGCCTGCGAAGATGCTTTTTCAGAGGATACACGCACTTCTCTCGCAGTTTGTCCTCGTTGACAAACAACAACCGGATCAGGTATCCGATGAAGTCCAAGTTGGCCCAGTAGCTGTAGTGGTACAGAGCAAGCGGGTTCGTGTCGTAGAGCAAGTTCTGCACCCGAGAGATGAGCAAGAAGTAGATGACGCACCAAATGCCCAGCATGAACCAGCGGAAGATGTAAAAATCCGTGCCGGCCTGGAGCGACAAGATCGCGACTGGGATGGACAACACAATCAACTGCAACCCGATCAGGATGAAGGTCGCCGCTCCCGCGATCTGCTTCAGCACGTGTGAGTAGTCCGAGGTCCGCAATGGACGTATCCTGTGTAAAAACGACGTCCCCGTGGTGCCAGAGTTTTTGATGTCATGCAGTGTTTATTCCATCTACTATGGGCAGCACACAACTTCGTAAAAATGTAAATTCCCCTAAACAGGGGCATTTCTAGTCGTCTTTCGGCGACATTTGTGATGCTGTAAACAGGATACAACTACGCGCAGGGGTATAATCATGTGATGCGGCTTTCCTTATTGAATCTTGATGCTACCCTGCACTACGCTATAGGGCAAAAGAACTTGTTGTGCCTGTGCGTGAATCCCAATGAAAAAAACTTCTGCGTGCAGATCATGAGTTCCTAACTTGACTATGGGGCGGCGTCGGCTGTGTTTTTACTCAGGATAGACCGCGAGCTGTGGTTCTTCCGCGCCAACATCTGCGCCAAGACCGTCCGAATGTGGAAGAGCAGCAGCAACCCAAACAGCATGAAGGTGCCCGAAAACCAGACCATCACTTTGGAAACGGAGGTCTCGAGTCTCTGCTGCGTACTAGGGGCTTGCTGCGCATCACTGGTCTGCGAACTGATGCCCACCACGGTGGAGAGGGCGAGAAAACTACCCATCGCGCGCAGGGCGGGCTATCCGGTGTAAATAAAACCACATACGACCCATGATCCACTACTTAGTCCTCTACCTGTTCGGGGCCGGTGTTCGCTACGCATTATTAGATCTTATTTTTACCAAATCCAAAACTTAAAATTTGCCTTCATGTACGAAAAAAGCTTTGACTTTGATGCAGTCGTGCAACATGACAGATCTTTTACATCCACCACAGAGCAATGGTGCTCCTCGAGGTCAGCATTTTCAGCTACCACGAAAACCGCGGCACGAATCAGTGGCTGGTGTTCTTGGGTACTACTGGTAGTCTTTACACCGGATCATACTTCGAGTGTCTGCATCATCACCTCCCCCCGCTGCTGCACGGGCAGGAACAGGAGAAGCAAAAACGCGCCGCGCATCCCGAGTTTCTGGTGGGGTGCCATCAAAGAGCCCTTCCAAAGGCCGTAGCCCAAACGCTCGTCCTCCTTCTCTGGGAAGAGGGTCCTCCTACTTCCCGGAGGTCGCCCAGAAGAATCGCACTCGTGTCCGGGCGCTGGAGGGAGCAGACAGGCATTTGTATTATAATCTCCTTCGGCGTCGGGGTCGTCGTGGTGGTGGGGGGTTGTACTTGTAGGTAGAAACTTATCGCCCGATTTGTTTGCTTGTCTCAGTCCTTCCTGTTGTTCAACGTGAACTACATCCCGCCCGTGAAGCTCCACGGCTCTCTCGGTGAGCAACGGGAGACAGAGGATCTCCAAATCGGTCACCAAAGCTCGGGTTTCGTCTCGCTGTTCCTGCGTGAGAAACACGGCGCGTATGCATTGCAAATATCGATCTGGGTCGGCAGAACATCACTGATAGATGAAGCTTGTGAAAAAGAATACGCCAGCCTTGCATATTTGATTCTTATTTGTTTTTGTCCTCTGGGTCTGGCCCCAGCATGTGCCTTGCGTGACCGGCAAACGAAGCGCCACTCTCTTCGTCACGCAAACTCCTACCCAGAGGACTTTGTCATGCGCACCCACTAGTCAGGGACAAGGAAACCGCGTGAAAAACTTCTCATACTTGGGCGCAAGACGACTTTTCTTTTAAGTAAATGCCACTATTCATCAGCATCACAATTTTCCAAACTGAAGACCTCCCGGATCGCCATCGCTATTTGCCATGCATAGCGCCAGTGAAGGACCGGAACACACTGGTCACGTTCTGCGACGCCTTGGTCAACAATTTTTTGCCGATGGGAGGACGCAGCTGCTCCCCGTTGTGCTGATGGAACTGCCCACCACGAGGACCACCTACGGAGGTTGTCTTACTAGTAATATCCGCACAAGAACCCCTTCCCGGAGAGTGTCGTACCACCACCACCCGCGACGGGTCGTCCTCTGCGTCGACGATACAAACGGCCCCGGAGTAGTGGAAAGCAGCATTCTCCAGCTGGTCCCGCCCGACGACCGAGGCACTACCGTCCACGCTCGGTAGGTGTGTCTGTTCTTGCTGTTCCTGATTCTGCATGGGGCCAGATGTTGAGGCACCACCTCCTTCTGGGCAGAAGTGTCGGTGCGAGGAGGATAGACTTCCCTGCTGCACTCCTCCTCGTTCCCGTCGTTCTTGTCCCGTGACCGTAGTTCGAATCGGTAGGTCTACCAAAGTGGCCCCGGTCTCCGGGACGTAGGTGTATGTCTCCAGATTACGAAAACCGGGCGAGGGGGTACCCATCCTTGTTGCGGTGCAGAGACTAATAATAGTGACGCTTGCAGTGGGCGTTACCGAATCAAGTTCGTGGGAGATAAAAGCTGTGTATCGTCCTTTTGTTTTGTAAGATCGAAATTATTCTGCGGTGCTTACAATAGTTTTGGTTTTCGTCAACCCGTAAAAGTCAAAACAGCTTTTGGTTTTTGTCAACCCAGTTTTTGGTTTACATCCCGTAAAAGTCAAAACAACGACTCCCACAGCTGCTGAATCGACATTAAGATTATCTTTTAGTACTTTAAACTGATACTGAACATTAAACGGTTGCTAAGCATTTCCAACAGACGTTCACCAAACATCACCGCTGCCCTCTGGTGTTGGAATACAATATGAACATTGAATTGACACAAACAAACCGATCAACCGAAGGGAGACATGAGTCCTCCTGTTGACACTTCATGAAGATCTCCTCTTTCATTCTGATCAAAATTTTAACCACGAATTCTCGATCGTTCGCGTCCCTACTTTGGACTCATTTCATTGATCAAACTGGACAACGATGTGCTCAAAGAGCGGTTTGTCGACACGCGATGTAGATTTTCAGTGTTCACGACGGTCGTAAGCTGCAGTTGTAGTACCGAGAATAGAAGTCAAAAACAAACTTCGAGCATTTCATATAGCTTCTCCTGTGCTTCTTGACCAGTTACCTTCTAGATCGATCGTGTTTTTTTTGTTTCGACTTTTTACCGACGTGCGAGTGGCTGCACGGATTGTATTTTTCTACGAGGTCCGACACTTGCTTGAAATCGGGAGTGGTGGACTACATCAATTCCGTATTTACCAAACTGAAAAAAGTTCGTATCGTGGGTACATCAATTTCTTGCCAAACTTTTCGAATCCGCTCTGCTCAAGACCAAGACCCTCAGCCTAGAAAATCTCTACATCAATGCGTCTTTTGTTGTGTGAGAACTCTTTGGTTGTGGAAGCACTCCAAGTTGTGCCACACTTGGCGCTCCCTGATAAGCAGAACGGGAAAGAGGCATAGAACAAACTCCGTGGCGCTGGTGTTGCTTACACTGTTCCTGCGAATTTGAATAAGTTTAAGTACGTTGCTGAAGAAAGAAATACGCATTCTCATGATGAGCCATTCTTCGGGCACTATTTGTACAATGGAAGCGGTTTTTGTACAATTACTTTATAGCAACATACTACTACTGTACGGAGAAAAGGAAGACTAACTATGAAAAGTCTTCCGCTCTAGGACTCAAAGGCTTATTAAAGCGGGAAGAGGAAGATCGATGAAGACTCTATATAAAAGTGCGGTAAATAATGCAATTCATCTTCGAACGGTTCAGAATCAAGAAACACAAAGTGTATAAATACTCTTTCCGCCGACACTCTTTCATCTTGACGCTTCCCTCGCGTACCACTAGCGAAGGTTTTACCATTCGTAGCAGCTGCCTCTTTTTTCTTTTTTCTCCTGCCTAAGCGATAGTTGTAGTCACACTAGCTAGGTTCACGCTTTTACTTATCAGGCTAGCGATTCCCTGTTTTTGTTCCCCGTGGCTTTAACTTTGCGGGTGGGTTGACACTTGAATCACGTAATTTCATGTTGAATCCATTTCAGTGATTGTAACTTCTTCGTGTCAATATCGTGAGGTGGATAGGTAATTATTAAGTTGCTTGACCGGTAGGTGGAGCTGAAGACAAGCCCGCAAGGTGGGGCTCTGGTCACGGTGGTGGTGAACTCTTGTCAACAAGTTCAGGATCTCACAACTTCATCGGGTCTTCCAAGGCCGCCAGGTAGTCCTCCAATGTGAGCCTCGAAGTCTTCATGGAGCCTCATTCCACCATAATCACCCCCTTCAACTTCATCAAATCCGTCACCATGAAGTCCACCTCTCATCTCCGTGGCCTCCTCTTCCGAACCCCGCTCCTAAACCTGATTTCGTTTTTAGACCGCATAAACTATTCGTTTGGTGCGGAATGGGATCAGAGCTCTCACCTACGGACCGAGGGAGAGCTGTAAACGTAGCTTTAGTGTGTGTTTCTATTTCCAGTTTCTTTTACTCAGCAGGCAGTGCGAAGGGCGCGCCCGGATCACAAAAGAGCTTTTACAAGTAGTAGATGGGCTGGGGTGCTGGCTTCGTTTTGATACAACATTGATCGTATTCCTGACACAAAACGGAGAACAGCTTTTGTACCTGCTTTTTCCCTTCTTTCTGGGCCTGCTCATCAAGTCCGAATCTTTCGCGCAATGCCTCGGTTCTCCGTTCAAGGTTCTCGATCTCGTTCTCGAGTTCGTCTGTTAAAAACCAATATGCAGCAACGTCATCCAAACTCATCTCGATGGATCTGAGACGTTCATCCAACGGCAAGTATTGTTCCCCGGTCGCGTAGAGGCGGACGGACCACAGCCGCTTTTCAACTTTGTCCGATAACTCTTGTATTTGTTGTTGTGTATCCAATCGCTGGTCCTCTTCCATGTCCCCCTTGTCAAGCGCGTCCCATGCTCTCACCAGCTCTGCATGATCCTTCTTTGCAAGCTGAAAATCCGCACGAGCTTCAGCAGCCCTGTCAGGGCCAGCAGAAATAACCTCAGCAGGACTAGCAGGAGGGGCAGCATCAGCAAGAGCAGCAGCAGGGTGGGCTTGCTGCGTCACTTGGTGGGCTTTAGGAGCATGATGAGGGGCAGCAGGAGGATCTTTAGCAGCAGGAGGATCTTTAGCAGCAGGAGGATATTTAGCAGCAGGAGGATCTTTAGCAGCAGGAGGATCTTTAGCAGCAGGAGGATCTTTAGCAGCAGGAGGAGGTTTAGCAGGACGACGACGAGGCACAGAGGGAGCAGTTACTGGTCGGCTTTGTGCTGCTTGATGCAAAGGACGAGTGTAGTGGGGAGGCGCAACGGCCTGGGGTGTGGCGCCCGGGACGAGCGGCTGTAAGCCCCCGCCCTGGCCGCCACCGCCCTGGCCGCCCCCGCCCTGGTCGCCCCCCACGTGGTCACCATCACCCTGGCCACCCGAAGCTTGAGCGCGAGCACTTTGAAGTGGACCGGTTTTCGTTGATGGAGGTGGTCCGCAGCAGTCCCTCCGCTCCAGAAATTCCTGATCTGGCAACTTGGCAGGTGGAGCCATTGCAGCTTTTTCTTCCGCGTTGACGTCTTCCCGGTCAACATCGTTACCGCGGTGTTTCTCGTTCTCGTCCAAGAGCCCAACGGTTTCGCTTTCGTGCAGAATTACACGAGCCTCCCCGCCAAGTGGCAGAACGGCGGCGAAGCAGATGGCAGCGAGGTACCCGCCCGTAGTCGTCATCACCGAAGTATTTCTGGAGCCCACCTTCCTCTGAATTATGTTCGGAAGATGTTGACGAAGTTGAGATACGCATACGTATTACGAATACGACCGAGGCACTCTTATAATTAATGTGGTGAGCTAAATGCGTTCCCCTAGGCTATCGGAATAACTTATTCTCTCACAGCAAGCTGCAAAAAACACAAACATCATACATCTTGCGAACATCAAAAATACGAATTAAAAGCGTACAAAAATAGCAGGATTCTTGTACCTGTCAAGTGTTGTGTAGTGGCAGCACCAGTATTCCAGAAGAAAAAATAAGTAAAGCAGGAGCTAAGTAGTCGCTTCGGGGCGGGCAACTTCTATGGGTGGTTGTGTCTCTGGTAAAAACAGCCTGTGTAATCATTGTTCGTAGCAAAAGTAACAATGCCGCGACGTGAATTTTCCATAGGCCATCGACAGGGTATTTGCTGCAGCGAATGGCCATTGCGTATGAGCATCGCTGAGCTACACATCGACATCGACAAAAGTACTTTCACGATCAACGATAAGATGACGCGGGTTGTGTTGCCAGAATCCGGACGGACGATCGGACGAACCAGGATATGACCTCGTCGAAACGAAGTCAATTTGCACGAAAATGCTTCCCACCGAGTTCGCGGTCTAGAGACGAAGAAGTTTCCACCGAGTTTGCGGTCCAAAGCCGTAGAAGCTTCTACCGAGTTTGCGGTCTGAAGCAGAAGCCGAGGGCCAACAACAACGAAAACAGATTCCATCATTCACATCTTGTTCAAAGATTAGCATTAGGGAATGAAGACACAGAAAGGACTCATAAAATGAATGGTAATGGACTGCCTTCTGTCAAAACGCAAGCCTTTTCGAGAAATGCTGGCGACTAGGTGGTTTTCTCAAGACAGGGACGAAGCTCTGTATTTTGCTTGGAACTGGGATACAGCTTCAAACATTACTTGTGGCTGGGGTCTATTTCTCTACTGAGCGCGAGAAATAACGCGTGGCGCATGCATTGCCGGGTACAGCTTTCTTTTGCCATATATATAAAGACAACGTGCGGCTTTTCGCTCTCAGTCATCTGCAGCTTGTTTTCGAATATGCCTGAACCAAAAAAGCTGGTAACAATCCGAGGACACGTCTTGTACGGAACGTATGAAATTAGTTTCGCCGGTACCGGTATGCGAGATTTCGCTCTCTTTGTTGATGAGTTCTTGTTAGAGTCTCGTTGATTTATGATTACAACATATGTTAACTATTACAAAAAAGAAGTAGTTTCTAGAAAAAGTAAAAAAGAAAAATCGTATAAAAACGAAAAAATCGTGCGATCGGACAAAAAAAAATTAAAAACCTAAAACTGTCGGTCTCGTTTCCGTTGGTTTGGCTTTCGTAGTCACTGTCTGTTAATGTCGGATAAAAGAAAAGTATACAGTAAAGGTAAACATGCTTACAAGTTCAGATACAACTAGTGCCAGTGTAGACACGTCAGATCTTCTTCGCAATTGACGGCTGCTAGTTGCAGTCGCCATTAGTGATCCTCCCCGTCGTTCTGAAAGACCTCCACCTCGCTTTCTGTCAAACTGAACACGAACTCGAAAAGCGAGGCGGTTTTCGCATGCAGTACGCGCGCACGGCTTTCCGCAATGCGATCTTCCTCCATGATGCCATCGTCGCCTTCACGACTGCTGGAAGCGCTGGCTCCCCCGTGCGCGACAGCGACACCTCCATGGCCTGCAGCATCGTTCTCCTGTAGCTGCCCACTCAGCAAGGTTGGTTGGGGCGCCACGACGGAACAAGGTCCTCCGTCGCCACCTGTATCGGACTGGCTCGTTGCAGAAGATGAACAAGTCGAGGACGCGTCGCCGTAATCTTCATCAGCATCGCCATCAGAAGACGAAAGCACATCAGCACTGGCCTCCTCGAGTGGTCCGTCAGCAACGCACGGGTCTTCGATTTTCGTTGAGCAGGGATCCTCGCTCTTTTTGCTCCAAGTCGGCTCTGCCGTCGCATCAACAAACACCTCACCTGCTGCCAGCGTCTTCGCCTTCGAAGAAGTCAAGACACGGGGAAATTTTTCCGTGCCGCCATTTTTCTTTCCGGCGCGGCCACGTCGCTGCTTCTTCTTTCCTGTTGCATTCGCGTCCTTCATTTTCTGACCCCCTGTTGCATTCGCGTCCTTCTTTTTCTGACCCCCCATCAGGCGCTGGCACCGAAAGAAGCAACGGCGAAAGAATCCCAAATACCAGGCAAGCCACATGAGCATCACGACAGTGTTCTGGGCCAAGATTCCAAACACAATGGTCCAGGGGTACAGGTGCACAAAAGCTCGCAAGTCGTGGTAGTCGTGCGCCGGGCCCTGCAAATCTTCTTCGGAGCGCGCTTTTTTCTTACTTTCGGATGATGAGGAAGTTGAGGATGCTGAGCTGCGTCCCTCCGCTTGTGCCTCCTCGATGCGCTGCTTCATCCCGTCTTCGGCGGGGCCTGTGCCAAAGGGAGCAGAATCTTTCGTCGTCGCATCGATCTGGTTTTCCGTGCCACTAACCTGCCCAGACGGTGCTGAAGCAGGCGGGTTGTCACCAACAGGCAGCATGGAGTGCAAATCTTACACTGGCTCTGTGATGAATGCGACGAAGGTTGTAGCTTTCTACGACGGAAACATCCGCAAGGTATGAAGAGAAAACGTGCATTTTTTCGTCATGCGTGGATGGTGGAGCCACTTGATTATTCCTTATATTCCTTCGATCGAATCCATAAATAGAGCTACAAATACTTCTTGTTATCCGTTCGCCCTCTTCCTCCTGCCGTATATGTATAAAAAACAAACCCATCTCTCATGCAAGATCCAGCAGCACGAAGCAGCTGTACATTCCCGGTCCAGGCATATTTGCAGTGGATAAAGGTCGTGGAACCGCCATCTTCGGGACCGCGACCGGACAGAGGATGCACAAAGGGGGCCGCACCTTCCAAAAATGACGAAGAACTCCGTAACCTTCCCTCCTCGGGGGATGAGAACTGCTCAAAGCGTCGGATCTCGTCTTCAATCCAGCGCAGCCGGGAGAACGGGTCTGAGATTTGTTCAAGCAAGGGGCCGAGTTCACTTTCCACCAACTCTTCGATGGCTTGCATCTTGTTCTGCAGGTCCAGTACAACCGCGGTGAGAACGTGTTTCTCATTGTCACGAAATAGCGAGTGGCGCAGCGCTTCCTTGTCCGTCTTCGTGGTCGATTTGTCGCTTTGTGATTTAAGCTTGTTATAGTTTTTTTGGCGGTCTGCATTGTACTGTTGGAGAGGCTGCCTTGCATTTTTGTAGCAGAACAGGTCGTTAGGGCCGCCGTTCTGGCGGGGGTTGGCGAGCATTCTAACATAGTCCGCGAGGCCCGTAAAGTCGCTCGGTAGTGTATATCCCGTTCGGCCTCGGATAGAGGGATGATCCGTAGTGTGATTACAAAACCAGGATGTGTGATTGGCTTGAACACATTTGACCCGTGGGGTACGCAGGCGCGAATCCCACGCGAAGATACATGCAAAGATGAGATTGTTCGACTTTCTGGTTGCCTTTGAAAGAAAAACTGCGATCACATTCTTCCGCCTTCCTACTGGAGAAACAGTGCATTTCTTTTGTATTTGTCTGCTTCTGTCCCCTTCCCCTTCATTCTTCCAGAAGGTTTGCGGTTGATTCCTCGATGGCCTTGCTGCAGCCGGAGCTTCCCACTCAGTATTTTTACGGTCCTACGCATTGTAGTCGAAAAAATTCTGGGAGAGACGCATTCGTGTCAGCTTCATTTAACGAGGGCATGCGCCTCATATATTAACGGACACAATGGGCAAGTAAAAACCCTCCAGCGCTACCAGACCGCGATCGCTACGGCAATTATCGAGGCCAAGTCTTGAAAAATTCGCCGAAGCAATCGGGCCGGCTGCAACTCAACCCATCAATCGAAACGACACTCTAAGCCTCGCAGGCCGCAAACCGGCCATCGGCTGCCATCCGCTTGCACAGTGTATATATAATACCAAATTTTGCCAAACCTCCGCCACTGCAAAATTTTTACAAAGCTGTCATCCGGGTACTTATTTGGATGGCAGTTGAAGCCTATCAAGCTTTGACGCCTTCGAGATCTAAAAGCCTTGCTTCCAAATCGGGATTTCGGACAAAGTTAGAAGAAGCAGCCAGAAGCTTCTAGAACTTCCGCGTCTGGTTTGCAGGACACCAGCCGCGAGCCCGACCTGAAGCGGCTGAAGTCAGGTGGACAGCTGACACGGCGTCCACCTGAGTTCGCTTGGCCTGGCGTCTGCACGAAAACCCAAGTGAACTTGAAGTAGAAGTTGACCCGGCGTCTACATTAATTCATTTGACCTAGACCCGGCGTCTACCTCAATTTCAGGTGGACGCTGAGACCTTTGCGCGAAGGAATGAAACCAGGTGGACACTTGCTCCGATGGTCCCCAGCAATCCAGGTTTGTTGAGCGCCTGACCGGGCACCCACCCGAATTCAAGTTGACACCCGACCCGACGGACACCGGAAGTCCAGGTGGGTGCCAGGCCCGAAGTCCACCGTGAGCCGGCGTCCACTCGAAATTGAGGCGGACGCTTGGCCCGGCGCCCAATTGAAATTCACACGGGCGCGCAGATGAACTCAGTAGGCTGTTTGACCTCGCTTCGAATTGAATTTAGGTGGACGCTTCATCCGGCACCCAACTGAATCCAGGTGGACGCCTGGCCCGACTTCCAACTGAAGTTCAGGCTGGCGCGCGCTTGCCTCGGCTTCCGCCTGAATTCGCTTGGCCCAGCTCTTGCCCAAGTGCTTGATCCCCACGATGCTAGCAAAGGTCCGCGGACCGGCTACGGTTGCGTCAGCTTCTCAAGAAATTTCTCCAAGCAGCTTTCTGAAGGCCATGCCTGAAGCGCTGCTTTAATGGATATTCTTAGGGCTGGGTCTCTTGGCTTCGTTTTGATTTTCATTTTTCAAGCCACGCCTTTATGGATGCAAGATAATGATAGTTTCAGTTCATGTACTTATATTCTTCAAATCAAGTGGTCAGCTGTCTCGCCTCTAACACATCCCGGATTTCGATCGTAAGTTTTCCCGGCTTCTTTAAAAAAGTCCGTGTTTAAAAGGTCCACCACACTTTCGTATCTGCTGCCTGAGTACGGAACCATGTACACCGTAATGTCCCTTCCTAGCTGTAGGCGGTAGCTGTAGGTATCTACCATATAGTGCCTATTTAAAGACCGAAGCATACAAGCCCGGAATATGTTCTCCCAAGCTCGCCGAAAATCAAGATTTGTAGTGCTCTCGGTAGGACCGTTGCCGTCTGCCAACATCTTCAGGTAAGGTCCGAATACATGCTCGACAAACAAATAGCCGATTTGATAGTAATATCTATCTTTCTGTGCCTTTGTTGCCTGCTTGTATTTTGTCTCCGCGTTCTCAGCGTCGTAGCCGGAGAGTCTGACGCGCTCTTTGATTTTTGGAGCAAGTTCTTGCAATGTCGGGTCGTCGAGTGTCTTCGCGTCACCATCACCGACAGAAAAAATTGGTCTCCAGTCGTTCTTGTCTGTGATGTCGAAGTGCACCAGCAACCGGGTCATTTGCGTCTTGTAGTGATCAATCTTGTTCTGAGGTACCTGACCTCCATGATTGACTATTAACGTCGCGATTTCCACGGGCAACACATCCAGGACGACATCAACTACAGCCATCACAGCCTCCTTTGGATCGTTGTTGCACACATCTTGTATCCTTTTAAACTGCTCTTGCTTCTTCGGAAGTTCAGCCCAGCGCGTCAATCTACCTCTTCCAGCCGTCTTCGCCCAAAATTTACTTCTCTCCAAACTTGCCTCAAGCTTCTGAACCGTGTACCCCTCGTCCCGGAAATACTTTACAAGCTCCTGGCGCCACAAGTTCTGCTTATGCAATTGAAATCTGTGGTGAGGCAAAGCTTGAAAAATGATACTTTCAGCAGCTACGCCATGCCATGCAAGAGAAAAAAAAGAACTCCGTCCCCGTGATGGTCCTACGATCTGCAGCTGAGTTTGAATGATGAACAACATCAACAGGCCCGAGAAACGTCGCACTGCAGTAGCTTCGATCGATTGGGGCGAGGTAGGTCTGTCTCATTTCCGCAGCGGACCCTACTGTTCATACTCTAGGACTGGTGTCCACCACGATTTAGACACCACGAGCAGCCTCGCCTCGTATCTGTCAGAAAGGAAAAAGCAACAAAAGCAGAGACCAGACCTGCGAAATTCGACTAAGTCTCTTGGTGGGCGAGACATCTTCACGGCAATAGGGCCGCCACCTGGCGCACGGCTACAACCAAAGAGCCCAGAACCGGCGATCGCGGTATCGAGTGTGGTCAGACAAGCGCCCTCTTTGCGGGAGGGGGCCTCCCAATTACAGTACAAGCCAGAGGACCTCCCTTTCAGCGACGCTGGTCTTAAAAGATTGATCAAACCCGGGTGAGTAAAAACATTCTGGTGGGCAGAACTCTGCGAAAAAATGATGCAAGAACGATGAGAAAGAGAAAACAGACGAGGCAAAGAGTTCCATGGAAAACAAGCACCCCAAAGCTACGCCTTTGCAGTCATCTCGGGAACTTACAGAGCGCGAAATTTGCAAGTTTAAGTTGCTGCCACGCTTTGCCCTCATGTTCCCGAGCACCCTTTTGTTTCTCTTCTCCTTTTTGTTTGGCTTCACTAGTAAAACTGCCCACTCCATTGTAGAAGCCGACTCGATGTTGACACCATGGACACGTTGCTGCAAAATGCCTGCTTATCTATTAAAAAACAAGCAAGCAAATATTTCGGCGGCCCGATCTAAATGGCTCTGGCAACAAGCAAATACCAAGATAGAGGAATGAAGAGTCAATGAGGACGGGGAAGTGACGCCTTTCCCTTCTCTTCTTCATCTTTGTCTTTGCGACCAGGGCGAAAACAAAGCGAAAAATTGTGCGCGCTAGAAAGCGTGGAGTGCCACTTATTTTGCCCACACTAGATTGGTGAAATAAGTAACCCTCGTCCGTGTCGCATGCAGCAGCATCATGTTGGCGATACAATAATATCAATATCTGCTAAAGACTTTTGCGCAGTCTTTTCTAGCTTCACTCTCCTGTCTAGAGAGAATATTGTTTTGCTTTTTTAATATACAATATGCAGTCTTATTTAATATTAGCAAATGAAAAATGGCCGAAAACGCTCTTCCCACAGGGCTCAAGAGGCGACCTGGGCGCGAGTTCTTGGCCAAGCGGTTCCATTATCTAAACCCCTACTCACATGCATGGCTGCGCTATCATTTTCGTGCGTGAGCCTCAGCGTCCATAGCCGATCATAAAACTTGCCGTTTCTCGAGGGGCGATTAAAAACGTAATGTACCGGTTTACCAACCAGGTATGTGCCCACAGTGAGCACGGTCTTCCCCGCAAGGGCAAAGGCCTCCACTGCTGTCTTTGCCTCAGCCGACTTCGCACCATGTCTAAGTCCTTCCGCTGGCGACCAGCTCCTCCTTGTTGCTGGAGGGATCATTGTCGATCTTCCGCTTCGTCGACTTCTGATCAATATACACTGCGTCAAATATGTCTGAGCCTGAAAGACTGCAAATATTCGGCATGCAGCTTGTACATCATCCAGGAGGCCTGTCCTCACGCATGCGAAAGCGTTGCAGGTTTTGCGCAGGCTTCTTGATGCGCATCCTGCATCGAAAGAAATCCCTTGTTCGTAATCACTGTGCAAGTGCAACGGTGGACATGACTATACAACTTTTCGTGTTTTTCTGCCCGCGCATCATCATCATCATCATCATCATCATATTGTCGTGCACTAGGGAAGGACGTGCGGAGACATGATTCTTAATGCGTGACCCAGGCTGCGCGTCACATCCCAATGGAACGCTTCGACTTCAAGACCTCGTCCCAGACATATCATATCGATATTGTATATATGTATTCTATTTGCAATGCATAAACAAAAGTTGTTGTGCCCGTTGGTCCTCCACGCTCCTTTTTTTACAGCTGGGCGCAAGATCAAATAGATTCAGGTAGTTCGTACAGGCGAAGTATCAATCACGGGGCTCGGCGGAGAAGTAGTTGCTCGTGGTGCTTCTGGCCAACTCCGACACGCCGACGAGTACTTCCGTTATTTATCCTGATTAAAAACGTACCCGCCTGAGAGTTGTAAAGATTGAAAGTCCGCCACACAAATCAAGCGAAAGCCACTTTGGGAGCCCTGCGTGACTACAAACTTGGGCCCAGAGTCGGGTTTGGACTGATCAGGACGTCTCTTCAAAAAAATAAAAAAACTTTGAAAACAAAGAAATGAATACCGTTCGTGAAGAGCCGCGTGAGACGCTTCCCGTGCATGCGCAATCCAGGTTTTCTGTACGAAGATAAGTACGTATTACTACGTTTTCAGGAGGATGAGTGCTGTTTTCTGAATATTTGGTAAGAGTAGTTCCGTCCCAGCAGAACAGATTACTTAATCGCCGATGGGTAATATCTGGTCTCTAGAACAGACGGTCGCGTGACAGACTGGTGTAAGTTCAAGATCAAGTTGTGATTTCAGAATTAAAAATAAACAAATGAGATTTTCTTGGTCGTAAAGCAATAGCCGAACTTCTTGCGGCATAAAACAATCTCCATTGAAAAGCTTGTCGTAGCTTCGGGTCGGGAATCTGAAAGTGGGTTAATGTAGTTGTCCAGACGCAGCCACGCTGGCAGTAACCTTTCTCGTATGTACGTCCACGGCAACAGCGGGTGAAAAGGACGAGGAAGTTGTACGCTTTACGAAAAGCACGAAACTTTTTTTGAATGCAACCGAATAAACATCGAGGCACAGCAAAACAAGCGTCGAAAAAAAAGTACTGCATAGACTCTACTGCACGTAGTTCCGTAGAGCTCAGTGAAGAACTTCTCTGGACAAGCCTGTCCACGTTGACGAGCAGAACGAGGGGACAGAAATAAACATGTCACACAACCGAATCTTGTTCACCTAGCTTCCTCGAAGCATTGGCAGGGGAAACGTCGTCCAGTACGATGTCGCTGCAGTCAAATGTTGCACGAAAGACGAGAGTTGTACCGACATGCGCAAGGAGAGTTCGTTGTACCGAGAATGCCGCCGAAATTAGGCTTATCCCAAAGCAACACCGAAAATAACGGAGTGCGACATCGCCGAGCTGTACGAAACAAGATTGGAAATACATCAAAAAATGGAACGGGGACGGGTGTATAAACGCTACGCTTTTTGTTACGACACCCGGTTGACAGAAGGGGGGCAGAGATTTCGTCGCGCTGATGAACAACACTTCTCGAACTTTATCGGGGCATAATCGTGATCATCCATCATAAGCCTCCTCTTCAATTTCTGTACTGAAAACGTGACCTTGCAAGAAGCAACGCGAGAGAACCCACGAGACCGCCATGGGCCGTAATTACTCTTTTTTTTGTCGTAGAAATTCTTTCAGTCTCGCTGCGGATTCAAAGCCAAGAAATTTTCCGCAACTTCGAATGCAAGTAGAAAACAGCTTCAACACCGTGGTGAGTGTACTTAGTTTCTTGGAAATTCCTTCGCAAAGGTCTTGCGCAATAATTCGCCCCAGTAGAAAGAGTGATAGATTCATGGATTATGTGAGGTTTTTCTTGCTTCCAAATCGTCCGGCGTTTTCAGCATGTACTATTCTTGCGTACCAACCGCTTACCAGAACTGCCTCCGCCGCGCAAGAACTATTCATAAGTTCTCCTCCCTGGGTACAAAAACCGCGTCGAGCTTTTCGTCTGTGTCAACATTCGGCGGGGCGACAAGGGAGATAAACCAGCGTCGCGAAGGACCGCCACCGCCTGGTCCCGAACTGCCCGCGTTGGCTTCGCTTGTTCTCTACCTCTTGATGTGTCCCAGCCGGTTGCCGCCTTTATTCTGCACCGCTGCACAAGTTCATCAAGCTCTTGTTGATCGTTCCAGAAGAACGAACCGTTGTTCCACTACTTCCGCAGCTCTTCAACATCGTATGCCGCGTACTATCGAATGCGAATAGCTCTCGGTCTGGAAGCTTCTGATGCCGGGTAAGGAAACACAGAGACGCCTCAAATGCAGGCCAAGCATGGAAAGCTGCTGAGCAGCTACTTGCTAGAAGTTTTGTTTATTGATCATTTTGCACGACAAACTGCGACTTTTCCTAACAGAAGCAAGCTTTTGGCTGGTAATCCGCATGGCAGACTTGACACTCATGCTGGCCAGGCATCAAAAGTCTTCGTTCTCCCTTCTACTTCCAGACCGAGACATATTTGCACTGCATACCATCTTGGCCTCGTCGCCAAGTTGAAGTTGCGAACGCCCAACTCTGCGTGTTCGTGTGGCGTTTGTTGAGAGCCCGGATTAGGAAGTGGTGCCACAACGGCCGACACGAGACGGAAAAGAAGTCCGTGCAGTTCTTTGGAAATCACGAACGAAGTTCTCGGTACTGTATCCCGTGCAAAAAAAGAAGTGACCAATTGCCAAGAGTTCTTGTCTTTGTAAAATGCAACTCTGCGTCCCCAGAACGTCCTCTCTCTTTCTACGGCTGTACATGAGATGGGGTTTCAGAATGCAAAGGTTGTATTGAAAGTCTTTAATACGGCTCTTCAGTGTGATAAGATTAAGTAGAGAGTGAATGCGTGCAGATAGTATTATGTTACCGAAGCATGACCATGATATGTGTGGTGCGGACTTCTAAAGAACAGAACTGGGAGAATGCGCAATAACACTTCGACCTTCAGCTTGCCTCATTCTCTACGAAGACTTCACACTGCCTGAATCTGGGGTAATTACTGGAAACGTTCTCTTCACACAGGATACTTGGACCGATCTCGTACGTGTTTGTTTCCCAGCAACGTGAATCCGCGCGAGCGAGAGGAGGAGAATCACCGGCGCCAAGTTTTACTGCTCCTGTCCGGGAGACAATAAATCAGTTTGCCTCACCCTTTCATGCCCTTCAGAGCCCGCATTTTGCCCTTCCCCATGCCCGACGCCACCTTCTTTCCCTTCATCCTCGCAAATTGTGCTTTCGCCGCAGCTATCGAGTGCAAACATGTCTGGGGCTGGATAAGTTCAAAAGTTTTTCATGCTTGTCTCGCATGACAGTTGAATCTGTGATGCTTGGGCAGGAAAAAAGCCGCTTGACTGTCAGGCAAAAGTGCAGCTTGCCATGCGGAAAGCGAAACACAAAAAAGAGTCTGGAAACTTGTCATGCGGGGCTGCGCGATGGAGTTGCACGCCCATCACTCACAAACTAGCATCACAAGTTTCCAGAGCCAGACATATTTGCACTGCATAGCAGCAACCTCGTCCATGTCGTCCGCCGAAGATTCGGAGCTGGTCTCGCTCTGCTCAAACTCCGTATCAGAGTGCACATCTCCCCCTTCCCCTCATTTGCAGTGCGTGAACAGCAACACAAACGCCAGCACATGTGGAGCTTGTGCATGATAAATTCAAGCCGCGACGACGGACTGCAGTACTGTCTGGGCCACTTCTAGAATTCGTCATAATGCCAACAGTGCTATAGGACTGCGACTGGATTTGGGATTTTGGATAACGTGAGCAAATGAGGGGGAGGGGGAGTTGTGTCCTCTCATACTCCCGCGCTTTCGCGTACAAGTACCCGTTGCACAGGACCCGCATCAGACAGAGCAGCATCACGATCCACAAAAAGTACGTGCCGACGTAGTAGGGCGGGTTGGGCTAGTATCCCGAGAAAAAGAGGTTACAGTTTCATTCACGAATTTGTTCGTCACTTCAGAAACACAAACTTTCTTTTTTTGCATGCTGGCAGAAAAAAACTTGAAAAGCAGAGAAAGAGATGATTACAGAGAAGGCAATAGAAAAAACACGTATGAAACTACTAGGCCCCTGAGCACCAGTGTCCGGCATGACGGAACTCGTCTGCCTTGCTTGGCCTGCATCCCAATGTCTACCCGTAACACTCTTTTCTGTGCATAGGTAGTAACTCTCCCGGTCCAGCTGCGAAAACACGGCATCCATTGCCATGTCGAACCCGAAAAAAGTGATCACGAGCGATATGCCTTGCAACTATGTCTGGGTCTGGATAATGCTGGTCTTGCATTCCTGTCAGAGGTATTTTGCATGACCATACAAAAATCGCACCAGCCCCGTTTCTCGTCATACAAAAACGCAGTTTCTCGTGCGGACTGCGCATGAGGAAGCGCCCTGCAAGCTTGATGTCATGCTTGGCTGCATTCGGAAGTGTTCTCATTATCCACAGCTCAGCATCACAAATCTCCAGGCCCAGACATATTTGCGGTTGATAAAGGACCACATGGCACAGAACATCGAGACGAACGCGTACCGGAGCTCCCGTGGGGAAAACGACGTGGTCCACAGCTATGGCCTCGTCAAATGGAACCCTAGCGTAAATCGGAATTTGTCTTGCATAAAGAGCAAAGGCGGAGAAAGGTGCCATTTACAGTTTTGCATCACAAATCTTGTGCGGATTTCTCCAATGCGGTTTGGAGTGTCAAACATTTGTCATGCTAGACTTCGTCGAAGCATCACAGATCGTTCGCACTTTGCATCGCAAATTGTTCCAGTTGAGATTGTTCCATTTGAGCAGGTCATAGCAGCAACGCCCGAAACTGGAGGATCAACGCGAGCGACATCACTATCCCACAGAAAAAAGCTCACAGGTCAACATATTAATTTGTAATTCTAAAATCTATAACACGGAACATCAACATCTATCATGCGCAAGCCCCTAGGATGCTGCTCCATGAATACAAGAGCGACGATTTTCTTCATCCCTACATTTCTGCACTATATGATACCAACGTGACCTGCCAGCTTTTTTCTGAGGGATAATCACCCTATCGAACGCAAAAAGTTGTGTTTCACCGTAACAATTTGTTTCTGGAATAGTACTCGCATGACAAGCTTGTCTCTGGAGATATTTGAAAACCTGATTTCTATGCGCCGTGATTTCCGAATGCAAACCATGCGGCGAAGAATGATGCCTGATAGAAATGCATTTTTTGTGATTTTGCATTTTGGCAAGGGAAATTAAAGTTTAAGTTTGTGTGTCGCATCATAATTTCCTGCGTCTCAAGAAGTTTACCGTGAAACCGTTTTTTCTTTCCCTAAACACACGCCACGATGTACTGGTAGACCGACTATGGAGTGCAACAAACGCGTCTGGGTCTGGAAGAAAAATGAATAAGAAAAACAGTACTGCTTCTCCTGCGTTATTCCTGCAAAAACAAAAAGTTCACTGCTGCAAAATCATAAGAAGCCTCAGTTGTTCCTTGTCATGCAGAGCCGCAGGTGGTATTTGAAAAAAATTAAAAATGCGCACTATGCGGAAAAAGCAACAAGCGTAGTGTTTTTATGAAGTTTGTCATGCTACTTGTGTGTTCTCGTGCTGTCCTCCTCAACTTTCTTATCGAACCAATCAGCCCCGCAAAATTTCCGGATCCAGACAAGCTTCTTTGCATTTCGTACCGCCATCTCGTTGTACATCTTGCACTTCAACCGGTACCTTTTTGCATTTTTCTTTTCGCATCAGAATTTTTTCTAGAATGCCACTCTTCACAACATGATCGAAAGATGATTGATCTAGATCCTCCATGCTGCAGCGAAGATGAATAAAGCCATATCTATGCTTAGTGCGTGTACTCTACTTATGTATTTTTGACAAGCAAGTATCAAGAACAACATTTTCGAGTTCCTCACCAGATGCAGATGGGGCTCTGGCACCCAACGAACATTAGATTGTTTTTCGTGAAGTAATCGCACTGCTGCGCCGCCCATTCGAGCCACTCCACCTGGCTTTCCGTCTCCACACCCCACCAGGACCAGTAACGAACCTGGATGAACAGGTTGTACCAGCTATGCTGCGTAAAAACGTCGCACCCAACCTCGATAAATAAAGCTGCTTCAATAGAAGTAGTTTTGCTGCTGCCTATCAGACAAAGTTCTTTTACTTCTGCTTGTTATGCTCCTTTCATCTACAAGCGTTTATGCAATTTTTGCAAGAAACTGTGGATTTTTATTCGATATGGTAGCTGTACGTAGTTTTCACACGGCCTATCCCCCCTCGGTTTTTCGCATCCAACCCAGCACTACCAACTGTAAAAATGTCTGGGTCTGGAAGAATGCAAGTTTGTCATGCTTGTCTGGCATGACTCGAGAATCTGTGTTGCATAGGCACGAAAAAGCCCTCTTATCTGTCACGCAAAAACGCAGTTTGCCATGCGGAATACGTAAGACATGGCAGCCACAAAATTTGTCATGCATAGCTGCGTATTGCAGTGCGTCTATCATTCATTTTTAGCATTACAAGTTTCCAGACCCAGACATTTTTACATTTGATAAGCACCATGATAAACAGCTCCAACCACATAGAGAAAAACGCGAAGATCAAAATCGCTTTGGGCATCCTGCCCTTCATGCGCATGCGACACATCTTGCGCGGGGAGGTTCAGCGGGAAAGGTGGCCGCCTGGGGGAGAACAAAATTACAAACAACTACGGATCTAGGTTTTTCCTTTTTTTCTTCGAATCTAAATTGAAGTATGGAGAGAACTACAACCTGGAAACCTACGATTTGATGTTTTTTGTCGTATTCTTTCTTCCACTTCCGCGGGGAAAATCGAGAGTTGCCAAGACGACTAAATTTGTTCTGCTTGCGACATTATTTTTCGAGAAACGAAACGCCAAAAACGAAAAACTCTCTCTCAGTATACGAATACAGTCTCGACGTCTTTGAAAGAGTCTCTGCTCTCCTCCAAGAGCGCTCGAATTCATTTCGGCTTCCTGTTTGCACTCCAAGTGGTCCCAGCCACAGACACAATCATCTTCCGACGCTCCGACGAAAGAGACCACCATGGCAGGTACTTACACTGGAAAATCGATTTGACGGTTTGCCAAAGTATAGAAGTTTTATTTCCCGTCGTTTATCTTATATCCACGAGCAGGAGAATGAGAACTAGAACTACTTGCGAGAGCTTATGCGTTGAAAAAATCCCGTCAACATCTCAGGGTGGCGCAAATGGTTAAAAATTCAAATTCAATCAGTCGCTTTTTGTGATGCAGCATGCATTTGCGGAGACGAGGAAGTGCACATGACAAGAACGACAGGTTCATTTCGCTCCCGACTTAAACGAAATTCCTCGATCATCTACGTGGTCTTGCATGATGCTTCGACATCCCCTGCACGACATTCCAACGCCACTACTTCGCTGTCGGTTTTGTAGCCCAGGCGTTGGCTTCCCAGGGAAACCAATGCCCTTGGTAGCTGTTCGTGCGCAACAGAAAAGCCAGAATGCCGATGATCAGGCCGAAACCGGAACCCATCAGTATCCACCGTTGGTCAGATCATGACACAATCTCAATACTAAGTGGAGCAAAGTAAGTACAAGAAGCCCATGCCCAAATTGGTCTTGCATAGGGGGCCAATCTGTTCTGCGCACAATGCATCTTTGCATAACAGATTTGGCACGCATTCGATTCGGAGTATGATAGATATGTCATACATAAACAGTATAATACGCAACTTGCTCCACCAGTAGCTGAGATTGTTCTAGCGGACGATTCCATAATGAGGACCTGGTTTGTCGTGTGATCCTTGTTCCAGACGCGCGACCATGGGACTGGCAGACCTGATGAAAAATAAATGTTGCTCAACTTCAAGATCCCCTTGTGCTTGTACCTGTTCAGGTAATACAGGCATATCCATAACACGTTTGTCTTTGACTATGCAGCTTACGTCGTGATCCCTATGCATGACAGAATCGCTGTCTTCACAGCAGCAAAGACAAACTTCCGGCGTTCTTATACGACAAGAACAAACTAGTAGCAGATCTATACACAGTGCCAGCGTGACGCCGAGGAACCAGAAATTTATGTCGTTCGGGTCGGCGTCGCCCTTGCCAAGAACCAAATATGCGAGGAAAAAAGAGTAAAAATCTGTGACGCAAAGAAAAGAAGATGCGAACCAGCTCAGTCTTGATGTCACGCTGGAGCTGCCCTTGTTGATCTCGTTGCTTATGCTCGTATGCCTGCCAAATTTTCCTTTTCGTCATGCGGCCATCGGTCCAAGATGAAATTATTGTACTTGGTAGTACCCTTCTAACCGACAGTTTCAAAATTATTTTCCCTGCATACCAAATCCCGGCACACGACTTCCAAACACACCCACGTCATTTGCGCGACGGTGGCAAGCGCGTGGCCGGACGGCTGTCCTGCGTGAAAACGTCCGTCCATCTCCGAGTTCGGCTAGCCATACTTGTCATGCTAATAAACCGCACCATGATGGTGCAACTACACGCAATTTATATACGTTTGTGCTTTTGTCATGCATGTTTGGAGCTGAAGGAAAAACCGTTCCACGAGTAAAAGCATGTCCCCTTATGGTCTTTGAAATTCGGTTCGTGATTTTTGTTTTATTCTGTTTAAAACCAAACAAAATATTGGTTGAGACATCATCTCAGATGACTGAAAAGGACACAACCTCCTGGAAGATGACACGATAAGCAATTATGGCTGCGGAAACATCAAGGACGACGTTTTGAAAACGTATCTATTAAAGTGGTATATTCCCATGGGATAAAGGCATGCCGTATTTCATGCTCCCGTCCGGGTGCCGGTTCGCGGATTCCGGCGGCCGTGGGTCCTTGAATAAGGGCTTCAGGCAGATTTCCGAGATCGCCATGCAGGCTAGCCCAATCGCGATTCCGTAGAGGTACACGAACCGCTGCGTCACCAGGTAGAAGGCCGGCAGCAAAAAGGAGAGGAGGAATGGTAGAAAACCGTACGCGACCGCGATCCAGTTCACCACGCTGTACTCGGGCAGCCGCACCGTGACCTGCAACATCGCGAACTTCGTGTGGTTAAAATCCTCAGGAAAAACGTGCGGCACATATAAACACAGCCGAAATTATGTCGAAGATAATCTGCTATCGAAAAACTTTTATCCAAAAGCTTTACGTCGAAGTCCCCATGAGAGGAAATTTGAACACGTAGTGCGGTAGTGCTTGTGCTGGGCAGCTATAGAAGCCGCAGCACAACAAATTGGCCGCTTTATTGTCCCGACGAGGGCATGTGCATGACTTATTCCAAAACACTATAATTTAGAAAATGCCCCGCCTCATGTTGGAATTGCGAACGACAGAGACAGACGTCCTGCCCATCAACATCATGGACGAGATCTGCATGACACTTATACGGCCGCCGGTGCCACGTTGCATTTCCCCAGGATACTACGGTCCACCGTTGTTCTTCAGCTCGAAATCATCCTGGAGCACGGGCGAGTACAGCTCGTGTCCGAGAACCATGATCTTCCGTCCCGCAAGGACCCCGAAGAACTCCACACGTTCCGAACAGCAGAAGAAAGCCCTCGCGTCGCGGTCCACCTGACTGCCCTGACACTGACGAGTGATGAAATCACAACCAGTTTTTATCCACGTGGCTCTGCAGAAGAAAGTCACTTTTTTCCAAGGGTCGTGGCGGAAACCGAATAGTAGAGGATGACAGTGAGAGGACCCTGCTGCTCTGTCACCTCCAGCAGAACTGTTCTCGTATGTTTTTGAGTTGTTCAACTTTGTCGACGCTCCAGCAGCACCGCCGTGGGTTAGTATTTCCACTCGCCGCGGCGGAGAACGAGGTTGAGATGATCTCGAGGAGAGCCCAGTTGTCAAACTTTCCAGCTCGTCGTCGTCGATGCTGCAGGCAGTGGAACTAGAGCCGAGGATGGTGTGGTCATACTTCTCTTTCTTGTCGAAGACGTACCGAAGGAACACGGCATCATGCGAGGTAGAAATAACCATGCAAGAGGAAATAAAAGCAGAAACACGACCTGCGTCAATCTCAATAATGTTGTCTAAAATTTCTCAAAAAATCTGAAAAACGATGCAATGTTCACATTCTTAACACGAGCGACACAGCAAAGTTTTAACGCTCAAGTACAAGTTCAACTTCAACATGCTCACGCCCGCATATTACAGACTTCTTTTTTCACCGACGCAGCAATATTGTCAGCTTCGCGGGGCAGAGGGCTACATATGAGGATGTGAGGTCCATAATCATTCCTAGATGGGTACTAGAAGACCAAGTTTAATAACCGAGTCTTATCTTCATCTCGAGAGAACTTCCACTACGTCTGTGGAAAGGGAAGAAGGCTAAAGCGGTGAATCAAAAATGTGAAGTCTTTTACTACATGCAGGTCTTTGGATTTTTCTGATGTTCCAGAATTTCCACAAGTTCAAATGAAACGCAAGTGCTCCTCAGTTCCAGAACCTCCTCCCCAATGGTTCCTCGGGACAGAAACTAAAACTCAACCCTTTGCTCGCCTCTTATGGCCTGCGAGTAACTGTCCGACATATACAGCTAAAGAATCCTGAGAGTGAGTCCTTTGCGAAAGCTCGAGAGAGCTTAGGCACTACAACAAGACCAAACACCACCCGTTTTAGCGGTGAACGACCTAGCGTAGGGAGTCGCACAGTTTGAATGAATCCGAGAACTCACTGCTGCTGTGCTTCAGATAAGCTTCACACTACCACCTCATCCGTGTGAGCAGATCAACCTCCAAAGAGCCGCCAGTGCTGAACAACCCGCCTCACGTGCTCAACCTGACGTCAAACCGGATCCAAGAACCACAGCGCTACCAAAGGTCTCGCTGACTCTCCAACCACCGGAGCGGAAGGAGAGGTATACCGACGCCACCGGGGGCCACAGGAAAACACGGAGTTATGCCCTGCGCCGCCAGTTACCACCGCCTAGGCTTGGAGCCTTGCCTAAATTCAATAATCAAACGCAAATAGCCCCGTCAGAAGATCATGCTCTTTCATGATCTGAGCTAGACTCTTTTCTAACATATCGATTTTTCATCCCGCCCCGAGTAACGCAAGAACGAGCGAATGAACTTCACCTACACGGAAAAGAGCGCCGGCGACCGGCTACGAACCCGTGTGCGCGAGCACCATGTTTTATCAAAAGATAAAGGCAAAAGCAGGAACACCATTCGCAACTATGCCCTGCTGCACTGGGCCAGGGAAATCAAGAACAAGCGTGTATCAAAAAAACTGCGTAAGAAGTTCCTCTCCTCCTTCACAAAGGTGATTGTCAGATGAAATTTGATTCATATTTCAGTAACATACTACAGCCATCACCTAACGTCGAAATCCTGAATGCGCAAAAGTTCTGCAGTGGCGAGAGCCTTTGACAGACAAAAGGACCTTTGACAGGACCTCTTCGCGACCGCAGCAGGCGCACGGGAAACGTGGCGACAGTGGACAGTTTCATTCTAAAAAAATTGTGAAGACGTCTGTTTCGCGTATTCTATTCCACCTCTAGAAGTACCGATGCGCGGCTCGGCTTGTTGTGGACGCAGCTTGCGTACTACGTGCACGACGGGTGTTATTGATTATTATTTCGAGAGTCGCTGAAGATTTTCATTTTTGCTCTTTTGTGTCTTTTGTATGATCTGGTGCTGCCGGGACAACGCGCGGAAAGTGGCAGTCAGTTCATCCTCTATAATCGACAAAATTCTGCCACGTGGTCGTCATTGCATCAAATCACGCTTTTTTACCAATCGTATTAAAAGCGCTTTATTTTTATCTTCGTGTAGTAGGTCGTCTTGTTGGTCCAAGACGCACGACCTCCTCGTCCTCCCGCAAGAAGTTCTTATCTTTTATTGTTCTCCCTCTTGTCAGACTTCTTCACTTCTACCACCCATTCGGCGCCCCCATTTTCCCGTTACCCTTCTTGCCCTTGCCGCCCTTCTCTGACGAGGCTGTAAAAAATCCTGGATGTTGACCGTGGTGTTGCAGTATGCATTGCAAACGCACCATCTTCGTGCTAGTAGTTGTAATTGCACACGATCCACAAATGATCACTCCAGAACAATTATGGAAGAACGCGCTAATATGCAGAGTCAGGTACTTCTAAAGCAAAACACGTCCACCGACATGGAACAGGGTGCAATTCCAATTCCTAGTACGAGTACGACACTGTTGCAGAGGATATGCAAAGAACTACCGTACTGATTGCAATAGAGATTGTTCTCTCCGCCCTTCTTTCGCTCGGATCCGATATCCCGAATCAACTTAGCGGTCATCCTATCAAATGTAAAAATGTCTGGGTCTGGAAGAGTGCGCGATTTGTCATGCACATTTTGCATGACTCCTGATGTCTGTGATGCATGCCCTAGCATCAAAGATTTTGTGAGGGCTTCCTGATGCCTATACCGCATGACAAATGCTCTTTCCGCTTAGCAAAACTTGGACTCTCTTTGCTGCTCATGCAAGACAGATTTTTTTAAAAATCAAAAATCAGCATGACAAGCTGGATTCTTCCAGACCCAGACATTTTTACAGTTGATACATCCGCCCACCCTATCCGAATTCACAACCCCCGCCTCCCTACTTATCTCATTCGCAGGGCACATGCAGAAAAAACAGCGGCAAGAACAGAAGCAGAACCGTGTATTAAATAAGTAGCTTTTATTGCATGACGCAGCTATCTATCAGAACTGTAGTACCATGCCTTCTGGGAACTAGGACCGCTTCTCCGGTCGTGTGTGAATAAATTGCAAAAATTTTGCACGACAAATACCAAGGAGGGCCGCGAGTAGTTGCGCACTCGGATACAAACCAGTTGGTTTTTTCGCCCTCCGACACTTGCGACCCGTACTTTTGCCACAAAGAATGCAACTTATCCAGCACGTCATACATGTCCTCGGCGCCCTCCCGCCCGTACTCGCTATCAAATGCAAATACGTACTTAGCAGTCTGGAAGTAGATGAGTTGTGGCTGCAGCATATGATATTGCGTGTTACGACATCAAAAGCGCTTGCTGTTGTTCACTTCTTGTGTCGTTCAGCAAAATAAACTACACGTCACTTTGTCATGCGTAAAAATCTGGAGCCCGATGCGCCCGTCGTAAAATAATTTCTCATGCTTGACTAATATGCAGCCGGTGCAACAGCGCGCTAGCTAGATGTGTCCGATCACGAAGTTGCATCGCAATTTCATAATTTTTCCAGACTCAGACTACATATTTGCTATGGATACTTGTTGAGCCTCGCCAACTTCTCCAAAACGGTCATGTCCAGCACATCCGCGGCGCAAATATCCTTCAGAAAAGTCGTACACCCATACCGGAAAAAAAGATTTGCGCTGCTGTTTTTCTGTCGTGTGATGCTGATCTGCGAGAGCGCCAACAACAACACTCTTTCAGGCATAAAAAAATGGACCACTACGAGAATGCAGAAAATATGTGCGTCAATGGGCATGAGAAGGGTCATCGTGCGAACATTGCTTGCCATGCTGAACAGAACAGGTTTTATTCCGGGACTCACTCTTTGTCTTTCTGACACAGAAAAAGAGCATGTTCTTGGAAAATATCTTCAACTCCGGTAAAGCTGTATCAGTACTTCTACTTTTGGATAGCAGACCCCATCCTCCGAAAAGCTGCTGTCAAAGCTATCAATCACCACTTCATAGTCCGCGCGGTTCTTTTGTCTCCAGCTGCTGGTCGCTCCTCCTGCGTTACCACTAGATGAGCAGGTAGCTGTGCCCGAATTGTTCGCATTGTTCTCTGACAGTTTCCGGGATGAAACAGAGCTAGGATGCGGCGCACCATAGTGCACCCCTATCAAATGCAAAAGTGTCTGGGTCTGGAAGAATACAAACTTCTGATGCGCATTTCAGAACACAGAAAAATCTCTCATGCACGGGTAGCAAAAGCTGCCCGCTTTCTGTCACCAAAGTGGGGGATTTGTCATGCGGATTCAGCATTGCGGAAGCTTCTCGAAACCTGTAATGCTAGAGCTTCCATGCCAGACCTTCTGTGTCATGTTGGGAAGCTAAGGGCTGGGCGTCCCTGTCTTTCTCTAAACCTTAAAACGGTAGCCACTTACTCGACAAACTCTAGGTAGAATAAGTTTGGACAAAGTGATCACTACCGAGAGACAACAACAAAATAAAGGCTCCTGGGACGGCTGCGGCGTGAGCATTTGTTGCTATCTGGGTAGGGATAACGTTGTATGCAAACCTAAACACTAGCGTCAAGGGAGAAAAGAAAAGTAAAAAAGCGGTAAACTATCCTACTATGACACAGTCCCAACTACGAAAAAACCCCTCTTAAAAAGTGAGGCAAGATGTAATGTAGTTGTTTTCATGGCGAGCAGCCGCAAACGAGGCGAACTGTCGCAGCGGACAAATGCAAAAACGTCCGCAACCGAGGGAGCAAAGATGGAACCGCAAACGCCACCGACCGAGACAGCATCAGATCATGCAAAAGGTCGGAACAAGCCCGAAAACACAAGGGCGGAGCAACTACATTACAAACCCCAAGACGGGAAATATAACTATCTAACCCAAGCTAAAATAAGTAATAATCTACCTTAACTAACACTCTATACTAGCGCGCGTCTAAACTTCTGTGTAGTGTCATGCAAAAACAGCATGACTCTTCCAGACCCAGACATTTTTACTCTTGATAACCCCAGTCGGCGCACAGAACTGCTTCACTCGGTTCTGCAACAGGTATCTGACGGGAACGAACGCGTTGGTTTGGTACCGATTGTAGCTCCCACTGGTGCTGTTCATTCCGCTGTAGTAACCCGTGTGCCACCCACCCATGCTGCCACCAGCGCCCGCATACTGGCTGTTGTTTTCCCGGATCTTGGCAACGTCCTCGATAGCAGTCGGCCGGAACACGAGATGGTATCCAAGAATGAATAAAGTGGTAACAATCACAACTTACGACCCAGCACGTATTGCTGCAAGTACTTATAACAACTTCTGAGCATGACAGAGAAATAAAATATTAGTATATTTGCAAGAAGAAAAAGATCATTCATAAAAGAGGTAATAAAAACGTGTCGTGAAACTAGGCTCCCAAGCATGAAATCCCGCATGAGCATGACAGATGAACTGGTCTGCCTTAATACTTCCTTGGTCCTCTCTACAACACTACAATCGGTCGTCGTAAGTAACCACTGTAATTATTCCTACACTTTCTCTTTTGCATAGATCGGGCTTGGTCGCGAGTAGAAACCGCTATGGATTGCAAAAATGTCTGGGTCTGGAAGAGCCAAACTTGTGAAGCTGCATTTGGATGCTAAAAAACCTGTATTGCATGACCAGCAAGAGGATTCAAATTTGGCTACGCGGAGAGGGCATTTGTCATGCTGGATGCGCATAGATAAGCGCTCAAAAAATCTGTGATGCTATTGCTATAGCATACATCACAGACATCATGGATCATGGAAAATGTGCATGACAAAGTTGTGCTCTTCCAAACCCAGACATTGTTGCAAGCCATAACCGCAGGAGCAAGGCGATGTTCTCCGTGTCCGCCGTTCCCTTATCAAACAAAAAAAGTTCGTCACGATCACTCATGCGCATTTTTGCAATACAGAACTGTTTGTCATGCGTAAAAATGCATCACAGCCAAACTTTATCAGGGATTTCCCTAGTGTTTCTGCAATACAAGGAAAATTTGTGATGCTAAGAAAATTTGTAATGCAAACCCTGCAAATTAGCGACTGTGATAAACTTTTTTCTCTCCATATCCCTGGTGGTGACAGCAGTACTGCATCGAGCCCTCCCCGGTCCGTTCGAGCATTTCGTTCCAAGACTTCTTCGGGGTGATCTGCGGCGTGTATCGGAACCCGTGGAGAGCCACGGTGGGCGCTTTGAAGTATTTCTGCATCTTCATATGGATTGCAAAAATGTCTGGGTCGGGAAGAGTGCAAACTTGTCATGCAGAATTTGCATGCCCCATAAGGTCTGGAATGCAGGACATAGCATGACAGATTCTGCGAGGTCTCTATCATGCCTGTCCTGCATGAGAAGTTCCCTCTCATGGTGGTCAGAAAAGGGCGTCTTTTGTTGATCACGCAAGACAGATTTTTGTGTGATCCACAGGACGCATCACAAGTCCCATCCTTCCAGTAGACCCAGACATTTTTACATTTGATACTTCACCATCCCGGACAATTCCTCCGCCTATCGAAAGGAAAAATCCCCGCTCCCCATATCGAAAACGAAATTTGTGATGCTGTATTTGAGGTCACAAATCGGCTTGTCATGCTGGAAGGCCAAAGCCGCAGTCGCGGCCTCGTTTGCAAGCCATTTGTCATGTTGGGAAACTAAGGGCAGGGCGTCCCTTTGTAAATCAGAACTACAAAGTTTAAACCGCCTGCTCGGTAAACTCTAAAGCAGAAAATTGAACTGCGCGATTTCTACCGAGAGACAACAACCGAAACTCCTGGGACGGCTGCGACGTGAGTTCTGTTGTTATCTGAGTAGAAATAGCACTGTGCAACCATCGTGCCTTAGCACCGAGGGAACAGAAAAAATAAAAAAGGTGTGAAGAAGCTAACTATGACACAGTCCCACTTACCCAAAGAACCATCCTAAAGGTGGTATCTCGAATTTCTAGCATGAAGGAACTGATTGGTTTGGAAAATGGGGTTGCGATCGTGGCGCCAACAACCAAATCCAGGGACCAGCATGCAAAGGACCCGAGGAACCACGAGGTTGGTGTGTCCAGCATGACAAACACGTCGTCAAAGACAAAAAATGCCACGAGACCGGAGTAAATCATGACCAAACCGAGGAATTGCATGACAAATTTGGCCGAGCTGTAACAAATTCGAGAACCAGGACGGAAAAAGTGTACTTGACCAGCGTAGTGGTCGCGTACTACGAACCCCTAGGAAGAAAGTAAATATCATTTAAAGTCAGGTTCTATAGTAAAAATTTCGCGCGTTTGTAAAACTAGACCGGTCAAAAACCACTTCTGCCTGTGCCGTCTCTATTCTATATTCCCTTGCTACCCTAAGAAGTAGCACTTAAATGCAAGTCATACAAGAACACGTTGACCATGGTATGCAAAAGCCGGCGCATCTACCGAGTTTTCGTTCCCAACAGGCAAATTGCAAGCCAACGCGCAAGCCATTTGTCATGCTGTTTCCCACTCTCAGCTGCCTCCTATCATGCTGAAGATACAAGGCTTCCCCACGCCACCCAGCACTACAGTCCGCATCTTTTCCCGTGTAGCATGTTGATTTGTGACAACAAATCTGGATCACAGATTTCCGTTTTGATATGGGGAGGGGGGATTTTTCCTCTCAATACCGCCAGCGCGATCTTTTCCGCCGCCGTGGTCTCCCGAGCGAAAGTTCCGTTGTGCAGCACGTAGTCGAACGCGAGGTCTTTCAAATTACACCACCGGGACAGCAGCGCCACAAACGGGTGCTTCTCCGCCTCTCGAATGCAAATATCGATCTGGTGATGTTCTGGAAAGAAGTACCGGATGAAACTTGTGATCATGCGAGTTGTCACCAGCACTAGCACTTCTCAACTTGTTGCGTCGGCCGCCAAGCATGAGCACAACAAGTTCGGGAGATGCTACGTGCTGCCGATTCTGTATCTGTTCCTGCCTGCTACGAACTGCGGTACCTGAAAGTATACAGAAACATCCGGCTAAGTACTTACTTTACTTTTGCATGCTTAAGGTGCGTGACAGACTTTTGAGAGTCGAGCCAGCCGAACATGACAAAGCTTGCGCTCTTCCAGAGGACCCAGATCGATATTTTCAATGCATACGGGCCGGTTTGCGTTGATTTCCCGCATTTCGGACCGGAGCGCGTTGGCGTCGAAGTCCCCGCAGTGCACGAGCAGCGAATTTTCCGGCGTGAAATCCGGCAACTCCTGATTCAGCTTCACCCACAAGTCCGTCAGCGCCTGGGGCAGGAACACCGCATTGCTCTGGTCATTGATCCGGATGTCCCCCCGGTTTTCGTGCTGGTGTACGGAAGTTCGGTTTATCCAATGCAAAAGTGTCTGGGTCTGGAAGATTGTGAAGAGATTTGTCATGCATATTTCGGATCACGCAAATGGCGTCTGGTGCAGGCAACAGCATCACAGGTTCTGAGCACGTCTCATGATGCCTGTCGCGCCGCATGAGAAACTTCCTACTTGCGTACCAACAAATGGACAGCTTTTGGCGCTCATTCAACACAAATTTTTGAGTGTTCCAGAGTTTGCATCACAAGTTCCAACTCTTCCCGACCCAGACATTTTTACATTTGCTACGGTTCTTCCGCTGGTCCTGCTTCGGAGACGGCGTCGAGGTGGACTATTGAAAGGAAAGATCCCCCCTCCCCATATCGAAAAGGTACGTCGCAGAAAATTTGCCATGCTGATTTGCGACCACAAATCATCTCTGTCTTGCAAGAAGGCAATTCCACAGGCTCCGCCGCATTATGGAGGCGGTTTGTGATGCGGTTTGGCCGACAGCGCAGACGTTTCTGATGCTAAGCGCCTAGGCCAAAACCTCTCTACTCAGGCTTGATGTAGGCCTGTCGTCCCCTTCCGCAAGACAAATCTGATTTGTGTACGCAAATCCAGCATCACAGATTTCCGTTTTGATATGGGGAGGGGGGATTTTTCTTTTCGATATGGACATCGCAATCGACATTTGACACAGCGGCCACCATGCCGGGCACATGGAATGCCCCCCGCTGGTGGAGTAGCAGGAAGTGGCATCGTCCGCGGGGTCCTTTTTGCTTGCAGAAGTGCTGCTCTTCGCGTTGCGGCTCGAATGGTTCGAACTCGGGGTGGTGCTGTCGCTGTTCCAGCTCGCGTTCATCTTCTGTTCCTGAGCGGCGTAATCCATACTCTCCTGCACCCCCCTGCTGCGGACCCAGCGATGGAAGCGCATCGCCTCCTTCAGGTCGTCCTGGAGAGCGAGCACAATGACCGGCAGCTCAATGATCCCCTCCCGCCCTTCCACGTCGATCACCAGCGCGTACTTCAGTTCCGGAAAGTCCGCCGGGGTGCTGGGGTTGCTTACCGCGTATTTTTGCACGCCCGTGCGACCGAGGTACCCCGGAATCGGCCAGTTCTCGGATCGCGCCACCATTTTCTATCCAGTGCAAATATATGTCTTTTTCTGCTAAAAGGATTCATTTACAATTTGTCATGGTGGTCCTTCCCTTTTACGGCAGAACAGCATGACAAGCGCTCCTTGACTCCTTGCGACGACCTCTAGTGTGTTTAGTGTGACACACTGAGTTTCACAGCAGAAAGCCTGCTCGTCAATCGTATTTACATCCTCGCTGTCCCTCAAATTTTTGCGCATCACAAAAAATCCAGACCCAAACATATTTCTTGCAATGCATATTTTCGACTCCTCCGCAAAGTGCGACTTGCCGGCGGGCGACCCGTAGTCCCGGTCAAGGTTCCCCCGCAGCCACTCCTGCTCCAGCAGCTGCCCGTCGTCCTTGTGGTGCCGCTTCTTGACCCAGTTTCCGTTCATCCCAACCCGCTCCTTGCAAACCTTGTTCTCCGCGGCATTCGGACAGTATCCCGCGGCGTAGTACTTGCACGGGATGTCTGTCGCGAGAAAATTCATCCTGGTAGTGGATGTTGAAATGAAATTGAAACCTCCAACCGGTGTTCTTGGAAAAAAATTCTACACCACGAATTTCAACAAACCGTGGTGGATCTCCTCGCTGACGTTGACTAGAAGAGTTTCATCCGGTGAAGATGGTACAACTAGTAGCTTCTAAAATTGTAGAACACTGTCGCTCGAAGGTGTAGCTCGAAGGTGTCGCTGGTGAGGGTGGACCGCCGTCGTAGTCGTGCCGCTGGTCAGCTTAGCTTTCACGAGAGGTGGAGGACAGTGGTAGCTGCAGGTCGACGTTCCCGGGGGCGTGGTTAGCTTTCAGGGGGAAGGGGAGGGGATTCTCCTGGGGGCGAAAACTCTGCAGGCGCAGGGCTTTTGAGTGCGCCGGAGCCCCCTGGAGGAAGACAAAGGCGTGACAGCGGCCCGCCCCAGGCCCCTGGAGAAGGAGAAGCACCGGGAAACCGAAAGAACACCCGGGGCGAGCCCACCCTGGGAGGGGACGAGCCCTCCAGGGTGTTCCCAATTTGCGAGCACCCCCCCAAGTTGCGAGCCTTAAGGGCGGCCGCTCGTCATTCTAGCTACGCCCCACTCTATTTCTAGTTACGCCGCCAAGGCGGTGGGGCTGCTTTCGACGGAGCCCACAGGGCCGCAGCTGCGGAAGCTGCGCGACAAAAAACCTGGCCAGCCAGGCAGGTGCAACCAGCCCAGGGGGACTAGGCGCACTGTGTGTGATGGCCATTCCTTCGGGGCAGCGAGAAAAGGCGCCGCTTTCTTTGCGCAGGGCGGCGGGGGCATCCACACGAGGAGGGGCCTCCGCCGCGAGGCAAAACGGGGTAGCCCAAACAAAGCGCAAAGCCATCCCGGGCACCGTGGCCGGGCCGGAGCTGCTAGTTCGCCTGCACCTGCGGGCGCAGCAGCGCGCAGCGCGCCACCCTCAGTCAGACAAATAAGCCCTTTCCCTCCCACGGCTGCGCCCCCTTTTCCCAGGAACGAGCGCCACGTCCCGCGCTACCACACAGACACGGGTTGCTCGGCGCTAGTTTCTCCACAGGGGGCGAGGGAAGCCAGCAGCGCTGGCGAGCTCTGTGGCGCAAGCTCGGGGCGAGCCGACCCGCGCGCGGGGCAATGGGGGCGATTTTGTACTAGTAAGCTTTCTCCTAGTAAACTCTCTACTAGTACGCTTACTAGTAGTTTTTTTCCTTCCGTGTCACGTTAAACTTACTAGTAACGTTGTTCACTAGTAAAATTCTTGGATTTTCCTTACTAGTAAGATTTTACTAGTAGAAATCGGGCCATGCGTCAATCACTTTCCTTGCCGTATAGTATATAGGGTATTGTGCCGCTGGTCAGCTTAGCTTTCACGAGAGGTGGAGGACAGTGGTAGCTGTAGGTCGACGTTCCCGGGTTACTTGGGTAAGGCCCGCAGCATCTGTGAAACTTTTAATCGCGCGGCAAATTCTTTGTTTTAAGCCTTAAAGTGCCTAATCTAGGAAATCGCGTTCATAAGGTTTAAGCATTAGAACGCCTAATCTAAGAAGTCGCAATTTAAGCACTCGAGCGCTTAAACTCACGGAAACGCAGATTGCAGCAATTTGCTCTAGCAAATTTCAAATTTGTCCACACAGCTTCAAAGATAGCCAGTCAATTAGCCATTCGAATGCTTAAAATGACTGCTTATTTTCAAGCAGTTAAGCACTCGAATGGCTAAACTGATTATTTGTCTGTGAAGTTGCGTGAACAAATTTGAATTTGCCCAGCAGAGCAAATCTCAGACGCAGATTGCAATCTGTGTTTCCGTGAATTTAAGCACTCGAATGCCTAAACGCTATATCTACCCCGAGCGCGAGTGCTGTTGGTGTTGCTCGAGAGACAAAGAGCTCTCGCACCATGGGAAACAAAAGCTCCGCCGGTGCAAGAGCGCAGAGCCTGCCAAAGCGTCCCGCGGCGCTTTTGTCAAGTGCCCGCCCGGCGCAAAACCGCCGTGGGCGTCGTGATCCCCCCAGATCGCGACGCCTGGGGCAATTTGCCCCATTGGGCCCCCTGCGGGCTTCGATGCACAATGCTGCAGCGCGGCGCGGGCGCCTGGCGCGCGAGGGCGAGGAGGCGAATTCAAGAGCAAGGCGCGGCGCTTAGCTTTCACGAGAGGTGGAGGACAGTGGTAGCTGTAGGTACCTAGCACGGGCGGTCGTCGTGGTATCTAGCACGGGCGGTCGCTCCGCGACCGCCGGAGAGGTATGGAGTAGACAAGGATGCGATGGGCCCGATTTCCTAATAGGAAGGTTGCAGTCCTCGCGGGGAAGGGGCAGGAGGCGATAAGCGTCTAGGCGCGCTTGTCCCAGGCGCCGGCGCCCACTAGCGCCCACGCCCCAGGGTCCGCCGCGAAAGCGGGTGGGCGACGAGCCTTCTGGGGGGTTTGCAAGTTTTTGCGAGCACCCCTTAAGGTGGGTAAGCTACTATGTGCATTTTGCTGAAGCCCACGGGAAAGTGGCGCCTGCCTAAGAAGCCCTACTTACGCAAAGGGACGGGGCAACCTCCATGCGCAGCGGCCCGCCCCCCGCGACGGGAGTGGGCACGGTGCACATGAGAAGCGAGCGGGGCTGGAGGAAAGGGGCGGCCTGCCCTCCTGAAAGGCAGGAATACCCACACCACGGGGAATACCCACACCACGTCCGTGTTTTACTAGTAGATTTTTTGCTCGCCTGTCCCGTTAAACTTACTAGTAACGTTTTTTGCTAGTAAAAATTTGCGGACTTTTGTTACTAGTAAGGTTTTTACTAGTAGGAATCGGGCTAGGCGCCAATCGCATTTCTTGCCGTATAGTATATAGGGCATTGTGCCGCTGGTCAGCTTAGCTTTCACGAGAGGTGGAGGACAGTCGTAGCTGTAGGTGGCGGCGCGGGTGGGCAGTATTTCTGGCGCCCCGCCCTTTGAGCGTTTTTCCTTTCATACTGCGGTGTCCTGGCGAAACTCCAACCCCCACCAGCGGATCAGCCACAGCATATCTTCTTCCCCGAACCAGTTCCACTTCCGCGTACCGACCAGCACCGAGACCGGTCACCACGGCGTGGACCAGCAGTAGTACAGCAAGGAGCAGGCGGTTACAACCAGGAGCCCAAGCTGATAGAGCGCCAGAAGGGAGTCGCCAGAATCCCCGAGCGAGAGCTGTGCCAGGTTTACTGCTCGCTCTGTGACGAGCTTCTCGCCCGTATCAACCTGGGAAACTGCACCAAGGCGAAGACAGGACTGCGGATGACGTTGAAGAGGGTGGCGGACAAGGAGGAAAAAGAAGACGAAAGTCAGTACCTCCCGGAGGACATCGTGGCACCAGGGGAGCAGCAACAATTCTACACCACCACTGGCATCTTCAAGGACGACGACCAGCGAAACTGGAAGCGCATCCAGGCGTGGGTGCCAGGGCGGAAGATTCGATGTCCATGTAGGATGGACGTTGACAACGAGAGTCAAGACATCAAGAGGCTCTACACACTGAAATCAGGACAGGACTTGAACTTTGACCCGGACCAAATCCAGTGCTGAGCAGCAGTCGATAAGCACCCAAAAATAAAAAAAGTTTAAACCCCCAAAAAACAACCTTTTTTTTTTCGCGTGTTCTGGTGGTACAAAATTTTTGTAGAGATGGCAAAATTTTTCTCCCCTAATTTCACGAGAGGTGGAGGACAGTCGTAGCTGTAGGTCGACGTTCCCGGGGGCTTAAGATCTTCCGTGGTGGAGGAGGGTCATCAAGTTCTTGAGGTGCTGCAGTACAGATTACAACCACACCGGCGTCGCGAATACAAAAAAAATCTTCTGTTCTTCTGGTTTTGACTCCACCAGCACGATTCGCGCAATCATTAAAAATCTCGTTTTGACGGCGCGATGGACCTTTTTTAAACTTGTTCGTAGTTGCGACGCTCCACTTTCACCGCGGTTGGGTAAGTGGCAGTTGTGGTTCGTGGTTCTTGTGGATCATACATAATTCTTCCAACGGTATTGTTGTATCGTGAAGCACACCGGGCGGGTCGTCGTCGTCGTCGTGTTGTTCTTCCTTGAGCTAATGTAAAAAAAAAACTTTCTTCTCCAGCGAAAAAATTGTGGAGAACTTATTCAGATCAGACAGGGCAGCAGCAGCTTTTATCAAAAATAACAAGTAGTGTGTTCAGATATTGTTTCGTCACACTAAATGTTTTCGTAAATAATGGACGTCCAAGGAATCAAGTTGGTCAAATTGTTGGAATAAAGTTGGTAACTGGAATCAAGTTAAATGGAATCAAGTTGGACTCTGGAATCAAGTTGACTGGAATCAGGTTGGGTCCTGGAATCAAGTTGCGTGTCCCGTTTCCCGTTTCCGCGAGAAGCACTGCGCGGGCCCCGTTATCTCCTCCACCGCCAAACGTTATTCACCATGCACGCGCCAGCCTGTGCTTCGGCCCCCCGCCTTCCTACCTTTACCGAAGGCTGGCCTGCCTTCCGACGGGCCATGCATGTTCCGGGGCGGGGGCGTAGATGTGACGAGGCCCCGGGACACAAAAGAAAAAACCCGGGGCCCCCGGCGCAAAAGCTGTAAGCACACGCGCACAGCCCCGGACAGCCGCAAACCTGCGCGCTCCGAAGCCGAATCCAAAACGCCTCGGCGAGCCCGGGCACAGAAAAACCCCGAACCACCCACGTCGCGCAGGAGGTGTCAATGAGCTCGGGCCATTCATCAATCTGGAGTCGATGGCGAAAGCTTCGCGCCAGCCAGGAAATAAACAACTCACACTCCCCAGAGAGGCAATCAAGCAGCGGTCCTTCCGCCAGGGAGAGACCTACCAGAGGGCAAGGAAGGCGAAATGGCGGCCCCCGAGACACCTTCCGCAGGAAGGCAAAACGGAATCCCCCGAGACTGACACCATCCCCAGGAAGGCACTGTGGCAACAAAACCTGCCGACTTGTAACATTTCTCGCCACGTCTCTATCGACCAGAGGAAGAAAAGCCAGACGCCTTTGATGAACGTGGCCGCCTTTCAAAAAAAATAGCGGAGAACTTTAGGCACGAGGGTGTGGCAGCCACAAAACACAAAAAGCGCAGCAGCTAGATTCTTCCAAGGAGAGGCATTGCGAGGCGAAGGACTGATGGGGATGAAGTTGTGGTGGTTTACTTGATTTCATTCCACCACTTGATTCCAGGTAGTAACTTGTGTTCAGATATTGTTTCGTCACGCTAAATGTGTTCGTAAATAAGAACCACTCCCCACGACTGCGTCGTGGGGCAAGGCTGATTTGAATTGCTGCTGGGCCAAGTTTGGAGTTATTGCGTGTATTGCAAGCGCTTTCTGCTTGGTTAGTGAAAACAGGCGACAGGTAGTCAGAGGCGACGCCGTCCGCGGCCGGGCTCACTGACCAAGCTCCAGGTAGTACTCAACTGCCAAGAAGAACCAAAAAAGAGAAAAAAAGCCGACGTCTCCAGGGCAGGGCATTCACCGCGGCCGAAGAAACTGCTTTTCAGAGGCAAAAAGCAGCACAGGCCTCGACACAGAATGGAACCGCAGGCGCCACCGGCTTTTTTTTGATGCAAAAGTGAAATCCCAAAGGGGAGTTCGAGAAAAAGCACAATAGCAGAGCAAGCAGCTGAACAATAACTCCCCAGCGCGTCCTGTGAAAATATGTTCTAGCACAAGCAGCGCTCTTTCATCGCACAAGAAAGCAAGGCGCGCACTAAGTCGTGCCTGTGGGCACTTTCGAAATGCGCGCGCGCGCCGGTGGCACTTTCGAAATAGGCGGCGCGAGCAATGCTTTTAAAACGCCCAACAAAGCAATGCGCATCAGAAAAGCTTTTGAGCACTTTCGTGCGTCTTGCGTATTTTCTGAAGAGTCTTCAGAAGCTTTTCAGTCTTCAGAAGATTCTACAGAAGAGGGTCTTCAGAAGGTCAAAGCTTCTGAAGAATGCGGAAAAAAGGACGCAAAAAGTTGTCGCTTTGGAGACACAATTGAAAAACCTTCTGAAGGTTTTCAACCTTCAGAAGGTTGGCCAAAATTGCGACACTTCACTGCCTTTTTTTGTCTAAAAAGTCGGAAAGTCTTCTGAAGGTCAAAAAAGTGCCACCTTCTGAAGGTTTTCAACCTTCAGAAGATTTCAAAACGGTCATTTTTCACCTTCTGAAGGTTTTTTTGCTCATTTTCCATCTTTTTCTTCTGAAGGTCAAAAAAAACCTTCTGAAGGCGTGACCTTCAGAAGAAAAAAATGCTCACGGTTAAACCGATGGTATGCTCGCTCAAAAAAAAGAGGCTTTTTTCCATTTCTTCTGAAGGTTCCAGTGATGATTTTGGACCTTCATAAGACCTTCAGAAGAAAAAGCTTCTGAAGGTTCAGCAGCAATTTTGCCAAGCCTGCCCCTTATAGTTATTAGCTTATGATGAGGGAGATGTTGTTGTGTTCAGATATTGTTTCGTCACACTAAATGTTTTCGTAAATAATGATGAGGGAGATGATTTGATGGCTCTTCATCCCGGTTCTATTCTTTTCGAGTAGACATCAGCGAAATGTACTTATCAACCGTGAACTACCAGAAGATCATATTCTTATTCGTCCTGCAAGGAAATGACGATTGTTCAGCCCAAGAGTAGCTCGTACAACTTACTGCTGCGGTCATGTGCTGTGGATCCTGACAGCTACCGAAGAGTGTTCACTAGGCCGCGACTAAAGAAATCTCTACAATGACTAGCGAAAGGTAAGAAAACCCATTATTTAATAGTATTCCGCAATAGAAACAAAGAATAGAAACGAAAAACAAAAACAAAGAATGGAAACGAAAAACGACAACAAACAATGGAAACGAAAAACGAAAACAAAGAATAGAAACGAAAAATGAAAACAAAGAATAGAAACGAAAAACGAAAACAAAGAATAGAAACGAAAAACAACAACAACGAAATGCAGACAAAGCGCCCAAGCTTCTAAGCGGCGAAGCCTTGAAACGAAGAGGCCGCGAAACGCCTAAGCAGCGAAGCCTCGGAGCAGCGAAGCCTCGAAGCTGCGAAGCCTCGAAGCAGCGAAGCCTCGAAGCGGCGAAGCCTCGAAGCGGCGAAGCCTCGAAGAAGCAGCGAAGCCTCGAAGAAGCAGCGAAGCCTCGAAGAAGCAGCGAAGCCTCGAAGCGGCAGCGAGGCCTCGAAGCAGCAGCGAAGCCTCGAGGCAGCAGCGAAGCCTCGAGGCAGCAGCGAAGCCCCGAGGCAGCAGCGAAGCCCCGAGGCAGCAGCGAAGCCTCGAGGCAGCAGCGAACCCTCGAGGCAGCAGCGAACCCTCGAGGCAGCAGCGAAGCCTCGAAGCAGCAGCGAAGCCTCGAAGCAGCAGCGAAGCCTCGAAGCAGCAGCGAAGCCGCGAAGCCTCGAAGTGGCGAAGCCTCGAAGCAGCGAAGCCTTGAAGCAGCGAAGCCTCGAAGCAGCAAGCCTCGAAGCAGCAAAGCCTTGAAGCAGCGAAGCCTCGAACCAGCGAAGCCTCGAACCAGCGAAGCCTCGAACCAGCGAAGCCTCGAACCAGCGAAGCCCCGAACCAGCCAAGCCTCGAAGCGGCGAAGCCTCGAAGCGGCGAAGCCTCGAATTTGTCGTTGCGCCGGACCGGAGCGACAAATCCAGGGGTCCCCGGACCCGCGAATTTGTCGTTGCGCCGGACCGGAGCGACAAATCCAGGGGTCCCCGGACCCGCGAATTTGTCGTTGCGCCGGACCGGAGCGACAAATTCAGGGGTCCGCGGACCCGCGAGTTTGTCGTTGCGCCGGACCGGAGCGACAAATTCAGGGATCCCCGGACCCGCGAGTTTGTCGTTGCGCCGGACCGGAGCGACAAACTCACGGGTCCCCGGACCCGCCAATTTGTCGCTGCGCGGGACCGGAGCGACAAACTCAGGGGTCCCCGGACCCGCCAATTTGTCGTTGCGACGGGCCGGAGCGACAAACTCAGGGATCCCCGGACCCGCCAATTTGTCGCTGCGCGGGACCGGAGCGACACATTCAAAGGTCCCCGGATCCGCGAGTTTGTCGTTGCGCCGGACCGGAGCGACAAATTCAGGGATCCCCGGACCCGCGAGTTTGTCGCTGCGCCGGACCGGAGCGACAAATTCAGGAATCCCCGGACCCGTCATTTTGTCGTTGCGCCGGACCGGAGCGGCAAATCCAGGGGTCCCCGGACCCGTCATTTTGTCGTTGCGCCGGACCGGAGTGACAAAATCAAGGGTCCCCGGACCCGCCATTTTGTCGTTGCGCCGGACCGGAGCGACAAAATCAGGGGTCCCCGGACCCGCCATTTTGTCGTTGCGCCGGACTGGAGCGACAAAACCAGGAGTCCCCGGACCCGCCATTTTGTCGCTGCGCCGGACCGGAGCGACAAAATCAGGGGTCCCCGGACCCGCCATTTTGTCGTTGCGCCGGACCGGAGCGACAAAATCAGGGGTCCCCGGACCCGCCATTTGCATTTTGTCGGTCGTTGCGCCGGACCGGAGCGACAAAATCAAGCGTCGTCGGACCCGCCAATTTGTCGTTGCGCCGGACCGGAGCGACAAAAGCGGGGTCCGTCGGACCCGCCAATTTGTCGTTGCGCCGGACCGGAGCGACAAAAGCGGGGTCCCCCGGACCCGCCAATTTGTCGTTGCGTCGGACCGGAGCGACAAAAGCGGGGGTCCACGGACCCGCCACTTTGTCGTTACGCCGGACCGGAGCGACAAATTCATGGGTCCCCGGACCCGCGAATTTGTCGCTGCGCCGGACCGGAGCGACAAACTCAGGGGTCCCCGGACCCGCCAATTTGTCGTTGCGCCGGACCGGAGCGACAAATTCAGGGGTCCCCTGACCCGCCAATTTGTCGTTGCGCCGGACCGGAGCGACAAATCCAGGGGTCCCCGGACCCGCGAATTTGTCGTTGCGCCGGACCGGAGCGACAAATCCAGGGGTCCCCAGACCCGCCAATTTGTCGCTGCGCCGGACCGGAGCGACAAATCCAGGGGTCCCCGGACCCGCCAATTTGTCGTTGCGCCGGACCGGAGCGACAAATTCAGGGGTCCCCGGGCCCGCGAGTTTGCCGTTGCGCCGGACCGGAGCGACAAATTCCGGGGTCCCCGGACCCGCGTATTTGTCGCTGCGCCGGACCGGAGCGGCAAATTCAGGGGTCACCGGACCCGCGAAGCCCGGTGCCGGACCATGGCCGCCGAGCCGGTGCCGGACCATGGCCGGGCCCGCCGCCCGGCGCCAGATCGCGGCTACGCCGGTGCCAGCATGCAAGATGGCGGCAAAGGCCAACCTGCCAGCCGCGCCGGTGCCGGATCGTGGCCAAGCCAGTCTGGCGCTTTCAAAATCGCAGGCGGGTGGGCCTGCCTGTGCTGAAGCGCCGGAACCGATTTTCCACAGATAGACGCTGAGTTTGTGCTACTATTCATCATCATCTAGCGGAATACTATTAAGTCTGCAGGTTACTGGACACGGGAAGCGGGATAAGGCTAGTAAAGGAAGACCATCCAAATCATCTCAAACTTGTACAGTGCCTAATGAATAGAGCAGCCGTGGTCGTGACGTGCCATTGACGTTCACTCAATACGTGTATTGATGATCTTGCACGTTGTTCAGAACGACCTGCGTGTCGTGAATAACTAGAACCAAAATCGACCTCGATTCGCAACGCATCGCACTATATCAAGATCTTTTCCATGCCGCTGGCTCATGCAAATTTGGTAACGCTAACGATCTCTTTCACGCATGATAATGTGAAGATCAAGATCTCCGCCTGTCCAGGCTTGATACATCTAGAGTGTGCGGCTGTGGTAGTGGTCGTCCTTGCGTCTATTAAAGAAGTTACGCTAAGCAAGCACACGCATCTTTTTTCGGGGAGCGATCGCGCGAACAACGCAATTCCAGTACGAGAACGTTGACTCATCTTGGCTGGGGCGGTATGCCCTCGGCACGACAAGTTTAAACGAATAAGTAATTATTTTCCGACTGTACATGTTATCATTCTGTTCGATCATCAGCTTTCGTTCTGTTTGATCAAAAACGAAAAAACAGTTCGCAAGTTCAAGAAAATTGTCGACCTCCCGGGTCACAAACCCAATCTTTTTGTACCTCGGGTAATTTTTTCGAGGAGCCTCATACCTCTCCCCTTCTTTAGTGGAACGTAAATACCTTTCAAGAAAAAGCACCTCCTACTCATACATAAAACTTCGTAGAAACGTGATGTGGTTGTCCGTCTGTGCAGCGTTTCTAAAGGACCACCTAGGACAAAGTTATCAATATCAACTCAAATCTTATTTGCGTGTAATAATAATCACGAGTCCCTACTTTTTTTAAAATCAAGCTCTGCAAATTCAAATCAATGTGTGTGTCCTGTATTGCGCGAATAAAGCGTTCCACTGTGACTGATGCGTTTGGAGGACTCACATGACAAAGACAAATTTGAATCTCATATAACAGATTACGCATGCCAATGAAGTTTGTTTCGCATGTACAGGAGAATTTTCCATGCGTGCCCCCCAAACGAAACAAACTATGCACCGCTGAGAACCCCCAACCAAGCGAAAGAAAAACTGCGCTGTTCCATGCTCTGCATCACAAATTCACAGTAGAACAGTTTTTTCTTGCGATATCCCGCACACAAGGTCAATCAAGCTCAAATTAATCATGAATTTTGGGTACGAAAATTAAAGTTCAGCATCATCTTCTTGTCAAAAAAAGCTCTAACTCATCCATTGCGGTTAACAACACTATAGTGCTTTTCGCCACTTCTCAATAGCAACATCTGGGAAAAACTATACGACCACTAGGCTTCGTGTATCCATTTTATTTTCAAGTACTAGTATTGTAACTTGATGAATGAACTTTTTGCATAGTATTTGCAGGTTCAGCACGGAATTACCACGTCGAGACTTGTCCAACAGAGCGCCACGACACAAAAGTCAATTTCTTCTCAACTGCAATCAAAGAAAATCCAAATCGCGAGTGCTGATTCAAATCTGGTAAAGAACCCAACTGCAGAAGCCCCGCGCTCACCGTCGCACCCCGTAGGGGTCACAGGCATCGATCAGCGTGTCCCGGCGATTCACCTTCTCCGAGATAGACTTCGTTTTGTTGTGGCTGATGTAGTTGTGGCTACACTGGTCGCCGGCGGGGTTACAGTAAAACGGCTGTTTGTAAATCTTCTCGATTACCTGCATCTTCCGTTCGCGGTTCGCCCATCTATCAAACAAGAAAAAAACTACTTAGTAGCACGTCTTCTCCAGGCATTGGAGCAAACAAGGTTAAGGAGACAGCAAAAATACTAAATCCGCAAAAAAAACTGTCATGGAATCTACATATCCCCATAGAATGCTGCTTAAAGCCTTTTCCATAATTTTTCTGCGTGCAACGTTGATGTGTTCTTGGAATATCGATGTGCTTCAACAGTAGTTTTTTTCTGCTGGATACAACCGCTCCAGCGGGGTGAGATCGTAACTTCCCGGACAGCACGACGCCGCGTTCCTGCAAGCAACTTGGAGGTTTAAGACACGGCGCTGCTCGTTGTTGGTGAAAATCTTCAGAACGCTTTTGCAGCTGCCCTGCTTCTTGTCAGAGTGGTCGTCCTTCTCCCCATTCATGCTGAAGATCTCCTCGATTGATTGTCTCTTTTCCAGCAACTCCGCCCCATCGCCAACAGCATCACAACTCTTGACCACGCGGCAGCCGGTCATCTTGTTCCTGGTGGAGTTGCAATTGCTCCCCCCGCGCAGCGCCGGCGGGGACTTCACGTTCAGGATCAGGGCATTTTTCATGGTGCGGACATTTTTCTCGCTGCTCTCGCCGATAAACTCCCTCGAGGTAGTAGCAGACACGGCGTCGCTGATCTCGTCCGGAACTAGCCGCATGCGGTGCCCGCAGACCACCAAATCGTGGCGGATCGTGTAGAAATATCAAATGCAAAAATGTCTGGGTCTGGAAGATTGTCATGCTAGTCTGGCATGACTCTGCACTCTGTATTGCGCGGCCACCAAGAGGTCCTCTTGCCTGTCATGCAAAAGCGCAGTTTCTCATGCGAAATACGCATCACAGAAGCACGAAAAAACTTGTCGTGCTTGGCGGCGCATTACAGAGCACTTATTGTTCACGGACTTGCATCACAAGTTTCCAGACCCAGACATTTTTGCAATGCATAAGAAATCGCCGTCGGCAATATCAAAATCTTCATCGTCCACTTCATCCTGGTCGGCGTCCCGCCGCGGCGTGACTTGCACATTCAAAATCTCCGCTTTCTTGATCTGGCAAAAGTCGGAGAGCTTCAACGTGGTTTTGCGGGCGGCGTATGTCGCCCCGTGATGAAATTTGTTCTTCTTGTTGTTCATGACTTTGTTCTTTCCCGAAAAGACTTTGGAGGTTTTGATGCTGTCGTAGTTCTTCCCGAGACGACGAAAGTTGTTTTGCTTTTCCAGAAAGTATCCCAGGAAATAAAAAGCTCGTCTTTTACAGTTGTCTATACACACTTCATTTGATGCACCAGATACTTATTCAGGAGCGACTTAACAGACTTTATTTCGATTGCACGCCACCAAAAATTTTGTTCCATATCCATTTCCATGGGAGGGATCATTACAAAAGGAAACAAACCAGGAAAAAAAGAGGCTCCACCCGCCGAGCATTTCGAGCATGACAGCCTTGCTTGTTGTCCTGCGAGATGAACAGCACAATGTGTAATAAATTTCTGTTGTAAAAGACTTTTTTTCTGCGTAGAAAGCAGGCGTTGTTCAACTCCCAAGCCACGTCCGCAGGACACACCTCGCCTACCAGCTCGTTGTTATTTTCGGAATTTTGACTGTTTTCACCGCGGCTATTGGCGTCCGGCTGGATCTTCGTGAAACAGGGTTGGAAGGAGATCCGGCCTGCTCCGTCGCTCGACGAGGGTGCTTCGTTTTGTTCCTGCACCTGCGGCAACGAATCCTCGTGTTGCAGCTGCTCTTGGGTAGAGGTCATATTGTTGCTGACGCCCCCCAAAGCGGGGCTCTGCAGCAGCGGCGTGTTGCTCATCAGGGTCATAATTTTCAGCACATTACTGTCCCCGGAAGAAGTTAGACTGTTAATTTCCTGCTGCTCGGGCGAAGCCAGCAACAATTCCTCCAGCTTGTGCGTCGCTCCCCCGGTCGAGGAGTTCATTTTAGAGGTCTTGTCCAGGTCGTCGGACGCAGAGAGCGGCGCGGAAACACTGGTGGTGCTGCTTTTGTCCTCGTCGACCGCCGCCGTGGTCGGCGTGACGCTCGACTATCCTCTGTAAAAACGTCCCCGCGGCGGGGGCCCAGTAATCCAGATCTTCATGGGGATTTCGATTTCTGCTAGACATCAAACTTCTGATCTGCAGTGCAGTGGCGATTGCCAAGCTTGGCCGCATCAGAAAGCGGCCAGCACTTGGACTTGCCCATGTATCTAGAACCCAGCATGACAAACGCCAGAACGATGACTCGCAGTAGAAAGAGCCGCATGAGAAACATTAACACAAACATCCTGAGCATGCGAGCTTGCATGAAAAATCTGGGAAGGTCGTGTAGACGTTTTTACACAGGATAACGAAGCCTGGTGCTCCTTTCCGGCTCCTCCCGTCGACCCCGGGGGCGAACAGGTCGTAGTTGCGGTCGTATGCATTGCAAAAGCATCGCTCATCTAGTGTAGGTAATGGTAATCCTAATCATACATTTATTGCGCAGCATAAAAATAAAGACTGTGCGACAACAGCGCGCAAAACGGAATCTGTATAAAATGCTGGTTTGGCTTAGGGGGAACATTTGTGGTCGAGATGAAGGGTTGTATAATCATAATGCCGTCTTGCGATATTAACTAGTACGAGTATACGATTTATTTTTGCACTGGATAGGCTGTTGCAGGTCCTCCGCCGGTTGTAGTAGTCCTCGTCTTCAACATCTTTTTCCCAGAGGTTCGGCGGAAAAAGTTCTTGAACGTCCACAATTTCCGGCTTTTTTCTTCCTGGTAGGGCTTCAGGAATTTGGGGATGTCCTGCTCGAACGGCGGGGTCTCGGTCAATTCCTGCACGAAGCTCCCGATCGACTCGCCAGGCGAAACGTCCAGGGCAGAATGCGGCTGCGTTTTCGGTTTGTTCGGACAGACATGCAGAACAGATTTCTGATCTTCCTCTTGACCCGCAAGCCCCTCCTGCTTTTCGAATTCGTGATCGTGGTCGACGTGTTCTTTCTTCAGTGCAGCCGCCTTCCCCCGGTTAGCAGTAGTTGTGCCTGCGAAATCATTATCCGCTCCAGCACCACCACCGGCCTCCGCAATCGCGGCACGGTGGCGCTTCCAGAAAGCCGAGGCCCGGTCGGCCTGCTTGGTCTGCGGTTGCGCGGTGGAGAGCATCTTGCCTCTGCTTTTGCTGTTGAAGTACTAAGCTTCCCAACAAGAACTCAGGAAAGAGGTGTCTCGCTACTTAAAACAAAACAAAGATCCTCGCTCACGATGTGCCAGCACAAATAAAGATGAAATCACGGTTGCAATGCTGAACGATTGAGTCAGCACGTTCTGCTCTTTATTTGCACTAAGTATTCACCTGCTACTACAGAGTGCTAGCGTAATACCCAGTCGCCATTTTGTTTGCCACGGGGACGAGCCCCCTTTTCTCTCTACTCAAGGAGCGCCTCTCTTTTGCCAAAGCCGCTTTGGTAGTTTCTCGAGAAAAAAAAAAACGCTTCCGTTTCTTTCATCAATTTGATTTGTTCAGCTCTATCATATTTCATCCTGTAACTCAAAAGATCAGGATGACTTTACTTCTTCGGGTGTAGTAGACAGTTGTAGAAAAGCACGCTCGTTCACAAAGTCATTTTGCTATTGGTTAGACACGGCTCCGCCGCCGGACCGATAGAATGTCGTAGCTACAGAGAGTAGCAAGAATGCAAATTCTACTTTTTTACTTTTGCGTCCTTTCACTTTTCGTGAGCAGAACAGTAATTCTTTACTCTACGACTCGGCCAGCGCCAGCATTTGATGTTGCATTGGCATTTACTGAGCTCCTGCTCGACGTCTGTTCTACTTAGACAGGAAAACGACTACCACGCGCGGAGTCTTTCAATGCTGTTGCGACAGACTGCAAAATGATCAAGTACTTACTAGACCATCTTCCTTTAATATCTCAAGCTGGTCAGCCCGACCGCGTGTACGGTGAGCGCTTTTGCGATCGCTGCGAACCGCTTCTCCCCGGGCGCTCTGCTGTACAACCCGGGATCGTAGTCCATGACCGACACCGCCAGCGGGGGGAGCCTCGCGTTCTTGAAACTGTCACTCACGTCAGGAATCTCCTCCACAACGCATTTGACCAGGGACGCGTGCCCGACCAGCACCACGGCGTCGTATCAACTGCAAAAGTGTCTGGGTCTGGAAGAATGCAGACTTGTCACGCAGGTTTTCCATGACCCATGAGGTCTGGTATGTAGGACATAGGATGACAGATTCTGTGAGAGTTCTATCATGCCTATTCTGCATGAGAAACTGCCTCTCGATTAGGTCAAAAGTGACCACCTTTTGGTAATCATGCAACACAGATTTTTGGATGATTCAGATTTAGCATGACAAGTTAGATTCTTCCAGACCCAGACATTTTTGCATTTGATACGTCGCACGCGGAGTCCAAAATGTAGGACCGCAAAACCAGGTCCAGCACCGTGCCCACGCGATGCCGCCTATGCAATTCGCGAAAATGTCGAAGATTATCGGGGTCTGGAAATTTCTGCTGCTGGTTGGAAAATCACGGGGACAAGGCCTTCATTTTTGACGGCCAAAAACTTAATATGACAAGTTTTTGACTTATTGCAGTCTGGTGTTCCGCATGACAACACTAAACTGCGTTTCTGCGTGACAGAAAACTGAGCGCTTTGGGTGAAAACGTGCATGACAGACGGGAGCATCATTCTGGCCGAGCATGACAAACAAGTTGCATCTTTTCAGACCCGGACTAAAACATTTTCGCCATGCATACCGCACCTGGGCCTGCGACTCGCCGCCGTGGTCGCACCAGGAAGGGTTGGTGCGCCACTTTTCGATTTGGTTGGGGAAATACTTCTATCTAATGCAAAAATGTCTGCTCTGGGCCCGCTGGAAAGCTGTTGACATTGTCACGCAGCTTCTGCCTCACCGAGAAGGTCCAGAACGCACAGCATAGCATCACAGGTTTTCTCAACAAGGCCCCCCCAATGTTTATTCCGCATGAAAAACTCAAACTCGCTGTCCGTGTGGCAACAATAAAAGAACAACAAAAAAAAGAGGTCGCGCAAAACAGATTTTCGTGTTACTGCCAGCGAGCATCACAAGTTTGCATCCTTCCACAGGACGCAGACATCACGTTTGCAGTTGGTAGCTTCTCCACCTCCGCTTCGGTCAACCCCGTCCAATCGCCGACATCCCGAGCGGTAAGCTCGTTCAACACGATGGGCACCTCGTGAAACTCCGAACAAAACATCGCTGCCACCGCCCGCGCTCGTCTTAACGGGGAAGAAGCAATGACATCCTGCGCAAAAACGTGTACTACTGCTACCCCAGTAGCAAGATCAAGATGGCATCAATGATTTTTCTGCTACGCAATAAATTGTTCTGCAATCCTGATTAGGGCATCTTCATAAGTAATTTTTACAAACTATCAGCTTCAGCTTTTGAGAATGAGGCTGCGCATAAGACATCTGGACCTGCACAAGAGCTTCCATGATTCTTAGAACCCAGCAGAATTTCTAATTCTATGTCAGATTTGCATGACAGGCCTGAACCGCAATCAGTACGTTTTGGCGCATGGGATAGATGACCACACGCTTGGCCTTGTTCGCCTTGAGCACCTCCGCTAGCTGCACCGCCAGCTGCGCACCGGCCGCCAACGTGTTGGGGGACGGCTCCGGGTCCAGCCTCCCGGTGAGCAGGTCGCCGCATCGGAGCGAGACCAGGAACAGCTTCACCTTCTTGGGCGGCTTCACGTGGTGCTGCGTGTAGCTGTTTGTCGTCGTCGTGCCGGGACCGGCACTGCTGTATCCTGAGGAAAAACGTCCCCATACCAGAGTCAAGATGGAGAATCTGCTAGACAAATGGGCCAACTTTGGCTGTTTCGCATGACAAGTTTGTCCTCGTAGTGTGATCCTGAGTAGCTAGCTCAGCAGCATCACAGATCTAGCGCATCATGCTATTTCTAGCATCACAAATCCCAAAACACGACTAGAAAAAGCTTCTCATGGCGCTTTGCATGAGAAACTTTTTTGGCATGCAAATTTGCATGGCAACTCTGGGGTGGGGACGTTTTTAGTCAGGATATGCTGCTGCGGATCCACATCACCATGTCCACGGTGCTTGGTTGCTCTTCCGCACCGGATATCAGATGCAAATATGTCAAGGTCAGGAAGAGTGCGCGATTTGTCGTGCAGTTTTTCCATGACCCATGAGGTCTGGAATGCAGGACCTAGCGCGACAGATTCTGTGTGATCTCTATCATGCCTATCCTGCCTGAGAAACTCCCTCCCAACTTGGTCAAAAGGGGACGACTTTTGGTAATCATGCAACACAGATTTTTGCATGATTCAGAAGTAGCATGAAAAGTTGAATCCTTCCAGACCCAGACATATTTGCAATGCATACCGGATTTGCTGCTGCTCCGAAGCACGTCGGCGCTGGTTGTCGTGCTGTCCTTGGAGAGTCTCTCCTCCCGTTCTCGCTCCGTGCTCTCTTCCAGACTGCGCAGCCGCTGGTTGCTGTGCACACGGTAGTTGAGAAACAGGTCCCCCTCCCGCTGGTACAAAGGCAGCACGTCCGCGTAGCGGTCGCGCTCCAGGCAGAACTCCACATCCCGGGTATTGAGAGGAAAAATCCCCCCTCCCCATATCGAAAACGAAATTTGTGATGCTGTATTTGAGGTCACAAACCGACTTGTCATGCTAGAAGGCCAAGAGCCGCAGTCGTGGCCTCGTTTGCAGGCAATTTGTCATGCTTAACAGACTGCGCGACTAAAGCCCGGGGGGGTGCGGGGTCCGAGGGGTGCACTAAGCACTGCCCGGAACACCCGAACATGCCCCGCGACTGGCACAGGACCAGCAACACAACTAGAATCGCCGATCTCAGTTTGTCGATCACGACGTAGCTGCGAAGCCGTCCATACGCCTGGCGCCCCAAGCACAACCCCACCTCCGAGGAAAGGCCTCGACCCAAGAGGAATTGCTGGTGAGCTTGCGGCACGACGAGCTGGGAGCGCCTGTTACTGAGAAGGACGATACTTGAAGCTTATCCCCACCGCAACACTGGAACTGGCTGGAGAGCGCCGGAATGCGGGAAACTGACGGATTGTTACACAGAAGAACGTCAGCATATGAAACGGGAGGATGGTGGTCCAGCAGCACGCGAGACGCAGGTACCGGCGCGGCGCAGTCGGAGGGACGGGTGGCCCTGCAGGAGCGACGTGAGGCACTCGCCGGGCGGAGGGGCATCGAGCTGTCGGTTTTGCCATAGAACCGCGGAGATGAAAGACAGCTGCGAATTGCCGGTCGTAGGCTGGTGAGGCGGGTTTGGTGGCGTGGACAGTCCTCCACTACCTACTGATCGGGCGGCTACCGTTAGTGTGCGCGTACACCTTGGAGTTGTGGGCCGCAGCGGTATGTCACGGAGATCGGACCCAGAGAGACGTGTACGACCCTGGGCATCTCGCGATAGTCGTCGGCACAGTGCGAGCGGGTTGTGAGGCGGACTGATTGAGCGGCACCGCAGCGGACGGCTTAGAATCTATCTTCATGGCGAGCTGGAGGCTGACGCTGGCTCTGTGCGTATGCTGAGGAAGAAACACGGAGGTGGGCTCTTCGAGACACGTTCAGCTACGTGGCTGGTAGCACCGAGGCAGGCGTCATAGATAGAAGAGAGATAACTGAGGCGAAAACAACGGGGACTATCTTGCCCTACATCTGCGAGAAGCCATACATACTCGCACTGACATGCATAGTCTACCGACGTTGACTGACAGATCTCAGCCCACTTCCGGCTCTTGGATGCACAGTCCGTGGAAACGGCTTGCTGGCTCACCGATTCGTCGCGCGGCTCCGCAGCGCGTTCCGCTGGCTCGAGTCTCCTGCGGCTCCTGACTTAGTGATTTTGTTATTGGAAGAGGACACAGAGAGACTATTTCATGAGGCTTCTACTTCGTCATGCGTGGGCTCCATCAACAACACAGGCCCGCGGTCCTCTCTTAGGCCGCAACTATGCGGCAACCACGCCTTCGTCCCTATTATGTACTTTTAGATGTCATGCAAGGGGCCGGAGCAGAAAACCAAAAAACAGACGCAGAGCAGAACTACGAAGTAAACGAAAGTAAGACGAGAAGTGACAGTCGTACGCTTTTAGCATTGCCATAGTCGTGCGATTACAGCCTGCTTTCCGAAAGCCACATGTTTGCCGGCTGGGCCCTAGCAGGCCAGGTACGAAAAGGACGATGACAGACGACGACGATGATAAAGTTAGTTTTTGCGGTGACGGGCGACAGTAGCTTTCTTTTGACTTTGTTCTAACTTGAAGCTATTTAGTGCGTCGGCGTCGAGCGCACTTTTGCCGAAGCAGCATGCTATGGCGCCAAAAGCCTATCTTAATGTTGTTGCGGGATTATGCTCGTGCGCGGGGCTCCTTTTCTCTCAGCTTCGAGCTCATGTCGCTTCTACGTTTCATGCTGTTTCCCACTCTCAGCTGCCTCCTATCATGCTGAAGATGCAAGGCTTCCCCACGCCACCCAGCACTACAGTCCGCATCTTTTCCCGTGTAGCATGACAAAGCTGATTTGTGACAACAAATCTGCATCACAGATTTCCGCTTTGATATGGGGAGGGGGGATTTTTCCTTGTGATACCGGGAGAGCCCGATCCTCTGGAGCTCGCGCGCCCCCGGCGTGGCGGAGAACTTCTCGCACAGGTCCCGCCACTGCGCCAGCGCGACGCCGGTCCGCATCAAAATGGACGTGGCCGCCACGTCCAGCATGAGCTTCTGCGGTCGCGGGATCTCCGCGAGCAGGGTGCGCAGAATGTACGCAGCACAAATCTCGTCGTCGAACGATTCCCGCAGGCCCCGATCCTGCCCGGAGCAGACCAGCAGAATCGACCGCACCCGCCCGCAGTTCGCGATCACGAAGCGCGCGCATGCGGACACGTTCAGAAAGGACCCGAGCACCAGAAACTTCGCACGCCGGACCCACGGCAACGCCCGCGTTCCGTTCGTGGTCAGGAACAACCCGACCCGATCGGCCCCCGGCCGCCGTTTCGTCGTTTTCTGTTCGCCCGTCGCGGTCTGGTTCGAGAGGAAATCTTCGTGCGCCGGGAGAGTGGATGATGGAATTTTTTTCCCATTCCCTGACGCGGGCGAAAGAGAGTAGTTCGCATCTTTCTTGCCTTTCCCAGCACTCCCGGAAGCTGGCGGGAGACAAGCCCCTTCTGGCGCATCTTCTGGGCTAGCAAAACTTCGCTCGGAGAACGACGACTGCGCCGAGGATGTTTCCCGGCTGAGTGCCGCGTCGTGTGGCGGCATTTTCAATTCGGGTGTCGTCGGCCCGACTACACCATTTGTACTTCGTTTCGTGCCGCCGCCCCCGCCGGCGCGCAATTCTACCGCCGACGTTTTTGCGTGGACGGCGGTGGTAATGTCTCCGGGCAGGTAGCTCAGGGGGGAGTTGTCCCTATCGAACCCGGGCATGAGAGTCCGCTTCTGTTCCCCACCGAGCAAGCAGTCCCCAGGCACGTACTGCTGGCTCGCGTGCTTAATCTCGGCCACGGACGAAAACAAACGGCAGCTGTTCAGGCCCTCGCCCATCGCGGTGACAACGGTGGAACTCATTCGTAGCACGTCAATCAAGATAACCAAGGCGTCCGGCAGGTGGTGCTCCGGCGCGAGTCGGCCGGGGGTCGACACGATGGAGATCAGGGTCGACGCTTCGTTTTGCGCCGACTTCAGGTAGTTCACTTGCTGGCCCAGCAAACTCGCTGCGCTCTGGTTCAACAGCTGCTGTGACGCTAGCAGCGAAGATGAAGCAGTTGCATTGTGGGCCGCCCCTGGAGGGGCTGTCGCCGGTCCACCGGTGGCTGGATTTGAAGCAGACGCTGCTGAGCTGGGTGCTTTTGCACCGTCCCGAACAGTTGCTGTGCCACTACTCCTATCCTGTGCAAAAGTATCGCATCTATTTTAAGTAGAAATCCTCCTCAGCATGAGAAATGAGCTTTGTAATGCTGAATCAGGTAGGAAACCGCATCTGTCGCGCATGCTCGCAATTCCTACGAGTACGAGCACAATACTTTTGCAATGCATAACTCCCCACCGGACTGGTGCCTGCGGTTGCGACTGCGGCATCGTACTCTTGCTCCCCCCCGGAGCGGAAGACGTCAAAGTCGGGCAAGGGCTGCGCGTCTGGCGCCAACACATCAAAGGGCGCGAGGAGCACCTCCGCGTTGTGCTTCATGTTCATCGTCGCGGTCGCTGTTTGTCGGTACAAGGCGTTTTCGGGATTGTTTTGCGAGGTGTAATATGCATTGCAACTGCGTCCGCGTCTGTAAGAATGCTTCGTTATCTTCGTTTCGAGTACTAATGATAAAGCCACCAGAATCTGTGATGCACGAACCGGACCTGCGCCACATAGTGGTCTGTCGTGCAAATAAAGTGCGACTCCTTCATCTCATGCTATAAAAAATCGACACGAAAATAAGTATTATCCCTCAAGAAATACTTGTCATGCTAAGGTACGTCGTACCAAAGTGCGTTTCTCGGGGAGCCGCGACTAGCATCACAAGTTCTTTGTCTTTCCAGACCCAGAGAGACACGAACAGAGTTCTTGAATTTTATGCATATGTAGAAACTGGTATCGGACTCCGGAGTATGCATTGCAAAAGTATCGTACTCGTACAAATGCATTACAAATTTCCTCAGCATGAGAAAGAAAATTTGTAATGCGGATTTGTAATGCATGTTTGCAATCACTACGAGTACGATACTTTTGCACAGGATACGGAATGTGGGACCACGACTTCATCAGAGACCGCAGATTATCAGGTGTAAAAGTGTCTGGGTCTGGAAGAATGCATGTTTGTCATGCTTGTCTGGCATGACTCTATAAATCTGTCATGCACGTTACCCAAGAGCTCCGCTTTTCTGTGATGCAAGAACGCAGTTTGTCATGCAGAATAGGCAACACCTAGAAGGAGCTCAGAAACTTGTCATGCTGAGCCAGCATTTGTGGCTTCATCATGAGACGCCACCCGGCATCACAAGTTTCCAGACCCAGACATTTTTACATTTGATACAGATTCCGCTGCGTGCTCCTCCGCGTGTTTCCCGTCAGCGACCCGGTTGGGGTCTATCATATGTAAAAACGTCCCCACCCCATAGAAGTCAAGTTGGAAAATTAGCAACACAAATCCAGAAGTTTTGGGAGCCAAGCATGACAAGCTGCAGTCCGTAGTGTAGTGCATGTTAGCAACGACAACCGCATCACAAATCCATCTGCTTTATCCTCTTTACAGCATTACAAATTCCAAAACACGATTGGAAATGCCTGTCATGGAGATACGCATTTTTACAAATCTTCCTGTAATTGCAAATCTGCAAACAACTCTGGGGTGCGGGCGTTTTTACACAGGATAGGGTCGGGGTCAAACTCAGACTCTGGCCCTCGAGGTGAACCGGCGTGCGGGGAGCTACCACCCCGCCCAGGTTTATGATTCCCGAGTCACCGCTCGGTAATTTCGGCAGCAGGGGGTGGCCGCCGTGTGGTGCTGCCGTTGGTGGAACCTTCGCGCCGGCGCATGCTGTTCCGCCCGAGGCCGCCGAACCATCGCGCCCTCCCGCGAGAGCTGCGGTCAAAGCACCGGGGGTGGCTGCACTAGTCGCCGCGAGTGCAGCCGGCGCACTCGTCCCAGTCAAGAGGTCTTCTAGGGCGATAGACGACGACTCCTTACTGGAGGACCGCAGATTGGACGCCCCGTCCTCAGAAAACTCCTGCAGACACAGCCGGTCCGACTATCCTGTGTCAAAACATCTCCACCTCATACTTCTCGTCACGCATCAAAACTGCATGCCTAAAAAATTGTGTGTCAAGCGCAGGAGCCGCCCCATCAGAAGCGTTTTCTAATGTTGTTTTGTAATTTGTGACGCTGGAACAAGGATAAGCTGATCGAAGTTTCATGCGGCTCGCTGCACTAAGTAGCCAAAGAGGACCACGTACAGCACGAGCCCAAACTTGACAGGTGCAAGAACAGGCAAAACTTTTTAGTCTGTGTAGCAGTGCCCGCATCGTGACACTCTGGGGAGATCAACATGGGGACATCTTTACACGGGATACTGACTTGGCCTTCGTTATCTGCTCCTGAATCGCTTGGAAATCCACCGCGCGGCGGCCGACGTAGCTCACCTCGCAGGACTTGTGCTCCACGTCAATCTCCAGCAGCGATACACTGGACGGCGGGATGGACGCGCCGAGGTCCACCCACTGAGACTGCGAGAGCCCGGCGAGGAGGCCGATCATGGAGCAGACGATGCTGCAGTGGGTGACCACGCACACTATCAAATGTAAAAATGTCTGGGTCTGGAAACTTGTGATGCTGAATTGCGCATGATTGAAGCGCTTCCAATGGCAGCCAAGCATGACAAGTTTTTGAGAGGTCTGCTGATGCCTAGCACGCATTACAAATTGCGTTTTCGCATGACACAGAAAGCCTCTGTGTTGCTGCTCATGCAACACAGATTTTCCAGGAATGCATGACACGCATTACAAGTTCCAATTTTCCAGACCCAGACATTTTTACATTTGATACACACGTTCGCCGTACCGGGCACGTTGTTCGGATCCACGGCGGAAGACCCGGCGCCCGCCGCCGAACCACTCCCGCCGGTGCTGCTGTTGTATCCCGCAACGAATTCTGCGGGGTATATGGATTGTAAAAGTGTCTGGGTCTGGAAACTTGTGATGCTGGGTGGCGTATCATGAAGAGGCCACAACTGCTGGCCCAGCATGACAAACTTTTGAGCTTCTAGGTGTTGCCTATTCTGCATGACAAAGCGCGTTTTTGCATGACAGCAAAACGGCTCTCTTGGGTAACGTGCATGACAGATTTAAGAGTCATGCCAGACAAGAATGACAAACATGCACTCTTCCAGACCCAGACATATTTGCATTTGATAGGGTAGAGGATGCAGCGACGCAGGATCTTGTCCATGGAGTCCTTGACCCGGCGGATCACCTCCACGTAAGACTCCCCCCCGTGCTCTATCCTATGTAAAAAAGTCCCCACGACCCCATAGTCAAGATGGGGAATCGGCTAGACAAGTCCACCAGTTTTGGCTGTTTCGCATGACAAATTTGGGCTCTTAGTGTAGCTCTGTTTGATGTAGTTCAGCAGCATCACAGATCTGGCATATCATGCTGATTGCAGCACGACAAATTCCAAAACACGATTAGAAAACGCTTCTCATGGAGCTCCGCATGACACACACTTTCAGCATGCCGCTTTGCGTTTACAAGTACGACTATGGCGTGGGGACGACGCTTTTAAATACGATATGCTCCCCCCACTGCGGATCTTCGCACCACCGCTGCCAGTCCCCGGGGAAGTACCGCTCGATCTCCGGGAGGGGCAAACCGCTCCAGTCCCCCCGGTGGATGGCGACCAAGTCCGTGTCGATTTGCGGCGTCAGCGCGTGCGGAGCCGCTATCAGCTCCGCCGTGACTGCGGTCCGCAGCAGCGGACTGCAAATCACCAGGGTCAGCTATTACAATGAAAAATGCTCCCACCCCCGAACTTCAAAGCATTTGTATTGCAAACCTTTCCAAATGAAACATTCGCCCTCTTGCATGTATCAGCATCACAGATTTACGATCGTGAATAGCAAAAATTTGTATTGCAAAAGATCCCAGCAAAAGCGGTGCTTGTCATGCAAGCGATGCGAAACAGCATTAGAATCTGCATCAGAAAGATTCATATTCCTTTCATACATGACAAAAAGGTTTCATTTGGAAACTTCGCATCACAAATTTTTGCAACTTTGGGGGTGGAGGCACTTTTCACTGTAATATCAGCTGTTCCTGCGCCAAGCAATTCGCCAGCGCGGTTGCCTCCGCCATGCCCTCCGCGGAGAGGGTGGGGTTCATGAGGCCCACCATGGACTTCGCCACCGATTTCTCGTAGTCCCCGTGCCTATGGATTGCAAATATGTCTGGGTTTGGAAAGATCCGAACATCATGTGATGCGCATTTCACATCACACAAAAATCTCTCATGCATGGACAGCAAAAGATGCCCATTTGAAGATCTTGTCACCGAAACAAGAGGCGATCTGTCATGCGCATATAGGCATTGCGAAGCCTTCGCAAGATTTGTGACGCTAGACCCGCATTCCAGACCTTCCAGGGCATCCAAAACCTGCATGACAAACCTGGCAATCTTCCAGGAGACCCAGACATGTAGTCTGCATTGAATAGTGCCGCATCGCGAACAGTCTCACCTTCTTCAACGACGCAGACCGGTCTAGACTCCCGAACTGGTCGTCGATTCGGAAGAGCTTGTTGTGAAAGGCGCGCGAAGAAGATAAAGCACTCGTCCCATGATCAGGCGAGAGTGGGTGGGCCGAGAGGCGCTTTCGGAAGGAGCTGGAGCGCTGCGTCGGCGTCGGAGAGCGAGAGGAGCTGGCCTGCTGCGTCGGGCTGCTCGTATGGTCTGCGCCGGCCGCGGAAATAGTTCGCTCTTTTCCCTTGTCACGGCTGCTGGGCGAGGAGTCGGCTTTATCCTCCTTGATGTTCTTGTAGAAGTCGTGGTCGACGTCCTTACGATTGCCATTTGTTCGCACCTCAGCCACTTTGATCATGCCCTCCACCGTCGGGGCTGAAGCGTTTTTTTCTTCCCTTGCGCTGCCGCCGGAGAACGATCCGCTTGATTCCTCTTTATTTGACGCCGACGTGGTCGCAGGAGCGCGACCATGATGACCCTGCTCTTATCATTTGTAAAAACGTCCCCACCCCAGAGTGAAGATGGAGATTATGCAACACAAACCTTGAAGTTTTGGGAACCACGCATGACAAATTGCAGGCTGTAGTGTAGTGCAGTTTAGCAAGGGAAGCCGCCTAACAAATCCATCTCCTTATGCTGTTTACAGCATTACAAGTTCCAAAACACGATGGATAATGCCTCTCATGGGGATGCGCATTACAAACGCTCTTGTGCTTGCAGATCTGCATGACAACTCTGGTGTGGGTACGTTTTTACTCAGGATAGCTCTCTGGAAATCTGTCGCGACTTCGTCCCCGCCGCCTTCCGCCTCTCACTCGGACTTTTGGAAGAACCACAATCTGCCTTATCAAGTGCAAATATGTCATCGAATGCCCCACGTGTTGAGATCACACAGATGACCTGGCATGCAGAAGCGCACAGATACAGAAGCAAGCATCCCAATAAATTTTGCAAGAGGCACCAGCTTTCAATGCCTAATATCCCGCAGCAGCAATTTGCCCGTCGCGTTTTCAGCAGGAAGTTCCCAAGAACATTGTTTTGATGGCGTTCATGTTGCAAGAACACAGATATTTTTGTGCGCTTGACTTACCATAACAAGTCGCTCTCTTGCAGACCCAGACACCTAACTCACTTGCAGTGCATATGCCTCGTCGCTGGACAAGTCGTCCTCGTCGCCGCCGGCTAGCAGTTATCAAATGCAAAAGTGTGTGGGTCTGGAAGATTCTGAGACTTGTCATGCATGGTCGGCATGAGCCATGACGTCTATGATGCATGCCCTAGCATCACAGGTTTTTTGAGGGATTCTTGATGCCTATTCCGCTGCTGCTCATGCAACACAAATTTTTTAGACCTCCAACTGCAGCATCACAGGTTCCAACCTTCCAGAGGACCCAGACATTTTTGCATTTGATAGCAGTTCACTCAGGGCGAGAACTTTCCGCTCGCCGAGCTCCACCGCCCCCGCCACCTCCTCGGTCGCGACAGACTTGATGAAAGTCCGATTCTTCAAAACCTCGTCCGCATACGCACTTGCGGCAGCCTCTGCGACGTCGTGGTCCACCCCTGCCGGTATTTCTAATGTAGAAGTCGTTCCCCCAGCAAGAGGTGGAACAGGACGGCCGCCGGTCACGGCCGCGTGTTGAGACACGCCGTCTTGTGTGCTTTTGTTCGAACTGGTGGCCGTGCCGCTGTTCTGATCAATCACCGACTGCTGTTGCCCTTTACCTCGACCCTCGGTGGATTCCTTACTCCCCTTGTCCGAGGAGGCCTTCTGGGCTCCTTCCGGAAAAGCACTTCCTTCGGAGGAGAACATCTGCCCGATCTGGCCCGCCGCCGCCGGCGCCAAGGAACCACGACCGGCGAAAGACCCGGCGGCGGCGCTTGCGGCGTGCAAATTCGGCGGCACCAGCACCGACTGGTGCTGTCGGAGAAACAGCCCGAGTAAGGGACAGTACACCGGCAGCGTGCTCTATCGCAAGAAAACACGACTGTTGTAAACTTGTCGTCGTGGGGTCCAGAGAATGCAACACAGAAGTCTGTTTGTCTTGCTAAACATAACATGGTGCATCCCATTTTTGGATTTTTCAGTGTGCAGTTTTAGGAAGCACGCAATGCAACTTTTTCTTGTCAGGTCCCGCCTTAGGGATGTGATGCAAAATGATCTTGCCAAGACGAAGAACTCGTATATTCCATGAAACAGTTCAATATGTTCCGTGCGATATGCTCGGAAAGTAGTCGATATCCAGCAGAAAATTCACGTCCGTGATCGCCCCCTCCCCGAACTGAAACACCGTCGGGCCCTTCCGAAACCGGCGGCGCAGGTCCGTGACCACGTCCTTGCTGTCGACTTGCTGCATCACCAATCTCGCGGAATCGTCCAAGAGCAGCGACGATGGGTTGGGCACGGATTGCATGAGCATCCAGAGCAGGTACGCAGTGACCAACTCGTCCTCGGAGCTCCGATTTTGGCCCCGGTTGTAGCCACAGCACACGAAAATGATGGGCGGCGGAGTGGTTTGCTCGCCCGCATCCTGCCGGTCCTCGACGCGCTGCAGCGCGGACTGCGCGCCGGTGTTGGCCGCGGCGCCGGAGGTGGTGGCGCCGGAGGTGGTGTAATCTTGCACCAAGGCTGAAATCACCGCGGACGCGTTCAGCAGGGAACCCAGCAACAGCCTCTTCGCGTCGCGGACCCAGGGAATCGCACGGGTTCCGTTCGTCGTGTAGAGCAGTTATTCCAATGAAAATAACCGCCCCACGACCCCCGAAAGTAGATACTAATTGTTCTGATGCAAAGTTTCCACAGTACATGGACACAGACACCGTTTGTCTTGCATGAAAGGTGGACTTTGGGTCTTCCTGAAGATGTAGAGGCATCTTCCAAGAAGTCACAGGCCAGGCTGTTGCTGGGGGCCCTTTTTGCAGTGCAGATTTTTGTTGCTATTCACCACTGGAAATTTGTGATCTTGAGGCATGCAAGATGACGACTGTTTCCGTTGGGACGAACAAGCTTTGAAGATGCCATACAAATGCTTCCACGTTCTGAGAAAGATCATAGGGGCACAACTGTTCAATAGGATAACAACACCGTTTTGTTCTCTACTTTAGGATCCAAAAACGACTTCGCGTCCACGCCCTTGTCAAACCGCTTAATGCGATCGCCCTCGGCTGTGACGCCGCAACGAAGCGTTCTGTCCGGGTCCAGCCCGTCCGCGACCTTGTTCAGAGCGTACACCGACCCGCACAGCTGCACGGCGTTCGCGCCCGAGCCCAACGCCGTCACGGCCGCCGACAACACAATGTGCTGCACCAGCACCACGACGCTGTTCTGCACCTCGTGCCGGGGCGCGACCTGCCCCGGGAGCAAGACCACGGACACCTTGCGTTGTGTCAGCGGCACCACCGCACCGGGATCCGCCGCCCCGAACCGCGCCATCGAAGTACTAGTATACGGCGACGGCAGCCAGGGTGTCGTGCGCGCAGTGAAAGTGCTGGAATGTTGGGGTAGTAATTGGTGGCGGAGTCCGTACGCACTTGCACTTGAAGATGTCAAGGCCGTCAACGTCGCCGGGTTACTCGTTACAACCGGGGTTGGTTGTTGTTGTTGACCCCCGGTGGTGGAGGTCCCGAAAACGACCTTGCTGCCGCTGTTGCTTTTGGCGGGGAGAACTACACCTTTTATTCTATTAGAGCATCTAGATCTAGAAGCTATTGTATTTGCGAAGTAGTGGACAAGAAGGCCCCCGTCGTCGAGGACTTCTCCTTGTCCCCCAGCAGCATATATGCTTGCTGAGCCAGCATAAAAATTACGATTGGTATACTAGAGACCACAAGTTGCGAACACCTGCGCACACACCACAAGTTGCGAACACCTGTTAAAAACCGGAAACGCACACAAGCACTGGAGGAGATGGCGGAGGACCTCAAGGAGAGGCTTGGCAAAGTCGAAGACCGGCAGGACCTGCAGCAGAGGGCACACGAGGAGCTGACGGAACGCATTGGAAATGTCGAGGAGGAAATTATGCTCGCGCTAGAAGACCAAAATAAGGAAACAAAGGAGGTCAAGAAGGCGGTCAACGAGCGCACCGGCGGCATCCACCAGGCTATTCAAAATATCGAGATTCTCATCCGCAACTGGCAGATCAGCACGCAGCAAGGAGAAATCATCAGTGACATCCCCACCGAAGAGAAAAACGTCTCCGCTGATAAAGTCGCTGCGTCGCAGCTGCAGGCTCTAGTGCAAGAGCAACAGCAGCAATCGTCGCAGCAGCAGGCGGGAAGCGGAGCCAGCAGTAAGAACAAATCCAACACGGCGAAGCGCTCCAGCACGACCGGCGTTTCCTCTTCAGCGGCAAGCACACTCTCTTCGAAGAAAAGTAATCAGGTCTGGGTGACCAAGGACAAAAACGCAGAAAATTATACTCAACATATATCCCTATAATCTGCATTATACTCAACATTTCAGAATCTGCATCGGGTCCTCTAGAAGATGCAGCTCCATTGTATCCCTAGGGTCATCTAGAAGCTATACTCAATCGCTCTTCATCATTCTATTCTAGAAGCTGCCGCTGTTGCTCTTGGCGGGGAGAACAGCACCACTAAGAGCCTGTACGATTAATCGACCCCCTTCTCGATACCGAGAAGCCCCCCCAAATCCGGATCCTGACCGACCTTACCCCCCTACGCCCCCCTTCTCGAAATCGAGGGGCTTTTTATCGCGAATCCTGTTTCCGAAATTGAACGCCGGTGCTACGGCGCATTTTGCGCCATTATTTTCTTTTTGTGAGATTACAGCGCCAGGCGCGGTTTCGCTTCGAGTAGATGCTATTTAATACCAAGCGAAACACATATCGCCCGCGCTGTGGCGCTTTTTCTACTTCGTGCAGTTTTTCCCAAAAGAGCGCAGTCAGGTGGTCTCTGGCTCGTTTTGCAGTGCTTGCCACAAAGCAAAATAGCCCTCTGCTTCTGCTGATGTCTGCCACTATTCTCGCTAAAACGACCAGAAAGTCTCTTTTCGGAGAGCAGTCGTAGCGCAACTATTTCGCAACAGAAACACGCTGCGCGCACGCAGTAAAACAACAGATCCGCTCCCAAGTAGATCCCGGACACCCTTACTCTTTCGCAGCCCGCGGCCCCTTTTTCAATCGGGCCGCTTTTTGTAAGCTTCTCTAGAAACTTGTCCTCTCTATGGAGGTGGTGCTTGATGTATTTCCTCCTGATGTGGCTTCTAAAAAGTCATCTTGGTGCTAACCACACCAAGAAAAGCTTCTGCTCCACTAAGAAGAGAAAAAAGCACAACCGCACTACCACCCCGCACCCATATTTTCTGGATTTGCCATCTTTGGTGCGGTGGACGGGGGAGCTCCGATTTTGCGCGCGGCCTCATAGTTGTGCTTTTTGGACACGACTTTTGTAGCAAAGCAAGAGGAGCAACGCCGAGAAACTGGAGCTAGGTTTCTTGCGTGCCCTGCCTGGCAGTTATCATCTGAGTACTGAATCACTACTGCGTTGCCTTTGTCCTAAGCTGTTGCTTTTGGCGGGGAGAACTACACCACTAAGAGATGATGAACTTTGCGTACTATTTGCCATTTGCGTCGGCGACGTGGCAGACGGATCGGGAAAACTCTGGTTCACCGGGGTAGCAGACCCAGCCCCCGCGGCGCGAGGGGGAAATAAATGAACATCCCGGTCCTTCGGCGCGGTGGCGGTGGCGGGGTCGTCCGGTACTAGTGCCGGTTGAAGATGCAGGGGAATCAAGGGCTTCAGCTCCGGTAGTTCCCGCTGCTTCTCCAACTCGGCCATCCACTCCTCTAGGTCGGCGTCCGTATTGTGAGGAAAGATCCCTCACTCCCATATCAAAACAAAGTTTGGATTTCTAATGCTGGACCTCCGTACACAGGTCAGACTTGTCTTGCGGTAGAGGACTGCAGGCATATGCCAAGCCTGAGCAGAGAGGTCTTGATGTAGGCCCCTAGCATGACAACAGTCGACACTGTAAGCCCAAAAGCATCACAAACCGCCCGCATAATTCGGCGGACGCTCTGGATTTGCATTCTTGCAAGACAGCCAGGATTTCATTTGTGGTCACAAATCTGCATCACAAATGCGCTTTCAATACGGGGAGGGGGGATTTTTCCTTTTGATAGTCCGTGACCACTCCCTTGGTCAAAACCTCCTCCTGACACAGGGTCTGCGCCACGTCGAGCCGCGTCTCCGGAATCTTGTGCAGCGACACGATCACGTAGCGGCACCCCCCCATCCAGACCGACCGCGCGCGGACGATGCACCACGACTGGTTGGCCTTCGCGATCCGCATGGTGGACACCCATTTCATGCAGCCCCGATTGTCGTTCATCGTCTGCTGCAGCCGAGACTTGGCCTCCCGAGGGTTCTGCACCCACGGCGCAAACTATGACAGTGCACAACTCCCCCTCCCCCTCATTTGTCATGCAAAATACCCAATCCACCCTTTGCCTCTTGGCACTGTTGGCATGACAAATTCTGGCACTAGCCCAAATAGCACTACAATCCAGTGCAAATTTGTCATGCATACCCGACTGCACCACATCAAAAACCTTTGCACCGTCGCCGCAAGCAGCTACGGACGCAGGAGATCTAGGGTCAGAACCTTTGTCATGCAAGACCGGCAATCTTGCTGATGCTTGTATTGCCGAGAATGCTATACAAATGAGAGGGGGAGTTGTGCACTGTCATACAAACTCCACCGGTTCGAACACCGTCCAGAAGGATTGGTCAACGACCGATATTATGCACATTGCATACATATCTAGGTCTGGAAAAGGATGCAAACTTGCCTCTGATGGTACTACGCAGTCGGGTACGCACAAAGTAGACAAAAGTCTGTGTTTGCAAGAACAACGATCTTCTTCGCCGCCCACTTATTTTTACCAAGAAGTAGAAGTAAAGGGGCGATTTATAGTCGGATAAAGGGGTTGTACTTATTAGGCATCGAGAGGCCTCCTTCTGCCCAGTTCGTGTAGAACTACAAGAAGTGCTTGTACCATGTGCATTCCAGGTCTCCCACCTGCGAGGACCCAGATATTCTATAATCTTTGCATTTCCTACAGGTCAAGATCGTCGCCGGAGAGACGGCGGCAACATAATCTTCACTAGTGCAGCCAGTACTAGCCGCGTCCACAACCTGCCGCGGTCCTCCAGCTGTTAAACTGCTCCCGTTGCCCGGCCCCGCAGCTCCGGTACTCGTCGCGGCAAGCAGCGCTCTCAACCCCTGGGAAATCCCACACACCACGCCGTCTCCGACGAGAAACTGCGCTTCCTGCTGTGGCGTGATGAAGGAAAGTGCCAAGGTATCGCCTGGAAGCAAAACGCAGCACCCACGACCCCCGAGTGCTTCTCATGCAGATTTGCATTTGAAGGAACATGTGTCCTTACCGTCATGCGCCCCCTTGAGAAAAACCAGACGGGAAGCGTTTTCGCTCGATAATAATTCGAAAAAATGTAGTTGTAGTTATCATGCTCTAATCGCGCTAAAAAGCACCAGATGGCTTTCTCGTCGTGCGAGTGTGGTGCACGCTGGCCCGCTCTGTAATGATACATACCCATACAAAAGTCCTGATGCGCCGCAAGAATTCGCAACAAATGAAGTGCAGCACTTGTCTAGCAGGCTTATTCATCCCATGTTCTTCACTCTGGAACGCGTAGTACGCGGCTTTGACAGAGGATACAAGGCCCGGTGCTGGTTCCGCTCTTCCTCATTCTGGTCCAGAGACAGCGATCGCGCGGAGTCGCTCCGCGTGGCGGACGGGTTCGAACTGATCCGACGCATGATGAGTCGCTTATCAAGACATGGCAACGGTAGCGGTAGGCACGAGGGGGTCTTAAGGCTGGACAGATTGAAAACTCCGAGGTCGTCGTAGACAATCACAGTAAGAGTAGCAACTCTCTCCTCAACGCACACAGCACCGAACTTCCTATGGTGGAAAAACAGTACGTATGAACGAGTTCCTTAGAGCAAGATCTTGAGACACTTAATACACTTCCACCACATAAAACCGAAGACTGCATCTTTTTGTACGTACATTTACCGAGCGAATAAAGCGATCATCTCAGAGGATGCCGAGTCAGAAACTGGAACTGCTACCAGGTGGAACGGGAAGAAACAAAGCTACAGACAACACGAAGCTGCCAGCAGCTTCGAATTCTATTAGAGCACAGATCTGGTACGGTCGAATACATGGATTTGCGCGGTCATATTGCTCCACTGTAGCTGACATCAACGTCCTCTCAGTGGTTTTGTGTTTTGTAGTTTCTACTTTGTTCCATATTTAGTAAAAAGCATGCCGACGCCACTGTTAATGCAGCCCTGTCACATGTACGGCACAGCAGCAGGACCATTTTTTGGAGGCTGATTCAATCGCCATTCGCATGCGCCTCATCGATGCGCCTCATCGTGCGCGGCGTTGTGAGTCCACATGTTCGCCGCGCCACTGGGCCTGCTGGATCTTCGGCTCGGCGGCGCACCGCCCCCACTGTTCGCTGCCCGATCGTTCAGGTCGGAAGTGTCGCCAAGTTGGTTCACCTGTCGAAATTCCTTGCCATCCCGTTGGTGCGCCTCGAATCGAACGATCTGTGCCTTGAGATCGGCTGCTTTCTTACCCGACGCGGTCTTGGCCTCCCGTGCCTGCCGTTCCTGCTCGAACTCGCTCTCGGCCGTCAGGTGTTTACGTCGTCGTGTGCCAGCAGCTGCAGCAGCAGAGCCCAAGCCGACAACAGCAGCGGTGGCGATTCCGACGTCCCCGTTCACACGCTCCTCTTCGAGCATCGCCGAGGCCGCGGCCTGACTCCCGTAGTGCAGCTCGAGAAACTGCTGCGCTCGCAGGCGGCGCTGTTCTTGCACAGAAGCGCCGTGGTCCCCTCGTACAAGATCGGCAACAACTTCAGCACTAGTCTCAACCGCGGTCGGCGCGCCAGGTACTACAGCGAAGTTCTGCTCGCCTTCTCCTGTTGACACGTTTTCTTCCGCAACCTCGTGCGCGGCCGTCGCCGTCCACCTGCGATTACTTTCATTTTCGCTTCTCGAAAGTCCTATAATTTTTTCACCGTCCGCACGAGATGGCATTCCACTTTGTGGTGGAGATGTTGCGCCAAGAGATGGTGAAACGCCAAGAGAATTGAACTTGTTCTGCCAAGAAATGATCTTCCAGTTGCTCGGAGCAAGCCCGCAAAGTCCTGATCCGACAAGGCAAAAAATCGTGAACAAGAAGAGCATCGCGAAAAGAAGCGCGCAGAAAAGCACTCCTCGGTATTTCCTCGGGTTCCCAATGATCGAAGCAAAAAGCGCCTCATCTGCGTTCCTGTTCCAAGAACCTCCTCGCAGCAGACGACCACCGAGCGACGTTGTAGCACGACCAGGGCAGTCGTGAGAACAAGAAGCATCCCTTGATGTACTACCGTGGCTGGTTGAACAACAATCTTTTTTACTCCAAGTAATTACAACTTCGTCGCTAGTAAAAGGACAAGAACTTCTCCCGTTCTGTTGCATCGACGTGATCTTGTGCTGCCCTGTCGCCGCAGAACCCGGAATGAAGTCGAAACTGGGAATGTTATTTTCCTCTGCAATCTTCATCCTGTAGAAGTACTGGAGAAGTGCGTAAGTTGTAGCGCTGTGTCAACCTCCGCGTGTCAGAGCCGTAGTGCGCAGGGTCGTGTGCTTCGATCGTGCGACAGGACGACGAAAAGCGGTTCAGGTTGAGGTTCTACTTCTTGTGCATGATTTTATCATCTTTTTGCGCTCCTAAAGTTAGTGGCAGATGTTTAATTCTCAACTAGCCCTGCGCGTATTGTATTTCCTGACATGATCGGAAGCTGGTGCTGCGAAGAACGGGCGCTGGTGAATAAAGTTCCACTTCAGCGACTCGCTTCCACCTATCTGTCAGCTGCCCTTGCCTGCTAGGATCTAAAAGCGACAAAACCAAAAAGCCGCCGTTTTGTGAGGATGCAAAAACTGTACTCCCGTCCGAAAAAAAAATCTAAGTCCATTTTGAGGACAAACAGGGCCATAAATTAGTAATACAACCTACGAACCACCAAACGACAGCGACAAGGACAACATAAAATAAACGTCGACCATCTTCAACTTCAACCAGTGCCACTTACACGTCCCGCATGACGGGAAAGACCACTATATTCATGAGGAGAGTCTACTTGAATTATGTCCTATGCTAGATGTAGATTTGATATTTTGGAAGGATCCCGACGACGGCGTTTTTCTTTACTATTTTCACGAAAAGCAAAAGTAGATAAAGACGGCGGTGGGTAGTGTTGCCGTGCACGATAGTACGAATGGACTGATACGACGATGTTCGGTAGAAGTCCTTGCACTTGCTCGATTTTTTCTGAATAAAACCCACACGTCGACCAGATCATCCTTCAACCAGAAAACCACAATGACAACTGACTGTTAAAACAAAACTTGAAACCTGATGTTTCCCCATTCCGCCGCGAAACTGTAGTACCGGAGCATGCAAACGAACCCAAAAGAACATCCTTTTTACGAAAGACGTTCAAATACCGGCAGTGAAGCAACGCAGGTAGGGGTACTTGCACTTGATCAAACAAAAGCAGACAAATGAACTCCTGCTATACCATCTTCCACAGATGAAGCAAGCGAAGTATTCAGTTTGCAGAAACAGGCAGATGCACGCCTACAGATTGATAAGAACAGTTTTACATACTACATCATTTTTTTCAACTTTTAATACTCGACCTCCTCGCATCAAGCTTCACACTTTCGTCTTATCTCGCCGATGGTTCGTGGTCTGTCACACCTTTTTTAATTTCTGCCCCATTTTTGCTTTTTCCCAGCAGTTCCTCCGTCTTTTTGCGCTTCACAATCATCCCACCCAGCGCCCGGTGCACCACAGTGTTTTCATCTTCCTCCAAAACACTCTTCAAAGTGGACCCCTTGGTGGCCCGTCCCGCGCCCGCGGCAGCTCCCGGTGCTTCTACTTCTTGCGCTGGTGGTTTTTTATTACTGCTATACAGTGCGCGGGGGGCCTGCTCACGATGAATCTTGAGGGAATCGTGCGAGGCCAGCAGCTATGCATTGCAAAAATGTCTGGGTCTGGAAGATTCTGTCTGAGACTTGTCATGCACGTTTTGCATGAGCCATGAGGTCTGGAATGCGAGACCTAGCATGACAGATTATTTGAGGCCTCTATCATGCCTTTCCTGCATGAGAAACTCCCTCTCAATTTGGTCAAAAGCGGACAGCTTTTGGCACTCACGCAACACAGATTTTTGCATCATTCGGATTTAGCATGACAAGTTGCATTCTTCCAGACCCAGACATTTTTACATTTGATAGCAGCCCGCGCGTGTCCCCAATCATGATTTTGTTGTCCGTTCCGTCCCCCGCCGGTACCGCCTTCACGGCGCCGGCGCTCGGTAAAAAAGCCGGGTGGAGTTGTAGGGAGCCCTGCTGCGCGGCTGCAAAAGCAGAGGGACCGGAGGAGGAAAGAACAGATGCAGTTTTAGAAGTAACGAGTGTTGGTTCTTTGTCATCCTCTATCATTCCTGGTGCCAGTGGATCATGTGCAACATTCATCGCTGGCCTCCCTGAAAAATGTTCTTGCTCATGCGGTGCTGCTTTAGTATTTTCGTCCAGCGCAGCTGCTTTGGTTCCAATTTGATCCTTCGTTTGGGGGCCGTTGTGTATCGATTTCATGTAGTTCCAGGTCCAAACGGTGCCTACCGGCGCGGCGTGGATCAGGTCCATGCAGACGTTCTCGAAGGTCAAGTCGTACTTGTCCGCGTATTGCATATAGAAATCCATCAACGGTAGGATCTCCCTCGGACACTTCTCCTTCAGCTTCACGCGCAAAGCGGCTTCCTCCTCCATATCGCTTTCCGGTTCTGGCTATGCATTGCAACTACGTCTGAGGCTCCCGCAAGGGTTGCACTGGTGACGCTTGTAGTAAGATTATGTCCTGCATTCCGGTCCTGCAAAATCTGTGTTACTTGTAAATATGACCAGCAAGACCGCAGCTTTCTTCGTCCTGCGAAAACGCCAGTTATGAAATGGGCACCGAATGATCACAGAGCGTGGTAGAAAGTTCTCATGCATGGCAGCCTCAATCAGGACTACTCCGAAGTTCATCAGCGTCGTCACAGGTTTAATATTCCAGACTCAGACTTAGTTGCAGTGGATATTGGCTTCCCTTCTCGTGCTGGTTTGAGCTTTTCCTGCTCCTCGAGTGCAGCTTGCTGCTTGCGGATCCCGTCGATCAGCGAGACAAAGATCGCTGCCGCCTCCGCCTTGCACTTCACGCACTTGCAGTGAAACCCGTAGCCCGACCAGAGCTCTTCCTGCCGGTAGGCCAGCGTGCAGTCTTCATCGATGTAGCTCATGTAGATGTTTTCGCCTGCCCGTATCCTTCTCGTTGCCTTGCCCTGGATTCTTCCCGTTTCCCCAATTCGGCAAACCTCCATGTTCGGATAGCAAGAGTGATTCGTGAAGGCCACCACCCGGCACACGCCTAAACCCTCGAAGCTGGGAAAGATCTTGCCCGACTGTTTCCACGATTTCGCAGACACCTCAATGTTCTCCTGTATCAAATGCAAAAATGTCTGGGTCTGGAAGAATGCGCGATCTGTCATGCAGCTTTTCCATGACCTATGAGGTCTGGAATGCAGGACCTAGCATGACATTGGTGGTCTACGGGCAGGACGTCCCGGTGGCACGAAAGCCGATAGTACAAGTTACTATAAACATGTAAAAAAATATAATATAAACAGGACCTAGCATGACAGATTCTGCGCGACCTCTCTCATGCCTATCCTGCATGAGAAACTCCCTCCCAACTTGGCCAAAACTGGACGACTTTTGGTAATCATGCAACACAGATTTTTGCATGCTTCAGATTTAGCATGACAAGTTGCATTCTTCCAGACCCAGACATTTTTACATTCGATATCCTGACTGTCCTCATGATAGTCCGCACAGGTCGCAAGCTCCGCGTCGGATATTTGACCTGAGATTATTGATTACCAAATGTAAAAATGTCTGGGTCTGGAAGAATGCAACTTGTAATGCGTATTTCAGAACACAGAAAAGTCTCTCATGCATACGTAGCAAAAGCTCCCACTTTTTGCCAGCAAAATAGGGGACTTGTCATGCGGATTCGGCATTGCGGAAGGTTCTCGAAACCTGTGATGCTAGAGCTTCCATGCCAGACCTTCTGTGTCATGCAAAAACAGCATGACTCTTCCAGACCCAGACATTCTTACATTTGATATTGATCGTATGACTTCGATGGACCTCAACTTACTTTCTTCGCCGAGGCCCAGGTCAACAGCACAGCGGGGTAGTGGGGCACTTGCTCTTCACCAAAAAAATACCGAAAAAGCAAATGCGCTGCACTACTTATATCATCGCAATAGAGTAAGTACGTTCCGTCTGCCGCCAGCTGAGCGCGATGTGCCCCCACAAGAGTTTGCAGGTTTCTATCCAACTGAAAACAATGTCGTTCTTTCATCTCGAGTGCTTTTTACTGGCATATCCGCGACATGCCCAGTGTGTTGAAAATGCCGAAACAGAAACAAGGAACTGAAATGCGCATATCAATTAAGAAACCCCAGTGTGCAGGAGTCTTCTCAACATTACATGTTGGGTTACTGACTCGCAGAGGAGCAGTGGTGCCGGGGACAAGCAAAATGAATTATGCATGATGTTGCGAAAAGAGAATCGCGCACCCATCTACTCAAGAGGAAGAATAACTATTGGTTTTCACACTCTGCTACTTTCGTTAATGAATTTCCGGGATTTTGGGTCTACGCGGGCGTGGATGATTTGTTTGTTGATCGCGTTTATGCAATGCAACAGCATCGAAATACTTGTTGAGTGGTGAGAATCGCATGAAAAAGAAAAACATTTCTTTCAAAAGAAATAATAAAAGAGAAACTCGTCATGCAGCAGAGTCCGTCAAATACGAAAAATCTGTACATGCAATTTTACACGAGTTGTACTTCTACGATGCTTTTGCGTCGAGGATAGGATTCGACGCGGTCAGGTCCTTCGATGTTTCGTCACACAGGCCCAACAACCTATCCCACTCCTCCTCCGTGCACAGCGCCGGCAAGACCCGGTCCGGGTAGAGATACGAGCTCGGAACAGCTCCCGTCTGGTCTTCCTGCTCGCCTTCCTCCTTCTTGCTGGCCTGCTCTCGCGGTGGAACAAGTGCAGGTCGCGGCGCGCCACGGTCCTCTTCTATGGTGGTATTTTTCTTCTTTGTAGGATCAAGAGGGCCAGACACGACACTGGGCGACACAGCATCATTTTCGGCACGGCCCGTTGTCTGGTGGTCTTCCGGTGGACCAGAAAACGCAACGGTTGGTTTCCTGGACGAGGTGTCTTCGCGTCCATCCAGGCTGACGAGCGCGTTTCCACTTCTTGTATCGTGGGCCGAAGCTGCTTCGTCCATGTTGCGCAATGCGCTGCTGCTGCTTTCATTCGCCTTCTGCCTCTTTGGCGAGCAAGAATCCACCATCGCTGCAGCCACCGCCGCCGGCGGTGGGCCTTTCAGTGACGAAAAGGCGTCGGAGGGCAACGGCGGGCGGTTCGCGCCGTCCTCATTGGCAGAGTCGTCTTCGTCCGACGCTTATCGTCCGCAAAAGCACTTCTATCGTAGGCGTACTTGCAATACAGAGTCATAGATACAAACCTCGATTCTTGATTTTGATAAATGATTCCTTTTCTTACCTGATCCAAAAGAACGAGGCGAAGTTTGTATTTTATAGGTCGATGCAATCTGTGCTAGCACGATTTGTACTTTTGTAAATTGCATATTGCCACGCCGGCGAACTCTTCGCTGCCGGTGCGCCGCATCTTCTCCAGTGTCTGCAGGTCTTCGTCGGGCACCCCGGCGCCGGTCACGCCGCCCGCTGCCACTTTGGGTGAGCCGCGCGCAGAGCTTGCAAAGGACAAGGAATTGCCGCTAAGGGGCTGCTCCTGCTGCTTCTCCTGCTGTAGAAGTCCACTTGTACTATTGAAACGAGCAGAATCGTCCTGGCCAGCATCGGCTTTGCTACAAGAAGTAAATCCAGTGGTGGAACTGGTACCACAACCACCAGCACCCCCGCCAAAGGGCGCGATGTCTGAGGGCAGGTTGTTCATCGTGAAGCTCTCCACCCGGTCCCCGCACACAAAGGTCAACTCGGCATCCTCGATTATTTTCGCCTTCGACTGACAGTCCGTTTCCAGCCGGTCTTCAAACATCTGCGGCCGGGTCTCCGCGATTTTCACTTCGTTGCGGTTCCGCACCTCCTGCCAAAGGTTCTGCAGGTGCTTGTACGACGTCTTGACGATCTGGTAGATATTTTTTTTGATGAGGAGAAATTATCATCCACGACGACCACTTGTGTATAATGTTTTTGTGCATCAGAAACAAAATCGCATATTTTCGCATATACTAATAGTGCATGATCCTTGTTCTGGGTAAGTAGTATTATTTTTGCAATAGGCGTGGGCCTGTAGGCGTTAATTCGGGGTGGGTTGGTTGGTCGGTTGGTTGGTTATGCAAATTTCCCGTGGAACCAAACCCGCTGCGCTGTATCTTGTGTTTTTCTGAGATTCATCTAACTACTATCACCGTTGAAGCTGCCTACCTACCCACCTACCGCCCCTCTTTACGATCGTACTACCGTGATCGCGCCGACCCAACTACCTACCTACCCCTTTCCACCCAGAGGAGATCGGTGACCACGCCTACCGACCCACCCACCCACCTGCCGGGTGGGTGGGTGGGCCGAGCTTGCGTTGCCTATTGGCCACGCCTACCGACCTACCCACCCACCTGCCTGGTGCGGGGGGCAAGGGTGCGCGGCCTATGCATTCACTGGCCACACCTACCGGCCTACCCAACCACTTGCCTGGTGGGCGGGTGGGGTGAGCGTGCGTTGTCTATTGGCCACGCCCAACGACCTACCCACCCCTCTGCCTGGTGGGGAGGGTGGGGCGCGCGTGCGTTGCCTATTGGCCACGCCTACCGACCTACCCACCCACCTGCCGGGTGGGGGGGGGCAGGCGTGTGCTGCCTATTGGCCACGCCTACCGACCTACCCACCCACCTGCCTGGTGGGGGGGTGGGGCGAGTGTGCCTTGCCTATTGGCCACGCCTACCGACCTCCCGGCCCACCTACCTTGGCACGGGTGAGCATGCGCTGCCTGCTGGCCACGCCTACCGACCTACCGACCCACCTGCCTTGGCACGGGTGAGCAAGCATGCGCTGCCTGCTGACCACACATGCCGACCCACCCACCCACCTTCCCTGGCAGGGGTGAGGGCGCGCCCTAAAGGTTCAACGCTTCGACCAGACACAGACATACTTGCACCCAATGCGATCCCAGGCACTTAAGTTTGTTCTTGGTTCTCAAATTGATTCTGATCCTCAGTGACTTTGTTGTGAGTGGCACAATCACAACGAGAAAAGAAAAACAAATCCTCTGCCTCAGGGTCAGGCCTTCATTGGTGCGCTGGCTTGGTTCGTTTCATTCTCACAAGATGAAGCCGAGCTCCTTCGGCGGGAGGAAGAAAAATGTCGCAGCTCGTTCTCTCTGGCCCTGGCCTGCGCACGCAGTGCGCTTTGTGGCGAGGGTGGAGGAGCGCCGCGCATAGACGTATCGCCTACCTCAGTGTATGTAGTTCACTCTATCGCAACTAAAACCCCGATCACTTGCGAGGGGAAATCTAAAAGCTGCCATAGCAGTGGGGTTCTAGACTTCAAGTGGCGCCCCGCGGATGCGGTCGGCGTTGTGGCCGTGCCGCGCCGATGGGCCCCGGGCAACTAAAAGCGCCACAGGCTGCTAGATCAAAGACCGCCCTTTACGGGCGGGGCGCTTTTCATCAGGATGGGCATCATTTCACCCATTTCGGTGCCCGCGATAGCAAACCGTTTACGCGGGAGCCTTTGCGGGCCACCACACACGGGCCAGGCGTCGCCGGCCTGCAGCCAAGACTGTCTCTGAGCAGTTGTAGTTCTTCATCACTTCACTCTAACTGGGCGCTGCCCCAGCTCCCGCATTTTCGTTGTCACACGCATCAAGAAGTAGGTGGGTGGGAAGGTAGGTGTAGACGCGCCTCCGTTGCGCCCCGCAAGTGAAAATCGCCCACACCTGGAGGACACGCGGACGCATCATTGTCCAATGACGACCAACCAACCCACCTACCCACTGCTCAGCCACGAAGGAGGGCGTGATCTTTTTTGTTTCGGTTGATTATGAATGGACGAGAGGAGCGTCAGTATCACGAGGTAGGTAGGTAGGGAGGTAGGTGGGTAGCGTGCATCTCATTCCCGATATCAAAGCACAACTTTCTCCAGCTTCGATTGTGGGAAGCAGAACGTCGCCGACAGACTCACGTACATCAGGATAAGCGAAATAGCGACACCGCGACGCCGAATATGTCTCCGCCACAATACGTCCACCACCAAACGCAAACCAGACGCACGTCGACCTCACCACGCACTGCGACTCCGGAAGAATGTTTTTCTATAACCCGCGACGGCCCGCCGTCTTCAGCATTTGCATAACCAACCAACCGACCAACCAACCCACCCCGAATTAACGCCTACAGGCACACGCCTACTCTATTTTTGATACAAACTGTAACTGGTGCTTTCTGTTTCTATCTACATTTATTGCCTTCCACGAGTACACAGCACGCGCGCTACACAATCAGTCGTGCCGTATCTGTAGATAAAAAACGAGTACCTCTCTCCGCACCACCCGCCACTCTTCTTGCAACGGCTCCAGTGGAGCTGGTGTCGACGGGGACCAAGCAGCACGCTTCGCCTGAAGCGTGCCATGGTGGGGACCTACGAGGCAGCACGAAGCGCCTCTGCAGGTGGTGCCGGAGGGCCACGCAGCATGCTTCGAAGAAGCGCGCCGCCATGTAGACCTGCGGAGCCGACACCAAGCCCCTGTGGAGTTGGTGGCAACGGGGACCACGCCGCACGCTTCATTCGAAGCGTGTCGGGCGAGGGACCTGCGGAGACGACGCCAGGGAGTTCCTAATGCGGAGCTGGTGCCGGCGGGGACCACGCAGCGCATCTAGCCCGATGCATGCCGTAATAGGGGCCGGCGCAGCGCGCTTCTTTCGAAGCGTGCCGTCACGGAGACGCGAGCACACTATGCCAGGCCTCTGTCCGAAGCACTGCCATGTCGTGCAGATCTGCGCACAGCAGCAGCACTACCTTGGCGTGCGTGTCGCGCGTCCACACTTGCTGCTCGCGCAGGTGGGACTCATTGATTTGTTGCGCGCGGCTTGCGGTCCCACCCCAATTGGGCGCGGGTCGTGTGGCGGAGTGCGGTAACGCGCGTCATCATTGGAGTGCACCTGCTTGCCAGCACATCCAACAAAGACCTCCCGGGCGTGCAGCTCGGCTTCCGCCGCAGCACAGCCCGGGAAAGCGTTTCCGAAACTCTCTCGCGCGCCTTCACTGGAGTGCACCTGCGTGCCAGCACCTCCAGATCCAACCCCCCGGGCGTGAACCTCGGCTTTCGCCGCAGCACCACCCGGGAGTGCATGGCAGAGCATGGCCGGCGCGTCTTCACTGGAGTGCACCTGCGTGCCAGCACCTCCAGCTTAGACCTCCGGAGCGTGCACCTCAGCTCTCGCTGCAGCACCACCCCGGAGTGCGTCGCATACATCTGCCGCCTCGCGCGCCTTCACTGGAGTGCACCTGCTTGCCAGCACCTCCAGATCCGACCTCCCGGGCGTGCACCTCGGCTTTCGCCGCAGCACCGCCCGGGAGTGCGTGGCAGAGTGCGATCTGCGCGTCTTCGCTGGAGTGCACCTGCGTGCCAGCACCTCCAACTTAGACCTCTAGGGCGTGCACCTCAGCTTTCGCTGCAGCACCACCCCGGAGTGCGTCCCGCACATCTGCCATGGCTACTCTCCTTTTTCTTTTTTTTTTGGTGATAAACGGCGCAGGGCCGCCGCGGGTGTGTACTTAATATTCCAAAGCCAGACCGTGCAACACCACACGCAGAGGGGAAACGACAACACGCGCCCGGCGCGCGCCGTTGCCCCTACAGCGGTGTCGCTCCCGTTAGCTGGCAGCGCTTAACCTCATTTCGCTATTGATAGATATGTTGGACGCGAAATACCAAATAAAAAACGAGTACCTCTCTCCGCACCACCCGCCACTCTTCTTGCAACGGCTCCAGCTCGCTCCACTTTGGCGAGAATAAATGGTAGAGTTCCCCAACCTTGTCTGACAGCATGCACTTCAACGCCAGCAAGCAGTGCCCGTATCAAATACAAACATCCCTGGACGACTGGAAGATTGCGAGACTTGTCACGACGCAGTGCTTTTTTCCATGACCCATGGGGTCAGGCATGGAGGACCTAGCATGACAGATTCTGCTGTGAGAGTGAGACCTCTATCACACAACTTCTGCATGAGACGCTGGCTGCTCTCAACTTGGTCAAAAGTGCGCGACTTTATATATTTGGCAATCATGCAATAGAAATGCTTGTACGATCCAGACTTCGCATGACAGGTTGCAGTGTTCCAGACAACATCCAGGGATATTTACAATGCATAGTTCGTGTGCCTGCACTACGTACTCCTCGAACATGTCCCAGACGATCCCGGTCCGCATATGCGTTGCAAAAGTAAAAGTATCGTTGTCGAGATTGCATTACAAATTTCTGCAGATGAAGCAAGGAAAAGTAGAACTAATTTTTTCTGATGGTGAATTATAGAATTTTTAATGCTGAGTTAGGTGGTAAACCAAATCCGTCATGGTGTTCTTGTGCCGCAATCAGTACGTGCTGCAGTTGGTACGATAAGGGTAGGTACTTTTGCAGGGGATACCGCCGTATCAAATGTAAAAGTGTCTGGGTCTGGAAGAATGCGCGATTTGTCATGCAGCTTTTCCATGACCCATGAGGTCTGCAATGCAGGACCTAGCATGACAGATTCTGTGCGATCTTTCTCATGCCCATCCTGCATGAGAAACTCCCTGCCGACTTGGTCAAAACTGGACGACTTTTGGTAATCATGCAACACAGATTTTTGCATGCTTCAGATTTAGCATGACAAGTTGCATTCTTCCAGACCCAGACATTTTTACATTTGATACGCCGCAGATACAGCAGATTTTTGTGAATGTCGTCCGTCTCGTAGCACTTTTGGCTACAGAAAATCTCCCCGTCTTTATCAAATGTAAAAGTGTCTGGGTCTGGAACGTTGCCGGGTTTGTCATGCATATTTTACATGACCCAAGATGTCTGCAATGCATCACCTAGCATCACAGATTTTTAGAGGGCTTCCTGATGCCTATTCCGCATGCCAAATGCCCTCTGCGCGTAGCAAAAACTAGACTCCTCTTGCTGGTCATGCAATACAGATTTTTTTAGAGTCCAAAGCTAGCATCACAAGTTCCAACCTTCCAGACCCAGACATTTTTGCAATTGATAGTCTTCCGGCGCTCGCAACAGTTCCTCGTACCGCAGCTGTCGCTTGGAAGAGCATCCAAGAAGAAAAAAACACTGTACACATGCACTACCTGCAACCTGACCACAATTGCACTTCTAGTGCTGGTGAACCTCCTCTGCATGCGGAGGTTCTACACGACGCGAAGATCTTGATGTAATGCTGCTCACACAAATTGAACAAACAAACTTTGGTAAAAAACTTAAACTATCGCTTTCATAATACAAATACGCTACAACAGTCTACTATTTTTCCTCGGATAAGAAGTAATCCAGGTCCAGCATGGGATGGAAGGCGGCTTCAGGGAACTCGGTATCAAAAGGAAAAATCCCCCCTCCCCATATTGAAAAGGTATGTTGCCGAAAATTTGCGTTGCTGATTTGAGGTCACAAATCGTCTCTGTGTTGCACGAACGCAACTCCCCAAGCTCCGCTGCATTCTACAGGCGGTTTGTCATGCTGTTTTAGCTACAGCGTCGACGTCTGTCATGCTAAGCGCCTAGGCCAAAACCTGTACACTCAGGCTTAATATGGACCTGCAGTCCTCGCCAGCAAGACAAATCTGATTTGTGACCGCAAATCCAGCATCAGAAACTTCGTTTTGATATGGGGAGGGGGATTTTTCATTCTGATACTCGGACTCGAAAAACTTGGGCCCTGCGCGGTCCGCCCGCAGGACCTGTCCGATCCGCGTCCGCAGCGACCCCACGGTGCGGAGGCACTTGTGGCAGACGGGCAGGCAGAGTCGATTGTACTGGTGTTGCAAGGCGGCGACGGGGTTCTCGCGGAAAATGATCTCGCCCACCTCGATGTCACGTTTCGCCACGATCCCGCGGTCGTAGCTGCCGCCGAGGTTCTCCACTCGGAACAGTGTCTCCACGTCGCGCTCATATTCCCGCTGCGCACGGTCCAGGGTTTCTACCTTTTCACACCGGTTGGAATGTTATTGCGAATAAAATTTGGACGAACTCATAGTACATGAATCTGAGCCTCGTGCGGAAGAATCTGAGCATCATCAAATTACAGTTGCTGTCTGATGTCGTTTTGTTCTTGCTCAACAAGTAGAACTCTGCTATGTACTTCTTCTGTCGTGTCGTTCTTTAATCCACAACATCTTGCGGTAGATTGCCCCGACATGAGGAGGATGGACGGAGATGACACGATAAAGATCTGATAAGATATTATGCTTATCATCGATCCTCACAGAGAGTTCCTTAATACGCTCTCTGTAAAAATAAGCGGGCGAGGAGTCGATAAAAGACATAGCGTAATTTTTCGGTAGTTCTTGTACTCGTGCATTCACCATGTTGCGCAAAAACGGGTGCACAGAGGTGGGCGCATCATCCCGCTGCTCGGCAAGACAACCTACATCTCCTTCCGCATGAAGATCCACGTCCATGGGCATGACGGTGCCAATATTGACTTTGTGGCTCGACGCTGCAAGGTCATCACTCAGAAAATGGCCGTCAAGCTGCATCTCGCGATCGGCCTCCGTCACGGCGTCTGTCATGGCTCATCTATGTTCTCTTCTACTCGGAGATGAGGAGGAAGAATTTATTTCGGTGTTACTTCCACAGTTGACACGCTGTTCCACCAGGAGCCCATTGACGCTTTCGCTTCTCACCACCTGGTGGTGGCACTGGTTCTAGTCGACTCGTGGCTTTTTAATATTTCTCCGCCGCTGCGCTGCAATATTCCATCCTGCAGGTCCTGTTCCTGCTGTTGTCGAAAGTAGTGCTATTTTTCCTACGTCACGTCGTTGTCGGCGCAGGAGAATTTCTTTTGGCGAATAAACAGAAGGGCATGACCATTTGTAGTGCCCCCCGTCGCGAGGTGTGCGACGAGTGCTGAAACCTTTTTTCTTCCCTGAGCTGCGCTTGCGGTGTTTTGCTGCTCGTGGTCGGCTTCTTGTGGGAACTTTGTACAAAATTTCAAAATGTCGCCTGTCGTGATTCTCCACCTGGAGAAGAAGTGGGCCATCCGGTGTGGGTCGTAGGAGGTGCAGCTTCTTAAGATTATAGTAACACCACCTAATAACAGTACAAATAACACTTGCGATGAAAACAAAATGGGTTTGGTAGGTCAATGGACAAAATAAGTTTGGTACCAGAAGTACTATTCGTATTGATTTACCGAAAATTCCGGGAAACGAAAAAACAAAAAATCGAGAAATTCAAAGTAGAGGGCCGCGGTAAGGAAATCATGCGCTACGAAGTTCTAAAAAGCATATTAAAACGCCTGCACGGAGCAGAAAAGTGACAATCCTTTGAAACTAAGATGTTGCAAGGGAATCGCATAGCCATATAGTGCCTAGAAAAAACCCTACGATCTTGAAACTGCCATGCACGCGCAAGGGCAGGTAATTTACTATACTGCACTGCCGTACTACGAATAAATATAAATCACCAAGCAGTTGCAAAAAGTGAAGACCCGCTGCTGCTCTACGTACCGGGTGCGTCAATCGAAAACTAATCAGGGCTAGCATAATTGTTCTAAGTGTTAATATAATGAATTCAGATCTGTACAGGGGACCTCTCATTCGAACACATCAACAAACTGTTCACTGTTTATTCCCTGCTCTCTACAGAAATTATACGGAAGCCGTTCCAACATGAAACTGCAGAACCCGTCGAACGCAAGACGACACGCAAAGCTGGTATTGCTTGCAATAATATAAAACGAAAAGGATGAAAACAACAGCTGCATCCATGCTGATCAACATATGTACTCCATACTTACTATCAAAGGTTATAACGTACCGTGACGTCTTTTCCCTTGCACTTGAACACGCCACTGTCCGTAGCAATCGGCTCGAACGTGGCCAGTTCTCGTTGCAGCTCCGGGAGCGATAACGAAGCAAGCACCGGGAACCGGGCGACATTGGTTGGATTGTCCAGAAACCGCCGCGCCAGCGCGAATCGATCCTCGCCGTCGTGCTCGTTCCCCTTCTTGTTTTCCTGAGGCGCCGCGGCCGCCTCCAGCGCGGAGGACGGGAGGGTTGCACCGGATTCGACGATGCCTTCTTTGGAAGCAGCACTTGCTGGCGCTACCCCGTCATCTTCCTTCTCCGTTGTGGAGCCCGTGTCTGATAGATGTTCAAGATCCGAAGTTTCTTGACGATCTAAAAAATCGGATTTATCTACTTCGATAGAATTAGCATTATGATTATTTACAATTACGATAGGATCTCCAGCATTGAAATAAGTCTGTTGTCTCGCTGTAAAACTTTAATGATTCAGATTCACTGGAAACCGACTACACGACGACCAAGCGACCCTTATCAACTGCAAGTCTGGGTCTGGAAGAATGCCCCTGAATGCATCTTGTGCACGACTACACGGATGCTCGGCTCTGGAAAAATGCACACAAAAGCATTACAGATTTTGCGTACACTTCTCACCTCCTATACCGCATGAGAGACCATTCCCGCTTTGCGCAGCACAAAGTGGGCACATCTTAGCGTTCATGCAACACAGATTGATCTTTTTGTTCGACCCAAGTTCAGCATAACAAATTGCACTTTTATTCCAGACCCAGTCGTATTTGCAACGCATAACCTTCTACCGGTCGCGAATTCCAGACCCCCAGCCGTGGTCTTGGACTCCATCTCTACCTCGACAAGGGCCGCAATTATCCCACGACAAAACTGTCTCAGTCCCAAACCTTTGCAGATGCAGAGGCACGAATATTGCAAATTCGCTCAGCGTGGTCACACACAAAACCTGTGATGCGTCAGACACAAGAGAATAAATTGTAAAACACCTATAAATTATGACTTCCTTGCATGTAGCCCTCGAGCATGACAAAAGACTGTCTCAAGGAAGTTCCGCATTGCAAGTTGAGACTGAGGCAGTAGTTTTTTCTCGCGATAGAAATTCTTGAGGTCATTCCACTAGTGCCACCCCTCTCGTCGTCACTCCTCCCACGAGAAGCTGCTGCTGCTGCTATCCGCGCAGCCGGCGACGTGGCTGAAACATTCTCCTCACGATTGCCAGACGAGCTGTCCGTGGTCCCTCTTCCTCCAGGAGGTCCCGTAGAAGACGTCGACGACCCATCTTCATTTATCATTTCGCTTCTTGTACCAGAGGAACAACCACTCCCGCCGCTAACCTGCTGGTCGTGGTTCTCCAGCCTCTGCAGAAAAGTCTCCCGTAGCTGCCGGTTCTCTTCAAAAGCGTAAGGATATCGTTTGCAAAAGTACTATCGCACGGTACTCCTCACTGAAATCCTGCGTGACCACATCAAATCTACTTTCTATACCAAAATCAGCACTACATAACTTCCATTTTCCTATGCAATTCACTACAGTCGTAGGAAGATACAAATTTTGCGATGCGTAAAGTCGCTTCCACGTCGATCTTTTCTCGGGCCTTGCTGGCGATCGCGCGAATTTGCCCCACGATTTCCGCCTGCCTCTCCTTCACCGCGGCAAGGGACTCCAGCATGCGGCGACGCTCCGTAACGTCCGGATCTTCGCCCATCTTGCTATGTTAGTTAATCATGCAGTTCTATTGTATTTTCAGTTGTTATTTATCGTACTGTGACCACTTCTTAAACTTCTCAAGACGCCACAACGACAAAACAAAGCGTCAACTTCACACCACAATCTTGCTCAACGAAAGAGAAGAAACGAACAAACCACGCGCTGCACAACACCTGCAACGAAACAACATACGTATTAATTGCGCTCTTATTCTTGAACCGGTACACCATCGCTTGCTTTCCGTCTGCCACGAATAAACTTGCAGCTCACGCTCAAACTTTCTTTGATTTTTCGTTCCCTCGCCAGGAGTACGAAAACGCAGTGAGGAACCCAGGCAACAGGAGCCTGAGCTGCGCGTCCCTGGTTACAGATTTTGATGCTCCTGGTACAGAAAAATCAAGGCTCCCGTACTGAAACACTGAACGTAATACTTAGAAGCGTCGAAAATCTTTTTTATGCGAAAAATAATTGCGTGCGTGTTGTACACCTGCACTGTTGACGCAGGGATCTTGTTCAGATTATGCACTGTTTTCACTCGCACGAAGAACGTGCGCAGGGAAAATGAAGATTATGTATCCGGTTGGTCGCTGATAAAATCTCAGCTAGTTGTATCGCGGACCGGATTTTGAAGATTCGGTTTACGATTATTTCCGCCTCGGAGCGCCCGCCCGAAACGTCAAATGACCGACTCCCCCGTGAACAAGAAAGCGAAACGTGTTCTTGTCTACAGCAGATTCGCAATGTCGCAGTTCCCGCTGTCTTCTCCGGAGGCTGCTAGCTGGCGCATCTCCGCCACGAGCCCGTCGCAGAAGATGAGGTTCTTCTTGTTGCGCCGCAGGAAATCCGCCCCGCATTGCTCAAAGTCGTCGGACTCGGTGAACCGCACGGTATCCCAAACGTTCTCGTCCAACTGCACGGTCAGAGCCAGCTGTCGCTCCGTCCGCACGTAGGCAGGACCCTGCGCGCCAAAGTATCCGATCGGCGGCGGTGCGCGAGAAGTACTAGATGACCCGCCGATAGAAGACTGCTGCCCGGGAGAGCTGCCGCCGTGCAGCTGCGCGGCCTCGTACGAGGCTGCCGCGCCGCCCCGGTCGCCTTCGTGGGCGGCAGCTGCGGGGGAAGTGGAAAAACCACTACTTTTCATCTCCCCGCCGCCTGTTGTGTTCATCGTGTTCTTGTTCCCTGATGCAGAAATTGTTCTTATTTCCGGATTTTTTTCTATTCCATACACGCTGGCAAACGGGTCGTAGCTCGTTGCGTCCTGCCTGTCACGCGGCGCTCCAGCGTGAAGAAAATCTGGCGGAATAATTTCATCTCCGTGCAGTACTAAGTCCGGCGCAGTAGTTTTCGCGGAAGTTGTGATTGTAGCTTGATGGTTGTATTGTCCTATCGACGCCGGCCGGGTGGGCGGGAAGAACTGCTCCCTCGGCTCCTCTAACAAAGGGCTTCCGGCAGTGCGGGACACGGGGGACTCGAAGCTGAAGTACGTGTCCGCGTGCACAATGTGCTGCTGCGACGAAGCCTGCGACCCGATGGTCTGCTGCATGTGGTCGACCACCAGCCTGCCGCTCGGACCAACATCAACTCTCGAACTCGTATATCAAAAGGAAAAATCCCCCCTCCCCATAAGAAAAACGAAATTTGTGTTGCTGTATTTGAGTACACAAATCGTTGTGTATTGCTAGAAGGCCAAGAGGCGCAGTTGCTCCCTCGTTTGGAGGCAATTTGTGATGCTATTTCCCGTTTCCAGTTGCTTCCTGTCATGCTGAAGACGCAAGGCGTCCCTGCGCCAGCCAGCACTACAATCCGCATCTCTTCCCTTCTAGCATCACAAAGCTGATTTGTGAACACAAATCTACATCACAGATTTCCGTTTTGATATGGGGAGGGGGCATTTTTCATTGTAATATCGTGTTCCGCATGGTTTCGGTCGTCGGCGGAACTCTCGGCGGCGACCGGTATCAAAATGAAAGATCCCCCCTCCCCATAATAAAGTCGAAATCTGTGATGCGGGATTTGTGTCCACAAATCAGCTGTGTCTTGCACTAAAGGAATGCAGGCAGATACAAAGCCTGGGCGGGGATGTTCTGGCGTGGGCTCTTAGCATGACAGAGATCTTCCCTGTAGGTCTAGCAGCATCACAAACCGCCTGGAAAATGCGGCGAAGTCTCTGGATTTGCCTTCTTGCAATACAGAGACGATTTGTGGCCACAAATCAGCATCACAAATTTTCAGAAGTGTCCCCTTTTGGTATGGGGAGGGGGGATTTTTCCTCACGATAACCGGGGCTTCATGCTCTGTCCTTGCGCCTGCGGCTGCTTTTCCACCGGCGCGCCCGGGGGCGGTTTTGGCTGCTGGGAGATGAACATCTTCAAGTCTGGCACGTGGCCAGAAATGATGGCTGACGGCGTCACCAGCGGCCCCGCGGGAGGAACTACACTCACCGTGGCGCCCAGCGTGTCTACTTGTACTTGGTGATTCAGCGTGTAATTATTGAGCCCGGCGGACGCGGACCCAATAGCTGGTCGGTCACCACCTGGTTGCAATAAGCCCGAGCCACTAGCGCTCGAGCCGGAGAGGGAGGAAGAAAGGTTGAATTTCCCGACGAGTCCGCCCCCAAGCGTGGTCCCCGTTCCCACTTTGAACGCCCCGAAACCGGAGGGTTGCCCGTTCCCAAGAGGAAACCGGCTGTCCCCCGCCCGCCCCACGGTCGCCATTAAGTTGCTAGGCGGCGGATTCGGATTCGTGGAGGAACTTGACGGATAATTATGAGGCCCCCGCAAAAGCTGCTGCTGCGGCTGCGCCTGCTGCAATCCGGCGCGCGGGGTGCTTTCGCTGACTCCGGCAGAGGACGATGCTGGCGGCCCAAAAAAGCCACCCGGCGGCAACACGTTAATCGTGCCACTCAGCAACGAGCCGGCCCCGAAAAAGGGAGCTGCTGGCCCGGCTGCTGCACTTGCACCAGCCGCGCCTGTTGATGTCGGTAACACCGTCACCGTGGCGTCCAGTGCAGCTGCTGTCGTGGGCGGATTTTTCGTTCGCTTGAAGTAGTTACTGAACCGCTGCGGCTGATGAGAAGCATCTTGCTTGTGCCCACCCGACCCGGCTGCAACCGCCCTTCCCTCCCCATCGGACGATTCGTAGCCCCGCGCGCTCGGGATCCGCCCGAGGGTACCCCCGGATTCCAGGGCGAACTGCGTCGGCGGCGAGATTTGCAGTTGAAAATTCGTTGGCGGAACAATGGGTTGCTGCTGCAGTGACGGTCCTGCGGACCTTCTTGTTGCCCCCTCCTGTCCACCCAACACGGCTACGTTCGACGTGGTGTCCATCGCGGTCGTAGTTGGCGGAATTTGAAACCCGGACTTCTCAAACTCCACCTCCAACGGGTCCTTGTTCACCGGCGTTGCGGTCCGCGCCGCGGGGGTCAGCGCCGGACTCGAGGACACTACGTCCATCGTCATGCCAAGATCTTTATCCATTGCAAAGACGCGTCATGTCAAACCTACATCTGAGTTGCACGTAGAATATCTGTGTTGCGTGAACGCAAAAGTTGCCAACTTCCTTCGTGCGCACGAACTGGCGAACAATTCCTCACGCGGGATAGGCATTGGAGAGCTCACCTCGCAAATAAATCTGTGAAGATTCTTGTTGTCGTTGTGTACTACTAGCTACTATCCATTCCAGCCGCCCAACTGTAAAAACTGTGAGAAAGATGCATCACGAGGAACAACACGCGCATCCATTATATTTTTCCGAAGAACCCATTTGCAGTGGATAATCTTCGACATGGTCCACATTGATCTCCCCTGGACGCTTCTCCGCGTTCGCCTGCATCGCGTGCGGGTAGATTTCGATCGTTCGGGTCGATAGGGTGTCGAAGTCGTTTGGCTTTTTCTGGGAAAAAAAATTCTCCCGTTCCAAAAGCAGCTCCTTGGGAATCAAGTCTTCCGTGGACATATCAAAGGCAAAAAATAAGTCTGGGTCTGGAATAAACTTGTAACGCTGAGCGGCGATCATTGCACATACTCCTGGTCCTGAGTGCAACCAAGCATGACACACTGTTCAGACACTTCCTCATGCGTAGTGCGCATTAGAAACTGCGTTTTTGCGTGACAAAAGAAGCCTCCTTGTGGTTGATGTTGGTCATGCAATTACACAGGTTTCACAGGAATCCAAGGCACGCAACACTTGTTCCACTCTTCCAGACCCAGACATATTTGCAATGGATAGGACAGCTTCAGCTCGCCCTCCTCGGGGATCGACGGCCCCTTGTTCCTACTATTTCCAGCTGCTGCCCTGTTGTGATTATTGACTACAGCTTGGTGTTGTACCTGATTTCCGTTCTTCATACCCGGCGGTGGCGGCCTTTTCATCGTCCGCGGGTCCGGAACAATCGCGAAGTCCTTCATCGGCACTTGCTTTCTTGGTCTATTGTTCTCTGGCACAGCTGCAGCTCCTGCCGGTGTATTAGCTCTTCTACTGGTAGTAGCGTCCCCTTGCTGTGCTGCTGATGTCGGGACGAATGGCTTCGACCTCTCCGCGCTCTTGCCGCTGCGCACACTGGTCGTACTCCCGCCCGAGGAGTGAAGCTGCTGCTGCCGTTCTTGGTCCTGTCGATTTCAAAGAAAACCGTGAAAAAGTTCAAATTATGCACCGCGAAAGAAATAAACTTCTGGTACTCAACACCAAGAGCTGTCCGACTCTGTACACGAAGCCGAACTCCACCTCCGACCTGATGACGCGGGATATTAGTGCTTCGGCGAAAATGATGTAATAATTGATGTTCAAAGCAATACTATCTACAGTACGCCACCACGTTGGAATTGGACGGTCGCGTATTAGTACATAGCACAAAAAGAAGAAATCTCACCCACCTGCGTTTTTTCTGCGACAGGCTTTGCCAAAATTTGGTCCATCCAATTCGCCATCCTCTTCGTCTGTGCCTCCTGCATGCGCTGCCGTGCGTCCAGGGGTGCTGCGCTGGGTGGCGACGCGGATTTCGGCGTTAGCTTGGAAGTTGTAGACGCATGATTATTACCATGTGGGAGCGCGGTGGGCGCTTTAATAGTTTTACGCCCACTTTTCGATGGCACAACGGACAACGTTGCACTCGCGCTCGCCATCGACCCGGCTTTCGCTGCGACCGGAGGCTTCGCGGCCGTCGCACGGAGAAGGGGCACCGGCTTGGCGCTTTCGTGTCCTGTTCCCGCAGCAGACGCTGGTGCGAAAGCGACTCTGCCAGCACTGGCTCCTTTTTGTTGTTCGGACGTCGTGATAATCCGGGTCGTACTTTCCTGCTCCCTCGTGCCTTCCGGGCGGCCGCTCTCGAGGCTACGTGGAGAGGAGGACTCGAACACAGCTGTACCCCCCGACTTTTGCTGTTCCTGGTGCTTTATTTGCGCAGGAGCGTCCTCGTCCACCGGAACCGCCGCTGCTGCTGGCTCTACTCCGACGATGTCGTGGGAGGTCTGTTTTGCGGATGAAGAAGTTGTCGGTGCTGGCACAACTGTGGTCTTAGACACACGAGGACCAACATCGTCCGCGGGAGGCCCAGGAACTACAGCAGCCCGCCCTCGCTCCGTCTGGACATCGTGGAAAACGATATTGTCCTGCTTCATGATCGACGTCGCCGCCCCTTTCTCTACGATCGTGGGGGAGTCTGCTTTTTTTTCCTTCGAACTACTGAAGTTCCGCAGAATAGCAGCGACGTCCACTTCCTGCTCTTCAGCGGGGGACGCAGATGTGGCAACGTCGAAGCTCCTCGGGAGGAGATCTTCCGCAGCGGGTTGCGTTGTCCTCGCCGCATCTATGGAGCAGGTGGGCGTCTTGTTTCCTACTTCTTCCCCATCCATTGTAGTGGCAGTTGGGAAGTCGTCCGTCCTGCTCGCTCGGAACCTGCAATCATTTTGTGGTCCCCGACTGCACATCAAATGAATCTCATCTACCACTCAAACAATTGTAGTCGGTCACTACCATGTCCTCTCAGTAGAATCATTATCATTCTTCACGAAAATGAAATCTATCAGACCATACTTACGTGCTGTAAGCTTGCGCGAAGCCGCTTTTCTTCTTTTTCGCTCCACCCTTCGCTGCGGAGGTTTTCATCTGCAGCGGTATCGCCGCCGGCACACCGACTGAGCTGCTGCTGCTCAGCAGTAGCCCGTCTTCATTCGTTTTCGTCGACATAGCCATCGTGACTCCGGTAGCACTTCCTCCTGTCGGGCCGCCGTTTTCATTCGCTACCGCAGCAGTAATATTTCCCCCAGTGCTGGTCAGCACAATCTCCTGCTCAGCTTTCCTATTCACTTCGACCGGTTGATACTGGTGGCTCTCCGCTGTCGTGGTCGGTGCAACTTTGTCATCACAGTGCACGGGTGGAGCGGTCGTCGCTTCCTCTGCTGCAGCACCAGCCACGACCTTCTGCTGCTTCATCGCTTCCTCTTCTACTTTAACTTTCTTAGATGCACTAGAACCACTACTACTTGCCGCTTCGTCGTATCCAGCCGCGGCTTCCCGCTCCCCAGCGGCCGCAGTACTTCTCCTCCCGTTCGGTGCAAGGACGACCTGCTCCGCTGCTGCTGCACGACCACTACCTCCAGACACGATTACGATTCTTGCCCCCTCCGTCTTCGGGCTGTACGCCTCTTCCCCGTGGTAACCCGTCAGCTCGTGCAGGTACTGCTGATCTGGGTCCTCCACGAAACTGCTGGTGCCAGCACTCTCGTCGTGACCTTCCCCGGCGGTCCGCCGCACCGAACCGGACGAGGACTCGTCGTGCACCTTCCTGCCAGGACCGGCACCTGGCGTGGCTTTGTTGCTTTTCTTCGTCGCACCAGATTCATCATGATCATCATCTTGGCACTTTGGCTCATCTCGCTCATCTCCCGCCTTTACAACTTGAGCATCTGCCGCGACGGGTGAAAACCCCTGCTCAGCCACCGGCTCCACCCCAGAAAATGTTCCTGCGTCGTTGGCGGTCGACTCCAAAGTCGTGGCGCCGGCGTCCACGGTGCTCGCATAGTTCGAGTGCTGCTTCTCGTGACCACCTCCTGCCGGGGCAAGAAACTTCGAGGGCGTCCCGTCCTTTTCGACCACCGTGACAACGGGATGATCAACACCAGCATCCTGAGCACAAACAGCCAATCCGGGCACCGTGTTGGACAGGGAAGCCGGGGTCTGCGCGCTCGAGGCGCTGTGCGCGCCGCGCATCGAGGACAGGAGCAGAGCGTCCACAACGCGGATCTGCTTCGTGCGCGGATCGACTTCCACGGTCGGGCTGAACTCGGAGAATGAATAACAACCAGGCAGCGGGGAAGGAGGAGCAGGGAATGTTGCATTAGCATTGCCCTCTACAACACCTGGGTCGTGGTCTCCTCCTGCAATAGAGCCAGACCGCACGGCAAACCGGTACAACTTGCCAACCTGCAATCCCGCGACGGAATACTGCTGCTCTTCAACGTCCGCATTATGCGGCACCTGGAACCGGCGCGACCGCGGGAGGCTTCTCTTCCCGTGGTCCTGCAGAATGATGTCTTGCTGCACTTCGAAGAAGAAATTTGTATTTTCTCCCCCTTCCACATCCTCCACAAACCAGGTCAAGCGAACTGCGGTGTAATTCATCTGGTCCGTGAACTCCGCAAAGAAGTCTTCCGGGGCGGGTGGGCAGTAGTTCCGGGACCCACCATCCTCGTCGTGCGCCGCCCCTACTGCTCCATCACCATCTCCTCGTCCTGGGGCAGGGCTCGTCCTACTAGAAGAAGTTGCAGACATCACCATAAAGTTCTTCGGTCCCTGTGCAGAAGCAGCCACTTCCGGTTGTTGTTCGAGTGCTGGTCTCGCCGTGTCCTCTGAGACCTCCAGTTCGACCACCTGGCCCTCGTCGTTGATAAACAAATTGTCCATCACGGAAAAATCCTTCTTTTCCAGCCTCTCAATCGTGTCATGCAGCAGATTATGCATCGCAAATACGATACTTCTGGATCCTCTGGAGCTGGCCATTACACCATTTAATAAGATGAACTATGACTTCTATTCAGTGATCATGCCGACAAGTTGGGATCACGATCCAAATCTGATCATACGTGTTCTTGGATCATGAGCTCGAAAATATTAACAAGCTCCAAAAATACACGACCTCCGTGCGTGGTGTTTGCAAACAGCTGCGGAATTGGTGTTCCGCGCCGTCCCACCAGACCAAGACATATTTGCACGCGATACAGCTGCTGCTCCTTCGTCAACACAATACCCTTTTCTTCCAACTGCTCCAGCTCGCTTCTCGCTACCTTCAACTTGTGCCCCAACACGATCTCCTTCTCCTGCAGGGCAAGCAGGTCGAGCTTTTGGAGAGCCGCGGTCGACAGCATTTTTGATTCTTTATTCCTGGTCCTTCAGTCAAGATTGGATATCATCTTTTTTACCTATGCATCGTAAAACTGCACGGAGGACACGGAGCTGGTTTAAGTAGGAAGCAGGATAAAAAACCCGAAGTCTAAAATACCAAACCTCCCTTACAGATACTTGCACAGTGGCGGTGCAGCTCCGGTCATCATATCTAGCAACGACTCGCAACCGCTTCAGTACTCTAGCATTACTGCGCCGGCCAAGAAGAACGCGCTTCCGAGCAGGGGCGAGCAGCGACGAGCAGCTACTCACAAAGGGGGACTTCATCCGCACCGGTGTAGTACGTATCCAGTACCATTTTGACCGAGAGCAAGTGGTGAAACCGGAACCACAGGTGCGTTGTCCCTGCTGTGTCGCGACAAAGCACTTCTGATAAAGCTTTTCAAAGATGAAACCGAGGGTGTTCGAAAATTCGAAACCAAGAAACTACCCAACAAGGTCGAAACGTCCTTTCGTGATTGTCGGCAACAGTAGAACACGCGGCGTGGGGCCCGTTATGTGGGCAGTATGATTGTAGCGCCGCACAGCAATGGACTTCTGTATTGTCTTACGTGGAGTATTAGCCGACTCATGAAGTCGTATATAAACTAGTTGAGAATACGTCGCCTAAACCTACGCATGTTCAACTTCAGCCATACACACCGGCAGCACGACATTTGCTGTCGCTACAGCCATGGGTCGTGGCGTCCTTCGGTCATATGACGTTTCTGTTTCACTCGCCCCCGCCGTACTTCTTCTACTTGTCGCAGCCGCCGGCAAGTAGGTTCTCGCTGTCTTCTCCTCAAAAAGACACGAAGACCACGAAAGAACGCACAAGCTACCTCCCCACACGTCCCAGCGCCCCGTCGGTCCTCGGATCGGCGGTAAATTGCTGCAGCTTGTTGATGGTCTCGTTGATTCTCTGTTGAAAATCCCGCATGTTGTGGTTGTGCAGAAACCTCAGAAGCGCGATCGGCGCCTGCAGCTGCCTCTTTTCCTGTGGCATCGAACGCAAATACACGTCTGGGTCGGGAAATAGAGCCGTGCATGGAAAGATCTTCATCTTCCCGATTGCATTTGCACGTCGTGTTTGTCACTTTTAGTACTGTCACACAAAAATCATAATGCGCATAACAGACTTGTCACCTCACTATTCTGAGTTGCATTTGAGGATGCAATTTAGCTGCCCCTGATGTTGTATTTGCGCGGCATATGTTCCGTCTCCAGCTCAATCCCAATTGGCACGGTTTCTAGTTGCATCTGGTCGCTAATCGCGTATCCCGGAAGAAAAACTGAACTGATGCACCATAGAATGAAGAAACAAATTATATCTGCCTCGCCACAATACATAGATCGATTTCTCTCATAGCAAGTACACGCTGCTTGGGCTCGCAGAAGTTGCCTGCGCACCACATTGTAGTACCCTCCTGCATTCATTCATTTTTGCATATTTCAAGCTTTCTTCCTGGCATATGGCGTCAGACATGTTCACGTCCGGCGGGAAATGGCGGTTGTGCAGCAGAGACTATGCACCTTGCAAACATCGATCTGGCTCACTTGAACTACTTCGTATTTTTCATGCGCTTTTGATTACAGGACCAAACTTTGGTAAGCAGCCAAGCATGACGAGAAATTCATTTACATCTACATGATGCTGAGGATGACAAGTCAACGTATTGGTATTTGTGCATTGGAAAATGCGAGCCCCATTCGGCAGTCTGCAGAAAAACAGCTTTGCACGCATGCGAGCAACGCATTTCCTAATTTCACTTGCCATTTTTCCAGAACTACCGGATCGATTTTTATACTTGCAATGGATAGAGACACCGCTGCGACAATGTCGTCGTCTCCCACGTCGTCGGTAAGTGTAGGGAGCGAGTTGTCAGCAAGAATCTGTAAAAATTTCCCATTGAATTCTGGTGAAGCAAAACTTGACTGTTCATGAAATGATGTTAGAACCTCAAGGGACCAAAAAAAGGAAAAGTGCTTGTGTCAACACAATAATTTCTTCTTCTCGCGATCTTTCATTCTTTCATGACAATAGTAGATGACCAGTATGAACATCAGTACTTACCTTGTTCAGCGGCTCGATAAGCTGACAAAGCTCCACCGCTTTCGCCAATCTGGCAGCGGCGTTCGGATCCGCCTCTTCCGCCGCCGGGAGCTTTATCCTCTTCTCCTCGATCGCGTCTTGATACTCGTCGTGCACGGCCATGGAGGTGGGCATATCAGGTTGAAAACGAAAACTCAAATGCACTTCCCAGCAGTTGTAGAAGCAAATAAGTACTAGTTCCAGAGGCTCAATCACAAAAGCAGCATGACGTTCTTTCGAATGGTGCGTATCATCTGTAGCACAGTGTTCTTACTTTTTTAAGCGCGAGATATTGCATAGGAAAAAATCAGTTCGCCTTCGTGATGTACTTGCTCAACAATTTTTCCACCTGATACAGCACATCCAGGACCTTGAGCTTGACATCCGGCGGGGCCTTGTCTGAGAGGGAATCGCACAGCGACTCATCTAGACCTGTGGTACGTACAGAAGGGTCAACAGAAGTCGCGCTTGTCGTGTGCAGGGGAGTAGAGAGCATCTCCAGTGCCTTGTCCTATGTACAAATCCCTACTGCAATACAAACTTCTGCAGGCCTAACAACGAACCTACTCTTACCGAGCTCCTTGAGATATTCCTTGGTTGCTCGGTACCACTGCGGCCGCTTGTTCACCTCCCGCAGGTGATCAGAGAGAAAATTTGTCCACATGTTCTTTATACTAAAACATGCCTGAACAAAATAAGATCTACGTCTACCTTCCTTCATTTCTTGCAAAATACCTAAGAATACAGTCAAGGGATGCCCGCCATGCCGTGCGAGAATCTGGCAATGTGCGGAATGCAAGAGTGCTGCACATCTGCTGATTTTGACTAATTCATTTGAAAATAGATTGATGCAAAAAAATGAAAAACATACGAAATTGGCATTACCAAGCTAGTTGTACAGCAATTACTTGAAAGTTCTCTCTGATACATCTTGGCTCGTTCCGCGACGGTGTAGAGCCGCACCTTTTCTTCTTCCAGCCACAACACTATTCGCTGAAAGTCGTCCAGGGTGGGGGAAGCCTGGGGGCATTTTAGCGTCTTCAGTTTCCGCTCGAGGAACTTGGGCAGCTTACCCGAAAAACTGGAGGACGAGGAGGACATTTTGTTTTTGATTGATTTCCTCCTTGTAGCCGGAGGTGCCTTTTTATTTATCGAGGGAAGTTGTGGAACTCGAACTTCTCGCTTAGCTTTTTCGTTTTATCAACTCTTCATCAATTATACCGCCACTGGATATAGCTCTAAAATCAAGTTCGTCAACTAGGTGCCGAGACCTAATCCAAAACACAGCACCAGTTCGAATTTCAGCATCTACTTCTGGAGCAGGCGGAGTAGTCAGTACTACAAAAAAGACAAACTCGGAACAAACACCAGCGTGCTGCGAGGACAAAAGTTGTGCTTAATTATAATATAAAAAAAAGCAGCACGTTGCTGCTGAACGACAAATAATTCCAAAGGTGTGCAAAACGCTTCGCCACGGCAAGCGTAGCGAGAGGGACAGAAATTGCGATCAAAATTCTAGACCATGTTCTTCACGAAGAGTAGAACAATTTATGATCGTACCTACTTATGTCGAAGAATCTTCTTGAACTCTTGCTTTTGCCTCCAAGACAAGGACACTATCCTAGCACTGACACAGGACTCGCCTGCTTTTTCATTCATCTTGCCAAGATGTTGCAGGTCAAAATGTTGAGAACGGGGCGTGTGTACGCATTCGTGTCTTATTCATCATGACAAGCATGTTATAACTTTCCCAGTCTGATGAACAAATCCGCCTGTTCGTACATCTTCTTGCAGATCTTGTTTCAACCTTCTTTTATTCACATCCAGACACGATAAGTATCTGTCGCAGGGGAAAGCACCACTGCTGCAAAAATGCTTACGCCCTCACCTGCAGCTCGTGCTGGTACTTACGTCGGTACGGATGCTTCTCGTCGTAGCAGACGGCGAAACAGTGGCGGACTTTTCCCAGCGCATATTCCCGCTCCGCTTCCAAATCATTCCTTGTTGAGGGGCATCCAGTGCAAAAATCGGTCCAGGTCGGGAAGGAAGAAGAAGCTTTATTTGTCATGCATACCCATAGCCGTCCGAATAAAATTTGTCATGCTTGGCTGCGTAAGAAATATGTTTCAAGTGTCTGAACTCCCATAATTCACGAACCCTTATTGCAACTTTCCTCCAGAGTAGACCCAGACACGATATCTGCAACTGTCGGATAAAGTATCCAACTTCGGATGCGTATAATTATCTTCCAACAGCGCTGCAATATGGAACTGTCAGGATCGAAATCAAGAAAATCGAAATAATTTGTGATGCATAAAATCTATACCAGTTGGCGCCTCAGTTTCTAAGTGGCGCATGACAAATTTTGGGAGCAACAAAATTCAGTCTGTCATGCTGCTTGAGCAAAAAGACTGCTCCTGCCATGCTACTCTAGCAGCATATCGTCTTCCCCTAAACAGGCTTTCACTCGGTCTTATTTGCCTGATCCCCAACACAGGTCATGCGTGCCCTACATTTTATGCATTACAAATTTTTAGATTTTGTCGATTTCAAACCTGACACATCCATATGCAACTTCGTCGGCGTACTCCTCCCAACTCAACCCGGTGGCGGGCGAATTCGCTATGGCCTGCTCAAATCGGTTACCATCTCAAACGTTACAATAGAGTCTGGAGCTTTTTGTGTTGCATGATGAGCATGACAGACTCGCACAACGTTCCACCTTTTGCAATACAAATTTCGCCAGATTGTCGTGGGGTTTGGGGCTCCGGAACTTGTGGTCATGCGCAATTCTATGAGAGTTGCCTAGATCATGCAGTCTTGCATCACAGATTTCCAGACTCTATTGTAACCGATTTGAGTATTGTAACACCTGAGCAGGTCATATTCGCGGTCAGGATTTTTTCCTGGTTTTCGCAGTACTGTCGCAGCCTCTCCACGGCTTCCACCCGCTTTCCCAGGGCAAAGTTGCACTGGATCTCAAAAGACGTCAGCTTGTGCATCAAGTAATGGTGCTCCGGCGGCAGGAGAAGTCGAATTCGCTGGCTTGCCCCGCTCGGACTTGTTGCAACAGTTTCCTCGGCAGTGAGTTCGCCTCGCAGCGACAACAGCCAGTGGAACGCCTGCGCGGTATCAAAAAGAAAAATACCCCCCCCATATCAAAACGAAATTTCTGATGCTGGATGTGGATACACAAATCGCGTCTGTCTTGCAGCAGAGGACTGCAGACATATGCCAAGCCTGCGGCGAAAGGTTTGGACGTAGGTGCCTAGCATGGCAAACGTCTATGCTGTAGGCCCAACAGCATCACAAACCAACTACATCGCGCGGCGGACTCTCTCGATTTGCCTTCTTGCAAGACAAACAGGATTTGTGGTCACAAATCTGCATCACAAATTTTCAGGCGCATGCGTGTTCAATGTGGGGAGGGGGGATTTTTCCTGACGATACGCGGGTAAGCCGCCCCGCTGGTCGCCCAGCTGCGTCAAAATGTCCTCGAACCTTTGTGTGTTGATCGCCAGCGCGTTCTCCACCAAAGTCAGGGTCGGCACGCTGGCCGGGCAGCTTTCTTTACTCTCTTCGTCGTTCGGCTTATCAAATGGACAAATATCATCGGTCTGGGCCTGGAATAAACAGTATACAACACTCACTGGTCGACGCAGATCCAGAACCGAACCTAGTAAAGCATGACATCGGAAATCTACTGGCCGGACGTCCCCGAGAAGTAACCGGAAAAGCATGATACATTTTTTGAAGTATAGAGAGTGCGCAACTAGCATGAGAGGACGTCGCGCTTCTCATACATTATCATCATCATCATCATCATACATAAGGTAAGCGATCGCACTGCTTGCGTGACACACTCTGTCGCGCCGATCCGCTTCATGCATCACAGATTCCACCGGCTTCTTGATTCGTTTCTTTGCACTGCCATGAATACAGAGTTGCACCCTTTTCCCAGACCCAGACGCGGCATTTCTTGCGATGCGTACGACCTCTGGCCCTTGTTCCCAAGCATGTCTACCTCGACTTGGAGATTTTCCTCAAAAACGCCCGGGCGCGTGTCGTCGAACAGGTTGACATTTTGCGCCAGCAGTTCCGCTTCTTCCCTTTCACGAAGGTCGCCTGCGCTGCAGCCCGTCTCTTCCAGAGCGGCCCCGCCTTGCTTTGTTCCCTCTTCGACGTCGCAACTATTGACATGATGTTCCTCACCAATATTCCGCTGTACCTCGTACAGCACGGGAGAGCCGCTATCTTTGTCCAGCGAAGTAGTGCTGGCTGTGGTGGTGGTCGTGATGCTGCTGCTTTTCTCGGAGCTGTTGGGCGGAGAGGACGTGGTCGTGGGCCTGTTTCTCCGCGGTTTCTCCGAGGTCTCATCACTGCAAAGTATCCTCTTCGTTTTATTGTTCGCCGGCGTTTGGTGTTCTTGTTGAGACCTTCCCGATGCGTTCGCGCCTCCTGCAACCTCTCTTGGTGCTTCTTCGTGCAGCTCTGCTGCACTGCTTTCTTTTTGTGGAAGAGTCCTCGTGCCTCGATGTCCATGTGGAATATCAATAGCGGAGCCAGTGCCTGTTCCATGCGACGTTGTTGTATCTAGCACGGGCGGTCGCTCCGCGACCGCCGGAGAGGTATGGAGTAGACAAGAAAACGATGGGTCCGATTTCCGACTAGGAAGGTTGCAGTCCTCGCGGGGAAGGGGAGGGGATTCTCCTGGGGGCGAAAACCCTACAGGCGCGCAGCTTTTCCGTGCGCCTGAGCCCCCCGGAGAAAGACAGTAGGCGTGACAGCGGCCCGTTCCAGCCCCCAGGAGCAGGAGAAGCTCCGGGAAACCGAAAGAACACCCGGGGCGAGCCCACCCTGGGAGGGGACGAGCCTTCCGGGATGTCTCCAATTTGCGAGCATCCCCCCAAGTTGCGAGCCTTATGGGCGGCTGCTCGTCATTCTAGAGCTACGCCCGATTGTATTTCTAGATAGTTACGCCTCCAAGGCGGTGGGGCTGCTTTCGACGGAGCCCACAGGGCCGCAGCTGCGGAAGCTGCGCGACAAAAAACCTGGCCAGCCAGGCAGGTGCAACCAGGACAGGGGGACTGAGCGCGCTGTGTGTGGTAACCATTTAGGGCAACGAGAAAAGGCGCCTTTTTCTCTGTGCAGGGTGGCGGGGGCATCGATGCACACGAAGAGGGGCCTCCCCCGCGAGGCAAAACTGGGGAGCCCAAACAAAGCGCAAAGCCATCCGCGGCACCGTGGCAAGGCCGAAGCCAATTCGCCTGCACCTGCGGGCGCGGCAGCACGCGCCACGCCACCCGTGTTCAGTATTAATTCGCCCTCCTACGGCTGCGCCCCCTTTTCCCGGGAACGAGTGCCACGTCCCGCGCTACCACATCACAGGTACTAGTTGCTCGGCGCTAGTTTCTCCACAGGGGGCAAAGGAAGCAAGCAGCGCGGGCGAGCTCTTTGGCGGAAGCTCGGGGCGAACCGGCCCACGGGGCAATGGGGGCAATTTTTTACTAGTAAGGTTTCTCCTAGTAAGCTCTCTACTAGTACGCTTACTAGTAGTTTTTTTGCTTGCTAGTCACGATAAGATTACTAGTAACGCAGCTTGCTAGTAAAATTTCCGGATTTTCCTTACTAGTAAGATTCTACTAGTAGAAATCGGGCCATACGCCAATCGATTTTCTTGCCGTATAGTATATAGGGTGTCCTCGTGCCTCGATGTCCATGTGGAATATCAATAACGGAGCCAGTGCCTGTTCCATGCGACGTCTTTGTAGTACTTCTAACTCCCCGGCATGGGCTCGTCTTCTGCGTGTCCCCAAAACTACTGCACCGCACGCAGCCGCACAGAAAGCCCTTCTGGCTGCGGAGAAGCTCGCGGCGCACGAATTTCGGCGCGTACAGCTGTTCGGGATCCAGGTACGACACCAGAATCTCCGCTCCAGCCGGAATCTCCTGAATCGCGCGCATCACCTTCACCCGGCGTTTACCTTCGTGCAGCATGCATCGCAGGGGAAAGGCGATCGAACACTACCAAGGAACACGGGGCCCCAGGATCTGTTGATGAAATGAACCAAACAGAAATCGCCTGCTCTGGTTCTGCTGTCCTGATGAAGAAATAAAAATCAAATGACGACGAGCCTCATTCAGTTTTCTTCTCTCGTTTGCAAGACCTCTACTCCACCAAAAGCGGTGTTGGTTCTGGAAAAAGATGACGCCTGAGACTTCATCCGAGCAAATGCATTTGTGAAATGATCCTGTGCTGTGCCGTGCGCCTCCGGTAGGCCTCTACGTCCTCTGCTGTTTGTTCATACTCCGTGCTCTGTCCCCCTCGACGTCTCGTTGTGCAAGGTGGTATACCAGTGGCAGTTCGGTGCGCAGGAATGGTTGGCCTTCGTCGCTAGCGGGTAGAGCGCCGACACAATTCTCATCTTCGAGTGGGGCTTTTCATCGCACCCCAAAGAGCCTTCTAGGCCCTCCGTTCCTTGCTCCGCCGTGGATTTGTTGTCGCCGGCTTTATTTTCATTCGCCCCAAGCACCGCCTCTTCCGGCAAGAGAGAGTTATCGTAGGAAAAAACTGCCTCCCATCAACTGTGATGATTCTGTCGCAGGACAAGTTTTTTTTCGCATGTGGCGGAGAAATTCTGCCGTGCGTCCTTGCTACGGGAAGATGAAAACACGGCCGAGAGTCGTGATCTCTTCACTCTTGCATTTCTAGCAAGACGACAAACGCTTCGGAACTGCTGGTGCTGCACAGATATAGATACTTATTCCGCATCACAAGTCCACTGCGAAACAGTTTTCCCCCCGATAGCACTGTGCGGCGTTGTATTTCACGATGCGCGCAAACTGCACATACCTCTCCGAGTCCACTCCTTTCGTCCCGAGAGATGACCGTGTTGTCCTCGTTGAAGCTGCTACAACACCTGCGACGCCGCAACCAGCCGGCCCCGCGCTCTCCATTTCGAGTGGCGGCGGCTGGAAGTCGCCAGCGCTGTGGAATTCGTGGAGAATTTCCTCCTGCGCCTCAGCACCGAGCCGGCAAAACACCGCCCACGCGTTCCGGAAAATCTCCGTCGCATCCCTGTAGCAGTAGGTCAACAGGGGCCAATCCCTGAGAATTTCTTCGCCCGCGGAAATGTGTCGTGTCGCGCGCATGATCCGCCCCAGCCGCGGGTTGCCGGAGGGCACTACTTCGTAGCAGGGAGGCGGACCGGAGGTCATGGTTTTGTCGAACGAGAAAATTCTTTTTGTTATGTATTTACTTGTTTGCCGCTCCTGCCCGCTCGGGGATGGCAGCGTGTGGGTTCTTTCGAGAATTTCTCTTGTCCTGAGTACTTCCAACTTCTACCGCGGATCACGTGTATTATCGATTGATAAATAGCTAGAACGGTGAGAAGTCTCTTGTAGCCGAAAAAGAAGAAACTAGACTGACCGCTACTGCTGTGTCATTTACAACATTTCGCGATACCTCCAGCTGACATACGTATACGACTATACCCGTGGTGGGGTCTGGAGGACCACGGCGCGCATACAACTAGTATTTCATACTTTGCACTTATCTAGATTTCAGTACTGTCAGTGACGCTTACCCGAAAAAAGTTCGCCTGCAGGGGTGGAAAGGAAAGAGAAGTAGCCTCCGAAGATGTTAGGCACCAGTTCATCGCTACCACAAGTGTGATGTTGCTAAGGTGAATTTCATTAAAAGTTGCAGCTGTGTTGATCTACTTCGTTGCCGTGCAAGATCTTGGGGTTTGGCGTGTCGGAACTTTAAGAGTGCAGCCGACTTTTTCATGAACTATAGCTCGACCACGCATACTATTCTAGTAGAGGCGGCTAACAGTGATGCTTGTACCCCGCCCGCACTACAAATTCCCCGGGCCGTATAGCATGCTTATTGGGTGGGACTGGGAAATTTGGCCGCTGAACAAAACCCGACAAGCACACCGAGAGTCTTATACCGGTCGATGCTAAAGCTTCACGCGCCGCAACCAGAGCACCGGCTGATTACCCTAAACCCTGTTTAAGTTATCAAGCACTTACGTTTTACTATTCGTCTAATACAAGTTCCCACTTGCATGCAACATCACCTCGGCCTGGATCATTTTGATCTTTTCCGTTTCGTCTTTTGTCTACCCTGAACCCCTCCATCAAACTTCCCATGTACGTGCAAATTGCCCGGCCCACACGGACGCTTCTTTTCCCTAGTGGGAATATACTCGCGTACTGGTGGGGACAGCCCGCTGCGCACTGGACTCGCCGATGGGAATTTATGATCTAGTTGCTTTTTTTTTTTCGTACGAAAACTTTTTGATCTACTTGAACTGCAGTACTGTAACGCTATGTAGAAAAAAATTTTGCCTCCTTCTTGTTTTTTTTGGCCGAGGTGTCTAAGGCGCTACTAGTGCCACTGATCCGCACAGTGGGCTTCCGCGCTACGAATATTTGTAGGTCGTCGAAGGTGGGCGCTACGCGGAATGTACTACACGAACAGGCCTATGGTGGCGGCCACGGCGATGCAGTCACGCAGACCGCCATGCAAAACTAACTAGCCTCGCCATGAGGTCCCCGCGAACGCCACGCCTGTCGCCGCATCTGCTGACGCAACAGCAGTGCGAGGGATGGACTATGCTAAGCCTCTTCGGGCATAAGTTACGCATCCCTTTTTGTAGTAGTACTACCGGTCGGTGTGCTATGTAAGGTTAAGTCCCGAGAGCACCGAGGAAGCTAAAAAAGCAACTTCTTCACCGCCGGGCGCTATACTAAAGCTACTCTTTCTTCTTTTTAACTTTCACTAGAGCTATCGCCAAACCCCCTTTTGTTTCGCGCACTTCCTGTCTCAAGTTCTTTTACGTGCTGTTTTCTCTTCATTTCCAGAGGAAGTTCTTTCTTTTCCGCCAACATACAAACCCTGCTGCCCACGTGACGCCGTAAGGAGCTGTAAGGAGTGGGGCGAACTCGGGGCTGTAAGAGCTCCGGCGAGTGCTTTCATGAGCTAGACTTGACCACGCGTACTGCTACAGTAGAGGCGGCTAACGATGAACCTGCACCCCAAGCTGGGCTCAACGCAGCAGTCAGGCAATCCTAACCACCACGTCGGCCGTAAAACAGGTTTGCGTTTGTCAGAAGTTTGGAGCTGAAACAGAGTTGCAGCTGTGATCTACTTCGTTGCCGTGCAAGATCTTGCTTTAAAGGTGTAAAATTTCCATCCGCGCCAGCATCTGTGCAAAATGTAGGAGCTCGAAGACAATTTGACCTGCTTGGCCTGATAAGCACAAAAAAGGCCTCGGAAGGGGTTGTTGTAGCAGGTTTTTGGAAGTTTGCTCGGATGCGTTTCGCCGCCTCTCCGCATCAGGGCCACACAGAGCGAAAAACCTGCCCGCCCTGAAGACATTGGCGCGCGCACTGTAATCAGACACGAGGTTGCTCTGATGCATTTGGAGAGAGACCAAGACGTCTTACAAAGAGCGAAACAGTAAAGAAGGCACTAGAGCAAGTTCGCGACTTTGCTTGCTCGAATCTCTGATCCGAAAAACGCGCCCGTGTCTCCGTAAAAGAAAACCGTATCGGAGCAAGTTTGTTGGTGATGCATTTTGCTCGGATGGAGACACGGATGCGTTTTTCGGATCAGGGATCTGGGTGATGTTTTCCTGGATTTCGTCACCAAAGGGGAGAGCAATGCCCTCGGGCTCGCGTGAGTTGCCCCGAGGGACATCTTCAGGTTGTTAGCGGCCCCAAGGCTCTCAAGGCCCAGGGCTTCGATCCGAAAAACGCATCCCTGTCTCCATCGGAGCAGATTGGACGAGATCCAATGTGGTCCGTCACCTCTAACAAGAACCTCGAAAAAAACTGCTCTGATGCGTTTTTTTCTGAAGCGAATCACGATGGAGAAAAATGCATCCGAGCAAAATGTCGGATACCCCATTCTTGAACCCCCAAGGACGACTTCCAGAGGCTACTTCCCGAGAAGCCGGCACTTGCCCTCATGGTTGCTCGGATGCAAATCCAAGACCTTTGGCTGGCCGTCAATGCATCGGGGCTCGCCGCACTCGAACGATGCGTGAGGCTCCAAGCAGAACGAAAGCGCCGCCGATCCAAAGAGAGCCGGACGGCTGTGATCTACTACGTTGCAGCTGTGATCTACTTCGTTGCCGCGCAAGATCTTGCTTCCGAAGCGGGGAACCTCCTGCATGACCTCTGATCGCCTCGTCTGCACGGTCTTCGCCTCGTGTTCTTTGTACTTCCGATCCTTTCACGGGTGGATCGATTCGATATATGAAGTGTTGTTTCCTTCAGGCGGAGCCAAGCAGCTCTTTGTGGCTCACAATTCTTCCAAGAGATACAGGCTTTGATTTCTGGTTCAAATAAGACCGACTCTGCAACACAAAAGCTGTCGGAATCGGCGCAAGGAACAAAAGACGCGGCAAATCAATAGATCACTCGGCGCCATTCAACCCGGCGCCGCGACTACTGTGGATTAATGTTCCACAGTTTTTCCACAAATCCCGATGCTGTTCTTCTTGTAGATACAAAAATTAAGAAAAAAAATTAAGAAATAATTTGAGTACTACAGCTCTGCTCTGCATAGGTGAGCTTCTCTTCGAGCAAAGAAGCAGCTGTAGCAAGCTATGGACTTGATGTTCCGTAGGCCGAACTTTCTCGAAGTCCCGGGCCCACGATCCTTTGAGAGACCAAGTCTAGGACAGAATTGCCTTGTGTCCGATAAATAAAACTTCTTCCTCCAAAATTATAAAAGTGTCTCTTTCTTCTTCTTTTCACAATTTGAATTTTGATGATATTCTGTAAGTGATCATCTAATTATGCTGTTTTATTCCCGCTAAAAAATCCTTTTCCTCTGCTCGAAAAAGAAAAAAACCTCTTCACTCCTCCTCCAAAATCGGCCTCCCGACGGGCTCCGTGGGACTAGCCATTTTCGTCAAGTAAGCCATTTTTTTCTTCATCAACAGTGGCGTGTCGACCTTGTCCTCGTCCCCGTCCTCGTCGTCTTCATTATGGATGTGTCAGGTTTGAAATCGACAAAGTTGAAGCAGAAAATGGATGCCAGTTAGACCTGAAGTTTGTAGTCGGTGCATGACAAATCTTCCCGGTCCTGGAAGCGAGTCTGTCATGCGGTTTAGGGCAAAAGGGCTGCCTTCTGTCATGCTAGTCAGCAGTCCAACTTTTGACCCTTACCGGGACTATGATCTGCCTCCCTTGCGTCCTCTGCAATAGAGTCAGTTTTTGTATCGCATTTTATGCATTACAAGTTATAATTTCAACTTTGTCGATTTCAACTCTGACACATCCATACTCATCTTCCATGCTGTACAAACCCTGTTTGAGCGACATTTCCCCCGGTTGGTCTTCATCGTCGTCGGCACCGGCTGCCAGGTCCTCATCCTCGTCCTCTTCTCCTGCCAGCTGCTCCTTCCCCGCTAGCGCGAGTTGCGTCAACAGCTTCCCCATATTCGGGTCGATGTCGAGCTGTTCGTCCTCGATTTTCTCCAACAAAAGGATTGCGTGCAACGGCGACGCCTCCGCAAGGATCAGAAAGTGCTCTTCTCCCCACTTTTCCGTTTCCAGAATCGGGATCAATTCCGGGCGACGAATGCCAGCAAGCTATCACACCGAAAAGTGTTAACGTTAACGGAATTTGGCATGCAGAAATGCACGAGAAATGATGCCCAAATTTGTATTGCATAGCATGCATGATAGCGGCAATTTCTCACGCATGACAGCAATGCCTCAAAACCGTTAACGTTAACACTTTTTTGCTTGATACAAGCAGAGCGTCTTCCATCTCCAGTTTCTGGGCTAACCGCAGCGCCACCTCGATCGGTGTCTCCGGGTGGACCGCGATTTGCAGTAGGTATTCGCACGACAATATCCTGCCTCAAAACTACGTCCCCACACGCCATGGTTTTAAGGTGAGAAATCTGCTAGACAAATCAACACGCTTTGGTTGTTGCGCATGACAAGTTCTTCTTTGGCGTCGTAGTGTAAAAATCCTGTTTAGCTAGTTCACCAGCATCACAGATCTGACATATCATGCTGATTGGAGCTTGACAAATTCCGAAATACGAGTAGAAAACTCTTGTCATGGGGCTCCGCATGAAAAACATTTTCAGGCTCAGCATACAGATCTGCATGACAACTCTGGGGTGGGGACGTTTTTACAAATGATAGACAAATCGCTGGTTGGGATGGAGTACTTTGCCATTTCCGGAAAGAGACGAAAAATCAGAGGCAGGTAGGGGGCGAGAACCTGGTAGGATGAAAATCATGTTGAACTACCGATTCTATATACGATTTATTGTTGCGTACTGCAAAGTGGTAGAACTGCTCCTGTCAATTAGGTCGTGCATGAAGTGAAATAACAATAAGTGCTGAAACCACAACGAAATTCAACTCATAAGCGGAACAACTGTCGTCACTGATTCCGCGTAAAAAAGAAGCAGGACTGTCCTTACTGGCGACGTATTGTGAAAGAAAAATCCGGCGTAGAAGTACCTCATCCCGGATGAAAGGCACCTTGAACAAGTGCAGCGCGATGCTGGTCAACGTTATGCCGAGTAAAAACCACGCACCCACGCCGGCACTGTCATGCCAAAGGAATTTTAGCACGCTGTACTGCCTAGCCCTGATTTATTGTCATTTACAAATCTGCATGCTCATGATGTCTGTGTGTTTCATCATGCACAGCCGCATCAGAGTGTTTGGAAATTTCTCATGCGCGACTCAGGATATAGAAAGTGGATCGATCAGTATTGTGGCTACGCAAGCTAAACACGCCTACGCTGTCATGCGCGTTTTCCAAAGCTTCTGGATTTGTCTTGCACCTTCACCATATCTTGACTACGCTGGCGTAGTACGCTTTTACACTGCACAAACGTGTCCCGCTCCTCATCCGGAATGATGCTCTGTTCTATGAAAAGGAAAAATCCTCCCCATATCGACAAGGCACGTCTTCGAAAATTTGCGTTGCTGATTTGTGACCACAAATCATCTCTGTGTTGCATGAAAGCAACTCCACAAGCTCCGCCGCACTCTACAGGCAGTTTGTCATGCTGTTGTACCTACAGCGTAGACGTCTGTCATGCAAAGCGCCCTGGCCAAAATCTGTCTGCTCAGGCTTAGTATGGGCCTGCGGCCGGTCCTCGCCAGCAAGACGAATCTGATTTGTGTACGAAAATCCAGCATCAGAAACTTCGTTTTGATATGGGGAGGGGGGATTTTTCATTCTGATATGTTCCTCCGCCGCTTTATTTGACGAAGCCCCGCCCGCTTCTTTGGACTTCTCTAGACTTCGGGAGACCGGTATCGAAAATGAAAGGTCGTGCATATTCACCCTGCTGAAACACGGTCATTTTTGCCAGGCAACTTCGAGGGCAACGAACATGAACATGAAGACTCACCCTATTGCTACTGCAAATGCCCCCGGCGACACGCAACTAATAAGTATTCCAACGCATAAGATTCGCGGAAACTTGGGCACTAGTTCTTGCAGCAGTAAAAAGCAAGCATGCCCAGAATTCATTCTACGTGGCCGCGGTCTCTGGAAGTAGGGCGCATTATGTACAGGCCCCACTCGTGTTCGTCCGCTCCTAGACTCTATCTAGAGCAAAGCAGGCGTGATCATTCTGGTTCTCTGCAAGACACCGTTTTGTCCTTCTTCGAACTGCAACTAGTACGGGAACTTCGCAATACAAATTTGCAGAGGGGGAAATGTTGAACTTTTCTCATCGATACCCGCGGCCGCAGACTGCACGCACTCGATCAGGTTCAGTGCCAAATCCAGCTCCTCCGCGCAGCCCTTGTCTGTGGCCGTCTTGAACAGCTATCCTGTGCAAAAACGGGGCTCACACCCCTGAGGGCGGTTGGTAAATCTGCAACACAAATTTCCGATTCCAAGTTTTGGGAGTGATGTTGCATGACAACTTTCTATCTGCAGTGTAGTGCTGATTAGCAAGAACTACGGCCGCATTAATACAAAGAGGCCTGCGGATCCTGTTTACAGCATATACAAATCCCAGAACACGAATACTACAAATTCCTGATGTGCATTGCAGATGTTTTTGGCGATGCAAATCTGCATGACAACTCTGGCGTGGGGACGACGTTATATTTGCTCAGGATAACAGCGTCAGCTTCTTCAGCTCCTCCTGTTTGTCCTTCAGCTGCTGCTTCAGCTGCTTCTCCTGCTCCTCCACGTCTGCGCCTTCCGCTAGCAACTTGTCCAGTGGCATCCCGGGTAAAAACGGGGCCCACCCACACCCTAGAGTTGTAAAATGCGAATCTGCAAGCCTAAAGCATTTCTCGTGCGGAGACCTCCACCCATGCAGAGCAGATATTTCTGGCGTTGTTTTGAGATTTGTGATGCTGGAATCAGCATGATCATGTACGCGATCTGTGATGCTGCTTGACAGCACTAGCTAAAGACCACGACTACTACATTTTTGCAACAACCCCAACTTTGTCATGCGCAACATCAGCCAAAGCCTGTTGATTTGTCTAGCAGATTATTTACCATCTCGACTAAGGGGGGCAGATGGGGATGTTTTTACACAGAATAAGTTCTGCGCGCTGCTCGACCGACAAGTCCTTCAAGAATTCCTCGGCCGCCGCGGTGTCTTCCTCCGTCGTGTTATCACTATGAAAAATCCCCCCTCCCCATATCAAAATGGAAACTTCTGATGCTGATTTGCGTAGACAAATCAGCTTTGTATTCCAGAGAGGCATCGCGGGCAGATCTCCAGGCTAGATAGGGGCGTATGTGTCTAGTTGTTCAGCATGGCAAACGGCTCCCCTTTAGGCCCCAGAGCATGAAAAATCGCTGCCATCATGAGGCGAAAGCTCCTGCCCTTGTCTTCTTGCAGGACAAATATGATTTGTGACCTCAAATCAGCAACGCAAATTTTCGAAGTCATACCTTTTCAATATGGGGAGGGGGGATATTTCCTTTCAATACGTGTCCTCGTCGATCAACGCGTGCTATCCTGAGTCAAAGCGTCCCCGTCCAGTAGTCAAGCGTCCCCGTCCAATGAATAGTCAAGATGGGTGGAATTTGGGTACACAAATCCACAAGGTTTGGCTGCTGCGCAGGACAAGTTTGCACTCTCGTAGTGGAGAGCTGTTTGAGGTTGTGATAAAGTGCCGCATCATAAATCTACTTCGACTACCTTTTATCCTAATATCAGCATCGCAAACTCCCGGACAGCACTAGAAAACGGTCCTGAAGAATCTTACGGGGCTTCGCATCAGAAATCTTTTAGGCGTGCGGATTCGCATAACAACTATGGCGTGGAGACGCTTTTGCTCAGGATACATGCTCTTCGATGGAGGTGGACGAGGAGCCGGCAGCCCCCGAAGCGGCAGGCCGCCCCTTCCCCTTACTCGCTGCGTCTTCGTGCTCCATTTCTGCCAAAGAAAGGAACAGGTCCCGTTCCGCGCGCTGCAGGTCGGACTGCTTCGACGTAATTTCGTTCTCCAGCTGCGCCGCGAGGTGCTTATGCATTGCAAAAGCATCGTACTTCTAGAACTAGTATCAGATGCATTACAAATTTGCTCAGTATGGGAGCTGGAATTTGTCATGCTGTTTTACCTTAAGAACATGCATCACTGCAACTAGTACGAGTGCGATGCTTTTGCACAGGATAGTCCTTCAGCTGCGACAACTCGTGGGTGAGTCGCTCCTTTTCCTTCCGCTCTAAAAAATCGTCGACCTGTTGCTGCTCCATTGCGGAGAGCGCCCCGCCGGAGCCGGTCCGGTCGAGCGTCGAAATGTCCGGCATGGCTTTTGCTTTTTCTACTTACTTGTCAATCAAAAATGAACTATTTATGTTCTCACTTTTGTATGCGAATATGTATAAACCGACTTCTTTCTGGGGAGGAGCGACGCGTCACTCCGTTGATAACGGCATTGCTCAGAAGAACTGAGACTGTGCGGTGATGATCACGATTATATATACCCCAGGAGTGCACTTGGCGCTGCACGACTTCTAAAGAACCAACCCATAAGCAACAAATTTGGCTTTCAGTGCATTCCCGCTCGTAAGCACCAAGAACTCGAGACCATTTTGCAAGTTTAGGTACGGCTTCGCTCAAGCGGCAACAACTTAAAAAACCGCTGCAGATAATGACAAAGCCGTCCGCTTTCCGGTCTGGGCGGCTTTGTCTGCATATATGAATGATTACCATAGGAGCTCCTACGTAGTACCGAAAACAGATTGTTGATCTTCCATTTGATGCGGTCCTCGAGAACACTTTCTACGACGTATATATCAAGTCGCAAAGACTCACGACGTCGCTGACGTGTGAATATTTTTGCGTCTCCAAGATGATGCGATCATCTCGCGTATCATTCCGTCCTGCTGAAACTATTATAATATGCGCCGACCACAGTAAAAGAGGAGCGGCTTTGCTTGTTATTCTTCGATGATTGTCTGCAACAGACAGTGTTGTGTTGTGTTCTGCAAATAACAAGACTTTTGCTTCATCACCTTCCTGTGCTTCCTTCAGCAGCTCCACGGCGCGGAGGTTTTGAAGATGAGCATTCATGTATCCTCACTCCGCCTCTTCCAGCCTGATGTGGTACTTCTTCGGCACTTTCCACATGGACACCAATCCGTCCGTGCTGCACAGAGTATGGGAAGGAACCAATTGAATCAAGTACGTAGTGGTCAGCAGCTTGCACAACTAATATTTCACCTATTCATTATAATCGACTAGTACCTTTTTTACCTCCGTGATACAGCAACAGGCTGCAGTCCTGTGTGCTCGTCACACCTCCCAGATAACTTGCTTATTTGACGGCAGTAGAAGTAGACGTAGAAGCAAGGCGCTGGCGATAGATGTCGTCCTTGTAAGTATCATTTTCATGCCTTGAGCTTGACCACGCTGCTAACATAATTAACTCATGCAAACAAAGCAGAACCTAGCTTCGACTTTTGACTCAAAACTTTCCTCGCATAGGTGAAGAGAATCATGTTGTCCCGGGAAAAGACACAGTCGCGGACCTGAAATAAATGTGATGATATTGATTCATACAACAAACTACCATGCATATCCAGTATGACAAACGTAGCCATCTTGCAACATATTGCGCAACATCACAAACTTCCTCGAACACACTTTTTTTTTTCTTGCCTACTTCAGTAAGTACCCACGACTCGTGCGCTTTGAAGCTCGTCTGCAGGGACGCCTTGAAGGCGGCTTTGCTGGGTTGGATGTTCCATATTCGCACGGTGCTGTCCCGCCCGACTGTGGCAAGTATTCGCCCACACTGGCTGAAGGCAACCTGTGATTTTGATGAACAAGATGCATTTGAATTTAGATTATCGTGTGTCTCGTCTTCTTCCCGATTTTCTTGTTCTAGCAAAAGCCATCTATTTAGCAACCTGTAGACTGAAGTGACACGAACAACTGTTGAAAAAGGAAAACCAAAACGTGGGACAAAAATTTTATGATCTACCTTATAGATCGCTTCCGTGTGCCCGGTCAGCTGGTGGTGCTCCAGATTGTACTTCTATCCCTTGCAAACAATGTCGATCTGGGTCTGAAAATCTGTCATGCTCGTCTACATGCATGACTACTCTAATAATTGTTCCCGACGTGGCAGGCCAACAACTTGTTCTTCCCAGATCGATATCATTTGCAAAGGATAACCCGCGCGGTTTTTCGATACTCTCCCGGGCCGTGTCCTTTGTCAAGTCCTTGAGGTTCCACAGCCGCGCCATGCAGTCCTCGCCCACGGTCACCAGAAACGTATCCGAATTCGGCGAGATCGCTACACTATTGATGCACCCGAGGTGCCCCTCGAGCCGCGCGCGGAGGTCGCACCTGAGAAAGCAAGTTTCTAAGTTTCTCTCTAGTGGTGGGCGAATTTATAAAAAAAATTGTCCCGAAAAATCCAGAGGTGCATGGCTGAGTAAGTACGAGTAACTCTAGAAAGGGACAAGTACAACGATCCACACCCATTCCTTCATGAAGTACACGTGCGAGTTGTAAGTAGACCCAACAACGAACAAACTGCAAGTCTTCGTCTTCCGACCAATACCAAGGTAAACAAAGAAATACATAAGAAAAATACGTGGGCAGTTCCCAGTTGACGTGCCATACGCACACAATGGAGTCGGCGCCTACCGTGACTAACTTTCTCCCGTCCGTTGGTGCAAAAGAGAGGGACATTACGTGGGTATGCATCGCAAAAATTGTGCCGCAAATCGTAGACGTGAGTGAAGTTTCCAGTAGAGTCAAAAACGAAATCCAACGTTGTATCTATTTTTACACCACCCCGAAACCACTGGCTCTCTCGTTGTCATGCCGAATTTTTTTTTGATGATTTCCATTTTCTCTGTGATCACGTACAAAGCAAAAAAAGAACTTTGGAGTAGAGATTTGTGTCAAGCACGACGCTCCGAGAGATAGGTTCGTAGCCGACGCGTCTTATGATCGGCAGCTACTGGGGCCTGCTCCACGTCATGCGATAGAGTGTCGGCATTTTTGCTTCGGATACGATTTTGCGTGCGCGGACTTTCCCAGCAGCGGCACGTTCTGGTCCACATCCCAGAGAAAAATTCGCGTGTCTGCCCCCGCGGACGCGAAGTTCTGACTGTTGGGTGCGAACTGCAAGCTCCATACCCAGTTCGCGTGCGCGCGCAGGATGGAAATCGGGAAACCGGTGTTCCTATCCAAAGGAAAAATGATCCAACCCCATACGCAAATCTAAAAACAAGGATGGACTTCTATTCTCATGCACGAATTCTACTAGGTACAGCAATCTATACACAAATGAGCTTGATGTCAAGCAGCAGGGCAAAGGGGCACACAATTCGAAATAACATTCTGCAGGCAATTTCTCCTTCCTACTGCTAGTCTGGGCAAGTCGTGCAGCCTTCGCTCATGTGTAAAAAACGTTTGCGTTCATTTTCTAGTGGAGCCACTTAGGAGTACCGCGAACTATGGTGCCCACTTGCTCCAGCCTTGTGCGGTTGTCCAACCTCATGCTGTACTATAAAACTTTCTTGTCAGTTGTATGCTGTGAAGCATTTTGTTTCCGCTCGGGTAGTCGACTTCCCAAAGCCGTATTGTCCCGTCTGAAGAGGTGGATGCCAAAACTTGACAGTCGGGGGAGTTATCCTCTGCAAAAGTATCGCAGTCGTACTATCTAATTGCAGGCATGCATTACAAATCTAGTTCATAAGGCAAATCCGCACTACAGTAATGCTGAGCCAATTTGTATTGCAATTTATACTAGTACGTTACTTTTGCAATTCATAGGAGTATTGCACGCACCAAATGGTGTCCCCGTGCCCGGTCAGCGAGATAAGGAGCTGGTACCTGATAGATCAGGGGGGGAATTATCGTAGTGGTCGCATTAGCATGCTTCTTTTTTCGGATCAGGATAATTCTTGTGCCAAACATGGAGGTCGTGGCATACGTATAAGTATAACAAAGTCGTTGCTCTCTTTGTCCGATGAAAAAGAAATAAATTATACGTCATCAGACACCACAGGTGTATTTTGTTGTCACTGGATGCTGCTGCCATCTGCTTGCCGTTTGGGCATAACGCGATGCACCAGACGGGAAACAGCTTCTCGTAGCCCTGTCGCTCCTCGTCCATCTTGTCGGCTATCCTTTAGAAAAAACCTAGCACGGCAATGGCACAGTCCAAACTTGCAAACTTATACACCGACCTGGAAAGCTTGTTGCAGACACCTCGTCAACTATCGACTGTAGAACTTATGCGGAGAGGCTTACACAAAACAACAGATCTGCTGTGCTAGCTTTTTTTCTCTGCGATATTTGTACTCAGTGACAGGTAGAGCGGAAAGTTTTTCGGCCCCGCCGAAACCCCGCCGCCCATTTTCGGTCTATGTGGGTGCGGTGGTCGGGTCCTCGAGCACTGGCGATGGGAAAAAAGGCTGAGCAGCGCGGTGGTGTGCGATAGTGTTTCAGTACGACTGGGCGGTACACCGTCCGCGTAGTCGACACTGTGCGCGAACGCTTCGCTGGCTCTCCAGTATACGAGGTGTTGCGATTCCCGCGTGCTGCCGTTCCCTGCTCCGATGAAGAAGGTAGCAACGCAATTTTCCTCACCAGCCTGCAAGTGCTTTGAAGGTTATGTCACCTCGGGCTCCTTCTGCTCACTGCAGTTCTACTTGCACCTGCGCTCCTTCTGCATTCCTCCTGGTAAGAACGCTGAGGTATTTTGCAAGGTCTGGGCGCCGCCGTGGTCTGACTCGGAGCGGGTCACCAGAAACCTCCACCTCACCGCTGTGGTATCAGTTCTGCAGCTGAAAGTGGACTTATGGGTACTAGTTGACCACCGCTTTTTTTCTTTCCGGACCTAGATTTAACCTCGCTTCTTGCAGTGCAGCGACAAAACTCCGAGATCACGTCCCCGCGCACCGTCGTAAGTAGAAAGTACGTTCTTCTCCTTGAGGAAAAAATGTAGAGGAAAGAACTGTGTGTTCGTTGTAAATCTACCCGCCGCGACGGAGCACTGGTGGTCCTTCTGGAAAATGAAATTCCAAAGAGGTAGCGGAAGTACTGACTTCTTGACACTCGTTCTCACGCAGGTGCTAGAGCAGTTCTTGCGGCGGGTGCGAGCTCGTAACCACGTGCTGGTAACCACGTGCTGGTCGTGAAGAACCGGTTCTTCTTGTTCGCGCCGCCTTGTTCCCGTCCGACACGACCTCCACGCAGCTCCGCACAGGCCTGCTCGATCTTGGACTCAAACGTGGGTAGAGGAGAAAAGCAGCTTTGTCAATATTTCTCCGGTGACGTAGAAGCGCTAGTCTTATTTTCGCAGGAACTTGTAGAGGTGGTTGTAGTTTCTTTTTCTTTTCTTCTTCTATCTTATTTGCGCGGGTAGAACTTCTTGTTCGATCGTCCGTCGTGCAGCATCATACAATATTCGACTTCGAAGTTCTTTCGTGTGGTCGCTTTTACCTAGAAGTTCATTTTATCAACTATATCAATCCTCGCAAAACTAAGACGTAACATGCATGCGAAATTGTAAACAAGTGAATGTGGATCTCGATCTTGAACTTGATGAGGACCTGTAGAAATAAAACTCGGGGACTCTTCTTGAATGCTGAGATACAAATAGTTGTAGCGCAAGACACAGTTAAAGACGACTTTTCGCAAACGAGGGACAAGACTAGAGGCAGTGCGAATCTCGTCTTTTTGTTTTCAACTAGGAACATTTCCCTCGCTGGCATAAATATTTCTCTCACGACCACTCTTGCGAGACAGTTGAGTTAACAAGATTGACAGAAACCACGACCCTGTCTTTCATGATCTTCTCGTCGCTCTGCGACCACTCCATTTCTTTTGCCCCTCACAAGAACAGTCAGTGACGCAAAATAGCCTGCCTGCAGGTCTTCCACTCTTGTACCTGAGGTACTTCGGTCTTCGTGTATGAGAAGTGTGCGTGCTTATTCTTTCTATCAGCATGCGCGATATTTATATGTCAAAGTGAACTGCGCGGTTATGTAGTACTGATTATATATGTTTGGACGAGATCAAATTGGTGTGTGAGTAGAGCGAGTCTCCCTCTGACAACAACTTCTTTTCTCGCACTCTGATGTAATGTTTTACAGAGTGATCACAAAAAATCGTCTTCCTCGCTAGAGTCATCGCCAACATCGATTTCCCCTAACCGCCGCTGCCTCCCTATCAACCTGAAAAGTGCAACTCCTGGTTCCCCCGAAGATGTAGGAAAAGGAAGTGTTTGTCTAGTACAAAAGCTTTTCAATCTGGAAGAATTTGCCGCATTACATGCATCACCAGCACCACAGGTTTGCGCCGCAGAATAGCGATGAAATAGATCTGTGTAGTTGCAAAAACGTCGCTCAGCAAGCGCAGGACTTGTCTTGCTGTGTAAAGGAAATCATACTTCGCACTTCGAGAGCCCGGATCAGCGAGACTACTGGTGGTCATTTCATGCAAATTGTGTTTTGATTTTGAATTGAATCTGAACAACTTAATATGCATGAGAAAAACGAGTTTCCGCGCCTCTGGGGGTGACGCAGCTGGTGCACATATCGGTTTGATACTTTCTTCGTACCGGCGCTTCCTCTCGTCGGCCTCATCCCGCAGCTTCTGGTCCGAGGGTAGAAGTATGCATTGCAATAGTTGTATTGCATCGTAGTAGTGCAAATTGCATGACAAATTAATGATCCCAATGAAATTGTCTTGGCAGATTCATGCATCAAAAAAACCCAATCTGGTGTCCCGCACGTCTCTAAATTGATGCGCTACGAGTGCGATTATACTTTTGCACGGGATAGGCAGGTTCCGTCGGTTCAAGTTCTCTTTTTCCTGCATCTTCCGTAGCCGCTCCTTCCACTCCGGACTTCCCTGCACGCCGCCCTGTGCCCGGTTTTCCCGCGCTCGCCGTATCACGGGGGACAAGAATCTCTTGCGTATTGGATGTTTATTTCCGCTTTTGTTTCATTATATCAATGCGCAAAGCAAATTTCACATGAAAACCCGGTATGTTGCCCTCTGGTACAACTTCAGTGTGTTGTGCCAATGCTCGTGTGGCATCGAAAGTGTCTATTTTTGCAAACAAAGATATGAAGCTTCTTCCGTGTTGTCACCCCGGATAGTTCTGTTGGCTTCCTCGATTAGTGCTCGCGACGCCGTACGAGACGAAGCCTGGTTGTGTGGAGTTTTCACGAGAGGATGAACGACATACTGCTCGAGGTCACTATCTGTGCCGGCTCAACGCACCCATCATGCGAGCCACGACAGAAATCTTTCACCATGTAGTGGAGAGGGATTTAAAAATAATCATGCGCAGTCTAGGCACAGTTTTTGCTCACGACTTAGTAGCTAACAAAAAACACAATGGTTAGTCGATGTAGGTTATCAACTGTAAAAATGTCTGGGTCTGGAACATTCCGGCACTTGTCATGCACGTTTTGCATGAGCCCTGATGTCTGTGATGCATGCCCTAGCATCACAGCTTTTTTCGGAGCTTCTTGATGCCTATTCCGCATGACAAATGCCCTCTCCGCGCGCGTAGCCAAAATTGCATTCCTTTTGGTACTCATGAAATACAGATTTTTCTGGAATCCAAATGCAGCATGACAAGTTGCATTCTTCCAGACCCAGACATTTTTACATTTGATATAGGTACCTGTGTTCTCCCCGGCGCCGTCTGGTTCTTTCCGTTGTCCGACCCCTCCTGTATGGCCGAAGCAAAAATTACTGCACTGCGACCCTGCATCTTGCAGCTCTTCACGTCTACGGAAAAACCACCGGCCATCCGTGGTTTCCTTTGTCAACCTTTCGGAAAAAGAGACTGAAGCTAAAAAAGGCTTTTAGACTATTTCTAGTAAGTACTACAAGCGCAGCATTGGTTCTGGCTACATGCAAATTCGTAACATTTTTTTGCGCAAATTGAAGAACAAGTTTACAGTGCTGTTGAAACAGGTTTTTGGATATCCAGACTGCGGCCCCCGATGATCACCCCGACGGCGTCACCCACTTCTTCTTCCACCGCCTGAATATCGTCCTGCGTCGGCTCGCGGCAGGTTGGCGATCGCAGATCAAAAGAAAAAAAATATACCCCGGGAGCAGGTTGACACCCCGTAGTCGGTTTTAAAAGGGTGGAACTATCCTACTCTGTAGTAGTGTTGACTACTAGTTGGGTGAAGGTACAACACAAAGACAAAACGCTAAACTTTCCGTGCAGCAAAAACCACAAATCTGTCTCGTGTTTGGAGTGCGCAAGAAGTGGTGGTCTTGTACTTCTTCACACGGTACCAGCCTCACTAGATCCTCTTTTGACGGTGCCGTGTCGTTGCAGCTCGTCCCGGGGCGGGATTTATTTTTCTTGTCATATCGCACACGGAAATCTTATAAACGGTTGCAACAGCGCCTTGGTCTCGCGCCCTCGGGGAAGAAGCGCAGCAGCTGGCCTCTACTTCTGCTATGGCAAGCATGATGCAAATTTGGTGACAGTGGTACAACGAGAACAATGAATTAATTACAGAAAAAAATATTCCTTGACATGAAACCACACTTGTTTCCGTCTGCCGCAAAAAACGTTTCTCTCTGCCGCAGCGCACGCATGCTGGCAGAGCACGACGACCAACGCGGCACGGTCACACGTGATACATCTTTCCTGGCCTCCACAAACGGTCCCGCTCGGGTGCGGACCACAAACCACACTTCGTAATCGCCCACGCAGAGCTGCGTTATTATTTTACAAGTTCCTATAGACGACATGGTGCACTACTTTTTTGTTACGGCGTAGCTATGAACTTAAGTATTTAAAACTCACACACCACACCTTCCAAAACCATTTGGATATTACACTATACGCTCTTTCCGTTCATGTAGGTGGGAAGGTAGGTCGTTTGAAACCCGGACGGCATGTCGTTGTCTATTCTGACGTCCACAATCACCGGGGAAGCGCGGTCCTTGCGATGAATCTCCAGCGTTGACCCGCAGTTCGGATCCTTCTCGAAGGTCGTGCCCGCGCAGGAAGGTATGTGCGCGTTTTGGACCCTATGCATTGCACATATGCGAACTTCTAGAAGGAGGTCGGGGAATTTTCTCAACAGACACGTATATTGTTTGTAGTTTCGCCCACTACAAAGTGGACGGCGCATGGTTCTGTGATGCATGTTGCGGAACACGACTACCGTCTGCGGCTTCTTCGTCGTTATGTTGCAAAAACGCGAACTGCCACAGTGGGGATGACTGCCAATGCCTAGCCGTCGGGTCGAAACTTCTCTTGCACGTCTGCATGTTGACCACGTGGTCTCCTTGCCATCTTCCATGCGATAGCATGACAAGTTATTTCCAGACCCACAAACTAGTGCATTTCAACATTTGCACTTGATAGAAGTAGGCCACCTGCAAATCCGCTCCGCCGACGATGTCGTCCGGGTGGTCCTGGTTTTATCCCAGAGAAAATGCATCGAATGTGTCAATACTGATATTTCTGGAGGGGCTCGTCTGTGGCTGGTTTTATTGCCTAGGCTGTGCAACCCGCACTTGTTTCTGCATCTGCGTTGCATGAAAGAAACATCATGAGAAACATCATGCTAGCTTTTTTTCCCTGAGGTAGGCAACCGAAGTGATTCATATCGCGGCAGCACATGTCGCCCTTCGCTCCGGTTCGCAGGAACAATCGGCACGGGTCCACGCGAAGCTCCGTCACGTAGAAAATGTTTTTCACTTCAGACGTATGGCGAGAGAGCACGGAGGGTTCAATTGTTCATTATTATCCTGTACAGTACAAGGTGCGTCTTCATTCCGCCAGAACCAGCACACGCCCTTCGGGTCATCGTGACGGGGCCACGATTATAAACCGAGTCGGATAACAAGGCTGACACCATGGAAAGGCGCGCCGATGCGCGGCTTTCAAGGCATCATGGCATAACGGCTGCATGACGCATGCAAGGGGGGGACAAAAAAGTCGAGTTCCTTTGAAACCCCGTGCTTTCTCCGGCCCTACTTTCCGATATTAACGTTGCGATACCGGTAGTTAAGCTTCAGCTGGTCGTAGTAGTCACCCTGGCCCCAGGCGGGGTACTGCGTTTCCCGCCAGCCCATCCGCCCGCCGTCGGTCGTATCCGGCACAAAAGTACTGGCTTATTGGCAGATATCCTCCTTGATTGTAACGGAGATGACAATAAAAAACTCATCGATCGAAAAACTTTTGAACTTCTTGAATGACCGAAACGGCAAGCAGCGAGGGGAAGACTGCGCTTTCCTCGTTTTTCTGTACCCGGACGATATGACCACGCGCTGGTACTTTTTCACCTGATACGTCGGATCCGACAGGGTTGCGCCTGGATTCTGCGCGTAGAGGACAGGGGTACGTTCGAAAAAGCCCGCGATCACCGCGAGCGCCCGCGCAAGGGAACGGGAGTAGACCCTCGGACCGCAACACACCATAGCCATTGTTACGACAGCGCCAGCGTTTCCTATAAAGATGCATGTAACACACTTAGACTAGCGCCTTTTGTCCCGGCCTGGCCGACTATTCCACGCGCCCACATCACTCTTGCGCGCCGACCTCTTATTTGTATCTCCTCTCGTCTTCTCTCTCGAAGATTGTCTGACCCTCTGCATCCGTGCGCACACTTCCACTCTGGCCGACTCTTCCGCACGGGGGCAAAACGCGCGTTTCCGCGGGAGCGCATTTTATCGGAGAACATGCCTCCCTAGACGGCAAGGCTGATCGCGGGGCGCGCGCTCTTTGGGCCCCGAACGTGTGAAGCTGCACTCCGCGAAAATGACATCCACACGCATGCCCCCTGTCTTGAAACGCCGCAGGCTGTGCACTAGGATGCCCCCCTCCCATCGCGCGGGGTCGACCCGGCTACCCGCCTCCCCTGCGAAAGTCTGCCCCTGGTCGCTTGGCGAACTTGACGGCATTGCCAAGGCTCATGCGTACCATTGGGCCGCTGTATAACCAGCGCCGGCTCGCGCGGGAAGAACCGACGCCGGGCCCCGCTGCGAAGTGATGACGGGGCGCGTGGCTATGGTTTTGCGCACCCACTTCATCGCCAAAGGCGGCCCAGAGCCGTCCGGGCAAGAGTGGGGAGGGGTCAGAATTCGCGCGGTGGGTCTATGTGCACCATGCGGGCCCGGTACGCCGATCCAGGCCGATGTAAGTTCAGGAAAGGGATCTACCCTGGGGCACACGCCCCTTCTTGATCGACGGAACCCAATTCCTACCCTATGAGATAAGATGACCCACCTCCAGGAGGGTTGGATCACTTTTTTTCTCGATTTTAGTAAATTGCACAGGATGTGAGTGCGACAATCATTCCTCATTTAGCAGCTAAAGAGAGCAGAAGAAGCCGCATCGTAACACTTTTGCCACGCGTTTCTTGTCGCATTTTCAAGGCGATTTTCAATGTCAAAGATTTCCAAAATTTTTGAAAATTTTTAAAATTGCAAAAATCATCCAAATAGGCTGAGTTGGTTGCCACGATTTAACAAAGATGCTATGTGATGACACAATATTTGACTTTTTTGAAAGTTGCATTTCTTTTGCGTAAGGACTGGCGGCGTATGTATTTTTTCCATTTTTTTATGATGGTCAATCTGTCAGAAAAATCCAGCGCGTGATAGGATTTCTCGTATCAAACACATTCAAATTTTACAGATAATTTATATTTTGCATCTTTGTTTTTGTTTACCGCGCAACTACTTCCCATTTAAATTTTTCCAGATTTTTCGAAAATTTTTAATTTTTTTAAAATTTTGAAAAAAAATAGATAAAGTGCATAGAATTACCCTCGGAATATCGCACGGAAATGCCATATCAGTGACGCGCATGCTATAGCTGGCCTCCTGTGTTGTATGCCTAGGGTTTTATCCAGCTTGGGATTTTTTTAAATTTTTTCATATTTTTCATCACTCCTGCCAATCTGCCTCCGTTTTCAAAGTACAAGAAGGCCAATAATGCAAACGAAGCAGCCCGGCACTTATATGGACTACCTTTTGTCCGATTTCTGCACTCCTCAACAACGGTAGTGGTTTTCGTAAAGAATCACTGTCCCAGGAAGATGATACAAACTGACATAAGAAAGTATATGTGGGCACTCAGATGAGTATACCAGTCCAATATCTTGCATCACGCGCCTTTTACTTGATCTGCGGACGCCGATTGGTGCCGTTGTGATGATTTATTGTCCTTCTTTGCAGAAAATGCAATGAAACCACCTCCGTCATCCAGGTGGGCAATGTTGGCCCAGTGCCAAGCGCCTCGCACGGCTTGACGCCCTTGTTAGGATGAGGCGCACTCCTTGCACCGGCGGGACGCGGTGCATCACCTGCAAGAACACCGCGCGAAAATCCCGAAAATGCGCCGCGGCCGCGGGCTAAGAGGACCCCGGCCCGCGCCTGCTTCGCCCGGCCCTTCCTTGCGCCGATCCCCGTTGGGGGTGGCATCAGCGCGGCCCGCGCACGACTTGGCGCGCTCTGGCGCCCCTTCCCGGCGTTCGGTTTGCCCCCCCCTCCCCCCAGTCCCCGCCTGGCGGCGGGGGAATTTGGGGCGCGCGTAAAATGAAGCGCCCCGGCCGCCGCGCGCTGCCCCCCCCCCCCCCCCCCCAGCACCACCCCAAACCCCCGCCTCCCCCCGCGCCCCCGGAGATTGGGCGCCCCGGGCGATGCGCCGCGGGCTGGCCTTCCAGAAGAATGCAAAGCGCGGCCGCGCCGGTGCATCGCATAGGCCCGCGCGTGCGATTTCGGCCCGCGCAATTCCCGCCTAACCGCGCTAGGCCGCGGCGGCCTTCCTTGCTAGCACCCCCCCCCCCCCCCCGCGCCCTCCTTGCGGAGCCGGGGGCCCGAGCCCGGCAGGCGGCTTTCGGCGCCGGCCCGGGCTTGGGGCGCCTCGGCCGGAGGGGGAAATCGCATCACGCCCCGAAGCATTAGGCAAGCAAGAGGCGCGGCCTCTGTTTTTTTGGTTCGGGGCGCGAAGCTGGGGCACTCGGCCCGCCGCCTGTATTTTGCACCCTTTCCCTTAGGCGCGGCGCGGGGCTTGCCGGGCAGAGAAGGGCGGCCGACCGCGATATTTCGAGGGGGGGGGCCGCATGCGCCGGAACCAAGCCGCCGCCGGCCGCTACCGGGCCCGGCTTTTGCGCATGCAAAATAATTCCGCAGCCCCTTCTGTCAGCTTCGGTTGGTGCACTCTGTGCGCGCTTGCTTCTAGGTTTGACCGGGAGGTCGCCTGTCTTCGATGTCTGCAGCAGCAAGAAACGAAAAACAATGACCGCCTCCGGACCTTTCGGGCCCGCGCGGCGCCCGTCCGGCGCTAGAGCAGCAGCGCGGCTAGTACCTGTACTCTTGCTCGCCGTGTTTATCCCCAAACCTGCCCGCTCGACGACCGCCTGGAATTCCACGCTGCAGGACCTGACAGATACCGATATACTGCACCAAAACCTGATAGCCTCCCTGGAAAAGGCGCGCGAGTGGGCACAGCTCGTCTATCGGAACCAGGACGAACTGCAGCGGCGCATCCGCGCCCGCATCGTCGCGGGGGACGACGCGGGCAGTTGCGGATTGGCGAACCAAACCGGAAGCCCAGCTACAGCAGGACCCAGCACTTCTCCCACCCAAGAACCGGTGCGGGTGCTCGGCGTCGTGGACGCGCCATTCACCATGCTCAACGAACAGACGGGCGAGTTCTACGGGTTCGTGCCGGATTTGCTCACGCTGATTTCCGAAGCCCTCGGCGTCCAGTTCCGCTTCGCGAACTTGCGAAAACGGAACGACACGTGGTACGACGGGGCGCGCACGGTTCCGGACCCGGAGGCACTGACCATCTCCAAAGATTACAGCTACGCCAACGTGATCACCCGCGTGCTCGCGGGGGAGGCAGACTGGACGTGGGCGCCGCACTGGCACACGCTCAGCCGGATGGGGGTGGGCATGAAGTGGGCGCAGCCGTACCTCGACAAGGGAATGGGCATCGTCGTGCGCCTGGAGGAGCGCGAAAGGGAGTTACGAGCGCGCGGAGCAGCGGTTCGCAAAAGCCAGGCTTGGTCCGTCGGCGGAGTGGGCGACAGGCGCCGCGCTTTCCTTTCTTAGTAACTGCGTAGCACACCATCGAACGGCGCAGGCATAGTTCGCCCCGCGCGATTGCGTACTTGAGCGTTTATTTCTCGCACAATACCTCTCGCTTGCGTCTTAACAGCTTCCCCCCGCAACGAGTTCGGGCCTCCTTTCGTCTTTCGCTCCGAGCAAAGTCTTGAGCGGGGGCGTATCGGATGAAATTCGTGGCTTTCTGCATTGTGATGGGCCATCTGCAATTCGACGGTTCGTGTTGCCCGCACCTTGCGATTAGCCGCTTCGCCTTGCGAGTAGCCGGCTCGTGTTGCCCAGGCGCTACAGCTGGAGGACCTGCGCGCCTCCTGTGAAACGCATCGATGCGCCTGCGTGGGCCACCAGGTCTTGTGAGATTTAGTTGTTTCTAAAATAATCTACGCATAAAGTAGAAGTAGTAGCAGCAGTCATTGTCTCACTCTCGAGCAGTAGAACAGCAGTAGAGCTGGGCCGCCCAAGACCGACGCGCGACTGGGCCACAGCTAGGTTCGGCCCGAGGCTCCCCCGCGCCATTCCATATTCCGGCATTTTCGGTAATGCGGTGTTGTGGCTGATCCCGTTTTCGCCCCTGGTTTGGCTGTGCTTTCTCTTTCTGCTAATCCTGACCTCCACCTTGGTTCTGATTCTGGAGCAGCATGCGGCCAACGCCCGTGAATCCATGCAATCACTGCGAGCTTCCGCTAGTGAAGATCCCGGCACCGGCACGGAGGTCGTAACCGCGTTCTGCGGCGCCCGGACCCCAACGACATCCCGCGTGAATAGTACGAGGAGCAGCAAAAAGCGCGCCACGCGGACAACTGCGCTACTCCCCGAGGCGGTTCTTCCACCGCGGGCGAACAGGACGACCGCCGCATTACCCGACCGGCGGCTTCCGCCTGCTCCTCCCGAGGATTACCCAGACGAGCGCATTAGCGTGGACAGCGAAGATCTGCCCGTTTCGGAAGACAACACGGCGGTCTCGTTTCCGCCGGCCGGCGTGCTGCAAGAAGAGCGCCCGGGCGTGCGCCAGCGGACGACCGGCGAAGAACGCGGCGCGAGTCATGCAGTAAACCGGGTTTTGTTTGCGGCCGCGGATGGTGTTTATGAACAGAGTTCTGACCTGCTTCGGCACCCCGGGCAGAACGCCACCAGGATAAGTAGTAGAGAAACGGCGTACAGGCGAACGTCGGCGCAGGAAGGAAACATGGACCTCCTTCCGTACGGACAAGCTCATCCTCGCGCGACGTTTAGGAGAAGCGCGCACTATGGCAGCAAGAAGAAATCGCGCACGCGGTTTGAGGCCTTTGGCGAGCTGCTGTTCCAGTATTTCCCGCAGATATGTCTGGGTCTGGAAGAGTGCAAGTTTGTAACATGCTTGTGTCATGTGGCTCAGACTCTTAAGAACTCTGTGACGCAGGAGGAGGAAAACATCCTCTTGCCTGTCATGTGAAAACGAAGTTCTTTATGCGGAAAAGAGAGCACCTAGCACCTCAAAAACTTGTCATGCCTAGGTGCGTAATATAGCAGTGCGTCCATCATTTGCAGATATGCATCACAAATTTCCAGACCCGGAAGTAATTGCATTTGATATCCAGGCCTCAACCGCGATCGTGCAGTCCAACTGGTTCGAGTCGGCGCACTCGGCCGGGTTATTAAGAGGAAAAATCCCCCCTCCCCATATCGAAGAGGTATGTTTCCGAAAATTTGTGTCGCCGATTTGAGACCACAAATCACGTCTGTCCTGCAAGAAGGCAACTCCACAAGCTCCGCAGCATTGTGCAGGCGGTTTGTGATGCTGATGGGCCTACAGCAAGGACGTTCCTCATGCTAGACGCCTAGGCCAAAGCCTCCCTCCTTAGGCTTCGGAGGGGCCTGCGTTTCTCTCCAGCAAGACCGATCAGATCTGTGTACGCAAATCCTGCATCAGACACTTCGTTTTGATATGGGGAGGGGGGATTTTTCCTTTTGATACGGGTCCAAGGTGATTCAGATCGGGTTTGCCTTCGTCTCCTTGATTTTTGTTGCGGCTTACACGCTACGATATGTGACACAGAAATCAGCGGCATTTTTGTGTGCAGCGCACGGTCCTTGCAAATGAAAAATTTTGGGTCTGACCAATTTACTATTCCAGCAGAGTTGTACTACAAAAACGAATTTCGCGGTGCAGTGTCGTGTCTTAATTTGCGAACAAAGCGTCCCCCGCGGGGGGAGCACACAAGAGTGGATTGGAAAAAGCAGTCTCATCTGCGTGTCCTGCTTTGTGGTCGGTGCTCACACGATGCTTCGATGATATTTTATTGAAACTGCATACGCCGCGACGCTTTCCGCGATGCTGGCATTCCCGGAACCGCCGCCGACGGCCATCGGCGGGTATTACGATATTGCCGTTTCTGGAGGCAGCGTGTGCGTGTTGGAAAGCAGTGCGATATCCCATTGAAACTCGCACTATGATCTCCGTCATCTTGTTCCCGGATGAAGGTCATCGATTTGATGCCCTGTGAAGATAACTTGCAACACAAAAGAACACCTGGCGCCGGCGCCCACACGCAATAAACTTGGCTGTGGCCGCAACCTGGGAGGAAAATTAGATCGAGGTGAGGAGGTGTGGTTTCAATGGCACAAGTGTTTCTAGAAATATTCCGCTCCTTCCACCCGAATATTCGCGTAACTGCGATGGCCACCTTGATGGAGGGTATTAGTAAGTACTTGTTTTGTGGTATCTTGCAGTTTTATTGTTCGGAACAATAGACCTCTGATTTCTATGGTCGGCACAACGACAGTATCGAACGTGGAGTGCTGACACAGGGTGATATTCTTCTCGTCCTCCTGCAGCTTCAGTGATCCGATGTGCATCACGTCGCAGGCTTTTGTCTTCAAGACCTTCTGCGCCGAACTAATTGTAAAACACAACATCTTCACTATCGAGGCGCCGCGCTGCTCCGGGCGGGGCGGTGTGGTGCGATTCTGTATGACGACCCGATGGCCACGGCGCTCGCCCGCGACTCGTGCGACTTGAAGTTTCTGACGGACACGATCTTGGCGCCGCTCGGCTACGTCGCGGGCGTGTCGATGCAGTCCCCCTACCACTTGCTGGAGCCGGCCGTGAGCTATGTGATTTCAAAGTTCCGGCAAAACGGAACTCTAGACCGCCTGTACAACAAGTGGTTCAAGGAGATCGGAGTTGTCTGCGAGGATTCCTCCGAAGTGTACCACAAAACCAAGGACGACCTGCAGTATGCATTGCAAATGTAATATATAATGACGCTTGGGTCGGCCTCGGCGGGATGACTTGTGATGCGCGACCTTGAAGAAATTATAATGCCGAGTTTTGTTTTGTCGTCCTGCAGGGCAGTCGTGTGCAAAAGGAACACAAATATAATAAACAATGCGCAATATTAGTGCGCACATTCATAAGGTGTTGTTCTCATGCTCGTCGTGATCTTATAGCGTGCAAGATTATAGAACCCACTCTATAGTGCCGCGAGATGTTGACCACTCAGCATGATCGCCTGCTGCATCTTCTCAGACGACCACCCAGACATCATCAAATTGGCTCTGCATACCCCGGCGGACTTGTCGAATCTTGGCGGCCTGTTCGTGGTGTACCTCTTCTTCGTGTTTGCCGGCTTGGTGCTATCAAAAGGAAAAATCCCCCCTCCCCATATCAAAACGAAGTTTCTGATGCTGGATTTGCGTACGCAAATCAGATTTGTCTTGCTGGAGAGGACTGCAGGCCTATATCAAGCCTGATATCAGGTTTTGGCCTAGGCACTTAGCATGAAAACGTCCGCACTGTAGGCCCAACAGCATGACAAACCGGCTGCATAATTCCGCGGAGCCCGTCGAGTTGCCTTCTTGGCAACTTGTGGCCACACATCAGCAACGCGACTTGTGGCCAGACGCGACTTGTGGCCACACATCAGCAACGCAAATCTGCGAAAACGTTCCGCGTCAATATGGAGAAGAGGGGGTTTTCCTCGCGATAGGTGCTCGCTTGGACGGTGAACACCCAGCGGAAACTGGCAAGAATCGCGGACCAAGTCAGCCGGCATATCAAACGTAAAAGTGTCTGGGTCTGGAAGAATGCAACTTGTCATGCTAAATCTGAATGAGGCAAAAAAACTGTGTTGCGTGATTGCCACAAGTTGTGCACTTTTGACCTAATCGAGAGGCAGTTTCTCACGCAGGATAGGCATTGGAAAGGTTTTGCAGAATCTGTCATGCTATGTCCTACATACCAGACCTCATGGGTTATGGAAAACCTGCGTGACAAATCTGGCAATCTTCCAGACCCAGACACTTTTGCAATCCATACGGCAGGCGTCGTCGCCAAACCTGAAGAGCGTGGCCCGCGCCCTCGGCCGGCAGCTGGTGTCGCCCGCGCCCTCGAAACAACCGTCGGTCGAAGATCAAGAAGGTCCTGCCGGTACTGAAGATGCAGCGGCCGAGGACAACAGAATATTAAATCCGGATGCAGGTGTTGGACCACCGACAAGAAGCACTGATGTGCAGCAAAATGAAAATGCGAACGACACAAGAACAACCCTGGAGGAAGTTGTAACAAGAACTCAAACTACTCCACCGCCCGAGCGCAGCGTGAGGATCACTAGCGCATCTACTCCTCAAGATCAACAACGCTCATCCGTTGTGGTGGACCATGGTGCGGCTTCAGAAAAAAACGGACGCGAAACGGAATGGCACCCAGCCGCCGGGGACGAAAAGTCACGACGTGAAACGTTGATGTAGCAGCGTGTCGGCGGGGAACTGGTAGGAGAAGTTGCACAGCTACAAGCTGTGCCTAGCAGAAGTCTTATGGATGGAGCGAGTGGAACCGCTCATCTTCAAGTCCCCGCCGTTATTTCCCGGGTTGTCTAGAAGTGCGTGAAATACTAAAAAGTTCTTGCAGTGGAGAGGAGGGCGGGTGGGCCAGTGGGTCGTAGCTCTGCTACCTACTTCTCCAACTTGTGGACTAAGGTCGTGCTCGGAAAGTTGGATCATTAGCAGACCGTGATCGTTGCGGCTGAATGAGAGAGCCGTCCAGGACCAGATTAGGACGGGTCTAGACGACCAAAAAAAGTGCTGGATGCGTTGTACTTGCGACAGCTGGTCCATTGCGCTCGATGATTTTGAATTCGTCTGGGGTTTGTCTTCGCAGAAGACAGTTTCATCTTCGGTAGTATCACGTCACAAGGTGACCACGCCAAGAAGGGTTTTCTCGCGGCCCTTTGTAGGATTTTTTTCGAATGTGAATTCTGTGTCGCCTACTTCGAGCAGGGACAGTTCTTCCCCGTTTCCAGCATAAAGAGCTTCGTTACTGAAGAGTGCAGATTGGCACTTGTACTTCCTCTTCTAATATTTTATACGACAGGCAGAGGACAGAAAAGCAAGAAACTTCTCTCCTCTTCTTGTGTGGGATTCGTGTTCTGGCTGCCAGAAATAAAATAAGCACAACGATTTCGTGGTTTCCGTAGCTACTTACAATGAATAAGAGCGGTCGGCTCGTTTTCATACGGGTTTTGTCTGCAAGCAAACCTCTAGTCGTTCATCCCGTCGCTCTAATCGTGCCTAATTGATACGTAATACCACATCGTTCTAGTCGTCCGAAGGCGGTAAAATAGATACGAGATGCCAGCGTTTTTTCTTCCAGTAGTTACTTGCGCTCAATTGTTTCTCGTTCTCTTTCGTGACCGTATGCTGTGATATTACAATGATATGTTTTTTCCTGCCGTAGCTGCCAGAAGTTCGTTATCGTTTAACAAAGAAATTGAGCACGTTTCGTTCCAAGTTTCTGTTATTAAATCGGATTTTCAGTTCCGAAAACCAAAACAACCAGGAATCCTATCCTATCGCTTGGAAAACAGCAAGCAAGCAACCCTTGATTTGCCACTTCACCTAGCTTAACTATTTGTTATTCGTTGTCAAATTTTCAGTCTCAGCAGGCGTATTAAGTCAACAGGCCTTTTGTTCTCGTACTAGTGCTTTCTGTGACTTGCTCCGCGGACAGCGACACCTACAACACCTCTGCAGGACAGTAGACCAGCAGGATTCATCTACAGATCCTGTTACGACGCTCATCAGGTGTAACCATGACCCACTTCCCGTCCACTCCAACGGGGTTCCTACTTGCTGGCACCTTCTTGGGTGCGTCCCAAACCCCGGGTACTGGCGCCGTGCTATTGCTGCGGGAGAAGAAATCCGCGACCTCGACGCAAAGCCGCGAAACCACCGCCGACGGGCCAGCTGTTCTTTCTACTGCGCGAGGAAACAAGCAGTCGCTTTTGCAGAAGAAACCAGTCGTGCGCGGCCCGCAGAAACTCCGCGATGTTGAAAACGACAGAAAATTCCAGGGGGACCAGACCTCTTTCGACACGACGACAGCGACGAAGAAAACAATAAATGACAAATTACTTCTGGATCGTCTCGTTGCGGCCGGCGCGATCCAAAACACCGCTGGCCTTTCTGCAGTAGAACATCAGACAAGGGAGCATGAAGATGATAAAACGGATCCTGCAAAAATCGCAGCGTTTTCCTCCTCGCCCCCGTCTCTTTTGCAAAAAGCGAGGAAGATCACGAAAAAAGAAACGACCTCCGCCGGCGAAGCAGGTCACCAGACGGGGGAGCTGCACCAACCGTCGGATCTCGTCGACTACTGCCCCACGGAAAAGTATGGAAGCGTCAGGATCGGAATAGTCAAAGTTGAAATGATTTGTGATGCATAAAATGCAGCCCACAAAGTGCCTGTCTTGCAGAGTAGGCAAGTGAGGCAGATTGTAAGCCTGTTGAGGGGTGGAAACTGAGCTGCCAAAGTAGCATGGCAAAAGGCGTCTTCCTTACTCAAACAGCATGACAGACTGGATTTCGGTTCTACGCAAATTTGTCATGCGCCACTTGGAAGCTGGGCTACAACCGGCATCCGTTTTATGCATCACAGATTATTTCAATTTCGCCGTGTCAATCCTGACACTCCCATAAAAAGGACTGGAATTTCTACCGTCCGCAGGGACACTCGTTCTTGCCCGCGCAGAACGGCTGGGGCGTGGGGTACCGCATGTTCAACGATGAGCCCGGGGCGGATTCGTTTGGTATCGTGAGCAAATTCACCATTGACGTGGTGGGTGGGTACGTGGAAGCTTTGCAAATGGACGTGAGCCAAGTCGAGGACGGCATCAACGCCAATTTCTACACCACGAGCCCGGAGGACATTTTCCGGGACCCGGGGGAGTGGGAAGGGAAAATCAACGCGTGCGACAGCGGCGGAGCGCAGGAACCCTGCATGGAACTGGACCTCGTCGAGTACTATAATTAGAGTGACTTACTTCTTCGCTTGTTTTTTGTCGTGGCACTATTTTTACACATGAAGGAATTATTAACCATGCCGCATCTACAACTTTGACTTTCACTCTCCATTCCACAAAATGAGGGGGATACATGAAGAAGCGGTCGAAGTCATTGTCATTTCGGTTTCTCAACACAGAGAGGCTTCACTTCACTTCGCTTCTAATAGGGTTTGATTTATTTTCCGTTGTAGTAAGTCGTAGTCCTGATTAAGTAATTGATAAATACAGAACCACCGGCGGATGCGGGTTTTGCGCCACCTGGCACGACCCGGACGGGAAGAACGGGGGTCCTTGCGACGGTATCAACTACAAATATGTCTGAGTCGGGACGAAAGTTGTCCTGCTGATACACGAATATTAAAAAGCCGATTTTAATAGTCGCAGCAAAGCCTGAGAAATTAATTTTTGCACGGCGCTGGAGTGCGCAATCCACATGTTGAGAGATCGCGTTTGTACATGACAAAGAGGCCGCAGCAGACTGTTGTTGCATGCATATGCATTGCAGAGTTCTGGAGCTGCATATTGCAAGTTGCAATCTTCCAGACTCAGACACATTTGCCGTTGATAGACGGTGGGGGCTGGCGGTGCCAAAACGGATGGTCGCTGGAGCGGAAGCCGTTTGACGTCAAGATGACAATCGACAACGACGGGTGCGGAAACTACTGGAAGGATGGGCAGGTGATCTTGGACAAAAAGGTGATGGACTGCACCGGCACGAAGAACATCGTGCAGACCCGTGGGATCCTGATCCGCAGCACGCAGTGGGCGGGGTGGACCTACATGGACCAGCACCCGGAATGGACGCCCCAGTGCCCAGGCACGAAGACGGGTGGCGGCCCGGCCAGCGGGACGGGCTTTTCGGTCGCCGGGGTGCGGTTCCGGGGGAAGTTGGTGCAGGGTGAGGAGCCGACCCGGTGTGCGGATCTGTGGGCGCCCGCGACCGCCGATGCGGGCGGCGCCGGAACCGGCACGAACGGCGCGGGAGGTACTGCAGGTTTGTATCCCAGGAGGAAAGCGTACCCATGCATGATCTTCTACTTTTTACCCCTTAGAGCAGGCTGTGCCGGCGCCCTAGGAGGAGATCTACTGGTTCATCTGGGTGACAAAAAAGCCAGAAGCTCTATCTTCGAGGAGTCGCACTGTGCATAACAAGTTCTCGTGAAGATCGGTGCTATAATTTTTAGAACCGCAGCGCAATAATTCAGTTTCTGAAAGTATTAGTCCTGATCATTGATTGGTGGGACATAGCGCATGACAGATCTCCTGCACTGCCCAAAGCTGCCTACGCCGTGCGAAGGTCTTTGATGAGGCGCAAAATCGGGTACTATGCATGACGACGTCGCTTCGTGCAGGTGCAGTCGGATAGTATATGCATGATAGTTCCCTTCACACTAAGAGGTTTGTTCACCTCCAGTTGTAGTACTGAGTTTGAGGACTACATGGGTACGTTTTTCGACAGGATACAGGGCAGCAAACTTCTGTCACTGGTACAAACAACCTCGGTACAACGACTGGCGCAAACGGGCTCCTGCCGGGTGGACAACAAATTCCAAACCTCCAGACCGGGTCCGGGGGTGGGTTGCCCGTGCCGCAATATGGAGACGGTGCAGTCGCCGGTGAAACGTTCATGGGTTCCTCCACGACCCTATCAAAAGGAAAAATCCCCCCACTCCATATCGAAATGGAAATCTGTGATGTGGGATTTGTGTACACAAATCGGCTTTGTCTTGCAGTAGAGGACTGCAGACAGATACAAAGCCGGATTAGGGCTGTTTTGGCGTAGGCGCCTAGCAAGCAAGGTAGGGCCATTCTCTGTAGGCCAGACAGCATTACAAATTGCCTGCAGAACGCGGCGGGGTTTTTTTCTTTGTCTTCTTGCAATACAGAGACGATTTGTGGCCTCAAATCAGCATCACAAATTTTGAGAAGTATCCCGCTCTGGTATGGGAAGGGGGGACTTTTCCTCACAATAGACCCTCCCACAAGCGCAGGACGACGGCTCTTCTTGTGCGTCGGCTGGGGACATCGCTAACGCAAACAGGGGCCCTGCGAATGTTGCGCCTGCTATGCATTGCAAACATAATTATGTCCTCTGGAAGGTCGTGGTTGGGAAAGTTATGTACAACTATGCAGCTAAGAACCAGCATGTGTGAATCAGAAACGAAATCATTTTTACCTCCAACTACCTCCACACGGAGCCATGCATACAGACTTGCATGTAGCAGTTTTGCATGCGAAACAACATGCGTCTTCACAGGTTTTTGACATGATCAGGAACTTTTACGACAAATCTTGCAACCGTCCAGACCCAGATCGATGTTTTTTTTGCAGTGGATAAGCGCTATGGCACAGCAACAGGTGGTACGATGATAGCGCATCGTTATGTACCTCCTAAGAGAGAGGTACAAGGATGCCGCCCATGATCCTGTTTCATCAGATTGGTCATTCATCCTGATTTGTTGGCATCAAAATGTTCGCGGGTAGAAGCGGCACTAGTACGTCATTTTTGTTTCGTCTTAGCTAAAAATTGCTTTCCCTAAGTTTCAACAAATTCATCTTCGGCAACAGAACTAACGAAGATCCTCATCATCTTTTCGCACGAGAAGATCACAGCCCCTACCCCACTTCATCGAAATTTTGCTGTGCTTCGACGCACTTCTAATTGTATTTCACGCAGCTTCTAATTGTATTTCACGCAAAATTTGAATACTTTTACTGCAGTCTTATCGTAATACTTTTACTGCAGTCTTATCGTTTCAGATCAAACCGAGCAAACCCACATCGAACGTCAAATTCTCAAATGCACTAGTAGCCCAAAAATATCCCAAATCCTTTCACCCAAAACTCTTTCGCACTATCTCTCCGAAGTCCTTCTCCACGAAAAGAATTGTTCGCAAGACCAGGATCGTGCGATTACATAGGGGTTGTGTTCGCCCACAGTGTTCGATATGTCGATATTCATCTCTAGGGACCTCCTACCGAGTCGTTGCATTGCCGGTGCTTCTTCCGTTTCTCCCACGGCGACTAAAAATCTTCGCAAAGGAAGATCTGGAATAGTTGGACCAATGCCCGGCAACTTGCTTTATTTGACACGAAAGGAACAAGTAGACTGGTATATTTGTATTTCGTTCTTCCTGATGCGACGCCGGAATTTCATGTACAAAAGTAGAAGGAGAACATTGCTGAAAGACGAGCACTAGACTACATTGGCACTAACTACACGTGCGAGCGGCCGCGAGAAGCCCTTGGTTGTCGCGACACGTTTCTTCATGCGAGAGGGCGCCACCAGCTTTTGTTTCTAGCGGACTCGGAGACTCTTTCGATGGACGAGGTTGTGACTCATACATGCACTTAGCAGCACGTTGATCTATTGCGCGACCACGACAGATTTTCTAGTTCTCCGTGCAACGGTAATAGTTGAGAGCGTGGCAACACTATTTCTGAGCAATTCAGACGGGAATTCTCACGTGTACGACAGCAGCGCCGGGAAATATTCTTCAAATCCGAAACTTGAAATAAAATCACAATGATGACCGGAGCTTCAGGCTTCAACCTGTTCCGGCTGAGCAGGGCCACGCGGTTTGTAGCCGCCAGCGGCCTACTCCTCGCCGCATCTCCACGGTTCGTCACCGCAGATGCGGGCGACGCAGAAGCCGCCGGCAGCGCCGAATACGACGCCGTCGGGAAACCGAAAGAGGAGGGAGTCCGGTTTTTGGAGGACAAGGGAAAGGAATATCGGGTGTAGAAATGTCCCCGCGGCCCCAGTAGATTTGGCATCGCAATTTTGATGTTCAGGGCGTTTTTCATAATGTCGTTGCTTCCACTGAGAAGAATTAATTTTCTCACCGCGTTCATCTTTCGGAGTTCGAGTTTCTCATGCTCGAATGAGGATATGAGCAGGTGGGTTAGTGGAGATGTGGCGAAGCCCGCCACACAAGACTGAGCTATGGCATGACAGAGAAATGCGTGACTCCTAAATAAACTTACGCATTTATTGTCGGGGAGAGATCTTCCCACCTTGATGTTGACTAGGGGCTCGTGGGAACGGTGCTTTTTCTCACAATATGGAAAGCGGAGTGATCACACTGCCTTCTGGGCTGATGTACAAGGTGCTCAAGAAAGGCGAAGGCACCATGCACCCGAAAGTCGACACGCCGTGCTCGTTATCACACAGCAAAGGCTGAATGATGCTACCCATGCGACTAGCAGAAAGACCTTGTAATAATTCACCCTCATGCACCAGCATTATGCTGTAGATACTTATATCTTAAAAGCATGATCAAGATGCAAGACAATACGATACCTGGACGATGCAATCGCATCACAGAAGCTCTCTACTTGTGCAGCTGGAGTTGTTTAGGAACTGTTCAAATTCACCAATAAATTTTGGTTGTACATAACAACAAAGTTGTTGCTGCTAGTTAATATGTGAAGGTATTTGATACCCCCCTTTTTTCCATCTGATACCCGTGCCATTACAAGGGAACCCTGATCAACGGGGACAAGTTTGACAGCAGTTACGACCGCGGCCAACCGACGACGTTTGCGCCGAACCAGGTTCGTGATAGTCGGCTTGTCGCCGTCTACTTGATTCCGTTCGTTGTAGTTTCTTTTTGATGTGGAAGTAGGTTTTTTTGGCGCATTTTGCGAAACTATATGTTGTGAATTGAAAATAAGTTCTATCTTGAACATGAAATTCAGGTGATCCGAGGGTGGACCGAGGCGATGCAGCTGATGGTGGAGGGGGACAAGTGGGAAATGTACATCCCCTCGGACCTGGCCTACGGCGCAGGGGGCTCCCCGCCAAAGATCCCCGGCGATTCCACGCTGATTTTCCAAATGGAAATCATGGCCATCAACGGCGAGGGCACACCGGTAAGCAAGACTACGCAAAATTTGTTGCAAAGGGATAGGTACGCACAGGGAAAAAACACACACGACCGCCTCCAATGCGTGGCGCCGCTTGCATGGAGCATATATGTAGTAGAGTGCATTATAATTCTTGGCACACAGCACGCGTCTCTGTTTACTGCATGACGCATCGAGTTTCAGTTTGGAGCTGCATTCATGGTTTAATGCGGTGAAGTCGTTTGTGTTTCCAGCGCAATACAAGTTCCTTAAATCGGAATCGTCACCGTGTGCCGATTGCGAGCGCTAGCGGCGGGAAATCCTTCTTGGCTGATTTGTCGTAAGCCTGGCACCTGCAAGTATGTACAAAAATGTGTACCTGTAGTTGTACATGACCGGAGGGAAACGGAGCCGTCGGTAGTTTCCCGAAGGAAATGTCGAAAAGTTTCGTATCTCCGCGTAGTCGCGTTTCATTTACTTATCATGATGGCCCAAATAAAACGTGGGCGCTCCTACTTCTGCCGCTTTTTCTATTCGAAAAGAAGTAATACTTCGCACAACAACTAGCAAAAGATTTGACTTACACGAAAGTGAAGACTCTATCATGATGTTGAGACAAGCATCAAATGGAAAGATCACTCTTTATCAACCAGGAGTGGCTGCTTTTTTCCGGCCACCATGTTTCGACACACAAGAACAAATTTTGCACAAGAAGTATGTAGTGTGAGGCAAGCGGTGAAGAGGCAAATTTGGAAGTCCTTGCAACGCTCGAAAGTGAACAACTGCTGTTCAACCTTGAGCGCAATGGACAAAACAAAGCGCAACGAACCCACCCAGGCCATTAGCTTTTAGTAAGCTTGTAGATGACCAGTAGTAAGTGGTAGGAGTCAACATCCATTGGCCGATCTTTTTTTTGTTTTTTCTCGGTGAAGTGGGCGCTATCCACCTCTACCTTCAACGAAAAAGTTCTCCGGAGGAGGGCCATTCATTGTCGTATTCTATCTGTCAAACTCAACATCAATAAGGCCAATCGCTGTGACGCGCAGACGCTCGAGGGTTGCGACGAACGGCAAACCAAGTACATCGAAAAGCAGAAGGCCAAAACCCCGGATATCAGATTCTCAAACGCTACATTCTCAACTGTTACATGATTTGCCATGCAGAGTGTAGTCCATGAGCATGAACGCTCGCGACCAAGCCACCTCGCGTGACAAGTTTGCGACGCGCTAAAAAGCATGGAAAGCTGCGCCAGGCTTTCTGCAGTGCAAAACGCGCAAGCTTCCTTCTCTCGCTTTTCCTATTCTTGCATCGGAAACGGATGCAACAGTTGAGAAGGTAACGCTTGAGAATCCCATTCGGGAGGAGGTGCAGTCGGAGCTAGACCGCGCGGGAAAAATGTATGCCGACAACATGCAGAGCAAAAACCTGACCCGCAAGATATGCTGCGTTAAAAACCTGTACGCATCTTCGCTCAGACTACTTCTCGTGCAAGTGTCTCGCATGCCAAGAACATGTGTGGTCTCATGCTCAGGAGCGCGGGCCCTGTTGAGGAGCATTTTCTAGTGCAGCTGTATCGGAATTTATCGTCATGCTCCAATCAGGATTGGGTACTATAATCCGATGTGTTGTATGCGACTGCGCACGCAGGTACTGACACTGAGACAGACGAGTACAATATCAACTGCAAGTTCTTGCAAGTCTCGACTGAGGGGTGGGTACATGATTTTTACACAGGATACGAGGCCCGGCAGTGGCTGGAGGTGCGGCTGGCTATTTTGACCCAGCTAGTGAAAGGATCGAAGAAGGAGAAGGAGGAGCTCTAAGGGAGATGCAGCGTTAGAAATACGGTGCGACACCAGGATACGTCGACCCGGCGCTCTTCAGAGGCTAGAAATAACATGCTCATCCGATGAATAAGAAACAACAATTTTTTTTTTTTTGCACTTCAGCTTCCTAGAACTTCGAGGCAGAGCGTGCTCCACAAACCGTTTTTTGAAAGTGAAAGCATCACCACAGTAAGTACCGCAGCACGACTAAGCGAAAGCACGATCACGATCAAGGACGAAGATCTCGGAGGGCAAAGCTTTTTTTCGGCTCCACATCGAGACGGACACTGTTCGTTGGCAGTCGTTTGAGTACCTAAGTGCATTCCCCTTCTTCTCGCCGATATAGGTGTCGGTTCTCGTGTGCTTTCCAAACAAAAGCTGTGTGCTGGCCTCATCTCTATTCTTCCATTCAAACTTCGTATGAGCTTATTGATTCGTCTAACTCTCCAGCACTGCTGTTGCGATTGGTGAAAGTGAATTGGTACAACAGTGATAGAGAGCAAGCAAAATGAGCTAGTAGTCAATAGTTCTATGCTACAACCAACTCGTCCAAAATTTAGCAATCCAGAAGCACGATTAATATGCTTGCCCCCGGGCGTTCGCTGGTTCGCCGGCACCTTGGGACGATTGCTCTGGGCTCGTCCGCCTGCGTTCTGTTTCTGAAGTACCAGTCGGATCGGGCGCACAGAAGGGCGAAAGAGTACCAAATAGCGCCGATCCAGCAAGTCATTTCTGAAAATCACCTGCACGTCGATGGCCGGCCTCCGTGCGGGAGCGACGTTTTTCCCTACAAAACCTCGATCACGGAATTCGACCGGTTGAGGACCTACTACGAGTTATCGTAAGGAAAAATCCCCCCTCTCCATGTCGAGAAGAAAACTCGTGATGCTGATTTGTGACCACGAATCAGCTCTGTCTTGCGTACAAGGCAAACGGCACCCATGTGGCGCATTGTGCAGCGAGTCTGTCATGCGGTTTCGCCTATGTAAGACTTGTTCCTCATGCTCAGCTGCTAGCCGGCTGCGTACCCAAATACGCTTCAAATATGCCGGCAAGCTCTTGCTGCAATACAAAGCTCATTTGTGCACACAAAGCCAGCAACGCAAATTTTCTTGTGAATATGGGGTAGGGGCTTTTTTCATTTTGATACGAGCTACTCTTGCAACCGGTTATCGACAAGCTCCAGCTAACCAATGGGTACGTGATTGGAACTATGCATTGCAAAAGTACTTCTATCGGACTACTACGACGTGCATCACAAATGTTTTCAGAAAGAGAGTTGGAGTTTGTCATGCTGAGATAGTAGCTAAAAAATCCAGGGCTGTCGTCATGCAAAGCTGGCATAATTGATATGAGCTCGATATTACTTTTGCACTGCATAGGAACCATCGCCAGCGCACTCGTGGCCCACCGCTGCTACACAATTTTCCAGCAAATCATGACGGTGAGATGCGGTGACGTGGCGTACAATTTGCGGCAGCCGTACGAAGAGAATCGTTGGGAACTTGGCAAAATTCTGGGAACTACGATTTGGTGTTAGAACTCAAATTCAGCAGGACACTACAACTTCTGACTATGGTTCGGACTTTGTTTCAGGCTGCGCGCGCGGACACCCCCGCCCCTCCCGACAGCCTTTTTGATGTTGCTTAATGGCCGCGCAACAGTTGTAATTAAAATTATGGTGGGACTATGGGGATTGCCTGTGCCTGCCCTGCCTTTCAGCGACTCCATTTTTGGTATGCCGGCCACAGGCTCCATCCCAGGACCACTCGCATCTGATGCGACACAGGTCCTTTTGTGGGCCAAAGAGCGATGGAGAATTCCGTTCCAGTTATTGTCAATTTCCCAGATGATTATGGCACGCTTATATCCCGGACCTCCTACACATGCGGCGACGAGTGTTGTCCCAGGGAATCTACGCCAACGGACTGCTGCCGATCGGTTTGCTGTGCTGCGCCGGTGGGGTAGCGTTCGGGATACGGGAAGCGATTGTGTCTCCCGTCGACCTCGAAGAGGTCGGCGAAGTTCCCGAAACAGCATCGGCACTCAGCACCGGTGCACGGCGAGAAAGTGGAAATAAAATCCGCGGTACAACACCCCACGCAGCTTCGCCCTCTACTTTTCTCGAACAGCTCCGCACGGACGTCTTCGGCTATCCGTTGCTCGTTCTGAGAGACGGCCTGTCGCCGGTGTTGCGGAGCCTGTCGTCCTCAAATCTGGCGGAATTCTCCAATTTCGTGAACTCCGCGACGCGGTAGGGAATACCTTGAAAAGACAGCGGCGGGGCAGGAACGTAGTAAAACGTGGCAGGAGTATGTGCCTAGCAGTGACTTGGACGACTCAGGCACGAAGGACGAGGCAGAGGCGGAGGAGTCACGAAGCGACTTTCCTCCACTGTAGACTCAGTCTGAATCGCTGGTCGGGGGAGCCGCGGTGAGCGGCAGCAAGACCGGATAGAACAACTCTAGCAGAACTTGTGCGAATAAATGCGCAACTAAGTTGTACTTACTCAGCGCTTCTGTAGGTGTGGAGGCATCAACTTGGATCTACTCGAATCGCCGATACAACCGAAAGGTGGAGCTTTAATCTTCTCTTTCCAAGACTGGAAACCTAAATCAAGAGCCGTTCATGCACGACCCTTTTTTCTCATCATCGCGCGTGCCTCCAAGTGTTCGACGAGTCACACTCTACTTATGCACCTTCATCGGCAGAGCCTATCAAGCTAGTTTTTGGATGGAAGAAGTTTTGATGATCTTGGTACAATTTGCGATCCCAGAGTTGATCTACCCGTATTGGTTTTTCTAGTGCCTCGCAGCTCGTAGCACGTATAATTGAGTCTCATCGACGTTGTAGAAGGAGTTGTGGCTCCCACCCCTGTGATGTGCCACAACAAGAAGCGCAGGGGAGCACCAAATCGGTTTATTTATTTTCAATAGCTAATCTTGAGTACTTCAACTTCTACTTTAGAGCGCGCGTTTTCCTTTGATCGATTAGATACGAGAGAAGGAGAACACATCTTCGACTCGGACGTGCGGGATCATTTTAGTATATAGAATTATGTCCTCTTCCGGCAGCACGGCGCACCGCGTACGCACGAGGCTGTCCGACTGGCAAGAAAATGCGAAACAGCTGACGCAGTTACGCAGGGACGAGGACCGAAACGACAACCAGGCGGAGTTTCTGCGGCGGGAACTGTCGCAGCGGATCAAGGAACAGGCCCTGTTCAGCAAGCAGGAGCGGGAGCAGATCATGGCCTGCGTGGCGGCGCAGAAAAAGCTGGACTTGCTGAAAACGGCCGTGTGGAAGAAAAAAACTGCGATAGAAAAGCTGCAAGCGAATTTATTGGAGAAAAAATCCCTTCTGTCGGAGAAGCAAAGACACAACGAATCGCTGCGGAGAAGTGTGCAGTCGGTGGTGAAGCGGTTTAAGGAGATGCACACAGCAAGAGATAGCCATCAAGTGCCTATGCTTAATACAATACCGCCGCCTGCAGGCCGCGCAGCTGGGGGTGTCGTGGGGGCGGGGGTGTCGCATCTTCCCAGTAGTAATACGGGAAATAACTACGGAGCATCTTCGTCGTCTTCCACGACCAGCGGAGGTGGTGGTGGTGCACACAATGCGAAAGTCCCGAACCACCTCGCCGACAACGCCATGCTGTTGCGCGCACGGCGGATCTACATGGCGCGGCAGCTGATGCAGCTTTTCCCGATCGAGAAGCGCACGGACCACGAGTATCGCGAGGAAAAATCCCCCCTCCCCATATTGAAAAGGTGCGCTTTCGAAAATTTGCGTTGCTGATTTGTTACCACAAATCGCGTCTGTCTTGCAAGAAGGCAACCTCACAGGTTCCGCCGCATTATGCAGGCGGTTTGTCATGCTGTTGGGCCTACAGCGCAGACGTTTTTTATGCTAAGCGACTAGGCCAAAGCCTCTCTACTCTGGCTTGATATGGGTCTGCAGTCCTCTCCAGCAAGACAAATCTCATCTGTTTACGCAAATCCAGCATCAGAAACATCGTTTTGATATGGGGAGGGGGGATTTTTCTTTTTGATAACGAGCCAAGGAGGATTCGGAGTCTGCCCGTCTCGGTGAACCTGTCCCAAGTGGATTCCGGCCGCGAGGCGGAGATTCGGAACACGGCCCTGGGCTACGTCGCGCACTTTTTTCTGCTGCTGACGAAGTACCTGGATATATCCTATGTAAAAACGCCCCCACCCCTGAGTTGTCATGCAGATTTGCGACTACAGGAACATTTGTAATGCGCAGCTCTACGAGAGGCATTTCCAATCGTGTTTTGGAATCTGTAATGCTGTAAACAGGATGGGAAAGTGGCTTTCTCATGCAGCTTCTCTTGGTAACCAGCACTACACTGCAGATAGAAACTTGTCATGCACAACTCCCAAACTTTGGAGATTTGTGTTGCAGATTTACCATCAACTTGACTTTGGGGTGGGGACGTTTTTAGTCAGGATAGAATATACCGGTCCGCCACTCCGTCCGGTTTTCCGGCACGTCGCTGTGCTTCGTTCTGTATCAGAAGGCAAAATCCCCCCTCCCCATATTGAGCGGGTATGTTTCCGAAAATTTGTGTTGCGGATTTGAGGTCACAAATCACATTTGTATTGCAAGAAAACAAGGGCAGAAGCTTCCGCCCCATTATGGAAGCGGTTTGTCTTGCTGTTGGGCCTAAAGGGGAGCCGTTTGCCATGCTGAACAACTAGACCCCTACGCCCCTATCTAGCCCGGGGACCTGGCCGCAATGCCTCTCTGCAATACAAATCTGATTTGTGTACACAAATCCAGCATCAGAAGTTTCGTGTTGATATGGGGAGGGAGGATTTTTCCATTCGATATTCTGGCGAACATACGCATTGCAACTTATATCGATCTAGGTCTGGAAACTTATAAAGTGCTAGTCTGGTATGAAAATAATTATTTCTATACGCGCACTGCAATAGTACGCAGACGCAGCCATGCATGACAAGTTTCTGAGCTGCTACAAGGCGAAGCTGCGCATGAAGATTCCGCATGACCAGGTGCATCACAGAGTTCCGAGTCAGACCGATACTGTTTCCTTGGATAGAAGAGCCCGACGTGCAACACCGCCGGGCTGGCAAGTTTGAACGAGTTGTTTTCATCAAACTCCGGGGCCGCGATGAACCACGCTTCTTCCGCCTCCGCCGCCGGAACATCCGCAGCAACCGCGGCGCTGGGGGTCGCGTCCGGCCTGACGAATGTGGCGAAGAACATCCAAAATTTCATCACCAGCGCGGGCATCACGCAGCAGCAGTTTGAGCGGCAGATCACGGTGTGCCCCATGTTCTACCGCGGGTCCTACAACAGCAAGTCTAAATTCCCCTTCGAAAGCACGGGGTCCAACTTGCAGCAAGCCGTAGGGCACCTGTTGGCGAACCTCGCGCAGCTGTACCTGGCGTTGGGCTACGAGCAGCTGACGATGAGGGAGGGATATGACCTGCTCAAGCGTTACAATCTCAAACGTTACAATAGAACTGGGAAATCTGTGATGCAAGAAGTGCATGATCTAGCCAAGTCTCATAGGACTGCGCATGACAAGTTCCAGAGTCCCAAACCGCGCTACAATCTGCCGCAATTTGTGTTGCGGAAAGTGGAGTGGTCTGTGAGTCTGTCATGCTCATTATGCAAGACAAATTTTTCCAGATTCTATTGTAACGTTTGGGATTGTAACGTTTGAGCAGGCCATAAGGAACTGTTGGAAAATCTAGAATTTCTCCTCGCCAAGGAGTTTCTGTGATGAAGGGTACTACGTATCCTATGTAAAACCGTCCCCGCCCCAGAGTCGTCGTACAAATCTGCATGCCAAAAAAGTTTCTCATGGGAAGCCCCATGAGAAGCCTTTTCCAGTCGTGTTTTGGGATTTGTGATGCTAGAAATAGCATGATGTGATAGATCTGTGATGCTGCTAAACTAGCTCAACAGGATAACACTACGAGGGCGAACTTGTCATGCGAAACAGCCAAAGTCTGCTGATTTGTCTAGCAGCTTTCCCATCTTGACTCTGGTATGGGGACGTTTTTACTCGGTATACTGCGCCCGAAAAGTTTGAGTTATGGAAAATGTTCGGTGTGAAGCGAATTCCTAGAATGATTCCTTGCGACGAAAAATGAATAAAATCAAGCGACTGGAGGTGCCTGGCTGTTTTTGCATGACGAGTAGCCAGATAACAAACTACTACACAACTCGCATGACGAGATCGGCGATGCCGTAAATACAAGCAAGTAATGCGAAGAAAGAGAAACGAGAAAGCGTGATAGATGGGTTGGTGTTTGGTAGTTCGCCGGATCTTGAATATTGAAATGGATCACGCTATTTTTTGACACGGTTTCGAAAAAGGCCTTGGATCCTTATTGACCGTTTTCTTTACATCTTCCTAACACATTCTTGATTTATTTTCCATTCCCGAATGGGTGTCATTTTTACTGTATGTTTCGCAGCATCTGCACTTTATTCTTTTTCTTATATAATGCAGTAGTACGCGAAAAAACTGTGAAAGCAAATTTTCTCGCCCCGAAATATAATTGCTATAGTTGTTTTGACGTTTCAAATAATACTCTTTCCAAGATATTTTTACAAAATACCCTAACTCAAGATGTTGAATCCTCGCAAGGAAGGAGCGTCTCGACCACCTCTCCGTGGCGGCGTCCTCCTGTGCCTTTTTCTCTCCTCACAGACGGAGCGTGCCGCAGCGTCTTGGCTGTGGCGTTCAATGGGAACAGCGGGAACATCAACAGAAAGCACCACATCCCCTGGCAACGGCGTCGCATTGTCGAGCGGGTCATCCTCGCAGCACTACAAGCCGGTGAAAAAGAAACCGAAAATAAAACGCCACTCAAACGCCAGCGACAGTGGCAACACGCGGCCGTTGGGGCAGATGAAGCTGGATGAAAAGGCCGGGTGGTGGCCGAACCTGGGGTCCAACAACAGCGTCGTTTCGGACGCGTCGACAAAGTCGGCCGGAAGTAGTAGTGCCAGTACGCACGTTATGCATTGCAAATATGTCTGGGTCTGGAAAGAATGGGATTTGTGATGCACACTCTCGATCACAAAAAAAACTTGTATAGCATGAGTAGCAAAAGGCACTCAGATTGTTGCCACCCGGACGAGAGGGCATTTCTCATGCAGGATAGGCATGAGGACGCCTTCGCAAAAGCTGTGATGCTAGAGCATGCATCACATACGTCGGAGGTCATATACCAATTGCATGACAAACTCTCCCAATGTTCCAGACCCAGACATATTTGCATTTGATACACGTCTCGTCCAGCCTCGCGAGCAGCTCGTCCTTGTCCTCCCCCTTCGCGACGCCCAATCATGGAACAGCCCGAAGAACAAGTTCGGGTGCCATCAGTCCCTTTGAGCCGTGGAGGCGCAGGGTGTCTTTCGGATTCAGCGACGACCAAGATGTTGTTGAAAGCCGGAGCCCGGGACGCGCAGTTTCTGGTTGGAAACACGAGATAGAGGAAAAGCGACATCATAGTTGTTCTACCTTGCCGCAGGTTGATGTTGTCCACGCGGAGGAGCAATTGGAACAACCAGCACTGGAGCAATTTGCTCTGTCCTCGTGCGTTGAAACTGGAAGTTGTAATCAGATGCAACGAGGAGCACATCATGGAGAGCAAGACACGGCGCTTCCTCGCGCCGTCGAGAAAGATGCGCTCCTCGCACCAGCCACGAAAATAACTACAAGTTCTGCAACTTCTTCTGAGGCCGACGTGTCTCGGTCCTACCGCTTCGCAAATGTGTTTTCCCAACTGCTGCAACAGCGGGACGCGGACGAAAAGGGTACTAGAAAAGCACTAGATCATGTTGACCAACATCAACAGCCGAATAAGGAAGTTCTTCACTACAGCACTTCTTCTACAGTTCTTGCGTCACCTGCATCTTCTTCACAAGTCGCCGACACACCCGCACCGGTCCCGGGCACGCCGAGAACCAGTTTTTTGTCCAAGACGCTCGGGCAACTCGTTGTCACGCCACGGCCGGTCGCTGGTAGAAGTACCACAGCAAGTCCCTGCACGGCTGTTGAAAAAAACCATAAGCCGGTCGAAACTTACAGTTCAACTACACCAGACAACAAAGCAAAACCGGAAAACGAGGGGGAAGAAGATCACGAGAAGAGATTGCAGGGCGCCGAAGGAGATAATATTTTTAAACCAACAAAACCAAATGCTGCTGCTTCTGCTTCAGAAGTAGTAGCACTACATCTACATGCAGGAGCTGTATCTTGTGGTGACCATCTACTTCCGGCGGAACATGTGTTAGCAATTCCCGACGAGGAGGGGCCACTCCACTTTGAACCGCACCACCAGCTAAGTGCCCCGTGGCAAACCCTGAGTACCGCGAGCGACTGGCGTCGATACACCGGCGGGCGAGGGGATGACACCTTCTTCCGGCAAACCTCCACTGGCAGCGACTACCTGCGAGTTCAGCTGGACAACAACGATTCGCCGGTGGGAACAAGCGCGGATGTTGTTGTAACAGATCAAGCGGTGGTTGAAGCAACCAGATCCGAAGCGTCGGGGGGGCGGGAAGCAGGAGGAGATTCCCGTGTGCCAATGCAGGAAGAGGAGGACTACCAGGAAACATACGGCATGGGAACCGTGCTCGGGGAAACCTGGTGTTAATAATTTTTTGCGGTGTGTTGAAAAAGTTGTTTTCCGTCTTTAATACCGATTTCTACTCAACAGAGGACATACAAAATAGCACTCATATGCGGGTGAGGAAAAGGTAGAGGAGGACCTGTTGAATTACGTGTTTATCGAAAAATGCCCGTAGAACAGGAAGCGCATCTGTGCAAATAATTCTGTACACAAATTCCTAGTATACGAAACTAGGTATGTAAACAAAAGGGACGAAGATGCTCGACACATGTATGAAAATGCGTAAATCTAGTTGACATGGCTCGAGACAAGTGTAGTGTGATACGAGGCCGTCCACATGAAATGACTACTCAACCTCCGTATGTCCTCGTCTCTCTATCAAACTTACTCTGACACCGCAGCCTAATGACGACGTATTTATTTTTGCTCCCGATAAAAGATATCCGTTGCAGGGGAAACGAAAAGTTTGCTTCCTGAGACGAAATCGCAATTGCATATCGCTGCTGGCCAAAACCAACTCTCTACTGCCTCTGCGGACGGATGATGTCAACTGCGTCGTGTCTTAACAAAAATAAAAGAAACACAGTACAGACCAATGATATATATTTTCTTGCATATTTATTGAAACAGTCCGCACCGAAAAGCATTTCGATAAGGTTGACCGCTGTAAGTGACATCTGCAGCTCTTCAACACCAGTATCGAAAATAACTTTTGACGAAACATAAAAGTAAAAAGCTATCTGGACTCATCAAAGCGCCTAGTGCTGGAGTCGATCGACCGGCCTGAGATCACTTCTTATCGAGTCTGGAAGTTTTTTGATCTCTTAAGTTGCAAAACCAAAACCATGAAAAAAAACCTCGCAGACGGCACCTAATTTCGGCAAAAGTTTCGAAGTGCTCCGTCCAACTGCATTGCAGCATGAGTCGATGTTCTGCTGGAGGAATCGTAGAATAATTTTCACCCTTGTTTTTAGTACTTCTACTTTTCGTCAATTGCTCTTGTTTCGTCTGTTTCACACGTCGCATTTAATACTGATTTCTTCCGTCAAAAGCGGGCTAATTCACCTACTTCTGGCCGCAAACACAGATGTAATCGTTTGTTTCGAGAGCAGGGGGAGTTGCAGTGGGGCACATAAGCAACGAACATGTTCTTGTGCAAACAAGTCATTTCTTTCGCTGCGTGTTTCACTTTCGTTTCGTGCCGCGCTGCCTCCGAGCCAGAGGAGGTATCAGCGTCCAGCGATGCTGTAAGTTCTCGGGCGGCCGAAGCGCAGGGGAGTCCGCCAGCCCCTGCCGCAGCGGCGGCTCCAGTTGCCGTGGCGGCTCCGGTTCTTGCAGCACCTGCAGCAGTGGCAGCAGTAGTGCCCACGGCCGGCACTCCAGCTCTCGCGCAGCCTGCGGCAGTACAACTCCCAGCTTCGAACAATGCCGCTGCAGCTGCGGTACAGCCTGTAGCTGTGACACCAGCAGCAGCACCAGCCGCGCCGGCTCCGGTTAGCGCCGTCCCCGCTGCTCCAGTGCCACCATCCCCAGCTGCACCGGTCGTGCCAGCGCCCCTGCCCGCTGCTGCAACGGGAACGAATGTGGAACCCGCACCAGCGGCACCAGCGCCTGCTGCAGTTGCCGCACCCGTAGCACCAGCGATTCCCCCACCAGCGGTTCCCGCAGGAGCCTCTGCTGCGCCAGCCGCTGCTGTACCCGGAGGAGGTGTTGGTGTACCTGCTGTGGCGTCTGTTGTACCTGCCGTAGCGGTTTCAGTTGCAGCCCCTGTAGCTCCACTGCCGCCACCAGTTGTAGCCGCGACGGAGCCGGTGCCGGCAGCTGCTGCAACGCCAGCGAAAGAGCCAGTCGCCGTCACAGCTTCGGTGGCCGCGACAGCGACACCGGCGGGGGCGGCAGCGCAGCCTCCATTGCCGGCGGTTAGTGTTGCGCCCCCTGTGGCAAGCATTGCTCCAGCAGCCCCTTCAGCAGCTGCAGCGACCGTCACTAGCCCACCCGTTCTTGCACCAACACCAACACAAGCAGCTCCTGTGCTGGCTACGACAGCTACAACACCAGCGGCTCCAACAGTTCCGCAGCCCGTCGTAGGAGCAACTCCAAAAGCAGCTCCTGCCGCCAGACCACCCTCGAATGGCGAGCCTGTGGTTCCTTTCGCCACTTACGCGCCGTTGGAGAGTGGCGGAAAAAGTGTCACGACAGCAGCACCAGCAGTGGAAGAAATAAAGACGAAAGCCGCGATAGCAACGGCTGCGCCGACACCTAAACCAGCCGCCGATACGCAACCAGGACTAGCAGCGGCCGAGGTAGCAGCTAAGCCGGTTGCGAAAGCCACTCCAGTTGAAGCAAGTTCGCCCGCGACCGCAACTCCTGCCGCGCCACCACAAGCGATCCCAGCTGCAGCTAGCGCGCCAGCTCTTGCCGCTGCTGCAACTACTGCACAAAATTCCGGTGGAGTTGTAGTAACTGCCCCCGGCATTGCTGGAGCAGGCAGGCCTGCTGCGGTGGTCCCCGAAACAGCAGCGGCTTCTGTCGTCTCGCAAGCGAAAACCACGGCACCAACGGGACAACAACTCCCGGCACCCTCAGGAACCGCCGCGCCGCCTGTCGCGCCACCACCCGCGGGTCCGAAAGCTGGTTCAACTGCGGTAGCATCGCCAAAAGCTGCTCCTCCGCCGCCACCCGTAGAAAATTACAACAACGCGGCTGCAGCAACGTCCGTGGCGTCCAGTGAATCTAAGCCGGCTCCTTCCGCAACCGTCGCGCCACCTGTGGTCTCTAGCGCAGCTACAATGGGACCACCGCCTGCTACGCCGGCGGCGGTGACCACTACAGGAGGCGCAAGTGCAGCAACGGCGCCGAGCACCTCTAGCGCAAAAGCAACGGGGAAGGAGCCGGCGGCCGCAGCGGTCGATGCGGCAAGGGAGTCGGACGAAGACATCGAAACGGAAATGATTTCTGCCCTGCTGGCCGGGAAAAACGCGCTGCAGACGGGTGGGAAAGGTATGTATGGGTTGAACTTGATGTGTTGGAGGAGAAATTGTAATTGGTATTTGGCATGCTTTGATAATGGCCGCAATGTGGGGCGCATGAGAATAGAGAATGCCAACTTCTATCGCTACAGATACTAAGTGCCTTTTTTATCAATTGCCACACAGCGGCGGCAGTTGGTGCAAAGGCAACAACTACAGCGCCGAAAGCAAAAGAAGTTCCGGCGATATCGCCGTCCGCTGCGGATGACTTTTACGGCGACGCAGGATCAGTCCCTGCCGTGACTTACGTGACAAAAGCGCCAGCCTCTTCTACTGCAGAGGGTATAAATACTGGTAGACCACCTACTGCTGGTGCAGGTGGAGTAACATCAAACGCTGGTTCCAGTACAACAAAAGCATCGTCGTTACCTGCTGCAAAACCTCCAGCCACGGGTGCAGGAGTGCCTGCGCCGAATAGTAAACCTTCCGTAGCTCCTGCTCCTGCGGTGCAACCGGCCCCGTCCCCGTGGGACGACGACGGCTACTACGACGATGAGCCGCTGCCTTCCTCGACGGCCAAGGACAAACCGAAATCAGATGCGTTTTTGGGCCCCAGTCCGGCGAAAAAGCCTGGTATGATAGTGCTCTAAACGCCTGATGTTGCTCAGTGTTTTGCATGTACTTGTTACTGTGATGTTTGTGTGCAAGTGTATAGTAGAGTTCTCCACTTCAACTTGTCGCTCTGTCAGCATGATTCCTCACTGTTTTCTTAGCATTACATAAAGTATTGACACACCCCCAGAAGTACCAGTGCCAGCACCGAAGAAGGACACAGCGTCCTCTGCGGTCCCCGCCCCGGTAACGCAACAGCCGTTCGAGCCAGAATCAAAATCGAGCGGGGCGGAACTGGCCAAGGCGGCGCGCGGGGAGCTCACGCAGCTGAGCCAGTACGGCAAAGAAGCGGAGACCGGACTGCTGTCCGGGAATATGTGGGTGAAGACGATTTTCGTTTTGCTGCAACTCATCATCGTGTACCACGTGTGCAGACTGCTCTGCTGCCCGGGTGGGGCGAAGAACGACACCCTGACTTACCTCGCCACCAGTCTCGGAATGCCCGCCATCGGCCCCAGAACGAGCGACACCATCGTATCGAAGCCGCCGGCGCCCGGCAAAGTGGGACAGGGTCGGACTGGGGTCAGGAGTGAAGGGTCAACGACAGCCGGGGCGGGAGGTGCAGCCATTTCTACTACTTAGAGTCATTCTCGTATACAGTCAACTGCATTTATTCTCGTGAATGATTTAGACGAAGGTGTTGAGGTATATGCTGCGTGATGATAAATAGATGGTACGAAACGCTCTACGTGTAGTCCCACTGCGGAATTTCATTTGACAACTTCACTCTACAAAAAAAGGCGTCCTGAAGCAGCAAACGCAGACCATGATCGCAAAACCACCGAAGCTCGAAACCATGGGCACCACAAAGAAACCGGAAAGCGCCGGGATTCTGGGAAAATCCAAAGGCGGCAGCTTCGACCGGTTCGATGACGAGGACATTGAGGATGCGTGGGCAAAAATGAAATCCGAAATGGGCGCAAACGGAGACGACAATGGCTGGGCCGCTTTCGACGACTAGTGCAGTGATCCTTTTCATCTTGCGGTGTACATTCTTGCGCGACCTCCACCTGCTTCATTTCTTGGAAGACAATGAGTCTTGATTAGTACTGAATTGATTGGGGACTGAGACTGACGAGGGAACGAGCCGTAATAATTTTCAAATGCACCTGCAACGCATCTTCAACGAATACATCGCACCTTCAGTGGTTGGGCCACCGGGTAATTCTTCTATGTGTTTCTTCAATACTACATATGAAGTTCCTTCGCAGAAGATCCTGTTGTTGTTTTCACGGTCGTTTTTTCACCCTCTTTCCTGCTGACTCCTACACGCAAACCTAAAAAGTGACTTATTGCTACTGCCCATAGAGCAAAAATATTGAAGCCTCGGCATTTATTATGACATCCCGATGGAGGACGGCTACGTTCTGGCCGCTCTAGATGCGCATCTAGACGGTATCACGCAGATCCTGAAAGTTTTAGACCTGCCTTTCTCTGTCATCGATCAATTGCACCAGAAGGAACGAAATTCAGATCCTCTTTTCATCTTACCCGACGAAAATAAAGAAGAAAATGCGGGGCACGACGACGACGACGACATTTTTTCCTGTCCAAAAGCGGCACTGCAGGCCTGTGCGGCTGCAAATTACCTCACCCTCGACTCGGACCTCTGGAAGAATTTCCTGTTCGCGACAGCACGGGCGGGAAATGCAACGCCAGATCTCGTTTCCCTCCAGCAGCGAGACATCGATACGGAGGACGAAAGCGAACGCGCAGCGGCGAGACAGGCTGCGGAGAAGGAGCAGGAGGAGAACGAAAGGCGAATGCAGAAAGCCCCTGGGCTGTGTGGCTGCATGCGATCTGGTGCTCCTCGTGGCGGATCCTCGTCGTCGTCGAATAGCGGCAACAGAAAGAGTAGAGATGCTCGTGAAGGCGCTGGTGCAGCAGCGGAATTACTCTCACCTGCTGCCAAACAGGTAGCAGAACAAACGGGTGGGTTTGGTGCGTCCGGCTCTGGGTCTACTACGGTATCATCGTCTAAACTAGTGGAGAGCGCACCAGGCGGGGAGAAACAAGTTCTTGCGGAAGGGGAAGGAGGAGGCGCTGGAGGTGTGGAAGTACCCGCGGATCACGTTCACCCTGGTGGGGTGGAGCTACAATCAGCAGAGACAACTGCTGGGCTAGCTGAAAAAAGTGACGCCTTTGCAACTGTAGGAACGAGCAATCGCAGCGGGGGGTGTGGTGCTGCTTCTGGACTCGCTCCAAGATGGAACGTCAGAATGTACACGCCAGGACTGATGACGTCGCAGTACGACACAGCAACTCTCGAAAAGCAGTCACCAAACAGGCAGTCTCCAGGAAACAGCAGAGACTCACCAACTCACACAGGTGGAGTTGTTTCCAAACTAGGCAACAGCGCAGGTGGCTACATATCCGATCCGGAAACCGAGGAAGAAGCTCCTTCCTACCTCCGCTGCAGCTGCTACCGCGCCAAAGGTCTTCTGCTTGGTATAGAAGCGGAATTGACAGCGATTACGCTCAAATGCAGGCGGTTTCTGCGGACGAAGCCACCGGTGTTGCGGCTATGGGTGGAAAGGAACGCAAAGCAGACGCTCTGGGCGGCAACTTTGCGGCTGTTATTGGAGCATTTGCTGGTGTTGTTTCGGGACGATGGTGCAGGAAATGGAATATTACCAGACCATTTCTCTGCAGCTGCCAACAGAAATGACGCTCCGAGCACGACTGCTGGTGGTCGTGCAGACACATCTGACGGGCCGGGAACGAAATTGGCTGACATACAAGTTGACTTCGGGGACGAGAAGGATTATTTCGAAAGGAAGCTAGAACGAGACTCCGCTCGCCCGCTGTCCCTCGCAGCGCTCGTCGTTCTCGAGCTGTACCGTGTGGGGAAAACCGCAGACGACGGCGACAGCTTGTTTGGGCTCCGCCGTTCGCAGGAATTTGTCTTGCGGTTTTTCGAGGAAGTTGTGTTTCGGTCTGCTGCGACGTCGATTGCCTCGGGTTCTTTACGGCCGAATTCAAATTCAAAGCAGAGGAAAAGAGTTCTGCATTGTGCGGTCTTGCAACAGTGGCAGAGTCAGCAGCCATTCATGCGAAGATTTGCTGATCGCTGCGGGGCAGTAACGAGCAGTATCGAACGTGCTTGCGGGCGACATGTTGGTGGGAGCACGGAAGAAACTGGTGTCATGGAGATTGAGGTAAGGTAGTCCGTGTTGGAAAAATTTGCGCCTCATTTTTGTCTAGCAATTCTACTTACTACAATAATTCATTTGTCGCGTCTGAAGAGGCTCATCTATTCTCGAATAACAGATGGTACGGTTCGCGGAGATGCTACAGGGCTCATTGATGCAGCGCCGGAGCGTGGTTTTTGCTGACGTTGGTGGAGGAGCAGTCGCGCGGAAACCGGTCCCAAGTGCAGTTGATCAAGTGACGGCCTGGCTAGAAGAGGTGCAGCGGCAGGAATCGAATCCGCGTAGGCCCGTGAAAGATAGAGAGCGGGGACAGGAGAAGAAGTCTGCTGGACTCTTCGCGAACTTTTTCGGTGGCTTATTCTGAAAATGGAAGCAGAACCTATTTACTGTGGCAGCGTGTACTTGAAGGATCAGAGTCGCAGCTGTTCTGAAATAGGAACGCGACAATTTCTGCGACGATGATGTTTTGTTAGACGAGACTGAAGAAAGATGGCGTTTTATATACTAACAGTGTTCGTGGGTTAAAGTTTCCTGCGCCTAGTAGCTGGGCCGCCTTGTCTTCTCTTTCGTTGGTGCCTCTTTCTCTTTGACTGTTGGCCAGCTGCCACCGTCTTCGCAGGGCGCGGCCCCCAAAGTAGCCTCACGCGATTCGCCGGCCGCCCTGCTGACTCCGGGGGCCCGGAGAGGCTCGGGTAGATCGCCGGCGGGCGATTGCTGAAGTGCTCCCACTTCTGTAGTGCGCCCGTGCGGCGCCGGCGCTGGACTGTCTTCCAATGGTGTCCGTGTCATCATGGAGGACGCCAGCACGAAGGACGCGCCCGGCCTCGACGCTTCAACCTACATGCGCGAAGGCGACGCCGCCCGCTTGGACTCCTGCCGACTAGGGAAGCCGTCGCGCAGGCGCTTGCGCCCGGCCAGGTCTGTCACACCCACCGCCCGCGGTCTTATCATCCAGGCGCACCGCGGGGCTTTGAACTGCGCGGGCGCGCCGGGTTTCGCCTGCGTCAGCGCCTTCGACCGCGAGGGGGCTGCTGACTGCGCGGCTTGCCGGGGATTTACGGGCGCACGAGCCGGGGACTTACTGCGGCAGCATTTTTTCACGCCTCGGGTGCAACTGCGCGCCCGGCCTTGGGGGTGCAGTCGCTCCTCGCAGAACTTGCAGCGACTAGTTGCCCGATCAAGAACGGCCGCAACGCGTGCCACCCGTTCGCCGCCTGCACCAGTCGCAAGCCGCTCCCGCCGGGGCTATTTGACGCCTGCGCGGAGAGCGCCGGCGCACGCCATGGACGACGGCGCGCCCGAAAAAGCTACGCAGATCCCTGCGGCCATGAAGTCTAGCGCGGAAAGCGCGAACGAAAAGGCGGGCCGAGGGCAATCAGGATGGCGGGCGGCGGCTGAATGAAGTGCCTGCGCAGCCGTCGGCCATACGGCAAAGTAAGAAGGCGACCGCGTCCGGCCGGGCGGATCTCGTGCAGAACGTTCAGCAGCGTGCCAGACTGCGCGCGTTCGGGCTTTGTAGTGCAGCAGGAGGCTTCTCCTTGTCGTAAACCTTTCCAGCCCGTCAGTTAGCACTAACAGTCTCCTGAGGGAGGCCGACACCGTTGAACAACTCCTGAGGGAGGCCCAGGCACTGGAAAAGTTATTCGCGGCTTCCCGATGCGCGCACCATCCAAGCCCCCAGGGCGGGCGCGGCCAACAGCATCCCCAGAAGCGGGCGGCGGCCCCCGCGGACGTCAGACCGGAAGCCCAAGGGCGCACCCGGGGCCTCCCTTCGCTGCCCCCGGCCATTCTCGCGCCGTGCGCCATTGCCATCGCCGACAAAACGGGCCCGCAATTCACCGCCCCCACCGAAAAGCAAAAAAAACGCAGGCGGGCGAGAAAGGGGAGCGGCCCGCGCGGTTTAGCTCATTCCCTTGCGCCGCCGCCGCGGGACACCGGTGCCGCAGCGCCTCCGGCGTGACCGCCCTGAGATTCAGGACGGGGCCAAGGCCATCAAGGATGGGGCCGATGACTTTGCGGAGATGATGAAGCTGCTGAGGGAATTAAATACGGCGCGCCAGCCGGATGGCCCGGATTACGAGCACCGGGAGCCATTAGCGACCTGCGCAGGGTGCTAATCTCGGAGATGGTTTTGCTGGACTACCGACACGAAATGCGTACCGAAAGCGCAAGGCTGAGCCGGAGATTGAAACGCGGCAGAGCCTAGACATATCTGCTGCTTACGGTGGCGGAACGAAAGGAGGCGCTGCGTGCGCCTCTGTTTTTGCGGGTAGCTTTTAAGCGCCCCGCGGAAGCCAGCCGCCAACTCGGGCGCCCGGGCCAGCGCGGCCGGCTTCATGACTTTGCTTCGCCGCCGGGCGGGCGGGCCAGATCTTCTTGGGCCCCTCACGCACGCAGGAAGAGGCTCGCAGCCCAAATGGGCCCGCCGCCGCCCTCGCCGAGCCCCCGCGTTTTTGCTGCTAGCGTGCCGCCGCGCCCAGGTGGCCGCCTGGCTACGCCCCGGGTGCGCCGAAGGCGTCTGCGATTTCGCTTTCGCGTGCGGCTCAGAAGTCCAGCGCGACCCGCCCCTCGCTGCCGTGTATAGCTACGCAGTTTCTGGCTGGCCATTATCACAAACGCGCCGGCACCCCGCGCAGGAGTAGTGCTCCCCTGAGTCTGTTCTCCTCCTTTATCTCAATATGCGAGTCTTCGGAGTCTACGCTCTTCTAGAACCAACAGACACTCGGATCTTTGGTCATTCGGGGAAAACCGACCTAGCGAAGGTGACCGACTACGCTGGAGTTTGCACTACTGAGGGACTATGACTCGATGCGTGAGATGAGGGCGTGATGATTCTGTCGAGGGCCACTACATCTAAAACACTCCAACCACCATGAGTTACTTCGGCGGCACCCGGCTGCGCATTTTCGCGAGGGAGTACCAGAACCGGCTCCACAAGGTTGCGCACAAGAAGTACGTCCGCGTGTGCCGCGACGACGCGCGGAGCGGGTTCTACTCCATTGCGGGTCCCTACACCAGCATAATTCTCGTATTGATGTACGTGGGGACCATGGTGGGGGACAAGCAGAAGGAGCTGCGGGAGGTGCGGAAACAGAAGGTGACGCAGCGAGAACTCTCGCTCGCCCAGGAGAACGATTTGATGCGACAGTGGCTCGTGGAAACGGAAAAGGACTACGCAAACGTGCCGGTTCCGGGGGGAAGGGGGTCGGAAGGATTATTGGAAGGAGGAGGAGGAGCGTCTGCCGGGTAAGGAATCGCGCTTGCTGTGCAGGAACATGATCGGCCGAAACGTGGAAACGCTACACCGCTTGTTGCAACGACTGCTCGAAATCATAGATACGATGGCGCAATCAAAGTCGTGTTTTATTTAGCAACGCGCACTCCGCAGCTCACAGTGTCGAAGATTTAGAAACACTAATGACGCAAAGTCATATCATATGATGCTGATGGGAGTCAGGTCGAGCATCAGTTCGAGCATCAGGAGCGAAACATGTTCTGGCAACGTTGTAAATGATCACTGCATTGCAAAGTTCTCTACCACACAGGAAATTTTTCACATAGCGCACAAGAAGAATCGAATCAGTCATGTTGTCGGTTGTGTTGCCTGTCCATGTGGTCTTTGTCGCCTGATGAATATTCGTTGGAAGTTTAAGGTAAGACTCTGTGACTGATCGTCTTTTCAGGACCTCATGTTTACTTGTATCCCAGACGCCTTTTCCCCCACCCGGACTACTACCCCTCAATTTTTCTGAAACAAGCTCCTTTTTCTTGGTCTCTGTCTGTTAACTCGCAGTAGATTCTCTAACGATATCTAAAACTAAAATCGCTTCAGCGATTTTTTATCTTTTGCCCATCGCTTCTTCATATACTATCTTTTCGCTGTTTCTTCTACGTCTACCCCCTTGGCTAAGAATTGCTCATATTATTATTTCAGTCAGCACGAGCACCTTTTGCTTTTCAGCTTTATTCCTTTGTAAAGGATGGATCCAAGCTATAGTCGAGTTTCTGCGGACGATCTCTTGCGCATCGTCGACCAGGCGGACGCACGAGCGGGCGCAGTTTCTCCTGCTAGACAGCCTTCAGCCGCATCATCCTCAACCGGTCGACCTGGTCCGCACGATCCGCAGCAGCACCAACTCCCCCCGTCCTCAAGCACGGGAGCCGCCGCCTCTAGCAGCTCCGCACCACCCCCGGACACGGACTGGGATCTGATTGTGGGCTCACTGCTAAAGCCCGCGAATGGAACCAGTGCGGAAACCTCCTGTTCCGCAAATCCGCCGCAGATGTCCCCTTTGGACGCGGAGCAGATACGGGAGATTTTGCGCGCAGATTTCGAAGAGCTCGCAGGGGCAAACTCCGCAAGCACCTCAACTTCGGCGCATGACAAACTAAATAACGCAGGATCATCAACATCTTCCCAACCTCCAAATAGAATAGACCAGCAGTCCTTTCAGTCCGAGGATTTTTCCCAGCAGACCAGCGAGTTTTTGCAGCAGAACTTCGAGCTCTACGAAGATATGGATTGCAAAAATGTCTGGGTCTGGAAACTTGTAATGCTGCGTTGGGAATAATGAATGCTCTGTAATGCACAGTCAAGCATGAGAAATGTCTGCGCTTCTTTGTGTTGCGTTTTTCGCATGACAAACTGCGTTTTTGCATGACAGGCAACAGGGTCTCTTCTTGGACACGCATCGCAAACTTTTTGGTCATGCCAGACAAGCATGACAAACTTGCAATCTTCCAGACCCAGACATTTTTGCATTTGATAGAAGACGCCTTCGACCTCTTCGGGGCGGTGACTGTGGAAAAGGCCGTGAAGTTGGGACAGTGCGACACGCTGGAGGAAATTAGCGATTACGTCGAGAGGCACCAACACGAACCGGATTGGGCGCTTTCGATGGAAGCGATCGACTTCCGGCAGACACTGGACCTGCTGACCAAGGTGCACGATATCTACGCGGCGAAAACTACGACGGAAAGTGAGAGTTTTGGAGCCGCGATGGAACTTACGCCGAAAGCGGGTGTGGACGAGAGTGTCGACGAAGGTAAAGAAATCTGAAGCTGCGTTTGGTCACACAACTGATTTCAGTTGTTTATTCGTTATTCCTTTTGCATTCGCATCTAGTTCTAGATCTACCATCTACGTTCGCCGTGTTATGAAAGAGTGCCTTCTTCTACGTAAGTGCCATTGACGAGCAAGAAGTCAAAAAAGATTATACAAATCGTCACATCAAAATTTTCCTACAGACGAGCAGCGCAACCGGCGGTTGGAGCTTTTGCACAAGATTTTTTCGAAGATTGCCTACCACCCGTTCGATGACAAGGTGCGGAGTGTAAAAGCCAAAGTTATTTACGACAAGATGTCCGCCGACTTACTGCTCCAAGGGAAAGTCGCAGACTTGATGGTGACCTGCGGTTTTCAGATAAAAGCAGAGTCCCCACGGGGCAACAACGACGCAAACAACACGACGAGCATCGCCGCGCAGGTGATGCGCGTGAAGCAGGAGAAGTTGAATTTGACGGTGCAAAATGCGAACAGCCAGGTTGTTTTTCATTTCCCGCACCAACTCGACACGGACCGGAAGGAGGTGGTGCGTTTCCATCGCGTTTTCAGCTTACTCGAGGATCTGGTCTCCAGCTTGCAAGTGGAGGAGCTGCAGGCAGTGGAAGTTGACCTTGCGCCCGGTGGCGCGACTTCTGCAACAGAAGTGCTTTGCTCCACCCCGAACTTGTCTTCCTCCGCACAGAGCAGCAAGAACACGGTAGTGGCTAGTACGCCGTCGATACTAGAGCTGCAGCCCCCTGTAATATTAACGCCTAAGGTCGTACAACAAGGGACGACTTCTAAAGCTTCCTCCTCGTCGTCCGTCGGCAGTCCCACCCCAAACAGCAACCAGTCCTTCTCGCCGCCCGAGCGCGGAGTTCATCCTGGCGGAGAGACCACGAGCCGGAGCAAACCGCCGCAGCAGCAGAACAGGCCCGGTAGCGGGAAAAAGGAGCCCTACATACCCGGGAAGAAACCGCCGATCTCCAAAGACGAAATGCGCCTGAAGCGGCTGGCAAAGTTGGAGGAAGGGACTTCTGCAGGGAGTAGCCTTGGATCGACTGCTGCCAAGGCGAAGTCTTCCGCCGCCCGGTCGCTGCAGGGGGCGCTGGACTACGGGACCATGAGGAGAAAAGTGGTGAAGGAGCAGGATCGGAGGGAGAAAGAGCAGGAACAGAGAACCGGCGTGGTCAGGCGGAGAAACAAGCCAAAGGCGACGGGGTACTGGGGCAACGTGTGGAGTCTGATGGAACACAACAACACGGCGGAGAATTTCCAAATCCGGTCGGTGCCCAACCGGAACAACCCGGTATGGCGGTCCGAAGATGATCCGATCAAAAGAGGCAATGATGGCTTTTCGACAGGTGGTCGTGGCACTCCCTCGTTGTCTGAGCTGACGGACCGAAAAGCGAAGTTCTTCAACCTGCAAGACGTGGAAAACCTCCGGTGGCGCGACGCGATCCGGGACACCCCGAAATACGCAGAGTCGTGGTGGAACAGCCAGCCGCAGTCGACAAATTACAGCGAGGTGGCGCGAAGGAGTTACGACCCGGCGTATTTGGGGCGGAAAGCGCTGGACTACACGAATCGTTTTCGGGGCGAAAACGGCCTGCCACCTTTGAAATGGAATGAAGCTATGGCGCAGATCGCGAAAAAGCACGCGGAACAGATGGCGAAGGGGGAAATGCCCTTCAGTCACGACGGGTTCAACGAACGAGTTAGGCAATTCCCCTTCCACAGCTACAGTTCAGCGGAAAATCTGGCGTATAACCAGGGGCACGCGGACACGGCCGGCGTCGCGGTAAACGGCTGGATACACTCGCCGGGACACTGCAAAAATTTGTTGTCCCTGACAAATTTGTGCGGGATAGGCGTCGCGGGCCGTGCGGATGGGACTTTCTACTTCACCCAGCTGTTTGCGAAAACGGCCGGGGGGCTGGCGCCATGAATCGTTCTCATTCCGTGGTATTCTTGTACGTAGTAGACCCACTTGATGGCCGCGGCTCTGAAATTGCAAACCGTCCGCAGATGAGTTTTGCTTGATTTGAGAAATGTTACTGACTCGCTTTCAGGAACCATTAACTCATGATGCAAATTCCGATTTTTCCTCAAGGGAGCAACCGCGACCGGACAGGAGACGGAGACGCTTAAGGTGCGGAGCATTTTTTCTCTAAGCGATTAGGATTACACTGCGGCATTGCTGTTCGCTTCTCTTCTGGTAAGTGTTTGCCTCTTCGTTTTGGCCTGCTGCTGCAGGGAAGCCAATATACCGCAGCAACCACATCACAGCACGCCAGTGCGATGGTTCCGACTGGTACCAGGCCAGGCGCTCCCTGGGATACCCATGGCGCGGCTAGCTGCGCCCCATTTTGATCGTGCGGGGCCGCCAGAGTTGCTAGCCACGCACCGCGGAGGCGGTAGGACGCAACGGGCCCGGCGGGGCCCAAGAACGCGCCGAAGGCCGTGCATGTGTCGATCAACCTGCCGACTTGCGGAAAGTGATGAGCCCCAAAGGCAGCGAAGCGGCGCCCGAGAGGCACCCGCGCCGGGCCAACAAGAGGGGCGCCCCGTGCCGCTTCCGGGCCCTGGTCTCCTCTTCGGAGGATGGGCGCGAGGAATGGCGCCGGATTCCTGCCGAGGCGGGAGGGGCGCTCGCCGAGCAGCTCGAGCCCTCGGCGCCAGCCCGGACGCGGCGCGGCCGGTATCTATTTCCGGCGCGGGCGAGCTGGAGGAATTTCGTCGACGGCAAGTGGTACCTGGGCCACGTGATCGACACGAAGGCGGCGGCCCGCCAGGTCTACAACCCGGGCAAGGATGTCCCGGCGGCCAGGCGCCTCCTCGCTTGATGCCGGCCCTACTTCTGCGGTGCGCAGTAAGGTAAAAGCCAAAAGAACTGCGCTGACAAAACACAGCAGAGAGCTGGCCCCGGCCCCGTGCAATATGCAGAACGAAGGCTGCGCAAAGCACGGGCCCGCAAGGGGCGGGCCCCTTGCTGCGAGACACGAGAGAGGCCGGGGGCTGCTTGGCGGGCCCTAGGTGCAGCGCCGCCCTGCGGCAGCGATTGGGGCGGCGCGCGCCAGCTGCGCAATTTGGCCGGCGCGGGCAGCGGGCCCGCCCGGAGGAACGAAGGCGCCCCGGCGCCGTAGCGGCGCGCGCCCGCGTCGGCAGTCGGCGGGGACATGCCGCCGGGGCCGCTGGGAAACAGAGCGGCGCGAGGGCCCCCGACCTACCCGCCATCTGCTTCGTCGACCAGCGCCGCCACTGTGAATTCGACCAAAAGCATTCTCGACTACATGCGGTAGCTGTCGCCACGCACGGCAAAACACTGCGCGCGCCTTGCATGTTGACAACACAGCCACAGCTTCTGGCTCTGCCGGGGCCCGATCAAATTCGGGCCGGGCCGACCGAGGGAGCGAGGCCAGGCCGTGCGGCTACCTGGAACGCTCGGCGGGAAAGAAGCAGGGCGCGGCGTAAATTGCAAGCGGCCCCCAGCGGCGGGTCCCGCAGCGACATCTGTAGCGAGACCAGCCTCGGCCCTCCTGCAGGCTTGAAGGACTGCGCGCCCGTTGACCTTCTTGACAGGCTGGCACTTCCGGCCGGAGGCGCTTGGCGGTGCTTCCGTCTGGGGAGAGGCACGCCGCAGCAGCATCTCGGGCCCCGGCCCTCCCGCGATGCGCCTCCTGCCGCGGCCGGCCTACCTAGCGCCGCCCGGCGCCGGGCGCCGTTGCACGGGTGGGCGCCGTTGCGCATATCGGCCCGCGGCCGCCGGGGTTGGCCCGTGCGACCACTGGCATTGGTTTCGGAAATTGGCGCCGGGGCCTCCAGGCCGGGCGCAGATTGGGTAGTGAATCTGAAGGCGCGACGTCGCCGTCTGCTTGCGCGTGCCTATATTGCTAGCAGGCCGCCGTGGCCGCCGCTCTCGATGCGCAGTGCCTCACTTTTCCATCTTCCGTATACGTAAGCACACATTGATTGAAAATGTTGAGGATATCAGGATCATCAGAAAACTTCTGTTCGCGCCACGCTCAGTCACTTAGAACGATCCTAAAGCAAGCAACCTGATCCGGAGATCAAATGAGGAGCTAAAAGCAAAAATGAAAGAAATGCCGTGATCCTGACCGAGTATCTACTTTTTTGCCTCTTTCCGAGTCAAGTTTCGACCTTTCTATTTTCTGAATTTTTCCCTCAGTTGACTTGAAAAGATCAAGTATACAACCTCTAGTGGACGAGCAAAGATAGACTCCCCACGTACATACAAACTCCTAGTGGACGAGGTATATACTCCCCACGTACACACTGAAGAGCACAACAAAATAGAAACACGAAGAGCGCTTGTTGTGAGTTGCAAGTTTACAGCGCGTACACAAGTAGTAGCAGAAACTCACCGATTTGTAGCAATAAGATTTCTACATCTAAAAGTAGACTTCTGAAAGTCGATACAGTCGAAACTTCTTTTGATAATCCGCTTGAATTTGTTTACGATAGAAAACCGAAGAAAACTCAAAGTTGTAATTGATACACAGAAGAGTAAAACAATACTGCGAATTCCGTCCAGAAACCGCTTTGCTTTTGACGGCTTTTACATTTTTGATTTCATTTATTAAAAAACGCTTATCTCAAAGTCTATCAATTTGGATTTTTCGCATTCCATCAAACAAACTTTATTTGTACCCAGTACCAGATAACCGTATCTAACCCTAGCACATCGATCTTACAAAAATTATACCCAAAAGTTGGTACAAAATGACGACCACCCCGCTACTGCCCGAACCCGGGAGCAGTCCAGCGACGTCCTCCAAAACGCCGCTTGCCAACGGGGACGAGCCACCTAGCAGTAAAAGGGACAGTTCCAAAATCAGCCACGACGCAGATGGAGCATCCTCTTCTTCCGCCCACGAAAATAATGATCACACCCGTGACTCCAAGGAATCCACGCACAGCAGACGCAAGAATTCGAAGGAAAAGGAAAACTCCAAAGAACCACACGGAAATAATGCACCTGCCGGTCCGTCGAAATACCGCAACAAGCGGGACAAAGGACAACATCAGCACCAGAGCAACAAAACCGACAAAACGAACAACCACCCCTGGTGGCGGAAGCGGAAACGGAAGGAGTTGACCGAGGGGATCGTGAAACTGAAATACGACACGGAGGACAAGCAGTACGTGTTTATCACGAATGAAGAAGTATCCGCCGAGTACGCGGACAGCCCCGACATCTTCGCGCTAAAACGCGACTTCAAGGACGGGGAATGGCCGCTGGTCAACCGCGGGGACAAGGTGAAATTCTACCTGAAACAGTCCGACGACGGCACGAAGCCGATCGCGAAACGGGTCCGGTACGGCGCGGACGCCGGCGCTCGGGCGGAGCGGAAGGAGCAGGTTGGAAGCAAGAAGGAGATTTTCCCGAATTACTACACCGTTGAGAAAGTCCGGGCCGGGTTGATGGACGGAAGTTTGCGGGAGGGGATTTTGCGGGTGAATCCGAAAAAACCGTCAACCGCGTACGTGGATTTGGGATCAGCCAAGGACACGGCGAACAACGAACGGGATTTGCTAATCCAGGGCCACTCAAACCGAAATCGCGCGGTCCACGGTGACCGCGTGGTGGTCCGGATTTTGCCGGAAAGGGAGGAGGACGCGCGTAACGCAGAGCTGAAGGCGAAAAAGAAGATCGAGGACAGGTCGGAAACTATGATGTTGAAAAACATGGCGAAAAAAGCAATCGACCTGCAGGACGAAGCACTAGGTGGTGACGCCAGTCCGAATAGACCGGCGACCGATCTGCAGGATGCGTTGGACGCCGCGCTGGCCGATTCCTTTGATAATTTGAATGTTTCTACGGGCGGTGACAAAAAAGCGGAGGAAAAATCCTCTGCTTCGAAACGAACCAACGGTGTTGATGCAGCGGATCTAGGATCCGACGAGGATGAGATTGAGTCCGACGCAGAAGCCGATGTGTTGGACGAATTAGCGGAGGAAGAGGAGGAGGATTGGAACGACGAGGAAGAAGACCGAAAAAGCAATTTCAACACGGCACAGGTCGTCTTCATTGCCGACTACTCCGGCCGAAATCGAAGCTTCGTTTGCACCCTGTGCCCGAACAATAGTGAAGGCACGGCGGGGAAGACGTCGATGGTGAAGGAGAACGAGAAGTTTGTGAAGGCTTGTCCGGTGGATAAAAAGTTCCCGTGGATTTTGATCTACTTGAGGGACGAAGTGAAGAAGAAGCTGAAAGTCCCGGGAAAACTGGACAAATTCATGTACTGGTCCGTGAAAATCGACAAGTGGGACAGCACGAGCATATTGCCGCTCGGGAATTTGGCCGAGAAACCAATCGGCAAAGCGGGGGACGCCGAGGCGGAGGTGATGAAGGCATTGGAGGAAACGGAATTGGCGGAACACAACAAGGACTTTGACGACGACATTTTGGACGAGGTACTTACTTTTTTGATGCACAAATCTCAACTCTTCGTCATAGTCTAGAAGAATTGAGTTTATTCCTGTAGGTCTTGCTGTAGCTTACACCGCAAGAATTTTTGTGGGCAGTTGTAGAACCTCAAACTGCTGAAGTCGTGTAGGAGTAGCAGTTCCCTTTTGATTATATTTCGCACTAAAAATCCGTAGTTCGAATTCCTGCCACGACCTACTGTTTGCTTATAAAAATCCTCTTATCCCAGGTCGAAGAGATCGTCCAACGCACCACGGAAACCTTCGAAGAAATCGCGGAGAAGCGGATAGACCTCCGGAAAGAACTGAAAAACGGGGTCCGGATCATGACGATCGACCCGAAAACCGCCCGTGATCTCGACGACGCCATCCACGTGAAGAAGATTAACAACGAAATAACCGAATTCGGGGTGCACATCGCCGACGTCGCGCACTTCGTGAAGCCGGGGTCACACGTGGACAAAATGGCGAAATTCAGATGCACCTCCGTCTACATGCCGGACCGCGTTCTGCCGATGTTGCCCCATGCCCTCTGCAACCACCTGTGCTCGCTCAATCCGAACGAGAACAAGTGCGCCTTCTCCGTGTTCTTCCGCATCGACAACAACGGCGAGTTGATGGTGGACGAGAAAAACGAGTATCAATTGCAAAAATGTCTGGGTCTGGAAGATTGCAACTTGTCATGCTGTCTCTGGATTCCAAAAAAATCTGTATTGCGTGACCAACAACAGGAGTCCAGTTTGTGTTACGAAGGGAGGGCATTTCTCATGCGGAATAGGCATCAGGAAGCCTTCTATCTAAAAATCTGTGATGCTAGATCATGCATCACGTGCACTATGGCTCATAAAAAATATACATCACAAATCCCGGAATCTTCCAGACCCAGACATTTTTACAGTTGATAACGAGCCCTGGATCGCGAAAACGGTGATCAACACCTGTTGTCGCTTCAACTACGACCAGGTCCTATCAAATGTAAAAATGTCTGGGTCTGGAAACCTGTAATGCTAAAAATGAATGATATACGCACTGCAGTACACAGCTATGCATGACAAATTTTTTGGCTGCCATGTCTTACGTATTCCGCATGGCAAACTGCGTTTTTGCATGACAGATGAGAGGGCTTTTTCGTGCCTATGCAACACAGATTCTCGAGTCATGCCAGACAAGCATGACAAACTTGCATTCTTCCAGACCCAGACATTTTTGCATTTGATAGGTCCAGGAAATCTACGACTTCGGCGGCGCGCAGGCGTTGACCGGCGACGCGCGGCCGGAGGTCTACCACGGCGCGAGCTGGGAGGAGTGCGTGAAGGATCTGTTTCTGATCTACAAGGTCTGCACCAAGATCCGCAACGCGAGGTTCGGAAACGGGGCGCTGTCGATGCACAAATCGAAGCTGATTTTCAAAACGACCGACGCCTCCGCCGGCATGCCGACGGGGTACGCGAAGGAGGTGCATTCCCCCTCGCACTGGGTCATCGAGGAGTTGATGCTGCTCGCGAACAAATCGGTCGCCCGCGTGCAGCAGAAGCACGACGTGTTTGACAGCTTAGCCGTTCTGCGGAACCACCCGCCGCCGGACGAGAAAAAGGCGAAACGGGTTTTGGAAACCATGCAGCTCTGCGGAATTGAGTACAGCAACTCCACGGCGGGAGACCTACACAAGTGCCTCACCAAGATCCACAAGATCTACGGAGAGGAAGTCGCGGCAACAGCCAGCATGCTCACCATGAAGTGCGGGATGCGGCCAGCGTCTTATTTCATCGGGGAGGACGAGCCCCCGCACCACTTCGCCCTGAACTTTGACCAGTATACGCACTTTACAAGTCCGATCCGAAGGTACGCAGACGTGATGGTGCACCGGGTTCTGAACGCCATCTTGGAGAAGAAAACGAAGGAGCAATTCATGATCGAAGATTTGGACGACGCGGACCGCGAGGCGGTGCCCGAGAAGGATGACAATCTGCTCGGGAAATTAGGCGGGGGAAGGGGCGGAAATAAGCACGCGGAATTGAACACCGACGGACTGAGCGACGATGACTTGAACGACCAAGCTGGCAGCTTGCGGGGAACGCACAGGTAGGGTGATTTTTGTAAGTAGAAGTACAAACAAAGTGAAATTTTTTTGAAGCAGTTTTGTGTGTAGGAGGATGCGGGGGATGCGAAGGTTCGGGTAGGTGGAAAAATACTTTCACACTCAAAATGCGTACTACACAAGTCAATTTTCTAGTTGTCTTAATGCCGAAGCCTAATGGTTGTACATGACAAGCATAAAACTCCAGGCGTGGTGGCGGTCCCAAGCAGAACTACCAGAAAAACCTGAAGAACATGATGGACGACTACAATTCCTCTGGCTTCGTTCAACAAGACACTCTTCGCCCGAAAAAGGAAGACTACCCAGAGGCAAAAACCGCCACCGCGGCAGCTGCTTCTGGTGATGCTAAACCCACAGACGGTAGCACAACTGGGCCGGAGTTGAATGAGGACGGCACATTGAAGGTGGATGATGACGACAACAACGAGGAATCCGACAAGAAGTGCCAGGCGAACATCGCGATGGGCAACCAGTGCAAGTCGTGCAACAAAAAGAAAAAGGCGTCGAAGGACTGCCAGGAGGAACTGGACCGCGCGTGGTTCTGCATGCTGCTCCGGGACCAGAAGAACTGGTGGTACCGGGTATCCTAAGTGAAAACGTCCCCACACCAGAGTCAAATTGGGAAATCTGCTAGACAAATCCACCAGCTTTGGTTGTTTCGCATGACAGGCTTGCCCTCGTAGTGTAATCCTGTTTAGCTTATTCAGCAGCATCACAGATCTGGCATATCTTGCTGATTCTAGCATCACAAAGCCCAAAACACGACTAGAAAATGCGTCTCATGGGTCTCGGCATGAGAAACATTCTCAGCATGCAGATTTGCATTACAGCTCTGGGGTGGGGACGTTTTTACAAATGATACCGGGCCGCGACGGTAACCGAGATCCAGCCGGACGGCATCACTGTGTTCGCGCACGAGATTGGGAAGGAGAAGAAAATTTTTGTGACTGACATCCGGACGCACCACGACATCCCGAACCTGTTCGTAAAGGAGGTGAACGACGAGGTGATGCTTCCGGAGGAATTTGAGTACTGGAGCAAGTCCCACATGAAGGTCACCTGGAGCAACAAAAAAGTGGAAGACACGCAGTTCCTTTACGGAGACGAAAGACCAGACTTGGAGGAAACCGAGGGGCAAGTGCTTGGAAGTACTATACGTTTTTACTTTAGCTGTCTTGTTTCGTGATTGATAGAAGCCGCGTCGCTATAAAAAGTTTACTATCTTGAGGTCCTACATGATTTCGTACACATGCAGAAAAATTCTCAATCGCCATTGCTATCCGAATAACTACCACAGGCGACGTCGCTCCCCCGCCGGGAATGGACGTGATAGACATTGAACAGATGACGGTGGAGCAGGACATCCATCTCCTCTCCGTGGTCCCCATTGTACTGATCCCGACCAACACCGTCCCAATAGACTTTGTGATGCTGCTCGTTTCCCCCTACCATGCGCAGTGGCGAAAAGTGGAAATTACGGACAAGGAGAGGCGGGGGTTCAACAACGCACCGGTGGAGTCGTTCGATGAAGACGGCGACTCGGATGACGACGACAACGAGGACTACGGAACGCAAAGACGACCGCCGAAGAACGCGAAGGGAAAAGGAAAAAAAGGCGGAAAGAAGGGCGGTGGCAAAGCGAGAGGGCGGGCGAGCTGAGGTCCCGGTGCTGTCTTCTTGTTCGGGGAAGAAACGAAGATCTATGTATAATTCCAAGAATAAGTACTACACGTTCGTTCACCTAAGAGTAATATCTAGCGACAACTTCTTTTGGGAAAAACAGTTTTAGTAAACACTTCAATGGACCAGTACGTAGTGACTTTCATACAAGCGACATTGTTGGGACCTTTTTTCGAGAAGAACAGGACAAGCTCTACTTGATGAGAGTGTGGGAAACAGACTTTGCGCGAGAATGCAAGATACTTGCTGGGTGGAGGCAAGATTAATGGGACGAACTTGAGAGTGAAGATGATTTCTGTTCGTTATCGAAAAATGCGATCTTCCGGGGCTGATTGTCGAAACATGCGATCTGGGGATGAAGGGGCATAGAGTTTTGGAATTAAAGCTGATCAACCACGGCAAGATTGATGGTAAAAGAAAAATGCGGTCCCAGTTTTCTTGACTGTGCAGATTTTCTGCTTGGGTTTTTGTATTGGCTTTTGACTCCAACATGGTTTTCGTGGAAGTATCACTTGATTTGTTGCAATTCGCTAACGAGACAGGATCACCGGCACCAGCTACGACTGGACGCAAGTAAATCAGCTAACGAGACCGTCCTGCGCAAGTAAATTGAAGCATTGACACCATGCTGATAAGTTTATGTATTATTTATGTTGAAAATGATGCGTTACAACAAGACCTGAGGTTCTAAAAGTTTCACCCGCACCAGTGACATTTTTTTTTCCGCGCTAGTAAAAATGGACGACATACTGAATTCCCTGTGGGAGTGGACGCAGGGAAACCTGAAGCTGTACAACCCAGAAGCGAACTTTTACGATGATCTCCAGGTCGTGGCGGTGCGAGTGGTCGTACTACTCGTTGCAAGGTATCTACACTCTTTACAACTTGTTCCAAATGGTGTTTTGTGCATGACAGGACCGTTTTTATTATTTACATGCTGAGCACGACGCAGCGGGAGTTCTTTCATCTTGTGTGAAAATGAATACCAATACCTCGGTATCAACCCAAACCACAGGTTCTGCTTCGCCGGTGCGTACCACCGCGAGCTGCGGAAATGCCCCTGCCTCCTCGACTATGTCACGAAAACCGGCGACTACGCGGATTTGCAAAAGGCGAAGTTTTTCGAAAATTTATGGTACACCATGTGGCACAGCAGCATATCCGCGTGGACAATCTCTCTCTTTTTGAAAGAGCCCTGGCGAGAAAACATCTACAACTACGATTTATCCGTCATCTTCGGGAATTGGCTTTCGCAACGGGCCTCGCCGGAAGTCATCACCTGGTACCTCTGGCAGCTGGCGTTTTGGATAAGTAGTTTGATCTACCTGTTTCTCGAGAAGCGGAGAAAAGACTTCTACATGATGCTGACCCACCACTTGGCGACCTGCACTTTGGTGTTCTTCTCATACTGGTGGAACTACTGGCGCATTGGCTTACTCGTATTGCTCTTCCACGATGCGGTGGACATTTTCCTCTACGCGACGAAGGCGGGGAAGGACAGCCTCCCGCGGAAGATCACAGAAATACTCTTCGTTTTCTTTTTACTGTCCTATTTGGTGCTCCGCCTAATCCTCTACCCGTCAATATGCGTCTACACGGCGGTCCGAACGGGGTGGGGGGATATTGTCGATCCGGTGCTCAAGTACTTGTTCGATTTGAAGCCGTTTCCAGTAGATCGGGAGATGAAAAGTTCGGGCGCCGGGTTCTACTCGATGCCGGCGCTGCTTTGTGTGTTACAAGTCCTGCACATTCTCTGGTTTCGAATGATACTGATCATCGCGGTGAAGGCAATAAAAGCCAGTCTGCACGACACGGGTGACATCCGGTCCGAATCGGACATAAGTCCCGCGAACAGCCCTGTGCCGTCGAAAGCGTCGAACACGGAATTCTCCGCTGGTAAGGAATTTCAAGTATCAAATCCCCAGGACAAGGTCAGGGCGGCGGTAGCAGAAAAAGGATCACCAGCAGCAGCAGTGCCGGCCTTTGAACTAGAGGACAAAGGAGAGATGAACAATAAGCCGAAAACAAGAAAACGACTGCAGAAGTGAGCCTTGCGGTCGGCATTCCAATTAGAGCTGCACCACAGAGCCTCTGTAAGTACTTCTGGTGGCATGAGGCATAGTTCTTGGCCGTGTTTAGGGGCGTGTACTAGTTCTTGTTCGACCTGTCGTGCCCGCGATTCCTCCGCGACGCGCATTTGGGACCAACGACCCAGTGGAGAAATGGCCCGCCGAGCGACGACGAGTGTTTCTGGTTTTGAGATGAACTTCCACAGGAACGGAAAGTAGCCTTCTCTCGTCGCTTCTTCAGTGACGGGCTTTTTTCCCAAGGAAGAATAATGATTTTTTGAGCAGGGAAAGGATGATGTGCTGGGTGAGAATTTCAGTCGTCAAATCGAAAGCGCGCGACACAAAAGTAGTAACACGCAATGGCATGAGCGTAAAGAAGATCGCTTTCACGCGATGCAGCGGAGCAGGGTCGGCAGCTGATGCTACTGCCGGCGAGGTACTACTCTCTCTGGGGTTGTTCGGGGTTACTTAGGCAGCCTTAATTTCTGGCCCAAGAATAAGCAGCGATAGAATCAAAATCGAGTATGAAGTGAAATTCTGGTGCTTTTGCGAAGCCGAGATCATATTCCGCAATGCTTTCGTTCTAAATCTAAACTTGATGATCGGCGGCCACACTGAGAAACAAGCAAGCACACGTTTCTGAAGATCCAAGATCTGCGATATTCCAAATCTAAAGAATTCCCCCGCCATCGATCCTCATCCTTTGAAATCAATTTTCAAGAGCCCTTCAGTCACCGCGGCTGTCCGAAATCCAAATTTGGTTCTAAGTGGATCAAGACGGAAGCTACACCCAACGGGAGAATTTCTAAATCGCATCCGAATCGCTGGCACTTAGATCTCAGAAAGCACAACGTTCTGAGCTAGGAGTTTTATGCAGACATCAAGTGCATCATTTATCCGGCGGACGACCGAATTTAATTCCGTTTCCGAGAGTCATTTCCTTTTCCAAAACAATAAACTTCCGCCAAATAAACTACCACTCCAGGGTATAGTTGTGTCACTAGATCTATTCGTTTAGATTTAGTCCCATAGCTTCTGCAATAGATATCACAAGTCCAAACTTGTTGCATTCTTGCGGGTGATGTGCTAAGCTGAAAGCCATCACTTAACCACTAGATACCTCTTTGGGTAAGCAAAGCAAGCTTTTCACGTGCGGAATTTCCACCAAACCCTCTTCGCCCCGGATGGCCCCGAAGAAGGAAGAGAAGGCCCCGAAAAAGGAGGCCAAGAAGGAGGAATCCAAGGAGGCCAAGGAGGTGGACCTCTCCGTGAAACCCCCGAAGCCGGATGACGCCGCCTTCAAGAAGCGCACGGACGAAGTGTCCGCGGAAATCGACGCCAAAAAGGCGGACATGAAAAAGCTCACCGACAAAATCTCCGGAAGGAATGAAGGTATACTAGAACGCTGACATGTTCATTTTTGAGAAGAAATTTATGCTCTACAGAAAAGTTGCTCTTGCTTCCTCCCCAGATTTAAATTTTGCTTTTTCATGATCATTTCTCGCGATTCCATTATCTTTATCTCCCAATCATTGATTCGATTGTGGCACTAGTAATTGCAAATTGTGCAACACAAAAAATCATACTATCCATCAGGTAAGGAGGCATACGATGAGCAGAAGCAGGCCCTCTACAACAGTATGAACAGCGTCAAATCCGAGCAGCAGGCTCTCATCGCACAGAAGAAGGCCCTGCAGGACCAGAAGCGCAACACAGAGAAGGAAGGTAGCACATCTGATGCTTTAGTTTTAAAAGAGGGAGTTTTTTAGAATTCTGTACACGTCCTGTTGCGGGACGGAATTTAAAGAGTGAGAGAGAGAAAAACGTCGATGTCCAGCAATGTCTTTCGAAAAAGAGAGTGTGAGAGCCATCTGATTGTCTGCCGAAAGGTGGAACCCCGGAAATTAGCCTTTAGATTTTATGACGCATGTTGATCATGCCCAGCAAACACTTTAAAAATTTGTTTGACCACGCCTCAATCCATCGAAAAAACAGAGCGTGAGGCTAAGCGTCAGCTGTCCGCACTGGAGAAGGATGTTGCTCACTTGACGGAGGAGGGCATCGACAACGAAATCAAGAAAATCGAGTACACCATGGCCACCCGATCCATGTCGCTGAAGGAAGAGAAGGAATACATGCAGCAGATCAAGAAGTATTTTCATTTGATAATTTGTCTTTCTAGACTTTGCTACTTGCAAATAGCTCGGTGTCGTGTCAAGCGATAGAAGTCATGCGATGGTTTTCATCTTTAGTGTGTAGTGACTTAGTTTTCGAATCGGTGCTGGCTATAACATGCATGGGAAGCTGCTGCTGCTGTAATACATCAACGCATATGCACACTTTCACTTTATCCTTATCAGGCTGAAGGCCCAGCGCCCCCAGGCTCAGAAGCAGCAGAAGGAGTACGAGGCCATGAAGGCGAAGGTGGATTCCGGCGCTCAGGTCGACCATAACGCTACTTTCGCTGGTATGCATTGCAAATGTGTCTGGGTCTGGAAACTTGTGATGCTGACTTGGGAACAGTGGACACAATGCAATACGCAGCCAAGCATGACAAGTTCTTAAGCTGCTATGTGTTGCAAGAGCTGCATGACAGGCAAAGTGCGCTTTTGCATGACAGGCAGGCGACTCTCATCTTGCTCATGCAGCACAGAGTTAGGAGTCATGAGAAACACGCATGACAAACTTCCATTCTTCCAGACCCAGACATATTTGCATTTGATAGCTGACCAGCTGACCCAACTGGAAGCCGCCATCAAGGAGAAGAAGAGCTCGCATGAGGACTTGTAAATACAGATTTTTGCTTTCGATTTGTTGTGGTGCGACCAGTGGTGCAACTCGAAACATTATAAGTAGTCGTATCGGTCTTGGCCTGATGGAAGTCGGAATGCAAATTCGAACACCAAATTTATCCTCGTCTAGCAGCACTTGTGGAACTCAGAGTTGCGGAAAGGGGATGTCAATATCTAAATCCCGCAATCTATCCAAAAACACAGCTATGAGCAGATCCAGAAGCTGAAGCAGGATCGTGACTCCAAGATGTCCGGTGTGTCGGAACTCATCGCCAAAAAGAAGCAGCTGGCCGAAGACGTCCAGGAGTTGGTTGCCAACCGCAACGCCATCCACGAAGAGAAGCGCGCCATGCAGAAGACGTATTGGAAGATTTTGATGATTGTTTGTGTTGCAGATAACGAATACGGAATGCAGCATATTTACCTGCTCCGTGTGTGAATGACTTTGTGTTGCATGCTTTGCAATGTATGCTGTCCTCTGTTCCACTCTCATGCAGGCGCCCTACAAGAACTAATGATTGGCAATAACACTATGACTATCCTATCAGATTCAACCAGTGGGAGCAGGCCGAGCGCAAGAAGCGTCAGCAGAAGATCGAGGCTGAGCGCAAGGAGTGGGAGGCCAAGGCCGAGGCGGAGCGCGCCAAGTGGGAGCTGGAGCAGCCGAACCCGTACTTGAATGAAACCACTTTGTTGGAACAGACTCTGGACTACTGCAAGAACTTGCTGCCGAAATCCGAGGAAGCCAAGGCTGAAGAGAAGAAGGAAGTCAACGCTCCGGTATTTTAAAATCATCATAATGATGACACTGTGACTGATAAGTATCAATTGAACTGCATATAACTGTTCGCATAGTCAGTTGCCGTATTTTGTCATGCGGAGACTGAATCATCTAACGAATTTGTCTAGCAAAATCGCATATGTCAACACTAAAAACAGGATGGCGTCCGAGTGCTGATGTCCAAGAAGGACCGTGACACGGAGATGTACTTCGAAGCCACCAAGAAGAAGAGCCTGAAGAAGAAGGGTATGGTCATTTTCTCATGCGTGCTTTTGGATTACAGCAGCATCTGTTCATCGTAATTGATTCTCCCAGAATGATGTTGTCAGTCGTTTCTCCTGCAGAACGAGGTTCTTTATTATCCAGAAATCACGACATTACGGACACGGAGCAATCAATACTACAGGTGGCGACAAGGCGAAGGCTACGGCCATCAAGCACACGGCGGAAACGTTCGCGATCTTTGACCAGCTGAAGGTGAAGGCCCCGATGACCACGGAACACATCCCGGCGCTCATGGACCAGCTGAACGGTCAGCTCGCGTCCTACATGGAGAAGGTCAAGGTCTGGGAGGCCGAGCGCGCCGCCAAGCTCGAGGCCGCCAAGAACGCCGAGGCCGATGCCCAGGCCACAACTTCAACCAACGCGGACGAGTAAAAAACCGGTGTATCAGCAGTACACAAACTCGGATGTTGAAGACAACGTACAGGGAGAAGTGCGATGAAAGAGTTATCTTGTAGGACGACTGTGTCTGGTGGACGACAAACGATATTAGCCGCTGAAGAGGGGAAACCAGAGCAACTGTCCTACGTGGTCCTTCTGCGCTTATCCTCGAACACGATATAAATATCCAACGCCGGAAACGTGGGGGGCAAGTCGGGCAGTGGATTTCGTGTGGGTGCTGAAGATTTACAGTTTTCACACTCTGCACTCTTCACGCGATATTTGTCATCCGGACGTCCGGTGAATGGGGTCGTTGGTGGAAGATAATTCGCAACAAGTTTTTAGAAACACACCACAACATGCTGTAAAGTTTTACAGGATTTTCAATGTACTCGCTTTATTCATGACGATTGTAACATCAAAATTGGAGCACAAGTGGTTGTCGCATCGCTGTTGAAAAATTTTATGGGCAAAATTATGAATGTGACACCTGTAGTTATCGAAAGAGATAAGCTGAGTATAAACTATTCATAGAACTTTTCGAAACTTTTCAAGTCTAAAGAGATTTTTTCATCATCGAATCGGACCATGATTTTCTTGTTTTACGGAAGTTCGCAAGATACTGGATGCGGTTGCAGCGCGCATGTGCTAGCGAGGGGACAAAAATACTAGGACAGATACATCAACCGCGCAAAAAGGACAAACAAAACCCCCAGCTGCTGAGTGTGGCACATGCAGTACAAATCCCGCAATTAATGATTACGTATGTTTTTGCACACCGGAACCGGATTGGGGTCACCATTCCGATAATACTTGTCGGGATGAATCGAGTCTTGGTATCCAAAGAAAGATAGAAGTAAAACACTACGCTTCAGTAGATCTGTGTCTCACCCGAAACAAAGTCTTTAGCAAAGGAAGATCAAATCGAAATGCAACTGGAATGCAAACGCAACTATCGGCTACCGACTTTTACACGAATCTTGAAATGTGCTTTATGATAAGAACGCCGCCGTACAACCTGTCTGTACAACGCACGAGCAGGCTATCATAGTTCTGTAAGCGACACGTGAGATTTTTCAGTAGAATGTAGCTGTTTTGCAGGTGATCAAAACAAAAGTTGAGGGGAAGATCATTTTTGCTATGAAGACGAAATCAAGTACTTTGTTTCAACCAGAAGAGACCAGGTAACAAGCTGTTTTCTGAAGAAAGTTTTCGCGAAAGGAATTATCAGTATGAAACTTTTCAAGTGAAACACGCAGTGCGTTGTAACCGCCAATGCGGGGCTTTCTTCTCGCGTGGGGCGGCTTTTTGTTCCGTTTGAAGGTGTAGCAGGATCATGCGCCATCTCTCACCGCTATGCTAAACAGCATTCCAAAAAGAGCGTGCCTTTGCTGGGAAGAACGACGCTGGAGTGCGCAAAAATTTCCCGGAGCGAATGTGGGTACGTGTTTAGCAGAAGTCCAGCGGAGTGCGTGTGGTTTTGAGTGTTTGATAGAGTGAATGTCGAGTGCGTCAAGCCTGACGAGAGAACAAGTGCCTGAGTAGTACGGTAATGCACATCCAGGGTGCGGCCTCTTTCTCTCGCGGCGAACGCACACTGCAATTCAAATCTCTTCGTCAAGTTTCGTCTTCTTCATAACACAATGCCGCCGAAATCCAAGGCGGCGCCCAAGAAGGAGGCCGGGCCCGCGGCGCCGGCCGCGGGGGCCGCGCAAACCGGCGGAGGAGGGGGCACGACGAGGCTACAGATCATGCTAGATAAGAAGATCGTCACACCGGCCGCGTTGCAAGTACCCGCGGTCAGCTCACCGAAGGTGTCGGATAAGACGCTAGAAAAAACGTACGATCCGCACGGCACGGTAAAGAGGCAAGGCTCGGAGTTCGGGTTAGCAGCGAAAGCAAAGGTCGGTTTGGTGTAGTTGTTGGTGCTAGAGCGAGATCGATGTTCAGAAGCCACAGCCATAGCTGCACATCATGACATGTAGATTGAAGATGGGGTGACACTACACCATTTTTTTTGCATGGCACATCAAAGAAAACCGCACCACAGTCTATCGAAGGGCACGTAAATCTGGAGGAGATGGTCGAAAAGTACTTGACAGAAACGGAAACGCAGACCCTCTTCTATCAAAATGAAAAATCCCCACTCCTCACATAAAAACGAAATTTCTGATGCTGAATTTGCGTAAGTACACAGATGTCTTGCAGTAGAGGACTGCAGGCCCATATCATGCCAATATGGAGAGGCTTCTGCCTAGGCACCCAGCATGAGGAACGTCTGTGCTGTAGTCCCAACAGCATCACAAATCGCCTCCATAATGGGGCGGAGCCTATGCCGTTGCCTTCTTGCAAAACAGACGCGATTCGTGATCACAAATAAGCGTCGCAAATTCTCTGAGGTGTGCCGTTTCGATATGGGGAGGGGGGATTTTTCCTTTTGATATCTTCGCGGTCCCAAGTCTCTGTGTCGCCCTCGATGACACGCAATTGCACGGCGCAGTATTCCTTCGATAAAGTTCGTGTAGTTTCGGATGTCCCTAAAAATGCTGATTCTGGTGCCCTCTGTCTCTCCTGCATGAAAACGAGGCTTTTCGAGGTGAGAAGTAGCAATCGATCGGAGCAGCGCAAACCTGCAGATTTGCAGCACAGAAAGATGCTTTTAAAAAAATCAGATAAGCGCCAAAAACAAGAAGTACGAGGAGCTGTTACTCGCAAAACGCAACGCCGCGGACCAGTTCCGGGGGCAGCACCAGCAAACCTTAAATCCGGTGATGAAAACGAAGGAAATACTCGCACTACCACCAAAAACCCACTCGATGGGGGTGGACGCAACCGAGTGGGACATACACGACACGTTTGCCACGAAGGCGATTCCAAAGCACGAGCAGATCGAGGGGAAGATCGTGCATGACACAGAGGTATTATTTGTATGCAAAACCCACCGTCGGTATTAAAGCTTTTAGGCTGCTGAATAAATCTTGATCTTCTTCTTCTGACTCTGTTGAAACCACTTGTTCCACGAGAGAAGTGCGGCTTTTTTCATGGTGCTGGAATGCAAAGAGCCAACAGTACTTATGAATGTAGTTCTAGAGGACCATGATGCAGCCGCGCAGGTGATGTTGCTGTTGTGAAATAAAAGGACCACCCAACAGGAAAATAAAAAAACAGCTCCTGGTCGAGTCCGCGCTGAAGAAGAAGGGTTGCCTTTTCCCGTTAGAGGAAGCCTCCACTTCAGCGGAGGAAGGAGGCGATGCCCCTACCGGGGCTGCAGTTTGGACGTTACAGGAGGACGCGGACTTGCTGTCGCTTACCCACTCTGCGGCAATCATGGAAAAATCTGTGGTACAAAACGTGTTCCACGGGCAGCAAATGACCTACAGGAATTACCCAACTCTGGAACAGCTCGCGAAGGACGACGAAAAATGGCGACAGCAGAGTACTTATGATTTGCAAATATGTCTGGGTCTGGAAGGATGCCAGTTTTGTCATGCACATTTTGCATGACTCCTGATGTCTGTGATGCATGCCCTAGCATCACAGACTTTATGAGGGCTCTCCGATGCCTATACCGCATCACAAATGCCCTCTCGCCGTGGCAAAAACTGGACCTCTTTTGCTGTTCATGCAATACAGATTTATTGTAGAATCCAAATCCAGCATCACAAGTTGCAACCTTCCAGACCCAGACACTTTTGCATTTGATAGTACCCAAGTAGACAGCGACGCGGAGCAGCGACTAGGGGATGTGGGCAGTGTATGCAAAGAAAAAAGTGTTACAGTTACACATTGTGTTGCAGGACCGACAAGGCAGACAGCCTTTGTCATGCAGGAAATGCTTTGGAGCCTCGATTCCTTCGTGTTTTCCCTTCTGATGTTTGCATTACAAGTTTCCTCTGCCACACAGAGAAAATTTGTGATGCAGAAATTCCAACAAATGTGTAACTGTAACACTTTTTTCCTGTGATACAGTGGCGCGGAGGGGGAGAAAAAGGAGGAGGGGAAAGAAGGTAGGGATGTTTGATTATTTTGCTAGAACTACAACATCACGAATGACATTTTCGTTTTGTTGCTATTCATGTAGTTTCTGTCCCAGCATGTCAAACAGGTACTCACAGAATGAAATGTTCTACTCCCAATGCTGGCCTCCGGCTGCGGCATAACAACGAATATGATCGCATCCGCTATGAATTTCACTTTTGGCTCATTTGAAAAATAAAACTCTATAAAGGTGAAGCACCTCCTGAGGGCGAATCCAAGCCGGCGGACGTACCTGTCCCCCCAGTCGACTCATCGCACCCGCACCTCGCAGATTTGTTTTCGTTTGACGCGCCGGAGCTCACAAAAGGGCTGGCGACCACGTGTGCGGAATGGAACTCGCACCAAAACGACCTGCTCGCGGTCGCATACGGAGACACAAGTGCAAGCATAGACGCGCTGTCTGCAAGAAGAGAAAAGGACGGAGCAGCAGGTAGGATTTTATGTGAATAGATAAATCCGAAGAACGCAAGTGTGGGGGTCTTTCATGGCATGCTCGATTATTGGTTATGTAACCTCCTATTGCCAGCTAGGGGAGCACCCATGCGGTGGTAGGATCCAGCGCCCCTAGGTCGGGGGCGCTCCTGCCTTCAGCCGTATGGGAATCCGTGGGCAGAAGTATCCACTCGCGCGCCGCGCCCGCTCTAGTTAGGGTCTATCTTCGCTTTTTCTTCTCTTCATCCCACATCGACAGAACAAGCATATTCACTCACGCGGTTCGCTCCGGCTACAGTGATCTACTTAAGCTTCTCTTTTGATTTTACACTGCAATATATCGCAAGAACCACTCTTCTCGAAATTCAAATTCTATCAGGTTTGATCCTGTTCTGGTCCCTGAAAAATCCGTCCTACCCGGAGCGAATACTCAAGACCTCTTCCGGCGTTAGCTCCCTAGCCTTCTCGCAAACGCATCCGTCCATGATCGCAGCGGGTCTCGTGGACGGAACCGTATGGATTGCAAATATGGCTGGGTCTGGAAGATTGCCAGGCTTGTCATGCTTGTCTGGCATGACTCGAGAATATGTGTTGCATAGGCACGAAAGAGCCCTCTTAACTGTCATGCGAAAAGGGAGTTTGCCATGCGGAATACATAAGACATGGCAGCCACAAAATTTAGCTGCGTATTGGGGCGCGTCTATCATTCACTTTTAGCATTACAAGTTTCCAGACCCAGACATATTTGCAATCCATAAACCGTTGCGGTCTACGATAGCAGGAGAGCCACGTCAACCCCGGTGCTGGTGTCTGGGAGCTCGGTCTCCACGCAAAACGACAGGAAACACACAGACTGCGTGTGGGAAGTGAAGTGGGTACTGGGGAACTAGAAATATTAAGCTGGTTGTTTTTTATTCATGATGCAGGGTGCTCCGAGATCTTTTATTGAGGAAGAAATGAAAGCACGAAATTTAAATTTTTCCAATGTGCAAGGCAAACGAAGGCGTGTTCTATACTTCATTTTTCGCTAGGTAAGTCAAAACCAAGGCGGGTCAAAGTCGGCGACAGAGTTGGAAAATCTCATGTCCGTGTCCGGAGACGGAAAGATTTTCCAATGGACGATGCGAAATATCAAATGTAAAAATGTCTGGGTCTGGAAGATTGGTTTGTCATGCACATTTTGCATGACTCCTGATGCCTGTGATGCATGCCCTGGCATCACAGATTTTGTGAGAGCTTCCTGATGCCTATACCGCATGACAAATGCTCTTTCCGTGTAGCAAAACTTGGCCTCTCTTTGCTGCCCATGCAATACAGATTTTTTTAGAATCCGAAATTAGCATGACAAGTTGCATTCTTCCAGACCCAGACATTTTTACTTTTGATGCGAAAAGGCTTGGAACAAAAGCAGCTGATGAACCTGAAGAGACTACTATCCTGAGTAAAAACGTACCCACACCAGAGTTGTAATGCAAATCTGCATGCTGAAAATGTTTCTCATGCGGAGCCTCATGAGAAGCATTTTCTAGACGTGTTTTGCAATTTGTCATGCTCCAATCAGCATGGTGTGCTAGATCTGTGATGCTGCTGAGCTAGCTCAAACAGCACTACACTACGAATCCAAATTTGTCATGCAAAACCGCCAAAGCTTGTGGATTTGTCTAGCCGATTTCCCATCTTGACTATGGTGTGGGTACGTTTTTACTCAGGATAACTACCAAACGCGCATCTAGGTACTGGAATGCATTTTTGGTATTGAAAATTTGTCATGCAGTGGTTCCTTGATGATGATGCCGCCACTGTATCGTGGCGGATCGCTCGTGCTTGAATTTTCGGAATTACTACACGTCGACATTAAACAATCAAGGGTCCAACGTTTTCCGCCCGGTAGAGGGTGGCACCCCGTACCAAGGGGGCGCGTTCCGAAAGGCCGCGGGTATGGCGGTCGACGTTTTAGACGCGAGCAACTACTTGGTCGCAACGGACGATGGGTTTGTACACAGGTAATAAATATAGTCCTCCCAGGTTTGCGTAGCAGAGTTTCTACAGGAGCGCGTTGCTGTTTTTTTGTCATGCAAAAATAAGTACGAGTACATCATTACTGCTTTTCGTCATGCAAAAGAAACACAATAACCACTTCACAGGTGTTCCGTCTCCCACAATGAGCAATACCTGGAGTCCTTCTCCGGCCACTCTGGTTCCGTCTACCGCGTGAGGTGTAACCCCTTCTACCCCAACATTTTCCTCACCTGCTCCGTCGACTGGACGGTGCGGCTCTGGTCCTGCAAAACGTCCCTGAATCTGCAGAAATTCAAGCGAGACGTGATGATGGACCACAGCGAAACCGAGGCGGAGAACGACGATATCCCGCAAGCCGTAGCGAGCTCGCAGTCGCACCAGATTCACCTGCAGGCGCCGCAAGTGATGAACTTCCAGTCGACAGATTTGACTCAGGCGGTGCAGGATGTTGTCTGGTCGCCGGATAACAGCACCAGCTTCGCAGCCTGCATGAACGACGGCAGGGTAATGTGCTTGAAAATGTATCTGTCTTGCTGGGTGCGAGCTGTTTATCTTTATTTTCTGATGCATAAAAGCACTATTTTACCAATGTTTAGCTTGAAAGACGAGAAAAACAATTTTTTATCTACTAAATTGCATACCACAGGTCGAGCTGTGGGACCTTTCTGTGAAGCCACACGACCCGCTGGTGGTCCACCACCCGAGTAGTTTGAAGGGCAAAGAGAGAACGTTTGTCCGGTTCGCGCGCAACTCCCCGGTGCTGGTGTGCGGCGACGGGCAGGGCACCGTGGCGGTGATGCGGGCACACAACATATCCTGAGTAAAAACGTCCCCACACCATAGTCAAGATGGGAGGTCTGCAACACACATCCTCACGTTTTGGGAGTTCTGCATGACAAGTCTCCATCTGCAGAGTGCTGGCTAGCAAGGAAAGCCGCAAGAGTAAGCCAATTATTTCTCATCCTGTTTACAGCATTACAAATGTTGCCAAAACACGACTGGAAATGCTTCTCGTGGAGATGCGCATGACAAATCGATTCCTGACATTGCGCATTTGCATGACAACTCTGGGGCGGGGACGTTTTTACACGGGATACAACACGCAGGGACCGGCGAACCTGCAGCACCCCGAGCAGGTGGACAGGCTGCTATCCATGATCGCCGCGAACGAGTCGAAGAAGTAGAAGTAAGCTCCTGTAGGGGGCGCGAGGATTACAATAAACGAAGACGCACTCGCACCAGGGTGGACGACCTCTCGTCGCGTTTCTTGCGATCAAAATCCACTGCGAATATTAAAACTCAGGGTCGTTCGAAACTGATCATTCGATTGCGTTTTTGTATAATTGCGCATGAAACAATACTGCAATATTAAACGATCAACGTAGGAGAAGCTTGAATAATTACGATTAGCTGTCACTGAAGGATCCACTCTACCTGTGCGTCCGAGTACTATTCTGGAAGCACTGATGGACAAAAGTTTTTAGTTTAAATCAAACAAGCGCGGCTGCAAGTGCTGCGAGAGAAGAAATTTTTGTTAGATTGATAGGACTGGCACTGGCTGCAAACGAACTGAATAAAAATGCTTGTGGTCACTAAAGAGAGGATGAATATGATCTACTGTGTACGACACAAGTACAGGTTGTACCTTTTTTCAGATTCAGAATACTTTACATTTTGCTAGATGCGGCCACCAACTACCTTGTGTAGCTAGTGTAGTGCGCGGATTTGCTTCTAGGACTGCATCTCAGTCACACAACGGAAAAATAAAGCAGCGATAAATTTGACAACAACCACAAAAAAACTGCAGGGTTTTTGGCGACGCTTCTAGTAGATTGTAGTATCATGGATATGGTCGGTAGTTCTAGCATTCTCCTCACCTTTATTGTCCCCTCGTTTTGTAGTTGTATCACACGAGCCTACAAGAAAAGTTCACTTGTCATCACGTAAGACTCCTTGACTGGTTGTTTGGTCAAGCGTGATGTAGTGCTATCGCGACAGAAGGTTATTTTTTCCCTAAAGTATCACATTAACAGTATCGCTGTCACAGCTTCGAGCTTTTTAGTTTTACACTGACTAAGATTTTTGTGTTTCCATTATTTTGCAATACTATTTACGATGCCTACAGTGAGGTCTGTGGTACAGACCGACGGAGTAAGTACTTCTTTTGTTCTCCGCAAAAGTACGATAGCAAAACTCCAGTTTAACAAAATCTCTTTAACCTAGGAAAATACAAGACGCAATCCTTTCCCATGACAGAATACGTATGTTCCAGTATCTGGCATCAGGTTCACTTGCTACCACTTCAACCTAGGAAAATACTCCAATAACCGGAATAAGCGTCCCAGTTCGAAATAAGCATTGCGGTTATGCTATGAAACAGGTTAGGGGGTGGCAAAGCAGGCGAGTCTGGCAGGCTTTTTTTTTGTTTTCAGTGTGTGTCTTTTGCTGCTCTAAGTAGGAATGCGAATGAGGAATGCGGGTGATGAACTCAAATGATGAATGCGAATGATGAATGAGAATAACAAGCCAACTGGTTTCGGCTTTCAAGAAGGGGGCGGGGCGCGACTACTCCTCACCCGATGCAAAAACATGCTTTATGTTTATCGTTTTGTATTTGTATGGATGCAGCTGCAGTAAGTGTATAAAGATAAAGAGGCGTTTAGTTTTTTCGTCGCATAGGAAAACTCGCACTCTACAAGGGCGTATGGGTGGGCCCTCGTAGTGTTCGGCAAAGACTACGTGGGACCCCCGGGGTTTTTGGGAGCAAGTGAACCGCGGGATGGGGCCGCGGTCGCGGCGCGGGGCCCTTGGCGGGGTTTTTTTTTGTTGAGGGCGTAGGATTTGGGGATTCGGGTTTTGGGTTTGGACTGAGGGAGGGGAGGTTTTTTCCGCCACCCCCCGGCAGCTCTGCAGGGTTTGGGGATTTGGGGCGGCCTGTTGCCAAATCTTGCATGCCCGCCCCCCGACCGTGTTTGAAAAAATAAAACGGCCGGAGCGCGCGGGGCGCGGATCTTCGCCCCGCGAGATCCCGCCCCCGCGCCTTGCGCCCCGCGGCGGGCCCCTGCTCGCCCGGCCGATGCATCCTGGCCGGGCGGTGGTGGCCCCCCTTCGTTTTTTCGTTTTCAGGGGAAGTGGCGTTTTTTCTGTTCTCGAAAGGACCGACGTTGCGGGCACCCTTCGGGCGCGATTGCGGTATACGGCAGCACACGGCGCGGGAAGGGTGCCAAGATAGAGCTTCCCCGGTCGCGTCGCCTTTTCACCGCGTAAATTAATGCGTAGGCCCCGTTTCCCCACTGGCCTGCGTTAATATATAAAACCAACAAGGCTCCCGCTGCCTATCCTGTTGCCTGAACGAAAAGAAAAAAGTTCAAAAATTCGTCGAGTTTTTAGAACGCATGGGCATAACCTTGGCCGCTTAAATCTGTTATTTCGAACTGGGACGCTTAATCCGGTATATCGAGTACAATACGCAATCCTTTCCCATGACAGAATACGTATGTTCCAGTATCTGGCCCGGTGTTTTTTGTTACCGTAGCAGCACAGAAGGGACAGAACACAGTTCGGAAAAATCAAAAAAAGCAGCAGCAGCCGCAGTTGCACTCTCGTCGTCGACAAGGAATAACAAGCTGGTTGTAACCTCTTCTGCACGACAACATCCTGAAGGCACTAGTCCTGCTTGTCCCTCATCCCACCAAGCGAAGCTTGTCGGGACGAAGGACAAAGGAAAGCAAGGAAGTGATAAAATCAACAGGATACAAAGCAATAAAGACGTTTTTGAGGTACGAAGAGTCGAACTGCCTCGCCAAGAAAATTACATTAGCGAAGACGAGATGCAATACACGACTTCGTACACGGCCAGCACGAGGAGCTCCCGCTTGCAGGCGGATGCCGTTGCGGCCGGGGGCGCGTGCTCGCGTGCCGGCGCAGCAGCGACTGGCGCTAGTTTTTCTCAGCTTCATCAGGGGAAGAAGTTGAATGACAAAGAGCTTGCTGCCAACAAAATTCTGAAGCAGGAGAAAATATTAAATGGCGCTAGTGGAGGTCCACTTCAAAATGGTCAGCAACAGAGGGAAGTTGTAGCACAGTCAAATCTCATTTATTCCACGACCACCACGAGAAGCCGAGGGAAAACGGATCCTGCAATAAGTTGTCTTACGACAACAAATAAGGCCACTTCATCGTCCACTGTGAAAGTAAGAGAGAGAATATCCAGCACGACTACAGCACCTACGCACACGACCTCCTGCTCCCAAGGAACATCAACTACGAGCGTGGCAGCAGCCGGATCAGCAGCAGCCTCCTCGAAGCACAAAAGCTTGACCTCTAGTCCTTGCCCCAGTCGGAGAAGTAGAGCTGGGACTACAGGTGAAACTGGCTCTGTAAGTGCGAAGAAGGGCGTGGCCGCAGGTGGATCGTCGGGCGGAGAAGTAGCGAATGGTGTGAACGACCCCGTTCCTGTAGTGACAGCGATCGCTTCGAATAGAAGTACTACGACGAGCAGAGGAGCTCGGACCAAGTCCGCATCTGGTGCTGTCGGAGTCGTAGGATCTTCCGACGTCGTGCCTGCTCCTGGAGAACGGAAGGAAGAAGCCGCAGCGTGTAGTCCTTCTCAAGGAGAGGAAGTCTTCGACGTGAAGCGGGGCCCTACAGCTTCTACTTCAGCCGATACGAAAGTCCCAGGCGAAGCAGGAGCAGGAGTAGCTCCTCAACAGCATCCGTCCACATCATTCGCTTCCGGAGCTGCAGATAAAAATGCTACAGCTATTCTGGCCACGACAGTTCAGGAGTTAGACGACCAACTGGCGCGACTGAAAAAGGAAGAAGCTTTGCTGCTTCGTTCTTGCCTCTCCCGCGGTCTCCCGAAGTTGCAGGAAGTATCCGCGACCCGACTCGAGCAAAGCAGACACGAACGCGAGAGGCTGAAGCAGCGGCGGGAGACATTAACCGGCGAGCCCGCGAGTCCCGGCGGGGGGTATAATTACAACAGTAAAAAGAACCACGATCATCCGAGTACGCCGGTAAAAAATACCACGAAAACATCAAGTAAGGATTCACAAGAACAAGTACTACACCTCAACGGAGGGCAGTCCGGTCAGTATCCACAGCCAAAATCTCCGCAGACTGTCGTGCACAGTAGGACCAAACGGGCGGAACAAAACTTCGAGTCGTGTTCTGTTTCATCATCTTCCCAACCTACTGCTCAGAAGTACAACAACCACCCCTACCAGACAAACCAGGAGCGGCTGGTGGCGCGGCACCACGCGAATGTAGCGCAGCAGAGTCAACGTAGCACAGGAACAACTTCAGAGCACAACACAGCACGAAAACTCCTCCCGTTCGGGCACGAGCCGGTCGCAGTGACCCCAACATCCAATCGGGGCGGCGCGAATAAACAAGCGAATTACATCAACAATCGGGCAGCTGGTACAACAGCTGCACACGAGAGTTCTAGCGCTACTTTCGCGAACCAGGCACAGCAGCTACTCAGCGGCGCTTGCTTAGAACTGCAGTCCGCGGCGCGAGCGGTCGCGGGTACGAGTCATTCTCAACATTCGCCTAGTGCAACAACTTCTAGCCGCAACGGGGTTAATAAAACGCCGACAAATAATAGTAGTAATTGTGCTACTACACCACCGGGTCATCATCTTTCGACGTCTACCCGAACGCCAACGAACGGCAGTAGGAATTATTTTCCATCCTCTTCGCTCGCTCAATATCAACTGTAAAAATGTCTGGGTCTGGAAGATTCTAACACTTGTCATGCACGTTTTGCATGAGCCATGATGTCTGTGATGCATACCCTAGCAATACAGATTTTTTGAGGGCTTCTTGATGCGCATTCCGCATGACAAATGCCTTCTCAGCGTAGCAAAAATTGCATCCCCTTTGGTACTCATGCAATACAGATTTTTTTGGAATCCAAACGCAGCATCACAGGTTGCATTCTTCCAGACCCAGACACTTTTCCATTTGATACTCAACAAGCTCACCCAAAAACTACCCCAAGCACGACTTCTAAATCTCTCCGGACCAACCGCCTGATGTTTCCGCCGATCAACCCGCAGAGCGACAAGAATGTCGCGAAACCGCCGCTGTTTCCGGTTTTGAACGCGGAAACCCTGGGGAAGCGGAAAGTGACGGACCTGAAACCCGGGACCAAGAACGACTACTGCCTGAAATGCACCTCCGGCGCGTTCCGGGGCCGGTATCTCTACCCGTCGCCCGAGGGGGAACTGTTTGGGGGCGACGCGGAGAACCCGCACCTGACCATGCTTATCAAATGTAAAAATGTCTGGGTCTGGAAGATTCTGACACTTGTCATGCACGTTTTGCATGAGCCCTGATGTCTGTGATGCATGCCCTAGCATCACAGATTTTTTGAGAGCTTCTTGATGCCTATTCCGCATGACAAATGTCCTCGCCGCGTAGCAAGAATGACACTCCCTGTGGTACTCATGCAATACATTTTTTTTTGGAATCCAAATGCAGCATCACAAGTTGCATTCTTCCAGACCCAGACATTTTTACATTTGATAATGCTGATCGAGAACGCGGGTTTGGCAAACGTGCACGCCCGGATCGAAACCGGTTCGGCGGGAGGAGCGGGTTCAAGTGCTGGCGTCGTCGGGGGAGCAGTGGTTTCCGGATCGGAACAGGAAGGTGGGTCGAGCTCGAGTACTTCAGGAAGACCGCAGCTGTTCTTGGAGGCCGAACAGGGCGATACCTGGACGGCGGTGCGGTGGAACAGAAGTTTGCCGGTATGATTGTTTGGAATGCTATATTTGTCATGTCAGATCGCCTGCTTTATTCCAAAAGTGTGCCGGTCTGTGGGCGGTAAGGACAGCGAACATGACTTCTTTGCAGCATTCTAAATGAATGTTGCGCATAATCGATCCTGTTCTTGATATTGTATGTGACAACTACAACTACTCGAAAAACCGTAATTAGCGGCTAAGTTGGTACGGCCCACAGAACAAGAGCAAGCGAATGAAACTTTTTCCGCACGACTGCTAGCTCCTGCATTCTCCGACTTCCCGAGCTAAGTGCTGCAGGATTTCTCTCCTTCTGCTTTTTCCCTGGGGAAAAAACCGCGCGCGTCCGTACTTGAGATTTTGCGTTTTATTCACTCGATGACGATGATGCGCAAATGCAAAAACTGTGAGGCATAAGTTCCCTAATGGCGCGTGCCATTAGGGAACTTATGTTTTTGCATTTTCGAAAAACATAAGTTCCCTATTGGCACGTGCAACTAGGGAACTTATGGCTCGAGATTTTGGGTTTTTCTTTTTTTTCACTCCATCCTGCGAAAAGAAAACGCAAAAACTCTGAGGCATAAGTTCCCCAATGGCACGTGCCATTAGGGAACTTATGTTTTTGCATTTTCGAAAAACATAAGTTCCCTATTGGCACGTGCAACTAGGGAACTTATGGCTCGAGATTTTGGGTTTTTTTCACTCGATGATGCGCAAGTGGAAATGCAAAAACTCTGAAGCATAAGTTCCCTAATGGCGCGGGCCTTTAGGGAGCTTATGTTTTTGCATTTTCGAAAAGCATAGAAATAGATATCCTATTTGAGTGCGTAAATAGGAAGCTAGTCCTTTGATGAAGCTTTGGTTTTTTTCCGCAAAGGGAGCGCTTTGAAGCTTTGGCTTTTTTCCGCAAGAATAGAAAGGGAGCGCCTCGCCCTGGTGCAAGGGTTTTCATTTCTGCTCGTGTCATGGGGACCACGCACGGCGCGACGCAATAGCTTTCTTGTTTTGTGGCTCGGAAAGAGTTACCACTTTAGCCGCTTATTACGGTATGCCGAGTACTACAAACTGCTCCAAGAAAATAAATCGCGCAGTTTTTGTAAGTAGACAAAGCATCTTCAAAATAAACAGCTCCAGCCCGGGCAGGACGTGGAGTTCACCTCTCCGAACCTGACCCTCCGGCTGAAAGTCCAGGAAGGCGAGGTGGTGGACGACGAGATTTTGGAGTGGTTGCGGCTGTACAGCAGCGAGGCAAGTCGCGAAGCGGTGAACCCGTCCTGCAAATCGCTGGAGGATCTCCGGGACAAAACGCCCGAGCAGGTGATCACGGGAGATCCGGAGAAGATCACCGCCGGAATCCGGACCGGCTTGGAGGAACTGGGGAGACAGTAAGACTGGCTATAGTTTTGCGATGAATTCATAGTTGTGACGAGGAGTATAACCATCTAGAAGCAAGCTCCTCGGTTGATGGATCTTTCGCTTTTTGGAAAGCAGGAGCAGAACTTCAGCAAATAGTAAAGCTTTTTTCGTATAGATGAAAATCACGCATCAATTTTGCTTTTTCCCCCCATCTGCTACTGCGGCCATCAACCAGGTTTCCGCCCAACGTGCCGTACCCAAAGACGCGGTTGAAAATCGTCGACGAAGCTAGCGGCAAGGAGTACGCGAACGTCGGCTGGAGCGGTGGGCACGTGCTGTTGGAAAACCCCAATTCTCCCGCGAAGAGCCTGGACACGTCGCAGTTGGACTTGTCTTCGGGCCGGGGCAGTTTGTCGCCGAGTCAGCGACGCATCGGCTCAAAAAGCTTGATGGGTATAAAGATACAATTGATTCAAGAAGGCTTGTTTTTCGGTTTTTGATTTTGAAGGGTTGTTTACAGTGACCTTGTGTCATCAAATCTATTCATGTAGTTGAGAAAAATCTAGACTTGTGATCGTTCACCTATAAAAACGACAAATAACTGCCAACAGCCGCTGCCATCGAGCAGATGAACGGCATACGTGTCGCTTCCTCCGAACTCGAGCGCTCCGAGGCCTTCAGGATATGTTACTGCAGCAATGGAAAGTGGTACTGCCACTTCGAGCAGGAGTGCAACACGGGCAGCAAGCACTGGCTGCGGCTTTTGCCGGGGCAGAAGCACAATCTGCAGCCGGGGGATGTCTTCAGGATAGGAGAGCTGGAGTTCGCAGTGTTGAGGTATACAAACTGATCATTTTGGGTTTCTGTGATTGAATACAATACAACTACACGGTCAAATGTTGTGGAAAAAGGCAGAAAGTGCTAAGAATTTTCGCAGGAACTACAACCATTTTTCGCCGCGCAACAATTCTCCAGGTACAATTACGGCACGGCCTGCGACAAGGGGTTTCGAGCCAGCATGGAAGACGCCGAGCTGGTCGAGCAGGACCTGTGCGTGTCCTCGCACCGGCTCTGTTCCATGTTCAGCATCTACGACGGACACTGCAAGCGCGACTGCGTCGATTTCATCCGCGCGCGCCTGCATCTGGATTTGGCCTACAACCTGCAGCAGAACATCGACGAGACAGAAGACGTATATAGTGTTTTAGGATTTTGCATCAGAAGTAGATGGGTCATCTTGATGTTCACCAGAGTCGATAGAGCATAAAACAAAATGCATGTCACACAACTTTTTTGTAGCAAGACAAAGCCAACATTTTTTCACTGCATGTAAATCTAAATACAGGTCCATTCCCTGGTCGGTCGCGCCATTTGGGATTCCTGTCTCGCGGTCGACGAGGCGTTCCGGCAGGTGACGCGGCCCAACCTGGGCTACGACCTGCGCGGCCCGGACCCGGGGCCCAAGGAGGAAACCGACGCGGAACGCGAGGTCCGGGAGATGAATCCCGCCGGTGGGAACCAAATGAACCAACCGGCGAGTTCCGGGTGCGCGGCGGTGTTCGCCGTACTGCTCGGCACCAGTCTGTACGTGGCCTGCATCGGCGACAGTCGCGCGGTGCTCGCGCGGTCCGGAACGGCGTACGAGCTTTCCTGGGACCAGCGCCCCGAGCGCGACGACGAGCGCGAGCGGATTCTCGCCCGCGGCGGCTTTGTCTCCTTCAACCGCGTTTTGGGGCGCCTCGCGGTCTCCCGCGCGTTTGGCGACTACGAATACAAGTTTTTGAACCTGAAAGAGGTCTCCGGACCGCTAGTCATCGCGGAGCCGGAAGTCCGGTACTGCGAACTCGAGGTATCAAGAGTAAAAATGTCTGGGTCTGGAAGAATGCAACTTCTGATGCTGAATTTGGATTCCAAAAAAATCTGTATTGCATGAGCAGCAAAGGGAGTGTAATTTTTGCTACGCGGAGAGGGCATTTGTCATGCGGAATAGGCATCGCGAAGCCAAATCTGTATTGCTAGGGCATGCATCACAGACATCATGGCGCAGGCAAAACGTGCATGACAAGTGTCAGAATCTTCCAGACCCAGACATTTTTACATTTGATACGAGGAAGAGAAGGACGAATTTCTGGTGCTCGCCTGCGACGGCCTGTGGGACGTGATTCGCTCGCAGGAGGCGGTTATCAAACGCAAAAATGTCTGAGCCTGGAAGATTGCAACTTGTGATGCTGCATTTGGATTCCAAAAAAATCTGTATTGCATGAGTACCGAAGGGAATGCAATTTTTGCTACGCTGAGAAGGCATTCGTCATGCGGAATAGGCATCAAGAAGCCCTCAAAAAAATTGTATTGCTAGGGTATGCATCACAGACATCATGGCTCATGCAAAACGTGCCTGACAAGTGTCAGAATCTTCCAGACACTTTTACAGTTGATAGCGGTGGACTTCGTGCACGAAAAATTGGCGGAGCAGCGGGCGGCGGCGAGTGGGTCTTCTATGAAGGAAACCAGCCCGACCCAAGAACATCAAGTATCCGCAAACAACGCGGACGCAACAACCTCGCCGATGTCGGCAATCGGCACCGCAGAGCCGGTGATGATTGACCCGGACGCGATTGCCAAGGCACTAGTGTACGAGGCGATTCACGTGCGCAAATCCCGGGACAACGTCTCTTGCGTCGTCGTGTTGTTACAGAAGGAGTACAAGCCAAAACCCGCCACGAGCCCGGCGTCGAGTGAGGGAATGGTGCCAGCGGCCGGAGGAGCAGCGGAGGATACCAGTGGCTTGCCGGAAGGCGTGGAGGCCGTCGACTGAGCTTTTGCAGCGACTAAGCCAACATGATACGCATCGGTTTGTTGCGCTTGGAAAAGAAGATTTTTTTGCGACCACCCGAACAAGAGAAAGTCAGAGTAGCCTTATGAGAAGATAGGAGTAGGATCCCTTCGCCTTCTGAGCAGCTTATATACAATCTGTTAAAGTTTATGATTTTTACAACGACCCCTGTTGTTCCATCACGTCGACGCGACGCGATGGAGAATGTTTTAAGATGGTAGATTGTTGTTCAGAGACTAAAAGTAAATGATGGACTATCTTCACGAGCGATTCGGGCTAATGCTCTGATGCGCGAGTTATTTTTCGGGATGAGACAAACACATATAGTGATGCAGTTTTGCTTTTGGCAGAATCGATGCGAGTTGCGTCAGGTTCTGTTCATGACAAAACCGCAGGAGAAAAGATGAATGGGGTGGAGGGACGTACAACTTATACAATTTACTACCCCGAAGACCAGCCTTACGGCGAGGACACAAGTTGTGTCAAAAAAGGGCCTCATGATTATTTCATAACGAAGGCGCATTTTATTAATAGAGACCACGGCTGCGCCGGTCCCGGTCTTGCTCTTCCCCTCATCTTCACGTCTTCCTGGAAGAAGGCGCATGATCGATCTTCGTGTTCATCTGGACCACTGTCACGTTTTCCGCTCGTCGCCTACATTTTCACACCGGTATAAGTCGCCTTTGTTGATGTTGCAGAAGAATCGTAAAAGAAAGCAGCCAGCACGAAACCAATCAGTGTCTTTGGTATCGCGGCGCTTGATTTACTACAGCTTGCCCAATTTCGTATGTTCGTGGGAACATGTCGTGCAGGGAGTTTGTGTCCCGTTGGTCGCATTTTTCACAAAGCGTTCGCTGTCGTGTCTTGCCGTGCCCCGGGTCCACCGTCTCGTGGGTCAGTGTTGCACTGAAGATCGGATCCAATCCAATTGCTATTACGATGAGTGGTATGTGTCTTACGAAGTAGCTTTAAGCCTTGCAGCAATTTTGAAGTTTCCAATCGTCAATTTTTTCACTACCATCCCACGTTCTTTCGTCAAGAAACCGCTTAACTGCTAGAGATCTGAGACAGAACGTTCTTTCCAAAAATGGCGGAAGAGTTGTCCTTCGACTCCGCCCAGCAGCAGCACCACGCCGTGCTGCGCCAAAGGATCCCAGGCCCGGCTCTGGCGTCTTTCCGGGCTGCGAGCAGCGGTCAACTACAACAAGGGTCTCCGCTGGACTCGCCCCTGGATTGCGTGCAGTTGTTTCCAGACTTGATGTTGAAGAGGGATGCAGACCGCACGGGGAGCGCCCGTCGTACTGACGATGCTACAACGCCGACAGATAACGATTCTGTTGATGACACCGAGATGAGTTTTTCCACCGATGATCTCTTCGCTACCGGCCAAACGCTCGGGGAATTGGAGACGCTGCTTGCCGGAGTTGCGTTCACTTTCGCCGGTGTCCTGTGGTGGCTGTTCTACAAGAAAGGCAGCACGCCCGGGTTCTCTACTGGGAGCAACGAATCGCTCAAGAACAGTACAGCCTCTCCTGCAATCGACAGTACAACTAACATGACGAGCCTGATCTCCTCCTTCTCGGACGCGAATAGGAACTCTTGGATCTTCGCGCCTACAATCCTGCTCGTCGTTTTACTCTTCGCCACCGTGAAACTCGGTGTTCACTATTGGAGAAAGTTCTTCCCGCAGTACGTGTGCCTGCTGGACGAGAACTTGAAGAGGAGAATCGCGGACAAACTCGGGCGCTTCACCCCGGAGCGCTGGACGCCGAAACGGCGGGACGACTTCTCGGGCATGAAGTCGGCTCCTTCCGAGGTTGAACTGCTCGCAGAAGGTGGATCTTCGTCGCTTTCGCAGTTCGGTACGATGACGCCGTCTTCCGCAGGTCAGTCTTCGCCTTCGGGGTCCGATCAGTTTGGCTACGACGTCACGGATTCGGAGGACGGGTATTCTTCCGGTGGGTATTCGCCCTCTGCCGCCGGATCGCCGAATGACGGATACTGATGTTGACCGAAGAATACTGTTGTTGTCTGAAGAGGAGTGCGAGTCGAAGTGACAGCTTTGAGACTTGCAAGGAGGAAGGTGACAAACGGACGGGAAAATGAAATATTTCTTTCCTTCTGGTAGCGCTCGATGCTATTTCGTTTTTGTTTTCAAAAAAAATTTAAGCTATAGTTTCTGAAACTTGATAATAAATGCTCATTGTATTCTCTTTCTTGTAGTATCGGAAGAATTTGGATTTGTTTCATGGTGGCATAGCACTGTGCACTGCCGATGCAGGCCTCAGCTCCTTTCGACAATGCTATGATGTTACATTAGGAATGGTAATGTACCAGGCGATTGAAAATTTGATTTGTTTTCGGGTTGACCGGAAAAAAAGAATCACGGTGGCCCTGCCCCTTGGCGCTGGATGTGATGCGCGTTGCCCTTCATCGGGAATTTGAGTGTTCTAGGTCGGCCGATGGGCCCTGTCGCGGTGTCGCTCTGCGGTACGAAGAAGCTTCCTTAACTGTCTGAGAGGATTTTCGAGGCTGGCCGCCATGGCGTACTGTGCCCACATAGCTGGGCGAAAGCGCTTGGAAGGCCGAGGGGGGGGGTTGGGCGCGGACGGGTGGGGCGCCTGGGCAGCAGCCAGGGCGAGGGGACTGCGCCGCCCGCTTCGTCTGCCGCCGCTTTGCGGAAGTTGCGGCGCACCGGGGTCGTGAGGTGCCGCAGCGGCTCGGCAGCGCAACCCGACGCCCGTAAGACACGCACGCAGCTGCCGCCTGCCGGCGGGACCTCGTTGGCCGCGGCGCCTCGACCTGCCTGGCACACGCCCAGCACCCCCGCCGCGGCGGCAAGCGGGGACGCGGGGCACCCCGCGCCGCGCGCTGCCGGCCCCTTCGCGAGATGTCTCCGATATGAGCCGGGGCCGGGGCGTCAAAATCGCCACCGGCATGAACCGAAAGAGAAAGTGGAAGTTCAGAATATCCATCCTGAAGGCGGCGCGCTTCCCCGATGGCCTGGCGGCCGGGGAGCATGTGGCGGAGAAGTTTCCGCCGAAGCCCAAGCAGGACGCCGGGGCCGGCGTGGCCCGGGGAAAGAAGCGGCAGTGCCCGGGGCTGGCGGATTCGATGGGGAGAGGGCTCGGCGGGAGAGAATAAGCTGCGCAGGGGCGCCCTGGTGCGCCTGGGCGGCCCCGCTGCACAGGACCACCGACGACCATGCCTTCGCCTAATCTGGCGCAGATGCGGGCGGAGCGTGCCGGCGCGGGTGGACGGCCCGGCTATGCCGAGCGAGCGTTTCCGCAGGCCCGGCCTGGCAGCATCTGGCTTATGTTGCCTTGCCTACTCTGCAAGACAGGCGCTGGCACTGCCTGCGCGTCGTCTGTGTCGTGATCTTGTGGCAGACCCTGCCGGGCATCGCTTTCGCAACTGCGCGCAGCTTTTGCGTGCGCAGACATGGTCGGCAGCGCGCCGAGATGAATGCAATATACTGCATCTGCGAGCCGGGCCTGTTGCGCTGGCACTTGGAGCCGTCTACGGACCGGCTCACTACTCGGAATGACGCTGCGAATCATCATGACAGCCGGCCGGGAACGAGTTCGGGAGCGTCCTCACCAGGCCACCGGAATCAATGCGGCCGATTTCTGAATTCGTGAACGGCCCGCGGCGGCTCGGGGATATTTCTGCACGTCAAGGAAATGCGGCCGCTGGGCGAAATGGTTCGCGATGAACCTAGCCCAGCTCGCAAGTGTGGCCGCCCCGCATAGAATTTGCGAAGGGGCCACGCGGGGGAGAAATGTATCGCGCTTGGGACTTGCTTGCCATGGTTCGGGCAAAGGCCTCCGCCTGTTTTTGCCTACAGGCTACACCCCGAAAGGGCCCGGGACTCACCGCAAGCACCTCACTGCGCGCCCGGCGCCCTGCTCTTCAGGAAATGGCTGCAGAAGTTGGCTCGGCCGGCAAACGGCCCCGGGGGGCGCGACATCTGGAGGGCCTTGCGCGTTTGCAAGGCCTTCGGAAAGCCCAGCGCAAAAAACACGCCGCCCGTGTCTCGGGCCAGAGCCAACACCGGCGGACAGCACAGCCCCCCCGGCCGCCCGCTGCCACCAAGGTGCCGGCCGGGGGGGCGCTGCGCCTGATTTGCGCGCCGCCCGCGGCCGGTCGCCCCGCCAGGCCTCCCGCCGCGGTCTTGCTTGTGCCGTAAGGGCGCAGCGCGCGGGCCTTGCTTTCTCGCCTGGCCCGATTTGCCTGTCTCTGCCTGCGCGCCGCCTTACCGGCCTGGCGCAGGCACACAGTGCTTGCCGGCTGCGGCCCCGGCGGGAGAGGCGGCGCAGCTTCTTGGAAGAGGGCCCGCTGCTGTTTCTGGAGGATGGCCCGTGGGGCTCGGGCCTGCAGTCCGCGCGGCCATAGACACAGGCGATCCGGTATCTTCGCAGCCTCCCCCGCCTTTCCGCTCTTTGGGCGAATCTACAAACAAATACCCAGGCTCGGGCCTCTTCAGCAGTGGCGTCTCTGAGTTACGGCCACAAAGCTTTGAGGTCGAGTTGGTATCCGTGTTCTTTGATCCTTAAATCCGAACGAAGGCACTTCTATATGTGGATCATGGATCGCGCAAACAGCGAGACCGATGACGTGACATTTTGCTATTTCGACCGCGATCCGAATGCGCCTTGTTTTTTTCTTGGTCATCCTCCGTGTCGACATCTTTTGACTTTGGAATACTGTATGACTTCGCCCTTTCCTTGTCTCCCGAAGCACAAGCGTGAAGTAAAAATGTCTTTGCGATCGCAGTTCGTTCACCTGCAATCCTTCGCGATCGCACAATGCCGGATGGCAGTCGTTGTTTTGATTGCAAAAACTTGCAACGAGTGGGAATCCAGCTTCTCAAGGGAGAAAAATGCGAGTCCCGTGCTCTTTTGGTCAGCGTGCTGCTTCCTCGGAACACTCGTCATCGCGGACAAGGTCTTCTGGTCGAAAAGACAAGCGAAAAGTGCGCTGCCAGCAACCGACGACAAAGCTGCTTCCGAATATCCAGGCGGGGCCCCGGCGGGAACCAAAGAAACTCCGCCTTCCCAGTCCCCGAGATCAGCTTCTATTCCACAGCTGCAGCTACACCTTTCCCGGGCGGAGTGCGAAGAGTGGAAGGGCTGGATGCAGTACGTGTTCGTTTTTTACCACTACTACCGCGCCAGATTTCTCTACAACCCCATTCGCGTGATGGTGTCCAGCTACGTGTGGCTCTCCGGGTACGGAAACTACCTGGCACTTGCAGAAACAAAAACCGGAACTAAAACTAGCGGAAGAAGTTCAACAACATGTGACAAGCGCGACCGGTTTTCCGCTGTCAAAGTTTTCTCCGCTTTGATCAGGCTGAACTGGTTCGCGCTTTGGCTTGTCGCGGTCATACCAGGCACGTCCCTGGAACTCTACTACGTGGTGCCGCTGCACACCGTGGCTTACTTGGTCACGTATCTGTTCTGCTGGATGCGGGTGCAAGTCCTGCAGAGTTGGAGGATCGATGATGGCACAGGTACAGGAACGAAAGTAAAACCGGTTCCAGATTGGCTCGTCGACGTGGTTCTACTCGGTCTGTTCTTTCTTTTCCACGTCTTATTTTTCGAAACCGCGGTTGCCGAGCGGATTTTGTCGAAGGAGCTTAACTTCCGGTTTCAGGCGGACCGGTACTCCGCTTTGCAGGGCGTTCTGGCCGCTGTGGTCGTGACGCATGTTGGAAAGCGTGGGAGGATAGAAAATATCAGCACAGACACGTGTTCGACAGTTCCATCGTACGGCTGTAGTTTCGCAACAACTACAACAGTATTATCCCGCGTCCTTTCCTCAAACTCTCTCGCTGCCGGCTTCGGATTAGCACTCGCAACTCTCTGGTACTGCATTTGGGGGTGGAATCCGGATAAATTTACCTACAACCCCTCCCACCCGCTGATCTTTTCCCTCCCACTCATCGCGTACTGTGTCCTGCGGAGGGTCCTCTGGCCAATAAAAAATGAACAAAGTGCTTCGAAAATTTTGCGGAGCCTGGGGGCGCACTCGCTGGAGATCTACCTGTTGCAGTTTCACGTCTTTATGTGCCGGAACGTGCAGCACGTGCTGGTTTTGGTGTTTCCCGAACAGATAATCTTTCCCGGCGGCGAAGCGAGCGGCGGTCCATCCATTCCAGGCCCGTTACCCGCTGCTGTTTTCAACACTCTTCTCGTCGGGAGTCTTTTCGCCGTTCTAGTGTACCAAGCGCGCCTAGCCACCGTGGAGACGCAGCAGAGCTTGCAGGCCATGCTGGTCGCTAGCTTGAGGAAGGGGAGGCGAGAGGTTGCGGTAGATAAAGAAGAGAATGAGAACCTGAAGAATCGTGATACTGCAGCAACATCATCAAATGAAAAGGCCTCGATCTCGGAGTCCGACACAAGTACAAAACGCAAAGAACAGTGACTAAGCAAGCGAAGCGCACGCCGAAAGATGAACTTTTGCAAATATAATGACAGGCGGCCACTTCCACTTGCACATCTTAATTCCCTTCCCCTATCCTTGACCGTATCCGTATCAGAACGGGCAAGCAGAGCAAGTTATCAAAACAACAAGTCTAGTACTGCATCGTACCATGACACAGCCAAAACGCGCACCGGTGTTCGCTGCCAATTCGATCGATTGTAAAGAAGGATCACTGCTCCATCCTCGAAAAGATCAGTAGCTGCTGGTGGACTTTTATGCATAACGAAGGCCGCCTAGGCCCACGCATCATGCGTATCCGTATGTGATTTCTATCTGCCGACTTTGGCTTTGCGCACAGGAAGATCGATTGTAGAGAAACGTAACAGCATTTCTTCGTAAAATTTACCTTTGAATAACACCATGTAGGGCATTTCTAGATTGAATGAATTTATTTCCAATCGCTTTTTATTCCAACACCATGCCGTAGCACGGGACAACCGGATAATTGACAGGAGTTCGTAAGGCTCCGCCCGCTTTCCTGCTGACATCCCTTGCTTATCGCGGGAGCAGTTGCGCGCGCTAAGAAGAGCCGACTCTTCGCACTACGGAGGTCTTCTTCTACGCGCAAAAAAAAGCCGCGGGGCTGCCAGCGGCACCGCGGAGCGGGAGAGAAATACCAGACGGCGGCAGCCCGGGTTTATCGTGGAACAAAGAAACACGCTAAAGTCTGTGGTTTACCTCGCTATCTACGTTTCGACGACAACACAACAAGCGACAAAAACGAACCCTCCCCCCCAGCAAGAAGCCAGAGCAGCGACAAAAAAAGATGTCGGGCGCCTCCGCGGTCTTTCTCCTCGACCTGAAGGGGAAGGTGATTATTTCCCGGAACTACCGGGGTGAGGTCCCGATGACGATAACCGAACGATTTGTCCGCTTAGTAATAGACGAGGAGTCCAGTCAAGTGAAGCCTGTGTTTTGCGAGGACGGGGTGAATTTTGTGTGGATAAGATACAACAACCTCTACTTCTTGGCTACCTCGCAACGAAACGCCAACGCACTCATGCTGCTGAGGTAATCACGGGTTTTTCTTTTTTCTTTTTGTGTACTGGACTGATCGATTGGGCTTGCTGCGCTTGAACAAGTACTATGATGATCATGATGTTTCTTCTAGGAGGTTCGTCTAATCAGATTCAAGTCACTATGAATAAAAAACAGCTACCTCTACAAGCTCGCGGAAGTGCTGAAGGATTATTTTCGGGAGCTGGAGGAAGAGTCGATTCGGGACAATTTCGTAATAACGTACGAATTGTTGGACGAACTCATGGACAACGGCTACCCGCAAACGACAGAAGTGAAAATCCTCCGAGAATACATCAAGACAAAATCACACCAACTCACCAGCAGCAGCACACAGGTATAAATCTTTCAGTACTAGAACAGATCAAATATTTTGTCGTATCATGCCAAATGATATATGCATGGTTTAGCCCGCTTATCGCGCAGATGCAGCTTCAAAAGATTGGATGTACACCAAGAAATAATTGTCCATCCAGCTTGACGTAGTGAATTACGAGAAAAGAAAACATCTTCACAAAATCGTTGTTCGCAGGTGAAGCCCATCGCCGCCATTACCAATGCGGTTTCATGGCGACCCGAGGGCATCGTGCACAAGAAGAACGAGATTTTCCTCGATGTGGTCGAAAGGCTGAACCTCCTCGTCTCCGCAAACGGCTCCGTTTTGCGGTCGGAGATTCTCGGCTCCCTGAAGATGAAGTCTTTCCTCTCGGGTATGCCGGAGCTAAAGCTCGGGTTGAACGACAAGCTTCTTTTCGAGCAAACCGGGCGGCAAGTAACCAAGGGCAAATCCGTGGAGATGGAGGACATCAAATTCCACCAGTGCGTCCGCCTAGCGCGGTTCGAGAACGACAGGTATAGTTAGATGGTATGGGCGAAGTTCGTGTGTTGCATCTTCATCAAAAGAAACAAAGGAACATGAACGCGTTGTCGGTTTCTTTTGTCACCGAATTTTTCAAAAAAATTTCTTGGGCAATCAATATCCTCGCAGGACCATATCCTTCATTCCCCCGGACGGCGAGTTTGAGCTGATGAGCTACCGGCTCAACACGCACGTGAAGCCGCTCATCTGGATAGAGTCGGCTATTGACCTCGGCCAGAGCAAGTCACGGATCGAATACATGATAAGAGCGAAGTCGCAGTTCAAGAGCAGGTACTGGTTAGAATTACAGACCAAAACTAAAGCGACCTTGCTGGCGGACAGCTGGTCGTGCTGTTTTCACTGCTTGCTTATTTTTATGCATCGATCAGTGGCCTCCGGCTCCGCCTCGCCCTGCTTTGCATCATGCCATCAATATTCTTTGAACTACGTCGATTTCATTACAAACCTGACCTGCAGGTCCGTCGCGAATAATGTGGAAGTGATAGTTCCAGTACCCAGCGACGTGGACACGCCAAGCTTCATATCCTTTGTAAAAACGTCCCCACCTCCCCGCTGTCAAGTTGGGAAATCTGCAAGACAAATCAACAAGCTTTGGCTGCTACGCATGACAAGTCTGGCCTCCTAGTGTAGTCCTGTTTAGCTAGTTCAGCAGCATCACAGAGCTAGCATATCACTCTGGTCGGAGCATGACAAATTCCGAACCACGACTAGGCAATGCTTCTCATGGGGCTCCGCATGAGAGACATTTTCACCATGCAGATTTGCATGACAAAGACAATTATGGGGTGGGGACGTTTTTACACAGGACACTTCAAAACTTCAATCGGCACGGTGAAATACTGCCCGGACCAAGACTCGATTGTCTGGAGTACTTACTGCAATAAATTTTCACCTCTTCTACCTTTTGTTGTAAAAATTTGTTTTCTGCATGAGCGCGTCCTTGTGAACGAATATTGTTGCTGTTGTTCAGCATGAAAGCGCAAACAAATTACCCTCCTCGCAAACAAAAAACAAGGTATCAAGCAGTTTCAGGGCCAGAAGGACTTTATTATGACCGCGAATTTCGGTCTTCCGTCCATCGGCAGCGACAATCGTGAAGAGTACGCGAAAAAGCCGATCAATGTCAAGTTCGAAATACCCTACTTCACGGTGTCTGGTGTCACCGTCCGGTATTTGAAAATTCTAGAAAAGTCGGGCTATCAAGCCTTACCCTGGGTACGGTACATCACCCAAAACGGCGACTACCAGTTGAGAATGGGGTAAGGGTCTGCTGTCCAACACGACTCGGGTGAGCCAACCGTGACGCAGAAATTATTTCATATACAACACAGATTCACAACATGAACATATTCTGTACCCCCAATATCTCTGCAGTGTACCACTTGACAAAATACGTCAGTGTATCACTCTTAGCTCCCCGCCAACGCGCTTTAAAACCTAAAGCGGTTTGAACTATTTTTTCTACAGCGACAACGGCAACAAACAGCGTTCTGGACGATGAGACCTTTTTGGTTGAGGCATGTCATAAAACTTCGACATGCGATTCAGGCAAAAGATTTCAAAGAAACAAAGCGCATCAAATTTCCTTATTGCCAGGGCAGGGTATCGACACTTCGGTCTCGATTCTCTGACCACGACCAGTAGGTAGACCTTTTTCGGCGACAATCGCTTTGTTCGCTGTTCGTTTTCCTTGTCTCTATCGTACAGTGCACGCGAGCACCTGCACCTGCTGGAAGACGACTCGAAGAAAGAGAAAATTCAACTTTTCAACCGCTCTTTGAGAGGACGACGGCGCTGAGGGCTTTAATGTCTTGAGGTTCGTTATATGGACGGAGTCTTCGTCTTTTTGTCCATTTTCTCTACTGAGTTGGAGCGATTTTGTTGTCATGTCGTTGAGACTAATGGACTCTTCTCGTCGTTTGACCATTCGCAGAAGCCAAAATGAATTTAAGTAAGTACGAAGAAGTAGAGGAAGGTAGGTATAGACTATCTAAAGAATAGGAATAAACACTGCTTGTGCTTGAGCCGAAGATTCATGGCTTTGTCGTGTTGATAGAGCCTGCTACCACAAATAAGAATTGATGTTCTCCACGCCCGGGGAGGATTATTTCATTCCCCGAATTTCTGTGAACTGTTCATCTTATCAAACGAGGACCACATAACCGACTATGCGTCGTACTACTTCTATTCGCGTGCTGCGCAACTACAGTTCGCAGCTCCTCTCAAGGCGAGTGCTACTTCCTCTCCTGGTTTTCTTCTTCCACCACGCGGCAACTCATGTGACCGAGATTTGCGCGCGACAAAAGCTCCTCCGGCGGGAACAGAAGCTGCTCGAGCTAGACCAGGACGAAAAAAAGGACGAGGACGACGATGAGAAAAGTGACAAAGAAAAAGAGAAAACAGAAAATCCAGATAAAAAAGACCTGGAAGAGGAGCAAGATCAAGCGAATGAGAAAGCCTCGAAGCGGAACCCCCTGGAAGAGAAGTCGGAAGAAGGCGATGCGAGTGACGTGCCGGAGGTGCTGGACTACAGCGCCATGGTGGAGCACCTAACTGGATTGGTAGAAGAGGCACTGCCATCAGCACAAGCGGATAAGGAAGAGGGGGAGGAGAAAACGGAAGGGAAAAAAGAGAAGAAAGGTAAGCCAGATAAAGACGATGGTGCAGAGGGGGACGCTGATGAAAAGGATAACGCGGACGACAAGAAAGAAGGAAAGAAATCAAAAAAAGAAAAGCCTTCGGACGAAGCAGCAGACAACCCGCAGTTCGACGGCGAGGACGCAGACGCGGAGAAAAAGGAAGAGAAGCGTGATGACGACGATAAAAAGGAGGACAAGGAACCGAAAGATGAAAAATCCTCCGGCGCCGGTGAGGACGACGGCGATGACAAGAAGGACCAGAAAAAGAATAGTGACGCGCCCGGCGGTGAGACGGACGACGCTGGAGAAAAGGAACAAGGGGATAAAGGCGATGATGGAAAAAAACCGGGCGGTGGAGAAGCGAGTAAAGATGACGCCGACGGTAAAGGCGGCGCAGAGGGAGATGGAGACGAAGCTGACGAGGAGGACCACGACGACGAAAAAGACGCCTTCGCAGCCATACAGCTGCACGGGGACGGAAAGATGAAATTTGACGGCGAAGACGAAAAGGAAAAAAAGAGAAAAACCGACGACGACGATGATGATAGCAGTAAAAAAGACGACGACAAAGACGAGAACGGAGCACTGAGTGATGAAAAGGGTGAGAGTGATAAGGAAAAAGACACACCAGCATCAGGAGGAGGTAAAAAGGATAAGAAAGATTCCGACAAGAAGAATTCCAAGCGCGAACAACCAAAGCCGATCGAGAAAAAAGATCCGTTAACGGCGTTCAAGGAAAGTCTAGAAAAGCCGCCCGTCCTAGGCGAGTCCTATCCTGTGCAAAAGTATCGTACTCGTACTAATTGCAATCATGCATGACAAATCTAATTGCAATCATGCATGACAAATCTCTCGTACTAATGCATTTTGTTGCCCCATTCTCCACTCTATGTCTATGTCTGTGTACCCGCGAGTGGTTTTATCTTTCTCTGAATTTGCGGAAGATGAAGATATGTAGCAAATTTGTAGACCAAGCAGAAGAGAAAGATAAAAAAGAAGTAAGAATGAATAGTCTCAGCCATACTTCAGCGCTTTTCAGTGCCACTTGTAGACCCGGAATATGCTCAAGTGCCAACAGGGCGAGAGCCCTGCAAGATCGGGCGACGTGAGTAAGTGCAGACGGGAAAAACGCCAAAGATACCCGCGCCTTCTGCTTAACTGTGTGAAATATTGTGTCGGCCCGGTTCTGCTCAGACAGGCTGGATCCCGTAGATCAGATTTCACATGTTAAGTAACGCACACCGGCCTCCTAGCAAAAAATTAATGATGAATTTATATGAGAAAGAGGGGCCTAATCAAAAAAAAAAATCATGCATGACAAATCTTGTTTCTTAGCGAAATCAGCATTACAAGTTCCATTTTTTCTTCTGGAAAAATTTGCATTGCGATTTATACTAATACGATACTTTTGCAATGCATAAATCCCGCGTGTACACGATAGACCCCGGGAAGTTCAACGGGTATAATTGCGTCGAGAAGCGCAAGGGGATGGATCCGGTCACGTTCTTGACCACTGAAAAGATAATCGCGTACAAAGAGACGCCGTGTGTGGAGGTATAGTAACAGCTAAATGTTTGCTGCTTCTGTCGTGATGAACTGTAGCACTAGCAAATACGCTATTGTATTCGATTTGTTTTTTGCATTTGCCCCAGAACTTGAAATTCAGATAGTGACTTTTCTTTTTGTGGCAAAAAAATCCAATCACAATAAACCCAGGAATACACTTCCTTCAAGCCGGAAAAGGGTTGGCTTTGGCCGGCGGTCTCCACCTATCTCGCCACCCAGCACTTTCTACCCGGCACCTTTGACAGCAAGGAGCAGCAGGCGGACATTTTGAAAATTCTGAAGTCCTTACCCGTCGAAAAACTGGACGGGATCCGCGCGCCGAAGGTGTACGGCAACGTGCTGTTCGACGGAAAAACGCCACTGGAGTACTTCGACGTTACCCTGGGCGTATGGATTGCGAATATGTCTGGGTCTGGAAGATTGCCAGATTTGTCATGCAGGTTTTCCATGACCCATGAGGTCTGGTATGTAGGACATAGCATGACAGATTCTGTGAGAGTTCTATCCTGCCTATCCTGCATGAGAAACTGCCTCCCGATTAGGTAAAAAGTGGGCGACAGCTTCTGGTAATCAGAATCACGCAACACAGATTTTTACATGGTCCAGATTTAGCATGACAAGTTGCTTTGTTCCAGACCCAGACATTTTTACATTTGATAGGGCGTGGCCATGCGGAAAACGAGCTGGGATGAATTATTGGAACCCACGGAGTATCAACTGCAAAAATGTCTGGGTCTGGAAGATTGCAACTTGTCATGCTGTTTTTGGACTCTAAAAAAATTTGTATTGCATGACCAGCAAGAGGGGTGCGCTTTGTGCTACTTACACGGACAGGGCATTTCTCATGCGGAAGGTGCATCAGGGAGCCCTCTAAAAGTCTGCGATGCTAGGTCATGCATTACAGGCGTCACGGGTCATGAGAAATATGCATGACAAATCTTCTTGCATTCTTCCAGACCCAGACATTTTTGCACTTGATACGGAGGGGGAAGACCCACAGTTGGGCGGCCAGCTAAAGGCGGAGGTGGAGCGGCAGGACAAAAAGTACTATTTGACTTGTTCATTTTTGTGTACATGATGTAGTAGTTTTTTCGCTTCCTCCTATAGTAATGCTAATGCCTTAGTCCAGCAAACGAAAATCTAAATCAACAACATGAAACACCACCAGCTACGCCCTCCTGAACGACGTGCCGGAAGAAAGTGCAGACCAGGAAGAGCCGACGCCTGACAAGGGGCTGTCCGCGAAAGCAGAGGCGAAGGAGGAGAAGAAGGAGGAGGGCGAGAAAAAGCCATCCGAGGAAGAGGACGAGACACTATACGTATAAGAAAAGTTTGTTGCTTGTCATGCTGAACAGGTGGTTGTACTGTATCGAATGAAGTTGCAGGCAGCTGCGCATGCACTTTGATTGTGAGAAACGAGCTCGAAAAATTTCGTTGCGAACACGAGTGACTTATTCATGCCCTGTTCGGTAAAACAAAAACCGAAAAACTACAGTACGGCATCGGTTTCGGCTGTGTCCTCATCATTATTGGCATCGGCGGCGCGCTAGCGCAACAGAAGACGGAAGAGAAGGTTCCGCAGCCTGACATTGAACAGCCAGAGGACAAGAATGAAGAGGAAATTAACGATATCACAGGAAAAAGTGTTAACGTTGACGGAATTTGTGACGCAGCAATGCATCACAAAACGTGTAAGAATTTGTCATGCATAGCATGCATATTGGGCTACGTTTGTGATGCATGACTGCGATCTGTGAAAACCGCTAACGTTAACACTTTTTCTTGTGATAAACGAAGAGGATCTGAAGGCTGACCACCAGGCGCTAGACAAGGAATTACCGCCGCAGACCCGGGACGAATTGATGAAGCGGGTGAACGACGAAATGAACGATAATTTGCACAAAGCTGCTGCGGTAGACGACGCAGATGCTAACGCTGCTGCGGCTGCTGTTCCCCCGCCAGCCCAGCCACCTTCCTCCATCACAGAAGAGCTACCCAAATTGACTCCCTTGCCGAAGCTGAAAGCGCCTGCGAGGCGACAAAGCACCAGTCAGAATAAAGACGTAAGGGGGGCTGCTGCACCTACTACTGCGTCAGGAGCAGCCTCGCTACAACAAACCGCGAGCAAGTCGAAGCCGGCTGCGGTACCGACAGCACAAACGAAAGCAGGCAGCGGCAGCGCCGGGCCAGCTTCGCCCAGTTCCCCAGCTTTGGCGTCAAAAGGCGCGTCGCCCGGACTGGCTTCGAAGGCTGGGTCCAAGGCGGGTTCGATGGCGGCGCCAGCGAGTTCACCGGGACAGTCTTCCCCGGCGGGGAAAGCGACTTCGCCGGGGAGCTCGAGAAGAGCATGAGGGCGTCTCGTTTAGAAGTTCTTTCAGTTGTGAGTTGATATGCTCTTGTAGTACCCTGAACTGCGAAATGTATCAAAGCCGGCTAAGTATTGTACAAGGAAAATGTTAAGCGCAAGCCAAATTTTACTGAACTTTTGCAAATCAAATTTTAATAATTGATGACTCATTTTTATGTTGACAATTGTGACTTGACACCTGTATGATCTTCGCTCTCCAGAGTGGAAAAGAAAATTTATTCCGAGAAGAACTCTTGATGAACTTTTGCACCACTAGGTGGTCTAGGACCTCTAATTGATGAAAAAACCTTGTACCAAAGAGAAAATCACGTGCGGCTCGAAGTTTGCATTTTCAGCAAGGTCATGAAAAATTCCTCCTGGACCGGCCTGAAGCGAAAAGTTTTAAGTAATACTGTGACGCGATCGCGAGGTTTTGTTTGCTTCTACATACAGAAACAATAAAACCATACTACGGCAAGTGCAAGATTGGTAAATGAAGCATACAGATAAAGAAGCCTGGTGACCAACACACAGAAGTAGATCAGTGTCTACAAATAGTCGGAGTCCCTACAAGAGTTTCATTTTGAAGGTCGAAGCAAATCTAAAGCAAACAAGCCTTCTCGAAAAAGAATCTAAAAATCATAATGTCGCCCCCAACCGCGTCCTCCTCTTCCTCCTCGCGGATTCAGTTTCACCACTTTCCCGAAATCGACAGCACGCACACCTTCGTCGAGCGGACCTATGGCTCGTTCGACCCGAGCATCCTTACCTGCGTGTCTGCGGACTACCATATTGTGAGGAAAAATCCCCCCTCCCCATGTCAAAACGGCATTTCTGATGCTGGATTTGTGTACACAAATCAGCTTTGTATTGCAGAGAGACATTGCGGCCAGATCCCCAGGCTAGGTAGGGGCGAATGGGTCTAGTTGTTCAGCATGGCAAACGGCTGCCCATTAGGCCCAACAGCATGACAAACCGCTTCCATAATGGGGCGGAAGCTTCTGCCCTTCTCTCCTTGCAAGACAGACGGGATTTGTGGCCTCAAATCAGCAAGACAAATTTTCGAAAGCATACCTTTTCAATATGGGGAGGGGGAGTTTTTCCTTACGATATACCAGACCGCGGGGAGAGGGACGAACAAACGCGTGTGGTCCGCGCCGAAGGGAAAAAATCTGCTCACGACGTTTTACTTCACCCTGCCGGACCGGTGTAAGGCGCAGGCGGCGTCGTTTTTGCAGGTACAGGTTTCTTTGTTGTTCAGCATCGATCTCTTGGTCGAAGCCGGTTCCTTGATCGTGCATTTCATGTTTACGAAGTAGGCCACTCTACTGCACAAAACTTCAACTTGACCATACGTGAAGATGTTTTTGACGAGGCTTGTTGTACTTCGTTCACAAAATAACTGCACGGAAAAAAACTAGGTCGCCGCCGTCTCTTTTCTCGACACGGTTCGGAGAAAAGCCTGTCGCGGCGTGGACATCAGCCGCTTGCAGTTTCGACTGAAGTGGCCGAATGACGTCATGTGCAACGAGAAGAAAATGGGCGGGATTCTATCCCGCATGGTCGCGGATCCAGTCCGACACAGCTCGAGTTCACGGGACGTCAGCAGATTGATCCAGGGGACGAAGCCATCAGCGGGAGGTGGTATGCCAGTGGTTTTATCTTCCAGTAGTAGCACCAGCGCCGTGAACAACGCGACATCCAATACCTCCGCCGTTGAACTCTCCCCCATAATCGGCACAAACGTAAACACGTCTTTCGTGCAGTCCCCGAACAAAGCCGAACACTCCGTCGTCCTCGCAGATTTGACCCCTCCGAGTCTGACGCACGCCGCGGCGGCGACGGCAGGGAGCAGTGTGGGCGGCGCAGTTGATGGTGTCCACCAGCTGAGCTCCCCGACGTTTGCGGAGAAATTAAGTAAGGAGATCCCCGGGACGCAGTCCTATTCCCTTCCGATCGAGAATTACACAAGGGATTTCTACTACAGCGGAAGCAGCAGCAGTGAGAGTGGTACTATCGAAAGCAAGAAAGAGAAGCGGATCGGGATGATACTGTCCCTCGGGTTGAACGTGAATTTGACGCAAGACGACTTAGATTTGGTCATCGCCAGCAACAACGGGATCAAAAATTTCGCCTGGCCGCCGACCAGCTTGCGGCAAGAGATCGGGAACCCCGTGCTGCAGTTTGAAGTCGACCGAGTCAAGGAGTTAATCGCTTTCGACCTGTACGATATCATCCTCAAATTCGAGCAAGTCGGGTACCTGCAGTTTCTGCGCGCGATCAACGACAATTTGCTGTACGAAAACGAGAAAATCGTGTTTGCCCCGCGGGGCCGGGAGCACACCGACCGGGTGGAGGGGATCTTCCGCGGGCTGGACGACGAGGGGTGGCTAATTTTGGAGTCCCTAGTCACCGGCGGGACGGAAAAATACTGCAGTGGCGAGCTGTGTCCACCGGTGAAAGTCAGGTGAGGGCCGAAGGTTTTGCTGTGTCACTGAAGAGCACGGGGGTGAATTACTCATGTACCGGCCGTGACACGTAGTACGAGACGACCACGACACTGGAATTGTAATCTAAGAAGCGACAAGAAAGACAACAAACTACGAGCAAAATGAAGACTATGAAAAGAACCAACACCGGCGTCCATCTACAATGCGATGGCACTTTCCTTCCACCTTTGGGTAATCGTTACTGTTCGTGTCTATGCCTTGCTTCCGATCGTTGCAAATGAAAGTGTGTGATCTTCAAACGCGCAACCAATTTTTGCTCGAGTTACTGATTTTGTATGGAGAAGGAAGTAATTTTTGCAAAACGGGATCCATGTTTTCCTTTCCCTCCACTCTTTCTTTTAAACTCGCTTTAACAGTAATGCAAAACTGCGAGCAGTTGAATGCGAACTCAATCACGCGACCCCTTGTCATTTCATCTACCAGGACCACATTTTAATTTTATTCTCCACAACAACATTATTCGAGCCCCACCAACCTAACGAGATCACACCCCGAGACCTCGACCAACAACAGAAAGAACCCCGCAACAAAGTAGAACCCTAAATAACAAACTTTCTGCGAATACCAGTACTATGAAGCATATGGCGATGATCCGCAAAGGGCCTAGTTTTTTGTGAGTAAGGTCGTATTACAACAGTTTTTTTCATGAAGTTGTAACAAGTTGAAACTTCATATAGACACCGCACGACCGCGACTCCCAACACACCATGTCGTACGGGTGGCTGACCGAGGCGGCAATCCTTCCGAAGGACAAGCCGGAGATCATTGAGTCGCAAAACAAGTCCGCGCTGAACGACTTCAAAAAGCTGGTGAATGCCCGGAAGGAGGAGGAGCAGCTGACCACCGACCGGGCGCCGAAAACCAAACGGCAGCGGATTCTGGAGAAAAACGGGATCGACCCGGAGGACGAGGGGGCGGACGGGGGTTTCGATCCGAATCTAAAGAAATCGTTTAAGGAGACGGAAGAGGAACGGGAGAAAAGGATTGCGAAAGAAAAAGCAAAACAGGCAAAGAAAAATGCGGGAGAGGAGAAAAAAACCGCATCCGGAGGTTTAGGAGCGTCCACGGCGGAGCAGGACAAGCTTCGGAAGCAGAAACTGGCGGAGAAAGCGGCGTACTACGAGCGGTTGCGGCGACAGGGCACGGAAATGGAGCACGAGGAGGCGTTGCTGGCGCCGAAGAAGGAGGAGGAGAAAGCTGTATTAACAGAGGAGAAAAACGACATTGATGACAAGGACGCCGCTTTCGAGGAATCCAATTTGGTTGCGCAGTTGGAGTTCGACGAGAGTTTCAACGAGTTGCAGCAGTTTTTGGACGGCAGTGACGGAAGACCTCCGGGAAATAAAGGAGGACAACAACCTCCAACTGGTACTGCTTCTACTGCGTCAAGTTCCTTTGGTGCTGGAAAAGGTAGTTCTTTCAAGGGCAACGCGAAGAATAATCCTAACATGGTCCCACTTGGAGGTGCTCCCAGCCAGACGTTATCCCGCCCCTCCCCGAGTAGTTCCTTCTCCTCCTCCGCATTGCCGAAAGCGGCCGGCCACGGGATGTTTTCGAAAGCCGCGCCGATGCGAAAACCTCCAGATAGCCAGATGTGGTCGATGCCCGAACTACAGCAGCAAAATAATGATCTGCCACCTGTGAACCCGATGCTGCAGCTCCAAATGGACAACATGCTCCCCTCCGGTCTTCCCCAGCTCCCCGAAGTCCCGCAGATCCGGCCGGGGATGAGCGATCTGGAAAGGCAACAGTTAATGGTGCAGCAGCAACTCCTGATGGTGCAGCAGCAGCAGGAATTGTTAAAACTCTCGCAAGCGACCGGAATCCCCGTCCCCGCTTTCCCCCAGATGCCAGCACCGCAGATCAGCAATGGAATCGTGCTAGGGAACGTCGCGACGGTGTTTGCGAGTAAAGGCACCGGGAAGAAGGGCAAGAAGGGAACAAAGGGGGAACAAATTATGCCCGCAGAGGAGTTAGAGGAACTGGCGAAGCAAGTCGTGCGGCATTCCGATGAAGACGCGGGGCCGCAGCCGACGGCCAGTCACGCCGTGCAGACGGTGCCGGGAGTGGGGTTCGTGTTAACGGCGGATGTGGAAGCAGATGCGGAGAAAGTGATGGGCGCGAAGGCGAGATTCGCGAAGAAGGCGGCGCAGAAGGAAAGTGGCTGAGTTTTTGTGAATGTCCGGCTGGCGGAGCCAGAGGCAGACACAACACAGGCTCTACGCGGCAGCACTTTCTTTGGAGAAGATGAATCTCTTTGCGATAAAGAATTTTGGGTCTGTGAGCAGTAAGTATCCAACAATTGAAACGACGGCAGCACTGAGGTCATTCATTATCTATGAGATGAGACTGAAAAACGACTGAAAAGCGAGAGAGTAAAGTCATTTGCTACTCATTCAATGTTGTTTGTTGTGTTTAAGAGAAGCAAAAGCACGATTTTGATTTCCAAGTGGCAGGGGGCTGTGACTTCTTTGTGGTACACCGGAACACATTTTGTTCGCTGAGAGGCTGCTTCCAAAGTGGTCGCTTTATCGGTCGAAGGTGTTGTGAAGTTCATAGGTTTTTCGATCTAAAGTTTTGATTGTAGGTCAGTACCTGCAAACGTCGATTGGAAAATACGGGGCAAAACGCAGAAAAACGCATGACAGGCCCTCTCCCGGAAAAGTAAGCGCTTCTTCTGAAACTGATCTTTTCCCCCGAGAAAGATCTTTCTCGACCATTTCTTTAGTGCTGTGTTACTTGTAACGCTATTCGCCGCGGCCGGTTACGGTTTGGTGCCATTTTTGTTACCTTTTCATCAGGCACTGTCATTCGGGTGAGGACAAATAGGGCCGGCAGAGGAGCAATTTTTGAGGGAAAATTGACTGTACCCCGAATAGAACAACCTGTATTCTATCACCTTCGTCAAGATTGTCACTTCTGTAGCTGCCTCGCAGCAGGAAGTGAGCCCGGCTTTTCCTCCCCCAACTAGTTTTTCACACCAGTAAAAATTTGATGATGTTGTACACAAGAACGTTGCCCCTAATCGAAGAAGCTTAAGCTTTCCCCCCCCCCAAAGCCAAACAATTCAAGCACAAAATGTCGTACTCGCTCTCCTTCAAGACCAAGGAGGGCGAGAGCTTCACGCTCGATGTGGAGAGCTCCGCCGAAAAGATAGAGGATTTGAAGGTGCGGCTGATCTCGATGGACGAAAGCTTCGAAGAGTGCACGCTGCTGTTTAAAGGCAAGATCTGCAAGGACGACAAAACGCTGGAAGACTGCGGCATGGTATCGGGCGCTGCGGGCAACGTGGTCGTCATGCGGAAAAAGGGGAAAGTGCCAGCCAGCAAAGCCGCGGAGCAAGCTGCAACAGCGGCGAGTGCTGCCGTAGTGCCGCCAGGAACAGCACCCGCAGGTGGAGCTTCCGCAGCGCCACCCGCAGGGGGACCCTCCGCACCACCACAGGCTCCTGCGGCGGAGAAGGTCACAATAGACCCGGCGGTGGTAGAGACGATAATGGCGATGGGGATCTGCGCCGATCGGGCGTACGTCGAGCAGATGCTGCAGAAGACTAAGGGAAATGCGGATCTCGCGATGGCGTGGATTCTGGAGCCGGAGCAAATGCTGCAAGAGGAACAGCAGCACAGACAAGCGCGCCGGCAGGCACGCGCGCAGCAGCAACAACAGAGCGTGAGCGTGCAGCCCATGCGGGTCGGGGTGGAGAAGTGGAGCGACATGATTCAGGACGGGGTTCTGGTACATGACACTTAGGGAGTTTTTTAAGCTGAAAAGTCGAATGTTTGTGATGCATTGGATTCTGACGTAGGTGCAGAAGCGAAGCAGGCATGAAAAGCAAGTGGAAGATTTATGCAACAGAGGACGACGTCGATTTACAACAACAGATAAACGGCGCCACCTCCGTCCAAGACGCAGCAGCGTATTTGGATAACAACAGCAAAGAATGCATTCTCCTGCTCCTGGGCGGCGCGACGGAAAGGAATAGTCGCGGCATGGTGCAGCACCTGCAGATGATCTACGCCATGGCCGAGCCACAGCTGTGCATCCTGTACGTGCCCTTCATGGATCAGGATGAAGCGAAGTTTGGCGATTTCATCCGAGTATAGAAGTTGCCTCTAAATGGTGTCGTGATTTTGCCAGTTCCAGGCACAGTTAAGTGTGAAAAAGCACAGCTTTTGAAAAATATAGACTTTCGTTCTCGTTGCATGATGATGGCGTGCGTGGTACTAGATAGCACCAGCGTCGAACCTCGCGCCAAAGGCCGCGTGCACACAAAATACACAAACAAAACAGACCATGCCGTGGGGCTCTCTCAAATTCAACTCGCCGTCGATGAAGCTTTTAGACGCGCGCTTCTCCCTTCGCTACAGCCACGGTTCCGTTTTGATCCAGAAATCCACCGGGCACGTCCTGTCCTACGGTGCGGTCAATGACATGCTGCTGCACAACTTTGACTACAACACGGCAAAACAGCACTGGCTCGCCAGGGGGCACATCGTCAGGCCAGCGCCGTTCACGAAAGAGAATCCAACGGGGAAGGGCACTGGCGCGGTCTCGTCAACGGGCGCGGGGGCAGGCGGAGGTACTTACTTGCGGACTGTCTTTTGATACGTGTGATGAGGATGTCGTGAGAACAAGCTGGGATTTTCTTGCATAATCGGACTCTCGTCATTGAAAACTCTAGTATTGAGGGTCGTATGAATCTCCGCTAACTTCTACAGGCCAACCCGCGGTCGCGCCCCCGGTTGTTCCGCAGCCCGTCGCGGCACCACAGGCTGCCGTGGCCGCCGCGGCGAAACCTACCCCCGCGACGTCATCTTCCGGTCCCGCTGCAACCGCGGTTTTACCGGGTGGGAATCCCGCACTGGAGTTGGTAAAAGTCCAGGACGCGGTCAACGAATTCTGCGAAGTCGGAGACTATACGCAGCAAGAAGAATTCTTCGCAACACTCTTGAAAGTGCTAAACAACATCGCCGCTACGCCAACCGAGCAGAAGTTCCAGGCGATAAAAAACACGAACGCGAAGCTGTTCGGACCGTTTGTGGCGAGAGTAGAGGATCCGAATGCGATGGTGGATGTAAATCCAGCGCCGGTTGGAGGTAAGGTTTTGGATTTTACAAGGGTGTTTCTCAGATTGTGGTTTCTTTGCATGACAGATAGTTGTAGAGCAAAAGTTCCTACAGCTCGCCGCAATAATTTAAAGATTCCGCGACGGACCAAAAAATATGCATATGGTCGCCGGACCAGGTCCAGGATCTCCGATTCTCAATTTCCGCTTTTGACAACTAACAGACCGCCCCGGAATCGCGGTGCTATCCATCGCGCACTTCGCGCCCGATGGCGACTTCGTGCGCTGGAACGCCAGTGCGCCGAATGCGCTCCCGGATTTGATCGCGTTGCGAAACCATTTGGTCACCATCGCGAAGAAATCTAGTGAGCGGAAATTTAGATTCGAGCGGGACCAAAAGATCGCGGTCGAGATGGAAAAGGACAAAGGGAGACAAACGAAATATGGCGGAGCGGAAGGCAGCGGAAAGATGACCCTTGGGCAGGACAGGAGGAAGCGCGGTGGCGGCTGAGGCTAGGCACACGGTCGCTACTTTTCAACTTGGAGCGAACGTGTGCTTTTGAAACAGATGTAGAACTTTTTTAGCTGATCAGATTGATTCTGAGATCAGCGGCTGAACTACGCAAAAGTGCTGAGTGTTTGAGATCGTCGTGTAGCGCCAGTCCACCTCCGTCGTTTTGTTGGGGGCTGAGCGACGTTGTGCTGCACAAGAACCGAGAGAGAGTCTTTCTATCAGGGCTTTTAAAGCTTTTGATGTTCTTCTCGTGACGAAGTGGAAGATGAGTTCCTCTTTTGTGAGGCCTCTTTCGCTTCTGATTTAGAATCACTGGATAGAAGGATGTAATTACTACGGTCTTCTTTTTTTAGGTTTCTGATTCATTATCGCTGAAAATCCAATATCTCGCTGAAAATCCAATATGCTAAAGAAGCGACAAACTCAAAATCTCCAATCCAAATCGAAAACTTGCTTTCCTGCAGGTGGGTCGGGAAGAATTAAGTTCGAGTATCTGAGTGCGCGTCGCATTCAAGGCGAAATCTAAACTCTCGACTTTGTCTGTGTTTGTCCTAACCTGTCGGTCTCTTTCTAAATCGTGACTTCCTGCCGGTGACGAGCAAAGCTGTGAAAAGACATGATCCTACACTCCAAAATCGTGCCAAACTATTCGTTCCTGAAATGCCCAATAGACCGATCGCACGCTATAGATTATGGTCAAGATTTAGATCTGGAATAGCTGTTCCCTGACATGACATCGAGGACTGGATCCAAATTGATCGTGCCCTTCAGTGGTGATGATCTCAGATTTCCACCGATCTAAAGAATCGTGATGAGTGATCTGTAAAAGATTAGTGGCCGTGGATTAGATCAAAGTCAAATGCTAGCCTAGATGGAAGCTGTGCCACACTGGAAAAGATGAACGAAGCCAACTGCGAAAAGCATATCATGATCATCTGAAAAGGGATTTTCATCAACTTTTTCTCTTTTATCTCACAGGGACAGTAGTGGTAGGACACACTTACTAGGACCACTTCCTCGAAACCAAAAATGGTGAAATCCACCCCGACCCGGCTCTACCAGAAGGGCGTCATCACGTCCTACAAGCGGGCCCGCAAGGACCTCACCCCTCGTCAGTGCCTGGTCAAGATCGAAGGTAAAAGAAAGAAGACTTATGTCAAAGTGCAATTTTCGCATGACAGCATCTACTTCGCTTATTTCATGAAATCTAAATTCCGCATGACGAAAGTTTTTGATACCAATGTGAATTTTCCCCAACACAAACAAAACACTCAGGTGTCAACACCCAAGAGCAGACCAACTTTTACAAGGGAAAAAAGGTGGCTTTCGTCTACAAGTGCAAGAAGGAGAAGAAGAACTCCAAGTTCCGGTATTGATAGATTTAGATTTTGATTTTTTCGCATTACAGGTGTCTTTTCTCAAGTTCAGCATGCATGGAAATAAGTCGGTTTCTCACTGTCAAATTGTCATGCGAAGGAACGAGAGAAGTTTGATTTGGTATTTATTCAAAAACCACACGATCATCTCGAAAAAACAAAACAGCGTCATCTGGGGCAAGGTTCGCCGCGCTCACGGACACAACGGTATGGTGCGTGCTGCTTTCTCCACCAACTTGCCGTGCACCGCTTTCGGCGCCCCGTGCCGCATCATGATGTACCCCTCCAACATCTAAATGGTTCGGGAGTCCAAGGATGCGAACTTGTGATCCGGGATTTTTTCTGCATCACAAACGGAACAATTTCACATGCGAGAACGTACTAGAAAAATGCGGAGAAATGCTCTCGAATGACGATGTGTGAACAGAAGGAGAAGTCCTAGTGTCTGTGGTGTCTATGTGGTCCTACTCTGTAAAAGCGAAGAAGTGCAACTTTTGGAGTTGCTGTGCGTCGACGGGAGCGTATGACTAAAGAGATTGCGCTAATATTGTTCATTGTGCGACATGTCAGCCTGTGAAGACGTTGATTTCCGAGAGTTTGTTTTCGGTTCACCTTTTGGTTAATATCGGTTTTGGCTCGTTTTGGAGCTTTCACGCACAGATATGATGCATACCGGACCGTCCGCTTGTCACGCACAAACGTATTTTTTGAAACGAGATCAGTTTTTTGCTTTTGCGGATCAAATGTATTTACTTAATCTAGTCACCGCCGTATCGGAAATTTTTCGGCGGATAAGCCAATGGATATTATCGGTCGTGCGTCTTCTTCACTTTCTGATTTTGCATGCAGGCGCCAGAAGTTGGAGCCTTGCGGCAATAGGCGCGAAACCTGCTGCGTCATTGCCTGCGGCTGGTTTGTGTTTTTTTGAGAAAACTTTCTTCACCGGTAGTTCGCGTCTGAGTGAAAACATACAAAAAAGAAGATGGAGGCAGCCCTGAGTGCTTTGACTTCCACCGGCGCTACTAGCAGCTCGTCGTCGTCAGTGTCGCGGAAGATTGACGTGCAAAAATCTAGAAATGCGGCTGCTCATCCACGCAATTCCACCCACGGTCCAGCAGCACTGCTGCGGAAAAGCTGGGAAGTGCGAGGTCTTCAGGAGCGAGCGAGGAGATATAACTTTCGGTCTACATTCTCTCCCGCAAAGCGCATCGCTCGACTTTTTGGGACAATACTAGCACCTCGGACCGCAAAACAAGCGCAAACACAACTCGAGCCGGTCTCTGCGCCAGCCTCTATCGCGCGGAAGACACGTAATCGTAGGAAGCGTCGAGTACGAAAGAAGATTATGAGTGACACGAGTAACAGAAGAATTATCAGGAGTCTCACAGCTGCTGCCACATTTTGTATCTTCACGATTCTCAATACGACCCATCCAACTCTCGCTGGCGACTACGATGTGTCTGCGTGGACAAACTGGCCCGCACTTGCCGGTCTTCGCTGCGAAGAAATGGTTGATTTTTACCCGGTTGGCGCAGAAGGTATGGATTGGCACGATGATATCGGTAGGGACGCGGTCAGACTCTGCGCCCATGTCGAGGAATGCGCGGGGATTATGCAGTACGTAGGGGAGCAAGAAACCGGGACGTTTTTCTGGAAGGGTAGGCCGCAATTCTGCAAAGCGGGCGACGGAGAGGGAAACAAGTTCCCGATTGTAAAGAAAAACCACGACTGGGTGACAATCTACAAACCGGAGTACCTCTTCCGCGGCTGCCCCGAAAAGTACCCGACGTGCAAAATCGGCGCGGATCCGTGGCTGTTGGGCGGTGGGGAGCAAGAGCTTGCAGCTGCAACCGGTGCTGAAAGGAAAGCTGCGTCAGCAGCCGCTCCTGGTCCATCTAGCACACAGCTGGATCCGACCGCAAACTATGACTACGTCTTCACGTCGTCCCTCGACATGCCGTTTTTCGCGAAGAAGGGAAAGTACATCCACCTGGACATGCGGGAGTTCACGGGGAAGGGGCTTGGCGCGTCAGAAGCGAAAGCAGGCTTCATGTCGGTTTTCTTTGACCACTACGATGCGGTATGTCCGGGCGGGATCGACATTCACATGGCGATTGAGGAGATGGGGTTGGACGACGTGTACATAGACGACGGCACGCCGAAGGAGAGGAAGAAGGCTTTCGGGCCGTATCAGTTTACGTTTTTCTGCGGGAACTTCCACAACGAGACGAGCTATCCGCCACAGGCTTTGGTGGATACGTTTGTGCTCGGGAGTTTGCCTCTCGTTCCGTATGAATTGTATCGAGATTTGGCGAAATTCCACTTTCACCTACCGGACGCGGGGCAGGGGGTGAGGCGCCTACGATTGAAGTCCGCCGAGGATTACTTGAGTGACTTGGCGGGGAATCCGAAGAAAGAGGAATTGATGGCTTACAAGCAAACATTTTTACTCGTCATGCAGAACTTGCTTGCCTACCGGTACCGAATAACGGCGCCAGAGCGGATTGCGAACGGGATGTGTCAGTTGTGCAAGATCAAGGAAAACGACAAGGACGGAGGTACAGTGAGTTTCAGGATAAGAGTGGTGATCTCCAAGGAAATTTTCGAGTGATGGGTTTGGAGATAATTTCTGCATGAGAAAGCCGCCTGCGGATGAATGAACGCGTAACACAAATTCAAATCATGACAGACAACATCAAATACGGGTTCGCGATCATGAGCCGGCGCAACCAGAAAGAAGTTCGCGCGGGCGTCCGCCGCACCTGGGCAAGTTGGATCCGCCGGAGTGGGCACTTTTTCGAAAAGTGGACGTCGCTGAAAATGAGCCAGGTAATGAGGAAGAAAATTTGTTTTGCTACCGCCCGCGTCAAAGCAAAAAATTCATTTTGCATGCACCGTAGAAAGGAAAATACTCTCGTCATAAGTATCTATCTTCAGGTTGACTACCGCTTCTTCGTGGGACACCGGGGTCCGGACAATCCAAACGACATTGACGACGAGCCAGATGTGGAAGAAGTTGGGGTTGTCGAGTCCTACCGCACCATCAACGTGAAGGCGCTCTCGATGGTTGCGCGGGCGAACGAGTTGTGGCCGAAACTGACGTTTCTCCTCCGCTGCGACGACGACATTTACTTGCGTGTTTTCCCACTTTTGTACCACTTGGAGCGCCGCACGCCCGTCATGTACTGGTGGGGCAATTTCGACCACGGCAGCAACGTGGTGCGGAATGAAACCCATCCGCACTACAACACCTTCACGCAATTACCGGAACAAGCGCACCCGATGTGGGGCGATGTCTTCCCGTTGTACGCGCGGGGGTCGCTTTGGATCATGAGCAGTGATTTACTCGAAAAGGTGGTCGAGGCGTTTCGGGAGGAGGAAAACGCTTACAAGAAGGGGGGCGACGCAAATTTGGCGGAACTCGCGAGAACCATTCCGCACCCGGACGACCCCATGATGGGGATTTTTGTGGAGAATCTGGTGGATCGAGGGACGAACATCAATGTGGACGATAGAGATTGGAATTTGTTCTCGTTGAACCCCTCGTGTGATGCGAAATTCTCCATGCTGCACGAACGGACCTGGATTATCCACCACGTCAACGCGGAAACCATGGACTGCTTCTTCGACATTGACATGAAGAACTTCACCGCGTTCCCGACCCCGTTTCCGTTACAAAGGGACTTGCCGTCGCTCTGCACCTGCGCGATGAATGTGACGGAGGAAGACAACGGAGACTGGGACGAATTGGAAGATCTGGCGCCCGGGCAGGACCACTGGTACCCGAGGAAAAGATTCAACCCAGAACTAGAATTCGTGGACGAACGGGATCAGGAGGAGGACGTTGCCACGTTGGACGCGCCGTCTTCTAGAAGTAGTGCTGGGAAAAGCACCAGCAGCAGTGGTTCATCTACTGAGGAAGGTCGTGCAAGAACAGATTCAGACAGCCCAACCGCTGCGTCGGAAGAGGATCAAGAATCGTCTGACGGTGCGCCATATCAAGTGTAAAAATGGCTGGGTCTGGAAGAGTGCGCGACTTGTTATGCAGCTTTTCCATGACCCATGAGGTCTGGAATGCAGGACCTAGCGTGACAGATTCTGTGCGATCTCTTTCATGCCTATCCTGCGTGAGAAACTCCCTTGCGACTTGGTCAAAACTGGGCGACTTTTGGCAATCATGCAACACAGATTTTTGCATTCTTCAGATTTAGCATGACAAGTTGCATTCTTCCAGACCCAGACATTTTTACATTTGATACGCCATCCGCTGCGGAATCTTCGGCGGGGTCTGAGGGAGCGGTAGAGGAACCGGTGGCTACTGAAGATGCTATTGGAGTGGGAGAGCCAACTTTGGTGGAGGAAATGTGATGGTGAAGACGTTTCTTCTACCGGCGAGCGGCTTTCCTGAAACCTTTTTTTGGGTCGGAAAATTATGCGTCGAACAGGCAACCATTTAGAATTAGATCCAACATTCATACCTAGTGACAACCAAATGTACTTACTACATCTACAGTCAATTTGAATGAATTTGCAATCGCACGCCTTCGAAAATTTTCTAGTGATTTTCTTGTCGTTGTACTTAAATGGTAAGCTAAGGCATTCAAGAATGCCAATGCCTACCCTGTAGGAGCTTTTCTTTGTCGTAAAACAGTGTGTCTTTGCTGCTTGAAGTTTGGCTTCAAGCACGAGCATGAAGAAGTGAAAAAGTGGGTTTTCTGCTCGGAAGTGCGATTTCTTTGTGTTCAAGGCGTTTGGGTCGAAAATAATAAATCGGTCCTCAGTAGAAGAAGAAGTATTTTCATAATCATCGTTCCTCAAATTAAAAAAAGTCAAGCGGCAAGCGGTTCGAAGTTCCAAACTCTATTTCGTTTCAAGCTTTCAAACGGTCGTCTCGTCTGATGCGTTTTTAGAAATATTATTTGTGTCCTTGCGTTTTGCCTTTGCGTGTACTCTGCCAGAACAAATTTGCAACTTCTACAACAAATCCCTACTCGCGACATCGAAACAGCCTAGAGCTGCGGCACCAGTGTTTTGATGTGCTTCGGTCAACATTTTCCGCTTGCAACAATCAATAAAGAAGCAACCTAACCTTGTCGTGGGAGAAATAGAATTCTCTACCACACGACCATGGTAGACGTGGTCAAAACACCAGCGCAGCTGCCTCTCACCACGCCCGACAGTCCGTCGGTTTCTTCCTCTTCAAGGAAAAGGCGACGAGAAACTCGCGCCACCGCCATGCGCGCTTCCGTCGCAAAAGTTTTCTGCGCGACCGCCGCAGTGGCCTCCAGGGCGCAGCAGAATGGCTGGGGAGCAAGCAAGTAAGTACCTGCTTTTGGAGTTGATGTTGAGGCGAGGAACAAGAAGCATTTTTCCATTTGAATGATTTGCATTTTCTTTTTACCATGCATAGTTGTAGCACCACATCTTCAGGTACGCTCCACCCCGTATAGAAGAGACCATCGTGGATTCACCGATAAGTGTCGAGACGGGCTTCAACTGGGTCGGGAGCAACAAAAACACCATGCTGCTGCACACAACGGCAGATAAGATGTACCGAAGTAGCGACTCAGGCTTTCTGTGGATGGACATAACGAAGGATCTGGATCCAAAGTACGAGATATGTTGCTTTACTACTTTTGTAATCGCGCATTAGAGATAATTGAGAGTTTGTCCTCAATGGGGAATACCTGTGCTACCCATGCGACATTGCCACTATTCGGAAGAAAAACTTCGCAACTTCAGGGCCACCGGTCCGAAGGACACGGCGGGTGTGTCTCACATCGAAATAAGTCCGGCGGACAAGAGCGTCGTTCTCGCGGTGGGCACGGACAAGACGCACTACATAAGCGAGAACGCGGGCGTGTCCTGGCGAAAAATAGTGTCGAAAAACAAAATCAAAATGATGGCGTTCCACCCCACGAGACGGAATTGGCTACTTGTCACCAGTTGGACCACGGAGTGCGACAAAGTGTCAAAAAAGGAGAGCGGGTTAGGAGACAACACATGCACACACATGGCCTGGGTCACCAAGGACCTAGGCTACTCTTTTACGCTCATTGACACGTATAATTGGTTGTAGCTATGCTTGATGTTGCTAGATGGAAATTTTTTGCCCGTGGTCATTCATACTGTCGAACAAGGAAAGAGATTCTTTTTCTACTGCTTCGGCTTGTTTCTCTTCGGCACACTATGACTATCGCCTTCATCTAATAAAAACAGTTACATCGTCCAAGTGTCCTGGGGTACTGAAGCGCATCAACAGCAGGACTCCGTCTATTTCACGCACTATAACAAAAAGTCCGGGAACCAGCCCAACACGCCGCACTTCACGCACCCAATAGAATTTTCCGTGACGCACAACCAGGGCAAAACGTCGACGACGCTGCTGGAGAAGGGGAACAGATTCATGATCAGCGACAAGTACATCTTTTGCGCGACCATGAGACAGCAGGACGACTTGACAAATTTGGCGTTGATGGTCAGCAACGACGGAGGAAGCACCTTCCAGCCCGCACAGATCCCGGAGAAACTAGAGCAGAAGGGCTACACCATCGTGGACACCAGTGAGGGGGTATAGAAATTCTGATTCTAGTGGATGTTGTGGCTTGATGTTGATCTAACGTGCCAACAATGTAGTTCAACCGCGACCTAGTACGTGTGCGAATACTTTATCCTGTCCAGCATGAGAGAGTAGGTCAATTGTTCACGAGAAACTTCTCTGTCAAACAGGAAGTCATGCTCGAAGTGAGACACGGGAGCGCCAGACACGGCAACGTCTACGTCTCCGATGAACCAGGTGTGCGGTACACGAGGGCGCTGTGGCAGGCGGAAGAAAACTCCGTCTCGAAAGTAGCCGGGATCGACGGGGTATTTGCGAGTCTGTAAAACTTTGTTTTTGCTCCTGATGCGGCCCAATAGCGAATGGTGACCCGACTCGTCAATCGGGATGCATCGACCCAAGTGGTTTGACTGTGATGTAGGTGAAAAACAAAATTTCCTCCAGATCTACATGGCCAACGTCCGCATGGACGCCTCTGCGGCCGTCGGGGACCACGCGCATGGCACGAGACACGAACTCGCGGAGGAGGATATGGAGGAAAACGCGGCGGCACCAAAAAAAGCTGCAAAGCCCGGCAAGAAGGAAGACGTGATAAGGACTGTGATTAGTTTTGACAAGGGCGGGTTTTGGGAGCAGATACAAGGTAACTTTTATTCTGTCTTTTTTGGATGACGAAGCTAATCCTAATTTCGACCTGCGTGAAGATTGTTACTATGAAGCAATAGTAGAAACAGAACCAAGAATTTGTCTTTTTCTCAAGGTCCCCGTTTGGATTCCCTCGGCCAACCGATCACGGACTGCGCAGATTCACAAAACTGCTACTTGCACCTTCACGACATGATGAGCTACCGGACTTTCCCCGGATTCTACTCCCTCGACAACGCAGTCGGGATCATCATAGCAACAGGCAACATGGGCGATAGCATGCGATGGGAGACCGATTTGACCCATACGTATCTAAGCAAGGACGCCGGCGTTACGTGGTCAGAGGTAAGTACAAGTAGTGGTTTTTGATGTTACAGCGTTTATCCGAAGTGAAGCAGCTGAAGCAATTTGCTGTTTCGATCTGTCAAACAGCAGGAAGTCTTGTTGCCAACAACAAGAAAATCAAAAAATATCTATCACCTTCACAGATTCATCGCAAGCCGATGATTTACGAAATTGGCGACCACGGTGGGATTTTAGTGATGGCATCCAACAACGAGGCAACGAATGAAGTGCTTTACAGCTGGAACGAGGGCGAGAAATGGCAGACGTTGCAGATGGACCAACAGGGCAGAAAATTCAACGTGGACAACATTATCATTGAGCCCGGCGCGACTTCCGTCGTCTTCATCGTGCACGGAACCCGGGGTGGGAAAGGTATCGTCGCAATTGCTAGTGTGTGTGATCTGCATGACAGCCTATTGCGCAGCCGCGCTTTGTATAAGATTCTGGTTCTCATCCGCCTGCGCGAGGGATTCGTAGTAAGTCCAAATCAAACTAAGTACTTCTGTTATCGCCCTAACACCAGGCGTTCTCTACCACCTCGACTTTTCCGTCATGGGCATCCCGATGTGCAACGAAGTCTGGTCCCCGGGCTCCGTGGCCTCCGATTACGTCCTCTGGTCGCCAACCGACACGAAAAACTCCGACCAGTGTCTGATGGGGAAGCAAGTCACCTACACGAGGAGAAAACCCACCGCGGAGTGCTTCAACGGGGAGCAGTTTGAGCGCCCGGTGCAAAAGAAGAACTGCCAGTGCACACAGGAAGACTACATGTGCGAGCTGGGGTTCACCCGGGAGGTCGGGGCCATGGAGTGCACCCAGGTGGTGGTAGAAGCGGACTCCACGGAGGAGGAGGTAATACCCGAGGAGTGCAAGGACGGGTCACTCTACTACACACCAGCGGCGTATCGGAAAGTGCCGGGGGACGTATACAGGATTTTTTATTTGATGATCAACGAGCGAATTAGGTCCACATGAGAAATGCGTTTGCTGTTCATGCATGCTTGCGCACCATCAGTAGAAGTTCAAGTTTCATTTCTTTCCACGACATCGTCATGCTCGTCATAAAGCCTCGATCATCCTCGACTACATTACCCACAGGCCTGCGAGGGCGGGTGGATGGCGCAGAACCCGACCATAGGCTGTCCGGCGAATTCTGCGGTGCATCACTTAGGCAGACTGGTTCTCCTCCTTTTCATCGTCGGCGCGGTCTATTTCGGGTACAAAAACGCGGACACCGTGAACTTCTTTGCGAAGAAGGGAATAGAGAGGTTCAACCAAGTGAAATACCAGAAACTCGGGCCGAACGCGGGGGACTTGGAGCACCAGGGCATCGATCACGCACTGGATACCTTTGTCGACCGGGACGACTTTTTGCACTCCACCACCTACGACGAAGACGCGCCGGCGGTGTTCGAGCTGGAGGAGGAGGCGCCGAAGATGGTCCGCGGGCAGGCGGATTCGCTGACGACACCCATTCCAGCGCTGTTTGCGCCCAGAAGTAGTGCGTCGGAGCAGGTGCAAACGTTCGGAACCATGGACGATCTGTTGTAGGCTGCCGGCGGCGGTAGCGGCGAGATCATGAAACTGCGGGTTTTTGGTTTTGCGAAGTACTTTACAAATTTTAGGCTTCTCGAAGAAATTAAGCTTAGATCTGAATGTTCCCCTGATTTTCACAAGAAACGTCTGAGGTGACAGCGACTGCCTTGCTGAATGTGCTTTAGAAAGTAATGAATGTGGGAAACGTCGGTGCCTGTGAGTTCAAAGGAACGCAGGCGAGAAAAGACAAGGTTTTGAAACTTTTTTAACTCAGCAAGATCGTCATAAAATACAGAAAATCCTACACACCACATAGGCGTTGTTTTCGTGTTTTTGGTCAACGCTCGGCTTCCAAGCAGGTTGCTCAGTCAAAGGTATTGAGCGCTTCTTTCTAAGAGGCCAGAGCGCTGGATCGGTTTTCGAAAAATGCTTTTGGTTTTGCAATATCAACTCCAGATTCTACTGTATCTTTATTAAGAATTGCTATCGATCTGTGTCACAATGTGGCTTCTATGCGGATTCATTGTTTTGCGATTACTGACATTACGAGAGACTCTTTGTCCCCATTCAAGATGTGGTTTTTCTTGGTTGGCAAATAACTTGATGACGATGACACACCTGATTGTAGGTCTGTGGAGGCGTCATGCCGTGTAAAAACACTTATTTCTTTTGTTCTTGGAAGGGATCGGTTTGTGGGAGGTCTCTTGCTCTTCTGTGTGCGTCTAGATCTGGACCCTTCGAGAGTGGGAGCTGAGCGTGTGTGCTTTCTGCCAATACGTTCGAGTATTGTTGCAAGCCCGAGTGCGACGAGCAGGTCTCACGCAAAACGTGGAGCGTCTGTGTGTGTGTGTCTGTGTGTGTGAGAGCCGAAAAAAAGCCTCCAACTCCACGATCAATGTTCTGCTGGTAGTGCTTGCTTCTGTGGTTTGAACTTGAATAAACTCATGTCGACGGCCGGGTCCGGGACCTTCGCGCGGTCGGTGTTGCTGGCGGCCAGCGTTGTGGGCTACTTGTTTTCCGTAGTGGAGCGGCGCGGTTCCCACTTTGTTCGCCGTCCCCCCTTGAGCACGGGAGACGCGGTTCGTGTTCTCACTTGTTGGAGCAGCCGAGTGGTGTGCAAGCAGCCCAGCGGCGTAAGCTCAAAGTGTGGCTGATAATCCATTTCTGCGGATGTGACGCCGCACGAGCCCGCTGAAGCTGTGCAGGGTTCCGCGCCAAGCTTTTGAAGAGCCGGACCGGCGACGCCGTCCCAGTCCTGGCGCAGTTCGGGCGCCCCCGTCGCGGAGGGGCGGCGCGATCCCGGTCGCCGCCAAGAGGCGGCCCGCCCGGCCCGCGGCCCGCCAACAGCCTGGCAGCGGGGGTGCCGGGGCTGGTCGGCCGCCCACCCTTCCGCCAGCCGTCTCGCCGGCAACTCTTCACGCGCGCGCCGCGGACCTTGGGCCGCGCGCCGGCCCCGCGCGCACCCTGGCGCCCCGCCAGTTCCTCGCGAACGCAGGGCCCACACAGGCGCGCGCGCCAGGGCGCTAGGTTTTGTCGGCCTGCATAGGCTATCGCCCCCCCGGGGCGCGCGGAACGGGCATTACGGCTTTGCTGGGGCCGCTGCGCCTTTTCCAATTGTCAGGAACAGCGACTTGCGACTCTCACTGTCTTCCAATTGTGCGCTTTTCCGTGGTTCTTTTCGCTCTGTTTCAGATCTACCCAAAACCGTTGCCTCGAGTGTGTGAAAGCCGCGAGAAAGTCTTGAAAGGAACATCAACGCTCATTCTGGGGATTGGGAGAGCCGATGCAAAATCAAAGGCAACGTTACCGCCGACCGTCCTTGTTTCTTATGTTGAGAGCTAGAGAGACATTGCCATTGGCATATGGTGAAGGCCGGGGCCCATATTGAGAGCAGTTTGCATGCGGGCAGTGTGTGTGCGTATTGTTCGCAAATTTAAGTACCATGGTAGCGTTTTCTGCTATTTGAGACAAAAAGGGGCGTATGGCTTGCCCCAGGCAGCAGACGAACAAAATGGGCAGCGTCACCGGAGCGCAATCCGGGTACGTAAGTGCCTCTCAAACGGCGCATGGCTCGTTGCGGTGCATGTTCTGCGTTTCTGTATTTCATACCACCATCGGGCGTGCGGCCCCGTGCGGCTCTGCGAGGACCGGGCCGGCGGAGCCATCCCAACCCTGGCGCAGTTCGGGCGCCCACATGGCGAGCAGGCAACGCATTTCCGGGCGCCACGTCTGGCGTCGTAGATCTTCATGGCAGTGCGCTGATGCCTTCGGACAGCCCAAGAGTCTGCCGAGCGACGCCGTTCTCGTCCAAGGGTTCCAGCGTGCCAGCGCGAAAGTTGCAACCTTCTTTGCCTCGGACAATCTTCGCGGCCACCCTTGGCGTAAAGAGGGCCGAGGCGTCGCCTTTGGTGCGGCGCGCCGGCGCGGTGCTGCGTGTTCTGTTCTGTGAGCCCGACGAGGGGGGCCAACGGGTTCCCGCCTGCCATCCGTCTCGCCGGCAGTTTTTTGCGCGGGCGCGCGCCGCAGAATGTGGGCCGCGCGCCCGCTGGCCCGTCCCGCGCGCCAGCTTTTCGCGCCCCCCGCTGTTTCTCGCGAAGGGCCCATACAGGCGCGCGCGCCAGGGTGCTAGACTCGATATATTGGCTCGCATATGGATAGGCTATTGCGCCATCCGGGGCGCGCGTAACGAGCACAGCGGCTTTGCTGGCGCGAGCCGCTGCGCCTTTTGCAATTGTTCAGCCACCAATTTGGCCGAGGTTTTCTATGTCGACGGAGCGGGAAGGAGCGCGGCTCCCCGCACGCAGTGCAGTGTTCATTGCCAGGTATGGACCAGGAGCGAGCGCCATTATATCATCTGCGCAGTGAGGAGCTTTTCGTATGCGCTCGCGCCCGGACTTCGTGTTTTTTTGTTGGCGCGACCCTCCCAAGTCATATGTAGTGAGGTCACGAACTGCGTTCTATCCTAGCGTAGTACTCTGCGACTCGTGCCGCCCGGCGCCGTCATCTCCTGTGTCAGTCTCCCTGCCAGCGCCCCGCATCAAAAGATGGCCACGACCGGTGGCTTCTTCTCTGTCGACGCGCCCCCCGCTCCGGAGGACGACGACGATGCAGCGGAGGAGCAGAAGCGGCTCGTCAACCGGGCACGACTGGCCCTGCACGTGGACCGCGATGTTAGCGACGTGCAGAAGCGTGCTAACCAGTTCCAGGCCAAGCTGAAAAAAGCGATCAACGAGTCCGAGCCGGGCACGGTGAAGTGGAACAAAACGGCAAGCGGCAGTGGGAGTTTTTTGTCTACCTTTATCAATAAGCGGCAAAGCAAGCCGGCAGCTGGAGTTGGGGAGGTTTTGTCGGGAACGGGAAGTGGCTACACGAGTACCGCAGAGAAAAATGTTCCAAGTGGTCAAACAGACGCCTCGTTAGGACTCGACGCCCTGCATCTCTCGCCAAACCCTCAAACAAATCTCTTGGAGAAACATCAGCCGAGCGACACGCCACCGCACGCGGGCTCCAAAGATACACGACTCCCAGCCACGGATGACGTGGTTGACAGGAAGCGACAGGAACAGGACCAGGACGACCTGCTGAACCGCTTGGAGCAGCTGATTGCGCAGACGACGCAGGCAAGCTACGCCGCGTTTGAAGACTCCGAACAAGAAGAGCGCGTGAACGCGGAGATGATGGGCATGATGAAGCCGAGTCTCGCTGAGAAGCTGCGCAGCTCGAACGAATCAGCGCAGCAGAGACAAGTCGCAGCCAATCCGGCGAACAAGACGCAAGAGTTTTCGACCGGAGCTACAGGATCCACATTCTTCCCGAAGCAGACGAAAGTGCCTTTGGCGCCCACGGACGGTCTCGATGATGACAATCATCCGCTATTCGGGTCGCAGAAGAAGAAAATTCAGGAGGCCATGAACTCCACCGCGAATACTGTGGAAGCAAGGAACCGTGTGGAAGATCGGCAGAATAAGATGAAGGCGCTTAGGGAAAAGGTTTTGAAACAGGCGAAACAAAAACCAACAACGGGCAGTACAAGACCACCTCCGGCAAACAGTTCTTTCACGAGTTCTAACATAGGTGGACAGTTCGCAGCAGCAGAGGTTCCAGGCAGTGGCGTCGGTAGTAGTCAACTGCAATCTGAGAAGCAGGCAATCGAGCAGCTGCTGCGCAGCAAAACGTACTTGTCGAAAGCAGAGCGGCAAACGTTCTTTCGCAAACAGATGCTTTTACTGCATCCGGACAAGCGGGTTCTCGAGGAGGACAAAAATAGCACAGCCCTTTTTCAGCATCTCATGGAACAGCAAAAATGGTTTCTTGGGCTGGAGTGATGTTTCAAAATCACAGGACGATAAAGAGAAGCTCCCAGGGAGGTTTCGTAGTTTCCGTTTCAATCAGAATATAAGAAGTACCTTCTACTTGTGATATCAGCAACGCTTCATGCTGCAGAGAGAGCTCCGCTCGTGGAGATTCACCGGTGGCGGGCGATTGCTCAGTGTTCGTCTCAAAAGTACTTATTAGAAATAGAATGACGAGAATGCTTTGGATGTTTTTTGCTTGTGGAGACGAGGGGGTAGTTACCATTGCGGAGGTCTTACTGTGGTTTCCTATTTCTCTTCAAAACTCCATGGGTGGGAGATTCAGTGTGAGGAGTTGCCTGCGACGTCATTGTAAAAAATACGCTGTGGCATGCATTGGTATGTGAATGTGATGTGCACACCATGTCGTAGAGCTCGTCACAATTGTCAATTGGATCGCTAAACTAGCTTTTACCATGGATGCCACCAGGTTGTTGAATTTTTGAACAACACCTTCCAAAGATGGCGCCCCACTCCGAGTATGTAATCTTGCGTTGGGTGCGCGATTCCGTCGCGTCTGGTCTGGGTCAGGTACCCAGGACCCAAAGAACGCACATAACAAAGATCCGCATGCCCCGGGCCGGCGTGGCAGAAATAACTAGTCCGCAGAAACCAGATCTGCGCACCCTACCGGGGAGCGGGCGAGCCACCCGATTGGGGCCGAGTGGATTCAAGCTATCCGAGCCCTGGCGCTGTTCGGGCGCCCCCATCGCGAGCAGGCTACGCATTTCCGGGCGCCAAGAGGCGGCCCGCCCGCCGCGGGAGTTTCGGGGCGGACCGGCCGCCTACCCGATAGCTACCTACCCGGCTGCTGGCAAACAATTCTTCGCGTGCGCGCCGCGTGCTGTGGGCCGCGCGCACGCCGGCCCCGCGCGCACCCTGCCCTTTCCCCCGCCAGCTTCTCTCGCGCGGCCCATACAGGCGCGCGCGCCAGGGCGCTAGACTTTATCGGCCCGCATAGGCTATCGCCCAATACGGGACGCGCGGAACGAGCGCCGTGGCTCTGCGGGAGCCGCTGCCCCCTTTTCAGTTGTTCAGCCAATGTGGCCGAGGCTCCCTTTCTACATCGACGGGGCGGGAAGAAGTGCGGCTCCCCGTACGCAGCCCAGTGTTCATTGCCACGCATGGACCAGGAGCGAGCGCCATTATATCCGTTTCGCAGTGAGGAGTTTCTTGTATGCGCTCGCGCATGGACTTCGTGTTTGGCATGCATGTGCATGCCCCTAGGTGCTAGGTTCCCGACCTAGGTGCAGCACCTAGGTGCTAGGTGTCAGACCTAGGCGCGGCACCTAGGTGTCAGACCTAGGTGCAGCACCTAGGTGCTAGGTGTCAGAGCTAGGTGCAGCACCTAGGTGCTAGGTGTCAGACCTAGGTGCAGCACCTAGGTAACAGACCTAGATGCAGCACCTAGGTGCTAGGTGTCAGACCTAGGTGCAGCACCTAGGTTCCCGAACTAGGTGCAGCACCTAGGTGCTAGGTGTCAGACCTAGGTGCAGCACCTAGGTGCTAGGTGTCAGACCTAGGTGCAGCACCTAGGTGCTAGGTGTCAGACCTAGGTGCAACACCTAGGTGTCAGACCTAGGTGCAGCACCTAGGTGCTAGGTGTCAGACCTAGGTGCAGCACCTAGGTGCTAGGTGTCAGACCTAGGTGCAACACCTAGGTGTCAGACCTAGGTGCAGCACCTAGGTGCTAGGTGTCAGACCTAGGTGCAGCACCTAGGTGCCAGACCTAGGTGCAGCACCTAGGTGCTAGGTGTCAGACCTAGGTGCAGCACCTAGGTGCTAGGTGTCAGACCTAGGTGCAACACCTAGGTGTCAGACCTAGGTGCAGCACCTAGGTGCTAGGTGTCAGACCTAGGTGCAGCACCTAGGTGCTAGGTGTCAGACCTAGGTGCAACACCTAGGTGTCAGACCTAGGTGCAGCACCTAGGTGCTAGGTGTCAGACCTAGGTGCAGCACCTAGGTGCTAGGTGTCAGACCTAGGTGCAACACCTAGGTGTCAGACCTAGGTGCAGCACCTAGGTGCTAGGTGTCAGACCTAGGTGCAGCACCTAGGTGCTAGGTGTCAGACCTAGGTGCAACACCTAGGTGCCAGACCTAGGTGCAGCACCTAGGTGCTAGGTGTCAGACCTAGGTGCAGCACCTAGGTGCTAGGTGTCAGACCTAGGTGCAACACCTAGGTGTCAGACCTAGGTGCAGCACCTAGGTGCTAGGTGTCAGACCTAGGTGCAGCACCTAGGTGCTAGGTGTCAGACCTAGGTGCAACACCTAGGTGTCAGACCTAGGTGCAGCACCTAGGTGCTAGGTGTCAGACCTAGGTGCAGCTCCTAGGTGTCAGACCTAGGTGCAGCACCTAGGTGCTAGGTGTCAGACCTAGGTGCAACACCTAGGTGTCAGACCTAGGTGCAGCACCTAGGTGCTAGGTGTCAGACCTAGGTGCAGCACCTAGGTGCTAGGTGTCAGACCTAGGTGCAACACCTAGGTGTCAGACCTAGGTGCAGCACCTAGGTGCTAGGTGTCAGACCTAGGTGCAACACCTAGGTGTCAGACCTAGGTGCAACTCCTAGGTGTCAGACCTAGGTGCAGCACCTAGGTGCTAGGTGTCAGACCTAGGTGCAACACCTAGGTGTCAGACCTAGGTGCAGCACCTAGGTGCTAGGTGTCAGACCTAGGTGCAGCACCTAGGTTCCCGACCTAGGTGCAGCACCTAGGTGCTAGGTGTCAGACCTAGGTGCAGCACCTAGGTGTCAGACCTAGGTGCAGCACCTAGGTGCTAGGTGTCAGACCTAGGTGCAACACCTAGGTGTCAGACCTAGGTGCAGCACCTAGGTGCTAGGTGTCAGACCTAGGTGCAGCACCTAGGTGTCAGACCTAGGTGCAGCACCTAGGTGCTAGGTGTCAGACCTAGGTGCAACACCTAGCTGTCAGACCTAGGTGCAGCACCTAGGTGCTAGGTGTCAGACCTAGGTGCAGCACCTAGGTGCTAGGTGTCAGACCTAGATGCAGCACCTAGGTGTCAGGAGACCTAGGTGCAGCACCTAGGTGCTAGGTGTCAGACCTAGGTGCAACACCTAGGTGTCAGACCTAGGTGCAGCACCTAGGTTCTAGGTACAGCACCTAGGTGCTAGGTGTCAGACCTAGGTGCAGCATCTAGTTTAGCGACCTAGGTGCGGCACCTACCCACGTGCCAGAGCTACCTACGTCCGGCACCTAGATGCCAGAGCCAGGCGCGGCACCCAGGTGCAGAAAAAATCTGCAGTGGGGAGCTGCTTATTGCCGCACGGCGCCAAGCTTTTCAATTCACCTCCCGGATATTCCTTGGTGCAGCGCAGCACCAAGATTTGCGGCCGGGGCTTTCTGGGTCCCGCGCGGCACCAGGATTTTGAACCGGAAATCTTGTGGTGCCGCGTGGCACCAAGATTTCCGCTTCGCCCGGAAATTTCTTGGTGCTGCGCGGCTCCAAGATTTGCGGCCGCATGCATCCGGGAATTTCACGTGGTTGTCGTGGCGACCGGCCACCTGAATCGGGCAGGCGGCTGCCTGAGTTTCAGGTGATTGCCGGGGGCACGCGTTTTCCGAAAAGAGGCCCTGTTGCTGCTGCATCCGCAAAAGACTGTTGTTGGGGAGGACAAAAACATTTTTTCAGCACCTCATAGAGGAGGAAAAGCCTCTTCTCGGGGTGGAACGATGTGTGAAATCAACATAAGATGATGGATGAGAAATGGTTTTCGAAGTTTGCGTCCCAATGAAAAAGAGTCAGGAAGTAGGCTTCAGCATCAATGATTCTGGCAACACTCCATGCCGCTGGAGCTCTGTTCCAGTCATTTCCATACGGGCGATTCTTTGGTGTTCATAATTATCACGAGATACTCATTAGAATTAGACACAAGAAGTGTTTAGGGTCTTGTTGATCAAGGTGACGAGGTACTGCGGAGTTGCTTAGACTTGTTATGTATGAGTCAAAAGTTCAATATTTAGTTTATCAGACGAGTGCGTAAGCGTAATTTTGTACGCTGCGGACTCTTCGCCATATGATGTCCATGACATAGAGACTTCATGCTACTGTGAGCGAGAAACTAGCTTTTCAAGTGAGTCATGTCATCAGGTTCTTGAATTTTTGAACAACATCTTCCAAAGATGGCCCACTCCGAGTCTGTAATCCTACGCTGGGTGCGCGATTCCATCGCGTTTGGTCTGGATCACAGTTCTTTAAAAGTGCAGGAGCGAATTCGAGAAACTCTTGGCGCGCCGCAACTGCCGAAAGAATTATCCCTGCAAGACCTGCGTGATGGGAAAGTGCTGGTGGCGCTGGTATAGCAAGTAGGTTTTTCTGCATCTGCCTGCATGTCATACGTATCACAGGCCTCTCGAAATAAATTGAAATACGCAACTACTTGCTTTTGCAAAAAACGATAAAAATGATTCACAGGTCCAAGGCATTGACATTCGTCTCTGCCGCAGAAGTAACAACATTCCGCTCGGCCGCCTTGCTCAGTTTCAGACCAGCTGTCGCGAGTTGGGCTTGACCGACGCCCAGATTTTCGCGGTGCCGGACCTTGTTCCCGACGTGAAAAATCCGAAATCGGTTTTGAAGACCCTGCAGTCCCTGTCGGAGTGCCTGGACCACAAGTGGCGGGGGCCCAGGATAGGTAGAGAATAGTTAGGGTTTAGGTGGAACTGTTTTTGCAGGAGAAACCGCATCACATACTCCATTTGTTTTGCATGAGCTGCACCGTATCTAATAACATCGATTTTCCACCTTCAGATTCCTTCCGCCAGTCTTTCCAGAAGAAGAAATCTTGGTCTGAGTCGTCTTCTTCTGAAGACGAAAAGGAAATCCGACGTTCTTCGATCCACTTCCGCGGCCGGCAGACGAACCGACGGCAGAAGCAGCGCGTGGTGGAATCCAGTTCGTCCGAAGAGGATTTTTTGGACAAAAATGAAAAATCCGAGTTTCAATCCCTCTCCCCGAAAGGAGGAACTACCAACGGCAGGCTCACCTCGGTGGATGAGAGCGGGAAAAGAAACTACATCAGTGCGCCGGGCAACACTGCAGCTTCTAGGGGAACTACTTCTGCAGCTGCCCAGCTTTCGTCACCTCTCGACGATCTGCTTTCCAACAGCACCGACAAGAAGCAACTGGACTACCTCGGCACGGAAGCAACTGCAGCGACTTTTGAAGGGGGGCCAGGCGATCGCTCGAACCTCGCTGCATTCGAAAACAGTAACCAGCACCCCTCTTCGGTTCGCCTTTCCGCGTCGAGCGACCTGCGGTCCTCCTCGTCCGCGAGCGATCTCAGCTCGTCCGCCGCGTCCGGCGGTGCGTCGATGCAGAACTTCCAGTCGCCGAACCGGGCCGGAGGGAAGAAGCACCACGCGAAGCGGCACGTGAACAGCTTGCGGAACGTGTTTCCGACCGCGAGTGGTGACGGGGGAAAAGCGCAGGATAACGAGTTTGAGGACGCGGAGGAGGGGGTGGATGTCCGGGGCATGCTGCAGACGTGGGAGGAAAAACATCAAGGTGCTGGACTGAACGGCGGCGTTGCGCAATCAGGAGAAACTACTTCCACTGGGATTGTCATGCGAATTTTCGACGAGCACGAGGACGGGGGAATAAAACAGGTCGAAATGGACGCCGACGAAGGCGTAAGAAGTGCAGATTCAGCACTAGAGGAAGACCCAGCGGACGCCGTCAAGAGAAGCAAGGACTCCGCGGCGAAGTCCAGTAAGCAAAGCGCAGGAGGAAGTGCGATTTTGCTGGAAGGAACAAATGTTGGGTCGACCGGCGGGGCCGGAGAACATGTCAATTCCCACGCAAGCAGCGCGGTTTCCTCCTCGGTTCTGTCCTCAAATTTGCGGGACGAAATCCGGCAAGATCTGGAGCGGGCCCGGGTGGTGGAGGACAGTTTCGAGGAAACACTGGAGAGCCCGAACGACGGAACTGCAGGTGGTCTTGCGCATGCAGCTCCCGCTCCGACCGGAAGTCTCGTGGTGGACGAAGAGGAAGAGCGTGGAGGTCCTGCTTCTTCCAGTGTAGTTGCTTCACCGGTGAAGAGAGAAAGCAAAAACCCCTTCGCTTTCACGCCGCCAGCGAGGGACGAAAATAAAGCAAACGAGAAGGACGATACCGCGAAAAGTGTTGTTCTTGGAAAAAGCAGTAGACTCGATACCACACCAACGACCGCGTCTGTGGCGAACATAGTGGAGCAAGTTTTGCAAAACGCGGCGAGTATTAGTGTGAAGGAAACCACACAAACATCATCTTCAGCTGCACCATCTGGAACACGTGATGGAAAAGTAGACCTTCGCGCAACTACGGCAGGCACAGAACCATCTTCAAGCCAAGTTTTTGTGGAAAAGAAGGAAGTGCAACAAATAGTCGAGTTGCTTCTCGACAAGGCGGCGAGCCACGTCACGGTTGAGAATGTCGTGGATAACTTAGTGGATAAAACGTTTGAGCAAGTGGCGAAGGAAATTTTAGAGGAGAAAAGCGTGAAGAATTTGGTAGAAGAGATGATAGAAGCCGCTGCGGACCGAGTTGCCGCGTCGCCTTCGAGAAGGAGTGGCGGAGAAAAGAAAGCGACCCAAGAAGGAAGTAATGACGATCTTCTGCGAGGCAACAACAATTCCACCGAGACTGCTTCTCGAGGAACTACCGAACCAGCTTCGTCTGGCACACCCAGCTCGAAGACGGTGAAGGAAATCATCACGAACATGGTCGATGACGCAGCGAAACAGTGCGCGATGGAAATAGTGAGGGGCAGTTCGATACAGGCGAAAGGCAGCGGTGCACCAGAAGTTGCAACAAGCAATCAGACCGCGGACGACCACCAGGATGAAAGCGGAATAAAGAAGAAAGAGAGCAGCGGATCCGGCAGAAGTGCCAGTCCGTCTCGGCAGCGGGTTTCAAAAGATTTCTCTTGTGACCTCTCCATTCCAAACGAGAGGTCGCCCCAGTCGCCGCAAAGTCCAGTTGTGTTTTCGCCAGGAGAAAAAAATGCAGCAGCGGTGGTAGAATTGAGTGGGAAGAAAGCGGCGGTTGAAGAAGCGGCTCCGGTTCCGGCGGCTCCTGCCGGCGTCAATGTTGACTGTGATGCCACACGAGAAGAACAGGTAGAGGAAGGAAGAACGGGAAGCAAGCCAAGTCCAGAAGAACCGCAAAAGCAGGTTGCTTCCACAAGTAAGAACGCCGAGGAGAACAAAGCAGAGCCAGAAAGTGACCCAGGTGGTGTCGTTCAGCACGACAAGAACATCCAGCAAGAGCACTACCCGCACGTCGACCCGGACACGTCAAGTAAAGACGTGCTTTTGCGGAGCAAAGGCCACGAGAGCGAGGATCTGATGAGTTTGGTGACTGAAGAGTCAGTCACCGTGTCAGCGACTGGCGAACAGGGCAGTGCGGAGAGGAGTCAATCGCAGCAGCAGGAGCAAATAGTTCAAGAGCTGCTCGTACCACCCGCGGTGAAGGTGGAACAAGACGTCACGCCGGATCTTCCCCAAGGGCAAACTCCAGATTCTGCCACCGTGAGTGCAAAAGGCGCACAGCCAGGAGTCGTCGCGGGAATAAGCACGACAACCGGGGCTCCGCCACCTGCACCAGGTGCTAGTACACTCCAGACCAGTGGCCCAAGCCGCCGAGGACCTTCTTCCGGCGTTTCCAGCATCGACTTATCGGACATTCACAGAATTATGAACCCAGAGCACGAAGACGTGTACCCGAAGAAGGATACAAAGCAGCGAACAATGCCGAATGTAGCGACAGAACAGCAGCACAGCGTGAGCAGCAGCAAGGAGCATTCCGTGGACCTGAACGCTTTCCTCGTCACCACGCCCTCCGAGTCGGAAAACAACAGCAAAAACACCTCCGCTGCTGTCAACCCGCTGGAAATGAGCAACGAGGAGTTTTTTTCGTTCTTGAAACCCCCTTCGTCGGGACGGTTCAATCCGTTGCCTAGAACTGGGAATAGTACTGGAAGTGGGGAACAAACTCTTGATGCCAGTGGGGCGACCACCACAACCACTGCGCTTGCCGGCGGAGCTACAGCCAACATGACCTCTTCGTCCACGCTGCCGCCGAGCAACCGCACGAACGCGAATTCTCCGCGGGCGACCAGCCCCTTCAGTTCCCGCTCCTACAACACGCCAAGGACGGAGAAAGAGAAAATGTCAAGCTCGGGATCATATTCGAACAGCACAAGCAAGAATCCTTTCGCGGAATTCTCCCTAACCGGTTCGTCAAACGAGAAGTCGTTTTCCAGTACATCTGGGAAGGACAAAAATGCGTCCAGTGGTCGGAATAACAACCCATTCGGAGCAGGAGCCGGATCCTCCTCTCCGGGGGATTTGTTTAAAGGGCTGATGGGAGCTACAAGTTCATCTGCAAATAATAAAAGCGCGTCTGCTACTTCTATCACCGACCCTTTCGCAGAGTTTGACCAGCTGTATCGCAACAAACCCGCCACGCCAAGCCCGAGACCGCCGCTGATGTCGGATCGAGGAACTGCTGGAAGTGTAAACAAAAAGTCTCAACTCGGCGACTACACGACCGTTGCAACTTCTACAGGGACTGGAGTTACGAGTCTCAGTGCCCCGTCGAGCAGTAGGACGTTGTCTTCGGCGAAAAAAAGCCCGGCGCTGGGGAGGGAAGTGTATGGTGGAGTTGGAAGTGGAAATAATTACACAAACAGCAAGAATAATCCCTCTGACATAACCAACATTGACAAGGATATCGATCGACTTTTTGAAGATCTGCTGGGGCATCAATCAATCGCATGCGAGTTTCTTTTGGAACTTCGTGACAGACCGCCTCCTAGGTGTCGTCTTTTGTGTCGTGTTTCTCTTCTCTTGTTTACCTTTTAGATTTTTTGTTTGTGATACAGTGTAACTTACTGCGCTTCTGTTGTGGGTCTGGGTTGAGGAAAGGAACGATTCTGAGTGCGGCAAAAAGGGAGTACGTATCTATGCAGGGCCAGTTCAGAGCGACGGTGGCGTTTGGTGATAGTAAACGAGGAGGCAAATAAGTACTCAAAACGTTAAGAAGATGCTTCGCATCCTAAGTTAGCTGTATAATCACAACAAACTATGTTTCAACACATCTAAAGAATCATGAAACCGCTGGCGCTTTACCGCAGCTGCGCTCCTACGAGAAGCTCAGAAACAAGCCTGTGCGGTGCAGCCGAGACAAGATCAGCGCGCACCGCTATGCGGAGGGAAGCAGTGGTGCCAGGAGAGAGAGAGTACTTACAATCAGGACCGCGGAAGAGCTATGACTTCTAGGAAGCTAGGGCATTTGTCGTGCATCTAGCGAGGACTCCGAGCGATCCCTGGGTGTTCCGTTATGGACGACCTGGATGCGCTCCTCGACGACGTACTGGGTCCGTCCCAGCCGCCCGCGAAAACCAGTCCGCCGGCAAGGCCAAAACCCTTCGACCCTCAGCAGCCGGATTTGCGGAGCGCGGAAATTTTCGTCAAGAGGCCAGAACCAAAACCGGCGGGGTTGATCGAAGGTACTATTGGGGATGATATGGTGTTGTTGAATCAATTCGGTATGCGACTCTGACATCACAAAGTACTTACTTGCATCCGCATCTCCACAAACAACCAACAGGTACGAAATCCCTTCTCGACGATGTTTTGGGCGAAGTGATAGGGCTCGACACCAGCTATGTTGCCTCCACGTCACCAGCACCACCGAGCCTCGAGAACGCACCCATGATGTGTCGGAAGTGCGATTTCAATGTAAGTATAATTTTTCATGTAGGATTGCAAACGAAACCGAAAGCGAAACCGTACTTCTTTCTGTGTGTAGTAGAGACAACTGCATGCGAAACTAGAACAGAAACACAATAAAAAACCCCCGCACTACCGCACCAGGTCCTGACTTTCGAAGACAGTTTTTGGCTGGGAAAGTGCGACTACATGTTTTTCCGGAACCACTTTCCGCAAGTCGAGAAGCTGCAGACAGGGCTCGGGCGAAAGCCGGGGAAGAAGGCGCTGGCCTGTCAGTGCCGTTGGGCGGTCATAGACAAAACGCAGCACCCCCGCGAGGCGGGTGTCAGCACCTGGATCCTGAGGAGAAATTGACGTTTTGTCGTGTCGTGTGTAGTTTCGTTTGAAAAAGTTGGCCTGGAGGGCGGAAGGAAGAGAATTTTTGGAAATCATGAACAAACACGTTGCGGACGGCATACGTACCTTGTCGCGCGTGTGTGCCGTCTCCTGAGATAGTCTAGATTTGGCCTGTTCATAGCAAACACAATCTACTTCTGAGAGCGACGATTGTCAGTGTGAATTAATAGGCGAATCCGTCCGTGCAAATATGCGCGGAGTTGTCGTGATACGAAGAGACCCTCCGCCCCTGCTGCAGAGAGTACAGGCTTGACAGTGAAAAGAACTTTGACAAGTCACTGGCATAGAACGACGAGGGCCGCGACCGGCACCACGCAAAATAAAGATCCAATAAAACAAGATGCTGATCGCGTTAGAGCCGCCTCCGGTGAACAAGAACCGCGCTATTCGAATCCGAATTCTCAACGGCCATGGAATTCTCGGCGACCACAGTTCCCGGAGTAAGCTCGACCTGGAAGTGCATGTTTCGATCAATGAGAAGAAAAAGTTTTCCACCGAACTTCGCCGGGTCAGGAGAACCACAACTGCTACACCAGGAGGTGGTGCGTCATCTTCATCATCTTCGTGCTCTTCACGACCTGCCCCAGTCGATGTGGAATGGGCCACAAATTTGTTCGAAATGGAGTACACGACGGAGGAGCCGCTCGAAGTAAAATTCGAACTGCTCGGCCGCAATGTGTTCCGCTCGAACTGTTTGCTCGGCACGGGGACCGTGTTCTGCATGCCATTAGCGGAGGAGAACCAGCCGCGGGCGAGGAAGGAGGAGACGCTGAGGTTGCAGGTGCCGGAAGTAGGACAGCATTATGCGAGGAAACAGAAGGTACTGATTAGAGTGCTTGGCGTGGAATTCCTTTCCTTTCATTTTTTTGAACAGCCAAATCACGGGCCCTGGCGGTAGAGTCAGACTTGAACTTGATACGACCTCAATACCCGGTTTACTGAAAGACAATAAATGAAAAACAAACCGCTCACAGCCACCACCTGCTTCCAAACCCGCTCCTGGCTACCTGAAAATCATCATCGAATATGGACTGGACATCGTGACCGCCGCTCGGCGCAAGGAGCGCTTTTGGGAAGAGATCAAGGAGCGCTTCAGTGACGAGGGGAAGTTTTACCACCACAACTGGTTCAACATCCAGAAACGGGGTCTGGATTCCCAACTCGGTTTTTCCCGGCCCGGTATGTGTTTGCAGGACCAGGAGGCGGAAGATTTTTTGGAGGAGCACGAACGAGAGGACGCAGAATCTGCAACCGCTGCCGGAATGGTGTTGACAGGAACGTCGGCGGCCTCCTCTTCATCCTCCTCCTCGTCAAGCGTGTCACGAGCCCCAGGTGCAACGACAACTCTTCACACGACTTCGAGAAGACGGAGACAGTGGCCCCACGGGCTGCGGGTCCGGCACAAGACCGAGGGGCCGGGGACAGTGGTGGTGGCGGAATACGATGATGATGATGACTGCCAAGCTGATGGAATGCAAGAGGATCAGTTCGTTTTTGTCACTTTCGATAACAGCCCGGCTTGTCGGTCTCGCCGCAAGCGGTTCGACGCCCATGGAGTTCCGGTTGCAGAGCTCACGAAGCAGCAGCGGAGCAGGGTAGATATTGGCACAACACATGACCACGAGTTGTCATTCGACGAAGGGGGAGCAGGAGGAGTGCGTAATGAGTCAAACCCGATCCCCAGCGCTTCCACAAGAACGCTCTCTCACCATCCCACGTCCAACATCATCACCGTTGGCAGTTTTGTCCGCGTGAAGCCAAACGTCGTGCCCTGCCGGGGGTGGGGAAAGGTGACGAAAAACTGCGTCGGCCGCGTAATGCGACTGCAGGGGTTGCGGGCGATCTGCGCGTTTCCCAGCCAGAAGAGCTGGACGACCACGATTGACGAGCTGGAGGTGGTGGCGGCACGGAAAATAAAGTTGTTGCGCGCGGAGGGCCCGTTCCAGCGCGGCGAGGAGGTGTTTGTGGTGCGGGAAGATTACGACGAAGTGGCGGATAATTCATTCTCCCAGGGGTTGCTGCCATGTGGAGGACGAGGAGGTGCTTCTTCTTCCTCTTCAGCATCTTCTTCTGCGGGACAAGCACGGGAGCCGGGGATTGACTTGCAGAGCGGCGAACAGATTCTGGAGCGAGAGGCATCTTCTTTTTCGGCCGCAAACGACGTTGACAGCAATACCGGACCTGGTAGTTCAGGGTCGACAGCGCATGGTCGAAATCATCGGCGAGATAGAGAAGCTTCTAGGTCGTCCCGTGCGTCGTCTGAAAGCGTGTCTCCGTCTCAACCGCGACGCACGGACGCCGTTCGTCAACGTTCCAGTCGGGCGTCGAGATCGTCCGTTGCTAGTCCCAATGCAAGGCCACGGCGGAACTCGACCCAGCGCCCGGAAGAGCGGCCTTTCGCTCCGCCATCGCGAACTAGAGGCGTGAATCACGAAGGGACTGAGTTATCCGGCGCGCCCGCGTCTGTTCTTGCGCAGCAAGATGCACCCACGAACACTGGCGTTCGTGGGAGCCTCCGGAACCGCATCCGTAAGGCGTTGAAGCGAAAGTTCCGGCGGGCAAACTGCATGCGGTCTCGGGGCGACGAAAGCCCGGCGATGCAAGAGTATCTTTATCCGTTGTCTTCGTCAAATGATGTGGCGGCCGTACGAGAGGACGTCGCGGCCGGGCGGCAGAGTGCTGCGGGAAATCAGAATCAAAACTCTGAGCAGGAAACGGACGGTCAGACCCGTGCTAATGCAGGAGCGTCTAGCAGCTCAACCGGAGCTGGATCCTCGCGTTGCCCGAGAATCTCAGCGAAAAGGAAAACAACCTCGAAAAGGTTGAACCTGCAGTGCATGAACTCGAATGGCGTTGCGTGGTGGATCTACGCGGACCTGGAAAACGAGATATTCGTTTACAAAGCGACCAGCGAGACGTCAGTCTTTGGTGACACCTCTTCGGAGAACGAGGATGAAGACACTACTGCTGCTGCGTTCGGACCCCGGGAAACTGTGGGAGGATCGTCAAGCTCGACAAGTAGGAGCCAGGTCGCTCACGAGTCAGAATGTGCAAGAGCAGCTGCTGCTGCTGCTTCCAAAAATCCTGCTACCACAGCTGATCAGAAAGCACTTCTGCAGTTTCTCTTAAATGGCGATGTGGAAAAGTGGCTGGATGCAATTTCTTCACATCAAACTCGAGTAAGTGTTTCCAAGAATCCCAGCGTCGACGTGCGAAATAATGCGGATGATTGTGTACGCCCCCGTGCCGCGGGCAAAAATCTGCTTTCTCTCCACAGTGCAGTCAAGGGACTCATGGCAACGTTTGCCATACCACAGAGCCAGCGCCGGTTCCTCCGGAAATACTTGCAGAAAAACTGGCCGTTCCCGTTGGACATAGACGAAGTCCTGCAGTACGGCGTCTGTGCGGTCGGTGAGAAAGCTCTGGTGCAGGACCCAGAGACGAAAAGGGTGCATTTGGTCACCGTCCTCGGCCGGATCGTCAATGCGGCAGGGGCAGAAGGAGGAGGAACGACCGCTGGCGGGACGAGTTTTAGCGCACAGCCGGATGAATCGTCTAAGGGTGGCGCAAGCGTTTCGGCGTCTACTTCAGCTTCAGCCAGCTCTAGTTCTTTGTCCTGTAGTCGACGACATCCGCCGGAAGAGAATGAAACACAAAGAGAAAAAGGTTTCTCGTCTTCGCCAAACATTCAATACGCAGTCGAAGTCACTTACTCCGGAGATTGCGGCCGTGATGATGAGGTTTCTTCCAGCTCGAGCTCAGCTCATGTATTCCCCTCTTGGTTTCTTGGTGACGTCAAATTACTCAATCGCACCGACCTGCACCTCCTCCTCAGCCCGCTCGATACGGCGATGCTGGACAAGTTCAACAATGATCTGCTGCTCAGAAATAAATCTCCGTCGAAAACGAAATCTAAGTTGCGGGCCGCCCTCACTATCCGCGAGGACGACCACGACATTTTGGTGCTCGGCGCCGGCGGCAAGGGCGAACGCTGCAACGGGAACTACGGGCGGAAGCCGGTGCGGTTTTTTCGGGGCCGGCCGGTGTACAAGAACGAGAAGGGGGCGATTCTGTACTGGGCGGGCTTTTGGAAAATGAACTACTTCGACGACACCGGGAGCTGGTACTTCGCCGTGCCTGGGTCGAAGCACGCCGCCGAGCCGCCGGAGGGAGATTGCTGGACCAATTACGGGTACACGGGCGGGAAGGCGAAGCCGTTTCCGGTGTTGTACCGGAACGGGAGAACGGATTCGCTGGTTGCGGCGCTGTTCCAGCAATCTGCTGTTGGTCTTCCAGGAGGAGTAGAGGGGGAATTATCGTCAGGGGGCCATGTTGATGAGGGCGCAGATGATCTTTCATCTGTTGAAGAGCCAGGTGCGGGTGACGTGTTACCTCGAGCGGCAGCTTCCGGGTGTGGCAGTAGACAACGGAAAAAGAGGGCAGTGGCCAAGCCGCACGGTGAAGCGGAAGAGTCTTGTTTGAACAAGGGACAGCTGCTGGTTCAGGTACTGCCTGCGGACCGGGACAAATTGTCAACGCCAACCTCATCTACATGCAACACACAAAGTAAAATCTCTAGCGGAATTCATGGCTTTTCCCCGCACGAAATCGTGGAAGTGCTCCATTGGCCGCAAGGTGTGCAAGCTGATCTTCTCTCGCGCAGTAGCACGAGCACGGCTTTCACTGCGAATTTTCCATCCAACGCAGTGATGGTGCGAAGTTTGCTCACCGGGAAACGAGGGTTGATTGACCTGCCAGGCAAACAACATTATCCGGACTCAGCACCAACAGCGAGTTCTTTCCACGACCCGAAAAGGTTGCAGGACGTGTCCGCTTTGTTAGAGCTTACTGGCAACCGGGAGACGTTTCCTGCCTGGTGCGTCGAGCGTTTTCTGCCACCAAGAGACTCGCAGTCTGTGTTCTGGCAAGAGTTCTACGGGAGGACGTCGGTTCGAGGCGGGGATAATGTTGCGAAGTCCACATCAAAGCCATTGGTGCATCGTGGAAGCGATGACCAACATCTCGCTCCAAGAAAATCTTCCCGCGCAGCACGTCACAGCTCCTTGCAGCAGCATTTTCCGCCGGTGGACTCCTTCGGCTTCACGGAGGAATTTTTACCGTCTTCGTCTGCAACCTCCATCTCCCCCTCAGACCACCTCCGCACACGCAGCGCGTCGTACCGCTCGAGGCGTGCCTCTGCCTCGATAGCCGAGGACGACCGGCGGTCGCCCGGGGGGTCAAACCGCTACCCGGCGACGACGGCACGGTCGAAGGTAACGCGGTTGCTCCGGCAAGCCCGGGAGTTAGAAGTGAACATGCACCGGACACTGCAGGCGGGGGAGCTGGTATAATGTATGGCTGTTTTTTGCTTTTGATGTTCGCATCAGCAAATTACTTTAGCATCAGATTAAGCATCATCATTTTCGCCACCGTACTGCAAAGAATAGAACCAAAGTGTTGTCACTTGTTCAACAGGATCTCCACCCGGACACGCCCCCGGACTCGTCTGCAGGAACGCGACCACAGCCAAGTACTCTTTCGCTCACAGCCGATGACAGCAGCACAGCCGCAAACGGCCGGGACACAGTGATCAGCTTGACAGGCCCAGGGAACGACGACCACGACGAGGCTTTTCTGCTGAATTGCCATGGCGCATCACACATTTCTTTGCCCCCTTTCACGGAGGAGCAGACGCCGAACAGGCGGGGATCCCTCGTAAATGACGCAAACGAGGATAACAGGGAGGAAGCAGATTTGGACGCAACCTTCCTCGACCCGCCAGTAGACGAGTGGGGCGGAGATACCAGTTTGAGTCTGACGAGTTCCTTTGCACAAGCGGGAAGTAGCAGTTCTGGATTTCAATCGACGAGTAGCTCGAGACAGCAGGAGCGCGGTCGAAACGTCGGTCTTTTAGGAGCGAACGGCAGTGCAGCTGTGCCGAAATTACAGCAGGGTACTGCGAAGGAAAGAAGCAAGGCTTTTGAGCAGGACAACACACCCACTTCTCTTGGCGGAGCAGCACTAGAAACGAAGAACCTCAACCCGCACCTCCTCCGCCTCGACCAGGATTCGGAAAACCTCTTGTCCGCTTTCGACCGCGCTGCTTTGGATGAAGCATGCTCCGAAATCGACCGCCTGCGGGGCAAATTTTCCTGGCCGAAAGCGAGCGAGAAACCGCGACCCCCGAACGGCGTGCCGGAGATTTTGCTGAAGAGGCCCGATAGTGAAATCGGGCCTACTGGTGGTGTTTCCACCTCAAGCTCATCTTCGACGACGTCTCCGGTGCAACTGCTTTCGTCTTCAAACAGAGCAATGTTCTCCTCCGCAAGCTCATCTTCTAGCACGGTTGGCGCTTTCAAAATTTTCCTGCAGGTCTTTTCCCAACTCGGCTGCAAGACGGGGGAGTACTGGCTGCGGGGCTTCACGATCCGGTTCACGCAAGACTCCGGTGTAGACTGGGGGGCACTGACGAAGGCGTTTGCGAAGTTTCTGGTCGAAGATTTGTTTCGCATCGACGCCGGGCTGTTTTTCACGGCCAGTGTGGAATCTGGGTGCAGCAACTGCCCTACTGCGGACTGGGTAAGTGAAAAAGTTTTCAACCGCGATCCGTCTTTCGTGCGGATTCTCTACAGCTTCATCGGGCGGTTTCTAGGCTACTGCCTGTACATGCGGTGTCTGGTGCACGCACACTTGTCGCGTTGGGTCTACAAGTGCCTGTTGTCGCCGAAAATCTGGGAAACGTTTCGGAATTTTTCCGCGGGGAAGCGAAGTGCGATGGTGGAGATGGCTGCTGATAGTTTTGGCAATCACGTGTCCTCGCAGCTTCCAGTCGTCGTTGTGAACGACGAGAACCACGACCAAAGCGCTTCCACTTCGGTCTATCCAAGTGCGATGAAGCATCCGGCATATGATCCTGCGCCAGAAGGAAAGTACTGCAACTCCGAGCAGGCTAGCACGACTTGCAGTCCTGCGACGACGGAAGCTGCCGGGTCATTTGCTACCGGAGGGAGTTTCACTGAGCACAGCGTCGAAAGCGTTTTTGAGATCGCCGAACAGGAGGAGCTGTCGGTGCGAGCGAGAGGCGTGCATGTGGATCCTAGTGATCACGAAAAGCCCTTTCACAGCACCGCCTCTGCACCTCTGGCTGATAATGCGAAACCTACACCACCTTCGCTGGTGCCTGCCACAGCGGCTGGTGCAGCCGCCACCACGAAGACACCAAGCGCAATGTTGAAACAAAACTTCACCAATCCAGACTCCTTCCTCCTCACCCTGGACGACGACTGCTTTCTCGGTCCGTCCTGGAACAACTCCGCGGAAAGCGCGATAGCCGACCTGGCAACTGTGGACCCGGTCAAGGCAAAGGGGCTCCGCGAGCTACTCGACTACGAACCGAAGGAGGACGTCGAGGACGTTTTTTGCCTCGATTTTACCCTAGAATTCGACGTTTGCGGCTACAAAAAAGTGGTGAATTTGCTACAAGTAAATCAGCCGACTAGTGCTGGTGGTGGTGGTGGTGGTGATGGTGGTGCTGTTGGAGACATCAATGGACACTCAGAACCACTTCTACCACATCCACCCGCCCTGTCCGTCACAGGCGACAACCGCGAGCAGTACATCCTCTTAGTCTGCAAGTATTTCCTGAAGACCAGTATCCGCGACTCCCTCAGTTCCCTGGTCCTCGGCTTCCAATCGGTGATCCCGCAGCAGTGCTATTCGCAGCTAACGCCGATTCTGTTGGAAAAGCTCCTGTGCGGAAAAATCACCTTCGACGTGGAAGATTTGAAAAGAAGTGTCCGCGTCACGAACCACGACGGGTTGACGGAGGAGACGACTGCGATGAAGCAGCGGATAACCTGGTTTTTCGACTGCATCGCGCAGGACTTGACGGTGGAAGAGCAGCAGAAACTGTTGGTCTTCTGGACGGGGACGGCGCAGGTCCCGGCCGCGGGGTTTGCCGAGCTGTATCCGCCCTTGACGCTGAGTTTGGCCAGCGTGAAGAAGGAAACTTCCAGCTCGACTTCTGCGTTGGGAGAAAATAGCTTACCGCAGAGCCACGTGTGCTTCAACCGGTTGGATTTGCCGTTTTACCCGTCGAGAGACCGGTTGAAGGTAAAATTGCGGAAAGCGATTCATCTGTGTGGAAACGCGGTGGCGATTGAGTGAGCGGGTGGGGTGGTGGGACAGGTCTCGAAAATCGTACGTACGGTAAATGAATGATGTGGAATCATGTTTCCGGTTTATGGAAGTTTCAAATTATGTGCAATGTTTCTGTTTCTTCTGACTAAATGCAAGATAAACCCGAAAGCCTACTCAGGCGCCAATTGACATTTTGTTGACAATTAATGAAAGCAAGAATGAACACTATTCCTGAATGGATGATGAAGCTAGGGACCAAAACTAACACTTTGTATGTCGTGCTGGATAAAAGAAATTGATGCAATCATCATGACGAGTTGTACAGCGATTGCTGATGATGTGAAATTTCCCTGCACTCTCGCACGTAGTTCTTGTCGAGGAGACGCGTTCTCTACCAGGCATTCATTGGAATTGGTTGATCGCGCAAAACGATCCAGTTAAAGTCGAAGAACAGGCTCCACAGATCACGACCGAATCAGGTTCAACTCAAGGTAAAAAGTCATCAGGGAGGTGACAAAAGTTCTTGCTGCGCAGACGAGATCCAAGTTCTTATTTCTACAAAAGATCGAAAGATCATACTACTCCAAAACCTTCTTCTTCTTCTTCTTTTGATACAGCGACCACAATCTGATTTGAAGTAGTAAATACAAAAATAACCACGTATTGCGGACCTCAGCGACCATTTTTTACCAGCCTTCTTACCATTCGGCATTCTCCCCCGCACCATACTTTCCCCGATCAAAAAAATAAGTACCACCCACAGCAATAACCATGAAGCAGAAAACCAACCGCCCCCAGGAGCTCACGCTCGACCCGGTTTTCGAGAAGTATTACCGTGCAAATTGGGGCGATGAGATTTTCGACGCCTTCTGGGAAGCGTCGAAAACCGCCCTTCCCTGTGTCGTCCGCTTACGGGAGAGTGCGAAGAGAAACCACCTCCGCGACCAGCTTTTGAAATACGGCTGGGAGCCGCTAGAAAGTACGAAGACCGCCAAAAATAATTCCTCCTCCTCCGCCGACATTGAGGCGTTTTCCCTCCCCGCTGCCGTCTACAGTTTACCCGACAGTACAGATGAAAGGAGCAAAAACAGCAACAAGCACAGAATCCTCTGTGAAGACGAGAACCGCCGAGGTTTTCTCCAGTTCGGGGAAATCGCGTCGATGCTCCCGGTGATCGCGCTTCAGCCGGAAAAAAACGACAAAATCCTCGATCTGTGCGCCGCGCCGGGGAACAAAACACTAGCTTTGTCCGACGCCGTCGGGCAGGACGGGCTGGTCTGGGCAAACGACTACGACATCGAGCGGACTTGCTGGACGTTGACGCGGCACAGCGGGAAGGCGCGGAGCCGGGGGTTGGTCGTCACCTGCTGGGACGGGGCGACGTTGGGGAAGAAGATTCTGGGCGGTGGCGGAAAATCGTCAACTTGTAGCACAAGTAGCGCAGCAGCGACTGTTGTGAGCGATGGAAATCGTGAGGGTCTAGACCGCCTTGACGTAGCAGTTGATGCACAAGACGACAACATCAAAAGAAGTCCTCTCCTTTTCGACAAAGTGCTCTGCGACGTTCCCTGCAGTGCGGACGGGACTTTGCGGAAGTACCGAGACACGGTGCTGGACTTCCAGAAGAAGCTCCACTACGCAGTCTGCCAGCTCCACCCTTTGCAGCTGGACTTGCTGGAGTCCGCGTTCCAAATGACGAAAGTCGGCGGGTTAATCGCGTATTCCACCTGCTCGTTAAACCCGGTGGAAAACGAGGCGGTGGTTCGGGCGTTTTTGGAAGCGCATGGGGAGGAAGTGGAATTGGTGCCGATCTTCGACGAGATGAACGAGAATGGAAATTGCGACGGTCGTGGATTCGACCAGGACGATTGCGGCAACGCAGCCTTATTCGGTAGAAAACTTCGCGCAACTCAGGGCTTCAAATGCATGCCGGGGTTGACGAGGTGGGAAGACGTCGAGCCGTTCTTGGAAACGACAGCGGGGACGGTTGCAGCTTCCGCGACGAGTAGTGCAGATGTGGAGAAGGTTGTTCTTCTTGAAGATGAGATGAAGGAACATGCTTTCGACGAAGCCGCACAACAGTCGGAGCCAGTGAAGAAGCCTGCAACTACTAGTGCAGCGTCCACCTCTCCACCCCATCTCGCCGCAACCCCAAACACCACCGCCAGCTCGCCCGAAGTTTCACCTGTGGCTGCAACTACTGCTGCCAAAACGACGTCGAGGAAACCGGTTGTCGACGAGAAGGCGAAGGCCGCGAAAAAGCAGAAGAAAGCGCCGATTCTCCCATCTACCGTCCATCCACCAAAATTCCCGGATGAGCGATTGCGAAATTGCGCGCGGGTCATGCCGAATCTGGAGCCCGTTGCGGGTGGGTTTTTCCTCGCCGTGTTTCGGAAGAAGGCGGGGAAAGTGTTTTGTGGGAAAAGAGCAGCAGCAGCAGCAGCAGCTACGAAGCACGATCAGGATGGAGACGTGGTTATGCAGGTAAGCGCTTCATCCAGTTCCACCTCCACAACAACCAATTGTTCTCCTCCCTCCCCGGACCACGAAAAGCAGCTCCAGTTCCGGCAGGCGGGGTATTTCAAGCGACTGCGGGAAAAAGCGAAGTGGCGACGGGAATTGTCGAGTAAGTGGGCCCGGTTTTTCACAAGCAAGTACGACGAGGGGCTGTTGCTCGGGTTCGACGAAGAGGTTGGTGGGGAGGAGGGCGACAGCGAAAAAACAAAAACTATTGGCGGTAAAAAAATAAAGGAAAAACGCGCGTCTGGAGAGGAGACAAAAGAACAAGTGGCGAGAAGCGCAGCAGACAGTGCTGAAAAAACCGAAGCAAGCCTTGAAGAGAAAGGGCAGCAGGATGCAGCAGCCTCAGAAATAGCTCAAGCCGGCAAGCCGCAAACTTCTGGTGCAACCGACGCCACACGACAGGTACAAGATCCAGTGAAACCCGAGGGCGCCACCACGACTCTGGAGCGGGACCAAAGCAACCTCCCTTCCCACGTCACCCCCTGGGAATTTTACGGGTTGGAAAGCTTGAAAGAAGCTCTCACCACGAAAGAATCCGCCACCAGTCTGTTTTTCCACACTTCTCGCGGTCACAGCAAGCCGCGGAAGGTTTGTATTGCCTCTAGTTTTTTGGGCGAATTCGTTTCTTCCGTTCTGGACACTGAGGAGCAGGAGCGGGACGATTTGAAGCGGAAGAGGGTAGAGGAGCAGGAGAAGGACAAAGCGCAAGAGACGATGAAATCAGAACAACCCGGATCATCTTCCTCTTCAGCTGAGCCACGAGTCAAGAAAAGCGACAGCGCTGCAGAGCCAAGTGATCTGCCAAAAGCGGAGGATCAATCCCAAGTGGACATGTCCACGTCCTCTACCGAAAAACAGCCAGAACATCGCGAAGCAATAAAACACCAGAAAAAACCACCTCCGGTGAAAAAGCAGTTCCAAGACGCCGTCGACCCAGAGATCGGCTTCGCCCTGCCCTTCGTCCAGCTCGGTCTGGCGCTTTTCAAAAGGGAGCGGAACGAAAAGTACATGCGGCACCTGAAGTGTCGGTACCGGCCGACGCAGAAGTGCGTGGATTTATTGTTGAAGCACCAGACGAAAAGACGGCTGACGGTCTGTGCTGACGAAGATTTCACAGCATTTTTGAACCGTGACTTGAAACAGGGGCTGCCGATCAAAGAGCTATTGGAGTGGAGCGAAAGTGGGAGAATCACCGGCGTGGCGAATTTAAATGATGAGGTCGGCGCGGCGCTGCTGTGCAATGGGGATGGGAGTGTGGGGGTTTGTGTGTTTATCACGAGTCAGCGGATGATTGTGCAGGCGGAAGAAGAGGATGTGGAGTGGGCGGTTTGGAAGTTGGGTCGAGAATGACGTCTGCCTTTGTACTAACTTATTTAAATGCATGAGCTTGCAGATGCTGATGCAGGAATGCGAAGGCGCGGCGACTTCTCTGGTGCTCTGTTTTTGTTGCGACGCTGGAAATACAGAAGTCTCAGTCTGTTTATTTTCTGACACAGTGTCATCGATCAACATTAACACGGAGGATCATCCTTCACCTATGCTGGCTATGTCTGACTACTGCCGATATCCTGTTCGAGACGACGATGTTCATCAGGCAAAATGATGTAGCAACATGATCGAGGATTATCATTATTTTCTCAGATGCATGAAATGTGGGAGTCAGGCGTGTTGCTAATCGTGGCCAAAATGTTTTATCGTCCAAGTTTCTTACAAGAACTGAGCGGAAGAAAGAGCATTACCAGAGCAGCCTTGTTGAGTTTGAACAGTAGAGTCCTTGTCCGTGACGCGATGAATGCGACTGAGAGGTGAGCGCTCCAGAAGTGTTAGACGCACTCGCTCGTTACATCCAGAAAAATTGATATCTGAGACTCCTCGCCCTCAGGTAATTTCGTCGAGCGCGTCATCGTTCAGCGTCCCGCCGAGTAGCGCTCAGATGTGAAAGTAGTTTCGGCATCAATGAGAATGAATGCCAACAATATCTCCTTGCGTTTTTTCATAATCAGAAGAACAATTATCATTATGTAGGCGAGTAGGAGGCCCTCGTCCTCCATCGTTTCCCTTTCGAAGGATCATTCACGGCGCTTCATGCTGGTTCGCTTCGAGGTTTGCGAACGCATCATGCTGCGCATGTCCACCACCGTCTGGTTGATGTCGTCCTTCGCCGGGATGACTACTGCAGAGAAGGTGGACGCCACAGGCGACGGGGACGCCTCGGAGCAACCCTCTGGTGAAGGAGACAGCACGGAGAGCATCAATTCTGAGCAAGGTCGTGCGGCTCGTACCGCAGCCGCCGACAAGGCCGCGAAAGCTAGTCGAACCAGCGAAATACAACATGAAGGGGCAGATTCCATCTTTAACGACCTTCTTGGGGCTGCGCACGCCAGCGCCAACGATCATTTGCACCGACTCTTGCAGGCCCTCCCCCAAGCTGACTTAGACCACGCTCCGTTTACCTCGGACGATGTTGAAACGCGTTTACTCCGACACGCCTTTCAAATAAAAGGAAACCGGGAACCAAGCCAGCTAAAGGCCTTGAGACACGGGATACCAGACACCGACGACGCAGTCGTGTTGGGGGCGCACTTCAAGCGGTATTGCATCCTCTACGGGTCCGCAGTAGCTGTGTATTCCGGGAGCATTCGTCCCCTCATTCCGACGAGTACACTAGCTCTGCGCATGAACGGGAAGTCGAAAGACGATGTCGAAGATGAACTCCAAACCGACAACATCGCGTATAAAGCCCAACGCGAAGTCTTGCACATATACTTTCATACGCAGAGCGCTTCTTACCGGGACGTTTTTCAGGGCACTAAAGTACAGATTTCCGATGAGTGTGTGTTTTTTATAAGAGTGAGTTGTATCTTCTTCTTGATGGTTTTGGTGTTACTTATCAGCTTACACCAGTAACAGTAGTTCTGCAGTTGTAAGCAGATTTCATTAATCTGCAAAATCAAAAAGCACTTCAAGCTACATGCCACTAGTCCTATAATTCGATGGTCACCTGCACAAAGAACATAATTGAGATAGATGAATGCAAGAAAGAAGCGAGTTATGCTTATGGCATACTACACCACGCGCCGCGTCCTTGCTTTTTCTTCTTCATTCGTTCCAGCCCTGCTCCGTTCCCATTTCGCTTTCATTGTCAATGGCTGGAGCGGCAGATGATGATCGATCTGTACACCGTCGGCGAACGGTTTGCAAACTCAAGCCGCTGCCCAGGGTGCAAGTTAAAACGTCCACACTTACCAACTGACCACCAGAACGAAAATCAATGACTCGCTTGCTTGCGCCTTATCCTCCTTTGCTTCTTCAGGTTCCTGGCCATGCCCTCCATGTTCCTAAAAACTACATGAAAAATCATTACAGATACAGAAGTGTGGTTTTCAATTATCTATTTTTCCATTCTGTTTGCTTTGACATTAGTATTATTGTTGTACTCTTACAGATCGTCGAAGATCAGGCTCAAAAGGTGAAGTTCGTTGAATTGGAGAATGTAGCAGACCACCGTCGGCAGAAGAAGTTATTGTAGAGAATTTCAGGCTAAGTTTACATCGACCCGGACGTGTGGACGAGATCCGCGTTCGCGCGTACGCCGGTCTGCGTGGTGTGGTTGTTTCGGGCAGCCGAGCTTGAGACCTGTCATTTTTTGGTCTGGGCCCATATTATTGCTAACCGCCCCCAGGTATATTTAGTTGCACAGCTGCGAAGCAAGCACGTCTGGCGAAGCTTCCGGATATAGAGAGCCAGAATGACTCTGGCTCTCCACGAGGGGCTATCCACGTTGGTTTACAGTTCTGAAAAGTAGCAGGCTCGGCACCAGACTCATGAAAAATTGGTCCCGGGGTTCAAAAGAAACGCAGGTACAAGAGTACAAAGGTCCTCAGCCTGCTCGCCCGTTGGTTGCAAGCATGCCATGCAGAAAGGACCTTGCCCGCTCGGCCGGGTGGATGATTAGAAACCTAGGCTGCAAATTCTCTCAATAATCTGAACCTGGTGCAAAGAAATTCATGCATAACGACGACAACGGGCGGAAGAAAAATGACGAAACGCAGGATCTGATGATGCGCATGTTCAATCTCGATCTGCGCGAAGGGCGAGGGCCAGAGGAATTGAACACCGAATTGAACGAGCTCTACGAAAAAGCCAACAGTTTTCTTCCCGAACAACCCAAAGACGGGGCATCATTCTCCCAAGTGGCTTCCAAGGAATCACGGGTCGCATCAATCACGAACAAATTGAGCCACAAGGTAAGATCATCATGCGCACGCAGTCCCCTCCACCTTCTTCGTCGTTCCGTGAAGCAGCGGCCGTATTGCACCCACATGATGAAGAAACGATCGGAGCGGCTACTTCAGGTGCCATCGAGTCCACCTCCGCACCGGAATACGCGAGGTTGACACCGCATGCAACGCCAGTGAGAAGAAACGTCGGACAGAGCAGTGACGAACTAAAGCACAAGACGTCAACCACTCCACTTGTTGCTGCACCTGGCTCCAGCGACGAAGCCAGGCCTCCTGCAGTCCGTCACGCGGTCAAGGAGTCGCGGAAGCAAGGTCTTGCCAAGCAGCAGGCTGCAGACGATGACGCTTCATTAATGGAAGCAGAGATGACGTCATCGAGTGCCATCGAGGTAGCGTCTGCGGTAGCAAGAGGCAGCACTGACGCACCATCGGATCATGCTGCATCGCACGTGGTCTCGTCGATCTCCGCAGCAGTGTCAGGCAGCAGTGGTCGCACAGCGAAGACCACGCCGACTGCTGAGATAGCAGCGCCTGCCAAGACGACGTCGAAGAGAATGCTGCGGAAAGAAGTACCGGAGAGGGATGAGAAGCCGAGCTATTCAACTTTTCACCATTTTTCGTACTTTACCGTTGCCGAACTCGTGTCGTCCAAGCAGTGCGGATTATTCGGAGTCCTCGTCCTCGCCGCTTTTGCCTCGTTTCTCATTTGCTGGTGTTCCAGACGTCTGTGTGGACTTGGAGCGTCAGAAGAGCAGCAAGACCGCCGGAATGTCTCGGGGAAAGCGGTTAGGAACAAATTCTCCCGCAGTCTGGAAAAGCACGCGCCGTCCTCCTACGGAACGCTCCAGCAGTCGGGAAGAAACAACCGCGACGAGAGCAGTCCCAGCGAGCGCTGCGATGGCGGGAGGGCGAACAAGGAGTCCGCTTTTCACGTCAGTGGTTCGGACGATGAGGAGAAGCCGAGCCGGCTGTCTTCGGCACAAGAACACATCAACAGCGGGAAGAGGATGGGATTTGGAGGTTTGGTGAATGGGGAACAGCACGTTGCTAGAGAGGATTCTGTGAACGTACAAAGGAACTACTTATTTGAAGAAGCGTCTTTTTTTTTTCACAAAAGTAATTTTTTCTTGCATAGATACGGAGGGATACGCATGTTCGAGAAGTGGATTTCAGATCAAACAACACGAAAACACTCAGGTTAGCGGCTTCTCCATGGACTACAATTCAAACCGGCAGCGCTACATAGTCGAGGGCGCCGAATCCGGGTCCGGAGACGGTTTACGGGATTGCAATACCGATACCAGTCGGAAGAAGACGACGTTTCTTGCGAGGACCAGTGGAGCAATTGCAACCACGGTATGCTTTCGTAGTGTGATTACACTGGTGGCACGAGAAATAGAAAAATTTCGTCCGAAACAATGTGTCCGGCGTGTTTTAATTTGCTTGCATTGAATAATCGATAATACGCGATAGCGAAAACCTAATTTCGAAAACTCAAATCGACCAGAACTCGACGAGCACAAGGCTGGCTACCATGGCGCGTGGCATCATCGGCGGAGAGAGCATCGCTCTGGAGAAGGATGACATGCTGACTCGCCGGGAAAAGGGCGTCTTTGTGACGTCGAGCACACAAGTAGAATCTGGCAGTTCGCATCAGACTGAGGGCACCGCCAAGGAGGTATTGACTGATACAAAGGTGATTCAGAATCGTCCACTGAGCGAGTCCATTTTGCATATTTGGTCCGTACAAGCAGTTGCCCTCGACCTCGAGGCCAATTTTTGCGAAGAACTACCTAGGAGTTCCCCGGCCAGTGCAGCATTTGAAACTAGCGAGGAGTTCCTAATGAAACAGTGTAGCATCTGAAAAACTACAATTTCTACAAAACAGGCCCACGAGACTACTACTTCCGCGACGTCGAGAAACTGTGTGATCGCTGGGCATCATGTTACTTGGCCCGACAGTGCCGTTCTGTCGCCTCCGGACGCTTATCACGGAAGCGACCGCCAAGACTCGCTGGTGTAGCCCTCGGCGGGGACGACGGAGGGAAGACGATGATGTGTCTCAGAACTACACTAACGGGAATGATTTTATGCGAATCACAGCTGCATATATTGATTTCAAAGAAAATGATACGGAAAAGGTAGGGACCTGAAGTTCCGACTCAATATGACCGAGTATGTAGGTATGCTCTGTGTCTTCAGTTGCAAAACCAAATATGATGATAGTGAGAGATATGAATAAATCAACTTCACATACTTACATTGTTTAACAACTCCCCTAGGTACTTACGAAGTAAGTGAAAAAATCACCAATGCCTTATGGTTGAGCTTCAAAGCAACCACTGCGAAACTGGCTGTTTTACGGACAGCACGAAGAATATCAGAATTGCCAGACAGCCACCAGCTAAGCAAATCGACTGATTCACGTAGATAGAGAGGATGTTTTCATCGTAGATTTTTCCTAGCGCTCGTGTATCTTTTGCTCCAATAAAAAACGAATCAGACGCAAAGCCATTGATAGAACACCTAGCATCGAAAGTCGTAGCGCAGCAAGGCATTCCCATGCTTACCCTCTATGAAACATATGCGTTTATAATAGCTGCAGCATTTGCCAGGCTGTGAACAGGTATTTAATTATAGCACCGTAAGTAGAAGCACGGGTAGCTACGCGTCTGCGCAGCAAGCGTTTCAATTAGAGGCGAAGGGTATGGCAAAACGATTTCGCAGCAACACGTTGAAAGAATACTTCAATGAACATAAACAAATGACTTTACATCTTCTGTAGCAGCTCCTCAGCAAAATTTCTAACTCGTAAAGAATTTTTTATCGTTCTTCACAATTAAGTGTTACCCTTCTTTGACGTTTTTAATCCCGCCCCAGGTAAAATGAATGTATAGCTAAGCAATGCAAATTTTGTAAAATCCAAACCTTATCGTTATCCACCTGTATTTGATTTGCGAAGTCAGAATTGTACAGTATTCGTCGTTTTCAATCTAATGGAACTGGAAGGGCTTTTTAGCTATGCGCTGACGCAGTGCTACACATTGCCACTGGTGGTCGAGAGGAAGTACCAAAAGAAATGCTGTTTGTTCTACCCCACTGCGTTTTGAGTTTGCTGATTTGCAGACCTGATCGCAGATGAGTGGACATGCAACGCAAGCTAGTGCTTTTGTTTTGGTCTCCGTCTTGCACCGGTAACAAGTACTCACACCCACACGTCACCATGATCCCATACGCATTTCCGAGCGATCTGCTTTTGCAAGTTTCTTTTTGCCTAGGCTCCTGCCCAGGTAGGTTCGCACCAGGTCGCATTTGCTTAACGCCATGGCCTTCAAACAGTTGTTTTCGTCTCGAACACCGGTCGCGCTGTCATGCGGCCGGGGGTGCTTTACAGAAAGAATGGGACGATCCGCGCGCGTCCGGGTGGGTCGTGCTCTTTTCTTCCTGTGGCAGACATGGTCGTGTGGAAGAGTGTACGGCGGTCAAGCCAGGTCACCAGCAGCTTCTGGACTGCTGGAAGCACGAAGGACTGTGATTCAACACGTGCGCCGTCCTGTGTGCGTGCATTCACTACCTTCTATCGGCCGATCCAGGAGAAGTTGCTTGGGCGCGGGACGGCCTGTGTCAAAGAGTTGCGGGGACGACATGAGAAGCAGTTTTCTTCGATCTCCGCCGCACGGATCAAAAATGCCATCCAGCAACATCACCAGGAGCAAGCCCCCGCTCGAAACCCGGCTACTGTGGGCACTGCACGTGGCACGCAAGTTTTCCCTCCGCTCCAACAAAACCTCGACACCGACGCCAAATTGATCCAGAGTTGCTACCGCCTTGTCACGGAACGGGTAGATCGCCCGATCGCGGTGAATCTCATCCCGCAACTCGACTGCAGCAACTTACTCGGCTTCCCATCGCCGAGTCTGGCGAGTTTGATGAAGTTGAAAACGAAGAAGTCACTCACAAAAAACCCCCGAACAACCAGCCCTACTGTGCCCGCCGGCCGCCAGTCGCTCCTCCGTGAGGTCTTACTCCAGAAGGAAGCCGCGATCTTACACTCCGCTACCTACCAGCAGACCGGAGCGCATAGTGTCGTTTTCCTGACTCGCGTCGGCGATTTTTACGAGGCTTGGGGTTTTGACGCGGTGCTCTGTGTGCAGTTTTGCGGGCTGAATCCTATGGGCGGCAAGGCGAAGTGCGGCTGTCCGAAGAGTTTGGTGCAGCAGACCTGCGACGCGCTCACCACGCAGGGTTTTTCCGTCGCGATCTACGAGGAAGTGGCCGGGGACGTGGTGAAACGAAAAAACGCACAACTGAAACAGCGGTTTCTGGCACAGATCGTCACCGCGGCGCAGCCAACTTATCGGTATGGAATGTCTATTTGCTCGGCGGGTACGGGGGCAAGTCTGGCGTCTAGCACCACTTCGACTGCTACCGATAAGGTTGACACCACCCATTCCCCGATCCTCGGCGCGGGTCTCGAGTTCATGACGAAATCCAGTCTGCAGCCCCGTCCTGTCGTCGCCCTCCGTCGCTCCGTCGATCGCGGGTTCGACCTCTGCGAGATTGATTTGGAAAGCCAAACCTTCCGGCGCCTCCGCGGACTGACGCGGGAAGCGGTCCGCACGCAGCTGGAGCGGCTCCCGGGCGTGGCGCAGTTGGTCTGCTTCCACTGCAGCCCGGCGCAACTGCCCTTTCTGCGGGAGTACACTACGACTGCGCCGGCTTTGGTGTACCGGGTTGGGATGCTGGGAGGCGGGGCTTTCCCGGGGACGACCGGAGCAGGTGGACAAGATGTTGGAGCTAGACCCTCTGGTGCAGGAAATGGTGTTTTTGTGGCAAATTTCGTCCACCAAGCATTGCGGATGCTGCAGGTTAACGACAGTGAAATTGCAAATTTTCGTGAGGTCAGCTGCTCATCATCAGCCTCATCCGATGGGCATCAAACTCTTCAAAACCACGAAGACCTGCCAGTTCTCCCCCCACTCGGTGTGGGCGTCGCGAGGTTCCTCGGCCTGACAAGCACGAAAATCGGAGGAGGCGGTCCTCTTCGGGGCAGTTTTGCAAACGGTGAAACAACGTCCAGCCCTTCCTCCCCTAACCTGATCAGCTGCTTACTGCCCCAAAACAGCCCGGCCTACGCCCACCGCTGGCTGCAGGAGTGGCTGTTGTCACCGCCCGTCTCCAAGCTTCGAACCTGTTTCGCCGAAGCCGTGAAATACTTTCGGGACACGAACCAGCCGCTGCCTGGGCCGGAGTCCCTCCGGCCGGTGAAGTTTGATTTCGCCAGCTGCCACAACTTTCACCAGGCCGGCAGCGAGTTCCAGGTGCTGAAAAAGTCGCTGAAAGCGTTTTTGGACGTGGAGAAACGGTTCCGAGGGAAAATCGTGGAAACCTCTATTTTCCCCATTGCCGCCTACCACTCCGGCGTGCCTGCGAGTGTGGACGTTGTCCGGATTGCGGAAAAATTAGTGCGGAGGATCGAGGAGACGGTCGTCGACGAGACGGCGGCGCGTTTTGGAGACGTGAACGCAACCGGGACAAACGCTTTTGATAGTGCTGTAGGAGATGAGGAGATAGACTCAATATATGTTGCCACCGACACTCACGCGACAACGAGGCAACAGCCTGATTTTCTCAAAGAGCTCCTCGACTTCGCCGCGCACAAAGAGGCCGCACTGAACCAGAGCAACATCCTTGTGTGCCGCGAAGGCCTACGTGACGCATTCGACGCTTTCCAGGGGTACGCGGATTTACAGGTCGGAAAAGGGTTTCGGATTGTTTTCAGAAAAGCGTTGCCGCCAAAACGGGCGGCGGAGGGGGGATTTTCGGGAGGTGGCGATGGTACAGCCGCTGGCTTTTCTCCTTCACCCGCGCACGACTCCGCGATTGTTTTTCAGGACGCACTCTACCTCGCACCGGTGACGAAAAAAGTTCAAGTTGCCAAAAGTCCTCGTGGTGATTCGGCTGCAATTATTGACGAGGCCGAGAACCATCAACATCCATCAGACCCTTCGTCATTCTCTTCCCCACATGAACCAACCAAGTTTTCGAAAAAATCGTCCACCTCGACTCTCGGCCCCCGCTACCGCCACGGTGGCTACCGGCCGCTTGATTTGGTCCGACTGGAGCGAGATTACCTGAGGGAACTCGAAAATTGCGAACACGCCGCAAATGCCAAGATTCGCAAGCTAGCACAGGAAATCCAATCCGAGACCGCGGCTGTCGCATTTATTTCCCACACTTTGGTAGTTGTTTCTGTCGCATCACTCCATGCGGAAGAGAGTTTACGACGCGGCTGGACCTTTGTGGAAGGCGGATTTGAAGAAGAGAGTAGTAACACTCTGACTAGCAGGATAGATGATAAGCACGACAAGAATTCCGCCAGCACTGCCTCGCTTGCTGAAGAGACTGAAAAACCTCCCGCAGCTATCCACCTCCGCCATCTCTACCCGTATTGGCTTCAGTCCCCCACAGACACTGCAAATCCGCAAAACGCGAACACCATTTCGCTCCAAACTGCGAACTCCGTTGTCGTCCTCACTGCGCCGAACGCAAGTGGAAAATCCTGTCTGCTCCGTTCCTTCCTCGCCGTCGTTTTGCTCCACCACTGCGGTTTGTTCGCTCCGGTCGCAGCAGAATCCTTTCTGACAACCCGAATCTCTTCCCTCCAAGCCTTCCACCCGACGGGCGACTGTCCGGTGGAGAATCGGTCAGCGTTTGAAAACGAAATCGCGCAAATGTCCGAGATCCTACAGGAGGTTAACGACTACCACTCTAGGACGAAGAAACCATCTCTCATCATGATCGACGAGTTTGGACGGGGGACCAGCGCCCGGGAAGCGACGGCCTTGGCGGCCGCGATTTTGGAGTATTTGAAACCGCCAAACGGGTTCACGTGCACGATTTTCGCCACGCACTTGCACGAAATTTACCCATTGTTGGAGACAGGAATAACTGCAACGAGTTGCATGGCGAGAACGAGTGATGAAGAAGAAAGTGAAGAAGCTGGTGCTGCAAAAATCGACGCTGTTGGAACAACCAAAGGCGGTGGCGGATCTGGTGAAAGAGCAACTACAACTGAAGCGAAGAATGAGCAAGAAAGCGACTACCTCTTCTGGCGCATGGCCGCGAACTACAAGCTAGAGTCGGGAAAGTGCACGAACAGCGAGGCCCTGCACTGCGCGAAACGCGGGGGATTGCCGGCGAAGATTTTGGAACGGGCGGAAGCGCTGTTGCAAATGGAACAGGAGCACCAAATGGAAGGAGCTGCTAGCGGTGCGATTTTTCGTCCTGCTATTCAAGCTGGAGCAGTTGTGACTGCGGCAGACCCGGTGTCAGACACAACCGAGTTAGAAGACGCTGCACCAAAGAACTTCCCGATGGCTCAGTCAGAATCTCACGTAAAACACGACTGCCCTCATTCGCAAGACATTAACGCATTCGAAGAAAACCAGCCTGACCCGGAAACAGCGCAGTTGGACGTGATTAAACTCCTGATGCAGCAGTTGGCAAGCACACAGCAGAAGCAACATCAGACGTCGGGACTGTTTCCTCCTGATTCAGATTCAACCTGCAATTCTTCAAAAATCGACATCCTCGAGTTGTCCGAAGCCCACTCCCGTCCGCCAGCCTCCGTGAACGCTAGACCCTGCGTGTACTGCTTCAAACTGCAAGAATCCGGCAGATTCTACGTCGGCGAGACGGCGTCGCTGCGCCAGCGGCTGATGTACCACAAGCGAACGAAAGGCAGCTGGTCGACTTGTCTGTGCGTTGTTGTGAACGACAAATCCGCGGCGCAATTTGTCGAGACGGCGTTGATCCAGGAGCTGTGTCGTCGCGAATTCCCGATGCACAGCGCCAATGACGGGAACCGGAGGGTGGCGAGGGGAGGGGGTCGTCCGGGTGGAGGATTTGGTGGCGGCGGGGGTTGATGTGCTACTTCTTTGTAAAACAAATCGACCTAAGTTGCGCTTCCTATCATTAGTAAATTTTGCACTTCCACCTCTACTAGTAGTTTCAAAGAAAATATAACGAGTCTCGTTTTAAGTTTTTGCATTTTCGTTCTGATTGGTACGGTAGTACTAGCAGGCGTCTTTTTTTGAATTCTACCAACATGATTTTCTTTTGTACAATTGACCTCCAGCTCTTGTGGGCGGGACGAAAATTTCTTGTAGATAAAGATATGTTTTGGACGATGGTATCGTCGCGCGAACATCTTGTCGAGTCACTTTCTTTTTCGTCAGACAAGAACTTCTCTGTACCTGGATCTATTCCCATGTCCTACCTCTGTGAAAGATGAAGGACGTTGCAGCCCTTTCCCTTTCGCGAGGAATACAGGTTTCCACAGGAATATTTTATCTGTTCACATCTCCCCAAATTAGCTCGAGCGACAGAGCAGAACAGGTATCATTTTTCAATGCATGCATTCTGGTTCTTTTTCATGCAGTGTGAGATGGCGAGCAACAGCAAGGATGGTGATAGTGCGGCTAGAAAATCAGTTTGATGGCTCCAGTAGATGAGAGTTGCACCAGAATCATTCAAAGTTATTGGTTTCTATCAGTCATTGTCTCTCATCACAAGAGCAACGTGCAGCTTCGTGAGAACGTGGTCACAGCTCTTTTGAAAATTGGCGGTGCGAATTCAAGTGGAGCGCAGTGCCTGAGCGGAGAGCTTGACAGACCAAGTAACTCAGTCAGTAGTACACCATTCTGATATCCGCACGACCACCCAGTATTTTCATCATGTGAGAGCGCACGACCCAGCATTTCTGTCCAAAAAAAATAGCAGCTTTGGATTTTTTGACGCCGGTTTTGTTTTGCATAAGAAGCACGACAACTCAAGGGTGAGTAGAAGCAAACTAGGGAAAACTTGTTCTAACCGAATTAAGGAAGAGCCGTTTGCTTGTAGCTCTAGTCTTCGAGGTCTTTTATTCTTGCTGTATTTAATGTCGCACGGCTTTCACTCATCTTTAGCTTTACAATACCTTGCCTATACTAGCCCCCCCTGGCCCCGTCCCTCTCTGCACCTAGTTTGATGTGGCCGTAATTTTTCAACAGCGTACTAAACAGCTCCGGTAACTTAGTGACCAGCAAAAATCGGCACTGTAATCGATACTGCCTACTTCCACATGAAGGTCTCACACACACATAATCGGGTTGGTTGTCTTTATTGGTGTCTACCATTTTGAACTTTTGACGATGTATTTTTCTCTCGACCAACGGTAGAAGTAAAACGTTAGAAATAAAAATATCATTTGTTACACGTCTAAACTCCAGAGCCAACTAACTTCATCAAGTGGTTTCAGGCTGCTGACGGGCTCAACCTTAGTCCTGTCGGCTTCCTAACTTACATAGCTGTCATCTAGAGAAAGGGTTGTAGCAGGTACAGGAAGTTGTTGTAACTTTCTCTGGAAACTACAAATGTCATGTACACTAGTTTTTGCTCCAAAACCAAAACTTAAAGCGGCCGCAAAATCAGATAACGTCCTTGTCGTCCATGTGGTGCTCCTTCGTGTGTTTGTGTGTGTGATTTTTAGCAGCTTTCACTACTCTCCTGTCGCATGAGACAGTTCATTTACGACTACATTTTTTTACGCAGCTTAAACTTAAACGGTGAAAAACGATACATGTAGGTGCGGCTTCTTCCTGCTATAGTGGTACCTGCTCACCACTTGATCTACGTCTAGCTGCAGGCCTATTTTTGTGGTATTTTGTGTAGCCCACTGTGTCTCGTTTTCATCTGTTTTCGGGCCGGAGGGGCACATCGCTCGACCGGGCCGATCTTGTGATCACTTCTTTACACAAGTTTTGCTTCACGTCGTGCGTCTTCACAATTCTGAGCACTCCTGAGCGATCACGATACACCGGACGCCACTCATTGTTCCTTGACTAGGATATCAGTGCTCCAGCTACGGCTCGTGAAAACTTGCGGCTCGTCCCAGCATCTTCATCTGGATACGACCGTTCGTCCCCGGCTGAAGAAAAGCTTGCCGTTTGCTACCCTTGCTCCGGCGTGACGTGAAGATTTTCCTCGTTTTTGACGCGTTTTTGATGCATGGAACCGCCCGACGAAGAGTTTTCACTGCCCTCCGTGGTCCCGGTCCTTGCCCGCCGGTCCACGCAGTTGAGTAGCGGTACATCAAAGGGGCAAGAACAGCTTCAACGAAGAACTTCTGCAATAACGTTGGAGGAACTGGTGCTAGCATGGCTCCACGACACCATCGTTCACGGGCTGCAGACGGCCAGCCGGAAGGTGGGAATGTGGCGACTTTCTTTGAAACGTTCAAATATGACGCATGGCTAGCAACGCGCCGGCGGCGCTGATGTTGTTTATGTTTTGATGCAGAAATGCATAAACAAAGAACGCAATTCCCTTTACGTCGTAAAACTAATCAGGTTCGTCAGCGCATGAAGGAGACGCTTCCGGACTTCGGACTTCCCCCAAAGGGAAAACTCGGTCTCCGACACCTGTCCGATGGGCGGCTGCTACTGGTCTTCATGCAAGCCCTGGACATCCGGCTGTGCAAGCGCGCGAGCCCCGTTCCGGTCGGCCGCCTGGCGCAGTTCCAAGTCGCGTGCCGGTGTCTGGGCGTTCCGCGCCGGGAAATTTTGCAGACCAGTGACGTGTTTCCCGCACCGCCGAGGAACCCTCGTATTTACGTGAATGACTATATGGTTTTTGTGTTGTTATCGCAATAGTACGCTTACTTTGAACTGTTGATATCAAATCAGAGATTGTCGACCCTCTATCGCAGGTCGCGTCCTCTACTGCATGTGCCACGTAAACGACGCGCTCCCGGAGTCCTACGCCGGCCCCAAACTCCCGAAAAGCGACGCCCGGTCTGTCGTGCCCTCCATTCCCTGGCAGGACGAAAGTTTTCTACAAACAGAGCAGGACGGGCGGACTCTCCGGCTCTACGACGGGTCGCGGCATTTGTTGCGCGCCCAAATCGCGACCAACACGGAGCCGTCGAAGCGGAGGAAGCGGGTCCGGAAGGTCAGGATTCACTCCAGCAGAACCGATCCGCCGGCGAGCAGTCGGGGAGAACTACATACTGGGGCGGGTGGGAGTGCAGAAATAAATCAGGCAGGAAGTAATAGAACGTCTGGCACTGCCACTGTCGATGGAGCGGGCGCGAACAGCGGAGATCTACACAGTCGTGGCTCTCAGCAAGAAGCTCCTACAGCGATGCAGGCCGAGCAAACTTCTGATGTCGCAGCAGCAAGTCCTGTTTCTGCGGACGCGGAAAGAACACCTGGAGACTCATCTACATCAGCAGGACTCCATCATCCCGAACAACGAGGCTCCGTTGCCGGGGGGCAATCAGCAGACCCTGCCGCTGCAAACAGTCACGCCGCGCTTTCAGACGACGACTACTACTGCTACATCGATTCCACCTCGTCCTCTGGCGGGGAAGATGACGCGTCGGAGGATGAGAATCAAGAGGCAGCAAACAACCGCGACAAGAACAAAAATCTTACTAGCGCAAGAGCCGAAGAAGACGAGGATCAAGACGATAGTGCCGCCGCTTGCCACCTCCTCACCCGCAGCCAGACCTGTCACGAGCCTGCGAGGAGTTCTTGTTATCGCAAGAATAGCGAAGATGGCACGGAGGACGCGCATAGTCATGCAAGAAATACTCTTTTCGACAGCGAACGGGCGTACCAGGACTACGTGTTGCGCTCTTGGACCGCGAATAATCCGTCGAGTGCGTCGAGTAACAGCAAATCTGCTTCTTCCTCTTCGCGCACCAGGCATGAGCAGGTCCTCGACATTTTGATCAACAAGCAACAGAGCGACCCGCTCAGCCGTTTCCGGCCGAACTGTTTTCCGGCCAACGTGGTGTCCGCGCCGATCGCGTTTCCCGCGACCTCGCTCTCCCACCTGTCGGAACTGCGGGAAAGGGAATTTCGGGAAGAAACGAGAAGCAAAGCATCGCCAGTGCGATGTGCGTACGGAGACGCTCTACTTCCGAAGAGAATCGTTCCGAAGGTTGCGAACTTGCGCAGCGAATGGGTGCGGAAAGAGGACGCAGACGATATTGCGATACACGCCGAAGAAGCAACGAAGCCGGTGGAAGCTGTAAATGACGAAGATCTTCAAGGCTTATCATCTTCGTTGTTGCGCTTACCGGAAGGCCGTCTGAGTGAGGTTGTGAAGACTGTGACTCCGAGCACTGCGGAACCGTCTCCGCTCTTTGGGCCACCACTGGCGAAGGACACGAGCCCGCTGGATGAAAATTCGAATGTTGCGGCCTCCGCTGCGTTCGCAACATCCGCAGGTCTGCAGAATGACGTGGAATCAAAAGTAGAAGAAGCACACCCAGATCCGCCCACGAACGACGCCATGCCGCCCCTGATGTCCCTCGAAGAGTTCCTCCGCGATGTCGAGACTTTTCCACAGGACAGCACCGACGTATCAACCTCCCAGTTGTTCGAGTTAGAAAACGAGAACGAGCACAGCTGCAACGAGGGCGCTTCCGCCTCGACGAAGTCCACGCAAAGCACCAGCTGCTGCACAGGTAATTACTGCGAGTCGTTTGCACATGCACAACCAAGTTCAAGTGCAGTAATGGGGCCGAACAACGTGGTGACATCGAGTGCGGTCGCCCCTGATCGGATCATTACAGCGCCGGGGGTGAACATCCTGCCGCCCGCGAAGAAGCACCGCTCGCGCGACCACGTGGAGACGCCCAGCACCATGACCAGCAGTGCCTTCGGATTCGGGAAGGGGCCGGTCTTTTTCCAGGCCGGGCACTATCAGACTGCAAGTGCGGGACCTCCCACGGCTGCATCGTCTTCGTGCGCCAGCTCTGCAAGCTCTTCGAAGAGCAGTGCCAGCGGCGCAGTGAATGGAGAAACTGCGAAGATGAACCTGCAGCAGCACAATGATTTCGGGAAAATGAACACTGCATCCTCGTCGCCCACGATACGAGTAGACGATAAGCGAAAATTATCTTCGCGTCTGAAAACGCCGGAGCTGCTACTAGACGGTCGTGCAGCGGCGCTCCTTGCCCAAGGCAAAATCGGCGAGCAAACAAATCAGGAACTGCATGACGTCCAACCAGACCGGCACCAACACATCCACGTATTGGACCTTGAAGAGTTTGGGCCCTCGCCGCCGTCGTGTCAGAAGTTGGTCTTCTCGTCTTCAAGAAAGAAAAACCAATTGGATCGCACGTCTTCACATGGTCAGCTCGTCCAGCAAGCATCCTCACCGTTGCTTCCAGGAGGTCCACAAGCCTCTGGCACCATCCTGGTCGGAACGGAACCGTCCTCCTCCAGTCGCTCTAGACCACCGAACCAGAAGTTCATGAATTGCTCCACGCAGCTTTCTCCGGAAGCAGAGAGACTCCTCGCGAACAGCCAGAGTTGTAATCATCAAAACCGACCGCCACCCCATGAAGATCTGTTCCCACCCGGCTTCTCTACCCCCGATCGCGCGTCGCGCAGACGGGAGCAACGGGTGCGGCGCTCATTCTTCGAGCGCCGCAGCACCAGTCGGAAGCGTAGCAGGACGAAATCCGGGTTTTGTGCGGGAGACGACGAAGATGCTCTCAACGGCTCGGGTTCACGCAGCCCGGTTTCGTCTGTCACGACAATTCTCTCCAACTTCTCCTCGCACAACAGCTATGTTGGCCGCCGAGACGGCACAAGGAGAAATAACAGCGGCCGCGATGATAGTACTGAGAGAACACCCTTTCACGACGACAATCAAGATAGTCCGCGGCAGAACCCTGACATCGACGCGCTGACCTACGTGAAGTCCCTGCCCACCTGTCGGGGCTGGCTGACTAAGAAAGCGCTTACGTCTGGGGGCACGTATCAATACCAGTGGCGGTGGAGCGTGTTGGAAAACCTGCAGTTTTCCTTCTGGGATACCGAGCAGGACTACGATGAGGGGCGGCCCTGCGAAGCCGATTGCATAAACTTCTTGGGGATCGACGCGGAGGGAACGCAGCCGGTGCGGGTGGTACAGTGTCAGCGATTTGATCGATCATGTTAGTTTCGCTTTCGCTGCATTTTGCAATCAAAGAAGGAGGCGGCAGTAGACATTTATTTTTCATTTTGCGGATTAACGTTTAAATTTTGAATGTACTTATTCGGATTGATATTCATCACGCATCACAGCGCCTCCGCGGTTCCGGCGGAAAGTTTTCCGTCTCGGTGGGAAAGACTATCCGCATCGAGCTCGCGTGCGCCGACCCAGAGACCTGCCAGCGCGACCAGTGGGCCAGTTTGCTCGCCTTGCACGCCTCCTGCGGCCGGTTGTTGCGGAAGCAAATCATTGACGATTTACTCGCTGGGAACGAGGAAGATGACTCGAGTTCGGAGAGAAACTTCATCTCCGGATCTTCTTCATGCGGAGATGGGAACAACGCCGAAGTCCAATCACAATCTGCTGTAGCTGCTTCATCGCACAAGAACGACCCGGCGGGTAGAAGAACAACTACCGCAGCTAAGGAACTCGAGTCTCTACAGCGCGTTCTCCAGTACTCCCCGCTGGCTCTGCTGCAGGACGTGTGGGTCTCTAGCGAAACGCGCGCGGAGGCACTGGACACTGCTTCGTACGAGGTCGATGAAAGTGCCGGGCAGGGCGGGACGAAAGATGACCACGAGAAGGCGGCGGGGAAAACTACGAAAACTGCTTCTTCGAAAAAACGAGACCGCGGAACAAAAGAAAAACGCTCCTCGACGCGGCGGAAGAAAGACGGGAGTAGAGATGCTGCTGGTAATAAAGATGGGGCTACAACAACTATCGGTGGAAGCGAAAGCGCGAAGAAGCAGAAGAAATCATCTTCGAAAAAGAAGGACAGCAAATCGTCCAAAGGAAGAAGCTCCGTAACGGCGTCAACGTGTGCTGCGACCGTCGTTGCAGAAGATACATCAAATGTTCCAATGGCGGTGGCAGACGGACATCATCAAGCCAGATCCACACCGCATGATGTGCCCGCCCGCGGGAACAAGCAGCAAGCTTCCTCTGTTGAAGATCCACCACGTCATTCTCTTTCGCCAGAAGATCTTCATTCCGCGTCTCCTAGCCCGGGGCAGACCGCAAATAAAACCTCAGCCCAAGGAGGACCAGTGGTGCAACAAGTGCAGAAGACAGGTAAGAAAGTGCAGAAAGCAAAAACCGCCCGCAAAGGAGATGTGGAACACAGCGATTGTTCCCAAATAACTCTTCAAAGCGTTGACGACGCAGCTGTGTCGAAAGAAGATGGAGATCATGCGAAAACCAAGCGCGTGAAAAAAAAGAAAAAGAAACCCAGGTGAACTGGAGTTCTGTGTATGGAAAATGATAAATACAGATCATGGCGATACCAATTCTACTACCGTGTGAACAACCACCTCGATGAATCTTCCCGCCACCCAATTGCGTGCTTGGTTGCCCTCGTCAACCAAGCAACATTCAGTACCACCGCACGAAGAATTCTGCACCACTGGCAAGGATTGTGTCTTGATTTTGCCGTTCGACAACGACATAGGATGGAAAATGCGCCAAGATGTGATTTTGATGTGATCTGTTCCGCTTGAATGTCTGTTCCGCTTGAATGTCTGTAATGCCTAGGTGAAAGCCAGGTAGTAACGGCAGTCCAGCTCTTGCTTGAGAGATGCCATCGGTGTCTTTTTCTTATGCGAGATTCTTACTTTTCTTTCTTCGTAGTTGCCGTAAAGTATTCTTTCTGTCCTCACCACTCTGAGGAAAGCAAGAATCTAGTCCATCGGGGGGGAGAGTGGGGCTTGTTCTTTTTTTTTTCCCGTTTGGCCAATGGGCAGATTTGGGCCGGCAAGACCGGCGGATCTTTTGCAAAGATGAAAACCCCCAATGACCTTCTTCCTTTTATCGCGCAACCTCCTATAAGATTCTTTGAGGTGCCAAGATTGGGACCAAAGAATGAAAAAAAACTCAAGAGCGCAAAACAGTAAAAGAAAGAAAAACGCGCCACCTTCCAGCACCCGCCGGGCTGGAAAGGAGAAAACTCATATAAAAGAAAAGAAAAGGCAAGGCTCCAAGCCTAGGCGGTGGCAACTGGCGGCGCAGGGCATAACTTCGTGTTTTCCTGTGGCCCCCGGTGGCGTCGGTATACCTCTCCTTCCGCTCCGGCGGTTTGAGAGTCAGCGACACCTCTCGTAGCGCTGTGGTTCTTGGATCCGGTTTGACGTCAGGTTGAGCACATGAGGAGGGTTGTTCAGCACTGGCGGCTCTTTGGAGGTTGATCTGCTCACACGGATGAGGTGGTAGTGTGATGCTTATCTGAAGCGCAGCAGCAGTGAGTTTTCGGATTCACTCACACTGTGCGACTCCCTACGCTTGGTCGTTCACCGCTAAAACGGGTGGTGTTTGGTCTTGCTGTAGTGCCTAAGCTCTCTCAAGCTTTCGCAAAGGACTTACTCTCAGGATTCATTAGCTGTATATGTCAGACAGTTACTCGCAGGCCATAAGAGGCGAGCAAAGGGTTGATTTTGCTGTTCGACAACGACATAGGCATAATAGATGCATAAAGCAACAAAACACCTCTGTGCTGGCACATCCCAGCCAGCTGCTGAAGGTGAGTAGGACGATGAGAACATTCAACCACAACCCTACTCAAGTTTCATAACTAAGTGACAGAGGACGTGTTCAGCAGCAGGAGGGCAAATAAGTGGCGAGTGAGTGCTCTCAAGAACCTAGTGTTGAGCAGTGGGATTTGCTTTTTTAAGAGTGTGACCACATTCTATACCAAACAAAGCCTGGAGCATCAATGAGGTTCTAAGTAACCCTATCACGGTATTGAAGCTCCCCACGTTGTCTTCAACAGTTAACATAGTTATTTGCGGCAACCGATCATGCTGTCAATGTCTTGTTATCGAGACCCCCACCGTGCGGGTGCGCGTTTTTACTAACTAGGAATTCTTCCGGTATTTCGGGCACTATATTATGGGTTGCGGATCTTCCAACTTGCCGTCAGGGGCCGGGCTGAGGCCCCCCAGGCAGTCCGCTGACATGTTTGCTTCCGCGGTAGATACCTGTGACTTCGCGATCCTCCGTTTCTACAAGGGGTCCCTGTACAGTTCCGAGATCCCCGACCCGGCCTTGCACAAACTCGTCACTACGACGGGCGCGACTACCGGGAGTATTTGCCAGGTGCTAACCGTCTGCAAGCGTGCCGGGTGGAACTACACCAGCTACGGTTTGACGGCCGGCGGCGCACCGCCCGAAGACGGCTTTGAGGTCTTCGTCATGCAGAGAATAGGGGCTTAGCAGAATATATTCAGCGTAAAAAATAGTGACTTCGCGACGGCCCCAGCCCCACATGTGTTTCGTTTCGCGCATTTTTTTACATTTTTTCGAGAACAATGCCCACGCATGATCAATGACAATGTCGCATCGGACAAAATTGCAAAAAAAATCCTGAGGATGTTGTGCAATGTGTTGGAAACAACTGGAATACTACCTCCTGACGCGCGTTGTCGTTACCCCTATTTCGCCTTGGCAGTAGCAACTGATTTAGTGCGTAATTTTTCGGATGCGCGACAGTCTGGTGCCCTCCGTCAAACACTACGCGGGGCGGAAACTCAGCGGAATACTAGGTTTATCGCGGGTTTTCCCCGAGCGATCGCTGCATATTTGTTTGGCTAATAAATAGAGTTCTAGTTCTTGGAAGCATGTTGTCGTGTGTAGACCTGTTGTCATCAACGAGAAAGGACAAGTACAATTCGTAGAAAAGCCCCACTTCACTCCTCGTCGTCTTCGCATTCATCGTGACTTCGATCTTCATCCTTGCTTTCGTAGAAAATCGAAATCGTTATCGTCAGGTTCTTTCGTCAGGTCGTGGCTTTTCGCAAATCGGTTGGCTTCGAAAAAGTGGAGTACTAGTACGCCAGGCCTCTGCAATTAGGTTTTTCTGCTGAAGGAGCGGTAGTTTTTGTTTGCATTGACCTCAGCAGTCCTCCTCCGGAATATTTCATCTTGGCGCCTACTGTTGAACTTGATCTTTATCGTTTAGAAGTCTTTCACAAACAACATTCCAATAATGGCTCTCCGCAGCATGCTGGACATGGACTCGTGGTTTTCCTCTGCGCCAGATGTGTTGCCAAGGATGATAGGGAACAAATTACGACAGACAAAAACTACTACAGATTTAGTTTCGGGACAAGAACACACACTTACTTTCTCCGGCGACTCGTCTCCATTCACGGGAAGATTCCATCGATATTACCCTCACACAACAACTACAACCACCTCCTTCAGCGCCCTCCCCTGCTGCCCGGGAACGGGGCCGGCGGACCCAGATCCGCCGGGGGAGACTAGTGGTATGACCGTGACCGACGAAGGCGCGGCGAGTAAGGACAAGGCAGAAGTACACGAGGGAATTTTCGTCGGGATTGCTTCTCTGATCGTCGGCTTTATTTCGTCCAAGAAGGTAAAAGGTGCGAGAAAACGGTACAACGAACAGAAGGAAGCGGAAAAAGAACTGAAGAAACAAAAGTATTATACTATGCGGGTTTATTTTTTCGAGGATTTTTGCATCAGTTACAGTTTTATTTTAAATACACATGACGTTTTTATTGTGCTTCTGCAGGTGGATCAAAAATATCTATTGGCTGTTCCAAAATGAAATCGAAACAGGGAAGACCTCGAGGCAGACAGCGGCGGGGATTCCTCCGTCGTGGACAGCGCCGACAGTGCCTCGGACGAGGGCAAGGTGACGCAGCAGGACAGCAAGGCGGCCCAGCCAGACGTCGTGGAGGAGGTGGCTGCGGGCGGGGAAGGCGGCGCCGGAGCAGGAGACGCGGGCACGCCCGGGAGTCCGGAAAGTGGCGGGGAGGGAGGCGAGAACAAGAAGGGCAAAGGGAAAAAGAAGGGTAAGCCCAAATCGAAATCGCCGCCAAGTGGCGGGAAGACAAAAGGGAAGGGGAAGAAGAAAAAGTAGGTGTGTATAGAGGTTGTTTTTCTGAACATCATTCGAAAACAGCAACAAGAAAAGATGAACTCGCCTGGTGATAGGTGCATGTGTTCCTTTCATCAAGGCAGCACTGTAGTTGCTCATCCATCTGTTTGTCGTGCCGGTTAGAGTGGAACCCGCAACTGGATGAACTGTCCACAGAGGGCACTATGGCGGCATTTGTTACATCTAGCGCAGTACTGTCGCGCTCAACCCTATGTTATGTATTTGTTCACCGTCATGGCCACGATGTTCGTTGTATTTAGAAGACTTTTTTCACAAGAAATCGAACAACATTTTTCGGTTCCTTTTCACTTCAAGTTCAACTAGTTCACTTTCGTTTTTTCGGCAGCGATGAATTTGAATGCAGCTTCATGAGAATCAATTACTGCAACTAGAAATCCAATGACGCAGGAAGATAATGTCCAACGTACAACTACTCCCAAGAACCCTCTCCTTCCTCCGCCTCCCCGGACGACCGGCGCAGCACCTAGTCGGCCGCTTTCGGTCCTTCCTGGCTTTGCGGAAGTTGGTGCAAGCGGAGGAAGGCAACCCAGAGTTGCAACGGTTTTTCAGCCAAACGTTTCTTGGCAGGAAGAAGCTGCAGGACAAATCCAAGCTGGTAGGAGGTTTACTGCCACTGTCGCTGCCATCGAGACTAAAATTGTTTGGGCACAACAGGGAAGAGGGCCCAGAGAGATGTTTGGCAAAGGCACGAGCAGCGGTTGATGCTGTCCTCGTTGGCCCCCAGCACGCAAAATGGCAGTGCTCCACGTTGCACTTTTCGTGGCTGCAAATCGAGGCGCGAGCAACATCGCCTGCAGTCAACATGTCTTCAACTACCATGTCTAACAACTACAGGGACTGCAATGGCGTTTACTCGCCGACGAAACACGAGACCATCGCGCACGTCAGGAACGTTCTGAGAAAAAATTTCTCAAACATCCTCGAAGACTACAGGCAAATCACAACCTGGTACCAGGACCAAAACATAACCGGCACCTCCGTGGTGAAATCGGGTAAGTGGACGAAGTTCCCGGTTTTATCGTATGCGAAATTCCACGAAGAGGCGAACTGGACCTTCACGCAACAATTGTTGCAAAGCGAGGAGTTAGCCCCTTATCTCGCGAAAGGCCTGGGAAGTTGCTACTTCAGCCGCCTGCAGGGGAAAACGCACATCCGGGAGCACTACGGACCCACGAACGGAAGGGTGCGCGTGCATTTGGGACTCGAAATTCCGGGCGAGAACGGCGGGTTGGGGACGAGGGGATCTGCAACTGCTGGCGTGGGAGATCATCGTGCTACATCTGTTTATGGACAAGATTCTACTGTTGCAGCGGCAGAAGTGGAAGAAGCTGCACGAGTAGATGTGGAACATCAGCAACAAAACCAGCATTGCTTCCTCCGTGTGGGCGATAGCTGTTACCCCTGGATCCAAGGCGATATCTTGGCCTTCGACGACAGCTTCTATCACGGCGTTTACCTCGACAGCGGAGATGGAAATGCGACAAATTCCTCTTCTGAGAGGGAGAACGTGAGGGGTACTAGTGCAAGGATAAAAACCTCTTTCGGGAATAAATCGAAATCACCAGCATCCGAAAGAACAGACGAAAATCTAGTGCGTGGCGTTTTGGTCTTAGACATTTACCACCCTGATCTAACGTTCGCCGAGCGGCGATTTTTGGAACAAATGGAGCAAATAAACGCCAAGTTTTTACCAAAAGCGCAGAACTGGAGCCAGATTTCAAATGCTCGCGGCAGTTTTGCACATTGAAAAACTACGAACAAGTTTTTACACCACCAATAGTTATCGCGGTGTCGATAGTGTTGATTTGTTCTCTAGAACGTAATCTTCGTGTCAAGGGTAAAAGTGATTGAGAGACTCGAGAGAAAAGATAAGCAAATCGGAAGTCGTTTATTTGACCACAAATCGGATTTCGTTTATTCGTGCCTTCATCTTTTCTGAGTGACAAGCTTCAAATCGTTTCTTAACTCTTTGCTTGTTTTGTCGCATCACAAATTGCTTTTGAGCACTTGTTTTGTTTTCTTCCAAAAACAATCATGAATGGAATCTTTCCCAAACAATTCGTTTGCTCCGCCGCGGGCTCAAGGTCCTAAATGTGTATCGTAAACTGTTAACGAACCCAACCAAGAAATAAATAAATACTTCTGAAAGAACGACCAATGCTTTCTCCGCATTGAGACCTTCGCTGTTCATCCGACGCTACCATCGTAATTCCATTCCGACGATCAACACGAAGATCGGGAAGATCTGAGTTTTGGAGAGTGTCTACCCGCTTTTCGCAGTGGTAGCGGAGATCAGGTTGTATCTCCAACCTATCTCGCTCCCGGCCTACGACGACGGTACGGGACCAGTGCGGAACCTACGAGAGAAGATCCTCCCCCTTTTTGAATGAGCCCAACGAATAACTCCTGAAGACACTCGGAGGAACAACGATGAACGGACATACCAGGCAGTCTAGCAATGCCAGCATGGGTATGCCGATCGGCGCGGACGCTGCGTTCGTGCTGCAGGAGCAGCAGCAGGGAATGCTGAGGAACGGCAGCAGTCCGAACAGTGAAGTCCCGTACAACGGCGGGATGAATAATTCGTCTAGAAACAACATGCAGATGCAACGTGTGCCAGCGCCCAATCAGATGCAGGTGCAGAATTGGGTGCAGCAGCAACCGCGTGAAGTCCAGTTGCAACAGCAGCAGGCGCAGTGGTCTAATTCCAATGGCGTGAACCAGATCCCGCCGGGAATCGGTCCACCCAGCTATTGGGACAATGTGATTGGCGCAACTGTTGAAGGGCGGACGCAGATGCTAGGTCAGGCCGCATTCTCGCTGCAGAACACACAGCAGCAGAATTTCAACCAGTTGTCGAATGCCGCGATGCAGCTAAATCAACAACAGCATCAGCTCGGGCAAGCTGCTGTGGAAATCAACCAGCAGAATCAACAACTTGGACAGGCCGCGATGCAGTTGAACGCACAGCGTCAGCAGCTGCAGAGTCAGAATATGATGTTGAACCAGCAACAGGACCAGATGCTGGCGCAGTCCGGTTTTAATCAGCAGCAGTTGCAGGCTGACGGACAACAGATCCTGAACCGGTTCGGAAATGTCGATCAGAGTCTGACCACGGTGCACTCCTCGCTCCAGACGCAAGCCCGTGACTTGCAGAATCTCGCCCGAATTGCAAATGACCTCGAAGAGGAGTCCAAAAGCAAGAAGGCAGAAAAGGAGCAGTACGAAGCGCGCATGAAAGAAATGGAGGAAGAAATCGCCCGTCTCCGTGATTCTCCCCGAAAGAAGAAGACTGTGGATCGGCTGAACGAAGTGGAACAGCAGATCAGCAGTGGGGAAGAGGGCGGTACTGTCATCTGGGATGACGTCATCGTCGGGAGACCGATCTTGGACTTGAACGAGGACGGAGACGACACGCTGTCGAGCATGCAGGAATCTCCGGATGGCAAAGCCAACGAGTCGAGGAAGAAGTCAGTCAAGTTCGAGGAAAACGGTCACAAGAAGAGTTTCTCTCCTAACACCAAAATTCCCGCACGCAACCAGGAGACTGCGGATCGAGAACAGCGTCTGCGTGATTTCATGAAGACGCACCGTGAAAACTACCAGCGTGAAGAAGCTGAAACCCGTGCGAAATTCCTCCAGCAGCAACAGCAGTGGAACTCTGGTGGAAGCATGAACGGATCCAGCAATGGAAACTTCAACAGTGGTCACGGTGGCTACAACCCGTATGCAGGACATGGTCACCAGGGGCACGGAGTGAATTCCGGTGGTGTCCGGCCTGGTTTTGCCAACTACGGGTCTGGTGGTTTGGGTCCGAGCAATGGTTTCTTTGGCGGAAATCAGCAGTTTGGCCCGCACGGAAACTACCACGGAAATTTCGGTACGAACCCTACGGGAACCATGAATGGTGGTCACGGTTTTGATCGACGCCTCAGCAGCGCCGGTGGAAACTACGGCGGCGGTGGCTATCAGGTGCAGGCACCGAAAATGCCGGGAATCGCTGAGTCCCTTCTCCCGATGGGAACGCGACGTGACGGCATCGTGCGATCCGAGAAGTTTTTCTTCACCAAGATCACGTTCGAATCCACCTACAAGGAGCAGAGCGGTGATCGACTCGGAGTTCCGAACGAGATGCGTTTGATGATCAAAGACCGTATGCCGGATCTCCCTGCACCCACGGTGAAGGAGAATTGCGCCCTGTGCGGGTGGTTGGAGTCGCTGGAAGAATACCTCATGGGTTTGATTCGCGACGACAACAAGCGCAGTGACGGAAGAGTTTTCTTTCCTGCTCGTGCCGAGCACTCCATCATCGAGGAAATGCTCTTCGAAATCGACGCGGACCGTGCGAAAGTGTCGAAGTTTTACCACTGCATGGCCAAGTCAATGAAGGAGAAAGTCCGCCGGTTCTATTTTAAGAGGAACTACCGCGAGACGTACACCTTCGCCAATCTCGCCGAAGCGCTCTATGTGAGCTACGCGTCGGGATTCGTCCGGAACCGCGTTGAGATGCAGAAGTGCAAGTCCTTCTATTTCAAGAAAGGTGATGATCCGAAACAGGGTCTATTGCGATACTGCGACGTGGCACAGGATGCGGGAATCAATCCCTTCCCAGATAACCATCTGGAGCGACACCGGGTGTGGGAAGATTTTGTCTCCAAATGCCAGAACAAGGAGAACCCCCGCAACAACAATTTTCCGGTCGAGCTGACGACGCAGTTCATGATGGCGCCGGGGTTTGCCACCATGGAGGTGCCCTACATCGAGGAATTCATCAATTTCCTCAACATGCGCGAAAGCGTCAGCGTGTTGATGCCAGGACAGGATGAAGAAGCTGCTCGCGACATGGGTTTGACCAAAGAACAAGCTTTCCCGGTCTGCGAAGAAGAAGTGGGCAGTTTCATCTCAACCTCGGTGGCAGGGACTTTTGGTCCAGGCAGTGAACTAGTCCTGGCGGCGAAGACCAATCCGCGCAGCAACTACCCGTACGACCCGAAGAAGCCGTTTGGAAAATGGCCAGTGGGGAACGGGGGCAAAAACCAGAACAACCAGAAGTACGCCGGTGAGTGGAAAAACGGTGGTGGTTCTGGACGGATTGTGTGTCGCAAGTGTCTCTCGAAAGAGCACAAGACGGACGCCTGTCCGTACGAGGTGAAGGTCTGCAGCTTGTGTTTCAGCCCCGAGCACCTGCGTGACAAGTGTCCGAAGATGCAGAAGCAGCTGGCCGCTGGTGCTGTGATCGAGCCGGTGACAGCTCTGTTGGGGACCGAGAGGTTTGCCAAGGCCAACATGCCGGAAAAAGTCGCCATGTTGGTGGAAGCTATCGGCCAGGGCGACATTGAAGCGGTTCTGTTCTCGGTGGTGAAGAAGGACGACACTGAGCGTGCGTTTGCGCTAAGTATGGCTGAGGACACGTCCAAGAAGGAGACCTGCTACTACAACGAAGAAATCTTCGGGCGCAACGACGAAAGCCAGGAGTTGGTCTTTCCGGTGAGTGAGGGTTTCCAGGCGGGCCACAGCGGACGCCAGTAAACTCAACGCAGACTTCTATCGAAAATGTGAAAATTTTGAAAGAAGAAGAAAGTGAGGAGAAAAATTCTTCGAACAGTCATGATGTTGCCGAACTTTCTCAATCAAAAGTTGACCTCAGTGAATTTGTCAACTATGCACTACAACGAGCTCTTTTTGCAAGTGAAGATCGGGGGTACGACGACAATTCCTTCTCTGTCCAGAACAGTGCCGACCCCATTCTCGAGAAGATTCTGCACGAAAAGAACGCGACTCTAATCAGTAAAGAAGTTGAAGAATTCTCTCCCAGCAGGTGCGCGACCATTTTGGCCGACCTGCAAGGTGAAAAGCAGGCACTTTCCACATTTCCTTCTTCTCCTGCGGAGACCGCTAGCGGCGCGACCATTTTGGCAACCGAGCGGCACTTCTGCCAGGATGAGAACAAAGCACTTTTTACAATCGAAAGAACCGAAATACAACTTGACGACGGGTACAACATTTGTTTGTACCTCACTGCGAGAGCCGGAGAATTCTGTGTGGCCGAGGCTATCAAGAACGGTCTCTCCCTTCCCGAAGACGACGTGGCAGGTGAGCGAGCCTGCGGGATCGGAGGAGCCCACAGGAAGATACTCCGGAAAATCGCAGTACCCTACAAGATCTACAGTGAAGATGGAGAGCCCTATGCTCTCGGCCTCGAAAAGGCAACCATCACGGAGGAGGGTCCCAACTTGTACGGCATGACACTGAGAAAAAAGTGTTACTTCTCTGTGCTGGTCAAGCCGGGAACGCCAGATCGTGTGGAAGGGCACGACGGAACCAAGTTGATCGACTTCCGGGGACAAAATGCAATCTACACGCGCATCTTCGACCTGACCAAGGACGACTATGCAACTCTGCGTCGGATGCAAGAAGAAGTTCCTCGGGACCAGTGGCTGCGGCCGATCTTCTACAACAAAATTCGCCCCAAGGGAAGCTTGCCGCTGGAGTTTGACTACGACCCGATGACAATCCGGCAGTACCAGGACCGGATCACCAAAAGACAGATGGCACAACGTCGCGGGCGCGTCAGCGAGCAGGTGAATTTTGTAAACGAGGTGGACACCGTGCTTTTCCTTGAGCAGGAAAAGGAAGACCTGATGCGTGTACAGGAGCAGCAGTTCGCGGCAAATACCGACGAAGAAGGAACCTCGACCAAAGCGCAAAACACGGAAAAGGCAGTAGTAGTAAACCTGCATGACTACGGCTGCAACTGGAGTGATTGGAAAAGCATCCAGCGATGGCTTGAC